GTTATAGAAGGGACTTGTCTCTTTGTCTAGCCCATAAAAGAACAGTGGAAACGTCATAGAGACAAGCATGATCTTTGAAACGGATGCTTCCCTTTTTTCTATTGGCACAGATAGGGTTGCACCGCGCTAAACATGTGTCGTCATGATATATCCGTGGGTTTATTCTGGTGGAATGGAAACCTATATAAAGGCGCAACATTCTAATGCATCCCATCGCTTGCTCTCCCAACTCTCATCATTCTAATATTTTATAATCAAGCTCATACCATACAAAAAAGACCAATTTTTTTATACCTCCTAAGAATCTCCATAAAACACCATGGCTGATATCCTAGCCTTGGAGAAGGACGGACCCTATGGTGGCTTTGGGGGCAGTGCCTATGATCTGAGAGATCAAGAACACAAAATAAAGCGTATTGAGGCCTGGGAGGCGGAATGGAAGGGCTACCCTGTCCTCGGTGCACTTAGATTCCAATTTGACAATGGCCACCAAAGCGGGCGTATCGGGGGCAGAGATCCTCACACCGACTATCGCCCCGTTCCTCCTTTCGAATTTAAGGACGGTGAAAAAATAGATCACATGACCGTCTTTGCGGGGCACGACGACGGGTATTTCAACGGGCTCGAGTTCCACACAAACAAAAACCGCAACTGGCATGTTGGTGGAAGGGAGGGCGAAGTAACGCCAGTGCCACACCTTGGTAATGGTGAATGGGCTGGGGCTACAGGCAGAGATGACCGCCATGGTGCTGATGCCGTTGTGGATAGCATGTGTCTCTATTTCAAGAAGTAAAGAGATATGTTCTTGGATTACTGGATCAGACTCATATTGCCGAGGATTTAGTACCGTGTTGAATATACCGTACATGATCACCTGACGCACGGATTTCTGTATGGCAACCAACATTAAAAACGAAGCTTTAAAGCAACATACTAAATAAATTATACTTGGATTCTTTGATGTAGCAGATATACGATGCTAGTAAAGCTATATACAGCTTTTTTTCAATCCCGGAATCGTTGTGGGAGGTGTATTTGTCTTCCACGACGATTTATAGATACACAGCTCTCTGTATCAATCTGAGGCTCTGGAATAGTAATATCTTGCTTCTTTTGAGATATAGCTGGCTTATGACACTTCTTCCTGCCTTTTTGGACCACTCTGAAGTCATTTTGAAGCTGGTTATCAGCCTCCTTAGCCAGGTGTTCTTCCTCCTTCTGGCGCTTCTTTTGCTCTGCTTCAAGGAGGCGTAACTCTTTATTAGCTGCTCTGATTTGCTTTCTTTTCTTAACTAAGCGTTGCTTCTCTTGCTTCTCTTGCTGCCGGCGAAGCTTTTCTTGCCTTAGATGTCTTAGCAAGCTCTATAGCAGCTTTCTTTTTACTCTGCAGCTGCCGCGCTTGCTGTATCTTGTCTGGCGAATAAAATATAGTATAGCTATCCTCTGGAGCTCTCAATTCAAATAAAAAAGATTTCCCACGCTGCTGCTTTTTCTTCTTATTCAGAAGGGTGTTCTCAAGGCCCTCGCAGCGTAGTTTTAGCAAGATATACTCTGTTGAGAGATGGTGTATTGTAGAACTAAGTTTTTTTGATCTCTTATTATAAATATCAGAAATAATCTATCGAAGAAGCTTTTCAAGTCTTCTCCAGTTATCTATATATAGTATAGACTGGGATAATTCACTGCTAGATAGCCGTTGATTGTTTTCTTTGCTAAATCGCTTTAGAATAATCTCGGAGTCCCAGAGCTATATGCCAACAGATTTCTATACAGAATTAATATTTTTAGATAATAAAGCTCTTTCCCAGCTCAGCTAAAATAGACAGAAGAAATCACACTTTGTAATTTGACTTAGACCCTGGCAGGTATATAAAAAGGTCTCCAATTTATTGCTATAGACTATTGAAAGCGGTCTGAAGATATTAATATCAAGAGACTGTAGAGAGTATATTGAATATAGTGGATAAATTATTAAATAAATTCGATTCTTTGTATAGAAATTTATAAATTTTATTGTAATATAGAATCTATAGCTATTAAAGATTAAAAATCTCTATTATTTCTATATTTTGCTCTTTATTTCTAGATTAAATAAATCTTGAATCTATATAAATCTAATATTATTATTTGTTTAGCTATTTACTAAAGAGATAAAGAAATAGTAATATAATAATATTTTATAATATTAAAATCCTATAACCAAGAGTTTAATAGATTGCTTGAAACTATTTAATAAATAAACTTTGGTAGTAAAGCTATTCTATTTATATAAATATAAATAATTGTAGTAATCTACTTTTAATTACTATTTTATAGATACTACTTTATTCTATTTTATTTATAGTAGTATTTAGAAAAGATTCTTTTACTTTTAAAAAGTACTTTAATAAGAAATTCTTTTTATTTATATTATATATATTTTTAGATTATATTTTATATTTCTTAATCTTTTTAGCGAGTAATTTAAAGTATAGAGTATATTTAAATGCTAAATTAATTTTTTTATACATAGAATCAATTCTAATAGTATAGTAAAAAATTAGTTTATTTTAATATTTTATTAAAAAATAATTTGGCTAGTACTTTCTAGAGTGGCATAACCTAACCGTTGTAACCTAGAATCGAAACTTTTTAAATTAACTAATAAATAAGTACTATATTAAATATATATTTTTTTTCTTAGATAAATTAAATCTAAAAATAAAAATAAATATAAATATATATATATTTTGTAAAAATTATTAAATATAATTTTAAAAAAATAGTTAATAAAAACTTACTATCAATTAAAGTTTATCTTAATAAATGTTAAGTAAAATATTATAATAAACTTAAAATCCGTAATACTATTTTAAATTAATAAATTAAATTTTTTAAAATAATATAGTAATAATAATAATAGTTATAAATAATTTAATAAAATTTTAGATACTTATCAATATCTACGTTAATTGTTTTACTAATATTTATATAAATTTTAAATATAATAGCTTATCAGCGCCCGCCTATTGTGATATGTACGTATTTATCATAACCACTAGTGGACTAGGCTACACTCCACGTATTCCTTACATAACTAGCCCCACGATTTCCCAATCATGACTCCGCTATAGACGTCATCCCTCGCTCGGATTTCTCCCTTGGAATGATACACACCAAACACTACTTTCCCCACTAGATCCTTCTCCGGCAGCGCATATAGGTAGTAGTCATCCTTCCCGAACTCATTCATTTGGATCCCTTGCCACTGGCGTCGATGAGCTTTCTGCCTCTCATTGAAATACTCACTCCCCAAGCTGTACTCCATAGTCTGCATTGGCGGGATGCTAGCGCGGTCAAGCGCTTGTGAATAGACCGTCAAGATGTGCTGAGCTCCATTGTGGCCCAGGTCGGAATAGGAGTTCCGATGCCACGCGCTGATGGACCGGAGGCTTGGAAACTCCTGTGGCTTAAAGTCCCGAAACATATTCTCAAAGTCTCGCTGATCCGCCTCGGGGGGACAGCGAGACGCGAGGATCACGACATCCTGAATAGAGACGGGGAGGGTCTGTGCGAAGGGCAGCCAGCCGCCATCCTCAAGATTGCTGAATAAATCGATGTCGAGGGTAAGACGTTCCAATTGGGTGAATTCATTCCACTTCCAGTTCGTCGTGGGAGGCGTGTGCGGGTTAATAGACATATAGGGACTATATGGATTTAAACACGGCTCATGCCGACAACCGCAAATTGATCCGTATTCCATCAACTCGATATGGAGATGCCGTAGCGTCAACTTCGCGTGCGTTAAAAGAGCTAGGCATACCGCCTCCACGGTCATGTCGGGCAGATGCGGTTGGCATAGCACGCCGTTGAAGTGTCTCCCGAATACTTCCGGTGTATGGAAGACCATATATTTGAACTGCTTGAAGTTAGAGCATCCCTCAATAATCCGGGACAACGCTCGACCGGAGATATTTCCACGATCCACAATCAATGACTCGAGTTCTGATTTTGCGAGCGGCAGAGGATAGGCTGGGTCCATGGCATCGTCCCAGTCCAAGGCGATGGTGTTTCGGTCCTCGGTGCCTTCCTGCCACACTGGCTGTGAGTAATAATCCATCACAGAGAGATTCCGAAGACCCGGTAGTCGAGCCAACGCAGCCAAAAGACGGATGATCTGCTGGTAATGATCGTCGGCCAGGACTGCCTGTGGCCTTTGGTCCCATTGGTCCTGACTGCCTCCTGAACTACTCCCTTCATCCTCGTACTCATCCTCGTCCCCATATGACGTGCATTCAATTCGCACCTCCGCTAATACCGACAAGGCCTGGTCGAGGAGTCCCTTCTGTGACCTCGCTGCTAGCCTACTCACGGCTCGGGGGACGTAGGGCGTAATTGGGTCTTGCGCGCACACATTTAATTGCATCCGCCTCAGCTCGGTGAGCTGGCTGAGGAGCAGGCCTAATGTAGCTCCCCCAACCCCATTGGACAGCGCATGCATCCAATCGCTCACTTCATCCTCCTCAATGAGAATGGGTGATTGTTGAAGAAGGCGTTTGGCCCACCGGAGGCCAAGTTCCCAGGGTACATTTGGGCGGTCCTGAAAGTCGAACTGGTGGGGTACCAGTTCCTCTACATACCGGGCCAGGCGGGGACTTTGGGCAATATCAAGCAACAACTGTGGAGCACCAATGCTGAACGCCTGGTCAGCTTTGTGGTATCGAACATTTGCGGGCGTTGCGAAGCCAGAGTCTTGCGATAGCCGTCGTGTGTACGTGTCATGTTCTCGGAGATGTTCGCGACAGGCTTCCCTAAGGTGTTTACAGCTTAATGACAGAGAGGGTAAATCTCTGGGCGAAGCATGGCCTACAATCTGCAACTGCAACTCATATGGTAGCAGTAGGAACATTTTGCATGATGGTAGGAGGATGTAAACTAAGTTTCAGTTTGTTGGATTTTCCTTTTTGCAAAGTTTATCGTATTTATTTTCGGCCCGAGCCTGTACAGCATGACCCACTGATAGAAACCCGGGTTAAGTCAGACGGACCGATCGTGTTGCATGAATACGCAAGATTCTTAGGTATCCGGGGGTTGTAACAGGTTATTTACCGTATTTAGGGGTTTCTTACTTCCCAGGGCCCACCTTCTCAGCTCGATGAAATTGTCTTCTCTGCGATGCTGAATATCATTGGCTTTCGGGGCTACCTTACAAGTCTTCCCAATTTACAGAGTATGCCTAAAGCGCTCGTACTGTATAAGCTTCAATGGAAATAAACCTCTAACATACCGCTAATATTTTTCAGGGAGAAAATCCGGCCAACATTGATGAACGAAGAGAAAATCAATCAATTTGTATCCTCGCATGTGCAGTGTCTTCTGTCTGTGTCTTCTTTTTAGTACTCCAGTAGCGTCTACTAATCCAAATCCTTCCCACACATCTCATTGTCAGCTTCCGGAGCACACCCTTTTCCCTATATCTGCCCTAAGCTTCCCTGGTGCCTCTTCAGGTTCACCTCAATACAATGCGAGGCGCTATCGCAATAGATGGTGGGCGAGATGGCACCGGAGATGTTCAGGTTTCTGGTTCAAAGAATGCCGGGTTACCACTTATGGCGGCAACACTACTAGCAGCCGGGCCCAGTAAGCTGCATGGCCTACCACCATTATCAGACATCAAAAAAATGGGTTCCATCTTGCAATACCTTGGAGCAGATGTTTCGCGAGTTGGCGGCAACCTCAAAATTAACACCACAAATGCAACGTCTCTATTTATTCCTTTGCAGCTTACTCGTATCTTGAGAGCATCGATCTTGTTTCTTGGGCCGCTCGTTGCTCGATTTGGGTATGCCTGTTTAAGCTTCCCTGGTGGCTGTAGCGTTGGGAAACGTCCGATTGAAGAACACATAAACGGCCTCAGAAAGCTTGGGGCTTGTGTCAGTGACAGACGGGCATATCGAGGCTCGTGCTTCTCGCTTACAAGGAGCAACCATATATATGGAGATCCCCTCGGTGACTAGAACCATGAACCTTATCATGGCAGCTTGTTTGGCTCGCGGGGTGACACATATACACAACGCAGCTCGTGAACCAGAAGTGGGTGACTTGATCAACCTGCTGGTCCTCATGGGAGTAGACATTTATGGCACGGGGACTGACCACCTTGTCATCCATGGCCGGAGTGCGCCTCTGTCACCTTGTCAGTACGAAGCTATGGAAGATAGGATAGAGGCGGGCACCTTTTTAATCCTTGGGGCAATATGTGGGAACCCTCTTACTGTACATCCCTGTCACCCTGAGCAGCATGCAATGTTGATCAAAAAGCTTAGGGCAGTAGGTGCTCGTGTTGATATAGCGGACAATTCCATAACAGTCCAGAAAGCCAGAAAACCTTTAGCTGTCGACATTTTGATTGGACCCTATCCCGCATTTCCAACAGACCTACAGCCACAATTTATAGTGTTGCTTTGTTTAGCCCAAGGCACAAGTCACGTTATCGAGTCCATTTTTGAGAGCAGATTTAGTCAATGCTTTGGTCTCCAGGCCATGGGGGCAGATATACGCATTTGTGAAGAGACAGCTATAATCAGTGGAGTGGAGAAGCTGTCTGGTGCCCTCATGTCAGGTTCGGATCTGAGAGCGAGTGCGAGTCTTGTTCTTGCAGCTGTTGCTAGCAGAGGGAGGTCCATCGTTGGCGGTGTAAGGTATATTGATAGGGGTTATCACGATCTGGAAAGAAAACTGGCAAAGATTGGTGTGATTATTGAACGGTTACCTAATTAAGTGGAGCTCTCAAGATTATAAAACGGCTGCTACGTCCCCTGATTTCGACCAAACACTCTGGATCCAGTTAGCTATCTTGAGTAGGTCGATCACTTCCGTTAGAATCAGAACCCACCAATATCCCATGTTAATACGTGCTCAAGAGGCTGCGCAGTAGCACGATGTAGCTCGACTCTATCGGTCATATCTGCTCCCGATAATATAATCTACTAGGCTCATAACGATGTTGCTGCGCTTCCTCCATAATCCTGTGAATGCCATTCGATAATCCGAGCCTAGCCACAAGCTGGAAGCAGGCGAAGTTGAAAGTTACGAAGTAGACGTTCAAGATCAGGATTATGCATGAACCAAAGGGCAAGTAGATCAAAATTTAGAATTTTATGGTTTGTAACGTCGTTAGGGTGCTAGTCACATTCTTTCTATCGGTTCTTCCACACTGTTGGCAGAAGAAAGCCTCCGGGTTGACTAGTCCGGCCTGTTCTCGCCACCGAGCGAATTTTGTGGCTCCAATATCCAAAATTTTAGATTCAACTGCTCGACAACATTGCCTATCTCGTTGGAGAACTCCACTTGCGCTTCACGACTTTGTATCTTCCGTCGGCCCTGCCATTGTCAACGATCGGGAAGATGCAGAGTCCCGTTTACCAAGTTTATCAGGTGCGAACCGAACTATCAGCAACAATCCTTTTCTAATTCCTATGGATCACGCACTGAGATACTCGTGGAAGAGTGCTGTTATCCTTGTCTCGGTGCCTCTACAACACCTAAACTGTTCCTTGCTTACCGGGGCGGCATGAAATTTTCCTCCTCTCGATCCCTTCCCTACCCCTTGGCTCCCTCGATACTCCGAAGCCTAGTTAGTAGTTAATAGCGGCCGAAATATTATACATCTAACCGAACGAGCCGAACATATTGATCTCCTCCTTGAAAATCATATTTAGTGGAAGTAACGCCCAATTATAATAGTTATAAATACCGTACACTACCAGCCTACCACCCCTGGTAACCAAGTAAATAGTCTATTCTCGAATCCTCGCGCCTCCAGCAGTTTCCATAACAATATCAAATCCATATAGACAATCCTTTGGAAGTTTCTCCATCATCGCTGCCGCCGTTTATGCATCGCGCGGCAACTCCACATACACATCGAACATTGCCATGACATACTGGGTGCGCCAGCAGCCAGACTGGGACCAATGACTCAAGTATTACGGTGGCTGCTATGCAGGAGTTGGGTGGTGCTTATGTGTACCTTCTGAGCAATGCTGCGGGCTAACTAACTTTACAATATCCGTTGTTAGATTATTGATTATACCTACTGTATGATATATAAAATTTTTGGTCAATGACAAAAAATATATAGAAGTAGGTAATCTCCTTTGTCTTCTGCGACTGCCGGACACTTACTTTTGGAGCCGCGAAGGTGTATAAACATATTAAGAGCCTCTTCACGATGAGCCACCATACTTAACCAATAATAGAATACAGGGATTAATCTAACCAGCGTATATATATACTCTTGAGTTGAGCGCTCGACTGAGTGACTAAAAACGCAAAATAGTGCTATTTGATCGCTACGAGCACCATTAAGTAGATTATACTGCGTACATTAATTATATATGGAAGCTAAGCTTTTAAGATGATCAACGACTTATCTACCTAGTATTAAGCATAGGTGGGATTTGCTTATAATTCAGAAATAGCAGCATAGTTTAAATATAACTCGAGTAGTCCTTTTGCCTCGCAAGATTTCTTGACAAGAAGACATTTCACATTCCACACTTACCTGTGCTCCAACAGCTTTATTTTTGTCTATCTCATAACATGACATCCTCTGCGGTACCATAGGGAATGTTCTGGATTCTATGGAGGAATATATCGGTATTGGAACGCAACGGATCGCTTGGAAATAGGTAACCACCCCCACCGGCAAAGACTTAACACAATCCCACCACAGCACATACTTCACTGGGGGTTAGATTTTGCTGGATAAGTTGAACCATCATGTTGCCGTATACGTCAATGTAGTTTTGGCATTCCGCCGGATCCATCGGTAACACGGGGCAAGCCTTCTCCATAGCCTGCACGACAGCCGCGCCGTCACGTTCATCTCCGAGTTGCCCTATAATTTCACCCATGACCAGTGTGCAAGAGTCACACTCGAAGTCTCGTCGTAGCAGGGCATTGTCAGCAGCGGTAATACCTAGAGATTTTCATCAAAACAGCCATTAGTATTAGCAAACTATCAAAGGATATATATATGGTATTTTAAACGAGGATAGGAACAAGGAACGTACTGGTGGCCGCCAGAGCAAGGGTAAGACCACTCATAAATGGGAGGATAATGAGTTTTACCATGTTGCCGAATATTTCATCCAGAGGTGTGAAGTGGTAGCGAGGAGGGCTTTTCTGCGGAAAATACAGTATCACCCAAGGGGGTGAGTGGACTACTAATGATATATCGAGTCGAATTTGCAGGTGAATAATGAAACAACACTCCAAGAACTCTGACTAGTCAAGTTTAGAAGTGATTTACACTGTTCTGCACTCCGGACTAGCCTACTTAAGGCAAGGTTCTGTAGATCATGAATCTATCGATCTCCTTACTTTGGTAGGTGGGAAAAGCTCGTATTGATTGATCCATGTGGAGCAATTTCCTTCAGCTATTAGAACCGCATGGCAAGTATCGTCCTATCATATTTGGTCTGCAACTGGCGAAACTTGGAGATGGAAAGGATATACTTACAAAACCAAACTAAAGGGGTTCTCGATGTCATTTTCTTTTCGGAATTTTGCCAGAGTATACAAAATATGACAGGACCCCCCTTGTAACAGAGGTTCTGGTATATCCACTCACGATCTGCAAGCTAATTACTCCACAGGGATCAACGCGATCTGTCTGCCACCTTCTCCAGGAGAACGAGTAGCAAGTTATGTCTGATTCTTTGTATTTAGTGGCCTACGTGACCCTAAATAGTAAACACTGAGCGCAGGTCAGCTGCCTGCGACTGTCGCGCCGTTACTTGCACTGGAGGCGTATCCTCGACGCCTGTTAGATGGATGTGATAATCTTGGAGGGTGTCCGCAAGGGCGGTTGCGGTCACGGTCGTTGCCATTGTCGCGCGTTGGTGTAAAGATAGAGGGCTCTGAGGTTGAAACAGGTGCTGGAAAGCTGGTGGAACCGGATCACCGAGTGAGCAAGTGCAGCCATCCTTTATTGGCGACAACGGCGATGAGACCATTGTCCGTGCTTCCGAGTGGAGGTGGTGCGCTTCCGGTGTGGGCTCGCAGCTAAATCCGGGACACAAGGCTGGAAAAGGATTAAGAACAACTTCGTTGAACCTACAAAGCAACGACTTGTCCATCCTGATACCCCTGGAAATGTCTCTGTCATTAGACCGCCTGTCCAGAGTGCACGGCGCAACTCTCGACGGCCGCGCAGCGAGTGTCCGATTCCAGCAGAGCCAGCTGATCGCTCTACATGCCAAACTACAGCACCTCCAGGCCGAGGCGTGCGAGGCCATTGTCTATGATCGTGGGGTGACAACTGCCGAAGCAGAGATTGAGTGTGCAACCACGATCCTTACTGTGTGTTTATTGTGCTCCCTGTGGTCTCGTTGGTTGGATACGGGGGCTGGTATACAATCCGTTCGGCATTAGCCTGGAAATGGTGATATTGGGCAATGGGAGTTGACGGACAAGGATATAGTGTATTACAATTTTAGTGAGAAATCCTACAACACCGAGAATGTGTAATGCTCTGCAGTATCTGACAGGAGCTGGCTGAATACAGGAGGAAAACATAGGCACGATAAATAGACGCAATGATGTAGACTGGAGGTGACATAGTGCTAGGTAGAGAAAGTAGACAAAACCCTAACAGACTTAAGCTAGTAGTATCGGATCATGATTTTATATTTACTTTCTCGAGGCTTTCGCCCATGGGCCTGATGTGGATACTCGCCTCCGCGTTTGGGCGGCACGTAGAGCATATGGGCAAATGAGAATTCTTTCTGGAGAGTTGCAGGAGTAAAACCATCTTCAAATTCAATGCTTGACTAGCCTAGTTGCTACTTAGAGCTCCCACCCACTCTGTACACTCCACAACCAGCAACCTCGCGACAGCCTTCTACCAACATTCACCATTCACACATTGATTGGAACCTCAAAGCCCCCATTCAGGCTGCTTCTGTGGCCCACTTCTGCTTGAAGCGGCGGATATACGTGCCTGTAAAGTACAGCACAATTCCAAGCCCAAACAGAGCACCGATAACGATAGCACACACGTTCAATGCGCCATCGTAGCCTAGCTCATGGACGAAAGCTGTGGTACCAAACGAGATTCCAAAGCTGATGAATCCGCGGCCAGCGCTGAGAGCAACCATGGCCACATGTCCATGCTGCAGGTAGCAGTCCATGATGTAGACGAAGCTCAGCACGACAATGCTTATAAAGTTGTAGAAGAGAGCGTTCAAGGGGACAACGACGGCGGGCCAAGCCCAGTCCTCCGGGAACTGGCACGCTCGGGCATAGAGTACGCAGGAGATGATCCCGACGGCGAGTGGGATAATCGCAGGGATGAGACGGCTTTCCGGCTGCGAAATCGGTTAGCCTTTGGACAAACACAGGACTATTCAGCGTACCTCTGTGACACCGTTATTTCGCTTCGCCCAGAACATGAGGATGAAGTCGCTTAGATAGCCAGCTAAGGGCTGCACCACAAAGGCCACGACCACCTGCCCACCCATGACAAAGCCGAGATTATGCGGGTCGAAGCTGTATGGAGGGGCGATGAGGACCTGTGCAAGACAGCGGTCATGACGATATACGTGCCCAGCAGCACTCCGCTGAGAATGATAAAGTAGAGGACACCAAGAAAGAGGGTCAACTGCGCCAGGGAGAACCAGAACTTGGGTACCTGACGCTACTTGGCCGTGACATGGCCCCAGGGGCATAAGTCACGCCAGAAGGAGCGATCGGCATACGTGTCGTAGTCGAGGCGTCGGGTGCGGAACTCGCTTTTCCTGATGGTGTTTCCCTAGGGATCAAATCCGACTGCATCCCGTTAATGTGGGAAACCAGGAGAGAGAATTGGGGTACACGTACAGTAGCTTTGCAGGGGACGATCGTACTTTGTTTCCACCACAAAGAGAAAACTTAGGACAAACGTGGCGGCACTGATGATGGTGAAGATGCCGTACCACCACCGCCAGCCCAGGGACTCGGTCAGGTAGGAGCTTGCGGTGATGAACAGGGCGGTTCCCAGAGTCTGCAATGAGCAGAACCACGCAATAAGGCTGCCACGCTGGTGCAAACAGAAGGTCTCTTCTGCAATCATGACGCACAAGGCCTCGCTCTGCCCCGCTGCAAGGGCCATGAAGTCGCGCCCACCAATGTACGATCCCAGGCTGGCGGAATAGCTGCACCAGATGCCACCGACGATTAGCACAACGTTGGACAACAGGTACACTGGGCGCCGACCAATGGCATCGGCGAATGGGACGGCGACCAGGTTCCCGATGCCCATGAAGAGGGCAGGGTACGTGACGAGATCATTGACGCGCGAGCCGCCGTGGTAGTACTCTTGCAGCTGAGGCACGAGAACCCCAATCCCGCTGGCTAGCAAGTTGCCCGTCATGCCATCTACCACTGATCAGCTTCCACTGCGGTGGCGGGGATGTGAAGCATACAGAGAGCAACAATAATCAGTATCAGCCACTTGCGCCAGTCAGGCAGGTTACGGGGATCTTGAGCACCAGCATCGTGTCAGCAGCAGGACGTGCACACCGCTTGGGGACGGCAGCAGACCTTGGGGATCGCGCGTCGGCGCAGGAACCAGGATGATGTCGTCGCCTTCGACAAGCTTGAGGGTTCCAATAAGGCGAGGCTCCTTGCTTGGCGGTTTGCTGACCTCCTCGCCGAGGTCCTCCACAAAGGCCACACTGGTCTTATCGTCGACCGCCTTTGTCTCCATTGTCCGGAGTGAAGTAATTTGATGCAACGAGTCTATCCACAGTGGACGGACAATTTGGCCTTATATTGTTTGATAGTCGTGAGACTGACTCTTGCGCCGGGCAGTCCGGTGGGGAAAGGAACAAAATGCCACTTCCGGAAACTGTCAAAGTGTGGGGGAAACCCGGGGAACTAGCTCTTAAGGCAATCTGTTTCCTCGCAGAGGGGAAAATAACTTCCGAGCCACTGCTCTTAGGTCACTCACATAATGGATACTCCAAAGTCCCTGCGAGGCCTGTGTGCGCCGCGGACAAGCCCAAAAATGCGTCGTGGGCGAAAGCACCGGGCCAGTCCAGCTTCCAAGGGCTAAACCCCACAGCAGACTAGACGAGATTGACCAGGAGCGGATGCTAATCCAGGACTGTGTCTCGCTGATGGAGACGTACGCCGCCGATCCGGTGCGCCGGGCGAGTCGTGGGCCGCAGGACAGTCCGGAAGACCTTCTGGTCATCCTTGAATCGCTGTCGCATGGGCGAGGCTCTGCCGAAAAGCAGCTACACGACCTCAGTGGCCTCTATCATCTCTATCAGCCCATCCAGCAAGTAGTGCCGATGCTCCTTCCCGATCGCGGGGCCAGTGAGACCCTGGTCCGCTTTGTGCTGAGTGAGCTGTCATGGCTGCATTGTGGGGTGCGCACCGCGCAGTTCTGGGGGGAGCACCAGCTGTTTTGGGCAATGATGGAGCGCGGTCATGGAGACCTACTCCAAGACCATGCCTGGATGGCCCTCTACTTGGGTATTCTTGCGGTAGGTACTCCGCATTGCTTGACTATCCGCGTTCCCAATCCCCTGAGCTAACGAGACACAATACTGCAGGCCGCATGCCTGTACCTCAGTCCCGATCAACGTCCGCCCCTGCCACAGCTGCTGCATCTGCCACCGGGTGCAGTGCCAGCAACGGGCGAGGCGGATCCCAGCGTAGCATTGGCGAGGATCTGGTTTGAACCCATCATCGTACATCGAGTTTGAATAAAGCATGATCTATTGAGTACCAGGATTCAGTAGGAAAATGAGTTTGACCCCAGCTTCAGGGTTCAGCCGGGCCTGAAAGCATTAGGCGTTCCTGCTTCCCGAAATGCTTATTAACGCCGTCTGTCTGCAAGACCAGGATTTTTATCCACACGTCCTTATGGTCCAAGTCTTGAATGCCTATCACAAGTCTGTCGTGAATCTTACGTCAAGGCTGACAAAAGAGGCGAGGCAAAAGTTCCTCGACTCTGTACAACGACATGATCAGATCATGGCGCGGGAAGCGGAGTTTGAGGACGGCTCTCTAGGGAAGGGTGAGATTGAGAGCAGAGACACAGGACCAGGCATAAATATTACAATAAAAAACATTTCAGCCTGTATGTGATCTTGGAGGGCCGGCGGTCGTGATGTTGGGAATAATTCTTAAGGCCATGTCTGCTAGGCTGGGTGGATCGAGCAATATCCTTATGATAAATCAAGCTTGTCAATGCTAGCCTCTAAAATATCCACAGATTTGGGTTCTGCCTCACAAGAGCAAATTCTGACGACTTGTCATAGGCTCCGCTCTCCATATAATGCATTTTGTTTCCTTGATCTGCTTCACGATATGATCGTCCATGCTTTGGAGCACACTGGCAAACTTGTTCCTCGTGGCTGCGTTATAATCGACCAAATCAGGGACGGTCCATTGGTCATACAAACGCCCATGCGTACTCAACATCTGGAAAGCGCCATGGTATCGCAGAAACAAGTAACACAAGTAACACAGGTACTTACTCGTGCCAATTGTCCTTGGTCGCATCTCGACCGTCGATGCATCAACAGCCACTTTTGACGCGCTGTTCGCAAGCTCCACGACCAGTTGGATCTCAGCGTGGACATGGCACGTATGAGCCCACGATTCGTATGCTATACTGGTAGGTATGCTCGCATATGGAGTAAGGTACTCGAGCTCGATGCATCGGAAAACATGCTCATGTTGGTCTGCCACTGCGACAAGGTCCTCGGCTATTCTCCAATAAGCCCCTATCTTTTCGAGTTGTCGAAGGGTTTTAATCGCTGCGGCAACCTGAGGAGTGTCCCCTGCGATTTCGAGCTTGGATGCATATTCGGCTATGAGTGGTGACTTGCACCAGATGAATGTTGCTTGCACGAGCTTTTGGAGCGCCTGGGCAGTCTGCCCGACGGAAGTCTCGAAATGCTCATACATTTCACAGACTTCTTGAATAGATTTTATGATTGCTTCTCGAATCTTGCGTTCAGATCTCCTAGCATAGACATGCTGAGCTCGGTGTGAAAGATTATTAAAGTCCTGCCACAGAGGCTTCTTGTGTGTTCTGGCTAGATGCCTAGGCTTAGTCCATTTCCTTGAACGAAGACGGCCTAGGAGTTTCTGCTCATGCTGCTGGATGATCGAGCGGAAGATGATCTCAGTGCTGCCGGGTTCTGCCGGATTACGTTTAATCACAGCTCGAGTACGATACTGCAGCTGTGTAACAATAGCATGGAGCATTCCTTTGACATTTCCATTGATGGCGTCCATGCCTGCCACCTTAACCACCAAAGTGGGAAAATTCGGAGCGAGTGAGGTACCAATATGTTGTTCGAGGCAGACGGCCGCTACGCTCTGAGCTCCTTCGGTGACAGCAGCAATATAAGCAAAGTCATCTGCGACTTGCTTCTCCGTCTTCAGCGGCAAAAATGAATTGGAGCTGCCGCGCTGCTCATTATCGTCTTCCGCAGTCAGAACGTCCATAGGTACCGCATTCGTCTGCTTCTCCAACGTGACCAGGTGCTGTCTGAAATCAGCTTCGGTTACGCGCGACCAAATGGTATCAGGCGGCACGGCCGTTTGCACTGAAAGAACAGTGGGCACCGAAGATGCAGGTGGCATGAGGAGAAGTGCAGGATTGGAGGTAAGATGGTGAGACGCGTACAAGTGGTGAGCAAAGCTTGATCTGGAAAAGTCGAACAGGATGGGACATCGGGCAGCCATATCCACTTATGATTGGTCGAGATAAGTATTAAAAGTGGAGTCGATCTAGTGCGACTTGCACTTCACCTTGACCATCGGACTTAATGGTCATGCCACGGAGAATTCCTGCCTAGACGGAGACAAGTCGTGTACAACCTAGTTGAGGTGCAGGCGAGCTACAGGAGACTAACTATCCTATGCCGCTGCCACGAAGTACATTATTATGTAACATATGTGCCTATGCCTCTGAGGTCCACGCAAAGGCCTGGCGGGATAGGTGAATGATCTCCCTCGTTAGATCTTTGCTGATGCTCCTGGTGAAAATGGAAAATCTAAGTGATCCTAGTATGGTCCAGTCCTTGCGCTCTCGTCTAGCGGAGCTTGAAAGGGAGATGATTTGGGAGGTGAGCCAGAAAGAGAGCCATCGGCCCCTCATCTTCTGCTCCTAGGCTCAAACATAGAAGCTGAACTACACGACGATGCTGCTGAAGAGCCGACGGCTATTTCGCCCACATCTCGAGCCCGACAGCCCCGGGAGTCTGGCATGACCCTGTCTGGGCCGCTCTTTGTCCTGAACCTGGAATATCCCTGTGCCAACTACGGAGTAGTTAAGGGGCTACGTAACCTTGCCTAGTGCTTATTGTGGGGGCCGCATCTGTGCTTGGCCGGCCATGATTGAACCGGGGCCCAGGGAGTGCAGTCAGCTGGTTCCAGTCAAACCCCGGATCTTCTTTAGTATCAGCCTAACTAATATGCTTAGCCCGCATGCTGGTCTAGAACGAGCCTCCGCCTCTAGCCAATCATGGTGTGATCGTTACCGGAGCTGCCTGGGGTACAAAGGGGCAGGCATGGAAAAGACTGCCCGCCATGTGGCTAACACAGCCGCACCCTGTACTTTCCCACTTCGCCGGTTTTATGTGTCAGTTTTTGTGTTCTCAATATCTCCCAGTCCAACGCTCCTCTACTCCTTCACCCCTAACGCAATGGCTCTGCTTGTCATTGCAGCCATTCTGCTTATCCTCGTAAGTCCTCCTCTCCATCTCTCCGGAGACCATGTAAGCAAAACTTGGAAATTAGTACATCACCACCCTCAGCATCTACAATCTCTTTCTCCATCCTCTCGCCAGCTACCCCGGCCCTGCGCTCTGGCGTGCATTCCGCTTCCCCTTTCTCCTTGCCAACATCCGCGGCCAACTCCCCCATCGTATCCACGACCTCCACGCCCAGTATGGTGACATTGTCCGCGTCGCACCCGAAGAACTCTCCTTCGTGGACCCCCGCGCCTGGCGGGACATCTACACCTCAGATCGTGAATTCGTCCGCCCGCACCAATACAAAGACCAACCTCCCGGCAAAACGGCACCAAATCTGATTGCATGCTCGGAGGCTGACCATACCCGGCTTCGCAAGAACCTGGCACCAGGCTTTTCGGAGAAATTCGCTGCACTCCAGGAACCAATTCTTCAAAAATATATCGATACACTGTTTGTTAAACTGGACGCCAGGATTGCGAGCAGTGGGGGTGACAGTGCCACTAAAAGCGCTGACGTGGACCTCGTCGAATGGATCAATTACCTCGCCTTCGACGTGATAGGGGATCTCACCTGGGGTAGCTCGTTCGGGTGCCTCGAGGGTCTGCGGTACCATCCCTGGATGCAGACACTGAGCCAGTTCAAAGCTGCCATTATCGTTGGCTCGATGAAATTCTACCCTCTGCTTTATCATTTACTCATGGCCATTACCCCAGCAGATGCACTGAAGCCGGTTATGGAGATGTGGAAGGTCACCGATGAAAAGGTGGCGCAGCGGGTGGCCACGACGACTCCTAGTACTACCACGCGACCGGACTTCGTGGGAACAATGATAGCGTCGGGCGCCATGACGCAGGAGGAGATGGAAGTGAACTCGATGTTGATCGTCGCGGCGGGGAGTGAATCAATTACCACCGTCATCACGGGCGTGATCAATTATCTTCTGCGGGAGGGGGACCAGAGGACGCTCCGTGAATTGGTAGACCTGCTCCACAATATCTTCCCCACGGAAAAGGACATTACAGCCACCCGGCTGAAATCTGCTCCATACCTCGATGCAGTCTTGATGGAAGGCATGCGCCTCTGCCCAACCATTCCAGACGCCATGCGACGGCAGGTCCCGCGGGGTGGAGCCAGGGTAGCTGGGCAATTTGTGCCACAAGGGATGATCGTCTCGATCCCTCCGCTTGCTAGTTACCGCACGCCGCACAACTTCACGAGCCCGAGTGAGTTTGCCCCGAGACGGTGGCTGGGAGAGGATGAGCGGTTTCATGGCGATCTGAGTAAGCAGAAGGAAGCTTTCAATCCATTTTCGCTGGGGTCGCATAATTGTCCTGGCCAGAATTTGGCTTGGATGGAGCTGCGGCTTATATTGGCACGCTTGTTGTGGAGATATGATCTAGCTGGGGTAGATGTGCCGGCGTGGGAGAAGCAGGGGATTTGGTGGTTTTGGGATAAGAAACCTCTTGTCGTAAGGGTTAGAAGGGCTCGCTAGGGGTGCCAATGGTGGGGATCATTCGTGACAGCATTGCTTGATATTATTAGGATCCATGTCACCAACCCGGATTGGTGAAGAAGATAAGCAGCTAAGTTCCGTTCCTTGCGGCGGTCAGGATAATCAGTCCCACATATCTATCGCTGATTCATACGCTCCTTTGACTGCTTGATTATTAGATATCGTATTGTCCTGCTCTCCCTACATCTGAAATTCAGGTGATCCATGTGACCCTACAATCATCCCTACACTATTTTCTTGTGACTTCTCTCTATGCGTCCATTACCTTTACTGACTTCTATGTGAATCTGCATAGCAGAAGACTGCACTGCCGGAATTGAAGAGCCTTTGACATCTTCATGTCCCTTGGTAAGGGTGCACAGCATTTATTAATTCCCCAGCACCTGACCACAGTGTACACTCGGTAGCAATGAAAGCCATGAAATAATCTGTGAATTTTGCTGGATCAGGGGCTCATTTACATCTATACACTACTAACATTCAACGCAAAGCTCAGCAAGCAGCCAAAAAAAAAATCCCTAATTCTCATAGGCCAACCCACCCTCCTCTCTAACTGCCCCATAAATGCCAGCGACATCACCCCGTTCACCCTGGTGCTCCTTAACTTGTGCCAAATAGCCATCCATGAAGAACACAATATCTTACCCCTAAAGCAGGTCGCCAGTCAAGTACGAGCTCTCCGAGAAAATTGTCTCCACCCCGAGACCAAGATGCCGTATATTGTATCTATGAAAGCCGGATGTGACAATTCCATTGAAGGGCTACAGGTAGTCTTCTCGCAGTCCCCTTTTTATGCTTTCTATGGACACGGCTGATTACGTATTACCGGCAGAATGAAATCAGTCATGTCTTTGTCTCTGTATTTGCGAATGAGCGGGACCGTGATTACTTTGTAAAGGAAGATCGGGTGCATCTGGGGCTTGTCGCGAGTGTCAAGGGATGCTTGGCGAAAGTGCAGGTGGTGGATTTTTTTGATGAGGTGTATGCCTAGCCATGTATATAGAGACTATCACGAGTGTTATTAGTCAATTAGTCCATCTGCAATTTGATTGACAGGAACAAATCTCCAAGAGTATATTTCGCAGTTCTGTACTATGGCATGGATCAAGTGGGTCTGCAGAGCGGACCACAAAGGTTTGTGTATCTCAAAAAAATATGTCGGAATGTATTTGTAATCCAGGTCTACTTGTTGACGATCTCCGTGCTTCCGTAACTATCCATGATATCAGTGCACATCTAAGAAGCCATTCAAGAGGGGCAACTGTATCTACGGCTTTGTACCCAGTACCAACACTATCCAGCCCGTGGACAGTCTCTTTACGGAGTATATTGTTACCAAGGATAATATTCAGACACATTTCCCTGATAAGCTAGGTTTTGGGGAGACTTCAATCTTTAGTATGGACATTATAACTCTCAACCAGGGCCAGGCGCTCTATCAAAGCTTGACACTCATACTGCCGACTAAACCGACGAAGAGTATACAGGACTCTCCAGTAATTTGACAGCTTACAGGTATACTCGCAATGCAGTCCACCAAACTCTCCGGTTAGAAAATAATTATAAGTTTGAAGTACGAATTATGATCATGTTAAGGGTGTTGGCACAGGCATTGTTTTCTTGACCCAAACAAATGCCGGCACTGGGTGGGTTCACGATAGACCTACTTTGGTTTAGTCTCCGCTGCACACAAATTAATCTCAAAATCTCGAAATCGCGCCCCTTTCCACTTAGATGGGTCCACAGCAGACTAACTTGGGGTTAGTCTCCGCTCAAGGGAACTGAGTACCTGAGAATCCTCCAAGTCGCGTTATCTATCGGTCAAATTTGGGGCAAATTTATAATCTAAGTCGAAACGGATTCCGTTTTCGGAAAGCGAGCAGCCGTCTCCGTCTAATTTCGGCCTTTGGGTGAGATTTTAGGGGATTCATGAAGACAACCATTGCACTTTCATGAGAAAAAAAAAAAAAAATGGAAAAAAAAATAGCCACTGGTGTTGGTGTCGAGAATATGAATTCGGGCACAGTGGAGGGTGACCATGTGAGGATTCCATGGCCACCTCTGGTATGTTTTCCTCTCGCACTATTTCCCTATGACCGTCTGACAAATCTTGTGTTTCCCCTTGGGTCAGCACTACGTCCAAACACATCCATGAAGCTGTGAAGGTGTTTGTATTCGTCCAGCCTGCTTGAAGAGTGGCTTGATATCAAATCGAATCGCGCATTATTGTGTTCCACTGTTGTAAACCGCGATTCTAGGTTTGATACAAGCCTACTCGCCACAGAAACACAATATATGTCGTCAACATAGATCGGTTTATAATAGCTACATATCCCTAGAGTACAGATTGTGCATAGTATGCAGTATCTTAACCCTATGAAAACCGTGTTTGAAGCGACATAACAGCAAATACTAACGGTAGAAAAATGCCCATGGCCGCTAGGAAGTGGTTATGGGAGGTTCTTCACGGAGTAGCTGTCGATCGCTGTATTGGCACCTACCCGATCAAAGAAGCAGCAAGCATTATAAGCCCGCCAAAGCCATCCATCCCCGAGCACCACTCCTCCCAATTTGCCGAGCCTCTGGTAGTAAATGGCTTCTGAGTCAGTACTTCATCAGTACAATACAACTGACCTTCCCCGAGTTTGACTAGATCGCCGTTGGCAGCCAGCCCAAACGCAGTTTGGATCCCAGGTTCTCTTTCACTTTCTGCCTTCCATACAAGCTCATTTCCTGCCTCCCACAGCTGCTTCTTTGCGGGAAGGGGTGCTATAATAAGGTCCGTCTGCAAACCACACATTGCTGCCGGTTCAAAGTAAACTAGCATATTCACGACACGATAAATTACGCATAATCTTTGCCTCAATCAGCACTTCGATCTCCATCGTATTGTAAAAGAGGAGAGATCGTGGGACTCCAACCTTCGCCTTGACTCCTCAAAGGTCCATTCCTTCCAGCTGTTGTTAGGATCGGAGTTGTGTAGCGCAAATGTTACATTCTTTGTAAGCTCACTGCCGCTGAGCTGCTTAGACATTGCCTAGATTATATTATTACGGATGGCGTAAAGGGAGGAAATACTAAAGCTAGACTTACTGTGATCGTCTTAAGCAACAGTAAATCAAAGTTATTGTACTCCATCTCGCCTTCGTCTAATCGAATGATGATATAAATAGAGAGGGCTTGCATGGCAGCCAGCAGTTCCCACTTGTTTAACTTCAGGTGCTAACATTGCTTATTAGCTCATTATACGCCTTCATCTTCTCGAAATAGACTTATATCAACATACCTCTTCGCATAACCGTTCACATTCCATCCGTACGTTCTTCCAGAACAACCTTCGACTCGCTTGGATCCCGCTACCGATCATATGCACCAGAGCGATGCAATTGGCGAGTGGTTCGAAGTCGGGGTTACAGATATCGGAAGATACCATAGCTGGGTGGATAAATGGTGGAAACACGTTGTGGATTAGCATCATTTGGGGATAAGATTTTAGATTGTGGAGTATCAGCTTTGCTACCCTGTGTGTCCCGGTTCCCATGTTTGGGCGCTTGACAAGCGATCGGATAGCTTGAGTTGGTACAGGCGGGATGGAAGGCTTAGGAGAAGATAGGGGTTGTTGTACTTGAACTGTTTCATGGGTCGAAGATGTCGAATGATAGATGTACGATGACGACCCTGATGGAGTATACTGAACGTTCTCGTCATCCATATGTGCAGTTAGGAGATCGCTGAAATCAAGGTATGGTATGATGTCATTACCATATCTCCCTCCAAGAACTGCGAATTCGGGGTCTGTGAGTGCTATGGCTCCATCGAGAGGTACATCACCACCGTTGCTCGCTTCCAGAGGGTTTCCAGCCCCGGGAACATCTGCCACCGACGAAGGGACCTGCTGCCGGCATTCGATCTGTTCATCGTCCTCACGGGCCTGAGTCCTTGGCTCTGAACCCTTGGACGTTGTCGCTGGGTACTGACATCTAATGCCTTTCGCTTCGCACCTCGAGCATTCGGCCCGCTTATTATCACAACGCGCCTTTCCTCTCGCGCAGGCAATACAAGATCGAGCCCGAATGTCACTTCGCACTCTTCGGGATCGACAGTAATATCCATGTCTCTTCAGCGTGGACTCTAGGGGTATCACATTTTAAGACAGAACTCGGTCTGAGAGAATAAAACCTGATGGGAATAGAAACTCACCCTTATCGAATGGTTTATTGCAACGTCCACACCGTAGAACAGATTTCACTTGTCCTTCGTACATTTCAAATTTGACCGCGTAAAACTTTGGGAGTTCCGACATGTCTGATATAAAGGCGCCATTTTCAAATTTCGATAGCATTTGTCAGCACTGAGATCTCTTACTAAAAATAGCCAGTTGGCGGCCGACCTCAAAAAGGCTTACATGTGCGATGTTTATTGTACAGTACTAAACACACTTCGAGGCGGGACAATTTGCACCTGCCAAGTATTCCGGAACATTTTGTAACCGTCTTTCTGGACGGATTGCACGCCGCTTGAACTTCCCTTTCTCTAACGACATTGGATTTAGACGTTAAGATGAGTACAGAACTCATATTGGCCTCACAGATATGATCATCAGGCTGGCTTCAAATTGCACAACGCCACCATGGTATCGGAGGTAACGTACTCGAGTATATTTAAATGTATGCATGCCTCTCCCAGATATTTTCCTTGTCAAGCAATACATCCAATCGCCTAATTGCTATTGCCAATTCTGTATACATTTTACAATCAGCATGGCTCCGTTTCCATCCGCAACCTCAAAGTGGCACACGGAAACATACCAATCCATATCTCCCACCCGCCCCGAGCTTTCCGCCACTGGAAAAACCATCGTAATAACTGGAGGAGGAACCGGTATCGGCGCAGAGACCGCTCGCCATTTCGCAGAAGCAGGCGCGTCTCGTATCGTCCTCCTCGGTCGTAGAGAACAACCCCTTCTCGACACGAAAGTCTCCATCGACACCAAATGCTTTGGCGTGGAAGTACTCGTGGCTTCTACCGACATTACAAAGAAAAATGAAGTTGATGGAGTGTTCGGTAGATTCATCGGCGACGGAAATGTACACGTTCTCGTCAGCAACGCGGCGGTGATTGGCCCTCAGGATGCCGTCGGTGATGTGGACGGTGACAAGTTTCTCGATGCCATTCAACAGAACCTGAAAGGATCGTTGAACATCGCGCAGGCATTCCTTCGGTATGCGTCAAAGGATGCAGTTGCCATCGAGACTTCTTCGTCTGCAGCACATGTCAATTTTACCTCGGGGTTTTCTTCCTATAGCATTGCCAAGTTGGCGGTCTTTCGACTTTGGGATTCTTTCGCTTTTGCAAACCCGCAGCTGAGTGTTTTCCATGTACAGCCGGGCGTGGTGGACACGGCGATGAATAGGGAAGCGGGCGGCGTTGCTGCTATGGGCTTCGCGGATAATGGTAAGTAGCACGCGGATTGATTAAAGTTTTATTCCATAGACTAATTTTTGTTTCAGTTTCTCTGCCGGCAAGCTTCAATGTTTGGCTCGCAAGCGGCGAAGCACATTTCTTGAAAGGTAAATATCTGTGGGCGAACTGGGACGTCGATGAACTCAAGGCGAAAGAGGAGGAGATCGCAGCGAGTCCAATACTCAGTATTGGATTGGTTGGGTGGCCGTTTGATAGTGCTGGCTGGAAGTCCAGTTGGAAGACTCAGACTGATGGTAGCGTATAGCCGGTACTCGATGGACCTACTCCAGAAGGGTGTCAGCCTGAAGGCGACTGATATTCTGATTTTCATAACTATAATACCTATTCATGGGTTTTCGGTCCATGGTGGGTTCTGCCGATGTCTAATCAGAGCGATCTGTTTGAACCTGGCCTCATGATTTTCGTTCTTTCTTTAATCACCTTGTTCAGAAAATTGGTTCGGCTGGATCACCTTCGAGCTCGTTCATCCGATCGGTTTAACACCCCATAGTCCTAAGTCACCCACACAGACGGTGGTATTTTATTTTATGGCAAACGAAATGCCAAGCGAATCCAAATCATTGCATTGCCTCGTAATCTAGGGTGTTGACAAGTGCGACTTCGATATTCAATTCTGCATAGAGTATACTCCGTATTGATCTCAGACGTTTGCCTAATTAGCCGATCTAGCAATATAAGATAACACGATACCTTGACAAAAACTATAGGATGTCTATCAGCTATAGTGAGCCGATAGTGAAATATGGAGAGACCCATCTAGACATTCTAGCCTGCGTTTTAATCTTCTTTGTAGGGTAAATGGTTACCAATCAGACGTAGATGTTCCATTAGTATCTTGCTTTCAGGACTTTCTGCCTAAACTCTACAATTTTCAGCTCTCCAAATCATACTTTTCTAATCCCATTTCTACATGGTACTTGCCAGTGTAGTGCTGGAGTTAATACAGAGGAAGCGAATTCTTCTGAAGAAGGTTACCACGCGGACTTTTATGTACAGCAGAGAACGAGAAACCGGTGTCTTCTACACAAATTAGAAATACTAGCTCCTCGGTATGTGTCCCCCTCTCCAAGACTTTCCAGCTAATTGTTGCTCAGTATTTCTAAATAGTACCATGGAGAAGCTATGTGACTTCTGGTAGGAGCGCTGCTCGGGAGAGGGACAAGATGAGACACAGTCAGTGTCTGGAGCTCCACAAGGCAGAGTAGGTCATTGGCAATTCCCAAGGCTCTATAATACCAACCTTTCCACTCCCGCATGTCCCACATTGCAGCCTTTATCGTACCCTCTTTTGCAATGTGGTTTACTAAAAGTGTATGTATGTACAGCCGAATATCAGTCGGTTAAGATATTCAGTTTTTAGTTCCTGAAATGACCTCACCCCCAGTGTGTGCCTCCCTACTCCGGTCCTCGTTCAGAAGCATCGTGTCCATATCGTCCTTTTCTTTTTCAAGGTGACCCATAACCGCCCAAAACAGCGGCCCTGAAAGCCCCAAACTTACTGCCAGTCCGACGTCCATCCATAATACCTTTGGATCACGTGAAACCGGACCAAGAGCTATACCGATAGCGCTTCCAATGCCAGCACTCAGCTGCCTCATCGACTGGACTACAGTGCGCATATCCTTAGGTGCCTTGCTGTAGCTATACTCACTGAGAGTGACGAAGCCGAATATTTCAGACACAGCTAAGATCACATATATAGGCGTCTGCACCCAGACCTTGATTTCATTAGGCAAGGCGGGCTGTCCGGCTCTTTGCGCTGCCGGACAAACCAATGGAGCCTCGTAGCAGGGACCAGAATTGTAGATCATCTTCTGCACTCCAGCCGCGTAAGCGAACGTCGCTGCCATTGTCAAGAAGGCCATAGTCATGCGCATGAGGGGACCAAAGGGGATCTGGTATTTCGCAAGGGTTGGGAAGAGTAGTTTCTGGATGACGGGGCCGAGTAGAACGCAGGCAATTGGGTTTAGAACCTGGATGCCGTCGTTGGGAAAGCCGGCAAGCTGCATCTCGCCTGCCTGCGAAACGAGGTTGTTGGTCATCTGGTTGATGCCAAGATGGAACAACACGAACCACGCCCTATCCGTCACATGGCCAGTAAGCTCTCGTGTCCCGTATCCCAAAGGGAGAATTCCAGGGGGGAAAAGCTTACATGACTTGACATGCACGAAGCCCACTTTGAATCTCTGTAACGAAACGATCCGTCCATGGGACTGCCCGATTGTGTTTTTCTAATTGGTAGTGTGGTCGTGCAGCATCCATCTTGAACTTATCGTGGATAGCATATGTCAGAACCTTTCCAGCTTTTAACAAAACACCACCTTGAGCTGGGTACCGTTCTGCAACTAATCAGCCAGACCCTAACGTTGGTATGCGGGGACGCACCGAGTTCCTTGCCAAATATAGCAAGCAAGGCAACCCCAATCCAGGATGAGCACAACGCAAGGACATTGGCCGCCCAGAAGCCACGTTCCTTCTCGAGATAAGTCGACGCCAGAATAGAGAGTGCGGCGATATTGGTGATCCTACTATGGGTTAGCCTGTGCCACCCATTGATTCTTGAAAGTGCTAGCCAGTAGTAGACGTTGTATATATACTGCAAGGTCAAAGTTCGATCTATGATCACGCGTTCTCCGGTTGCCAGGGTCTTGACTTGTGGAGGCTTGACCGGGTATTGATCTCCTAATGCCTTTATTAGATTCAATCCAAGATAAGGTGCTTCACAGGGTAAAATACCGATGAAGGGCGTGATTGCTGCTTTTGTTCCTCCAACACCAAGACCTATTAATATCATAGAGAGAATAAGGCCCGCCAGGCCAGATTCATAGCGAAAAAGCGAGGGTAGAGACGTTATAAACTGTACGAGCGTGCCACAGAAATACAAGCTATATTGTGTTAGCAAGCTGGCCAAGTCCTGGTGCCATGACACGCTAACACGCACCTCAGGCTGATACAGAGAACCACGTATCGCCCTAGCCATGCATCCGACACAAGGGCGAAGGGGATGGGCACCAAGTAATAGAATAAGTAGAAGGCGTTGAAGATCATGGTCGCGCGAGACTGCCCTAGCCCAAGAGCACCTGGCACGGCACCATCACCCGGAGCATTCTGTATGTAGTTCTCTGCCATTATGTCTTAGCAGTGTATCATATCATGTCCCATCATCTCGCTGTGCACTTACGCCAAGGAGTTGTGATTGTGTAGTATGTGAAGCGCTCTGCTCCACTTACGATCAAGGAGACCCAGACTTTTCTGGGTAGCTTGTCAACGACATGTCTCAGAGACCCAATCTCTTCATCTGTAGCATCTCGAGCCGAGAGAGATTCATCAACAATCCTCGCCATTGCATTGGAGAATGGTGAAGACAGGTGAACGGTTACCAGCAATGGACATTCCAATGATTACCTATATACGAGTGAGACTGGGAGCTGACAACAAATCGGATATGTGGGAACATCAAAGTTTACACCATCATCAGCCACAAGGCTTACCGCCGATCTGCTCCGTACCAGAGACGACGAATCTAATGCGGTGAGGTAGCTGCTTCTTTGTTCCTGTCTGACGCTAGTAGCCCGCGTAAACTCTGTAAGCTACCAATATCTTCCACTGTATTTTTATAGATTTACTGCCTATGCTAGGGGTTGCGTGCCCTGGAATTTGTATGGAATAACTGAAAACTACATGTGTACTATACCATTCATTTAGGACAAGAAAATATGATTTTGCAAAAAATGAAAATATGAGTAGATATTAAAATTCCACGAAGTGATATTTATTGCCAAAAGTACAGTGCAGTTGTTGGTATTTTTTACTCAATGTTGAATCTTACTCATCAAGTTTTCAGTATATTATTATTGAGTCCATTGTATATTACACCTAATTTTGGATCATGGTTTACAAATAATCTCATTGATGTATCAAGATATACGAAATGGCTATTTGGTATGGATTACATTGGTGGCGGGGTCGCTTATGTGGCCATTTTGTTCCGTTCGGGGAAGGCATAATCCAGGTCCACTTACACCACCAACTATAGACCAAATATGAGGTGAGATATGTAAATCTTTATTTATTACGCGCCGCGGAACGGGCGGGGACGTAAAAAAGCTTGCAATGTGTGCTGCAGCCCTATTTGTTCTGTTCCAGGTATAATCTAACCACTCTCTACATGGGGGTAAGAAGCAACCCCATTATTAACCTTAGTTGGCTCCCTGTCCTCTAGCTCGGCGGGAAATAAGTTAAATATTATTATATAAATAGATATACTGTATTTATGTTTTACTTTTGAAATATAAAATCTCTAAAGGTACTGTAAATCCGGTATGTACTAAATATTGTCAAAATACATTTATCGTCCTCTGGTATACAGCCGAATAACGTTATACCATAGTACCACTGTGTAAAAGAGGTTGAAAAAATATGAGCACACTATGAAGTTTGCGAAACACCATTGAGAAGGCGTGTGATCTACTGTTTTAGTTAACCGATACGTACATACTAACCTGATAGATTGGGCTTTGGTATGCAAAGCCGGGTTTTATCTACGCACAGTGTTCGGCATGTGACCAGTAGAGTCTATCTCTATGTCGTACCAGTTAAATAGTTAAAGTGCCGTCGCTTGCCCCTGGTTGTCTGACGAGAGCACCCGACATCACACGTACCGTCTTCATCATAGTTTAATCGGCATCTCTTTACGATTCATTATGCCTGATGCGGAGGCAATCAAGTTCCAATACAAGGTAGAAGGGAAGGATGGTATTCAGCCTCGCTGCACTTTTGCCTCTCAATGAACACTACTGTTGTTGGTAGTCTATGTCGACGGGTTGTGGCAACTCAATATTGTCGAACCTGGAGAATCTTTACATAGAACTCTGGATGTGACACTACATCTGTTGTCGATTGGTAATAACGCCGCGCTGCTGCCTACGTCAGGTGCACTTGATGCCCTGCAATTACGATCGGACGATCGTGCATCCAATTTTCTCATTCGTCTTCTCCATCAGTCGCTGCCGGTATCTTCCGTTCTTGCTATCAAGTTCATTCTACCCGTAACGTCTGGCTTCACGGTCAGGTCCGACTTCCTTGAGCGCCGTCTGGAAGGTTACGCGTATGCGCTGAGTCTCGAAAGTTTCCTGACACCAAGAGAAGAGATTAAAGCTCCTGATTTCCGACGCCCGGATAGTAAGTCTCCATTGAGCCTACTTGATCTTCTGCACCATGCTGTTGGAGCCGTTCAAGTCCAGAGTGAACAGCAGCTAGTCAATCTAGAGGCCGAGTTGGCGAACAGGTTATCATTCGCATGGATCTCGCCTGAGCCAATTGAAGAGAAACGCATCGCGTGGATCAAAGGCAAGGAGGACCTGGAGAGCGGGAGGCGCATATGGGAAGCCGCTCGATCATTGGGGATCAAGGTGGTGATTCTGGACGATGACCGTTGGAACTTTTTACGAGAAGCTTTTATTCCAACCGATATCACCGCTGACCAAGGGTTGGTAGACCGCATCGTGGCCGCGGTGCGTAGCTACGACAAGCCTATCCACGCGCTTGTGACGGTCAACAACGCTGGAGCAATCAGCACTGCACGAGCTTGTCAAATATTGGGGTTCCGGTCTGCGCCACCCGAGTCATACATCATTGCTGGAGACAAATTCAAGACGCGAGAGATGGAGCCCGATAACGGAGGAGCATTTAAGATCTTCAATATCGACGAGCTACGCACACGGCTGCGGTCCAAGACGAATCCACCCATTAAATACCCTGTAATCGTGAAACCCTGTATGGGGTGGGGTAGTGAGTGTGTTGCGAAAGTGCAGACCCAAGAAGAACTTATTCAAGCAGTCGCGCGGGCTTCAAGTCGACACAGTGAAGGGCCAAACCCGCGGTCGGATGTGATGATTGAGCCGTATATCGAGGGACCCGAAGTTGATGCTAATTTTGTTTTAATCGAAGGGGATATCATCTTCTTTGAGGTTGCAGATGACTTCCCCAAAGCTGGCGAAAAGGCTGGGAATGCACTGAACGGTTCCTTCATGGAGACAGATATGGTTCTCCCGACAGGACTTTCCCCAAAAGAAATTCAAGTTACCAAGGATTCAATTCATCAAACTCTCTTGCGACAAGGCTTCCGCACTGGCGTCTTTCACTGCGAGGGGCGAATTCGCTATGCCTCCAAATCGTACGATACGCGTGATGGCATTGTCGACTTGTATCCCAGCGATCGATTACAAGGCAACAAGGAACCCTCCTTCTACCTGCATGATATCAATGCTCGACCGGGAGGTTATTTTGTAACTAGTGCTACGCTGTTGACCTACGGTGTGGACTACTATGCCAATCACATACTGGCCGCTCTCGGAGACTTTGATCGATGTCGTGCGCTGAGCGTACCTTTCTCCCATGGCCCACAATGGTGGCTTCAGGTCATCATCATTCCGGAGGACAAAAGTGGCGTGATGAAAAGTCCTGACGCTGGCAAAGAGATGTTGGAGCGGTATGAAGATCTACGATTGGCCGTTGTAGACTACAAGACGATGAAGAAAAAGGGGGATAAATTACTCGGACCCAAGGCCAAAGTATTCAGCTACCTAGCATACTTTTCCGTGGCCAGCAGAAGGAGCAGAGAGGACTGTCTCAGGCTGGGACAGAAGGTACGAAGGAGCTTCACGTACGAAATTGAATGAACGCTAGTTCAGTAGCTATTCCACTTCGCACTGAGTTTGTCAATTTATCACTATCCAGAATTGCAATTAAAGCATAAGCCAGGTTCCCCACACAAGCTCACTGAGTATAGTACTGGTACACCTCCTGCCCATAGAATTTTAGAGCTGGTTCCTCGTATCCTCTGATGAATCTTCTCAGTACGCACTGACCGATGCTGTACCATTTCGGGTCCAAACACGTTTTCGATCTTCTGGTCTATGGTTCATTCACCACTCTCCAGTTCTTTGCGTCTCATGCCCCTACACTCTCTGGAATAAGACTCCTCACCTCTCAGAGCTTAGGCTCGAGTGGTAAACCCAGGAAAAAGGGAATCGAGTATCGATCTTGAGTAATCTCGGCGGTATCTGACAAGCAAATCTACGGCATTTCACACTCCATAGTTTACTCATATTTTTCTTCAGCCCCCTATACGCAATGGTACTATAGATGATATCATCGGGTCACATGCTTAAGAATTATAAATAATACATAAGTCAGGATATCGATTTACAGTGACCGTAAAGATTTAATACTTGGTAAATAAAATACAAATATTATATATATACTGGTATAATAATATATACCTCATCCTCTATTAAACTAGAGAACAGGGTGTTAGCTAAGATTAGCTTTGTCGTAGATTTGTTCTTTGTCTCAGAAAACCCTTCCAGTGAGATTGTAACCCTACTAATTCATATATAGATAAGTTTAAGTGAGCTAGCAAGGGCTAAGTTACCAATTGAAATATTACTAAGAGAGTACTACGTAAGATTTTAGCTGCAGTCATCTTTTCCTTGATTCTAAAGTTCCCCTGATATCCTTTATCTAACTGGGTAGATAATGAGCCGAGAAACAAGCATTTTTGGTGGTGTATAAGTGGACCTGGATTATACCACCACCCCAGAACAGAACAAGTGGGCTTCCCAGTGCAGATCACTCACTTTGCCACCGGTCCATCCGTGCCGTCCGTTCCGCGGCAAGTGACATACAGATTTCCAGATATCAGCTTGCATATTTGGCCTATGATTGGTGGTGTGCGTGTGGACCGGGATGTTACCTTCCCAAAAAGAATAAATGGGCTTGTAGCGTACTGCATGGGCCCGGATGATGTGACATGATTAAATTAGCTGCCTGCCCCTCTAGGAGATTCCGATGCGCATAGACCATATCTGTCATATGTCATATGTATGCTCTCACCCTCGGTATTTAGGGTAGAGTAACTAACAATACCAACATTATAAACATCAATTTGGAACGAGTTCCAAACTAGCTCTATATTTTGTTATTGGACAGCAGAAGTACCAAAAGGAACAGGAATAGAAACGAGACCCACTTCGACCTCAAGCATGTTGGACACTGCGCATAGGTCAAGTCGGACTTTGCATATCAGAGCCCATTGCATAGCCTCCGCGTGTACGTGTTGGCCAACTAGCAGATCGCACGGTTTCTCACCAGTGCGCCCGCTCCGCGGCGACTAATGATTGCAGGTTTCCACGTATCACCTTGTATATTTGGTCTATAAGCAACAATACTGGGGTCACCTTTGGTGGACAAGGTGGCAATGCCCATTTCCCGTTTTTTTTGTAACAATTCGCGGTACCTGAGAAATAGTCAAGGTGTTCCGCTCTTCTGCTTCGGCGCAAATATTATTCGGCTGGAAACTCGACTGCGTCACTCTCCCGTCCATAATAGATCTTCCGTCTTATAATCAAATGAGAGTAATCTTCTCAAATGGTGCTTGGGGTCGGACTTTCTACGTTGATTGGGATGTGCAGTAGCTCAAAATGTCTAGAATGCTATACAATGCCTTGGTAAAGTTTGGCTCAATGACTCAAGTTGATGACGTGATTCAGCCTTCAGGACGCACAAAATTTCCTTTGTCAAAACCGGACCACATACGGCAGTCTCCTTGCAAGGATAGGATCCGATGTATATGCATGCAACGTAGTCGCCTACCTGGGTCTATGAGAGGGCGGTTGAGATACTCAAAGGCAACAGAGAGATATCGGACTCTGTGGTACTAGAGCCTTGACCGTCACCCGAATTCGTACAATGTCTCCTTCCATAAAGTCCGTCTTGTTGGAAAACCAGGGCCGAGTCTGGCTACTGGGGGCTCATGACCATGCCACCAAGGAGACAATCCACGAGGTATTCAGTAAAAATGGGGAATCGTTGATGGAATTTGGCTGAGTGGCCTGACCCAGACCACGTATTTGGGGATCCCAGATACAGAATTGATCTCCCCCCTTCAACGTACAATGCACATGTCGGGCTCAAACAACAATGTTGAGCAAGATGGGCGTCGTCCGCTCTGCGCTGCTTTCGACGCCCCGTAGAACGTCTTGTAAATGGTGGTACGTTGTCGTCGAATCAGGAGATTTAATTGTTGTCAATGACCAGTTCTCATTCACAGAGGCCCACTACTACGAAACCCTTGTGTGGAATTCAATTACCACGAACCCATTGAAGAAGCTATCAAGTTACAGATGTCCCAGTCACTGTATCTTAGGCTTTTATCCGCTTGGAAAGGTCATCTCCAGATCTCCACGATCACACAGTCCATTGACCTGAGGCGTGTAACCCATCTGTTGAAAATGTAACGAAGAACAGGGGTTTATACTAGGCCACTGTACAGCCTTCCTCGCGTGCTCTGCTACCTCAATGGTGAAGTCAATCGGAAATTATCGGCGGGCTGGAACCGACTGCTAACTAATGCATGCACCCCTAAATCAGGACGACGCATGACTCGGCCCAAGCTTTAGTATCGATGCATGGTAAAGTAGTCCTGCAGCTAAATCCATAGCTCCTCTGCAGTAACCCCGAAGCGGTGGTCCTGTCATACGACTGGTAAATGGCGCAAAGTGTCCGATCGCGCCCAGTATATTCCTTCTGAATGATGCACACAGCGATGGATACGGAACTAGAGGCGCCAGACTGGTACAGCTGTTGACGAAATCTCCTTTACCAGCAAATATATAATAATTTATTTTGTGGTCCAACTATCCAGGCTTGAGCAGAAATATTCTATTGGGCAGCCTGTGAAAAAAGAAGTAAAAGATGAGTGAGATGAGTAGGTTGGGGACTGAATATACACGGGAAAGTGCATTTCAAATGACTATTGTAGTGCACAGTATACGTGTTCTGTAATGTTCATGCTATGTACCCCAACAATTAAAGAGCGCCTGCTCAATGAATTATCCATGGTAAGACCCTAGCAATGGGCCCAGAAGATAAACATCATATGCGTGATGCTGGAGACGATTCCGCTACAGGCTGTATGAAGGAAAATACATACAGGCGGTGCCTCCGTCTGTAGGCGGAGCTTCATACGAATCATCATTCATTCCCTGCGTCAGGCCTCTACGGCGTACGACAGCAAGGCTACATACTCTTTGTTCGATAGTTGCTTGGCAATTGTCCCATCAAGAGAAGCCTCGAGGCAGACAGTCTGATCATGGAAACCGTACTTGACCCAAAGCAATTCGATGGGGAGGTCCTGTAGGTGAACGGAATTGACCGCTCCTTTGGCGTCCCCGACTCAACTCTGAGTCTTTTCATGATCTACCTGGCAGCCCTGAAATGCACGCGGATACCTGTTGCGGTGCCAAGCGAGGGCACTGCGGTGGCCCTGTCGGCCGGCTGATATCTGTCTACAAGCAATCTAGCTCTAGTCTACATACAGAGCTCTGCGTGCTAAATTGCACCAAATTCTCTACAATCGCTTGTAGCCAAGGAGGTGTTCGGTATTCCCATGCTTCAGATGATCAGTTGGGGTGGCCGGTCCGGCGAGAAGGACGCACCGCAGCATAACCTCATTGGTCCCAACATCCTGAATAATATCGAAGCCAACAATATTCCGTATCAGATCCTCCCGGGAGGCTTATCTCGGGCTCAGAGTTCAGTTGGGCGCCTCGTAGCCAGAGCAAAGCAAGACAATACCCCCGTCTTGTTGCTTGTTCGCGCAAACTCTGGAGCCGCATACACAGGCCCCGATCAAGCCGAAGGCAGTCATGTGGCTATCATCGCTGACTGAAAGACCGGGCCTGTCAAGAGAGAGTACGATCGAGAGCATACTGGGGACGCGGAAGTCCAACGATATCTCCGTCTCTTCTCTTGGGGGCAACAGCTGCGACCTGTGGATGCTGTGCAAGAACAAAGGCCAAAGCATCGCTCGCAATTTTTGCTGCATCGGAGCGATGGGACACACTTACGCTCTCGCCCACGGGGTGTCGAATGGCTGCCGGGCCAACCGAGTCGTGTGCATAGGTGGAGATGGCTCCATCATGATGCATCTCGGCAACAATACGATTCTCTCCCCGTTGCTAGATCAGACGGTCATCCATATAGTGATCTATAACGGGATGCATAGTTCGACCGGCAACCAGCCGCTGATGATAGGACGAGGAGACCTTCTAGCCCTCGTTGAGGGACTACCATACGAAAGGAAGTTAATTGTCAATACGGCTGACGGAGTTAAAAAGGCGCTTCGGTCCGTTCATCGAAGCGCTCTAATCCTTGTCCCCGTCAATGACGATACGCGCAAATCATTGCCTCGCCCGACTGAGACGCCGACAGAGCAGAAGCATGCATTCATGGGTTCCTTTGGGTCGAATAGCAAGCTATAAAGAGTTGTCGACAGGCCGCGTGTGTTGTCTATCTGGTAGGTTGCACGCTGGCCCAATAACGAGGGTTGGGGTTTGTATCGGTCGACAGACACGGGCAGATCCAGGACGGTGCGGGTTGTATGATGTTTTTGCTGCCAAATAAGTCTATGTAGCTATTCTACACTCGTGTATGAAGTACATTATAGCCATTGTATAACTGCATGTCAAAAATAGCCAATCTGCTTGATGACTAGCAATACTATCCTAAGACCACGGTCTCTATAACATTAATCGTAGGCAGGATTAAAACGTACCATCTTGCGTTGAAGTTGAGTCCATCGATTGGATGTAGGCTCTTCAGTGCCTCCTGATAACATTGTCGCACACATGCTGGAGACCGATAACGAATGGAATCACTGGTCAGTGTGATTGTGTGTAGATTTATGTGGGGGGTTCGCTTCCGGCAAAGAAGAAACATGTAAGCCCTTGCTAAGGGCTCAAGTAGGTACATCTATTTGTATCTCAATCCAACGATTCCAATCTCTACCCTTCTATCCTGCTGCTACATTGTTAACTATGGAAAAAGTCCAAATTGACCGCACCTCTTTTAAATTAATTTATAACTATTAGTATGTATTTCATTATATATAGAAATATTAAAAAACTAATATAAAAGGTAAAATTAAAAATATATATAGCCTTATAAATAGAGTTAATTTCTTATTTTTTAATAGCTAAGATAGCAAGTAAAACTTTGCTTTTTTTTTAATTAATTCTTTTAAATTTTTAAGCGCTTTTGGTGGTATAGTTAATAATTGAATTGGGTAGACTTTTTAGCTATGGTCAAAACGCGTGAGGAACGCTCAGTTGCGCGGAACGCTCGGTTGCCGGCTACGTTAATAATCTATGGTTCATAACGAAGAGGTAGCGATAAAGTATTTCTAAATGCCACAATAGAATAACCGAATCTCTATGGTCGGTCGTTGGCAATTACCAACAATGGCCTAAACAAGATTGTCGAGGTCCTGTGGTAATAATAAATCAGTTTCCTCGTTCCTCAACCTAGGCCCTCCGTCAGGGGCCGAACAATGATATAGGCTTTTGCCATATATTGTGCGCAAAGCAGCGTGCTATATTGCGGATAACCCTCCAATACCTGTCAGCAACCGATAATATTGTCCTGTAGTTGTTTTGTTAATGCCCAGCACAACTTGAATTCCACCATGTGCTGTATTCGGTGTCTTATTGTTTTTTTTTTTTTTTTTTTTTTTAATTTTTTTCCAAACTGAATTTGTCCTCGTTAGATTTTGACTGTGCAGCTAGCCCTGTGTTTGTGGGAGTCTGAGGATTGCCATCGACCGCCATATATCCGAAGTCATGGAAGAAAAGCAGAACAAGAAACAAAAACCCTTCGGAGTCCGGATCTGACTAATCTCGATAAAGTTGTCGTGTCGAGATACAGTAGGATCAGGACGCGGGGAATGTGTCCGACGCTAATCCGTCAGGTAAGAGAAGTGAGGCCCCTGCGCCCAACATTCAGTTTACTGAGTTTCGGGTTCCTTCCCCCCTTTCTTCAATATATTCGTGTTCAAGTTTGGTACATAGACTATTTCTACCTCTACTGCTCACAATGGCCCGTCGCGCAGCTTGCGACCGTTGTCACGCTATTAAATCCCGTTGCTTGCCAGGTGTTTCTAACAACGCATGCTACCGCTGCGCTCGTCTACGCCACACCTGCACCTTCTTGCAAAAGCCTTTATATGAAATGCGCCATGTTAGGACAACAACTCTGACCGCTGATGCACCTTTCCAAGCTGCTTCCGCTTTTTCATCACGCAAGACGGACGATACTCTAAACTACGTGTCAGAAAAAGGCCGAAGAGTCCCCGTGCCCACTAGTCAGGCGATCCTCATAGCCGGAATCCCTGTCCCTGCTATTGCTGAATTTTGTCTATTATTTTCTGTTGGCCCCTCTCTAGGCTTGTATATGCAACAGGCATTATGTTCTCACGTCCTTGATGCTCCTGCACTGCTGATGGAACCATGTCAGGCTGTCGCTGGAGCTTTTAGGCGCGCTACCATGCGACAGCTTGCTGCCAGTGATTCCGATCTACACCGATGCGCCAAGGGCCTTCAACTGCTGCGTGAAGCTCGCATTGGCCGTGTCAAGGAGGCTTGTAATTTCCTGGTACTGGGACTCACTCTAATTTCTTTCCAGCGACTCATCGGCGGGCACACAGCCAGCACAATCTGCCGCTTCACCCTCGCATTGGTTCAGCCTTGGTCAGATATTCTGGCCGACGACGCTACTTCTTGTATGGAGTTACTTGGCTTGCAGTTTATGGACACGACCCATTGTCTATTCCGCCGACAGGTTCCCATCCTTGAATGCCAAGTATGGAGCCTGGGACTCGTCCACCGCTCCGCCGGTGTCTGCTGTCAGCTTTTGCCAATTTTGTACAAAGTATGTGAAGTGGGATCATCATTACGCACCGCCAGCCTGCGCACATCGTCAGACAGCTTCATGAACAACTTGCGCGCAGACATCGAAGGCTGGGAACCATGCTTGCCGGGTCAATTCTCGTCTACAGGGAAGTCGAAGCCAGAAATCACAACTTTGCTATCACAGGCGTACGTATATCGTACGGTCGCATTATTAGTTCTACATCGACTTCAATATCCGCTTGGACGAGAAGACGAAAGGGCAGGGGCACTTGCTAAGGCAATCGCAGCCGACTTGGAGCGCTGCCTCTCTATTACAGGGCAGTGTCCACCTCACGCGGTCCTCCCTTTAGTAATGGCAGGGGTTGAAGCCATTTGCATCTCAGAGAGGGAGCAGATTCATTTTCTCATTTCGAGAGTGCGCGGAGCCGCCTTCTACCCATATATTCAACATTTGCGCGAGTTGTTGGCCGGAGTGTGGGTGTCACGTGATCGTGGTGAGAATCGAAACGTCTTCAACCTGTTCGACCAGTATCCGAATGTGGACCATATATTGCTCTGATTGTTGTTGGATCAGACGTTTGGAAAGACACTTGTGTATTACTTGATCGCTGTCATTTCTGGTGAAAAGCAGGGCAAGAAGGCTGGCTAATGTGGCTGATATCGTGCATCTGACCGCAACGCATTTTAGTGGCCATCCATGTATATATATCATATAATCTCAAGCACTTGCGATGTTTGGAGCGTAGACTGCTGATGCATTGCTCAACAGTCCCTATTGAGCTTATTTTAGGGCATGAGGACATTAACACCCTCGTGTGACAAAATGAGCAAATCCAGACATCTTGAAACAGACGTTGAATAAGGGCAATGGGATGCGTGAAGAGGCTTAGAAGATCACTGCGCAGGTTCCACTTGGATCCCAGGGCGATTTTTGTGATGTGGAAGTGGGTTACGTCCTCCTATTCGTCACTGTCATCTAAAAGTTATCTTTGAGACATGTAATGACATGCTCAAAAGATACATTTCGCGGTACTATGCCTGAATTTACAACTTCAAGGGTAGATCGTGATGATAATTGCTAAAATGAATACCTTGGACATCTCACTTTCTCAGCGTTGGGTAACAGCAATACTAAGTAATACAGGTGTAGTGAGGATCTAGAGCTAAATATCGGCATTACTTGAATATATAATTCATTTCCTAGTTTCTCTCCATTCTTCTTGCTCCATTATACGTTACTCTTCACCATCCTCCCCAAATTCTGTCAGGCTGGAGGCCAGCCGTTAGGGACATCACTGTCGAAAGAGAAGCCATTTTGGCTGCCGAGGTATTCCCAGTTACCATAAGGACAACATTCCTGTGATAACTGCAAAACGTCTCCAGTTTAGACTTCATGTAAGCAGTACCTCTCGCTACTGTCTGATGGCCCTACACTTCACTGCTTGGGATTTGTTGATTATGGTGTGTTGCACATAGGGTTGATCCACGCTAAGAGAACAATCAAAAATGTGGCACTGTGGCAACCCTAAAAGTCCCTGCCGTCCGGTCTGTCAGGATGAGAGCTTTCCTATCGCCCCGCGGCCTGGCTTGACTGCCTGCATTGGCATCCGGTCAGGCTGGCGCTATATCACCCGTAGCGTCACCGTCTGTGCTAGTCCGTCCGATCAGAAAAGCAATGTGCGTCCGTTCGATTTGTGTGGTATTAGGGGTCCAGCCGCGCTAGTATCGTTGTATCTTAAAGCACGCCGCCTGAAGGCAGCTCCCCTCATCGATTGTGTTCAACGTGCTTGAGCGGGGGCATAGGCATCTTTAATGACGATCTACAAGAGTGTCGTACGCGACTGACGAAATTCAATAATGTAGCTCCCTGTTGCTGCGGCCGCCGATATCCTTTCGGCCGATCGACAGCGGGCAGAGCAGACCCCACCTGGTGGAACCACGCAAATCAGATCGAGTTCCGAGCCGGTGAGAGTGGAGTTATGGTTTAATATTGTGTGGGTAGTGGCACCTAAAAAGGAAACCGTAGGTGGTGCGCATCCTACGTCTTGTGTGTCTACACTACAGCGTATTGATAATCCTCTGGGGGTAACTAGCATAACCGACTACATGCCGCGGTAGGTCCATATCTCTGATCAATATAAGAGCACCAGCCTAAGGCCTCCAGTAAGGAAAACCATCGTTTGTCGAACCTCAACAGAATGCTTTTTTGGATGACGGCGACGGCCGTTCTGGCCTTACTGCTGACTACATCTGCCAAATCTCCTACAGGCACGTGTGATGCAACCATGAATGAGGCAACAGAATTCTCGTTGATCGTGTGTTCTACCCTTCCTAAGTGAAAATCACTTGCTAAAAATCTCTTTCAGTACGGATATCCCCTTATTGCGTACTCGCAACTAGCCCTTCCCATTGTGTCAGAGCATGGGACCAACAGCCTCCAGCACCAGCGACAGCTTGCAAATCCAGAGCGGAAGAGTGTGGTGCGTCCAAACGTGGACACCCTGTACTCTCACAGCATACTAGACATATCACACGAGGATCTGGTGTTCGAAATCCCCAATATCACAGACCGATATTGGGTGTGCCCTTTTTACGATGTGTAGGTCGCCTTGCCACGCTCGCCCATTTGCCATTAATGAATTCTCACACGATACTATAATAGGTATGGTAACAACTATGCCAATCTCGGTTCTATTACCAAGAGTCCCCCGGGCAAGTATCGTGTGCGATACGCCTTCGGTGTGGGTGAGGAGCCGGGTATCACATATTGTGGAGGGAAATCTGAGCGTCCTGAATGTGACGGGTATCAAGGCTTAATCAACGCCCCTACGCCATATGGGGCTGTTGACGCCCGCATACTCGTGAGACAAAATGATTTGGAGATGGTTCACACCTTCCAAAACCATACCTTGCTCTATACAGTACCTAGAGTGGGCCAGGCGAAGCCGTACGCGCCGAAGCTGACGACTACAATGCTGAATGCCTCGCTTGCCCGCGACCTTCCCATGCGTATCATGCAAATGACAGCGCGTTTTACACCACATAACCCGCCGCGAAATATCTCTGATGTTTCGCGTGTCGACACAATGCTTCTCAAGGCCGGTATTCATGACGGCTATTCTAAACCCGTGGGAGCTAATTTGACTCACATGGCACAGATGGCAGAGGCCGCAGTTAGCGCACACGCGTATCTCCCCAAAAATATTAGGGACCTAAAAAAAGGCTGGCTTGGGCTGGCTCCATCCGCACAGGGGGATTATAACTTAGACTATAAGATGCGGTCTTTTCTGGCCCGGTATGGCTACCTGGCCCTGGACGCTACGGAGGCTCTCTATCCAACATACCATGATCCGAAAAAAGAGAATTTTGCCCTTACATTGGAACCCAAGGAAGCGTATATGATTACGTTTGTTGGCAAACCTCCCCTTACTAAACAGGGATTTTGGAGCATCACTGTATACAAGGAACAATATCTGGTGGCAAATCCCCTTAAACGGTACGCATTGGGCGACCGATCCAATCTTACCTATGCGGATGGCGCTCCGGTATACGGCACCGACTCCAAGAACGCAAGCTTTCAGATCCTGCTTCAGCCGGCGGATATCGAGCCACCAAAAAACTGGACTTCCAAGTACGTCTTTCCTAGTTGCTTTCCATTATATGATCAAAGATGCTGAGCATATACAGCTGGCTCCCTGCACCACCTGGCGGAGGAGAGATATCGATCAGCCGTAAGTTACACCCAAGGTTCCATAAACAACTTTCATCTGATTCCTGGTCAACCAGTTCGTTTTTATGGTCCAGCACAAGCTCTTATTGGAGGCGAGTGGGCTTTTCCAGAAGTGAAGAAACATGCCGCTTTTGAAGGATAATCATCCCTCAAACCGTCAGACATGATACTCCGGCTTAGTTCTTCACATACCTGATCCCTATCAATACTGCTGTTACCAGGCTATATTTAACTTTATAGAAGTTTGTTCTTGAGATAATCATACTGTAAAGGCGTGTTTATTTATAAATACACTCATTCAAGTGCAAAAAAAGCATACTGCAAAAGCAAACTATGTTGCTTCCCCACCCCTGACACGGCAGCAAAAGTAGAAACAGCATTAGTAACAGCCCCGTAGACAATCTTCCCGGGCGGGGTTCAGCTGAACTGGATGCATTAGTGCGTGAATGCAAAAGGCCCAGTCATATCACTGTATTACTGGCGCCAGGATTGCTAGCCTAATTGATTGTGTCAGGGGCTTCGAAGAGTGCTTACATGTAATCCCAACAGCATCGCAGCCATGGGGAGTTCCCGACAGTCGACATAGCCTGGTGGCTTCCTAGAGGACCATCATGTACATCCCCTGCCCTGGAATAGCTTGCTGCCTGTGTAGATGGGCAGTGCATTTTGCTAGCTGAGACGGTGACCACCAGCGAATCCCTCCTATTGTATGCTTTACTTTTTTTTTTTAAAAAAAAAAAAAAAAAAAAATTGCTGGTCATCGTCACCCTCCCTTCTAAGACCCTCTCGCCAAGACTACTACCGCATCTCTGACATGTTCAGTGGCAGTGGCGCGGTACATCTCCATTTGTTCGATAATGACTCATTCTATCCGCGGTACGGAGTGTACCGGTGGCGATGCTAAACAATTCGTCTTACATACAGATATCCATGGTCAGCTGTTACAGGGTAATGCCGTTGGCCATTGCTAGATTCGAATGGACGGTTCCGTAGCGCGGAATTCGGGCACCACTTCAAGGCATAGGTAATCAATTTCCCGCTGAGATGAGTGGGCTCCTATTAAGGTCACCAAGATACTCTCTTCCATCAGTTGGATGGATATTGGCCCGAATGGCTCAATGGTTCCAAAGGCTACAGGTCTTAGACCTGCAAATCAATGACCAAAGCCTCCGATGGACCAAGGAAAAAAGTTGCAACGCCATCTTGAACCTCTACTGTCTCCCTGGCCTCCTCTACCGGCAGCTCGCAAGTAGTTTCCTGACACGACTGGCCGGCGATTGAGACATTTCCTTTCCCAATAGTAATCGTAGCCATATCAGCCGTCAGCCGTTTTGCAGAAACAGAAGACGCGGGAATACCGCTCAGAGTGAACTCAATCTTGCGTCGTATTCCAGTGGTGAAGTAGTCAGAATTATAGAGCAGGACGCGTAGTGGCTTCTCGTTACTATCGAAAGTCAGTTGGGTTCATTGTCCTGCTCCATGGTGTAGGGGTTTGACATACTCGATCACGGTACGTCGTGATCCTTACCTGCCCTATAGATCTTCACCCTATCAGTGAGGGTTTTCTTCTGGTTCCTAAGCCTTAGGAACTTTCTGCGATCGGTCACGGCGTACTCCTGAATATAGATAGAGTTGCTCTATCGCAAAGGCGAGGCAGTTGTGCACTGCGCGATTCAAGGTCAAGCATTCCACTCAGGCAACAATCCATGCAGTTCGTTGAAATCAAAGGGTCCCAGAAACCCCAGATCGTATGCTAGTGCTTCCGTGGAAGCATCCCAAGTGAGCCCACCGGACCCTTCATGTGGTAGAGGCTCAACGCCAGTCAGCTGGATTTGGTTGGTCTGTGAACTGATGTGTTGAGGCTGTTGTTGACTATTGGCAGTTGTGCTACATGCCGCGGCGGATGGTCTCTGCTGGTGAGTAGCCAGGACTTGGTTGCGCGTGGCTTGTAGGAACTGTATAGTGTTTCGGGCCGACACACTGAATGATCCCATCCTTCGTAGAATTTCCTCGCATTTAGCCCATGTTGAGTCGATGGTTACTTTGTCTAGCTCGTCCCAAATGGGGCGACAGGTGTAAGACATTACTATTACCATCCCTGCGGTCGATATATCTAGGCTTGGTTAATATCGATGATTAATAATTTGGAATGTTGAAGGGGGGCGCATACAAAACCCGTTATACCACCAAGTGTCAGTTGCTGGATCCAGATGGGTGTCATGGACGAGGGAGATAAGACTGATCGCTGCTTGGACACAAGCGGCAGCACATTTCGTCAAGAGTGATGTTTTTATCATGCTATGAGTTGTCCTGCGACGGTCTGTGTCATGGGTGCGACCAGGGTTATCGGAACAGAGTTGTGTGAAAATTGGTCGATATAGAAGGAGATGGAGGTACAGAAATCTGGACGGGTAGGGACAAGTCAACCTCCTATTCACTGGCGTTTACTTCCTGCCTACCTTGCATGGAGCACATTTCTCTGGCGTCTCAAGATGAGCTGCTTGGCTGATATAGTTGTTGGCGTCATTGGCTTCGTCCAGTTCAAGAACGATGGTAGGTTGGACTCGTACTCGAACAGCTTCTCTTCCAAAGAGATAATAACATCTAAGCCTCCCTGCTTTGCTGTAGGACCACCCGGGGTTGCACTGCTTTTGCTCCACCAGACCTGATACACGTCAGATAATATACTGTCTAGGATTCTGTACAATTCTATGGTGGCAATGTAGAAGACCATCACAGATGGGCTTTGGTCTTCCCCGGATCCCGCTTCAGAGCATGCCGGTAGTGGAACACTTGGTAAATGGGAGGTCATCGTTGGCCGACCGTAAGTCATGCTTACAAACATATCCATCATCACGCATCCATGCCAAGTGAGGCGTTGGATTTCTTGTTCGAGCGGATGTACATTGTCATCCAATTCCGCTTCATGAAGGCCCAGTCCCTGGGCCACGCGGCAAGCCACACCTATGGAGTGCCAGCACCGATGGGGGTAGGGCGTTGACTGCAGAAATAATCCGGCTAGTAGAAGGCATTGGACAGTGCCGACGGAGCAGATATCCAGAATGTCAAGACCAATAAACCTCTTCGCCCTGAGAAAGAAGGTATGGGCAGCCGCTTCTCGCTCGTGGACGGGCATATCGGCAAAGTGGCAGCCAAGAGCAAAAATGATATTGAGCGCACAGATGAACACGATCGATCGAGACCCCGAATGATTTTTGTTTCCCAGTCCAATATCAAAGTTGCTCAATGGTTTGATGGGCTGCTCACGCCCGATCCATAGATTATCGTAGGCGTCTTGTAAACTCTGGCGGTGAAAAAATGGGTAGAGACAGTAGATCCGGTCCCAGAAGCAGTCCAATAGGTGATCTGCTAAGTCCCTTGGCGGAAGGAGAAGCTCATCTACCTGAAACTTGCTTTGGGGTGCCCCGGAACCTTGTGTTAAGGATGACATCTCTTCCCTTCGACTTAATGGACTCGGAGTTTGTTCTGCGATGTTGCGAATTGTCGTGCTGTGAGGTCTGCCTGAGCCCTTCGCCAGTAGTCGCATTAGAGAAACGGCTGATGAGCTGCCAAAGTATTCGTTCACAGGTCTCCCAGACTCATCGACAGAACTGATCGCGCCCATTCCAGTGACGTTACTATGAGGTTCAAATGGGGTCGAAGGGTAGATCTCAGTCTCAGTCACGGGAGGACTATATACATGTGCGTTCACGGGATGCGATCTGGCCGGCTCTGTATGGTGTGTAGGCGAATGTTGTTGTGCTTGCGCGCTCGTTGTAGTTGACAATATGGCCTGATCCAGCAACCCAGAGGCGTCACCCGAATCGTTCTCAGCTGTCAAAGAGTTGTCCATGAGGCTCTCGCCTCCAAATGCAGGTACGGGGACCCCTGCTTTGGTGCATGTTTCCTCCAGCTCTCGGATACGATGATGAAGCATCCGAAGATACCTACGCTAAATGTCAGCATCTTGGACTCTGCATTACGTGCCATATGACGCACTGATCATTACTAGCTGATCTAGCATTGTCCGTTGTCTTGTATAGGCATTGATCAATGTTCCGTCCGCGCGCCCTGCAGGCACCGCAGATCGGTTTTTGGCCATCACATCTAGCCTTCCTCGTCCTGCATGGCTCGCATGCTAAGGCAATCTTCCGACGACGAGGTCCCGCATTTTTACGGACCGCAGATTGGCGTGACTGCATCGGGGCTGTATGTGTATTGCATTGAGGACATGGAAGGAGGGGATTCCATCCGCGACGTAAGTCAGGAGGTTTTGTTCGGGCTGGTTCCGGGCGGGCCGGAAACGTTCCGACAGGGAGTTTATCGAGTACCTCGGGTTTGCTCAGTTATACGCACCGAACGGCGTTGGGTAGCCAGAAGTCCGAATTGGGATGAATAAAGTAGGTTCTAATTGAATAAAATCGGATAAAAAAATTATATCAGAGTAATAGATACAAGAGTTTTATAGGCAAGGTTATTGTTGGACCACCAAATGTATGATGTACATGGATATATTTCATTGGGAACTAGCTGTTCGTATTACGGCTTGAGACAAGCCTGGGAAACAACTTCATTGCATTCCCAAAGTTGATCTTGTCCCGGAGCTCGCAGCTCATCTCATAAGACTCCAACTCCTCCAGGAAAGCAGGGTACGCAGTTATCGGTGCATATGGGAAATCACTACCGTACAAGATATGATCAGGGGGAACCATCTTGAGGAGAAGATCCATGACTTGTGGGGAGGCACTTAATGCCAGATCGTAATGGAAACTGCGGAATGCTTCCATAGCCTTGTCATGGGTTGTTCCCATGCGGTGCGAAACCGCAAAGTCTGGTGCTTTTCGCATCGGCGTCGCAACCCGGGAGATGATGTATGGTAACGACCCCCCAGCATGGGATAGGATAACCTTGCAGTTGGGGTACTTGAGGCGCGTGCCATTGGTGATCATGTCCATGGCAGTACGGGTGGTCTCATGCGGATAGTCGATACTTGGCTGAGGTAGTTTTGAATTGACGGGGTTGGTGTCGACTGGATGTGTTGGATGAACGAACACGACGCAGCCTCGCCTGTTCAGCTCACTCCAGATCGGTTCCACGTCCGGGTGTCCAAGATACGTGTTAGAGTCACCGTATCGCGTAAAAAGGGTAACTCCATCGGCATGCAGCGTATCCAATCCGTACTCTATCTCTGCCAGGGCGTCTTCAGTGTCCAGGATGTTGGGTAAAGAGACGAAAAAGCCAAAAGATCTGGGGTCCTTGTCCCGAAGCTCCGCTGCGTATTCATTTAATTGACGTGCAAGCTGGGCACGTCTTTGACGATCGGGAAGAATACAAGCTCCCGGGGCTGTCACGGAGAGAACAGCAGTCTGGACGCCGACACGTTTCATTAGAAGCTTGGATGCCAAGGAGGACCAGCGGGGAGTCGGCCAACCACTAGGATCCCCTCCTTGATCCTCAATCGCTAGATTATTCAAGTCAAATCAGCTCTCATTGTGGCAGCCCAACAGAATCACGAACCCTTTGCATAGAACGGTGGCACGAAGTGATGGTGAGTATCGATCTTGTTGACCGGAGGTGTATGACTCCATCCGATCGCCTTCTCCCGAAGCCAGTCAAAAGCGTGCTCACCCATGGCGTTGGAAATAATTCTCTTGCGGAAATATACTAGAAGGAGAAGCGTGAAAGGGGCCAACAGAACAACCCGCATGATTCTTGTGGTGAAACTTGTATCTCTGGTCCCACAGCTCGCCTCTTAAACGAACGTCGGGATCATCACGGCCGGGGAGGATGCATAAGCCACGTCATGCTGCTGTTAGCCGTGGTGAAATCTGTCTCTCTGACCACATAATTCGCCTCTTAGAAGAACATCGGGATCATCCCGGCGGCATGTCTATCCGGGTGCGTAAACCCACCATGTTGCCGTGATACCCTGGCTGTCGACGTAGGCGATTGCATAATTTTGAAGATTCTGCCGCTAACATCGTCCACAGATGGGAATGTATGTAGCCTTAAGTAAACTGTGACATCCAGAGTAGCATATGGGCCCCGTGCGCCCAACAGCGGCAACGGCAACGGTGGCGAAGTAAGCATCGGAACACACCCGGTCTCTCAACATGGCTTCAACGAAGCACTTAAAAACACCCATAATAGCAAGGAAATATATTCATTCATAAACAGAGGAACTAGTACAATGAGCACACCTATCCATGTCCAACTTTCGGTCATTGTTTCTGCACATCCCCTCGCCGCTACGCTCGTCACTCTCGCGATCTGCCTGGGAACAACATTCCTTGTAATCCAGGAGATTTTTACGCCTGTTGGAAAGCGAAAACCACCCCCGGGAAAGAAATGGAATCTCCCGCCTGGCCCTCGTGGAATCCCAATATTTGGCAGTTTGCGGGTATTGGATAAAGCACGCAGTGACAAAGACTACAAGATGGTTTAGATATCTGCTCCTGGCTTAACAAATGGAAGCTAATACTGCATAGCATAATGAACTCGCCAGATATGGCGAAATGACAACAATCCACCTTGGATCAAAGACATGGGTTCTGTTGAACAGCAAACGCGTGGTTTCCGAGATCATTGCGAAGCGCGGTTCTCTTACGAACGGCAGAAGCCCCATGCCTATAGCCAGCGGCATCGTTAGCCGAAACGGACGTTCGTTCCCTGCTGCTACCTCCCTCGGGATGGACAGAGAAAAGGCGAGTAATGCACTCCCTTCTCAGTGGGTCGGCTTTAAAGCAATACGGTTCCTGGCAAGAGCTCGAGAGCACACAGATGCTCGCCGAATATCACTTTTATCCCCGACTTTGGTACCGCCATCACTACCGATATGCCAACTCTGTGGTGCATCGTATTGCCCTGGGCGAAAGGCTGGTGAAGACCCGAAAGGAGCTTGCTGATCTTCAAGATGTGGTCACTTACTTCATTGGGAGCATCGGCAGCAGCTTGGTTGACTGGTTTCCCGAGCTGGACAAGCTTCCTCGTTTCTTACAGCCCTGGCGTAAACATTGGGAGAGGCTCGGGGATTGGAATGAAGAAGTCTACAAGTCGTGGTGGATACCGGCGAGAGAGAAGGTTGAAAATGGTACTGCCCCTCCATCATGGGTGCGCGATGTTCTCCTCCATCCGGATACCAAGTTCACTGGGGACGACAGGGATGCCATGTACGTCGCACTTCAATTGTTAGAGGCAGGGAGTGATACCACCCGAGAAGTGTTGAACATCTTTGTGATGTCTGCCTTATGCTACCCGGAGAAGTTCCAGAAAGCAAGGGAAGAGGTAGATCGCCTTTGTCATTCAAATGGGATGCGCCTCCCTGGTATCGACGATATGGAACAGTTGCCTTATATTTGTGCCATGATCAAGGAATTACTCCGATGGCGCCCTATCTTTCCTTTTACACCTGACCATACATTGACTTCAGATATGGAATTTGAAGGCTATCATTTCCCGGCCGGAGTTGGGTTCGTGATCAATGAGATCCCTGTGTGCAATGAGTGCGACGATCCAGAAGAATTCCAACCCGAGCGCTGGCTTGACGGCCACGAGACCGATGCTGCCCATGGCCTCTGGCAATTCGGTGGTGGCCGGCGTATATGCGTAGGGTACATATTGGCATTCAGGGGCCTCTTCATCAATATAGCTCGGTTAGCTTTCTGCTACAACTACAAAGCAGTAAGTAGACGCCCTGAGCTTACGAGTGGGAGATCGAATAACTGACGGTACAGAATGGCGCTTTCGACTCGAAACGCCTGAACCACCATATGACAGACGAACCATTCCCGGTCGAGGTGACGCCAAGAAGCCAGGAGCATATGGCACTGATCATGGAGGAAAGAGCTCGCCTCGGAGTGTTGGAAGACGCGAAACGCCAAATGTAACATCAAAGGCGTATTTACATAGTGTTTCGTCTCAGTACTTTAATTATTTCTCGACATGATTGTGTCATGGATCACTATTTGAAGCTAGATATAATGAAATGGGTAATGGTTCTCGTCGTCTCACTTGGAGGTCTTCCAGCCGCGAAATCCATGAGCGGGCCATCGTGGGCCTCGTTAGCCATATAGATTTCCACTTCACCCGTACTATTTCTCTGAAGAGTGGCCCCCAACTCCTGAATATGATCGCTAAAGACCTCCTCATAACCCCCAGTGAGAAGGATACGCTCAGCCGCGTCCAGACCTTCCCACCACTTCTCCGGGACATCTAGTGCCATACCCCAGCCTTTCCCGGCAGAAATCTCTTCCTGCCAGGGAGAGCCATCTACCAAGTCTTCACCCCATTTACTCACTACCTGTTTTCCAAGAACATCGACGCTGAACCATTTGTTGTACGAGGGAGTATTGAAATTAAATGAGCATAGAGGGGACACGAGGAAGCAGCCTCGTACCCCATGATGTCGATCAACGTGACAGTCTTCACGGCCCTCAAATGGACGATGATGATGCATATGCGATAGTAGAGACAGAGAAAGGTGACCACCCGCAGAGTCTCCTCCGAATATAATCTAATGAGCTTGATGTGAGCTTATTATTCAGACATATCTTCATCCGACCACCTACATCAGACAGCTCATAGCCTGCGGACAAAAGGTGCTTCAGAGCCAATATTGCCTGCAGCATTTGTCGAGGATATGAATGCATAGGAATCAAGTCTGAGATGTCAGCTTTTCGACCAGGTGTATGCTTTTACCGTGGAGTTGTACGAACCATATTCAAGAATGCACGCACTAAGCTGGATACCAGCGTTGCACACTTCTTCTCGGATATGTTCCACCCAATCCAGGTGGGCCTTGGACAGTGGCATCACATATCCTCCACCTACAAGTTGTTAGAACTGTTATAGTAGGAAATGGCTAGGAGACATTACCATGGAAGAAAAGGAGCACCTTCTTCCCTCCTCGGGGGCCCACCCACAGCACCCTGGTGGAGTTATCAGCGACAACATCCACACGAATGTCAATCCCCCTCGAAGTGATCCATTCTTTATACGCGTCAAAGGTCGAAGGTAGGATCGCCTGAAGTTGCACTGGAGGGATATTGAGCATCAAACTACCAGCAAATCCATTCCAGATAGCTGGCTTCATCGGTAGCTTTCTCAGCCAAGCCCTGATAATGGCTCGCCCAATCCTACCCGTCGCTGACGGCAAGACGAAAAATACGAAGTTGAAGAGAACCTGTAGACCCCCCACAGGGGACAATTTGCGAGCCATTTTCTACACACTTATCGGGCAAGCTGGGCGCAGAGGTTCTGGATATTTGATAGAACTCTGGAAGGCGGGTGCATGCCGACCCCGCAATCCTTATACCGGAACCGATCCGTTCCACAGTTAGCCTCGGTAGAAATCAAGTGCCGTGGAGGAGCCTACGCCAGCTGGACACTAGACAAACATCATGCATCATGCAGGGGATCATCTGACGAGCTCACTTCTATGAGGTAGGCTATCATGTAAACGGTGGGAAAGTATTACAGAGACAAAAAGACCGCAGCTAGGTCTCCCTATACAGCCAAAGTCACCACCACTATGAGTGACCCAGCAGGGAAATTCACAGTCCCACCGTACAGTCAAATCGCATGTATTGGAACTGGTCTCTCTGTGATTGCATTAGGCGTGATGCTTAAGAGATGGTATTCCCTTGAAGACGTTCGTTTCTTTGAACGTCACAGCGATTGTGGCGGCACTTGTCACATAAATTCCTACCCAGGTATACTTCACCACACAGCTTGACATAATTTTCCTAACCGTAGAGTCTACGCTGTGCCTGTGATGTCCCATCCGCGCTCTATTCATGCTCATTCCATCCAAATCCTAGATGGACGAAGTTGATGCCCTCATACAAAGAAATAAAAGCATACCAAGATGAAGCCGTCGAAGCCTACCGCCAGAGGGGCAAGATGAGCTTTTCCACTGAAGTCAGGGAATATGTCTGGAGAGAGTATGCAAATCTTTGGTGTCTGACCCTTGTTAACCTTACAACGGGGGATATCTCCTATCACGAGTGCCAAATACTGTTTGCTGCAACGGGGTAGCTGGTAGAGCCTCGCCCCTGTGACATCCCTGGTGCTGAGACATTTCGAGGAGCCATCTTCCACTCGGCAAGGTGGAGACATGATGTATCTCTCGAGGGAAAGAAGATTGTTGTGCTTGGGAAGGGATGTTTGTTTTTGTGGCCCCAGATATTACCCATGAGGCTAACACACTCCAGGCACGGCTGCGCAAATTGTTCCTGCAATTGTTGATAAGACGGAGTCACTCCACCAGATCATCCGCTCCAGGCACTGGGTACTTCCAGCTGCCAACCTCACCTACCCTCCTCTTCTCCAATGGATATTCCAATTCATTCCTCTAGCCACGGCGCTCCATCGTCTTCATAGCTTCTTGGTGGCCGGTAATGACTTTCGTTTATTCCCAATGACAAAGGCGGCCGCAAAGCGCCGCGAGAGCCGAAGGAAGGTGACAGAGACGTATATGCGCGAGACTGCCCCAGAGAAATATCATGACCTCCTAATCCCGGACTATGATGTGGGCTGCAAGCGACGGATCTTTGATCCAGAATATCCCAAGTCCTTACACAACGAAATGTAGATATGACTGACGCTAAAATCATCGAGATAGCTCCGGGTGGCTTAAAGACCAAGAACAAATTCATCCCTGCAGATGTCATCATTCTGGCCACTGGCTACCAAACCAACCAGTTTTCTCCATACATGAGCGTGCACGGCAAGGAAGGAACTCTAGAAATGCATTGGAAGCGGTACGACGGACCCCGCACATATGAACGCTCTATTATCAGTGGTTTTCCTAATTACTGTCTCCTTGGACTAAATCCTGCAACTGGCCATACCTCTGCATTGATGGCAGCAGAGAAGGATAGCTATCCATCCCGGGATAAAAGTTTCTTGCTACCGGCTTTAGTTCCGTGAACTATGCTCTTCGCATCTTGAAGCCAGTCCTCGATGGCACAGCGACCTCAGTTGAACTAAAGCATACCAGGGAAGGTTGGTGGAGACGAAGGGTTTTTGTGTGTCCACAATGAGCCTCTTTGATACATGTAGGCACTAGTAGAACATGGCCGAGGAAGACCCCGAACACGTTTACCAATATAAGGCCAGACACCCCGCGCCGTAGTGGATATCATCCAGAGTGCTGGTTTGGCAGATCCGGGGCAAAGCTACCCCGAGCAAGCTTCCCCCGCGTCGGCGATTGCGGGGAAATCGGACATGCGCCGATTGAAAAGTCACCACACATCCTAAATCCAGGGTCATTCCGGTTGATATGATTCTTTCAACCACCCAACATGACAAAACAGGAGGAAGTTCTCGCCGAATATCATGAGAATGCTCAAAAGGTTGAGCAGTCCGAACAAGATGTGATTTATCAGACTTACGTCTCCCAAAGTCCGGAATGGCACCGGAAGATGACCCGACAGCTCCTCCGCAAGGTGGATGTGCATCTCCTGCCATGCCTAATCGTCATGTACTTGCTGAACTTTCTGGATCGGAAGTAGGTACACTCCTCATTCATCCACCGCGGCGAAACTGACAAAGTAGCAATTTGTCTCAAGCCCGACTGGGCACTCTGGAGAAGGACCTGAACATGAAAGGGACAGACTATAATCTCGCGACCAGCATCCTCTTTGTGGGATACCTTCTCATGCAGCTACCGTCTAATCTCCTCCTCACACGGGTGCGGCCTTCGTTGTTTCTGGGGATCACAATGGCCATCTGGGGGGTGATATCAGCCTGTCAGGCTGCCACTCATTCCTTTACAGGCTTGGTCCTCGCACGATTCTTCCTCGGCTTTGTGGAGGCCCCGTTCTTTCCTGGGGCCATTATGCTCATGTAATTCGACATCGGCCGCGAATGGGACAATGCTGATCAGATCAGGTCGAGTTGGTACACCCGCCAAGAGGTATGCTTCGAGGGTCATCGGCCCCAGATCTGATCCGAATGCTGACTCGTCTTTAGCTGAGCCATCGAATTGCCTGGTTTTACGCCGGAAGCTCATTGGCCAACGCATTTGGCGGTTTGATCGGTGCCGGTGTCCTGGGCAATCTAGACGGTGCCCATAACATATCCGGATGGCGATGGTTATTCATCATCGAAGGGTGCGTCACTGTGGGAATATCGCTGGTGTCCATGTAGGTGCATTGTACTTCTTCTCAAAGAAAATGCTAACGGTCCAGTCTCCTTCTGCCGAATTACCCTGCCACCACATCCTGGCTTGATGAGACGGAGAAGTTATATGCGCAATGGCGCCTCATCCATGACGCGGGAGAAGCCGACGAAGCCAAGTCGAACAATCTCCGCGAGGCGCTATGGCTGGTATTTTCCGACAAGCGCATCTACCTGTTCATCTTGCTCCAACACACCTCGCTCCTGTCGCAAAACTTCCAGTATTTCTTCCCAACGATTGTCCAGACGCTCGGCTATGGGAATATCGAGACTTTGTTGATCACCGCGCCGGTTTGGATTGCCACCTTTATTGTCTCTCTTCTAGTGACATGGTCGTCAGGCCGGACGAACGATCGCGGTCTGCATATTATATCATTGATGCTCGTCAGTGTAGTCGGATGCGTGATCTGTACCGCGACCACGAATATCGGTGCCAAGTTCTTTGGCATGTTTCTGTATGTATCACTGTCCATTCAAGGCCGACAGGACTGACTGTGTAGAATGCCGATGGGCGCCGTTTCCGCCTACCAGATCATTATCGCATGGGTGGCCAATTCCTTCCCCCGGCCCCTCGTGAAACGGTCCGCAGCGATCGCGACGGCAAACATGATTGGCAACACGGCATCCATCTATGGCAGTTACATGTGGCCGTCGTCCGCCGGTCCGCGGTACATCGCGGGTGGTAGTGCGACGGCCGGTATCGCGCTCTTGGTCGCAATCCTAGCATTTGTCATTCGGATGGTCCATGCCCGGATGAATAGGCGTCTCGACATGGCCCAGGAGAGCGATCAAGGTGAAGCTGGCGGATTGGGAGGAAACCATACAGGGATTAGATACATCTTGTAGATCTCTTCTTATGAAAATGAGCGATTCCCTTGTAGATTTTTATATATATTTATAGTTGAATAAACACTTACATTGGGTGAGATAATCATGCAGTGCCGTCAAGCTTCTGAGCCTCGCACTTCTTGGCATACATGCCTCCTTTTCCAACCAGCTCGCTGTGCGTCCCGGCCTTCACAACCTTGCCAGCGTAGAAGACGAAGATGCAGTTAGCGTCGCGAACGGTCAAGGCGATGCGCCACCGCAATGGTGATACGATTGCAGGATGACGCTGCCTGCAGTAGCGCGCCCTGAATGGGCTTCTCTGACTCGGTATCTAAGGCGCTCGTCGCCTTGTCCAGTAGGACCACGCTGGGCTTGGATCAATATGGCCAGCATGCAGGGCCGGATATACGACGACATCTACAGTCCAGGAGCCCTCAGGCAGCCTGCGCACATCCGGACGTCTCATGCCCGGGCTCTTGCGTCGGAGTTAAAAACTGCCATGCCACATGCGCAAGACATCCACGTGAGTTCGTTCCGACTACCTGCTTAGGATGATGCAGTTGTCCCAATCGCTCCTCGAGACTATGCTGACGGCTGACTGGCCACAGGACCATTACGAGGCGAGCAAAGGGCAAGTTCTCGGACCGGATTACCACGAAATTGCAAAACGTTCCGATAGAGTCATCGGCCTTTCTATGCTTACGCTCATCTACCGGAGCATTGCCCCTGGGTGCCCATCGATGTCCGCATTTTGTCAAGAATGCATCGATGCCGCCAGAGATACCCTTCAAGAACACGACCGATGCGTCGCGGTGATAACAAAGGCGCGAGAGAAGACGGTGTTCCTGGAAGCATACATCAACTGGTTGGTTTCGATAATACCTCGTTTTGTTGTCGACCAGATTGTTCTGACAGGGCGATCCAGGACCATCACCCAGTCTCCCTTCATCCTCTTCATCATTCTGTTTTGCCACATCATCGAAATGCCCGAAGTCTCAGACCTCGAGCACATGAGAGGCCTCGTCGAGAAGCTCAAGCCTACATCAAACTCCCGTGCACATAGCACATGCAGCAAGCAACATCGCCTCTTCAGGGTGTTGTATGACGTCGCAGCCAAATATCTCGAGGTCAAACCCCGCGCGGACGGGGGGCCTGGGGTCGATAGCTCGCCAGGAGTATGCCGATCTGTTCGTTCGCCGGAACGGCCTCGAACGGTCTTGGGCTTGGTGTATTAGACTCTAGAGGAATCATGGGAGACCCAGGGACCACAAACACTGCAGATTCTTCTGGACACATCTCATCACATGGCGAGGCTGACGGGGACAGAATGGGGCTTGTCGATGGGCTGGTCGCACCCACGGCATTACAGAACACGGCATTCGGGGATGTGGAGGTGGAAATGGATCTCTCCGGAGCTCAGCTTTGGGACTGGTTTACCAAGAACCAGGCCATCATGAGGATGCTTGAAGATACATAGAACAAGGCAGTGAGAGGTGAAAACTGGTGGGAATCAAAGGCGAAACTGCACTGCCCTTTTAGTGGAGGCTCAGTCACAGACCGGTGATGGTGCAGCACTGTTTACTCTACTGATCTAAAGATAGAGAGAATTGGTAGATCACCACTTTTGGATCAGGGTGCCATTGGACCTCAACGTGCTGATGTGAAGAATCAAGATACTTTTGACAAAGCTACTGAAAGCATTCCGCTCTAGCATGAGGGCACTACCTTTCTTGTGGAGGGTCTGACCTTCTCACCAAGCGCTCCGTATGCTATTCGCTAATTAAACTGAGTTTATCTCACCGGGTGATTAACCGCGAGCCGGTCGCGAGTAGCTAAGTGATATTAGCATGCTCTGACTGTAGTGCAATCTAGTACTGGATACGCATACTGCCTGAATCAGAGCAGCTTCTCGTCGCCATATCTCTGCTTGTAGAGGGCAATGGCCCTGATAGGGAACGAGTAGGTATAATTATGATATAATAGTTGACTGTAACGAACATCATCAGGATCCCATCTCATTCCTCAGGGGGTTCCATGACTTACCAGGTGAAGATTCCTGCTCCCACGCCTGATTCCTGTTCCCATTCGCCATTTGGCTTTTGTCGGCTCATGATAAGCTGAATTCCTCTCTTGATGGGCTCAGGATCGGGATAGTCGGCATATAGCAGTGCCATACAGCACCAGGCGGTTTGAACCACATGGGATGCTTCTGCTTGCACATACCGTTTCTTGAGAATGGACTGGAAATGGTTTGGATTAGCAGTCATGTACGCTACTCAATAGTTCGATGACGTACCTCAATGGTTTCCCCCCATCCGCCGTCCTGTTTTTGCTTGCCAATGAGAAAGTCGCACCCCTTCCTGACAACAAGATGGTTTTCGTATGTCTCCCCTACACAGTGAAGAGCCTCCATGGCAAAAAAGGCACCGTAAGTGTAAGCAATCCCCCAAGAGGCAAGCCAACCTCCATCAGGATGCTGGTTCTGATGGATAAAGTTCGCACCACGGTCAATGGCGCGAGCCACTTCCTCTGCTCGGTAGGTGCTATCGCGCTCCTTGAAGAGGCTCAGTGCAGTGATGCAGGACGACGTGCATTCCGTGTAATCATACTCCGTCATCACGTTGGCAAAAAGCTCAGTTCCATTCAAACATTCCATGAAAGGGCCGCTGCGAATGGGCTCGAAAGCGCTATACCCTCCAGTTGCGTTTTGGATCATGAGCAGATTATCGATTCCTAGCCGGATATTCCCCTCCGTGCTAAGCCGAGGAATGTTCGTTTGACTTTCCACCAGCAGAATAGCTTTTAATGCCTCCCCGGTACAGTCCGAGCACGTCGTTCCATTATATCTCGTGGTGAATGGCCACCCGCCTAGGCGACTGGGACGATAGCATGGAGGTGAATCAGGCCAATCTTCAAGGAATTGCTGCTCAAGCAGGAATTTGTAGGCATCTTCGATGCAGCACCTCAGGTCTGGATGGTCTGCCAATCCGGACGTTGCAAAAGTTTGAAGGGCAAAAGAAGTCTCCCAAACGTGGCCGCCATGAATACTCTGGGATTGCATGCCTTGTGAACTGATCCAAAGATATTCCAGAGTTATGTCTTGATTCTGTTGTACCCTCTTGGAGTTGGGCCCTTCCTCGCAATAGAAGACAATCATATTCAAGAAACAGTCCAAACTGATTGCTCCAGTGCTGTTGAATGTTTTATCGGACGCCTTCACAACTTCCAAGGCAGTTCGCTCGGCATGTTCAGTCAGGATTCTGGGACGTAACCACGGATTCCACACATTGGACAAGGTCCAATTAATCGTGCGCAGAAGGCGGCCCTGCGGCTGGTGACGCTCACACTCGAGGACGGATCCACGCAGAGAGGCAAAGTCGAGAGACGAATATGGCTGCGTAAATATCTCTTCTCTAATTTCATCTAAAAGAGGGTTTGATGGGATGGTGAACCTTTTACTAGAGAGATAGCACATGGGCAAATAGACTTGGCGGACAATGTTGAACCATCTCCATGGGCTGATCGGGGTCCACTCTGGGAGGAGCCTTGGGATTGTGACGAGAATTGTTAATAAAAACTGGTACTCTAGATAGAAACGAAGCGAAAGAGGTAGAGGTCAAATGAGCCTTACCAGAGTTCGACGGGATAAGGGTCGGTTCCTTCCCAACCATACAAGCCAAGAAGAGCGAGCCAGAACTTTGCCCAGCTGGGTAGATACGCCGCACCGCCCATATCCAAGAAGCATGCTCTTGCTTTAATGAGGTGCTCCTCGTCCGAGGGCACGCCCATTAGTCGAAGAGCAACATAGATCAACATGGTGCCCATAAGCGTGGTCTTACCCCCGGTGTGTGTAGGAAATCCACCGTCCGTTGGGTCCTGACTTTGAAAAAGATATTTGACCATCTCAATTGCGTACGCCTCATCAATCTCCGCACCAGTGATGTACCAGGACATGATAAGCATCGGAGTGACAAAGAGAATGCATTGCAAGTCAGCCGCCCAGCAGCCCCGTCCAGCGACTTGGAGACGGCTATGAAATCGCAGGCCATTGGATATGGATTGAGATGGGCTCTCTGCTGGCTCAAAATCTAGAATAGACTGGTATTGAGTTAGTATTAATTTTTTTTTTCTCAGAGATTGAGATGGAGAAAGGAAAAAGAAAGAAGAAAAAAATTAAAATAAGATTAAAATAAGATTAAATGACAAGCGGACACACAGCAGAAGGTAGGAGATGAAATTATGCACAAACCAGAGGAAGTCCTAGAAAGAATCGCGAAACAAGATCCTGTGGGCGAGAATCCCGTTCACTCTGGGAAGTCAGATATTTCCATTTTAAACGCCCAAGACCCTTTTCGACAACCAGGCGCCATGCCTCTGGATTCGTGTTGCGCGCCGAGAATGGGCGATGATCTGCTTGGGCATTGAGGCGATTCTTGATCTTCAGCGTATAGTTGGTAGGGAGCGTGGACTTGGGATCCATATTGTCTCTCTATTCTACCGCGAAAACAAAGAAAGGGAGACCTATGTAATTTTTGAGGTCCTCAGAATAGGTGTAGGGAATGCTCGATCTTATTGAAAGAAAGTTCAGTAGAATGTTGCATTTTAGGGACTGAACTTTTGCAGTGATGATAGTAAGACTACCAGTGCGCGCATGAAAACGGAAGCCAAAATTATTAAAGACAGCCCTTAATGTAAGCAGTGCACAAATGGGTTATACCATGTAACCATAATGACATGTTCTGTTGTATGATGGACCTATTGGAGCGACGATCAATGCCGAAGAGCTGTCTCGAGGGAAAAGAAGGGCAGGGTAGCCTTGATGCATACCGGCCCAACTCCTCCGTTGGCTTTCGATCTCCACATTTTCTCGAGTTGAAGGCTGGCTGACGTGTGACGTGTACACATTTTACTTCCAACGCCCGGTCAGTGAAGGTTGGTTGAAATGGGACAGAGACGTGTATCTCAACTGTGGTAAATAAACCTATTCGCCGCATGCGGATAAGACTGGTCTCATCCACAGAATCCAATGGGTCTGCGGAACAGTTCTCCGGTCAACAAATAGTCCAATAAGCATACATAGGGAATGCCAAGTAAAAGATCTAGACAGAAAGTAGTTAGGGCCTGAGTAGCCTCAGCCGCCTAGACCGCGCAGCAATCAATCAAAGTCAATGATTTCATTGAGCTCCGTTTAGAGCCCTAAAGATTCTATATTACGATCGATAGACAGCAATGCGCGAATAATCCATAGACTACTGTGAGATATCACTCCTGGAAATTTAAGAGTTGCGTGAGGTTGATCTATGGTAACTAATTAATCTATCAACATCTGGTGCAGGTGAGAATCTGCTTGTGGTGTAGCCACGGTCCAAGCGCGAAGATCGGTGACGGGGAACGTTCGCTTTCCCACTACGCTATTTAATTCCTGCAGGTTACTAGATCGGAATACTGAGACCCTTTGGCATCATTAATGCAACCATTTGGATTGTGGGCAGGAGTAGGTAGGTACTGTACGAGGTAGAACTGAATCGCGCACTTACGATCTCTTCTCAGACAAACATCCTCCCTAGAGTATTTCTACGATGTTGAGCAGTATTCATATCTCTCACAATGCCATCTCATGGGCGGTGACTTGTGCGGCAGCGGTAGGTTCGCCCTATACACATGGCGGTGCTTCTTTCTAATCGACCCAGATCACTCTTTACGTGGTGAGCAATGCTGTCTATAATATCTTTTTCCATCCGCTGGCCAGGTATCCTGGCCCGTTATCGCACGCCGCCTCACGGCTCCCGTACTTCATCCGTGTCTTCAAGGGCACTCTTCCGTTTGATATGCTCGACTTCCATCAACGCTATGGTGACATTGTTCGGATCGCCCCCGACGAGCTAGCCTTCTCCCACCCGGACGCATGGAAGGATATCTTGGGCCACAACAAGGGAGGCTTGTACCTAGAAAAGGCTAGCTGGTTCTACAGACCTCTGGAATATGACCAACCACATATTTTCAATGAGAGCCGCGAAGAGCACAGTCGTCTGCGGCGGCAATTGGCCCATAGCTTCTCCGACAAGGGGATGAGAGATCAAGAGCCGATGATCCGGGGGTATGTTGATCTTCTGCTGCAGAGGTTGTGCAAAGTTGGATGCGGAGAGAAGGCCGTTGATCTTTCCGCCTGGTACAATTATACAACCTTTGATATCATCGGCGATCTATCATTCGGTGAGTCATTCGGCTGTCTGAAGGGCTCCAGCTACGTCGAGTGGATTGAGAGTATCTTTATGGCGATACGCTTCGCCACTGTTCTCCAGGCCCTGTCATTCACTCCCCTATTCAAACAGGTCTTGCTGGCCTTGGTACCCCAATCAGTGCGCGAGAGGCGTGAGCGCCTCAATGAATTCACACGGCAAAAAATGCTTCGTCGGATGGCAATTGCGGAGGAGCGGCCTGACTTGATCGAAGGGCTTTTAAAGAAGAAAGAAGAGCTGGTACACACTTCCCTTGGATGATCTGGGGTAGCTACTAACGAGCTACTCCAGAATTTGACCGTCGACAAACTCACCGCGAATGCTGAGACTTTGGTTATCGCCGGCTCCGAGACGATGGCTACTTTGCTCTCCGGCGTCACATATCTCATTCTCAAAAACCCGGAAGCCTACCAGACTCTGGTAAAGGAAGTGCGATCGGCTTTCAACAGCGAGGAGGAGATCAACCTCTTGTCAGTTGCTAAATTACCGTACATGCTGGCCTGTCTGGACGAGGCATTGCGCATGTATCCACCTGGTGCTGTTGGCCCTCCTCGGGTCACTCCGAAGGGTGGAGCGGAAATCTTAGGAGCTCGCATTCCAGCAAGAGTATTTGCAATCCGGTTGATGGGTCCGTTCATGGCTAATATCGGCTGCATAGACATACGTTTCGATTCATCATTGGGCTCTCTATCGACGGGAGGAGTATTTCTCAGATCCACATACTTTCCACCCGGAACGATTCCTCCGGGACCCTCGGTTCTTGCATGATCGACGCGACGTCCTCCAACCGTTCCATATTGGTCCCCGAAGCTGTCTAGGTCGCAAGTAAGTAGATTATTCGGCTCCAGTGACAGATGATAACTGACCGATCCTCTTTCAGTCTCGCGTATAGCGAGATGCGCCTGATTTTAGCCCTCATGATCTTCAACTTTGACATGAAGCTGTCAGACGATTCGCAGGATTGGATTCGGCAGAAAAACATTTTAATGTGGCAACGGGGGCCGTTGAATGTGCATTTGACCCCTATCCATAGAAACAGTTCTTAATGGGTTGTCTATATATATCATCTTTCGTCAGGTCAGGAAAGTATGATTGCTGGGAAAACGGCAGGCGTTTGATGAGCCTTCAATGGAGCTGCTGCTGGTGTCCACGTCAAGACTGCTTCTTCATTCCAACTTGTGTCTAAAGAAACATGGGGCATCGCCCGAAATAGATGTGATCATCTAAACTAAGTCGAAAATACCTGCTGTAATGGTTATCTCCGGTATAGGCTATGATTGGGAAGAGTCAGTATCGTTGCTCTGTTGAATCCGTCCCACAGCGGACCTCTTCCATCCCTCGTTCGTGTTCTCCAACGATGGGGAGTTCATCTAAAGATAGAATAAATGGACACGGCCATACTGAGTGTGGATATGCGGTCCAAACTGTGGCTGAATCAAAGATTAGATGGACATTGTCGGGTACAAACAATACTCTGACTATAGATGAAAGTTGATCACACGGTAATCATTGCAAATACACATTTCCAACCAATATTGGGAGGAATAAAGCGCATCCGAGTCCCTTATTTCAAGGCTTGTATATGATACGGATATGGAGGTCGCCCGAAGCCATGCCATCCTCCGTACAATCCCCAAGCCCGCGCAAACGCAGTTTCAGGAGCTCGATCTCTGCCGTCGAGGGCCCTTCCCAATTGAATTGCAATACACCTTTGGCCTTCAACAAAGCCTGAAGATCATCCGGATCAAAGCAGATGTTGCAGGGCGACCGTCTCCTCTGATCCAGGATGGGTAGCCTATGGTTTACCCCATTCGATACCATGTGTCTATTCACGTAAACGCAGTACGTGTGGTCGTATCCGTAGTACTTCGCTCGGTGCATATAGCTATCGAATATATCCTGATCCAGCTGTTTGCTACTGTAAATAAGAAAGCTAGGTGATTCAGAGATGTGTCCAACGTACCGATTGGACTTGCAGCAGAAGATCGCGCTTCCCCCAGTTGACGTGTTCATCTCCACATCCCGCGAATACATACTCGACCCCTACTTGGATGCGTCCTCTGAAGCCTAGTTCATGCAAGACGATCTGTTCCTGTCCTCCACGGTAAACCCTTTGTTCCACATAGATCCTCGGGTCTGGGTGAGTTTCATCCTTTTTCGGGATGAACGCAGTCAGACGAACGGACCGCTGGCGTTCATAGACTGCATCGGGCTTCAAAACTTCCGTCTCATCTGACGTTCAGGGCCTGTTCAGCTTCTGTCTTTTCACCAGTGAGGTAACCAGCGGAGTAGCACCCTACCCGTAAAAAAAACCTTCCGAAACCGACATCCCCCGATCTCATTCCACTCGCGGCTCTGATCCTGACCCCTTGTAAAGATCGTGAGCGGATTGCTCCGGTGCGTCCCAAGCGCCTTGACCATGTGCTCGATGGGGCCGCTGATGATGGACTCGCCGATAATGCCCCTGGGGGGTATGGCGTGATTGACAGTGCTCTTCCGCATCGCCGATGGTGATGTTTCCTTTTTCACTCGCGTTGCCGATCGCTTGCTATGCAGGATGGGATTGTCATGGTCGTCAACATCATGCACCGTTGCTGCACGAGGGTCCAATTTCATGTTTGCTTTCTCTCCGCAGTGTGGTGGTTTGACAAGTCTTGTCTGCGACAGCGATGGAGATCCCCCAGTCGGCAGATATATATAGGTCAACATTACCCCGCAAGGCTGTGGTAGGATGTCCAGGTGGTGGGTTGGCTCTGGGAGTGATTGGACTCCTCTGCGCTAAAAGCCACTCGTTTATTTTAGGTCAATGTTGAAGCAGGTCAACATGAGAATCGCGTGGTGAGCTAACAAGGTGGGCCAATCGCACGCATCATCTTGGCCAGGTTCAGCATCCTGAGGCCCAATTAGCACGGCCTATCTAATAGGTATCCGGGGGTTCGGGACCCAATGAGTAGAATGCTAGAAATGCCGAGGCTGAGATTGACATCCAGGGGATGTCGGGAGCATGGGATGGTTATGGTGTTTTGAAGCCCTACATGATATACCACCGTCCTTGCTATGGCTTTGTCTTTGGAAGACGGAGATTAACGAACCCAACCTCCTTGACGTTGATAGGACTGGACCTTTGACACCATGGACGAATGGACGAATGTCACCGCGTAGTGGCCTGGCCACCCGATGACAAGACCATTTCCACCGATTCATCCAGGCTGCTACACTGCCTAGAGTCTAGACTGAAAAGCAAAGAAAGATTCAACATCGGACAAGACAAGTAGAACGGGGGATGCCTGAGGACAGACATCGCGTTGGAGGCTGTGACCGCCTGCTACAAGGGGCAGTCTATTGATTCGACCACCACTCGCGCAAAACGCGACACGGATGTCGTGTAGAACCCGAACTCGTGTCTCCTGGGGTTCTGGATGCTTGTTGCGTTGATATGTACGTGTCAAAGAGTGTAAAGAGCAGAACGAATATCTTCTGGGGAAGTTTTGGCGGTCGGGGGTCGTATGTTCACGAGAAGGTGCAATGGGGCAATGGACCCCAATTTACAATATATATACATGGAGAAGCCAGCACCGAACTTCGTGGCTCAGCAACTGGTCGCAACCATTACAATCAGAACTTCAAGTATGACAGAAAATACTTTCCAAGGGAGAAAACACGGATTAATTGTACCATTTTCTCTTCCAATAGTCTGCGTTTGCTGGCAGGTGTGTTTCTTTGTTGGAGATTCCCCTTTGTGTCTTTCTTTTATCTACGCTGATTTGGAAGAAGAAAACATCCACCGCCCGGATGGTCTAGTGGTATGATTCGCGCTTAGTAAGCCTCCCATTAGTGACCGATTCGTTTGCTTGCAATTTACTAACAACATCTCCAGGGGTTCACCCAAAGCATTGACTGCGCGAGGTCCCCGGTTCGATCCCGGGTTCGGGCCTATCTTTTTCTTTCTTTTTCTGGTTTGTTAATTGTTTGATAAAATCTATTTGTCCACCACCACATCAACACTGTTGGTCACAGAGTCAAACACCTCCAGGGCGTGGTCGAGATACTCCTTGGCTCCCTTGAGGCGAAGAGTCATATCACTCCCCAACGGCAGCAGTTTCTCCGTCTCGTGTCCCTCGCCTTCACCTTCGCCAACTACAACCTGATATAACGCCTGCATGGCCTTGTCTTTGTCGCCATTGGGCTTAATTTTTCCGCTCAGCAGCAGCTCTTGGATCTGCTCAGTAACGGTGCCTTTGTAGTCGTCGGGGAGAGGGGTCTTGCCCAGCACTACAGACTGGGGCATATTGGTGTTGAAAGTCCCCAGAACAACAGTCAGGGTACGAATCTTGAAGGGAGCAACCTCCTTGGCCAGGATCTTGGTGAGAGCTAGAGTGCCATTGTGAGTCACAAGGAAGATCAACAACGAGAATTTCCGCGAGTAGAGGATCTGACATACCGTCCAGACCAGCCTTAGCACCCCCATAGACTCCCATCGTCGGGATCCCATCGAGGGAAGCGCCACTGCTCATGTTGACAATGACACCGGATCGACGTTGCCGCATGTGAGGCAGAACTGCACGGATCAGGCGCAGGGGCCCAAAGTACATGGTCTCCATCTGGGCGCGAATCTCCTCATCGGTGCTGGTTTCAATCGGTGCGTAAATAGAACCCCCCGCGTTGTTCACAAGGACGTCAATCTGTTCTCCGCCCTCCTCAAGCTTGGTAATCACATCGCTGTTCTCGGCGCTATCAACATCGAGTTGGACCCATTTGCCTCCCTTCCCCTCGACTTCTGCGACTAGATCGGGGGTGCGAGAAGGGTTGCGCGAGGTGGCAATGACCCTGTGGCCACCAGCCTGAGCGGCGCGAGTGAGGGACAGGCCAAAGCCAGATGAGCAGCCGGTGATGAGCCAGGTGAGCTTCTTCGAGCCCATGATGGATGGAAAGATATGCTGTAGTTAATGGTATGAGCGTAATCCCCCAAAGGATACACAGGCTAGATTTATACGGGAAGCCCTAACGGAGATAGCGGACTTTACCAGATGGAAGTTGTAACTCCGTCGACAGGGATGGATTGATTGTTTTCTACTTGGGGTTGGACGAAGTTTAATTTTCACTCCCCAACGCTTGCTGTCTAGTCCTACCGTCCAGTGATACGCAAATGGTATGATGTTACTAGACGTGTCCAGATAAAGCTCTTTTGTGTAGGGTCCCTATCATTCTCGTGTTCTTTCCCCCATCGGGAACTGGCTGCACTCAGCTCGTGCTCTTTCGGCTCCGAATGCTCTAAACTCAATGGGCACCCAATTACCTCCTTCGCTTACAACTAGATGTTTAAGATGATTCCGAAGTTGAACTGCTGCGACATTCTTTGAGTCAATGGGCGGCCGTTGTGGCGAGCAATTCCCTCGCGCGATACGATCTCACTAGTCTCACAGCTAAGAGAAGACCCGAGCAGGGTTTGCGCGAGGCGAAGCAATTTTAGATCCATAGCGCCTCACGGGTATAATAGTACCAGCTGAGCTTACCGTGCAAGGCTTCTGTATATAAGTCAATCTAGGTAGGCTCTACAGCTTGCGTTTATGGATCACAAGTAACATAGGGGCTCGTTCGCCATATGAGCATATTATTGAATACCCTAGTCTACTCTGATGACGAGTGAGACAGCAATTACTTGAACTTGCCACGGTTAGCATATATACCCCGAATTTCGTCACTATTAAAGCTTTGCTTGCTCCGCAGTACTCAATTTACATCTTAAAGGGTCGGCTTACTCCCATCTCCCGTGGGCATGACCAGTAGATAGGACCAGGGAGGAAACCGTCCCCATTGGCCCCGTGACGAAGGAGACACCAGAACAAACGCATTGATATACCAGGTCCTTCATCACGAAGCCAGAATCGACCCACCCTGCGTCTTTATTCCGGTAGCCACAAACAGGATCGTCATTGAAGGTGGGATATATCTGTCTCACATCCTCGGAGCCATGGAAGGGCTCGACGGTCTCTCCGAAACCATCCAACGTGCGTTTACACCCGTCAATGCAAGAATAGGAGCTGGATCGAGCAACCATGGCCAACCCGCTCCGGTGGAAATACTTTCTCCAATCTGCCTCCCACTGTTCCATTGCCTCAAACGCCATGTTGGAGTAAAACGGGTCCGCATAGTTGGCCCGAAGTAGCCGAGACGTATCGACGCTTGATCTATCTGGAGCTGGAGGAAGAATTCAGTCCAAGACAGTGACATGGTCATAGCCTCGCTTCCTTAGTTCAAAGGCGAACGTTAAGCCAAACAACCCGCCACAGACGATCAAGATTTTGTCCCATTTTCTCACCACATTCTCGGAGAGAGCAACCCGGTCCATGCTAGAGTTATGTGCCTTTCCCTAGATCCTGGTTTCAGTAGGCACGAAGGATACTCCTGACTAAATGGAGAAGTTGAGAGCGTGTGGATGGAAGAAGCGATGGTCTGTGGCCCAGCTTACTTGGGACTGACTATACTTTCTTAGAGAAGCTGGATATAGGGCCTTCTTTCTGTCCGTAGACTTTCCTCTTATTGGCCAGAGATTGAATTAGTCTCGCAATGGCTTTGTCTTGCCAGAGCATATGTCATGGCCAAACCTCAACTTCAGTGGGAAGGACAGTTTCTTCAACGAGGATGGTGGGAAGTCCTATGGTAAGCCCATTCCAAAAAAAAAAGCCCCGCCATTCTTGCTAAGTGATCAGATGCCAGTCTTGAGTGGGAGAACTTCATTCCGTGGCTGCGTCAAAACACGACTTTTACCTATATGGCCTAAGGGGGGTATGTTTGCAAGCTCGACTGTGTCACTCTTATATCTCGAATCTGACAATACGGGTGCAGTAAATACGAAGGAGGATGTTGAAATGGCGATAGAATATGGGGTCGATGGAGTCGTGATCTCCAACCATGGAGGATGGCAGTTAGACGGCGTTCCGGCTGCCATTGATGCCCTTAGAGAATGTGAGCCTGTCACACGAAGAAAGATCCAAATTGCCTTAGAGGGTGGGATCCGGCGTGGATCAGGCACCTTTAAGGCTTTGGCTCTCGGGGCACAGCATTGTTTTGTTGGGCGCGTCCCGCTTTGGGGTCTGGCGGTAGGATTCCTAACCCTTGGTCGTTGATATTGGGCTATGATGACCTCGTGTTCTTACTGTGATTTGACAGTATAACGACCAAAACGGCGTCGAGCTGTCTATGAAGACCACGATGGCACTAGCTGGGGGTGTGAACCGTATATCGCTTTTTTTGCGCGTTGCTAACTAGCCCCAGTTGTCGGACAATTGCAGATATACGATGAAGTCATCTTTCTGTGCTTCAAGCCGACAGGACACTTGCCCGTCTGTGAGAAGGTATAATTCTGGCCTCGTACACAAATAGTTCAGAGGGGATGCTAAACCAATAAGATACTTCTATTTCAGCCAGCTTCTAATGTTATATTTAGTTTCAGTTGACCTTCCCTTTATCTCCAACTGTTATGTCACGTCACAATGTCACGAAACCCATGTTAGGTCTTCCATAGAGTGGAACTAGTTTCTTTGTTACTTGGCCACCCGTAAGCCCTATCCCAAGTTCTCCTAAGCTTTGGAAGCATTTGATTGAGTAGCCACTCCGGGACTAAGTAGTCGCTAGTTACTCCTCGATTCTAGCCTCCCAGCCTCTTAACTTTAGGAAGAATCGCCACCTATGGCATGCTCGCAACCCCCCGTGTAGTACGACCCGCAGGAAATGTTGGCCCTGTGCGTACTTTTGTGCTGAAGAGAACAAAGGGGGAGAGAAAAGGAGAGAGAATCCCATCAACTTACTTCCCTGGTTGCCATTCCTGCCCAACGTCGTATTCTCTGCCTAAATACACAACCTTTTCTAGCCACGCCTGCCACACCCCCGGAAAATTATTCTCTCATACGATGCCCTCTAGCCCTAGAACCGTCCTTATTACTGGCTGCTCGGCTCACGGGATCGGAGCAGCTCTGGCCCTCGGACTCGCCCAGCAGGGTCACTTTATCTTCGCTACGGCCCGATCCACCGCGAAAGTCCCGAGGACCCTCGCTTCGCTGGCGAACGTACAAGTACTGCCACTGGACGTGACGGACCCTACTACGATTGCCGCGGTTCTGCGCGCGGTAACGGAGCATGGCCATGGCCTCGATATTCTGGTCAACAATGCCGGGACGGGGTACACTATGCCTCTACTGGAGGCTGACCTTGATCGCGCGAAAAAAAGTCTATGATGCGAATGTGTGGGGGCTGCTACGGCTTATCCAAGCATGCAGTGACCTGCTCATCAGTTCCAAGGGACGCATTATTAATATGAGCAGTGTGGGCGCTGTCGTCAATACTCCCTGGATTGGTAAGCTTGCTGTTTCTTTATTTGTTTTCTCTTATTTTTCTCTTGAGCTAAACTACAACTACCAATGACTAGGCGTCTATTCTTCATCCAAGGCCGCGGTCGCACAACTGTCCGAAACTCTTCGCCTGGAGTTAGCTCCCTTGGGGGTCAGCGTGGTCTGCCTAATGATAGGCACCATCACCACCGCGTTTCATGCCAATGAGCCCGAGGTAGTCTTGCTGCCGACCTCACGATATGCAGCGGTGCGACAAACCATCTCCGACTGGGCGACCGGTCGAGCCGGCTCCAAAGGCTGCTCCGCCGATGAGTTCGCCGCCTCCATTGTCGACGATGTGCTGGGCAGGGTCGAGGACTCTGATGAGTGGATATTTAGGTGAAGGCGACGCCGTCACCCAGCTAGCTTCTCAAAAGCTATATCCAAAAGGGAAGAAGAAACTAGGGACAAATAGCTGGCCATGTTAGCGTGTAGCCCACTTGGTGAATTGGGGGCCGAGAGGACTCTATAAGTGGGTCACATTTAGCAAAGAGCCCTATACCATTGCTATGGTCATGCAATTACGGCCCTAGCAGCCCTTAGTGCAAATGTGCCCTAGTGTTCATGGCTTGACCCACAGAGGCACCAGGGTTCCAGAACAACCAGGGATCCGTTCCTGGAAGGCATTAGAGTCTAGAGAGCAAGATTTCCAAATGCCCCACTGTCAGCAATGTTGCAGAATCACCCCACAAGTAACCGGAAATTGGGCGAAGAAATGTCCGAATCGGTATATTCCGCCGGTGGGAACATCTTGGCAGCTGACGGCGTGAGTCCTGTTTGAGCTGGTGGAGTATAATCAGCATTGTTTCTGGACCTTCACGGCTCTGGCGCAAGTTTTGTGAAGAAAGCTGCTGAGAAGGCTCCTGGCTCTCGACGCATGGGAGTTGTACTCGGCCGGGCCGATTAATTACTGTTAATAGAGGAGGATGTCTCTGAATGTGCTGTAGTCCAGTAACTTGCTGAGGAACGGTTTGCCAGATGAGTCAAGGATCAATATGGGCAAAATTGTCGTGAAAATTTCTAACCCTATGAACTGCAGCCTATGTGGATCTCCCAGCGACCGGTTTTAGATGTCTTATATTGGCCTCCAATTACTTACTCAGAATGCTTGTTTAGTGGTGTTGGGGGCGAGGAAATGGAGCAGCAGTGGCTTGAAGTAAACCCATCCTGGCTCGTTACCAACTACAGTGGAAACTAATGAAGAACATATACTTTTGTTTATCGTGACTGTAGCAATATAAAAGGGAGGATAGTCACTCCCACATGAGAAATTCATTCGGCAGGACTCGTCACCATTCCTTCAATAACTAGTACTCGAATCTAGACGTCTCTCCGCAACCATGAGATTGACACAGTTTGCTTCTATCCTCGCCGCCGGCTTTGTTGCTGCCGTAAGTCCCCCAATCGGTACCATCATGGGAGCCTAGAACTCTCCATAACACCTCTTCGCAGGTTCAAGCGCTGGACGAGTCTCCAATCCCTGGATATGGTGTTCAGGAGCCCTCATGGGAGGTTGAGACGACGCCAGGAGGTCCCAAGATGATCCTCAACGGAACAGTCCAGCAAGTACACGCGCAGCTGTTAGAGATCAACCCCAACTACGATGACGAATTTGCCGCTGTGTTGGAGAAGCGGGAGACAACAGTACTTGACAAACGGGACGATATCAAGTGCAACAACTGGCCAAAGGCGCGCCGTGGTGACATCGAAGCCGGTATCAAGCACTTGCGTGGGGTTTCGGGACAACCTTCGAACGGGCCTGGACCTGGAAACTGTGGACGGGTCAGCTGCTCATGGGGCGCTGCCATCTGGTGGTGCAATGATGTGAGTCTCGTAGCAAGCTGTATCCAAGCGCTGTACTCACATTTTGAACAGAACACATTCACCAAGGTTCTTCCCAGCTTCAACAATATCGCTGATGGAGCCCAGGTAATTCTCAACAACTGCCAAAGAGGAGGAGTAAAGCTTTCCGGACAGGACTTCCATTCTGACAACTGGAATGTGATTGTTCGGGGAGACAGTTGCTAGAAGTGAAAGTCTCATGTTGGTGTATGTTAGTGTAGATAGGGGGATAAATTAATTTAATGGGGTAAGGAAACACAGCAGGCCAATCATATTCACTATACCTGCTTACACGATAGAAACAGGGCTCGAGTCTAGCGTCCGAAATGTTCAAGAGTCATTTCATCTCCTTATGCAGCAAGGGTCTACATGATATATTTGACACAGCCGGCATGAAGGGTTGCCTCAACTCGCTACTTATTGATAATGCCTGCCATTTCCGGCCGTTTTCGTAGTTGAAATTCATTTGCCCCAGTATCTCAGTATACATAGTTGGACCCTGGAGAGGCGCAAGGGTGAATAGTCTTCCTAAGTGTTATGTCATGAACAGGAGTGTAGGTGATGAGGCTCCCAGCTAGCTTGGAAAACGCCTAAGCTGAAAGGGTTCAATTTGCAAGTACAGGACCTGGGGGATGGCAAAGTATTAGGAAGTGAACAGACCCTCAAGCTAGTAGAGCCTGCGCAGCCAATTACATCTATTGAACACCCTTATTGTTGGTGGAGAATCTTCAATCCATATAGCTCCGTTATCCTGACTTGTCTGCAGGATTATCAAGATGAGCGTCCGCTATTAATCTGGAACGGCGCCAATTTCGCCAAATTGGAAGCGCAGGAACCTTGCGCTGTCCCGTACCCCAGGCACCCAAGAACGTAAATACATCAGCGCACGAAAGTCAAGAGGGAACTGTTCAACCCCTGGAGCTTCTGGGAGACGAATCGATTCAGCCAATTTCAAATCAGGATGGACGAGCTCTAGCATCTTGGGATCGTCCACAGAGGAACGAAACTCGGTGCCGGTGCTGCGAATGGACTGTATTGGCGTTCTTTCATTGAGGCTTTGTAGAGTAGCAGAATTAATGCAGTCAAAAAGTAGTTCCCCCTGGCGGAAGCTTTCACACACTCGTTGTATCAGTCGTCTCACATTGTCTTCAGGCAGATAGGGCAGGAATCCCTCCATCACGACAAGCACCGACCCATCAGTGGAAATTTCATGTATCCAATCCTCATTCAGGACGTCAACTCCGAGGAGAGAGTAATCGTGACTAGGGAAGGATGTAGATTGAACCTGTCTGCGAAGCGCAATGACCTCTGGAAGGTCAATGTCAACCCACCGAGTGTTTTTGCCCCATTTCACACGGTCCATCCGGCTATCGAGGCCACATGCCAGATGCAGAACAGTAGTGTTAGGATTTTGTTGGAGGAAGTCCGAAGTCCAGCGGTCAAATTGCCTCGTTCGGACAGCGATGGTCACCATTTGGTTAGGAGTCATAGTCATTGCGGTGACATCGAAGTCAAGGCGCTCCAACACGTCTTGAGCGTATGGATCACCGAAAATGGGTTGAGGCGTGGAGAAATCATAGGCTCGGGCAACAAGAGTGACGAGGAGGGTCTTCGCAACGCCGTTGAGCTCAACCTCTGCCTTCTTGGTCACCATACTTGGTTCGCTCGAGGGGAGCACATAGGCACCACTGGTTCTATCCAGATCATCGTCCTGGTCTACAACCATAGCTCTCTGCAAAGCTCAATTTGGGCGGAACGGTTTACTGCGAATATGCAGAGATAACGATCCAGTCCCCCACCTCCAGAAGCTTATATACTGTGGTCAATTCAGGAGGGGTTATTAGGACGGGGGCAGTGCACTGGGGGGATCTACATGATTGACACTGCTTTTGGAAGAGGAATATATGCTCCCGTGAAGAAGCGTGCAACAGAAATCGCACGACATACCCTCCCGACCACTATTAGAATTGTAGTTGCAAATTGGTTGCAAGTATTTCACCTACTCCTAACTGCCAGTTCTTAAATATGTGTGATCCCCGTATCGTGAACTCCCATAACTCTCCCAAGAGCACCCTCAGAGTTGTAACAGTTACGGCTCTCCTTGGCTCAGTGTAGATTACTCACTGTCCTCCATTTGATCCCTTGTGAGATTGTCTATCCAACATAGAGTTTACTTTCTTACCACCGAGTGCCCGTCAATGTGAGTGTTTATGGCAGACAACTATCTGGAGCCTAGATAGACGGAGAAGCCTACACGCAATTTCGACAGCGATGAGATGAGCAAGGTGTGGCGTGGGACCGTAAGATCTAGCCCACAGTCGGCAGCGCGAGATACTAATTTGTTTTCTAGTACCGGGCAATGAGCCAGCCCCTCCGCTCATCGTCGTCCATCGCACGAAGGAATGCTGCCTCTCCTCTTTTGAGGCAGGTATAGGCCGACACCAAGTCTCCCATCCTAGTTTGGATGCAACGGTCGGCTTCTAATGCCACTAAAGCCTCATCTAGCGTTGTGGGCAACACGATCTTGACACCCAGGCTCTCACGCTCCTGCGAAGATAGTCGAGCAGCAGCGGTATGACAGTGGCCCCCAGTCAGGGGCAAGTGGGTTGCCATCCCGTCCATCCCAGCGCTGAGAATTGCCGACAGAACCAAGTACGGATTCGATAAGCCGTCCACTAACTTCAGTTCAAACCGATTGTGTCGAATTCGGCGTAGTGCGACCTCTTTATTTTCCCATCCCCACGCCGCATACTCACCTCCACTCCAGATCCCCGTAGCAACCCGAGTGTAGCTGATGTCATGGGGAAGCGAAAACGCCAGGACTGCAGGAAGATGCGTCATGATTCCGGCGAAAAAGGACTCTACGCTTGGCAGAATCTGGGCTTCTTCCTGGCCTTCCAAAGCGTTGACAGACAGGTGCACATGGGCACCATTACATGGCTTGTCGGGGATGGGCTGCGTCGAGACGGTCGCCCGTAGACCAAAGCTTCGGGCCACGATCATGATGGTTTCGCGAGCCCGCAGGAGCAGATCGATCGCCTGGAGAGGGCGTGCCGGCGGAAGCACAAACTCCCACTGACCAGGAGCTGCCTCGGCGTGGAACTGTTCCAACTCGATCCCTACGGTCGCCAATGCACGGGCCACAGCCTCGATCAGATCCAAGTATGTCCGGTCTTGCGGAGTCATGCTGCTGAACGAATGCTCGCAATTGATTGCGTTGAAGCCCACAACCTTGTCCCCTTCTTCTCTTGGTTGCAGGAAGATGACTTCCACCTCGAACCCTACCAGGAGAGCGGTTTCAGTGTCACGCTCCAGCAGATCGTGCAATGCGCGAAGTCTAGACCGCGCACATTCCGCGATGGGGACGCCATGCTCATCAACACAGTCCACATTAACCACGGCACGAGTCCCATTTGAGCCGAACTGACAGTATGCGGTGCTAAGATCTGGCCGGAGGTGCAGCTTCCCCGTAGGGCTGGCACCCTCAGCGAGCCGGTCGCCAGGAAGGAGATGGAGAACAGCACTGGTCATCGAGAGGAGTTGACCGTTCTTGAGCATGTCAGAGAATTTCTTTTTGGGGATCATGCGGATGAGGGGATTCGACGTCAAGGTAATGAACTGCAGCCAGACAAACTCGACCCGATCATTCTGAGCGAGGAATGTGTCCCAAACTGCGCTGGACTGCTCCATTGGTATCGAGCTGCGCGTCACAAAGGGAGCGGGCCCCAATATGCCTGCTGAATGGAGTGTTACAATGAAGGACTAAGAGAAGTGTTAGAAGGAAAGGTCACAAAAGATACGGCAAGGAGACGGAGAACAAAGGGGAAGAGCTAATGCGACCATGAGACTTTCTATCCCTGATCGGAAGCATTGATAAGTGTTAAATACTGGGGAGTGGAGCTCGCAGAGGTACTATTCTCGAGCTGAACCCACTTAGTCGACTGTATCTTGAAGCTTCACTGGCCGTTATGCAGCAGGATCCCTGTCGATCAACGAGGGGCCATTTGGACACGTCATCTTCGATTCGGAGTGGTGTGTGTTCATACAAAGTGTGTATGGACTATATTAAGTTTCTGATGAACCAAATTGCGCATGTTATCTCAGAATCTCTAGTGCAGAAGGCGGACCACGACTCTGAATATCTTGAACCAATTCTCTGGAACAGTCCGTTTTTATTGTCATTGTGAGGGGGCCAAACTAGTTGCTAGAGCATATGGAACCACTGTCCTTGAATACGTCTAATCGATATGTTCATAGTTCGGGGTGGTATTGAGATACATCTCTGATATACCTGGCGTTGGTATAACTTCATGACAGATGTTCACAGGATTCCACAAGAGACCTTTGTAATCAAGGTTTTCCTGTCTCTCGCGCAGAATCTGAACAATTGAACCGGTCGGGTAGCGTCGACCAACATACCAATGGCCAGGAACGAACCTACTACAGTTGACTGGCCACCTGGTAGTGTTTCCAGACGAAGTGGCCGTCGTGAATTCTCTTCCACTGGATGTCGGGCAAATGCTATGCTGTGGTGTAGGGCCGACATCCGTTAACTGGGTAGCGACATCGTTACCGTCATGCGATGCAGCTTCTCCGGCACCTGTCTCTTTAATGCTGCGACTGCCTCAGAAGCCTCAACCTTGGACGTTCCGGCCATCTTCCTTTCGCATTCGACTTTTTCGATCTGGTTGAGCGGAGCCTTCACAGGAATAGGCGAACTCGACGCCGTTGACAGATCCTTTGCCGGGCGTGCCTCCCCCGGAGCAGTAGGTATTAGGCCGTTCTGTAGTTGTTCCTAGACATGGAAAGGCATCTACCAGACCCACTTGTGGCGGCGACTTGAGAAGCCCATGTTGCAGTCGCAAACAGGAAGATAAAAAGCAGGAATGGAGAAAAACCCATGATCCTCAGCAGCCTCACCAAAGGTAGTGCTACAAGCTAAACTCGAATCGAGTTAATGAATCTATGTATTTTGGGAATTGCAGATCGGGTTCGCCCGAATATATATGCCGGTGGCTGTTCATTTTCAATACCGAAATACCACGATGGACCTCAAATATTGTGTGTGTTATCGGCCTACCTGTGCTGTATTGGAAGTGGCCGCGCAAGAGTTCGCACCCTAGTGGAGCTTTTAATGCGTGTGATAGGTATATTCAACATCGGATCTGCGCGTCGCTCGCGATCTGCACCCCTGCGTAATTCCAGCTGGGAGCCCTTTCAGCTACCGCATGCTGTGCCCGGCAGAGAGCTTTGGGGCCAAACGAACAAGGAAGAAGTCTTTGGAATATTTTGTTTCCAATCAAGATTGGTGCGTACCCTCCGAATTTTCCTTCTGAAGATGGTCTTGCAAATTACGTAGTAGTCTAAGATCCGAACAGAAGACAGGGGGGATTGCTCGATCAGTTACTAGAGGCACCAGACAGGAAGAAAGGGTTGTAAGCCATAGAATTCCGGAGCTGAACCTTGCATATTCCCTCGACTTCCACGCTCACAAATATAACCCGAGCTCCTCAGTCCATCACGTTATGTAAAAGATAGCTCTAAATCTGTGAAATATGCCTTCCAGGCTTCTACTGGAGCCAACTGGGAAGATAGCTGGGACTTTTCACGCGAACCGTTTAAGGTTTCACTAGTCTACACTGTCGAGCTGCAAGTTGATGCGAACTCGGCCACCAGCGGAAAAGAGAGCCGAGAGTCAAGGAGCTCTGGCTCTTCAGCTTTCTTGTTTGGGCTACCGCGTTCCATATAAGAAAGCTAGTGATGCATGCTACTCATCTTCAGCTCCCGAAGCGAGTTCAGCTACCCCACAGGCCGGTGGAGACATGGCGATCTGAGTCCCGAGATTCCCGCCCGACGGCGAATCAAGCTCGATTCGTCTGGCCGTGGAGGAAACTCTCTTGCACTGATGGTGATAGTGTTAATGGAGATATCTGATTGAGTGGGGCCTAATGCAGCGAGAAAATCCAAATCACGGCCAACGTACTTCGTATAATTGACGACAAACAATTCTCCACGAGGCCATCCATCAACCAACCAACTTGACTCGAACCTAATGGAGATCTATGGATCGGCCCGTATGAGGCAGAATAGTGGGATATCAGGGCTAAATGCCCCTAGTCAACTTACTTCCGTCACCTATGCCGAGATCTAGTGAGACATAGCCCTCGTGAATTGTATCTCAGCTCGCCACACGCCCTCTCTTTCCCCTATATTGCGATGATCGCCGATACTGAGTTCATGGCTCCGGTACAGAGTGGGAACTAGATCCATTTTGTTGGGGTTGGAACAGGCCTTTGGCATCCTGCATAGAGCCAGACGCCAACACGATGCCACCGCACGGCGCGCACAGCTGTGACAAATGCGAATATAAATAACATTTTCTCCCCGTGCATTTCATTCCGTATTCGAATCGTCATCCGTTCATTCTTCCTTCATATCGGTCAACATGGTCCAAGCAAGATGCCTGTTGGCCCTCATCCTCGGTATCTCTGCATACCATGTGGAGGCCCGAAGCTCCCCCCGTGGTAGAGCCAAGTACACCCTCGATGACATTCATCCCTTGACGGACCCGAGCTCGGGTCTTGTGAAGTGTTGCCCGGAGGGAACCGAATTCGATGGCAAGAACTGCGTCCTTGGCGTACCTACCTGTCCTGAGGATTTTATTCGCAAGGATAATAAGTGTGTCTCGAAGTTCAAGCCGATCTGTCCCGATGGAAGCGAATACGATGGGAACCTTTGCGTGTCTAGTGTTCTCCCCAATTGCCCGCCTCCTACCATCCTCAAGGGTAACTCGTGTGTGGCCGGACCCCCAACCTGTCCCGCTGGTCTTGAGTATAACGGCAAAGTCTGCCTATCAAAACAAACGCCAGCATGCCCTACAGACTACTCCTTCAATGGCAAGACTTGCGTTAGTGTTAAGAAGCCCCAATGTCCTGAAGGCCTGAAGTTTGGCGACGGGAAGTGTATCAGTGTCGGCTCCCCCATCTGCCCTGCTGGCTCAGAGTATAATGAGGAACTTGGAGTGTGTGCTTCTATTGTTGGTCCCGTGTGCGATGAAGGAAGCCAGCTCAAGAACGGCGAGTGTGTGTCTGATATCCCGCCATCCTGTCCTGAGGGCAGCACGTTCAGCCCTGCCACCGTGAAGTGTATGTCAACTGAGAAGCCGACCTGCCCAGCTGGATCCGAACTGGATCTCCACTCGCAGAAGTGTGTGCTTAGTGAGGAGGCCCAGTGCCCTCCCGGTAATGTCCTCTCCACTGATCTTGCTTCCGGTGTTGCCCGCTGTTGTCCCGACGGTATGGCTTGGAATGGTGACGTCTGTCGCTTCGAAATTGATTCGAGCGGTCAATGCCCCCCCGGCCTCACCCAGGTCGGCAAGTACTGCCAAAAGCAAGTGGCGATGATTCCCCAATGTCCCCCTGGCGCGAAATTGGATGGTAACCGCTGTATTCTAACGGAGCTCCCTGAATGTCCGCCCGGTCACATCCTGGAAGGATCCACTTGCTCGATCATCGAGAAGCCCCAATGTCCTCCTGGTTTAACACTCTCTGGAGAAAATTGCATTTCTACCGTCGAAATTAGCTGCCCTCCTGGAACTAAGTTCGAGAAGGGTATTTGTTTGAGCGTCTCCCCGCCGATTTGTGAGGAAGGGTTCATTTTCGATGGAGCTAACTGCGTCTCCACAACCCATACTCCCACATGTGCTGAGGAGGGCAACACCCTAGATGGGGAGGACTGTGTCACTCCACATATCCCAACCTGCCCTGAAGATACAACATTCGATGGTACCCGTTGTGTTTCTACCAGCACTCCTTCCTGTCCGTCCGGCTCTGTCCATAACGGCGAGGGTGACTGTCTTACGAGCTCCGTCCCTCAATGTGCTCCAGGGTCTACTTTGGTTGCTGGCGGCTGCATTGTTGGGATTCCCACCTGCCCCAAGGGCACGGTTTGGGACTCCAAGCAGTGCATTAGCCCCAAGGACCCGGAGTGCCCACCCGAGCACAAGTGGAGCAATGGCAAGTGTATCAACCTGGTGAACACGGAATGTGAGCCGGGATATACCATGGTGAATGGCGAGTGTATCTCCGATAGCAAGCCGGAGTGTGCTCCAGGAACCACCTTCAACGGTCAGGAATGTGTGGGAGAAGTCCCCAACTGTCCTGAAGGACTTATATTTGACGGAGCGGAGTGTGCCCATCCCGAGGAACCTGCCTGTCCCACTGGAATGAAGTTCAACGGCAAGAAGTGTGTAGCGCAGAGGCCGCCTGCTTGCCAACCTGGTACCGTCTTCGACAAGAAGACGAAGGAGTGTGTGGCTATTGAGCCACCTCAGTGCCCCCCTGGTCAGGTCTTCAATGGCAAGAACTGTGCCCTGGCATCTGGAGGCTGTATGAACTTCGAGTATTGCCCTGCGCTAGGCGGTCTGTCCACGGGCGATCTTTCCACAGGTGGCCCTTCTACAGGAGAGTCGGGATGTCCTGAGGGCACTGTGTATGATAAGTACACTGGCATGTGTGCAGATTGGTGAATATGGACGTGAGATTTCTGCTTCGTTTATCACATGCAATAGTGCTAGGTAGACCCAACATTATATGTTCATGAGCTTTTTTAGTATGTACCATTGATCCTTCATCCATAGTTACCGCTATGATATATCTACTCCTATACATTGCGTACAACAGGGGCCCATGGGGAACACGAAAAATAAGCTACGTGCAAGATCCGGAGGTCGACTATAGACCGACTTGACTGGGCGCTGCAGTATAGGGAAAACCATGCAAACATCTGTCTCGCACCTTCTATCCCAATGGTATATGGCTCCGTAACTCCGACTTGGTCAGAGTTGTAGCAGATGGGTCGCTTACGAGGTTCAGCGTCAACTACGGGCTGATGAGTTACAATCGCAGCGTTGACGGTGTCGCTTTCCAGAAGTATTGTGCGTCTCTGACAATTTAAACTGACCTTGAAAGTGGATGGCTATTGTCAAGCTCACTCTTAAAATGAATACTCAAGACTTATATATAAAAAATTGCAATAACTGGTGATAGTCACAACGTCCAGTTGGAGACAGTGATTTCGCGCAAAAGCTTCGTGATCTCGCCCCACTCGGCTGAACATGAAGAAAGTCGAAATCCCGAGGACTAAATAGTTAGTAAATGAGCAATCGAAGATTCGTACGTCGAAGTAGTGCAAATTTCGGCATCTGAGTCTCCGTGGCTCATCGACTCTGTCGCCGAACGGGGCATGATTCTGGTAGTCAACGAACGACCTTGACCGGGTATAAAAAGAATTGACTGGAATTAACCGAATTGGTTACCATCAACTAACCATAGGGGAAGAAAAAGTAAAATTGCAGGATAAGATCTATATATATAGAGGAGAAAAAGGCTTCTATCTTGTAATAGTTCCCTGTGCACCTTTCTTGTTATACCTTTCTTCGTCATCTTGTTATCACAACCGATATGCCGCCGATCGAAGCGCCGGCCCATTTTGGGCTCAACTGCACGAATATCATTCACGAAAAACCAATCCCATCAAAGAATCCAGCAAATGTAGAGCTTCCAAGTGTTTACAGTGTAGGCAAAGGAATCGGGCACAGATCGCACGTGCGTATGCACAAGCGCGTGCAACGAGTATCATTGTCATGTCTTGAACAGCGTCAGATCTCGAGAATCTCAAAGTGGAGCCGGAGGGGTTTACCAAGAATCCCGATTTACATGTCCGAGCCTTTCCTGGAGATGCGTCGAAGTTGGAAACCTACATCAGACTGAAGTTAACGAGTGAGGAAGAGTTTAATGAGTGATTGGACTGTCTCGTCAAAAATGCGGCTCGATTGGAGCACAATCGAGCAGTCGAAGGATTCACAGGAAAGCTTCATCAAGTTGATCCGAATGGGCATACCAGTCTCATTGATCGACACTATATAGGCCCGTACTATGCTAGCCACCAGCTGCTACTTCTTCTGATGAGCCCTCAGAGTATTGGGAAACAGACTATTAATACCACGTCCATGAGGTCTCATGTTACAGCCAGTTGATTGCATACCGCTTGACTGAACATGTTGGTGAGATCTATGCCGACGAAGGCCCTGTCCGTATACCGCTGCATCCCGGTGGCATAAAATCGGACAGCACGAACAATCTTCCGGACGTTGTCAAAGCAAGTAAGCTTTTTGACATCCGAAAGCATATTAAGGTACTAACATCAGTTTAGCTTTCTCAGATGATATCACTCTTTGTCCAGCGGTGTGTGTTTTGTTTTCCAGAATGTCTCGACCGTGGGCATCTGGTCGCCTCATAAACTCAAAGTGGCACGCAGCTTGGACAAAAGGCTAGGGTTGACTACAGTCACGTTCCACATAATGTATTTTAGTTGGGTGTCAAGGCCGTTCCCAACTGGGCCAAAGCCCAGTATGATCAGACTGATCTGCCTGGATCGCACCTTCTTTAGCTATGGCGCTGTGGTAATTGAAAATCATTTTGTTATAATTATTTTAAATGTAAGCTGTTCTTGGGCTATATTCGACACTGCTTACCTGCGGGTATATAGGAAATGTAGCGACCTCGAACTAATTATGGCATATTTTCAGTATTATTTTCGGCTTATTTACCGTAATTAACCTAAAGTTAATACTTTACACTTTAGAAGAGCAGCGCAGAGTCATTCTCCAGGTAGCGTCTATTTAAACCCTCGTTTGTGGCGGGCCTTAGTATTTCATGGCGCCTCAAAAAACTCTGTTCACCATGTATCACGAGAAAGGTATACTTTGATTGGGCTACATGGAGCCTTACAAGATATTTTTATATACAGGAGCTCCGACAGATGACGAACCACCCTGGCAGGTAGGTATATACATCTGCTGCTATAGAGAGCAGTGAGAGGCAGTTCCTCCATGTCGAAGGACAAAGCACCCTCATTTCATAAGTTTAACTTCCCGCATATAGTCCATCTGGCCTCTCCAATGCCACGCTGCTCACCCACACGTGGGCCACCGTTTTCTTAGCCTTACACCCCGCATTGCCTTATTCTGGAGACGTGACTCAAGCTTGACGTGTAGAGGATTGGTGCGTGTCTGGGTTGGAGATACGATTCGCTCCGAGGAAACCACCTGAAGCATGCAGAGTGTAAGATGAGCCTTTCACGGACTGGTTTCATTGCGGTTGCTGTTGGACCAGGATCTGGCGTCGGTTGTGCGAGGCCGCCATTGCGTCCTTGGCAAGCCACAGCGCGGATGCCGAGACTCGCTCGTAAATTAGCCCCCAAGCCCTAAGGCGTGTGTCGACTAATGGCAGGAGAGCGTTATATTACCACCGGCCATGCCAAGGGTTTGTACGTCATGGATAACTGGCCCAATTTCTGATTCTGAGCCGTACGAACTACTCCTTTGAGTCTAGGGACGATGGAGCCGACGAGCCACTTCCCCAGGGCGCCCACCATGCCACGTCCAATCCCCGCAAAGCATAGCGTCTTTCCCCGTATCTTGGCCTTCCTGATGCCCTGGAGAAATCCAGTGGGCTCGGATTACCGCTTTGATCTAGCCGAGAGCTCGGAGGGGGGGTCCAATACTACATTTAAATAACTACTGGTAGCGGCTCGCGATTTCGCCAGCTCCCGTCTTTTCGTCCAGACTTCGATTCGCGCCAGTTGCGCTGTGCTTGAACAACATGTTTGGGTTACCGAGGTTCTTTGGATTTAGAGGCAGAGCCTTGAACTTGGCGATCAGTTCCCTGGGCAGTCTTGATTTCTTGTACGCCGCCGCCTCCGTCGCATGAGATCCGGTCTCGCAACTGACTGGGGTCGTAAACAGGCTTTTCGGATATGATCAGGGTGTCACCGGTGGTCTCCTAGACCTGCCGTCGTTCATCAAATACTTCCCCGACATCAATGACAAGGCGGAGGGCATCGACCAAGCTTTGAAATCGCAGCGCAGTTTGAACCAGGGCATTGCCGTCGCATCGTACAATTTAGGATGTTTCTGTGGCGCCATCTTGACCATCTTTATCGGAAATCCGCTCGGTCGACGCAAAACCATCTTCATCGGCTGCTGCACGATGGCGACTGGAGCTCTATTGCAGGCCACCGCGTTCCGTTTGCCGCATTTCATTATCGGTCGCATTGTGACTGGGATTGGGAATGGGATGAACACGAGTACTGTACCCACATGGCAGTCCGAGTCATCCAAAGCCCACGATCGCGGAAAGTTGGTCATGATTGAGGGTATGCTGATCACGGGAGGCATTACACTTAGTTACTGGATCAACTACGGTGAGTCCTACATGGTCCACTTGCCCAGGCGAGGGGCATTGCTGATTGACCGTGAATAGGGTTTTCGTTCATCCCCGACAGTGAGGTGGCGTGGCGCTTTCCCCTGGCCTTCCAGATCCTGTTCGCAGTGGTGATTTTCATTTCGATTATGAATCTGCCAGAGTCTCCTCGTTGGCTGGTGATGCAGGGCCGCAACGACGAGGCTTTGGAGATTCTGGAGTACCTGAATGAAAAGCCCCGTGACGACCCCTATATCGTCAATGAATTCAAATCTATCCAGGAGACAGTGAAGGAGATGTCCAAGGGTTCTTACCGCAGTCTGTTCGACATGAGCGAGTATCGTGAATTCCATCGTGTCGCATTAGCCTATGTCAATCAAATGTTCCAGCAGATATCCGGAATCAACCTGATCACGTACTATGTGAGATATTGCCCATGCTCCTGATATGGGCTACATCATACTAAGACGATCTCTCAGGCTCCCTCTCTGTACGCCGAGATTGGCCTGGGCGAGGGCAATCTGCCGAAGTTGCTAGCGGCCTGTAACGGCACCGAATACCTCCTGGCTGCATTTATCCCGATCTTCATCATCGAAAAGGCTGGACGCCGGCCACTCATGCTGTTTGGGGTATTTAGCCTGTTCCCTGTCCGTCTGCTGTGCAATGGCCGCTGCTAACATTGATCTTTCCGCAGGCTGCGGGCATGTCGATCTCGATGGCTGTGCTGGCGGGTACCAACTACCGGTTGACGCATCTCGGTGACAGTCAAGCTGGTATCGGACAGGCCGTCTTCCTTTTCGTTTTCAACACCTTCTTCGCCATCGGTTGGCTTGGAATGACGTGGTTATACCCAGCAGAGATTGTGCCACTGCGCATTCGTGCACCGACCAACGCACTGGCAACGAGGTAGGTGTCTAGCGTGATCCTTGTCGCTTTCACGTTGCAGCCAAACTAACTTGCTTGTTAGCGCGAACTGGATCTTCAACTTCATGGTGGTGATGATTACGCCGGTTTCCTTCACCAACATTGGGTACAAGACCTATGTCATCTTCGCTGTTATGTAAGAGTGCCATGGTTCCCTGAAAATGGCCCTAAACTGACAATACCAGTAATGCATTCATGGTCCCCTGTGTTTACTTCTTCTTCCCGGAAACTCGGTACCGTTCCCTGGAGGAGATGGACAATATCTTCAAGAAGTCCACGAATGTCTTTAACGCGGTGACCATCTCCATCAAAGAACCGTACCGCTACGATAAACACGGTCAACTCAAGCCAGAGTACCTCGAGGAGGCCATCCGTCGCGCGAGCGCTACCGTCCAGGCTCCCACGAAGCCCTTCGAAAGCGACGACAGTACCACTGAGGTCAAGGCTTGAGCAGTACGGAGGAGAGATATGTAATAGATGGCGAGTTGGTCGCATGTATATCACTTATACCCACCGGCCCATTGCGATTTCACTCGGGCTGTGTTCTTCCCCAAGTCAGTTTCTAACATTCTGCTTGATGCGTTCGTTCCTTGTCCTTTGCTTAATTCAAGGCTCCTAGAGACCTAGAGAGCCTATTCGCAATTCTACTAAATCTTTGACCATTATCCAAAGCTGATCCTTGGGAGTGTAACACAGTCGCACTGCCTTGTGTCAATGCGACTAGCTCTGTAGCCGTTATTCCAAGCTTGCTAACCCAGTTTTTCTCCATGGCTTACAGCAATCCAGCCACGCACATTTGGCGCACGGTGTCGCAGTATCTGTAACAAGCCAAGTTCCAAATGGCGCAAAACAAGCATATCGCCAAGGTCAAAGCGCACTCAGTCGGATATATTAGGATTTAGCTGTAGCCATGCTGCAAGCCATCCTCCTTGCACCATCACAGCGAACGCCAGGCCAGGGGCCACCGTGCCGGGTCCAACAGCTGTGGTGTTGGTGGGCAACCTGATTGGGAGTCTGACTCAACACCATGGATTGACGCTTGCCAGGATTCACGAGACAGCGCGTTCCGAGTGGATGTGACAGTGCTCAGGCCCGATGGCGTCCAGACAGTTGCGGCCGTGCGGGCCAAAGAATCCTCCAGAGGCTTGGCTGTGCGGTCCGAGTGCTGGAGCCGGCTTGGCATGACAAACACAAAGAAAATGGAAAGAAAGAGAAAGAGAGAAATTCATACAGAAGTACAGAAAAGCTGGAGCCTAGCAAGCATCCATGGGTTCACATCCGATATAACCGAACCTGGATCACTTTGCGGACATGTGGGTTGGGATCTTATAACGGTCGTTCCGATGCTTATCCTCGGAGCACATCTCGCAGTGATCCAGCGTTATGACACCCGTGCAGTGCAATAAGCGAGAAGCCTTTCTCGGGTCCCTCGATGGATAGGTCATGTTGGGATTCGATGGTGGTACTTTTGACGAGAGTTGGCTGTCAAATTTGGAAAGTATCCCGCGTGGTACGATATCTAATCCAGTCTGACACCATCTCGAGAGTCTGAACCCCATTATCCATTGGGTAAAGAGGGAAACACGATGCGATTGAGATGGACCAAACACGATAATCGAGTTTAACCTCGAAGGGCGGAACACGAGGGCCAAGCCGCGGTCATTCCACGGGTTACCTGATCGGGAAACCCGGAACCAGCGGACGTCAGACTAAAGGTCTTGGCAGGGAACAGCCAATCACATGCCGCAGGTCACGAAAATACTCAGGCACCCATCGCGTGGGTTGCCTGTTTTTTCGGAATCATCCGGCAACTTCCTCATTCCATGTAGCCCTACCACCGCGATGGAAGCCATTCATTGTCACGCTCTAATGGATGACAGTATTCTCCTGGATTTGGACATGTCGTTTAATTGACCGTACCCGTCAATTTTGCCACACCACTACATGTACGAGGACAGTAGTCAGTCAACTTACGGGAGCATTGGCGATGTCTCCTACCCTTCGTCTCATATCTTATCGCTGGAAAACCATATGAATAGAACTGTAAGGCACCCTTTCCTCCTACATGACGGTGATAGGAGCTTCAACCCCAGAAAGGACAGATTGGTTCGTATCTACAAATACGGTCAACTCCCATGAGTGAAGCGTACTTATCAAAGCACTATGCAATCGCATCTTGGAAGTGACATCGTGAGAATATCTCATGACGGTAAACCCTTTTCGGCCAGGTTTAAGATATCCTCAAAATGACCATCGCAACCCTGAAGGTCCCGTCCAACCCGGTTTTTGATACAGGCGTTGCGGAGAATACGATCGCTCTTCAGATAATAGCAACTAGGTGCCGTCAACAAGTGCCCTGATGGATGCTGGATTGCAGCTTCCATCTGTATTTAAGATAGATTAAACCCAAAGACATCCTTAGGTGACATGTACTATGCGTCCCTTCATCGAGTGCAGGCACGATTTGCCTTGCCCTTCATGCCATTCGATGTCTCATAGGACTTCACAACCAAGTCCATCCCATTAAACCGAGACTGTCGAGTTTCCAAAATTAGGTACCACAGGCATTCCAAGACATTGATCCAACCAGCGATCGAATAGAAAACGACTGCCGACCAGCTTAATCGCAAGGCAACTTTACTCTGCCCCTGGTGCAGCGTAAGATCTGAAGCTGTCTAGAGGTCATGATCTTCGTCGTTTGGATCAGCTCCCGCTTGAAGACGTACCTCTACTATCTCTATATCGCTCTGATAAGCCGCGGAGTGTAATGGTGGCCAGCCCTGAGCGTCCCAACAGTCCAAGCTTGCTCCTCCACCAATATATATCAAGGCCACCTTTGGCAATCAATTCCTGACATCCGCAATGCGAAGCATCCAGAGACACCCCTATAGGGTAGGAAACTAAGGATTATACGTCCTCCGCTATAAGGAGTGAAGTTTAAGACGTATGATCCCCTTCACCCACTATTCTAAAGTTTTGGTCCATGTTAGACAGAGTGAGTATAGAGAGAGCTAGAGAAAATCTGGATAAGCAATGCAAGGGAAACGTCGTAATGTCAGGAGTTTATATCCAAATAGTAACGCTCCGTGTAGGTCTGTAGAAGTAACATAATGTTCTGTGATTGAGCCCTTGGCTAATATCTCCTAAACCTGACTCTTTCTGTTCCAATCCTTTCATCTCTTCTTGGTCACCGCGTATTAATAGGCCTCGAGTTCGTAACTTGCGTACATGAAGGGCCCCGCGCCCTTAACATCATTCTGCACAACGGGAACCGATATGTAATACTGCATGCAGTCAGTTAAGCCTACCATCATTATATCGGCGCTCGCTAAAGATCAGAGCTTACCTCGAAGCTTCCGTTGCTGCTTAGGCTTCCTACCTCCACCGTCCCCTCCCAGTTCAACGTCCCGTTGTTATTCTTGCTCAGAAACTTATCCACCAACAGCTTGTACCCGTTGTCGGCTGCCTGAGAGTAATCGCTTGTCTCCAAGTATCCATTTCGCATACCCTTCAGGAATCCATAGGTGAACATTGCAGACCCACTGCTCTCAATGTAGTTCCTGGGGTCGCTTGGATATGGCTCATTCATGATCAACCACCATCCACCACTTTCATCCTGAGTCCGTTTAAGCACCTGTGCGAGTTTCTGGAAGCGGCTGAGGTTGGTCTCCCAGCCTGGGTGAGACTTCGGGAAGTAATCCAGGATATCCACAAGAGCCATAAAATACCATCCTAGGGCGCGATTCCAGACAAGCGGGGCAGCACCGGTTTCGGGATCTGCAAGTGATTGTTATTATCTTGCTTTGTGAAATTAGAGGATAGTGGGAGGGGTTTAAACAGCGAGCATCGTTGACATACCAGCCCAAACAGCAGTTTTGCTGTAATCAAATCCGTGGGCAAGCAGCCCATCCTCCCGCAAACAATGCTCCTCGATCAAGTCATACTGGAGCATGATATCATCCCACGCAGTACTATTGTCTGCATCGAACCATGCAGTATACAATGCGTAGAAATTCGTTGACATATAGATCCCATCCAGCCACATTTGGTTGGGATAAGTCGGGTCTCGATGCCAGAGCCCGCCTCCCTCGTTGCGCGGTGTCAGATCGATCTGTCGTCGAAGAGTGTCGGCACCTAGCTTGAACCTCTCTTGACCAGTGGCGGCCCAAGCAGACAGAAAGTTTGTGCCGATCCGGAGATCGTCGAGGGAGATCTTATCGGACAGGTTATAGCTTATCAATTCACCTGAATCACTGACAACGCCCGAGAGTTGAGACTCTATGAAGTCAAGATATTCGGGGTTACTGGTTTTGTTATGTGCGAATTCAATACCCCGGTATAGAACCCCATAAGCGTAATTCCGGGAAAGGGGCACCGACTTGGACAACCAAGATGTAGCCATCCATTCTGTGTAGTTGTTGTTGCTGGCAGCCAATGTTGTGCCTGCCGTAGTGGCGATGAGGGCCAGAGATGGTCGCATCTTGAGAAGAGTGAAGTAGACTAGTATAACGGTCAATACTGCTCTTTCTCCCGATAGTAGATCTCTACATGCTCCATGATCTTATATTTACAATAGCCTCGGTTAATTTCATCGTTATACAAGGAGCTCTTAAGCCAAGAAACGGATGAATTCCTTCCTGGCAGAAACCCCACGAATAATACCCCACAGCTTTAAATCTAGCTACGTATAGCACCCTCTAGCATGATGTTTAATGGTGGAATTTCCCGCTATGTCTTCTTTTCTCTGTCTTAGTTGACTACTTTATTGTTAGCCAAGAAAATGGCGACCGTGCCTAGGAATGCTCCGCCACACCGTAACAATCTAGACTCTACCAATTGATTTAAGGTGAAACGTTTAGTTATAGGCGAGATAGTCAAGATCGCCTCGATTCCTGAGCTGGGATATGACGTTATTGTGGTCTCTAACTAGTTGTATACCTGCGCATGCAGGCCTGGAAGGATCTCAAGATCCTTCGGCCGATAGGTGTATTTCCCATCCTCAGAGATCTTCGCATCTCGTGTGCGTCTTTGCTGCTGCGTCTGTCGCACCTTGACCCATTGCTCAGTCGTCAAATGTTGCCCTAATTCCGTGAAGACATTCTTCGTAAACCCTAGTCGGTTGAGTAGTGGGCTGTTTTGGATCGGGTCCAACACGACATGGTTATTCGGCCTGGGTACGGAGCTTAAGAATCAGTATTTGCTGTGCAACAAATCTCGGTCAGCGAACCCACCGTGCAAAGTATAATACTCCCAACCGATCAACATGCGCTTGATCAGCTGGCGGCACATGGACGCGATGGATGCTTGACTTAATCAGACCACCCGTAAGAGCAGTCAGTGCATCACAGGTGTTCACCGTAATTGTTCCATCCTGCGGACGGACCCATTTCCACTGACCCTCAGAATTAAGGATCTGCAATGCAGCAACCGGTTGACGAAACAAAAGAGTTACCGTGCCCAGGTCTGTATGTCCGGGTACGTACATACTGCCCACCTTTTGGTTCTCCTCGGCCCCGCGTGCTGCGTAGTGCATGTATCGAAGATGGTCCTCACCTTTCACATCATATTGATGGTCCCGGACAAGCTGGTCCTCAGGGAGCTCAAGGAGAATGGCGAACAGACGGAGAAGCTTCTCGACAACTTCTGTGTGGCATTTCTATGCCCACCGTTACTACGAATTCGATTGACGAAGTATAGAGTAGTGGTACATACCCGGCTAAATGCTTCGATTTCCTCCAGATGATCGCTGAGAATAGGCGGCTGCTGGCGTTGGTGATAGCCGTCGAACTTGGGGATATTGTAGACTTGTACATTGTCTTTGACCCCATTTCCAAGACTAGAGAGGTTAGTGTGCATTCTCAATACGCTGACTCGAAGTCTTACGCCCGGTGTCCCGCAGGTCTGTATCCGTTATATTCGCCCTTTTCGAGGTCAGAGGCACTGTGGTACTTGAGTTTTTCTTCCAGAGGAAGTGCATAGAACTCGCGACCGAGAGCAAATTGGCGATCAATTTCCTCTTGGCTGATGTTGAAGTTCTTGACGTAGAAGAAGCCTGTTCCCCAGCATATTAGACAACGCGATACATGTGGAGCTGAATACTCACCCACGTGCCGCACAGCATGATCCAGTTGCTTTACAAGCTCTTCTTTGCCTCCGGGTTGGTCATATTGACTGAGGTCAAGAGTAACAAGTTCAGCCCAATCGACTACTTCATCAGCCACATTGAGGACGAAGTGTGTAGGGATTACTACTCACGGTCTTCCTTTGTCACTGGAACGTGATCGTATCTGTCGATAAGTTTGGCAGGCATGTTGAACAAAAGAGACTTAGTTCTCCAGATAAGGCTTGTGAGAAGACCAGATGTCCAAAGGAATACTTTGACAATATACTCTCCTGAAGATGAGTGCTATAAAACACTTCAACCCCGCATTACGCACCTTCCGATGATTACCAAGGCCTGCACGAAAGCACGCAAGCTTTCCCACGCATGTCGAGTCAGATGCTGGCGGTACAGGGCCGAATCATTGGCTCACGGAAGTGATAACGAGTCACTAAAGTGATGTTAGACCGGGCCTGAGGCACGCCATCCGCACTACCGATTTGCTGTCTTTAGGTCGGAGACAACCAACCACAGCTCCTTTCCCCTCTTCTAATAGAGGCTTAAAGGATTGTGGACTTGAGAGTGGCCTGGTCATCGATCGCTTGGCGACATAATGGTGCTGTTATAGCCCACGTTAACGTAAGTTGAGCAGGGGATATACGTCTCCTAGTCTGGCGAGTAGGTACAGGTCTGGCGTTGGGTCGGGTAGGCCTTGGCCGGGCAACAATTTATGTATGAGCATATTTATCCTCAATCTGATAAGATAATCCTGTGGTATGATTTTCTTTACCCCTTTCAATATTAATTTTTGATTTCCTTGTATTTCTTGCTTTCCCAAGTCTCCATCAATAGAGACTAGACCAACCTTACTCAAACAAGCATGGCCCCAGCGCCCGTTAAGTCAAAGGATATACCATGGGTCCTAACGCTACATGTCTTGGAGGATATTCTTGCGATCCATTTTCTACTTTCGGCCATGGAACTCTTGGCCAGCCAATTCGAAGGTGGTCAGTGGGATCTAATCGACTCAGATGTGTCGGAATCTGGCCGATATGGTGAAGATATTCATGAAATGTGAACTGACTATGATGGTGTCCCGACGTAGTGGGACTGTTGCTATCGGTTTGTTCATTTACCAGTACGATAGGCCTGATACATATCTCTCGATCAGGAAAATGGTCTTTCTACTTAGATATGCCTTACTCAAGGCGTGGAATGTGGACTATGTACTATATCCGGGAGGTCAGCCGTAGGCACAATTACCTTCGGAACTCCTAAGAATTCATCACTTGGAGACTAAAATGTGACACATGAGTATGAAACATTCATCTACCATGGCCTTCCAGAACACTGACGCTGTAAATGAGTCCCTTGTGGATACAGTATGGTTTGGCCATGCACAGCGAGAAGGCTCTGACAGCGTTACCTCCCGGTATCATATCAGAGTTGATCGCTAACTTTCCCGAGGTTCTTAGGATTTCCCGGGCCGAGTGAATCGTTTTGACGTGGCGAGTCATGCATCTATAACTACTCCGAATGTCCTTGTTCATTTACTAATATGATCTCTCTTCGATGCTCTTTATAAAGGCCAACCCAGACCAGGACTTGCGACATCCATGAGAGTCGCTATGAACAACCCCGAATCATTCTGGAACGCGACATGAGATGCGGCACCCTAACATCGGAGGAGTTCACCTTTCTTTCGTCATCAGGTATTCATGATGCTCAAGAACCCACACATGGCGCAGATTTCCCAGTTTTGGCAGGAGGCGAAATCCTAAACCCTCCTTGATAAAACGTATTGTCGAGACCTACACAAGGCCCATTTTGCAGGCGCCCTGCGTGCACCATACATGAAACACACTACTCGGCAATCTTGGCGACTATTAATTGCCGAGTCCGAGGCGTGTTTGGGCGACAGCGAAGCATTTGGGGGAAATCGTGGAGTGCGGGGAAATTGCGGACTTTTTTCCACGGTCTCTTCCACGCTACGGACAACTGCCGATCTCAACTGCTTGCGACCTACTGCATTGAAGGTTTCGCCGAGGCTTCCAGATGTTCCTGTATTTTACAGTCTTACCCCGGTATTTGATAGCTACGGGTTTCCCTTCGCTTTTGCCGTTTGTGGGGATCTTAATCTCGAGCTGTTATCTGATACCTCCTTTCGAGACGGAATCACATCTGGGGTACAGGATGGCGAAAAGTTATAAAATCAAGCATGTAGCTCGAGAATCTCCATTTGCGATATAGCATTATTCGTTGACACTTGCCATGCGGTTCTTATTGCCTTTCCTTGCTGCAACCGCAGCTGCAGCTGCAGCCATAGAACCATCTCAGTCTTCTACTGATTCTAACCACAAGGACTCTTCTTTCCAGGCTGAGTGTGAATCATTCGGGGAAAGGATTAAACAACCTAATGCGACTGTCCATTCGGTTACCTATGTCCCGGCCGGGGTGAACATCTCCATGGAATATAACCCGGCCATTTGTGGCGGCGACGATTCCATAACCAGCACATTCGCATTTTGTCGCATTGCGCTCAATGTCACGACTTCCATCAAGAGTCAGATCTTTATGGAAGCCTGGCTGCCCAGTAACTATTCTGGCCGATTTTTGAGCACAGGAAATGGCGGTCTTGGTGGTTGTATGTGACCTTTCTTTCTTGACCCGGCGCGCTCTATCTAAACAACGTCACATAGGTATCAAGTACGATGACATGGCCTATGCTGCTGGATATGGATTTGCCACTGTTGGCACAAATAACGGACATTTCGGTGATACTGGTGTCTACTTCTACGAAAACTCCGAGGTGATTGAGGATTTTGCTTACCGCGCGCTCCATACCGGGGTTGTTGTCGGGAAGGAATTGACTCAAAGCTTTTATTCTGAAGGCTATAACAAATCATACTATCTTGGTTGCTCTACTGGAGGGCGTCAAGGCTGGAAGTCCGTGCACAGATTCCCAGACGACTTCGACGGTGTCGTGGCTGGTGCGCCTGCTTTCAATTTTGTTAATCTCACCAGCTGGGGTGCCCGATTCCTCACCCTCACGGGCAACTCCAGCGCAGCGACCTTTGTGACTAAAACGCAATGGAGTACCGTGCACGACGAGATACTCAGACAGTGCGACTCCCTCGACGGTGCGGTGGACGGCGTCATAGAGGACCCGGATCTTTGTCAGCCTATCATTGAGACTTTACTCTGCAATGCGACCCAATCCCCCACTTCTGGTACGTGTCTCACTGGAGCGCAGGTTGAGACAGTGAACGGTGTTTTCAGTCCGACCTATGGTGTCGATGGCTCCCTCCTCTACCCACGTATGCAGCCCGGATCCGAGCTAGGAGCGTCCAGCATCTACTACAGTGGGGCGCCTTTTTCCTATGCCGAAGACTGGTATCGCTATGTGGTATACAACAACACCAACTGGGACCTTACAACTTGGACCGTGAAGGACGCCGCTGTTGCCAGCGCTCAGGACCCTTATCAAATCTCCACCTGGGACGGCGATCTCTCTCCCTTCCAAAACAAGGGTGGTAAGGTCCTTCATTACCACGGTGTGGAGGACCCGATTATCTCTTCCGACAGCTCCAAACGCTACTATAAGCATGTAGCCGATACAATGAATCTCAGCCCCTCTGAGCTCGACAGTTTCTACCGTTTCTTTCCGATCAGCGGCATGGGTCACTGCGCAAATTCAAACGGGGCTTCTGCTATCGGTCAGGGGTCTGGGACATTTTCAGGAAATAACCCCGAGGATAATGTCCTCCTGGCCATGGTTCAGTGGGTTGAGGAGGGTATCGCCCCTGACTTTGTTCGGGGTGCCAAGCTCAATGGCTCTACTGCGGAATATCACCGGAAGCACTGCAAGTATCCTAAGCGCAATAGATATGTCGGGCCGGGTCTGTACACGGATGAGAAAGCCTGGGAATGTGTCTAATCTAGATTTATGAAATCCCAAGATATATCCAAGGATTGCCGTCAGGTGATACCGATGATACAATGATTTAAAGCTAGCGTTACTGGAGAAGGACTAATATAACGCAACAAGAGATTAATTAGTAGAACGATACATAGCTTCAATTGAAATTTGGGAACCCATGATCATTATGGTACACAGAGTCAAGCTGATGCTCTTTCCATGACAACCCTTGCTTCTCCAACATACATTTAGCCACCATACTTATAATAGTCCATTGCCATCGTTGTCTAAACAGGATCATACAAGTGCCAAACAACATATCAAACCACACACCCACCTCAACGAGCACAGTTAACCACGTAGAAGTTGGCTCAGATTTGGTACGGCCTGGCTCCCTATCAAAATCCTTGCGGCTGCGAGGTAAATTCCGGTACTAATGGTGGCAACACCCCCAAAGGCAGTAAGGAGTCCCAGATACGATAGGACTTCGATACCGGGCCTTTTGAGCAAATAGATTTTGCGCTCCCCCTCTCGTGTCGTTCGTTTGAGACTTGGAACGTATTTGAAGTCAAAGACCGTTTCTTTTCCTAGGCCCTCCTTTTCATCCATGAGGTGGCTCCACATCATCCGGCGGCGAGACTGCAGTTAAAATTCCAACGTCAGTATTTTACGGCCACATAGAAGACGATCGGGAAGGTGGGAAGGTGTTCCATACTGCAAAAACAAATTTCTCAATAAAACCAATCCTTGGCAGCGCTTTGGCCTGTAATTGCACCGAGAGACAATATCCCCACATTAGCAATCGATAGTACAAATTCGTTCGCGGGATATGGAGCTCATCCGAGAGCTGATCGCCGTTAAGTAAACGAGATAAAGCGTCCATGAACTCCTTCGAGGCATATGTAGGGGCCGTGTTCTCCATTCCTATTACAATGTTCTTTGCAAGGATCCGTCCTGTATCGGTCGGGGCAAATTCATTGATGAGCAGCGACTCCGACCAAAGTTTCGCATTGGCTGCACTTTCAAAGGGCTCGGTTGGGGCGCCCATATACCAGGCCACCAGGCGCCATAAAGCGATGTAATCCTCCGTCTCTTGGTCGCTCAGATTGATACCTTGGCGTGGTAACCCTAACCAGATAACAGTGCTACTATATGTATTGATAGTCGCAAAAGCATCGAGATCGTTGATGGGCAAGCCATATTTTTGGACGTCATAATAACTTGGGTCTCGCTCCACCAGGCTCATGATCTTGAGACGCACAGCTGAATGAAGGAGTCGGACTCGAACACACGCGAGATGTCCTTCACCCCCAGGCCTCATGCTGTCGACGGAGCTGTTCACTTGGAACGCGTGTTGAGCGGTCTCTAGTAGTCGGCGACGGACGACATTAGCGCTGAACCCTCCAGTCCGTGATAACGTTTCTCCCACGCGAATGGCTCCCCTATAGATTGTTGGGATTAGAGCTTGCACACGCTATACGATAGGTAGAGGAAACTGAAAGCACATTCATACATTCCACCGAGTAGGCTATTATATGTGAGCTAAACGCGATAGAGTTAGCAGTGTCTTTATCCCAGGTAGAGAATACTCATACCGAGTTCGTTATGGGGAGCATATATCGCCAGTACACCTCTTGGCCCCGTTGGATCTGTGCCCAGTCCACCCACTCGGGCACCGTGTTGATCTGGGTCCATAGCTCCTCTAGCTTCGGATGCTTTTCACGATTCCCCATCAACAGTGCAAACCGGTCTCTTTTCGAAATATTGCCACCTTCATCGCTGGGAGGGGCAGGCAACTCATTCAATATCTGATTGCACTCATCCGCAAGGCTATCACAGGCGTAAATCCAAGACTCGAACTCGCTCGCAGGGCGATGTTGATCGGTCCACTCGAAACTGTAATCCCAGTAATGGTACTCAATTCGGTTTCCCTTCGTGTTCTTGGGCGCAGACATCATTGCAATAGGTTATTCTATGGCAAATAATACAAGACATTACCTAGTCCTAGTGTCGCAGGATAATATATGCCGGTCGCTGAGTATTGCGATGTCTATGCTCTTGCTCCCCGCGGACCGAGGCCCGCATATTGGACAGCACCTCATGTCAGATGCAGGGGATAATAAAGTGTTTCTTATCATGGAGAGCCACGGTGTCCTGCTGATCCTTAGTGCTGTAGAATAAACTTGTAGAGCTCCAGGTTGTATGACAATAGCGGGAGAAGTTCAAGAGCTTCACATGCCTTGAGTGACGTCAGGACGAGGCTCTCCAGTTTCTTTGCAAGAAGGGCAGGGCCCCGCAGTTACTAGGTAGAGTTTAAGAATATAAAATGAGTGCACATGGTGCAGCATAAAGCTCCTATGTGCAGCATAAACAACCGTGCTATGCGGATTCCGGGATGGTGAGCCCCCTCGGTCCGAGCATCATAGGCGGGGTAAAACCCTACCTGCAAGGCGCCATGCTGCAATTCTACGTATATTTCCCTTTGTCACAGACCTGCAGCCAATTACTCCTGACATATGGATGTCAGTTGTGCATGATTACGATTAAACATCACTGCATGCGATCAGATGACCGCCGTAGTTATTTTTTCACATTGGCACTATGCATCTCCGACATACAGCATATCAACTAGTGCATCAGAGCGTGACTGCTCGGTTGTATTGGCCCAAGGTGAAGCGATGGTAGCGATTCGTCATATCCTCTAGCAACATAGGTATCCCAGTGATTTCTATTAGTTGCTGCAAGGCGCTCGCTGCGACTACGGTGTGCCAGATGGCTGGCTCGGCATGGCTCATTTGGAGTGTAAGCAGACCCCACATGTGGTGATCGAGCCCCACGTTTATCGTCGGGATGGTGGAGCATTGGAAATATGAGAAACAGCGCCTCTCGTTATATATTTGATCTGGGAGCACCAGGCACATTTGATGGAGGTTGACAGTTGTGCCGCTGGCTGGTCTCTTCTGTAAAGGAAGTTGATCAAGATCGTAGCCGTCACATTGGCGCCCAGTTTAGTCACACTTCAAGCACCTACCCGGTAATTCGTCGCACTTGACATGTCGTATTCTATCCACCGGGGTTAGTGGCACGGTGCGCGCTCGTCGGAGTTATTTACCAACCGGCATGTGCGGCATCCGGGTCTTGACCTGGGAGCTCGGGCTATGCGCGTCCCCTTCGGCTCGCTTGACTGGCGCAAGCCTCCCATTGCCGTTAGATAACAAAGAATAACTACTAGACACTGCCGTAGCCACACCCGGAGAGAACACTAAAAGCCGAAAAGGTTTACAGGGGGGAACGGGAAACCACGTCAGCAGGTTGCAGTTATTAGGCAGTTAATGCAGCGGCCATGTAAGCCATGTTGGATTAAATAACTAGTTATGGACTAGCCAAGTGACTAGTTAGTAGTACTTTGCTCAAGTAATGCTTGTTAAGCCACAGGGCTTGGCAAGTGCATGTTAGTGTAGTAACGAGTACGTACCGATATTGCAGCGGTTTGAGAGTTGAAGCATCCTACAAGGGGAAGATGGCAGCCCTTGTTACCTGATTCTACAGGGAAGGAGAATGTCAGGATAACCCCTATATAAGTAAGATAGCTTCGAGGAAGAGCGAGAGCGAGAGAGACCATCCAGGGGTATTCGGCGAGATTCCCCCGGCTTTAGGGCCTAAAATGCTCGGGTAAAATCTCATCCGATGCTCCCTCTTCTGCTTCTCCACCGTGTTGTTCTTTGCTTACTGAGAGTCGGCGCAGGAACCCCAGATTTCACCCACATCAGTCCACATTTTCCTCCACGCAGATGCCGAGCAGTCAGAATAGCTATTGGTTTCCACGTGGGTAGCTTACAGACACTTCCTTTTCTCATTTGTAAAATTTTGTCACTCCCTTTCTGACACGGGAAATAGTAAATAAGGTCACTCTACCGTATGGCAACTCTCTACGACATGGCGCCCAGCCAAGACGGGTTAACATGTACAAGGCGTAGCCACGAAGCTTAGCAATATGAGGAAGAATTATTCCCACGGCTGCACACGGGTGCACAGCTCGAATCAATTTATCAGCCCTCACTTGTCAATCCCCACGGGGGTAAATACCCGGGGACCACACGTCAGTGGGAAACTCTGGCTAAATTAGCCCAGCGATCTTTGCCGGAAATCGGAAAGCCTGCGGAGGTCAGAGAAGCAGTCGTAGAAGCTGCTCTGGCTCATGCATAAGACAAAAAGCCGTTATGAGCCGGAATCCCAACAGTTTTTCCCCTAAGAGGACTTCTGATCGGCATCTACTACGACAGTCCCGACCATTTCCTCTCTCAATCTCAACTCTATCATATACAACGGTCACTCGCTCAAAGCCCTTTCTATCTCTATAGGGCACGTTTTGTCACCAAATACCTACGTCTTTCGCTCTATATCGCCAATATGGCGGGTGGTATAGCATCTCAGGGCATCTCTGCCAAGCGCGCAGAGCTTGCTGGAGGCAGAGTTGGATGGCGTGGGCTCGTCCACAGCAAGAAAACCTTCGGTATTGCGCTGTTTGCCTCGCTCGGTGGCTTAGTCTATGGATGTATGTACAGCCAAATCCCGAAACAACTGATTATGAGAAGATTAACGATCTTCAGACAACCAGGGAATGTTCGCCCAAATTCTTACGATGCCGTCCTTTATTGATGCGGTATGCACGTCACACACACCCCTTTGGGTATCCATAGAACCCAGCTGATATGATTTAGACGCAAGGATATGCAGAACACACGGGCACCGCTCAGGGCATGCTTACCTCTATTCTCGAGCTCGGTGCCTGGTTGGGAACGCTCGCCAATGGATATTTGGCCGATGCGCTGGGTCGCCGTGTGACTGTCGTTGTGGCCGTGGTTGTGTTCTGTGTGGGAGTCATTGTCCAGGCGTGCACGACCAACCCAGACTTTGTTTATGCCGGTCGGTTTGTCACCGGTCTGGGAGTCGGTAACCTGAGTATGATTGTCCCGCTTTACAACGCTGAGCTGGTATGTTGGATATCACTCCGATTTGGATGATGTAGTCTCACTCGAGCAGGCTCCTCCCGAGATTCGAGGATCCCTAGTCGCCGTTCAGCAATTGGCCATTACCTTCGGTATCATGGTCAGTTTCTGGGTAAGTACCATACTCCCCTCTCGTCCTGGGGTCCCACTAATCGTGCTAGATCGGATATGGTACAAACTTCATCGGCGGAACGGGAGAAGGTCAGTCCATTGCGGCCTGGGAGATTCCGGTCTGTATCCAAATTCTACCTGCGCTCGTCCTGGCGGTTGGCATGCTGCTGTTCATGCCGCAATCACCGCGTCATCTCATCAATCAAGGTCGCGAAGAAGAGTGTTTACAGACCGTAGCTCGTCTGCGCGACGCTTCGGTCGATGATATGCTCGTGCGCATCGAATTCTTGGAGATGAAGGCGCTCCGTATGTTTGAGGATGAGACGGCGCGGAAGAAGTATCCGCAGTACCAGGATGGGTCATTCAAGAGTCGTTTCATGATTGGGCTGCACGATTACATGTCCCTCATCACGGATAAGTCGCTCTTCAAGCGGACCAGCGTTGCGGTATGTTCCTTGCCACGGCTTCCTTTGACGACCGCTGACGACTGCAGTGCTTGATCATGGTCTTTCAGCAGTGGAATGGTATCAATGCGTAAGTCGCCATGAATAAGATAATATATCTAGATATACTAATGCCTACTAGGATCAACTATTATGCGTAAGTCCTCCGCTGCGCCAGGTGGGCATGTCTAATCCTTCACAGCCCGCAGATTTTTAAAGATCTTCAGCTCGGTGGTACCACTACTTCATTGCTCGCCACCGGAGTAGCTGGTATCTTCGAGTTCGTTTTTACCATTCCTGCCGTTCTCTGGGTCGACAATATTGGTCGGAAGAAGATCCTTATTGCCGGTGGCATTGGTATGGCTGTTTGTCACTTTATCGTGGCTGGTATTATTGGATCCTATCAACATACATTTTCCCAGCACAAGGCTCCTGGCTGGGTTGCTGTAGTATTCGTCTGGATTTTCATCATCAACTTTGCCTATTCATGGGGTGAGTCGAACCATGTCCGTGGCCCGCCAGCCTTGACTAACTGTCGTAGGTCCTGTTGCTTGGATCGTGGTTTCTGAGGTCTACCCCTTGAGCATGCGTGCCAAGGGTGTCAGTATCGGTGGAAGCAGCAACTGGGTACGTTCCTCTTTCTCCATTTTGTGGTGTATACCCGTTGTCCTAATCTTTTTGTTTTGCAGCTGAACAATTTCGCCGTGGGTCTCTCTACTTCTCCGTTTCTCAGTGCCTCAAACTATGGTACGTTCATCTTTTTTGGATGTATCACCACCATCGGTGTAATTTGGGTGTGGTTCCTGGTGCCCGAAACCAAAGGTCGCACCTTGGAGGAGATGGACGAACTCTTTGGCTCCGGAGGCATGGCTGCGGAGGATGAGGCCCGGAAGCGACGGATTGAGCGTGAGATCGGGCTCTTGGCACTCTTGGGCGAGGAACCCGAGCATCCAACCGATGAGAAGCTAGCCGAGAAGCCTACGCATGTTGATAATGTGTCGGAGTAGTGTTCTGAGGCTGGAGTGGGTTGGCTGTCGTGTTGCTACCGCTGGTCAGGCTACGTAGCATGTGCCAAGTAGTATTAGCTGATGGGTGTCGCTGAGGGCTACTTAGTGTTAGATTATTAGTAATGTATTTTCTCTCCTCATCACGTTGTCATTATTTCCTAGCACAGATAATTTGTATCCCGTATGTCTAGCTCTTCTCCTATGTGGACAGCCTTATGAGTGTGCTGTGCATTAGGAATGTAGCGAACACCTTACATCATCGAGCCGATGCTATGCTCACTGATCAGACCACAGCTGCATGGATATAGCAACCAAGGGACGTGTACCAATCATGCGTGACTCCACACCCCATACTCGGCCTGTACCGACATTCATGGGGATTTCTCCGCATGCTGGTCGTATTATCCTAAACCCGACAACGCATTCTGCCGGATAAATTCGTCTATTTAGCCTGAGATCGTATGGCCGACTGGTACCTTAATGCCGTAATGCCGTCATCCCGGTGCCGTTAATTCCGAACAAGCTTGTAGCAGGTACCACTGGAACATTATATCAGGGTGAATACCACAGGTCCCTGCTCCTATGCGCACAGGATATGCACTGGTTGTTCTTTTTTGCCCCTGATTTTGTATTTGCTTGGCTTTTACTAATCATCTTCGTAGTTCGTCGACCAAGCCGTAGTTTCTTGGTCCGTGCACACTTGGTTCTGTGGCCTTCGGATGCAGATACAATAACATAGTTTGGCACTTAGCATACATCTTCGGATTTATATCCCACTTGGGAATCTAGATTTACATCGAAGAATCCTAGATAATGATTCCAATCGCCATCCGAGCCCGTTTGTGCATTACGCTGACAATCGTCTCCAGTGCAATGACTTTTGTATATAATCGCATTGGGCACAATACAATTTACACCCAACGAGAGCAATGCAGCGCTCTCCGGTGGTGCTTCCCCCTCCCCTATCGTATACTCGCTACAAGCAAAAACTCCCGAGCCATTGTTTATTCTTTTTTTGTGAGATTTGACAGACGACCGTCCACGACACGAGCGACTACAGGGGTCACAGCTTTCACCAAGTCTTCGGAGCTTACCCGCATGGAGATAAAGAAAGCCTGTCAATTTGCCCTTCTTGATGTGAGCAATTGCCACAACTTGTAAAAAGCCTTCATTGGGTCGGGAGAGCAAGGCCATAAGCTTCCCTACAGAGAGGTCTTGAAATTCACATCTTGCTCGGAATCGGACTTTTGTCAGTCCACCATCTTATAATGACCGTTCTTGTAAACATCCTCGCAGTCAAGACTTGTGCAAAACAGAGAACTTGAGGACTGGAAATGTCACCTTGGGTCCTGGTGCCCAGAGACCCGCTTTCATTAAACCCTTTGGCCCCGAAACAGAAAATGGATCGAGAGTCACGTGATACATTTAGATCTAAGTTCCTCCTGAGTAGTCTGGACATCATTTCGCAGCCAATTAGGACAGGAGATTATAACTAATACCTGTTGATGCCTGTCCAAGGTTACATGCGAAGAATTCTAAGAATGAAGTAGCGCTACTTGTTCTCAATAGTATGAGCCTCGAACCATCTATTTTTGAGCAGAAGCCAAGGCACTAGGCGAGCACAGACCGTTGGGTTTCATTGCCCAGTTAAACCTCACCAATTATTGAGGAACCCACGAGCCCAAGGAGGCTTACAGCCGGAGCAAAAACCGTTAGTTTGATTGACTATCATTTCCTGGAAAGTTCATGGGTTCGTCTGCCCTATTGTTAATTTCCGGCAAATGGAACCATTACTTACTTAATTCTTGTCAGTCCCAGTTCCCTAAGGTCTATATTCTGAGGTGAAGATACACTCCTTTCTCTTCTAACTTTCTGTCATTCGTTTGTATAATCGGAACATCAGTCGCTCGTTTCTGTCCAGTTGTTCCTCTATCACTCTTTTTCCCCCTCCTAGACTCCTTTTGTGTCAATCTATTCAGGGGTTGATATCGATTTCGGGCCGATACCGCCAAGCCACCAAAGAGAATACCGTAAAGGAACTCCAATAGGAAGAAAAAAATGCGGTTTCTGCTCCTTTTTGCTATTGGGTTCACCCCCCTGGTTTCCGCCCTTAGCATCAACAAGCCGGGCGCCAACTCAACGTACGCTGCCGGATCTACAGTAACGGTCAACTGGAGTACGGTGGACACGGATCCCACCGAGATCAGCCTCTACTTGTGGAACTTTGTTTCCTGGCCGCCCTCTTATGTTTCTCTGGCTCAGAATGTGCCCACCGCCGATCAGTCCTACGCGGTGCAGATCCCCTGCGACACCAACCCCGAATGGGGCTATCAAATCAGCGCCATCAACGGGACCAATGTATACATCATCTACGCGCAGGGTGACCGGTTTACGGTCTCCGAACCTGTGAATGGCACCAGCTGTGCCGACTCTGTCCCCCCACCACCAGCTTCCACCTGCGGTCCCACCAGCGCGGTGTCGACCGTTTATGTCACGGTGAGCCCTACTGGTTCCAGTTCTCGTCTGATTCATCATTCCTCCCACGGCCTTCATTCCAGCCACCACCTGCATTCCACCCACGTCCTCCCTGCTCCCTCATCCACTGTCACTGCCTCTTCAAAATACGTGAAGCCCGGAATTGTGCCTAAGACTATTGGTTGGTGCTCAGACTACTCCCACCCTGTGACCTTGGACAAGGTCCCCACGCCCACCCCAGTCCCGGCTGGCACCAACGACGCTGGACTCTCTACACCTTCCGCAGTCGTCACTGCTGCGCCTAGTGAGGTGACTGGAGAAGCAAAGATCGTGACAATCACTACTACGGTGTCCGTACCTGCTGCTCCTGGAGACGAACAATGCCTTTTTGTCTAAACGCGGCTATGCCATGTTAGAAATTGATCTGCCTCAATACTATGTATTTAGTATGCTTGTTGATTAATGAACTTACAGTTCCACTATATCGGAAACCATAACAAGAATATTTCCGCCATGGTAATTGTATAGATGCAAAGTACAAATCATCCTTTAGTCACTAGCACGGAAATATCAGGGATAGATTATGGGGTTACTCACTTGTGCTTGACATATCCCAGCCGCTACATAGTTGATTAAACCTTTGCAGGTCCTTGGTAACTTGCACGCCCTTGAAGTCGATGGGGTTATCGGGATGTAATGGGGAGACTAGATCCTTTGAAGATGATTCTAGAGTATCAGGACTGGAGGGGTAATCAGTACTGAGGAGGAATGCGGTGGGTCAGTAGATGTACCATGTAACAGCCCTCCCTAGTCCTGTACTACGCTGTAATAAAATAGCCCTGTATTTCTCAATATTTGGTTAGTATTCGCTAGCACTATAAACTCGATTTCTATTCCAAAGTACAAAGTATGTGACGTTGCACCGAAATTAGGTTACAAAGAAAGCCCGGTGCCCGCAGCCGCGTCCCTCCCTCGTCCTATTGTATATTCGATACTCCACAAGAGTGACAAGGCTTGGCATACTTATTATAGCTTAGACTTAAATGATAAGGGTTATTTCTAAGGAGACCATGCTAGGGGTGGGCAGTTTCACTGTATCATTAAAACAAGATCCAACCTTGGCCATATATTGAAATCCTGATGTTAGCCGTAGCTGCCAATACTAGCTATTACCATGTCCACAGCATCTTGACACATCGACACATGAATGCGGTTGACACCCTGGGCAAGATCATTCCATGCTTTGACATATCTGGGGAAATCCGTCAAGGAACTCAGATCTTGTCCGCGCGGTGCCCATGGCACTCAGTGAGACCATCATTATTCGACACCATGATGTCTTTGAAGCCTCTGTTAGAATCCAACGACGATGCTATGCGTAGAGAAACTTACCTAAATCCAGTGTTGCCTTTTTGAAGGCGCCCACCTGTGAAGTCCCGCACACGCATTGTAAAGTATTTGGCGAATCTTTGAGAATTTGGCAACCAGTGCATCCGGGGTTTCCATAGAAATGGCCACTACACCACGTTAGTCGCAGCCGACTAAGAAAGGGAAGATATACGTACTCGGTGTGCGCTTCCATACCCCCATATGTGTGGCGAATGCAAAAGTTCAGGTCCAGAGAGCTTTTCATCTTTTCCCCGTTTGTGCTAGTACATTCTGCCTCCAAGTGGTTGCCACCCTTTCGAACGGTAATATTTTCGCAGGTCTTCGAGAAATCGGCCTTAGCCTCATCCCGACGGATGGCATGGGCTGAGGCTAAGGCGAGCAGAGCCAGGATAGCAATTGTCTGGGGTAGTTGCATTTTTCCGGCGTGTCAATGAATAGTGGTGAATGGGTGGAAGGGAATGCATTCAGAGAGCTCTCTCTGGAGGTTCTTATTCGAGTTATTTATGTTGGCGCTGATTCCTATGTGCAGTCATTGGGTCGTTGCCCTGCCCCTTAAAGGTCTTTGTTCTCATATTTTTCGTTCCGGGCGCTGCTTCTTTAGAGCGTTGCATACTGGCTCTTCACCTCGGTGCCAAGTCCTTGAAGTTATTTATGTTACACCTTCTAACAAATGGGAATAATAGCGGTAGAGTCAATGAAGGACAGAAGGCCCAGTATCAATTACGGCTTCGCGTGCGCTACCCGATTAACGCCCGACTTTATCAAACTACTGTGGAGGTAACGCGCAGTCTCATTCTCAATGAAAGTAGAAAGAATCCGCCATCTTGGTGAAGTGTCGTTAGGCATGTCGGCGAATTCCCTTGATGCTTCAGGTGAACTTGAGGCATTATTGAGTGTTGAGGGCGTAGCGCATGAGCCTTACGAAGATAAAGAGCAGCTCATGCCTCAATCCCATGCCTGAGGCAAAGGTCACGTTGTCTGTCCTCGGTGCAAAGCAAGTCATGGATTTGGACCCTATTCGTTGGTGTTGCAAAACTTAGGAGTTCATTGGAAATAAGAAGGGCAATTGAGGCAAGTAGGTAAAAGTCTCTTTGTTTATGTACTAAGGGGTAATGCAGTTGTCTGGGAATATGAACGCCTGTCTGACTGTAGTCGCTGGAATGTTTCAAAAAAAAAAAAAAAAAAAAAAAAAAAAAAAAAATAAAAAAAAAAAAAAAAAAAAAAAAAAAAAAAAGGTTCGACAGTTGGGGCTTTCTTCAAGCATATCAAAGTCGGCTTTCTCGTGGCATAAGCAAACGCTGGCAATGAACCGCTGCACCAATCGACATAGTCTCTGCTGCGTGCCCACTCGACATGGTCATATATTGTAGTGATTCTGCCGACAATCTATATTCCTAGGGCCGCTTAGTTACTTCGAGTCACTCGATCGAGGCCTGATGTCATTATAACTACAGATATGTTTGGAAGCTCGTTTGTACTTGTACATGTGCCTCTTCAGTGTCAACACTTTCCACTAATTCACAGGCTGATTAGATATGCCGGTCTTTGATACTCCACGCAGCCGGAACTGGATTCGGTGCCTTACGATGTCACTCCGATTCTTGCTCTAATCTGTACCAGCAATATGGATTGATATGCTGCCGATGATCCAGCCCCATAGCAAGAGAATAGTGTGTAATATCTTCACCGAGACACCCAAAGGAGTTTTGCAGGATTTGAAGACTCTATAGCAGTTAATCGTTCTTTCGCCGCTGAATAAGCGGGTTCGATTCTGGGTCTCCACAATGAATCAGTGCAATAGCCGCCGTGCAAAGTCATCCCCGAAGGATTGTAATTGCTCTCTATTTACTGTAGACTGAAAACTGGGTGACCCGCTTCATAGCTTTTATGCTGCATGAATGTTGATACCATTGTGCCCCAGTTTAACATTATATACGGTGTTAATACGGAGGTGAAATTTCGGCACCTGTACAAATGAGATGAGTTGGCTTGCCAAGAGTAGCATGGATGTTACTTCTAATTAGATACACAAAGGCAGCTCATATTCGTGATAGCTGGTTTGACTCAAAATCTCAAACTCAACCTAACATATGACCAGTTGCTGCGGCCTCGGTCACGAAGATGCCATGTTGGACGATTTAGACCCCGTACCTAAATTCCCGGACCTTCTTTTGGTAGTAGTATGACGCTAATAACCCAGTGGCTCCAAGTGCCATAGGTATAGGTGACTTCGCCTTGGTCTTGATGGTTCTAGAGATTCCAGCTCCTAACAGGACGAGACTGTTTCCCAGGGCAAGCTCGGTACCATAGTCCTTATTTTCTTTAATCAGATAACCTGGACAGGCGGTCAGCTTATCCATTGCATATTGCTATTTCGCATGCATACTTCTTCGCTGCCACTTACCTGAAAACGCATAGGAAATTCCTAGTCCAACTCCTGCGATCAAAGAAGGCGCTGAGCCCGTCCGCATATACCCAGCAACACCCCCTAACGGCACTGAGTTGCATCGCGAAAATCAGCAACGCGTGACGCTGCGTTCACCCATCCATTGGATACTTACAAAGACCAGCGAGAGTAAAGGAAGGATGTTCAGCCATGTTGTCCGGACTTTAATAACAGAGCAAGAGATTGGATTCTCGACGACACAGGATTGGATCGGTCAATGTTGGTGAGCAAGGGGAGAGCTCTCAGTTCTCTTAAGCGTCTGAAATTCTGGACCCACCCACTCTATTGCGAATTTAGTTGGCTGGTTCGTGATAACGTAATCAGTACTAAGCACCCGACGATCCCGATTTGCTGCAAGTTTTGTTTATCCCATTGCTGTCCTCTGAGTGCACCTCCGGAGAAACAGCGCAGGTCAGGACGGAGCTATAATTTATATCCCTTTTGTAGACATCCGGCATTGAGAAAACCCAGGTTCAAAGAATATGGAATCACTTGTCTACCTGTAACCTCAAACGTACTTTCGTATCATGTGTAGAATATATATTAATGCACGTTGTTGATCTACAATCTGGGTATACAAACTTCAGAATGACACTCCATAGATCTGGAAATCTGTTGCGCTGGTAGTACTACCTCTGATGATGGAGATTTCTTAAATGCAATGTGCCGGGATCTGAATTCACTTGAAAGATATATCTTTAAGACAGGCCTCATCAAGTTGAATGAGAATTTGGGTACTACCTAAGAGTAGCTATGCCAGGGGCTAGCTATCGCTATTGCAGCAAAGAATACGACTAAGTCTAGACATCGCCTACTTTAGAGGAACGGTAGATGTACTTATCATACTCTTCTCAGTGGTCTCCTACTTTTTCAAGATTAAACAGTCGCAATTGCTCTTGTTCATTTTTTAGTGATAACAGCGTAAGTATTGAACAAATCCAATATTTACAACATCAGGCCTCAAAACAGTAATTCACAAAACAGGTAATCCAAAAAGTGACAAAACATGCGTTGATGTCCCTCCTCCATTGGCTTCCGGCGGAATCCAAACTACCCATTCGCCAAGTCGAGAACAAAAGCAGAAGACTTAAAGGTTCTCAATATCGTCAAGGTTTTCCACATCCACTCCATCATCTTCGAGAACATCAGGGATGACCTGGCCCTCAATATCAGGGTCAACTTCGGAACCGTCAAAGCTATCGAATTCGTCAGGCTGGACATCAGCCACCTCATCACGCTTCTCGAACTCAACCTCAGGGTCAAACTCGATCTCCTCATCGCGCTTTCCAAAGTGGCGGACAGCAGCATAGTAGATGTCTGCAAGGCGACGGCACTCGACTCCCTTCCATGAGCTCCAGCCAGAGAATTGGCTGCAGTACTTGTAGAGATCCTTCTTGAAGTTGTCGTCAATACGCTTCTTCATGGCCTTGGTGAAGCGCTTCTGCTTCTTGGTGTTGCGGTACCCGAAATCGTGTCTCTGGCAGCTGGGAATGAAGTTGTATCCATCAGGCTTATCGGGCGACTTGGAGCAGTTGTCCGATGACCAGTTGCACTTGGAGGGGTTCTTGGCCTTGCGCGCCTTCTGGAAGGTCTTGATGGAGACCTTGAAGATGAGGTTATCGGTGGCCTTGGCCGAGCATGTCGTCGCACGCGCCTGCAGAGCAGAGATAGGGTTGTCATTGACAGGAGTGGTGTAGGGCAAGGCAGACGAAACTGCAGCGAAGAGGCCCAAGGTAGCAACGAAGATGTTCTTCATGTTGATAACTGACTAGCAGCCGTAAGGAGTAGACAATGGATAGTGGATATGATGCTTGTGGGAGGTTGTTGATGATTCTGAGAAGAGCTCCATGACAGGAGATGGCCCATCTTTTATATTTGCGAAGGACTGTTATGACGGCCTTGGGATGTCGTTTTGGACAAGGCCTTTTCGTACTGAGTAGACCACATCTTGTTCCGCCCCCATTCTGCTGTATAGTTTGGCACATTCTCTGTGAACCTGCATTTCATCCCCCTCTCGCCAAGAAGCTATTTACCTTTCTTTACGAGTTCTCAACACGAATATCATTAAAGCTCTCAACGTATGATTGGAGAATAGAGAAGATCCCTCGCGATACGATAGACGGCTTCAGGATCTGCAATATCTGAAGTGCACCGAGCATACTCTTGTCCAAATGTGAAATGAGCCTCGGATAAGCTTTAGTGGCCTATTGGCCCTGCAAAGTCCATGAATCACGGAAGAATCGTATCCAATAATAGTAAATTCCAGATGAAAGTTCAGGTACGAGCATAGGTAGTAAGCCAAGACGTTCTGAAGAATCTTGGGTTACCTTCGTGGCTCGTAAAGCCTATCGTTGTGGAGCTTCTGCAGTGCTTGTGTATGCCAAGATGATCGTCAAGGTGGGAGACCCTTGATGCTAAAAATAGCATGCAGAAGGTGATCCTCGGGGAATTCCGCGCTGAAGACACCTTTCTCATTCCCATTCTGCCGTACTCCTCTATGCCTTGTTCTCGTAGGATACGATTACTGATCACGGCTTTCTTTTGGTTCTTGGTTGTTAAACATAACAGGTACGCCTCCGAGTTGACTAACAGCAACACAGGCCACTTCACCGTGCGAGATTTAGGAATGTCGCAGTTGACACAATTGACGCAATACGAGGTCAAGCTCTGCCAAGGGAAAATCCGAGATGACCCTTCGTATAACCTTCAATTTGGGTATCGGGCCGGCGTGTCTTCTACATGAGGTCAGCAGTCTCAAGAACTATGTGCAGTGCTCTTCGGTCCAGGTTACAGAGGCGGGTAATCAGTGGGAAAGGGTCCACTTAGACTGTTATCTCTTACCATTGACAAGTGGTAGATGCAAGGCCTGTGATAGTGAAATCATTAGTTTCTCTCGAACGCATATTTCATGTGGGTTTCCTAGATGTATGGAGTATAGCGCGGTTTTGAGGACTGAGAAATCCATCTCCGGATAAGGCATTGCGGTGTATCTTCTCCGTCTTCCATTTAATTTCTATGACAGGTGTAAGAGAGCACCCATCTTTAGTGCCGTCATAACATGGTTACATCGTGCTATCATCCTTTACCGAGGGCGTAAAGCGATTGTTCATGCGTCTCGCTGATTAAATCACCCTGGTCGATGCTCAGACCTGCTAAGGTATGTGTTCTTCGCTTTTATCCTAGATGGCATCAACTTCCCTAGGATTTGATTACATATGTGTAAGTGCTACACATGTGCTCTCTTCATCGAGTCTTGTACCTGTTCTCCATATAGTGCCACTGTGCATGCATGGTCTTGCGGCTTAAGTCCAAGATATTCAACAATGGCCAGCAGTTACCTACCACCTGAAGTCGCCGAGGTAGCTTAACAAGATAATCAGCCCTGTTGACACCTTGGTTCCGCCTTGAAATAGCATAGATGCCTGCAGCGATATGTCCAAAGAGCGTGCAGCCTCATGTTATCGTCGGGTGCCCCATTGAGTAGCAGTATGATCCCCTCCCGTTTGAGTACAATATGAAACTCGCCCAATGTTGATATTTGTTCAAATCAGCACTCTGCAGCAGACATGTACCCTGATACTGGGACCAAAGATTATCATGGCATCACTGGGCATTTGTTTGTCTACAAGCCTATCAGCATGCATACTTATACTTAGTCAAGCTACGATCTGGATAATACTACTCTACTCTTCCTTACTTTTTATTTCTTTTTTTTTTTTTTTGTTTTTTTTTTTTTTTTTTTTTTTTTTTTTTTTTTTTTTCTTTTTTGTTGTTGATCTATTTATTTCTGGGTATTGTGAGAACCATCCACAGATTGTGCCATGGGAATTGTGTATATAACGCTGGATAGGGGATTATTAGCAGTTCGTGAGTATTAAACGTTTAACCGACACGCTGTCCTGCCAGGTGTTCAACAGCCTCTACGAACTGACTTGACTACTCCTTATGATATCGCCCCATCAAATATCTAAATATTCCAAGGGTACACTGAATAGGTTTCTCTAACTATCAGGAAACTCCATTTGTTGCAAAGCGATCATGTCAAATGCTCATAGGAGCTCCACGGGCATGGCTCGCTCTACCTTTCCGCCAGCACAACAAACCCCAGCTATAGATCAAGGCCCGGCAGGTATGCCCTCCCTTGACGGGATTGAGGATGCCGAAGTACTTATTCCAATGACTCAAACGGTCGCTATCATCACCAGCATTACTTGTATCACTGGTATCGGCAATCTGCTTGCTGGGCTGCTCACTGTGTGCATTCCAGTCATTGCGGCCGACCTCCATATTCCTCCAGCACTCTAGCTCTGGCCAACCGCAGCATTTGCACTCGCCTGTGGCTGTGTGCTGCTTCCTTGCGGCGCTGCAGCTGATGTGTTGGGGTGTCGGCGCGCGTGTCTGCTTGGTGGATTGCTACAGACCGCGAGCGCCCTGGGCGCTGGACTAACGGCGACAGGAACGCAACTGATCGCGCTGTGAGTGATTGCGGGCCTCGCCGCGTCTTTATGCCTGCCAAGTGCTGTCGGCGTTTCGGCTCACGTCTTTCTTGCCAATAGCAGCACACATCGCTGCAGCATTGTTTTCGCAGCCATGGGGGGGGGGGGGGGGTGGTCAGGCCGTTGGTTTTGGATTGGGCCTGGCGCTGGGGATTTTATGTTTCCGCAATACTCAACAGCGCGTTGCTGGCCCTGGCACTGTGGGCAATTCCAAACAGCGTGGATGGTGGTCCGCTGGGGAAGGCATCCTCGCGCGTCTGCACCGAGATATCGATTGGGTTGGCACTTTGCTGATTAGTGCTTGCCTTGCGCTTCTCTCCTACGAACTAGCCGTCGCTACCGGCTCAGATGCGGATCAGAGTATGCGTCGGCCGCTCAACCTTGTCCTCCATTGCTCGGCACTGGCACTCATACTTGTATTTGCCTTGTGGATGCGGCGACAAGTTCGACTCAGTCGCCCGGCACTGATTCCAAACTCGCTTTGGACCAACGTGCCGTTTATGGCTCTTTGCATTACCGTGTTTCTTGTCTGGGGCACCCTCAATGCGAGTGAGCAGCTCACAGCCTTGTACCTCCAAGACGTTCGCGGCACATCGACTTTGACGGCGTCTTTGTATTTCATGCCGGCACCGGTGTGTGGCCTGTTGATGAACGCTGCGATCGGCATTTCACTCCCATAGTTTGAAGCCCTCGATCGCTGTGCCCGCCGGATATCTTGCGAGTGGTATCGCCCCGCTCCTGCTCGCAATCTTATGCGGCGTCGACGGGCTAGGGTATTGGCGTGGTGTCTTCCAAGCCATGGCTCTGAATCCGGTGGGAGCCGATCTAATTTATACGATCGCAAACCTTGTAATGACAGACTCATTCCCAGTCAAGACGCAGGAGCTGGCCGGTGTCTTCTTTAACATGCTAGCTCAGGTTGGGAAGGGTGTTGGGATAGCCACATCGACACTCATTGCACGTCAAATCACCTCGCAGACCCCATCATGCCGAAAGTGCAAACGTCTTTTTAAAAGGATACAAGGCCGAATGGTAGGACAACTGTGCATTGGGGTTTGCCTCTGTAGCTGTGAGCTTTTGGGGACTGAGGAGCGTCGAGCGGCTTGAAATAAAGAGAGACTGATATGCTGGCAATTCAAGAGCGCATGTATTTGAAACGTCGTATGCTTTGACTAGTTGAACCTGTACCCCTCACAAAGTCAAGTTTATTTCAATAACACTAGGGGGGATTATAAGGGAGGAGCCAGATGTGCGGCCACCCACCACTTACTCTTGGTTTCACCATTTCATGAATTGCATCCAGCGGCCCATGGACAGGACACAATCCATTCATGCGACGCTGCTCTTAATGGGTCGTTTGACTCTGTGTCGGTCTCTGAAACCATAAGACCTTTCAATCTTACCTTTAAAAACAAACTAAATCGGCTAAGATGTTACTGTAAACACATGGTATGTCAATGGGGATCAGCTAGATTTCAAGATCGCTGCGAACATATCAAGGGAGCACATGTTAGCTCAAGACGATTCAATATTCATCGCAATCATAAGCTTCGTGTTGCCGAAGCCGCAGATTGATCTGCCGTCCGGTCCGACCACTGATAAGGCATGTATAATAATATCAAGACATCAAACTGAGACGCCGGCCTGTTATCGGTGGACATTAACCTGCGGGGGAAGCAGAAATGCCGGCAGGCCTGGAAATTGGACCGATATCTACCAGATAATAAGACACGTTCCTTTGATCGACAAGGGACTAACTCAGGAATCCCCACTGACTTCAGCCAATACGAGGCTCGGACACGATCATATGGGCAGATAAGCTAGCGGAAGCCCGACGGGAAAGAAATTCAGGAAGAATATATGCAGAGTTGTGGAGACCGTAACTGGATTATCGATTGGTCAATATTTTAATTGCAGAGTTACATTAAACAGCCGAGGAAATACGAGGGGCTTTTGCTAAAGGGCTAGTTATATATAGCATGCACCAGAAAGCAACAGTGAGGACCTTGGTATCCATTCTCAGTGTAGTATTCAGCCCATTCTTCGATCATGCCGCGCTTACTCTCCATATCAGCGGCTACATTGGCACTGGCCCAATTCAGTCATGGCTGGGGCAACTTGGGTCACGAGACGGTGGCCTACATTGCCCAGAGCTTCGTTGCTTCGTCAACTGAGTCCTTCTGTCAAAAGATTCTGGGCGATGACTCCACCTCCTACTTGGCCAACGTCGCCACATGGGCCGATTCGTATAAGTATACCGCCGCCGGAGCATTCTCCAAGCCCTATCATTTTATTGACGCGCAAGATAACCCACCGAAGAGCTGTGGAGTTGATTACGATCGGGATTGTGGCAGTGCTGGGTGCAGTATTAGCGCGATTCAAAATTATGTGAGTGACTTTGCGTTTAGCCAAGATATGAGAAGCTAATTTATACGAAGACCAATATTCTGTTACAATCTCCCACTGGCTCGGGGGCGTCAAATGCCTTGAAATTTATTGTTCATGTTTGTCACGTCCTTTGACAGTTTTGATCCAATTTTCTAACGTTGCAGATCATCGGTGACACTCACCAACCCCTCCACGATGAGAACCTCGAGGCCGGTGGTAACGGTATCGATGTTACGTATAATGGAGAGGCAACCAACCTCCATCATATCTGGGATAGCAACATGCCCGAGGAAGCCGCAGGGGGTTATAGTTTGTCCGTCGCAAAGTCCTATGCCGATATCCTGACTGAGCGCATCAAGACCGGTGCTTATTCGTCTAAGAAAGACTCCTGGACAAACGGAATCGATATCAAAGACCCTGTGGCAACATCAATGATCTGGGCAGCTGACGCCAATACCTATGTCTGCAGTACAGTTTTGAACGACGGCCTGGCATACATTAACTCAACGGACCTGTCCGGCAAGTATTACGACAAATCCCAACCAGTCTTTGAGGAACTGATCGCGAAAGCTGGGTATCGGTTGGCAGCTTGGTTAGATCTGATTGCGAAACAGTCATCTTGAAGAAGGCTCTCCAGGTTATCCCCGGAGTTAAGTTGCTATGTAAGCGATATGGAATACTTGAGCGATTAGCTCTCCTGTCAAATGACCATGCTTTGGCAAGCACCGATGAACTGCTGCTTATATGAACCTGTTATATGCTCTGTAAGGCTTCTAAACTTGAATTTTGATGACTATATATACAACGATATCATATTTCGAGAGGGAAAGTGCTTCTCATAGATACTGTAATATGATGTGTTACAACCTACTGGTAAAAGCAAAGGAAAAGCCACATAGCAACGTGGTCAAACATCGATGTTTTAGATTAATTCCTTACGAAAGTCACGTAGAATTCTAGCCATACCTGGAAGGCTGCCGTAGCCTGGAATCGCAGGGAAATTCCTCCTCGGCTACGTACCACGTGCAGACAGTTCACGATTTTAAAATGACCGGGCATCAGGATACCTGTGCCTTATACCAACCTGTAAGCTGACAGGCTTACGGAGCCATCCCTCCCGAACCTCCAAAGGCCCTTGGCGCTCCACGCGGATATCAAACAACCGGAATAACGTCGCGCAGGCCACAAACAGCTCCATCTCAGCCAGGTTGCGCCCAATGCAGGCGCGAGGACCATGACTGAAAGGAATGAATGACTCCTTCTGCCTTCGGGTGAGGCGACATGGGTCCCAACGCTCTGGCACGAAATCCTCCACATCAGTACCCCAAATGTCCACTCCATGATGCATAGTATATCCAGGGATGGAAAGAACATCACCCGGATAGAATGTGTGGCCGCATATCTCAACGGGTCCTCTGTCGGGAGGAACCTGGCGTGGAAGGCCTTGGCCAAAGGTGCTATGGATGCGGAGCGTCTCCCAGATAACCCATTGAAGACTGGGCCGTTAGCAGTTATCCAGTGTATAGTTGGCTCATCTTTCGAGACAGCTTTGATATTCGGAGTAGGAAACGGCTTAAGCCAAAAATAAGCGGCTTTAACTTACTACGTGATTTTCTTCACCATTGCCAGATATGGGACATCAACGTCAGCAGGGATGGCTTCATCCAAGGCAAGCTGTAGCTTCCACAGAACACGTGGTGTGCTTGAGACCCAGTACAAGAGGGCGCATAATGTGCTAGAACTGGTATCGGACCCAGCTGCGATCAGGGTCACCGCCTCGCCGGTGAGCTCGCGATGACCCAATTTTGCACCAGCTTGGTCTTCAGCATCTATCAAATGAGCGAGAAGATCCCCACGTTTCTCTGCCATGGACACTTCCATATCAAGCCGCCTGTCAACTGTCGCTCTAGCTACATCAGCCAAATCGGCGATAGCCTCCGCACCTTGACGGAAGAAGGGATCAGGTAACCACTTGGCGTAGGGAATAAGATCCGGGTAAATCCCAAGAGTGGCAGAGACATCACTGCGATGATTCAGGACTTCCACGGCATTGAGGGTGACTTCTAAATCATTTGACCCTCTCCGCATAGACACGGTATCATCCCCCCTCTCTAGCATTCCAAACGGTGCACCGAATGCCAAGTCACCGATGATATCAAAGGTTAAATAATTGCACCATGGCCGGGCATCGATCACTGCATGTCGAGTGTCTGAACTTGCTTGTGAATCAATCATCTTGCGCCACTGTCTGACCAGAAGCTCCATATTGTTATGCGCGTATTGTTCGACTTGGGCTAGCGATCTCGCGCTGAATGCGTGTGAGACGATCTTGCGCTTGCGAGTGTGTTCGGCACGACTACGCGTAGTGAATACGCTCCAATCGACATTCAGGAATGCATTGTAAAAGTCACTGTGATAAGGCTTGTCAGATTATCAACAAGCATAGGTAACTTACAGTAGACTCACCTTTTGAGGAATCCATTGCCATGTCCATATATGGCTTGAATGGCTGACTCGTCTGCGACGGAGATATGGTTCGGAGCCAGGCGGACTATCTTGCCGTAGCGTGTGTGAAGATCATGAACGACGATGGAGCGATGCCCCTGGCGAACCTGCAGAATCAGCCAGATCCTGCTGAAGCCAGCGATAGTGGGTCCTGGGATATCATGGAGATGCCAGCGCTTAACATATCCCGCCACGTAGTGCACCCCCAGCACACCCAGGATAAATATCAGGACAAGACACAGGTACAGGTCAAGCAACATGGTGGGTAAATCACACCGAAGACTAACAGGCTGCCATGAGATGAGCGGATGAGTGGTCATTTTTAATACCAGGACTGTGCGTGCCAATGACCTAAGCATGCCATATTTCTTCAGTAACTTCAAGTTGCTGAGAACGGCTCCATGACGTGGAAATCTCGCAACCTCCCTCCAGAACCTTCCTATAAACCCACGATTGAAAAACGTTACTACAATCAAATTGAACTACGCTTGATAAGAATCATAATCAAAGGTGGAAGGGTTAGACGGTTCTTTTACCTTCGTGAGATCTATGTGGTCAAGTAGAAGCAAGAAATATACTACATATCATAAGCAGCCATGCCATTAGAACATGAAAAACCTTTCGCGATATTGATAAACATTATTTCACCGCAGGTTAGTAACCGACACACCGTATGCTACTCTACAAATTGTGAATTAGAGGCATGAGACAGCTTATGGATGAGCATTGTGGTCAAATTGACGTACTGCTAACTCCCAGACATGCATTTATATTATGTTGTTATCAAACATGCACTGCACCGTATCAATAACACTTTTCTCAAGACTGATATAACTCCATTGCCCGTCGACAGCTCCCTTGGCCAAGATATCCTGGCTAATGCGCGTGTCCCAGTGGGTTGGACGGACTCCATCTGGCAGAGTTTGCGCAGGATTGCCTTCCGGGACCCTTTCTCTGAGGGATGGGAAATGTTTCCGAATAATATTTAGTACTAGTTGGGGAGTCGTGAGTTCAGAAACAAGAACTTGTCGACCAGCTGCCGCAGGGTTCGTCAAGGCATCTACATGGCTTCTGGCGACGTCACGGACATCAACCTAATTGTCATCAGCGCGTCGGATGGTAAACGCAGGATGGTGTGGACACATACAAAGTTATAATGCGGAAAGCGCACATCCGAAAGGCCGTCTTTGTGGACACCATCAATAAGGCTCGCAATCACAAGATAGTTCGTTGCATTGATGGAGCTCGTACCCGAGATCGGATGGATCATCGGCCCTGTGGTGGAATGGGGGTTCATAACGGTGAGGTCGAAAGCAGGGGAGTTCGTTTTCATAAACTCCCATGCTGCCCTTTCGCTCTGGATCTTAGAGACTATATATCCTAATGCTGCATCACGACGCTCCAACGCCTGCTGTGCAGTGACCTTCCGCATTCATTAGTTCCTGCATACTGAGGGCAATGTATCAATCTCATATCCTCACCTGGTTCCAGTCGTCCTCTGTGTATGGATGCCCCGGTCGCGCGATATCCTCAAACGAATTCAAGACTGTGACGGCACTACTCAGAAAGACGAACCGCTTCAGGTCTATTCCACCATATCGGTGAGCACTCTTGAGGATCTCGGTGACTCTTAACTATATCAATTATCATCCAGATACTTCGCAGACTAAGGGAAGATTTTCCTCACCCCAGTACAGCAGGCTCAATTACGTTCTTCTGCATGTCGTCTGCCTGAAGCGCGACCGACGAGGCTGCGTGAATCACGAAGGCGAAAGGTACTTCTGCATTCCTGAAGAGTTCATCGAATGGTTTCCTCCCAGTAAAGTCCGTAACTATTGCAAATGTGATTCTGCCCTCCCACGATGGGTGTGTTCTGATAATGGCGGCTGCTTTCTCCTGTGACCGGACGGTTGCCGTGACGGCATATCCACGCTGTTAGAGTCAGCCAGGACGTCTCTCCAGGATTAAGCGGCTTATTACCTCCAGCAAGATAGACATAATGTGGGATGCGATAAAGCCGTTCGCGCCTGTCAGAAGAACGTGCTGCTGCTTCATGTGGGCTACCATACTGAGAGGAATGGACGGGAATCGAGGTTTTGCTTTCAGGCCGTGGCGGTCCTCATACCGCTACAGGGCTCTTGAGTGCTAGGTGAGATGTCTCTGCACAGGCGTGTGGGACTTTGCTCCATAATTCTCCTGGGTTGTTTTTCATGAGAACGTACGTCTCATGAATTATATGGTTACATCATGGCTGGACGCTTTGGCGCACTGTAGCCTGGTTCAGGTCTTTGAAACTTGGTAATATGCCAACTTTTTCAATGGATGAATTTTCTAAATGTGCAAATAACAAGATTGGAGACTATTGACTCAGAATCCTTCTTGCAGCAGTGAATTTTGGAGACCATTTCGAAAGGTTTCCGTGGATCCATCGTCCACCACATGCCAATCCTGGAATCCGGGCTCTACACGGGGGCTCAGTATCATGCTTGACTCTCATAAGTCCTGTACTACCGTTGACATATACGCGCACCTCGTAATAATCTACATTATTTCGCCGTACTGCAGAAGTGTGATACGGGATGCAAACTTTCACTCGGGGGTTGATGTTGCTATCGAGTAAGAATTTATACAGGACTCCCAGATGGATGAGTGTTTGGAACGAAAGATATCCTACAGGGCGAGGCCTTCCTAGAAAAGCAAATCAAAAGAAAGCAAGACAAGGGAATTGGTTAAAGCAACTAGGACATATTGCCTATTAATTCCGTACCTGGGACCTATCTACCCAGATCTTAAAGTCGTGCTAACTTTCTGCAAGAGCAGCTTCATCAGGAACGGTCTCCAGCCTCAGGGGTCAATTAATGAGGCTGGCCCCTTATAGTGCCTTAATATAAGTTGATAGCATGGAGCAGCGCCTCTTCCCTTACTCGCGTAGTGGAGAACTATCCACATACACAGTGGTAAATACTGCGGTGAACGTATCACACTACATATCAGGTAATAGCATCGAGGCCTGGGAAGACGCGGTGATAAGCATTGACAGTACCACAGAGCTAGGGTTATTCCCAGGATATAACAGTACGGGCTATTGCACTAGCATAGCGGCAACCACTCTCAGCGTTCCTATCGTGTCGATCAGATACCTATGACAGGACCCCTTCCCCAGCATAAGATTATATTCATGGAAGGTGCTCAACACACCGATGCAGATCTTGCTGTAATCTTTTCGGGGAGACGCTTTCCGGACAACATCCGGCCCGATGTCTTGAGACAAGCAATGTAGATCTTCATTTCCTTACAGAGCTAATAAAACAGCAAACAACTATCTATGAACAGGTAGAACAAACGACTCAGATCTTTCCTCGTGTTTAGGATGGATACATGCATCCATAGACACGGGATCCCAACTGATTCACCTTTCGGGCCAAGCCCGCTTGATAGCCTCACTACGGTCTCTACGTGAGGCGATTCTGTGGCTGCTTGTGGCTGTTCCTCATCAAACTATTCCGACCGATTTCAAACTTCTGTTGTGGAAACACAGTAACATACGATCCAGGTGTTCTATCTTAAGGCTACAAATGTGACTGCAAATTCCCAACGTACGCAGAGCGTATTATAATCGGGCGGCATTAACACCGTGACTCAATAGGTAGTTCGATCTGTAATGTTCACCTTTGTGTTCTTTCAGTGGCTAGGGTGCGATTCCCCCGAGTTATGATCTCTGATTCGAGGGACGATCAATGAAGCATATCAGCCAGGAGAATCTCAAATACCGAAGTCAGCTCAATTGGACGCTATCGATTTTTTGACTCACGATGACTTCATTGGGTCGCTAAATATATCCATCCCTATTTGTTCAGCTGGCAAAACAAGGTCAGTTGGAGCTATCTCCGCATATGTGGACCTGCCTGGCGCTTCAGCGTTCTATTACCGACAGGGATTCCTGGATCCTAAGCATCTTGGCATGGCAGGAATTTCGGTGAGGTTGTGCAAAAACCAGAAACCGTTGGCCACAGTGCGATTTCTAAACTGAACCAATTTCCAAGGGCTGCATTACAGAAAGGAGAAGCCTACCCGGGGTTGTTGTTTAATTGCACTGGTAAGGGCCGGCTGTATGAACAGCCCATAGGAAGCAACCCCCATCCCCAATCCCCCGAAGAGTGGGCCTGGGCTAGTTTACGCTTAGCGCTTCCTGATTAGTGTATATACTGTCGATCCTATACGTCAAGCCAGGTGACCAGCCTGCTGTTCGTGTCTTGAGTGCTGCTGGGGCAGTCCAACCCATCCATCAAGCCGGCTACCTGCAGGTTGCAAAACTGAACTCGACGAATTGTAAATCCTTGAAGCGCTCTCCTGCTACAGTCTAGGCCAGTAATTGGCAATTTCCTGTTTTTAATGCATATATTAGTCATTTACGATGACATACCTAGTCAGGAAGCGTAACTTTAGCCGACGGTGGGACACCAGAGATCCTGTAACGATGGATTTGCTTGGGTAGTTAGTGTGTATACGTTATGTAAGAAACACGATATAAGACATGAGATCCGAGGGACGCTTTGTAACTTGATCAAATCCTCTTCACGGGGCTCAACATGGGTACGAAGCTGTCTGTTTTCAGTCTGAAGTCCTCGGGACATTCGATAGGTGCAGGTAGCCCCAGAATCCACTTCTTGCAGTTCGGTTTGCGTCCAGGGGCGAAGTGCATGCTGGGAATTAGTCAACACGAGGGCAGTGGTGACCTCCCCCAGACTGGCGGGTAGCAGGTGCCAAACATGCATCGAGCCAATGCAAGAGCACGATCTGATATTTAGCTCATGCAGGTTCTGGGTGGAAGTAAAACATCCGTCCGGGGTGCTCAAGTGATCAGCCAACTAGAGGCATCCAATGTGCTGACCCACCAGGTTCTAGGCCTCTTAGAGTGGCATGTTTCCCTGCAACAGTTTGACCACCTATCGTACTTTTGTGCCCGGGGGCGAGGAATCATACCTGGAATGGCAATATGCTGGTTCAAGCAGTTGAGATGCATCGAGTCAAGCAAAACGCAACTGGTATACCACACGCATCTGTCTACCCCCGGAGAGGCTATAAATACTGCGTACCATCCTGCTTAATTTTCTCCTTTCTTCTTCAGACACATAGGTCACTTGTCCGCTTCGCCCTCTTTCTTAAGCAACAAAGACTTCTACGCCTCTCGTCCGCTTCCACGTCTTAAGTCCTCATCTACCAAAATGCAATTCCGCCCTGTTATCGCCCTTCTGGCTGTCGCTACGGCTGTCGCCGCTGCTCCCTGTGACAGCTGTGATGGTGGGGACTCCGGCGGCTCTGGCGGCTCTGACTCTGGTTCCCAGTGCAGCTCTAACCAGGAATCCAAGTGCTGCTCCGGTCTCACCCAGGGACTGAACCTCAACATCCTGCCGGCACTCTGCCTTCGTAAGCCATGAGCTTTGGTAAAAAGAGATCTATGTTCATCGCTAACCGCATATTAGCTCTTCTTGGCAGCTGCAACAACCAGGTCGCCTGCTGCGAGAGCAATGGCATTGTGCGTGACTTCCTTTTGACTTCGTGAAATAGAAGCTAACTTCACATCTCCAGGGACTCCTGAACTGCCTCACCATTCAGCTCTAAGTTCAGCATGTATCGCCACCGCGAGTAACAATTCACGAACGATGCCCGATGAGGAGGTTATCCGCGACTCGGTACATCGACATGTCTTACTACGGTTAGGAGGAATTGAGGGGGTTGTTCCAGCATCTAGGTGTACACGTATTGTCCTGGATCAATATTCTGGAAACTAGAATAATAGATTACATCGCTAGGAACGCTTAATGCAACTTTGGCAGTATGTACATCAGGGAACTATCTTCCATAACCACAAACGTAGAGTGAGCGGCGACCCTATCAGTCAGTAAGCCCTATACATTCTGAGGGAGACGAGTATTTGTAAAATGTATGTATATTCGGGAAATCTCAATCTACATGCCAAAGCCTGTGGCCTTCACAGTGCTTTAATGAGCTCTTTTCCCAGGGTATTGAAAGAAAAGAAAAAGAAAAAGAAAAAGAAATGTAAATGCTATTTGACCCAAACCCTATGGCGCTTAAGGCCGTCTTGACCTCCATCCTCAACACTATATATTTCAAGTAGTACATACTCTTAGAGCCTTTCAACCATAGCACTTCATACATCGAGAAGAACCCAAGCACAAGATAAGCCTTAATTTGAAGGAAGACAGAAGACTAAATCGCTTTGAATCATTCAGCAAGACAAAATATAGAAGCATTGATATTGAATCTCACCAGTTTATACCGGCGTCAAGTTGTATTCCGTCGATGTTTTGATTGCTCTTTGCAATAAACATAATGCACAATAGAGCAGCTTTTCATAACAAGATCCGGTGTAGTGTAACGGCTATCATACCTGTCTTTCACACAGGAGATCGGGGTTCGATTCCCCGCACCGGAATTTCTTTTTCGTTTCGTCTGATGGTAACATCGATGCCTCAGGTTTCCAATAGCGAGGAAATCCACCTTTTTCCGTGGTCAGGTTCCTGCAGCTGACAACTGTCGTCCCTTGTCTCTCAGCTTCACAACAGAAAGTTGACGGTTCCTAAAGAGTCTTGAGGATCTTTGATTCACACCGCTTGGGAATCTTTGTACTTTCTTCGCTTTTGGTGCAGTTGACATGGCCTTCGGTGACAGCCTGGTATTAACGAACACAATCGTTCACTGCAGCTCCTATAGCCTAGAGGAACTTGTGCCTTTCATCTTCCCCAAACCGGTTGCACAGCATGAAGCTAAATTGCCGCACCATGATTATTGTTCAACCTCCAATATCCGCGTACATCATTTCCGGTTGCTTTGGGAATGTTGAAATATATTGGACAGCATCCCGACGTCGGACACGGCAAGCGCTTCAAGAAGCTAGGTCAATCAAGGACAACCCAAATCAAACACACCAGAAACAATGCCATTTGAAGTACCCCCGTGAATGACGCTATAGAATCGATGTAGGTGCCGCTATGAAGAAAGAGTCGAGAGATCCCGCGGTTTATGACTCGGATGGTGATAGTGAATGAAATTCTGACCTTCGCTTTTGCAATTGCCTTGTTATATGTAATAGAAAACTACGAAGCTGGAGGTCAGCCACCAACAGGGCATTGCATCAGTCAGACCCTCCATGCTCAGACCAAGTCGAGGGCGGCAGGCAACGCAATAATACTTCCCATACTACTCGCCAGGTCCTATATTCCTCTTCCCCCTTCAAGATCCTGCGCTCTGTTAGTCAATCTGCCTAGACATTTACCCAGGATAAAGGTCCCCGTTCTCCGACTTCTTCACCCACATCTAGCTGAGCTACAGGGTTCCTATCCAGTCCCTTTCCTCGTCACTATAGTTACTGTGCCGATCAACATTGGCACCTCGGCAGCGTTCAACACTATTCTGTCACTGGCTCTCTGTATCTCATTTCTGTTTTCAGTTATTTCCATCCTTCAAGCACATTTGCTCTCCCAGTAGGATAAAATGGGGCGCATTCAAGCTCGGGACTAGATGCTATCCATGGCGATACCTGACCCTAGACATCGTCTCCATCCCCATTGTCATTTACTCAAGATCACCCTGTGATAAATTAGCAAGTTCTTTTTGGACTTAGGTATGTCTCGGTCTCACTGGGAAAGCTTTACAACCCCTGCTATGCTTCAAAATTTAAACATGCAGGTGCCTCGATCGCAGAAAAGGCCCCTACAGCAACGGGGCTGGGCCCGTAGCCCGCAAGAGTTATACTGCATCCCACACGGCTGTGATCGTAGTTCTTTTGGTCAGTTTCTTGAGGCACAACACTAGTGACAAATAATGGAACACGTACATGACGCATTCCTTCATCCAGGTTGGCGATCGGCTCAGTGCTTGGGGCAGCGACACTAAAGCCAACGAACATAGCGAGAATCACGTAGTAGAGCTGCATTGTTCTTCTGCTGGATATTAATGATCGCTCTCTAAATGGGTTTGGTAGACTGTTTCTTAATGGGAAAGAGACAGTTATCGTGCTAGAGATCAACGAGTACTTTATAGCCTTCTAAGGATTATATTCAATGTCCGTTCGGCACGCCATCATGACGATGTATTCATCGTCGTCCTAGTGACTTTGAATACTCGATAACAAGAAACGAACTTGTCTCTTTAGACTGTGTGACCGAATAAGCCTGTATGTACGCATGACCTCGCACCGGTGACATTCACTGACACTTAAAGTCCATCGCGGAATTGCTCGTTTTGGTCCGCGTACGTGTACAGATAACATGACCATCATACTCGGACAATTCATTCATTGCCTTGTGGAGCATTCATGTAGGGCAGCGTCGCTCTGTAGATAGCTATCGATAAGTGACTGTTTTACCAGCTGTGAATTTCACATACACTTCCATATAGTAGCCGAAGAGCCGTCCTCCGGATACCATGAATCGGCTATTGCCTCAGTGTGTAGTACTACAGAAAAGCTTCCTTGGACCGGATATTCCGGGAAATGGCACGTTATTCGGTGTAGCTCAGGTCTACAGTACTACTAGTAGTTGTCCTATCCAGCCTTGCCCGAGTACTAGTAGTAGTTCCTCCCCCAACACTGGCTAGGTTTTCATCTATATTGCCATCGGAATGCGGATCGTTTTTAGTGCTAAATGGATACGGAATGAAAGTGCGTTCTTCTGACAGGTGATTAATATCCTAATCCTAAACATCGTAAGGGCGACCCCATCAATTGGCTCGAGTCAGATGAAAGCCGGCGGACAGAGAACCAGGGACAAGTCGTTTCCCAGAAGCTGGGATCCTGGGATCTTCTTGGCAGAGGAAGTAAGGTGTTAAAAGCTCTGGGCAAAAGTTATGGAAAAAATATTGTTCACACTATTGCGGACACTGTAAGAATGATGCCACTGCCTCTCTTCCAATAACTGACAGACAAAGATCTCTTTAGGGAAGAGACCAAGGACTAATGTAACCTTAATCGTGCCATGCTGATCATCCATAGGCTACTGTCAAACATCAAACCCGACGGTAGTGCTTACATTGTGGGGAGAAATGGAAGTTGGACAATACCCTTGCCTGCACTTGCGTCGGAATTCTCCAAATCATCAGATAACAGGATGTCTTCGTAGGACATTTAGAATTGCGACGATGAGGTGTCAGAGCCCCTCGGTGTAACATGCGACCGACGGAAAATGATTGAGGAAAAAGAAAAGAGGGCGAAGAAAACTATTACTAGACTATTGCTAATCTTACTGTGGTGCTTCCCAACACTCAAGCCACCGGTCAGGATATCAATCTTTCCACCGATCCTGACTCGAACACAGAAAATAGCCATGTAAGCCGAGCGACTTGGACTGTTTGGTCTTGGGCAAGACGACAAGCTCTTAGGGAGTCCCAGAAAAAAAAAAGGATTATGCGTAGGGCTCCTTAGTAGTGGTCCTTTCAATTACTACAGCTGTAGTAAAAACCCTTGGATGTATAGAAACTTTTCATCACGCTCCATACAGAAGTTGAGAGGGGTTAAATATACCAAAGTCGCCCTGGATGACCTGGTTAGAAGTGGAACATGGATTCAAACCTGACAATGACCATCGCTTTTGGGGTCTGTCAGATAATGTGACCTGTTGTAGCCCTCTTTGATTTTGTTTCCCTTCTCTCTCACTTGGTCTTGCCGACCACGACAATTGTTTAGTTCGCCCAGTAGTTCCTTCCTTCCTGGTGGCTTATTCATAATTGGATGTGGGTTTACTACCAGCATCTTGTTACTTGCGTGATCCGGTTCTTTTGTCTTCTTCTTATCACCATTCACCTCACGGTCCTCACCTCACTTCGTCTTTCTTATTACCCCCAGCCACCGTAGGGTAACCACCCCTGGACTTTCCGTACAACAATTACCGTGAACTGCTCTGGTTTATCGTTCTTACTACTCTACGACGACACTGTTTCATCATGAAGCTCTCCCTCGTCGTACTGGGCACTGTGTTGGGAACAGCCCTGGCTGGTATGCCAACTATTGTCGCGAAGGTGGGCGCGAGAAGGACGATTGCGACTGTAGTACAGTAGTACTGACAGTCGCGCTTGTTAGGGATCCAAATTTTTCTACAGCAACAATGGCACCCAATTGTAAGTACACAGTTCCACCTTGGATGTTTCGGCTCCTACTGATTGATTGATTCTCAGCTTCATTCGCGGCATTGCTTACCAGCGTACGTGACCCCCCCCCTGTCTCTGTGTGCCTAATACTATCTCATTAACCATAATTGCTATCATTAGAGGAACACACGGGCACAGGCGACACGAAATATACCGACCCCCTTGCGGATCCATCGGCTTGCAAGCGGGACATCCCATATTTCACTAAGCTGCGCACCAATGTGATTCGGACATATGCCGTCGACCCATCAAAAAACCACGATGAGTGCATGAAAATGCTCGCTGATGCCGGCATCTACCTCATTTCTGACCTCTCCTCTCCGACCGAATCCATCGAGCGGGGAAACCCCAAATGGGATCTTGATCTGTACAAACGGTATACAAATGTGATTGATGCGTTCGCAAAGTATGACAATGTTATTGGATTCTTCACCGGAAATGAGGTTGCCAATGCCAAGGATAACACGGCAGCTATTGCCTTCGTCAGGGCAGCAGTCCGAGATATGAAGGCCTACATCAAGCAGAAGAAGTACCGCGACTCATTAGCAATCGGATACTCTACCGATGACGATCAGTCAGTTCGTGCCGAGGTCGCAGATTACCTGGTCTGTGGAGACAAGGGCAGCCAGATTGATATGTTCGGCTACAATATCTATGAATGGTGTGGGAAGTCTTCCTTCACGGAGTCTGGCTACGAGGAACGTACCAAGGAATTTTCCAATTACCCCGTTCCCGCCTTCTTCTCGGAATACGGATGCAACAATCCTCGACCTCGGCCATTTGATGATGTTCCAGTGCTCTATAGCGACCAAATGAATGATGTCTGGAGCGGCGGCATCGTGTATATGTACTTCCAGGAGGATAACGACTATGGCCTGGTCACCCTGGATAGGTCGAAAATCAGCACCATGTCGGACTTCAACAGTTTGTCGTCTCAAATTCAGAAGGCGACCGCAACGGGTGTGAAAAGTGCCGACTACCGCCCGACTGCCAGTGCGCGAACCTGCCCCAAGGTTGGGGACGACTGGCAGGCCAACGCCAAAGATCTTCCACCAACCCCCAATGCCGATCTCTGCGGGTGTATGGAAGAAGGTCTCACATGCGTTGTCAAGGACTCAGTGTCCGAACAGGAGTATGGGAAACTTTTCGGAATGATCTGCGGCAATGAAGGTGTCTGTGATGGGCTCGCCCGTGATGCAATTAAAGGAAAGTTCGGTGCCTACGGCATGTGCAGTGCCCGGCAGCAACTCTCCTTTGTCCTCAACCAATATTACCAGCAACAGAGCAAGGAAAACCGGGCTTCGGCGTGCGACTTCAAGGGAGCCGCCTCCACCAAAAAGGCGATCAAGCCCACAGGCGCCTGCTTGTCGCTGCTGGGACTGGCCGGTTCTGCTGGTACCGGTACAGTCCCGTCGAAGCCAACCGGTAGTGGCACTGGCAGTGGTAGTGACAGTAGCAGCTCCACCACATCGGACTCTGCGGCTGGGCTCATGGTAGCACCTCGATCGGTTCAGGCTGGTGCTTGGCAAATCGGGGCCTACCTGGTGACGGCGATGGTGGCAGGTTTTGGCATGATCTTCTTGTGAGCGACTATTGTCTACAATGACTTCACTGCCTTGACCTGGGCTCATTCCTTTCAGTCTCTATCCAACTGTTTTGCGTTCTCAACCACGTGTAACTTTTTACCCACTGTACTTTATTGCCATTCATGACGACAGTTGCGTTGCTTGGGCGTATTCACCATCAATGCTTTGAATTTCGACGTAGCAATTCATGTGTCTTTGAAATTAGCGTCTCCAACAGCTAGACGAGTCGCTCGGAGACCTTTGGTGCATCTGGTATGCGCATACCGATGTAAGCTGTAAGTGTCTCGAGTCGATCTCGATCGAAGAATGTGAGTTTCGCCCATGAGACAAAAGTGCCGTATGGACGTAAATGCATAGACAGCATGATTCCGCACGTCGACTGGTTCCTACCATTGTTGTTTACGTCTTGACAAAATGTCGCAATGCAGTCGTTGCGGAACCAGAGCGATCCAGTTTCAAGAGAACTGCCATCTACAGTCTTTTCATGCCTTGTTATACTCCAAAGGGGGTTTATTCTCGAATATTGATTCAAAAGTCCCGAACAGGACTATATCCTCCATATTGTGCTAAATAAATTGAGTTGCACCGTAGAAGAGAGATATATATATCCCCCCTGCAAGTGGTGGAACGAACATGTTCGTGAATTTGATGAGCAAAATGCTAATGGGAAGTCCAAAAGTGCCCAAAGTGATAGCGTGAATGATAAGGAAATGAATGCCAGGGAAGAAGACGTCCTATCCTCTCCCCGCCGATCTCTCGTGGGCTGCGGAGTACAGACAATGCCATTAGATATGTCTGGATGGGGCTGGGTTGAACCCCAGTTGAACCCGTGGTTACTAAACAACAGACAGGACTTTGTCGAGTCTAAGCCAGCTTCGGACTAGGATGCCTCACAAAGGACAAACACGACAAACATGTGGTTATTTTCAAACAATCTCATTCCTACACCACCAGATTGTTGTACTCCGGAGTATGCAGGAAAGGTGATAACGGAGAGTCAAAAAAAAAAAAAAAAAAGAATCCTAGTGAGACGGTCTCGAACTGTGGATTTGCGACTGTCAGTCTTGACTTCTGGATCCAGCCCACTAAGGGGTTGAGGGCGGATCCTTGCCGCCCTGTGGGGCGTACTCTCGAGAAGCTCTGGGAACACTGTGCCTTGGAATGTTGGTCTTGCTTCAGCGGTCTGGTAAGGATAACAGCGTGTTTCATAGCAGAGCGCCTCGTGTTCCGCTATTATTTTATTGTAAGTCATTGCATTCATATCCCCGTCCTATGGAGCTAGAGACTATGGTAGACATGAGCATGATTGTGCTTTCCTACGCTGTAGACTTCTAGCCCTGTTAGGTCTGTTCCAACTGGCCAGGGTCTTATTGGGATTCCGTGCTTGATTGAGCTAGCGACAGACAAACTAAGTGAGAGGTCTTTGTTATCCTCTATGGTGTGATAGTGCATCGCCCTCCACCGCGTCATAGGGCTCAACGTGACAGGTGGCTGAGGGGAACCCTGTCCGAATGGGGATAAAAAAAGATCAGAATGCATGCTTAGCGTCCATAGGGCCAATCAGACGGAAGATATGGGTCTAAGCCACGGGGACCAGTGACCAATCAGCGTCTGTCCTCGTGTTGGAGCGCTGAGTGGCGCCAAAAAAGGTTAGCGTCGCTGTAGGGTGAGATTCGGCCTCAAAGTAGATATAAACATGGAGAAACACGACGGTCTCAAGTGCATCTTCAATCTACAATCACTCTTCTACGCTACCAAACTATCACAATCAACCTTTTTTCATTGTCCAGATCCTTTCAATACTCTACATTCTACAACAGAACACCATGTCATCTTATCCCACCGATGAGAAAACCAGAGGGTTCTCGCACCCGATTTACTCATCTCACAAGTATAAAATGTCGCAGCAACAGCAGTACCATCCCAGTCACTCTGCACCAGTACCTCCTCCATACCCTGGACAGTTTCAGCCGATGCCAGGAAATCCGCCATATGGATACCCTCCCCAGCCCTATCAGCAACCAATGATGGGCAACCCTCAGTACCCTCCACAGCCGCATCACACCCAAAATGCAGTGCGCTCCCTGAAAGTCGAGTTCTCCAGTTGGACATCTAGACATCTTGCTATCAATGATCTTGGGCAAGGCTCGTTGCTCTATACGGCCGACCTGCACAGCCGAAGCCCACAGATGGAATTCAAGAATGCCACAACGAACCATACCATCGCCACGGTGCACCTCCGGACTCTAAAGCCAGAGATTGATATCAAGCTTCACGGCCGAGACATTCATCTTCGCGTGCGCGGCACTATGAAGAACGCAACCTCATATGAGTCGCTGGCGTTCCCCAACACGTATTTTACATGGAAGGACACCAGTGCATGGAAGTTCCTCAACTTTGAATGTGTGGACCAAAACAACGTTACTGTAGCCCGGTTCAAGCCGCATTCCTCTTTCTCCATGCGCAAGCTGGGCCAATTAGACATTCTGATTCCGCCGGCGACCAGTGGAGTTGCTATGGACGAACTGATGCTCACGGGTGTGTCGTTTATGTATTACGCATACTTGCAGCATACGCGGAACACCACTGTCGCTGTCACTGCCTGAGTCATCACGCTCTACACTTGACGGAACCTGCCGTGATTTGGTGATCATCTTTTCTTTGGATTCATATATTTGTTTTATTTATTCTTTGCTTTTCCAGCGTCTGTTTCGTTTTACCCAATCCATTTTTTTTCTTCTCTTCCTCCCATTTTCATTTTCAAATTTTTTTTTTTTATCCCTGAACGTATGGCATCTTGTGGATTATTTGTGGAATAAAATACCCGGGCTCATGTATGAAGAATCTCAAGTATCATTTAGACGGTGACCAATTATACGCAAAATTTAGAAAATGGAAAAATCCCTCGACTTGGCTTGTTCTTGTTATTTTGCCCCATGGGCGGTACTATTGGCCAACGTTCAACCCATGGCTGATCCTTAAATCTTACCGACTATAGAGCTGAAAAGTGCTCACACTCACAGCCTCAATGTCAGCCTTGCCAAGCGACGGCTTAAGGCTTGGCACCTGCTATATCTTATCAGCCCGATACCGAACCATGTCCCCCCAACGATGCGCCGCTGACAGCGAACACCATGCCCGGAGTACCATCAGGACGGGCGTGTGAAGGCTGTCGTCGCCAGAAGAAAAAGGTAGGTAGTGAAGATATCTCCTGGTATACCATCAGTGGCTTATGTCTCGGCTCTAGTGCGACGAGAAGCAACCAACCTGTTCACGATGTCTCCGATTAAACATACCATGTATTGGATCCGGACAGCGGAGATTCAAGTTCCAACAGGAGTACACCATCCCGATAATGGTAAAGAAGGGAAAGCTTAAAGAACAGTGTTCAAAGGACCAGACAAGTTCTAGCAGCGACGAGGAACGTACAGAAGTGTGCCGGGTCTCCCCACACCCAAGCAATGCCCTGACAGTATTGAGTCAAGCCTTTGTGCGAGCTATACACCCGTCGACGGACATCCGATGGAATCTTGCCTGGATGTATGGGGGCTTTTTGCGGGATGTGCCGCCTCGACTGGGCACAAACGAGGCCCTGGACACCGCCGCGGATGCAGTGATATCTATGCATTCGGATTTCTGCGTCACGCGGAAGCTCTCTGTCCAGGCCCTCAGTAAGTACGGTCGTGCGTTAAATACCCTTCATACCTATCTGGATGACCCGGTCAAGGCGGCTAGCACCGACACGTTATGCGCGGTCACAATACTCTTGCTCTGCCAGGTTCACAATTCCCCGTACTATGGGATGGGCTTGTTACTGACAATGGACAGGGATTTCTACCCGGCCATGGCAAAATTCAATCGGGCCATGCGGAGGGGGCTGCACAGATTCTGAAGGCGCGGAAGAATTTCCGGCCCCGAGATGACTTCGAGGCAAAGCTACTCCTGACGTTGCGCGGGCCTGTGGTATGGCTGCCATGATCCAAAAGCAAGGGATGATTACTGAATCGAACAACAGCTCTTTGAAGGTCTATTCGTCAACAGCATCGACCTTAGCGGCGAGGAGTACGAAAGCCTGGTGGAAAGCGATCTCGATGCGGGCACGCCGGACGGGCAGATGATGCGCTGTCTTGCACGAGTCCCCGGGATTCGAGAGCGCATTGCAGCGACCATGCCGGGTGATGCTGGTTTTGAGTCACTACGGCAGGAAGCTCGGGACCTCTATGAGAGCTACCAGGGAGTTCTGACGGCATTACAAGCCAGAACAACTTCGGTCGAGACGCCGCTTGCCACCGGGTCTATGTATCGTATGTGCACACTCCTTCATGCGCAGTATCAACGCATGTATGGACTTGGTCTTACCGTGGCCATTATCCTGAACTGCCTGGCCCGGGCGCTGGACCCAGACGACCCTGTACTCCCTGTCGAATCGACTTACTTCGCGCAGGAGATCGTCCTTTTGTCGGACAGTCAGGTGGCCTTTCGTCCCTTGGGGTCCTTTTATATGCTGATTTGCCTCTTGACCGCGAGAGTGGGCACCACGGATAAGATCCTCCGGACTACGGCTGAAAGGGCTTTGGATAGCTATCAGCGCGAGTTCGATGGGCGGCGTGCCGCTGAGACAATAGCAGAATTTGAGGAAAAAGTGCAGCACCTGTCAATTTTTTCTGAAAATGTAGAGGGCAATAGAATGATTCACTGGGAGTCTAGGTTACTTGAGGTTTAGCATAGCACATCATCCATTCTTGTTTTGGCCTTGCCTGGCATTGCATAGCTGATACGTAGAAATAAATGTAGCCTGGAGGTAGAAGATACAGCGAGAAAAGCAGTCATGAAAGATGCAAATATCAGATTGGTAAAAATACAGAACCACGACGTGTATTTACTGATCCTTCGGCTTTTCTCCGATGGTCCACTTATTCAATACTCCCACACCGGCATTGAGATACGTCGCAAATGCTAGCCATCCCGCGTAGGGGACCATGAGCCAAAAGGCCGTGCGATCCGTCTTCCACCAGGTCTGCATCAGAGCTGCCACGTTCCCTCCCAACAGCAACATATCCGCCAATGCCCAGGCAGGGCGACGGATCCCAAAGAAGAGGGGCATCCAGAGGTAGTTGAGCACTAGCTGTGATGTGTAAAGCGTTTGCCAATTCGTACCCAAGCTCTGTGCAGCGGTGGAGGAGGTCAGGGCGCTATATCCGGTCACTGTCGCGTGGTGAGCGGCGTATCCCATTGCCCCGTAGAGGACGGTCCACATTGGTGCAAATAGCCATGCGGGAGGGTAGAAGGTCGGCTTTTGAAGTGATTTGTAAGTTCGCTTGGTTTTCCCTGTGCCTGTAAAGAGTTTTAACGTGGTCGATCCCCTTATTATTAGTCTTTTCAGGTGTAACTCACGGTTGACCAGATAACCGACTAACATCCCGACCGTGGTAGGAGCTGTGACAGAAAGGATTGGCGAGGTAAAGACCTCTCGGGGAAGTGCTATCGACCAAGCCATCGTGGGCAATCGATTGTGTAACCCAGCAAAAGCGATATTGAGCTTGACGAAGATGGTGGGTTTGGGTGTTCCTTGAGACGCGGCGAGCGCCTTGGTTATAAGTGCGTGTCAGCGCCCTGGCGGAGACTGACGTCATTGTGTTTAATGCTAACATACGGCGCCAATGACATCGCGACAAGATGGGCCAGACGACAATGGATACCAGCTTATTGGAGAATGGGGGCTCAGGCGTGACACTCTTTTTCTTTAGTCTCTGGTGTACTGTTAGTCGTCGACTGTCTATGTTCATCATGTCCTTCTTGCTGATGGACGTTGGAAAGTGTAAACATAGCAAACACCTACCTCCTATCTTATCGCCATGTGATGTCACGGGATCCCGATGGAAATGCCGAGTTTCCGGATCGAGAGTGGATCCTCCAGTCTTTAGAGTTGAGCATGGCTCCGATATGAATGACCACTGCGAACCTTTCCTTCACTTTTCACTCTTCATGTACTGAGTGTACCAATTCATGACCAACTGAATGAATCAATGAATGAACAAGTGACATGAATCACCGCAGTCCCGATGTGCAGCGCCAAGAGATCGACCGGGTGCTGCAACTAAAGCGGAAGCAGCGCGAGGCTAAGGCCTGTTATCCTTGTCGCCAGCGTAAAGTCAAGTGCGATAGCGGTCATCCTTGCCGAACATGTCAAAAGCGTGGCCATCCACATATTTGTGCCTATGATGTGTCGAAGGACTCGTCGCGACACTCGTTCCCCCGGTCGGGGAGGGTGGATCCCACTCATGCATTGTCGTCGCATCGACTGGCCGGCATTACTACTTCCCCGCTGACTCCATCACCGTCGGCACTTAATGGAGCGGAAACCGAACGAGCGCAGCCGCTGGATGCGACTTCACCATCGGGAGCTGCTCCGAGTTCGGACTCAACCAGCCGTGATCGCTCGTCTGATTATGTCTTCTCGGGGCAGAACTCTGTGGTCTCCATTCTCCGGCTCCAAGACCCCGACGGCTCCATTGCCCGAGAGGCAGGGTCTGTGTTGGGCCTGCAGAACACATACGAGTATTATCCATTCCTGGACATCAAGAATCCCACAGATCGTTGGTGTGCCCTTCTGGACATACTCCCTCAGAGAACCGAGATCTTGAAGTAGGCTCGGCCTCCGCCAGTGACTGAAGAACGAACGGCATTAACGGGGAATAGGTTCTTTCACCACCATCGCTTGTCGGCACACCCTTTCAATCCAATCTTGGTAGATATTGATGGGGTTGAGTCCGCCATATGCACCTTTTTGGAATCGGTTGCATCTGGGGAACTGAGTAACCCAAACAGAATCTCGGAGCGCTGGTCTTCCGATAAGTCCATTGGTCTCATCAGCCTCCTTTTGGCGACCTTGGCTTCCGGTGCTCACTTTTCAGATCTCGAAAACCCACAACGCTCGGAAGTATGCCAGGATCTCGGTATGATACGGCAACGATTTTTCGCTGGAGCTAATCGCTAATGGTGAACAGTACGTCGATCATTCCAGGCCCTGAGATTGGCAAATTTTCTTTTCAGGCCCTCCCTGGACATTGTTCAAGCTATGCTCATTTTAGGGAACATGTTGCAAAATAATGGGCAGTCTGACGCAGCCTGGGCGTTGCTGGGGACCACCGTCCGCTTAGCCCAAGCTGTCGGCTTACACACTGAACGCGGCACTTCACATTTGCCAGAAAGTGTCCGTTCAAAGGCTAAGAAGCTATGGTAGGATGTGAGCCAGTCACAGTAAAATTGAATGTGCTGACCCGTCAAGGTCCATGACTGTTTGGCAGGACTGCTTATTGAGCCTCTGCTATGACCGTCCACCAGTAGTCTCCATCTCGGGCTGGCAGCAGAGCCTTAATCCCACACCTGCATTGGCATTGTCATTCACGGATGTGATGCACTTCCTTTGTCAGCTGGGTCTCGATATCGCCAAGGCTCAGGAGCCTGAGCATTGGGATTTGACGCGCGCCACCAAGTTACTGAGCGCGTTAGATAATGTCTACAGCCGTGCTCAGCCCCATCTGCTCTCCCGAGAACATTGCCATTGCTTACAGGAGCACCAGGAGCACCTCGCCCTTCGGATGCATATGTCATTTTGTGTATCAGTGCTCTGTCGGCCGACCATCCGAAGTTCGCCCAGCCATTCGGATGACCCTCGGTATAGCCGCCTACGACTCCGAGCCAAGGATAGCCTTGTGAGTGCATCGAATGCGTTCTTGGACTTCCAAACTTTGAGCATCGTGCCCTTGCGAACCTGGTCAATGGTACACACAGTCTTGAGCTCTACATTGCTCCTCTGTATGTGGCAGGAAACTCGGAATGACGATGAATGTCGAGACTTGCAGCAGAGAGTGATCACGGTATTCTCAACGGCGGATCCCTCAAGGAAGGACACCATCGGCGGATCAGATGATGGCCAGTGGTTGTCTGCGCGACATATCCGTGCCCTTGTGACCCTGAGAAATGCTGTGCATAACGCGCCGCTTAATGCAGCTGGTCAAGAGGGTAATGGGTCGCAAGGGGAAGGCCAAACTACCTGCCCCCCCTTGAATCCTCATGTCAATGAACTTGTAGCTCAAGATCCCATGTTTATGCCCGGATTCGGCCTTGGTGGGGGGTTGACCATGGGGGATGGAAACTAGTAAGTCGGTTCGACCTGGCCTGTAAGATCTGGTGATTGATAAAAGACAGCTTTCCGGACGGTATGCTAGACAATACAACGGATTTCTCCCCATTGACCTATTTGGATTCGATAATGAACGGTAGGTGCGCCCGCTTGTCTCAGTTGCCATGTACTGACGTCGTCAAAAGTTCCATTATTCAATATCTCCGAAGACAATGCGTTCTTAGAATAGCTTGCACTTATAGCGACATTTAGATTCAATACCGATGCATGATTACGGATATTATTAACCCATCAGATTGGTGTTCTGCCAATTAGCAGAAACACCACGGGCACCCGTAAAAATACAAGACGTGGTGCCTTCATCTTACAAACAGCAGTCATCGAGTCTTATACGGCGTGCAAAATATGCAACTCGCGTCATCTAGGACTGGGGCCTCTCCGTTACGATGGTAGAAGTCATCCTCTGCCTACCTCCGCACAACCTATCACTTCAGCTCTTTGCGCCAGTCAGCACAACGTCCCCTCCGAGGTTCCACAGCAGGTGTGCCGTGCGATACCTTTATTTCTCTAAAGCATGTGGATAGAAAGGCCCAGTTTCCTATCGCGTTTCTCTTTCAAAACAAACTATCCTCGTTGACTCATTCTATTACCAAGCAACCCCACTATTTATATGCCTAATATACTGTACACATAATTTATTCCTGTCTTCTGAATCCCAAAGCCTCCCAGTTGGCCCTCACCTTTGCTTTGATCTCCTCCGGATAGGAGTGCTCAAAGTCAGCGGCTTCCCAATCAGCGCCCGTGGTGTACTCCTTGGGCATCAGAGCGTCGGAAACAACCTTGCCACCCGTGGTGGGTGAGCCTGTGCCGTGGCCCATGTAAGGGATGAGCGGGAATCCCCGGACGTCCTCAAAGAATGTCTCATCTGCATTGGGGCGACACCGCGTCGCGAAAGCCCACATGACATCTTTCCACTCATACGGATCAATATCATCGCCAACCAGGACCAAGCGGTGGATGGTGTACCCGGCCTTATGGTTAAACACCACATCTCCGACCCATTTTTGAAGCTCTTTTGGTGTTAGCTTCATTTCACGAAGCTTGGCGGTATCGACTTTGAGAGCCACCCAGGTAACCTGTGCCTCGAAGGGCGAAAATGTGTCAGTGATAGGGAGGCCAGCTAGCTGGCAGATTTTGCGGATTTCGGCTGCGGCCAAGGAGCCAATCATAGTATGGGTCTCGTCGGTCAGGCGACCACAGGCGGACATGGGAAGGATGGCATCAGTGCGGTAGGTGATTTTGTTGACCTTGTAAACGGGACACTTGTGGCTATCGCCGGGGAAAACGTAGCCATGCATTTCACCGAAGGGGCCCTCGTCGGCAGTTTCAGTAATGGAGAGGGTACCCTCAAGCACGATCTCCGCATTAGCGGGAACGTACAGATGGTTGGTATCACACTTGACGAGCTCCAAGGCGCGACCAGTCATGGCACCAACATACCCAGCCTCAGTAACACTGTCCGGGATGGGCATCGATGAGGCCATGATAGCGGCAGGAGGAACTCCGAAGCATAGAGCCCATGGGACATCCTTGCCCTCCTCTTTCCACATTTGGTGGATTTGCCAGATATGTTGGGGTTCAATCACCAACCCGGTCAGGTGGTTCTTGTCCTTGACCATCGCACGGGCGATAGACCAGTTGGTCCATTTCCCATCAGGAGACTGCACAACATGCATACCGTATGTTTGTAAGTATTTTCCACCGTCGGACTTGTGCACCATCGGCACTGGGAGTGCTGTGAGATCGATTTCATCGCCTTCAAGACAATTCTCCTTTACGGGACCGGTTTCGACAATCTTAGGGTCAATGGGAGGTAGCCGGGAAGCGGAGAGCATCTTGTCAAGGATCTCCTTCATGCTAGCGGTAGGGGGCAGGGCCAGGTGGCGGGCGAGACGGCCGTAGCGGTCTCGTTTGGACTTTCTGAGAGAGCCGGGAGCGCCCAGGATACGGAACAGGCCATTCTTTCCCATGCCTTTGAGGTTGTTGAAGAGGGGGGCCTTGTCGTCGGTTTCGCAGACAAGACGAGTGATCGCGGCGGCTTCCAGGTTCGAGTCGACTTCGGTGTTGATCTCGACCAGGTCATCGTCGGCCCTGAGGGCTTCGACGAAAGCGCGGAAGGAATGATCGACTTCGGTAGACGCGGCCATATTTGCTTCGCTGGTACAGATGGTAAAATACAAGTTTAGACTGTTATTCGATGGAATTGTGTGGGTGTTGGTGTGTCGGCCACTGCCAGGATCTCCCCTGGACTTATATACACCGGCATCTTGCCCATTACGGATAATCGGCAGCTGTGCATTCCCCGATTAGGTACTGGATGGTACGTCTTCTAGCGTCGAATCTTCTCAAATGCTTGTTTGGTCCTGCCGAAAGGATGCTCGGGGCCTCGGACGTGGGTAGAGTTCATTCAGCTCGGAGGCTCGGAAAGCGCTCCAGGACATGCGTCTGGACCCACCAGTGATATAATCATGTAAGGAACAGAAACTTAATCCACTGTTTCGGAACTCGGTGGCTCGGAGATTCATTCATCTTTGATGCAGGGTCTCTCAAAAGGCCGATATCAGAGGATCTGGTAGAAGAGGATCCCGAACCATTTCCATGTTTTCTGATCTGTCCGTTGTCTTTCCGGCAAGGGACATCCGGTGTTTGCTATAAATACACAGACATCGCAGTGCATTCGGATCATCATCTCATCCATACGACAGTGAAGACTACGGCAACTACTACTACACCCAATATCAAGCTTTCTGCGGACCCAATCCAAATCCTGACCTACATATTATCTTGGTACTTTTGATTAAAATTTCACAATGCTCCCCTCTTTCCTTCCTTCTGGCACGAATACGCCAAACTCCGGCCGTCATAGCCCTGAAAACGCATCCGAAACCCAATCAACCAGACAATCCGCACCGGCCGAGCACCCAGTCACCCCAATGCCTCCAGTACCAACTGGCGGTCGACGTAAGCGAATCGTGGTAGCCATGACTGGAGCCACAGGATCAATTCTCGGGATCAAGGTCCTCATCGCCCTCCGCCGACTCAATGTCGAAACACACCTCGTCATCAGCAAATGGGCCGAAGCAACCATAAAATACGAAACAGACTATCACCCGCGGAATGTGCGCGCCCTGGCAGACTATGTCCACAGTATTAACGACATGGCTGCGCCCGTATCCAGCGGCTCCTTCAAGACCGACGGCATGATCGTTGTCCCCTGCTCCATGAAGACCCTGGCCGCCATCAACTCCGGCTTCTGCGAGGATCTGATCTCCCGGACTGCAGATGTCATGCTGAAGGAGCGCCGAAAGCTGGTCCTTGTTGCCAGAGAAACCCCCCTGAGTGACATCCATCTTCGCAATATGCTTTCTGTATCTCAGGCTGGCGCTATCATCTTCCCGCCTGTACCGGCTTACTATATCAAGGCGGCGTCTGTGGATGAACTTGTGGATCAGAGTGTTGGTCGCATGCTGGATCTGTTTGATCTGGATACGGCCGACTTTGCTAGGTGGGAGGGCTGGCAAAAGGACAACTGAAACTGGCAAACGCAGTATCGCTTATACTTCGCCACAAACGCCTAAGTGCACATCGATGGCGCTTGTTTTCGACTTGGCAAATCACCATACCTGGCTTAATTTTAGGCGCAAAAGGGAAGGCACAGAATGGCATTGTGTTACATTGTACGATTGGGAAGGATTGTTATTTGGAAGCATGAAGGCGTTATTGGGGCTAAGCGTTCTATAGTTTATTTTTTATTTATAAAAATGAGATCCATCATCCGCACTTTTATCTTTTTTCGTATTCATCAAATCGAGAGTAAGATCATTAGGAGGCCATTTTTTGATTTCTTGGGCGGGGCCAGGTGGATGGCTGTTTGAGGCATATGGCCGAATTCTAGAAGACCGAGGCATGGAGAAGGGCCATGTTGCCTACCTGGTTCTCTTTATATGGCGGAGGGATAAATTGGTTAGATAGCCTGAGGCAAAAGGGATGTTGTGGAATAGTGAGTAGGTAAAGAGACTGGATCTGGAAGTGCTGGGAAATAGTTCTGTTAAATTAGATTCCCTGAGCCGGTTTCCTTCTATTTATAGCCTATATCTCTCTATCCCATCAACCTCCCATGAACATTGGATGTCCCTATCCTTTCCACCTAGACTGACTAGTCTATTGTGATATACTCACTTGGATTCTTGCCTTGGTTGACGTCGGATCTACCTTAGATCAAGGTCGACTCGACGGGAGCCAGGGTTCCATTCTCAATGGCACCAGCATGGTGGCGGGCAACCAGGCCGTAAGCGAATTGGTACCTGGAGAAGCGTCAGATCAGTAATTTGGACAGGAAAGAGAAGTATGGTGATATCGTACTTGTCAAGCATAGGAAGCACCTCGGTCAAGCCGGGGGTATTTCTCCAATCCCTCATCAGATCGGTAACGATGCCGAAGAGACCCATCAGAGTGACACCGGCCTTCTCCATACGGCGGTTGGCATCCTCAGCCAGGCGGGGATCGAAAGTACCACTGGCCTCGGTGTTGGCGAAGACCTCGTAACCCTCGTCGATGAGGGAAAGAGCAAGGAATGCAGTGCCTGTCCAATTCAACATTTAGCAAATGCCACCACTCCAATCGATATACGTGAAGAAGGCAGACGTACAAACTTCAGTGACGATACCACCGATGATCAGCTGCTTCTTGCCAGTGGCCCGGACGGCAGCACGGAACTCCTCGTTGTCCCAGGCGTTGACCTCACCCTGGCGCTGAACCAGGGTGGCGTTGGGGTGCATATCCTGGATCTCCTTGAGCAGGAGACCGTTGGGACCAGTGTCAGAGGAGGTGGTCAGGACGGTGGGCAGGTCAAAGACGTTTCCGACGGCGGCGTGGGCCAGCATGTTGTTGCGGAAGTCATTAGTGCCGTAGTCGCGCACCAGCTGGGCGAGGCCGACCTGGTGATCAATGACGAGCAGGGCCTGACATGGACCGTTAGTATGTGCGTGACTAGGAAGGTTCTTCATGAGAAGCACATGAGGCATACCGCGTTGTCCTTGTCAATTCTGTTCCACGCCAGGGCGGGGACAGAGGCTCCGAGGAGCGCAATGGTCTGGAAGATCTTGCTGAGCTGCATTTTTCTGGGTTTGTCTTGAGAGATAGAAAGCTATTGTTGCTCAATGGATCTGGTGCTGCCTGGGAAAAGAACCTGGATGGTGAGGAGAAGCCATCTGTTTATATAGTGTGCCGAAATTGCCATCCGACGCTAGAATGAGCCTTCAAAGCATGTACATAGCATTGGCAATATCGAAAACTTTTCAAGTTATCATTATCAACTATTGGATAATCTTTTGGTCAGCCTTCAGAATGCTGGCGGGCGTCTTGGCATGCATGGGCCGTAGTGGGACCAGCATCGCTTAGCACTGCTTATACAATTCTGACAAGACCCTTCTTGGCGGCCGACCCTTCCCTGATATGGCTTTTTAACGGCAGGGTAGTTTTGGCCAACCAATACCACCACGGCAGGAGAAATTAGCTAGGACCCAAATTTGTGAAGAATAGACACTTAACGGTCCGGGGTACCCGCACAAATCGACGATTCTCCCCTGGAATGGCCCACGGTTGGAGAGTAGTGCTGCTTTGGCGCCTGTCCATTACTTAATGGAGTATGAATAATACGAGGCATTTTCTTTGCAAACGATGCGTCACAGAGGTTCATAGCACAGGAAATCTGATTCTTCACAGTCCACAATGACGTTATCTAAGTCAGTCGGCCATTCTATCCATGATACCTACCTCTTCACGGGTTTGCTGTACATCAGGATAGTTTGTTCGCTTGATCCAACGTAAGGATAGCCAACGAAAATTCTTTATGTGAGACGTGAGCAACCCTTTCAGACCAGGCCAGACCCACATCCATCCCAAGCGAGTGGGCAAATAGGTAATGTAAGCACAAATTGTCCAATCCAACCCGAGAGGTCGCTGGCTTTCCGTGTCTCTCTTCACCGTGGACGGTATCCAGGTTGTCCGCCTCTGAGCTGACCTTGGAATATTACTTTACGCCAAAACTTGCATGGAGATTGTTGGGTGCTTTATATTCATCTCTGTTTATTTCTCTCTCTCTCTCTCTCTGTGGCAGGATGAAGTCATGCTATTGTCGGGATCGATAAACCCTCGGCCGGAGTCTGATTCGTATGAAACGGTGCCCTCCCTCCCAGCCAATTTCATTCTGACCTACTGCCCCTCCCGTCTTCATAAAGCTTTTATCGTGACTCAATATTCTACAACAGTATCCAAACGGAGAGTGCCAGTGACTGCCTTCTTCGAAGGAGTATGCGCGCCGATAGGGCCAAGGATGGAAACAGTCTTCCCTCCATTATTCTTAGCTGCGATGTGCACGTCGTTCGGGCCAGCGTATGAGCTCGCGCTATCAATCGTGTAAGAGCCATTAAGATCGTCCACGTTCTCGTAGTGGAGCTCTAAATCCGTGGCGAAAAAATCGTCAATCGATTGGGACAATGAGCCAAGAACCTTGATCTGGGCGCCGATGTCCTCCTCTTCACTATGAAACAGGCCGTCGAGTTTCCCCCCTCGTCCTTTCAAGCTGCCATGTGCGGTCATCTGTTTCGCAGGTTATTGGAAGGTTTATCACTTGGGAATCGAGGATGTTTTGAAATATTCATGGTTTGGGGGCAAAACTTGCTTTGATTGAAAGTGTTGCCTTTGAATGCAAGTGTGGATGAGGAGTTGTAGGGTTGTGAGATGTTTTTTATATCTGTACGGAGAGTCAAATGGAGGGGTACAAGGCCTCAGCGTGGAGAGTGCCCATCTCTTGCAAGGTCTGCAATGACAAATACTCTACCGAAAACCGGCAGCGTTCTCTTGGTATCGAGAGCAAGGTCACCGACGGAAACCTTTTCCGTGATGCATGAAGGTGGGTACGATGCCACGTCGAGATCTCTTCTCGGCCACGGCATGATCCTCACCGCTGATCTGCGATGTCTGCCCGACGGTGTGCTTGACGATCGGAAACAAATATCATTCTTCTATACAATGTAGTCCCTTGGCGGCCAGAATCACCGAAGGCAGCTGGACCTGCTGGTGGCTGTTCACTAGCGCTCGCCTACCCTCCGGTTGATACCGGAGGAACAACCTGGATATATCGACGGATGCTTATGATATGACTCCGTCGTTTTGCATGATTTGATATTGTAGTGAGCAGTTCAAACCTGCGTTTTTATCCCTCATTGCTGGTGGAATGTTTCACTGTCATTATGATTGCTAGATTAAACACTATTGTGATTGAGATCCTTGTTTATGTGTGTTAGCTGCCACTCCAGGAGAAAGAAATCAAATCAACATGCAGAAGATATGAAAAGGAATATCGAAAGACGCCGTGCGTAATTCGTAAAACTAAAACTGATGCTCCCACAGTCCCAAGGGCAATGGTGGATTGAGACGTCAAACGGATGCCCGTCCTCGGAATTCATTAATTAGAGCCACAATTTCTGGAACTTCCTCGCCGGCCTCCGGGCATTTATTATTTTTCTGTTCGGTTGAGTGTTTGTTTCTTTTCGCCATGGAATTGGGAACGGGAATCTGTGTGTTGCGCCTCGAGACGTAGCCGCGTGGTTTCTTGGAGCGTGGAGGTACTGGGGGTTTGGATGCACTGGATACGGAGTCTGTCCTCTCAACGGGTGCATCCTGTTGCTGCCAAGGTATCCTCTCAAGCGGATCACAGCTGGAGTCGGCAGGCGAAAGTGGGCCGCCGGTATGGTGTGGGATGCTTATGGAGATATTCCTACCGATCTCTTTGCCCATCAGGGCCCGCACTTCTTGAAGAAGCTCTGCAGTACTGCCCAACACCTTTTCTCTCCCAGCACCGTCCCACTGAATGGTAGAAAAGTCCGTCGGGCATTGATCCGGAGATTCTATCCAATCCGCTCCATTCTGTCTTCGTGCGTGAGACATTGCTTGCTGGTCAACGTAGATGTTGATATGTATGGGTGCGCTCCCGAACTGCTGTGTAGGACCCTGCACAGGCTGTGCTGGTTTCATCGGACCCTTGAAGTCAGGGGATTCGATGTTCGCTGCCACTGATAATAGCCAAAGGTAAAAGGACCATATCAATTGCCCAAAAATAGCCAGTAGAAGGCAGACCCCAATAAAGGCACTGTGCAAGGTCGTCGTCATTCCAGAGGGCACTTTTTCAAGGAGTCGCGTGAAGTCTGCACGGTCAACATCCCATCGCTGCTGCTCACTCACTGGCTCTGTACCTGTGGAATCAACCGGAGGAATGGTGAGTAGCAGCTCTTTGGCACAGACGGCGGCAGCGGCAGCGGCATAGCCATGCCATCGATCATTCTTGTGAGAGTCGGCATAGTCGCAGATTCCGCGAATTGCAATCCAGTTTAAGCTGTCGCTGAGACCAGCCGCTTCCATCTCGAAACAAAGAGCATCCAACTCATGACCGATTAGATCTCGGGCCGTGGCATCTTTTATGACCTGGTCGGCAGATGCGATTATTCCGTCGTGAACCCTGACCTCATTCCTGCCACGGGATGGCCTTTGGACTAAATTCAATTGGTCCTGTGTACCCTCCCTCGTGCAATCACAGTTATCAAGGTGGACATATCGAGGGTTGTACAAGCGGTCTGTATGCGATTCAGGGCGTCCGAATGTTGCTTTTATCGGTGGAGATTTTGTGACCATTTGCTCCAATGATACTGAAAGGTCCAAGCCATCGAAAAGGCGTGTTTTCAGTCCAGTTACTGCATGAATAAGGATAGATGCCGGCGTGAATGTGTGACCAGTGACTTGGAATCCACTCGATGTTTTCTTACCAAGTCCATATTGGACTACCTTCGTTCCAATCACCACATCCCCCAGACGAACATCATTTTTTTCGCTCGGGACGCCGCCACCAATTCCGACCAGAAAGCCTAGGTTTATAGACGGAAATCTCATCTTCATGTCCTCCGCCACTGTGGCCGTGGACACTAAGCCGTAACGACCAATTGGCAGGCAGCCAATCACAATTTTGTGTCCTCCGATGCGACCGCGAGTATAATAGCTGCGGCTATCGCTGGTCAGCGAGCTTTTGGTGGTATCATCGTAAGTCTCATCCAGTATCTCCAGAGCCGCAATGTATTCCTTGAAAAGAGCGCAAACCCAGCCGACGGTGAACTCGCGGTCACTGGGCCGCTGGGATGTGGCCCCGAGCATTTCGTGGTATTCACCGGGGTGTTAGAATTTGGTTTGCGAGCTTGCAAAGTGTAGTCCCACTTGGAGTTGGTTGTTCTCGTTCACTGGGCGTTAGAAGTAGCTTGCCTCTATCCTCGTCGATATAGAGCGCTAAGATAAAGCGCGGATAGTTTCTCCGAATGTTCTCAAGAAACAGCTGTGCGGTTCCTTAGCTACAACCTTACGAAGTGCGAGGTCGAAGGAAGAATTTAATTATAACTATTGGACGTGGCGTGTTAGACTACAACGGACATGACATGTATTGCGCTCTGATTAGTGAGACTCGAACGATTGCTCAGCGCCTAATAGGCTGCATGCTTGCTCGGCGGCTAACTCACCACGCCAACGTGTCAGAATACGTGCGTTGATGAATTTAAGAAACCATCAACTGGCATCCACATCGAAGCATCTCATGTGATCTGTACAATATGTGATGGCGGATGGCGGAACGAGGTGCTAGAAGGATGTAGAAGACATTCCACCGAAATTAGGACCAGACAATCAGGTTAGGACAACTATCCTGGTGAGTTTCAGATTGTACACGAGTCATACACGACTCTATTTCAGTATAACAACTCAAAGGTGTCATGTCGTGGACAATGCGTTTACCAAAACACGTTGAAAGCAGGTATGCCTCCACCAAGTCCCTTCAATACCAAATAGTTCCGAAGACTTTTTTCATCACGTCATATTCGACATAGTATGGGGGGATAAACCTTTCAACCATACGATCCCAGGACCTCCAGGGCGGATTAAACATGGCACGATAGAATTCCCAGTATTCAGGCCAAAATCCAGATATTACCCAGTCCAATAGCACCACAGTACCATCCGATCGGACCAGCATGTTACTTTCATGAAGGTCACCGTGTGTGAACACTTTTTGTGTCCTCTCAACCCTCGTACAGTCTGGTACAAGATATATTCACTGGTCCAAAAAATGGATTCCGGGTCGTTTTCATTTTCAAGTAACTCTGGTGGAAGCCGGTCTCGCAAAGCTTGGACCATGCCTTCGTTGAAGCTCTGCTCTGATTCGTACGGCCCGTAGCTATACTTGGAATAGTCACCATAGCCGCCTTCGAAGACTCCATCTCGGCAAGGCGAGCGATCCAGCCCACAAATGAAGTTGCCTTCAATCGCTCGCATTTGCTGCACATAGTCCGTTAATTGGGCGAGGATTCTCAGGTGTTCTGTCTCCGAAGCATTGTCCCAGTACTGCTCAAAAGGCGTTCCATGTTCATAGGACATGATGATGTACCCAGTCCCGTCAAGGATATATGCACTCAGCAGTTTGAGCACCGCGATGGTTGTGCGTTTAGATACCAAATGTAGAGCCTCAGCCTCAGCTAACCGAACCCCATGGCCGAACTTCACAAGCATGTCAGTGTCAGCCCAGGCGAGGCGAGCACCCATCTTGTCCGGTATTAAGTCTTCGGCATTCTTCAGATCTTCTGGATCCAAGATAATTGTAGGCGGACCAATGTCTTCCGAGTAGATTAAATGCAGTTTTGGTTTTTCGGGTGATGACGTGGACGTGGACTCCTGAGTGTTAAGTCGGAGTGGCTCAATACAATTCAATTCCGATAGCGATCTGCCCTCTCCTCCGTATTTCGGTGGAATATCCGGGCCAAGGTAAAGGGCGAGGTCCTCTGGCTTTTGTAAAAGGACGGTGTTCCGTAGGAGGTATTCGGGGACATCCAATCTAGCGAGGTGTTCATGCGATGGGTAGATAATGTATGTTTTCTCGAGAAGACCGGGGTAGTGCGAATGGATCAGTGCAATCAAATCACTGAGCGCCTTCCGGATATTCCCTCGAAACAAGCCGTATCCCGTACGCCCCCCGGGCTTCTATTGCAGCCGGAATTCATGGACACAACTTGCCGTCTGGCTGGTGAGGGTGCGTTCTGGCATGGCATGATCAACCAGAGTGCCGACTCTATGCGAGATAGATGTATTGCAAGTGGCCGAAAATGGATCAACGGCCCAGAGTCAACTTTCGAGGGCGAGCCGGACACCCGATTTTCCGACAAGGCAGATTCGAAGCCGGTGGGAAAGTTGATGCAGAATTCCATATTTCAGGAACGAATGCGATCACTCCTCGGTGGCCGCCAAGATCCTCCTGAATCTGAACGTGAAGACCGCTCTTCAGAAAGACCTTTCTATGTGTCAAGCCCATTCTTTAGCCAAACGGGTGGCATGAAGTAATTCGACTGTGGGGGGAACCGGCTCACGATTGAAGATTGCGACCATCGGAGCGAATTTAGGGATAGAAGACCGGTTATCATAGCCATATCAGCTGGATCTCTTGACATTTTCCCTCGAATTGGGGTCGGACACTTTCCGCAAAGTCTCCGCAGCCATGGATTCTACTCTCTATGCGGATGGGACTAGTCAAACGTAATCCGCTTATAGAATGGGAACACTATGGCAAGTGGACAGAACGCGGACTTCTTTGCGCACATTCAAGCTGCCTTTTGATGGACATGTTTATCTGGTAGTGTTCATGCCCCCTACAGTGAGGCCTAGTTTCGAGAAGAGGTCTTCGTCTAATATTGACTCTAAACGCAGCATTAGCCCATGCTTATAGAGCGAGTCTCTTTGGCTCTGTCTTTCGTCGTCATATTTTCCGTTTTGGCCTAGGTTCTAGTTTTCTTTTTTTTTTTTGTTTCCCTTGGCAATGAACGACCTCGTACACGAGGCAAAGCTTGCTCGTCAGGCACCAGACGCCACCCTAGGCAACTTCCCTTGCAATGTCGCGTTTATAGCCTCTTTCAGAGATTGTGATTGTTCACATACGACGATTAGCGTTTATAGATATACGACACTATACGTACAATTTTCATCGTTATCATACCTCGCTCCATCTACTTTACCCCGCGACCAGACTCAATTATTGTCAAGTGTGAAAACGCCTGATTGAAACTCTACAACTGTAGGCGAGACGAAAGGTTCATGCTAGTGGAGACTAGCAGCACTAATCGGCGCTGTTGGGGACTTGGCGCTGACGAGTTGGTGAGGTAAAAAGGAGGAAGAAAAGGCATGTCCATACGAGGCGAAGGCATACAAAGGAACGGCAAGCTCATGAGTGTACGAATCTACCCAACTTGGCCTGCCTACTTAGTCACCGCCAGCACAGTAGCTGACTGCCACCAACCGTTTCTGTGTTGTCGTCGATTTGCGGTATGACTTTGTTACGTATCATCTTCCTCGACCAGTTGTTCAGCGAATGCAAGGGGCTGGCCGGAAGTGTAACATTTTCCTGGCTCCGGGCGTTTCTCGACGACTGGAGCAAAGGGTGTCCCTCGTTCAGTGGGTCTATAAGATGTTCACCAGAGGGACCAATCGTAAAATGCAACTCATTTGGGCAATCCCGAGGCTGTTGAGGCTTTTGTGTGGCCGTTGGGCATTTGGGAATTGCCTCCTGCCCCTTACCTACTCAGGCAGGCGGTACTCAGCCAAGACTTCTGTTCCTTAAATAGTCTTGTAGATCTTTCTTGTCGTTGAGAGGCTGAAGAAAGGTAACCCTTTTTGATTGGATCAGTCTTTCCTGATGATGGCAGATGGGCAGCTGCGAATAACGATCTGCGCTTCGCGGGGTTCGTGTTCGTGTATCTCGTATGAGCATGCCTATGGCTGAACTGAAGAGCATCATGACAGAACCTCAATTATGCGAAGTTTCTATTCTTGAAATAAAGCTTCAGCCTGGCGTCGATCCTTGCCAGCCTTATCGTCCGGGGGCCGGGAGTGGCTGTCGAGGATCCGCGTGCCGAGACGGTCGAGCCAGGAATACGAGCATTGAGATACGTAAGGAATACACATGAATCGGTCAAGAAAAACAACATTGGATCACTGGCAAAGGATAGGCATGGCTCTGCCTGAAAGACCCTTTTTCATGACACAAATTCCTCGTATTCCATGAAGATCTCTACTGTTCAATGCAATCCCTGGCGTGGTGGCACTGTGGTAGGGGACTTAGGGTTATCCCTTCGGAGGCTGAACACGAGTCGAAACACGAGATAAACGAGGTCGGGGATACACAACTTCAGGGGAAAGATGAATATAAATATGGGCTGGGAGTCTGCTGGATTGAGGATTATCAACAGCCCAAAGACCACAAGTCAACTGTCTATCAGAACATCAACAGATTCAAACCCATCCACTTAACGTGCCTTTTCCACCCAAATTCCAAAGTGTAAGGGACCAAGCATTCCAACCAAACTCGGTCATTCAGCAGGCAGTTAATGAATCTTGAAATATAGACACCCGCCAAAATGCGTTTCTTCGGTAGTGCTCTCGCGACCTTGGTTGTCTGCTCTTCTTTGGCCGAGGCCATCTGCCACAACTCGATCGCTTGCTTCGCGGGTGACGCTGGTTGCAACAAAGTCTGTGAGCGACAGGGCAACCCTAAAGGTGGTCGCTGTCTCCCCCGTGATGGCTGCCCTGGCTATACCATCTGCGCTTGCTACCCGAACAGCAAGCGCAGTGACGAGGTGATCGATGGCGATCTCGCTGTCAGGGAAGTCTTGAAGGACTTCGGAATTGACGCAGAGGCTGAGCAGGAGCCTGCGGCACAACTGGATGCAAGGGGTACCCTGGAGCAGCGCAGCGCCTGCTGCAGCCTCGTCCCTCCCGCTCAGGGACTCTGCTGCGAAGCCCACTGCGACTGGATTGGAAAGAACGGTGGCCAGTGCTCTGACAAGGGAGTTTGCGAATGCAACAAGTGATTGAGCATTACATCTGATGCTTGTCCTGCATGATTTAATGGAGGAAAAGGCTGGTTTCTTTATCTTCTTGTCAAATTCTATTTACTGTTGGGTTGTTTTGTAATTAGTGCAGATGCAGATATTCAACACGATTATGTGCTTTTTGGAAGTGATATTTTAATGGCAAACTCCAGTACTTGATAGAGAGTGTAGAATGTTCTCTGAGCCTCCAAAATCCACAAACTCTAACCCACTAGGCAATTTTCCGTCCATATGGTACATTATTAGTGGGAGACGGCCCCGGCATGGGTTTATACCGATATGCAGAGCAAGCCAATAATCCAGCGTTTTCGTTGCTGTTGCGTTTGGTCCTATTTCTTACCTTCTATGTTTTATAGAGTGGTGATATACCCCCACAGAACACAGCTCTTCAGACATTTCCTTGGTCGACCCCAGACGGCCCAGGGAGGTTGCCGTACCATAAATGTTTTCGACTAATGAACTCCATCGTGATATCTTAGTGAAGTTAGGGAAACTCATACATTGTTTAAGGCCGCCGTTCCATTCCTTCGACTATGAATTCCATAATTAAAGCCATTTCCCCGGTGTTTCGGCAGCCCACTTGGTGAGAAATTGAAATATATATCTTCCAGTCTACGGGCTGGTCGGCCAACAAAGACCGCTCCAACAGAGAGCCACAACCAGGAACTTCAAGATGGCGAAAGATTTCTTCCCTCCCTAGTCCCATTATGTCCACCGTTGTATGCTAAGCCTAGTTGCCTTCTAGGACCGCTGGGGTGAATTTGCCATGGTCTCCAAATGAATGGGCGAAGGACCTTGCGGCTTGCTTGCCAAAAGTTGAAGTTCAGAGCATGATTACCTAATCGGCTCCGAGAGGATCGGTAAAATTGTTTACGGGACGAGACGATGGGGGCAGTGTTGTGAACATCACACACTTGATTGGGCTTTGCAACGCAGACTAGAAACATGGCGGTCCACACTAAAGGGTTGTCATGAATCATGGCCGAGAAAAACGTTCGTCCGGCATGATAGCAACATGTTGACTGACATCATCATAATTTAGGCTGGACGGTGTGCCGCGAGTCAAGAAACAGCGCAGAATTTGCTAAACTGTGGTTAGGGTTTCCTATTCTGGCCATATCAACGGGATGCATGAAGTCCCATCCAAACTTTTCCCAAGCCATGGACCAGTCAGATCCGAGCCCGCCGTTCCCCGTGGAGTACTTTCTCCACTCGATCCCACATGGTTTGTGAGGAATGTGGGGGTTCTTCCAGAATTTCTCGGTATTGCTTGCAAATATGGAGGGGATGCTGTATGACGGCAGGGAACCGAGAACTGTTCGGGCATGCCGTGATCGGTCGGCTAAGAAATGCTCCTGCGATCCCGGGGTCATCACGGATCCAGAGTCGGATGCTGGACGGCGGATATAAAATGAGGATTTTCTGCGTGACCCTTCGTCTCCAGGCGCAGTTTTCTCTTATTTTAATTCGCGCCCATTTTACCCGTTAACAAAATGGTAGCGTCCTTACTGAGACTGACGGTCCTGGGGACTCTGGCAGTACAGGCCGTCTGCAAGACTGTAAATACATCGTCCCTCTTGACCTACCAGGATAGACCGCGGGTGTTTATCTTATCGGATATCTCGAATGAGCCGGACGACCAGGAGTCCCTGACGCGGTACCTCCTCTACTCTAACCAATTCAAAACTGAGGGTCTCGTCGCATCGACGTCCACTTGGCTCAGAGATGCAGTCCACCCGGAGGATATGCTGCAGGTGATCAACGCCTATGGCAATGTCACCGATAACCTCAACAAGCATGCTCCCCCGAATGCTCAGTATGCCTCTGGAGATTACTTCCGCAGTATCCTGCGCAGTGGCCCCGCGGTAGGTCAAATCTTCCTCACAACCCACGATCACACGACCCTAACTCGCTCTAGACCTATGGCATGAAAGCCGTGGGAAGCAACGTCACGCTCAGCGACGGCGGAAAGCTGCTTCTCGAACGTCTTCAGTCTCCCTCCCAGAAGCCCCTTTGGGTTCTCGCTTGGGGTGGTACGAACGTTCTGGCCCAGGTGTTGTATAAAATCCACCAGAACTCCTCATCCGAAGAGGCGGCTGCTCTTCGTTCCAAGCTGCGCGTGTATGCCATTTCCGACCAAGATGACACGGGTTCCTGGATCCGTCGGACCTACCCAGACATCTTCTACATTTCGTCCACGCACGGATGGAACCAATACGGTCTCGCATCCTGGATCGCCATCTCCGGCGAGACGTACTACGGTAAGGATGAGGGTGGTCCTAACAGCACCACCGTGACACATGAGTGGCTGCGCGACAACATCCAGATTGGACCCTATGGTAGTGTGGCGTACCCCGATTTCAAGTTTATCATGGAGGGCGATACTCCTACATTCCTGTACCTGATCCAGAATGGTCTGGGCGACTCGGAGAACCCCGGCTATGGATCTTGGGGTGGAAGATATACCAAGGTGGACCCCTCGACGGCTGTGAACTACAACCACTACAGCGATGCAGCGGATCGTGTGGTGGGTCTCAACAACAAGACTTTCAGCTCCAACTATGCTACTATTTGGAGATGGCGGGACGCTTACCAGAACGATTTCGCCGCTCGCATGCAGTGGACCCTCCCGGCGAACGTTAGCCAGGCGAACCATCACCCCGTTGTCTCTGTCAACGGAAGCAAGCAACTGGCTCCATTCAAGATGACGGCCCAGGCAGGCTCGACGATTAACCTCGATACCGCTGGCACCTATGATCCAGATGGCGATAGGTTGTCGTACAACTGGTTCCAATACCAAGAGCCCGGTTCCGATGACTGGAACGTGGCAGGACAGGTCCCTGCATTGAACCTGACTACCGCGAAGAATGGCCAGCAGGTACAGGTGGCGATCCCTGCTTCCGAGGACAGCTGCAATGGAAAGGGAGATAACCCCTCTGGCTGTTGGCTGTTGCATTTGGTTTTGGAGGTCAAGGATAACGGTGTTCATCCCTTGACAACTTACCGTCGGGTGCTCATCCAGACTACTAACCAGACGATCGCTGCGTGATACATTGGTACCGACGCATAGACCCTGTAACTCTAGCATGTGAAAGTAGCATTCAGATAGATATGTGCATAATGAAATAACGATATGAAGTTCATACTGGCCAAAAGGAACGGAAACAGCCCTGCACAGCGCGAAAGGCGAACACGACCATGCGGCATTCATGTATCAGATGGCTACATCTCTGATATGCTTCTTCAGCTCTGTCAGCATCTTCTTTTGATAATTCCACACTCTTGTACAACTCCGCAATCTTCTGAATTCCTTCCAGTGCCACTTGATATCAACGTACAGCTTATACCAATTTGTCCATCCTAAGGGAGACTTTGGGATAATCCCAGCGATGGTGTTCCTGTACATTAATCAAATGTGACACAATGTCCGTAAATCACATACCGGGGTCTAAGACCCTATGGCCGTTGCTTTTGATGTCGGCGGTCACCGTGGCCCAGAAATAAGGGGATTCATCGCCCCAGACCTCCCAGGGCCATGTACTCCAGAGAAGGTTAGGAATATAGAGACCTTGCTCCAAGTCATGGTAGGTTAAGCTTACTCGTTGCTTTGGATAGTATGGTATATCCGAAAGGCTTTTGGTGGTTGTTGGAGCCTAGCGTTACTAGAGGAATTTCACAACACTTAAATGAAGATTGGGCAATGAAATGGTAGGGGTAATGCTCAAACTGTTGGGAATCAAATGCTCTTGATAGTCTAAGCCTCCTTTTTTCTTACATTATACTGTATCCTTCTCTCTCGTAACATGACCGTGCGGGGAGTCCACTGCCTTTCATTCAATACGGTAGGTAGCGTTAGAAGCATGTCACAAGGGTTAACATTGATACGCTGATGTACATTATTCAGACTTCCTGGGTTACACAACTTGTGAAGGTTATTGGATTATCAAAGGTTCGTTGTCGTGAAGCTGAAGACGAGTGGAGGGTGGGGAGGAAACTGTCTTTAAAGGATGAACTGTTGATAGAACTGTTGGTCTTCTGCCAGATGATTGACCCGGGGGAGCCGGTGGATTAAATTAGGATACTATGAACATTTTGCTCAGGAAGTGTGAATTGAAAAGATTCTGTATTTGAAGATTGGCCGCGTTACATGTTCAGTGCCTTCCGCGTTAAAGGTCCATCACACTGGCTGTCGGGAGAGGACGAAAGAAACACGTTTGCTGACCATATTCCGCTACCTGCCGCTTAAACCGTACGCTCCAAGCTCCTAAGAAGGCCATTCGGTTCGGCGACACCCTGAGAAGCGATTGCATCGGCACGCTCCTGTGTGTCAGCAACGGCGTAGATACGGAGTTCATCCGCGTTGCCTGAGGGGCGGAAGTGAGCAACATCGCCGTTAGCGAAGATGATTCTAACGCCGTCCGTGTAGTTCAGACGGGCAATAGAAGAGAACCCATATTCCGGGGAGAACACGGTCTCAAGCTCTTGGCGAATCTGCTCGAGTTTCTTGGCGTGAGACTCCGTAACCTGAAGCTGAGCACGGCTGCCGTCGACAGCGACAACGTGATCTGGCTGGTAGGATACCTCCTGCATCGTGGACTCTGGTGGGGAGAAGCGGTCGATAATCTTCAAGCTGGTTGTGCGGGGGAAGTTCCGAATCAAAGCGGCACGGCTTGAACGCTTGGGTAGCGTGGCGAACAGTTCAGGTAGAGTGATTCCGCGATTGCCCGCCGCAAACAAGGCGCAGAGCAGAGGCAACATAGCATCACGGGTAGGGAGTGCGGTGAGGACATTACTGTTGCGCTCGATATCAGAGCCAGTGAGGAAGCCACCGTTGGCTTCCCATCCACAGACGCGACGACGTCCCTTGGAGAGAGAGTGCTGCATACCAGCAATCACGTAAGGACTGCCAATCTTCGTCTTAGGCTCAGTGACACTAGCAAGTGAGCCACGATCCATGGCATCGTTAGTGCTGATGGGCACCACGACAGAATCGGCACCGAGGAACTCGGCGACAACCATGCCCAACAGATCACCACCGAAGAATCGGAGCTTCCCTCCTTCCGGGGCTAGGATAAGAGGGCGATCGCTATCGCCATCAGTAGAAACTACCGCGTCAAATTGCTGTCCAGTGCTGTCGTAAAGGTTCTGAACAGTGTCCAGTTGGACTTGATCGATGGCTTCAGTATCAATGGGTACGAATGTGTCACTTCGGCCAGCGGTGACAACCTCAGCCCCAAGCTTTTCGAGAATCTCCACCAGGACGTCACGGCCAACGGCAGAGTGCTGGTAGACGAGAAGCCTTTTGCCTTGAAGTGTTTCCCCCCGGAAGAAGTCCGTGTAGCGCTGAATGTATGCAGCTCTCCCTTCAGCCGCAACGGGTGGGAGGTTGGATGGGGCGCTGCGAAGCATGCCCTGCTCATTGAAAAGGGACTCAGTGTATGGCTGGGAAAGTAGCTCTTCACGAGTGACTTGAACATTGTTGTTAATAGGTTGTTCATCCTTCTTCAGGAGCTCCCCTTTTGAAGTGTTGAGTTTGTACCCGTTGCGGTCGAACGGGATGTGGCTTCCGGTCACCATAATACTGCCCTTGCCATGTTTCAGGGCATAGTAGGTCAGAGCCGGCGTGGGGATAGCACCTAGGTTGATGGGATGCATGCCTTCATCCTTCAATGCCTGCTCTACCGCTTGAGAGAGTCCTCCGCGGCTCTCCTCAACATAGCTTGTGGAGCTGGGCCGAAGGTCATACGCGAAATAGAAGTCATCACCGGGCTTAATACCACCGTCCTGTTGGTCGAGAGACTTGAGGTAGCGAATCTCCGCAAGTACATTAGTATAAATTTCCAACTGGGTCAAATCCACCACTTTGCCACGGCGGCCGCTGGTACCAAATTTCAGGGGCACCGGCTCATAGGCGAGGTGGCCGCGAAGAGCGTCGGAGGCGGAAGCAGAAGCCATTCTCTTCGGTTCTTCTCTGTTTCCTGCTTACTTTCTTCTTGTTTCACTGAAGCGCTATGACTATTATCTTTGAGATAACACGTAGGAGGGATTCTGGACAAGTTGATTAAAATGTTGCTATATTTACGCTTGCGGCGATCACGTGGGCCCGTTGCAAAGAGCCAGAAAACGTGACCGACATTGAGGGACGGGGGCGTGGTGATTGGTTGGGGAAATCCACTAGTGACGCTCGTGGTTTAGCTTGGTCTCACTTCTCGTGACCCCGCGCCTGCCACGTCGACCACGTTAACAGAACTTCAAGATAGTTGATAGCCCTCACCTGGTTTGCCAATGGGAAATTAATCAGGCTTCTTCAAGGTTCTATTCTGAATCATTAAACTTATATCGTCCTTAAGCATACTAAGAGTGACCATCTTAGGTCATATATGCCTCCGAGATATCTCTAATTCCCGTTACATATATAGTCAGTCCTTGCAAGCCATTTTGGTAAACATCAGATAACATGTAGAACTGGAATCAGCGAAGGGCACATTTACACCCACGGCGACGTCCGAGTAAAGTTTTAAATCTCCTGCAATGCTAGTCTGACAAAAGGCCTCCTCGCGCTCGTGAGCTATACCAGACCCGGCGAGTAGGTATATGCAGGTCGAAGGGCGAGTTGAGGATTGAATGCCATGAGAATGTTCTCGGTCATTCTTCTGATTTGGATGTTGGCCAATGTCTCATATAATGTGAGCTCACAAGATGTATTGCGTTACATATAGCTTCAACAAAGCTCAGCTCGAGGGAAGGTGGTCTTCTTGACTATCACCAGGGCTACCATCTGAGAAGTAATTGAATGAAACGGCGATTCACTCGTCGTGCTCCTCATCCTTGTCAACTCGAACAGATTCAATTTCCTCTAATTCCAGTGCTGCTTCTCCCTTGTTGGTTATGGTTCGGAATATGTCCAGCAAATCTGTGGGCTTGGTAATTTGCCAGACCGTGTCGTCCACCTGGTTCCACATATAGAATCGCTCGCTCGATTGGAACATGCACAGAGAATTCCCCGTGACGCGCTCGGTGGTCATGATAACCTCTGGTTGTGACAACCCGAGCCTCATTGCCATGACCTGGCCTTCACTTTCAGGGCCTTTCCAGATCAGTTCGAATTGAATGTCGGCAGGATCGGTGGTCCAGCCGTCTGGGATGCTCTCAAGCTGACGCTATCACGTTAGAAAACCTTCCCCCCCCCAATCTGTGGGCTTTAAAGCTTTGACATACAGGGGAGGCCATGATGCTGCGATCGCAGGCTTCAGTTGTGTGGAAGAGGTTGCTTTGGGGATACTACGGAAAGGTATTTGAGGATAAATGATCATGATCTCGTGAGCGGCGTTAGCAGCGGAAGACCCCGCCTGGATCGTCATTTATTGTTAGATAGCATACAAGGCGTACTCTATCACGAAAGTTTCTATGCACGGCAGTGCAGTTGGATCTGGTTGGTCATATGACCATGCCTTTATTGACTTATCTTTGTTTCAATGATGGCGAATGGATTTACATCATTCTACCAGGCCTTTGCTAGTGAATCATAGGCAGTATCATAAGAAATTGGTTGTAGAATTAACCTAATCATGGTCATACATTCCCAGCTAATACTGGGTATATATTGCGCTGTTATCCACCTGGATCTTATGGTCTTCCAACCAACCAGGGTTCGGACCTGATGGCTATTCGCGTGGAAATCGGAGTTTCAAGGTGAGTTAGTTCTGACACCGGGGATTGACTAATATAAGAGTCAACCAGGAGGCATACGCAAGACTGACAGGCTTCTTATTAACGATCACCTAGGTGGAATGATACAATAATATAGCATATTCATCATGCTATCTGTCCACAATGGCCCTCCACAAATCCAACAAGCGTACCCAAATTCAAGCTCTTAAGATACCAACGGGATGGTTGAATTCTGGAGCGCCACTGACTTTGGCTTATATTTGTCTAGCTTAGGACTAGCACTATAGGGTGCCACAAAGCGTAATTTCTATCTGCCGCTTACTGCAGTATACGGAAAATGGCGCTCTAGGATATGCAACACAGTACCTGCCACTGTGGTACAGTGCTTATGGAAATAGACGGAAAGGGAACCCCCTCAGCCTTTTCTCGGTGCGAGTTTTGCAGATTATAAGACTTGTTATGTGACTGACCGGAGTTGATTCATAACTTTCTTACAGATGTCGTAAATCCACCTGGTCTTTATGGCATTTCAGTCGATGACGTTTCGGAGTTAGTGGATATTCGCGGGGAGATTTTACGGTTGAGGTAGGCTATTTCTACAACAGGGCATTGACTAATGCACAAAACCCATATACAAAACTGACCGGCTCCTTCTAAATAGTCTCCCAAGAGGACAAGAGTATAATGATTCAGCATTGTACCCAAAGCAGCATATACCTCGGACTAGCCATCCACGATGGCCCTCCCCAAGAATATCGAAATTTAAACTCCTTAAATATCGACATAAAGGTGTCGACTTTTGGAGTGCAACCGATCTTCTTGGCTTGTTTTCATCAAGCTTAGGATCGACACCACCCGGCGCAACTAAGCGCAATTGTTATCTACCTCTTACTGCAGTGTACGGGAAATGGTGCTCGATATTAATCCGTACGGACCCACCGTTTGTAGTCCAATGTACATGGAGAGAAGCTCCAGGGGAGCGGGCAAGATTCTTTCTCGAGGCGAGCATGGCCGGGCATGAAATCGATACAGGAGAGACGGGGTCATGGGGCCACGTACTCAACCGGGCCCGGTACAACATAATCTGTTCCGAGCTTCTAAAGCTGAAGGGGTGGAGCCAGAGAGTCTCCCCAGACATTCAGGCGTGGGGAGGTAAACGGGGAAAACAATTCGGTAGATGCGGTGAAACATACCCTCTCCGATTCTTGCTTTGGTCCGTATGATATCCTGCCAACTACAAGGAAGATACTGACCGAACCTAGTGGGCAAGAAGCCCCAGAGCGGGTTTATGGGCTCGCATTATCCAAATGGTCTTTGTCCGCGCCAGTGTATGATGACAGGCTGTCGGGAAAAATTTGGGCGAACCTATGGGACCCCTGCCTAAATTGTAAAGGGGTTATTCGGATGTGGAATGGGGATACAAACCACTTCGTCAGATGGTACGGCTCAGACGGTGCGCCCCAATGATGTGGTTCGTGCGAGCAGCCAATGAATATAGAAATTGAGTTGCTATATGCCTTTTATAATATAATCCTGGGAGTATGACGTACAACAGAATTAGTATTGAGACAGTGAGCGTAAGGTCTAAGTATTGGATAACTACCTGGAGTATGTCTCTGGTGTTGTTCTTTTCCCCGAGGAAGATAAGATCCTTATTGGGAAGGGCTTTCCGAAGCCACGGGTCTGAGAGGGCTGGACGGATCTACCACAGAGCGGGTCTACAAAGAGCTGACTAGAAATCTTATCTATGGAGCCTTCTATAATACTAGTACTGTATCTTATCCCGCAGAACGGGGAGTTGGACCTCAAATCTAGATCCCTTTCCAGCCGTACTAGGCAGGTGACTCCGGGAAAGATATCCCGAAGAGAGTACGATCCACGATGGAGCCCTATGCATGGTTGGGGATAATAACAGGTGGATACATGACCGCCTACGCCTTGAGGGCAAAGGCTGGTATCTTTGGAGTCTCTGAGCAATGTGATTCATTGTCGTTATTCCCCAGATTAATGAGTACTTCGGAGTCCATAAAAACCTGGGGTACTGCCATCCTACTCTACCGACATGGATCGTGGAAGGAAGATTAAGCTGCAGAAGGAGTATGGAATGTCATTAGGCTGAAAAAAAAGATTCTTTTAGCAAAAGTATGAATTCTATTGGGTTAAGGATGTGCGGCAAATATCAACAATCTCTATCTCGTGTCAACGGTATTAATCGTCGGCTCCTATCATAGTCCACATCACCCCCGGATACCCATTCATCTCCACTTTGCTCCAATACGGTTTGTATACCTGGCCGTTCTTTCGTGTGTCGTTGATTGGAGTATACATAGCATGTCCCCCGCAAACAACTCTGTGGCACCGAGCCGTGGTCTTGCCCACATTCTGCTACCCCATCATATATGGAGCTGGTCCCCAACGCTTATACCACCTCCTACTCTTTCTCCGCGTTTCCTCACCACTTCCAGTCCATTTAATCCACACGACCTCAGTCCCTGCAGCTTTCAATTCTTGGGTCTCTGATTGAATCCTGTCCAACAAACCCAGAGAGAACAACCATCTTAACAGATGCCTCGAGTAACGTCAAGTTCCCAGATCGTGGATGTTTCACCTTCAGGTAGCATTATATCAGGCCTAGAAGAGCAACGGAATGAAATGCCGGATGCAACCAACATCGACGAGAAAAAGATAGAGCCCGCCCCAGCTCGCCAGGATGTCTTCGGAGACGAGTCAAATGCGGAGGTGAAGTATAAGGTCTTGAAATGGTGGTAAGGGGAGCATGTTATACCTCATACATCAGCCCTGCGTTCTAATAGATATGATGGCTTTTAGGCAATGTGGACTCCTCATGGTTGCTGAGACTATATCCTTGGGCATCCTGTCATTACCAGCGGCCATCGCAAATCTTGGCTTTGTCCCCGCAATAATCATCCTCATCTCGTTAGGTCTGATAGCATCATATACAGGCTATGTAATTGGACAATTCAAATGGAGATACCCCCATATCTCGAGCATGGCCGATGCCGGCGAGATGCTTATGGGTCCATTCGGGCGGGAGCTGTTGTTCGTCGGACAGATGCTGTTTCTCGTGTTCCTCATGGCAAGTCATATACTGACTTTTACGGTCGCCATGAATACCCTTACCAATCATGGAACCTGCTCCATCGTCTTTGGCATCGTTGGTCTTGTCGTTTCGCTCCTGATGTCATTGCCGCGGACGTTGGCAAAGATGTCCTGGCTCTCCTTAGCTTGTGAGTGTATTCCCGAGCGCGCTCCTGCACCAACTAACCGCATAACAGCATTTATAAGTATCTTTAGTGCGGTCATGATTGCCATGATTGCAATCGGTATTCAGAGACCGGGGGTTGTTACTACGGCTGTGAACCACCCAAGCCTGGTAACCGGCGTAACTTCGTCCTTGAATATAGCCCTCTCCTATGGTGCGTCAAACGAAACAATCAGTACAATAGACAAATGCCGGCCATTGAAACATGAAGAAAGTCAAGTCTGACCAACCACAGCTAGCCATAACGCTTTCTTTAATATCATTGCCGAACTAAAAGACCCCAAAGATTTCCCCAAGGCACTGTCGCTGCTACAATGCATCGACATATCTCTGTATCTCGTTTGCGGTGTTGTAATTTACCGATATGCGGGCGAGGGGGTTGAATCTCCAGCACTTGGTTCAGCTGGTCCGCTGGTCGGCAAAATTGCCTATGGCATTGCTTTGCCTACGGTAAGAGTCTATTAACCTATGGTTAAGCTCTGTTTTGTCTGGAACTTCCCGGTTAACAGTCGCAGATCCTCATTGCCGGCGTCATAAACGGCCATATCGCGTGCAAATCGATATATACGCGTGTCTTCGCCGGCACCGATCGCATGCATAAACGTGACTTTATTGCTGTAGGTTCCTGGATTGGGATCGGTGTGGCATTGTGGGTTGTTGCTTGGGTTATTGCTTCTGCCATTCCCGTGTTTAGTAACCTGCTGAGCTTGATGGTGGGTTTCACAAGGTCTAAAGTATAGTGACCATTTCATACTGACAATTGTACTACAGACTGCCTTATTTGCTAGCTGGTTCAGCTTCGGGCTACCGGGTGCGTTCTGGTTGTATATGAACAAGGACCTCTGGTTTTCTTCGCCGAGGAAAATCCTCTTGACGCTATTTAATACATTTTGTATCTGCATCGGAATCATCATGGTAAGTGGAATCAACTAATGCCCAGGGACTCGTTATATCCCTCTCATTAACAATATCTAGTGCGGGCTTGGTCTGTACAGCTCTGGCAAGGCTATTCATGACGACCCCAGTAGCCAAAGCTTTTCATGTGCAAACACGGCCTAAAGGTTTGTCTCCTCTGTGTACCAGTATGTGCGGATTACTATTCATGCCATATGATTCTGAACTTTATGATATTTACGACCATGTGTGTACGGGTTCTTCGCAGCAATGGGCGTCCGGTGTAGCTAGACATATGCAACGAAGAAATATTATTATTCAGACTTCCCAGTTTATGTTCTTTGAAGGACGTCATGATTTGGTACTTGAAGCTCAATCTACGTACCATTTGAGCCGTGGTAATACCTGTCATTGCTGCTATATTGGCTGACACTTCCACACTCGATACCTCGAAGTGATGGGTCCGATAGCTATCCAAATGGCTTCACCCAGGACCAGTGGCGAAAGCTAACATGCGTCTACCAGTAAGATATAATCGAGTAATAGCGGCAGCTCCATGCAATGTGCTAGTGCATAAGACCAGGTCGGCCGAAAGCCAAGCAGGTCTCCCACCATCCCTAAAACCGCGAGGGATTGTTTCTACACCCCCGTAGACTCCGATAGGCACAATATCCAGAATAGCAAAGGCATGATCGGCATTAGACGCCAATAGGAGACTCCTTCCTTATACGTTATAGCGGCCTTCTGGAACTGCTTGCCTGTTTTATTGTTTCTGGGGCGTCTGTCCGGGAAGCGGATGTTCAAACTAGACAGTAGATAGGAGAGTACAAACGATACCATATTCCAGTGTTCATTCTTGAAGATACTTTACAGGAGGTGTCATTTCCTAGTCACCCCCGTCCGAAATATGACTGAGTGTCGACTTTTCCACAGACGGGGTTGGCTGAAATTAAATAATATTAAGCCAGGCCTCCGCAACCACTTACAAAGCCAGTAGAGGAAAACATACAAGGCACGACGGAATCATCACTAGAACCTCTATTAGCTGTCACGACTTAGCAGTGAAGTGTGGTACATGGGGTGTGATCAAGTGCGAAAACTCAATGTTACTCTTGCCAACCAGAGTTTTCAGATCATGCCCATTGACCCAACTTCCGTATTATACTTACTTTTACCCGACGAAGAATCCAATTGCCAGGTGCTTAGTGAGGTGACCCGAACAATAAAGCAGAAAGTGAAAGACAACTATCATCCTGACAAATCAAGTGTTATCGGAAAAGGTTCCAACGTACTTTTTATATGGCTCAATGTTTGGCTCGATTCATGTCTTGGAAGGATTTGTATACATATAGTGGCAATACTGCATTGCTAGTCACTATACTAAATGTGTCTAGTAAGGTATATTCATGATAGGCTTTCCATGCATTGTGGAGGTGGCTAGATAATTTTTATTTGCCATGTACTTCGTTGAGAAGGGACAAACATACGTGGAAGTGCTACTGAAGCTCATACTCGGGATATTCGCAAGATTCAATCGATTCTAGAGAAGCCAAAAGGTCTATCAAGATGAAAGAGTGGAAGACTGTTACAATAAAATACAGAAACAGAAAATGGGCTGTGGCAGTGACAGACACAAAGGATGTTTCCAAGAGTAATTCCCTAACATTCCTTTCAGATATTCACATAGCACAGATGCCCGAGCGTATATATTCCCACCGTGTAGCCTAGTCCGTTTGATGAATTGAGAATATCTCTCCATCTTCAACGGTGAAATAATCCTTTTCATCCGAAAGGAAGCCTGTGGCATTGTATTTATGCAAAGTCTTCTTCAGAGGACTAGGGAGATAGACCGTGCCTTTGGTACCATTAGGGGCGGTAACAGTCATATGTAGCAAATCATTGCTGTCAAACGACCAGTCTACATTAATTCTACCTCCGGGAACAGGGTAGGCTCCCTTGGTCCACTCGAGGTCTAACGATTGGGGAACAACCTTCCACTCCTTGAAGCCCGGAGTCACAGGCTGGACCCCAAGGACATACCGGCTCAAATCAGCGGTAGGTCCTGAGCTCCAAACATGACACAAGGATGTGCTAGAACCAAGTCCAGGAGTGCCATCAGCTGCAAGTACTTCCCACATGCAGCCAGTGTAATTGGTATGTGATGGATCGCTCATAGGGCCCCATATACTATGGAGAAGATACTTGGCGTTCGCACTGTCATTGACATGGAAGGCAGCTTTCAAATGATATCCAGACGCATAAGGACTTATCTTCTGCGCCCATCCACTTTCGACACTCTTGTTAGAGAAGGCAAGAGCTCCCGGGGGTACATAAAGTTCCCGGGCCATTGTCGAAAGAACGGTTTTCCAGGTTTGATTTCCGGATGTGGCCGTGTCAGTGAGCACAGCAAGCGCGTTTGCCTCCTGGGATAGAAAGTTTCTGTGAGAATCAGACATATAATACGCCTGTAGTGTATCACTCCAAAGATGCTTGTTGATGGCATCTTGCAGGTTGTGCAGACGCCCAGCATACAGCGTAGTATTCAAACCGGCATCATCCATAAATGGAAGCCACTGTTTGAGCGCATAAGCGTAAATCAGGTTGAACTTGCTGACCACACCGTCCAAGGCAGGATCATAATAATTCCAATCACCACCGAGAGCCGAATTAGAAACATTAAATAGACCGTTGGGGAGTGTTTGGGAGTGAGCCCAATCTAGCATACGAGCTGTCTTAGGTGCCCAATGGGTCAGGAAACCAACATCGCCAGTCTGTTCATAGAAGCGCGCCATGGCACTAACAATACTAAATGAATATCCAATTAGACCGGTGATATTAGCGTTGATCTCAGTCGTGCGAGGAGCCTGTTGGACTTTGGCAGTTGGGACAAAGAACCCCGGTGGCATCTGGAATGAGCCCAGCAGCTCTATACTGCCGTTGATATATTCATGGCCGTATGTACTGGCGAAGGTTGTACCGGTAGCCATATCCAAGTCTCCTGTATAGGCAATACGGTCACGACGAGAACCGTCAACGCTGACAGGCAAGGGGTTTGTACCAAGGAGAAAGCCCTCTAGGGCGGATGAGTCGTTCAAAGGCGAATTGTACATATCCTGCCCGAAAGCTCTTAAGGCGACGTTGGTGAAAACGGCTGAATGACCAAGAGATGCACCCAATCCAAACGATCCGTAGAATGTAGCAGACTGAGAAAAGTTCAGGACAGTCACACCATCGATCTGAACTGAGATTCGAGGCACTTGCACTTTGCTATGGACTAAATGCCATGTATCCAAAGTGATATTCGACGGCAAGCTGGCAGAGGCAATGGGTTCCGAACGCTCAGTCGATCCAACGTGGGCAGATATTGAAAAATTTGCAACATTAACAAATATATAAACTCCATTGCCAAGGGTGTCGCTCAAGACAGTAAACCCAAATCCATTCGTCACAGGCTTGACAGAAAATTCGAGATTGTAGGCAGTCATGGCTGTGGCAAAATCAGCGTTGAATGGCTGGGGTGCCAAGCTGTCGATAAAGGCTCCCTCATCGGTTATAACCCAGAAGTCTGGTAGGCTCTTCGCAGGTATTTCTGTCAGTTGCGTTGTGCGTGCACCGACTTGCCAGATACGGTTCAGAACAGGATCAGAGCAGTTAAAGGAGCCTGGGAGAGCAGTGACAGGCGTGCTAGACACAGTAGGTTTAAATCCGATACTGGCCAGCTCGACTTCGCCTGCACTAGATAGATTCAGCTTCTGGTATCGCAGACCCCCTTGGATAAGGCGGTTGCTATAGGTCTTTTGTTCAGTGATGTTGTATCGGTTAACTCTATAGGTGTCCATAGCAGCAGCCAACGGCAGCGGACCGTCGCCCTAGATAAGATCAGTATTTGTTCTCATTGACGGAATTTACCAAAAATTACTCACCATGTCGGAATCCAGGAGAGCACGAGTCTCACTGTATGTCATTTCGAAGGCAGAAGTGTCTCCAGACCTCTTAGAGACATTGAAGGTAGCATACCCTTCGACATTGCGTCCATAATCAAGGACAACAATCGAGGGACTAGTACCATCGGAGGATAGCTTTATAACAGTACCTTCGTCGAAAGCCATGGGTGTTCCCTCGGAAATGGTGTAGGTCTTAGCTGTATAGGATGGGAGTGATGCTGGCGAACCATCTGCAGACCCTCCCACTACATGTAACAGACCCCAAAGGGCCGCATAACGATTGACCCTCATTTGGACTCTGGCGTATCTGGATCAAGGGCTGAGAGTGTTGGGTAAAGCTTTACTATGAACTACGTTGCAATCCCAGGTAACTTCTCTGGTAATATATGTATCGGCTCAGATTCATGACATAATGCAAATATCAACCATTCTACCATACCTGGCTTATTCGCTTTTACTAGACATCTCCATTCACGCCTCGGGAACGAGAATAGATCTCTTCCAAGTCATTTCGGTGGCCAGGAGAGGCAGTACCGACCGAGCAGGTCAAATTACGAGAATACGAGAAAGGGAAAAGAAAGTTAATTCATCTTTTGACTCCTACTCCAGCTTACCTATATTTTGCGATTAAGAATGGAAAGCACAAATCGCCATAGTACGTACGACCAAGGTCCGCTGAACTTCATAAGGGTGGATCCTTCGTTGCAGGGTGTACGAACATACGAAGAGAGCAAGAGCGGGAGGACCCACTAAGACCTGGTGGCAGTACAGGTCGTATATTCGTATATCCGTATTTTCGTATAATCGTATAGTCGCATAATTGGAAAGAACCTTGCAACGCGGGCTTGATTATAGAAAAGGTCAATCTCAATGTAGTTCACTTTCTATTATAATCGACATTGGCGACACTTAACCTGTAGGTGTGCCTTGAGCTTAACCTTGGGTTTTTGGTCATGGGAGGATATGCATAATAGACAAGCAATACTAACCCAGCTTTTGAAATCGATTTCAAGATTCTTTTCTGATTTCCTCAGCTACAACCTGGGTCGTAAACATGGTTATTATGCAAAGTGGGTGGCTACTGATATTAAATATCCTTAGCCTTAAGGCTCGCTGTCTTATCTGTTTAATACCACTGGTTGCCAATACATACCCCCGTGGCTTGTGCAGGACGATCATCATCAACAAGCTGTGTTAATAGAACAGCATTGACTCGAATTATCATTACGTATCTCATTGGTACTGAATGGCGCATCTTAAGAGCCTACCAGGGAATCAGGGGCTATATGGATGTAGTAAAGACGCGAGGATCGCAGGAATATGATGATACGAATGCACAGAACTTGAGAACGCGGGCATACGAGCATATAAATTCTTCTAAATTATTCTCTGCCTTCACGGCGATGAGATGGTGGCATTGGGAAGATGAATCAAACCTATCAGATTGTCTCCGTGACCCGGGGCGCGATGATTGAGCACTGCCCTCGGCCCAGAGGTGACCAAGTCCAATATGGCGCTCAATAGTTAAGAATAGCATCTAGTCGTGTAGGTTTACTAGGGCAGCAACGACAGCCTGTCGATGGTGTCTTTCAAAAAGCTTACTAGATATATTATCCTACAACACATCTCTAAACTCCCGATGGTCTAGTTGCATATGGTGTTTGGCGGTGATAGAATTACCTTGTCAACAAAAGGTCGCCAGCTATTCCGGGTCAGTGGACGAGATATCTTTTTTTTTTTTTTTTTTTTTTTTTTCGCTAGGGAGAACTCCACAAGATTGTCTATATAGCAGAAAAGTCACAACCGCCTTTACCTCGATCCGGTTGCCTTACTGAGTAGTTCATACATGAGTTTGTAAATGGTATGCTGAGGGAATGCTCGCTTTGGTTCTCTGTATTAGCTCTGTCGGAACATCCAGTCTCAAAACAAGATATTGACCGCAACCTGGATATACTTCGTGGAATTTACAAGTAGACTGTAGCTACCCAGTGGAGTACATCGGAAAGTTAATATGCAATGCTCTTATCAGATGCCGTGAACTCGCACTTGCCACTGGAAGTAACCATGGGCTCTACCCCCTAACAAGTACAAGGTCAAACTGCAGCTCAGATGTATTGGACTAAACACCCGAGAACCATGGTAGTGTTCTATCTACTCATTGGCAACTTTGGGTGACATGACAGCAGCTCAAGCTCTGACCCAAAAGATGATGTCAGGGTGGCTCCGGATTCCAAACTCTCTTATAAACGGCGGCTGCCCCAGATTTGGCTGCATACTGATCATAACAGTGAGCGCAATCATATATACATTGACCCATTACTGATCTACATCTCAACATGTACCAACAAATTATTGGACGTTCTGGGCGACAGATGCATACTGTAGCCAAGAGAGTCGGGACAGTATGCCATGCTGCATTCTTTCTTAACGGCCTCTAACTGATGCACTAGCCTTAACAGAATGATAACTCCTCCAACCGAACGCAAATAAATCCATCTATGTTGCGCAAACAGGGCCCTGCCTGGGTTATCGCAGGGGGCGGAATGGCTGCCACATTGGAAGGTGTTTATCTGATGCTACGCTCGTTCCGGCGTCTGAGATACATTTAGTCCGACTCGCAAGGCTATATGGGGAATCAGGGGCCATCGTGGTCAACTTCAAAAAATTGATGGCGAAATTGCCACTACGAAACACTACATCTTCACTCCCTAAAGGTTGGCAGCGACACAGTGCCAACGTCATTTAACATTCGGAAAAAGCACACGAAACACATAATAATCAGTACTGTACTGGACACTACATACAAATCGAACATGTTCCTATTCCTCCATCTATATGAGACGTAATAATCGTGGTGAAATTGTTACTACTTGGGGCTTTTACTCCTACACTAGGAGTTCTTGAATAACAATACCAGCAGCTAACACGACGGGAACTGCCAGGGTCATCAGTCTTAAGTCAGGCTGTCTAGAACTGGGAATACGTTAAAATCACTTTGAATATTCAGGAGACTCGCCGATTATTTCTGCGTCGCTTTTCCCTGACCCGTGACATGGAGTAATTCTAGACGGTTTTTGAATGCCCCGATAGTTCGTAGCAAAGACGTGGTAGACACTAATGTATTTCGACCTTCATCATTCACAGTGCACTGATATTCCTCAATGTTTGTGGACACGGATATTCCATTATTTTCATGGTGTACATATTACGGTTTGTCTATGTCTTTGATCACTAGGACATACCAGGCGACGTAGAAGCTTTCCACATATGCTCCAAAAACAGTGCGATTTGCCTAAACAATCTGTGAGATCAGAACTTGCGTACAACAGGCTATATATCACACAAGGTATTGGCATAGAATGCCATCACGAGCGATCAATGCCCACCCCGGAAAGCCCGTATACTGCTGGCGGCCGGTGATCCAGTCACTTACTAACAGGATCGACAGATTTGGCTGTTTAGAGCCGTCGGCTACGGCTAAAATGGTAGCCCTTCTGCCGCAGATCCAGGATAGCTGTGGGTTAAGCGAGCAGGCTCTACTAATTGTGAACCTAAGATCAGAGCTTTGCCAGGCTCTGTTGATTGGTTGAATTCAGGCAGAATATACGATCTGAACTCAACACGACACAGGCCTTAATCATTTTCAGTATTTTGAAACGCGACCCTTGTCCCGTGCTCTCGCCCTTATGGAATGCTATTCTACATCTTGTACTATCCATATCATGGATCGGGGCCTAGAACTCGATATACAGCTCTGTGCCGTGTGGCGGAAGCATGGGGTCAAGCCATCTAGCCTTGGCTAAGTCTTATCTCCTCGGCAAGCGGGCAGGCGGCCTGTACAGTGTGCTTATATTGGCTTTGTAATCTTTCACGCAGCGAGTTAGACACGAGGTGCGGGTGGTTTGGCCCATGCTTGGGTCGAATGCCGACATGTTAACGCGAGCTTGCCGTGAGGCAGGCATGGAACTCTTGTCGAAAAGTGGAGCGAAGCTAGAGCCGGGAGACTTCAGCATAGGGAATGCGGTCCGACAGACGATACCCACATCGCACTTGGCTTGGACCCTCCAGGGGCCAATAGGGGATACAACACGGCCACATGCGAGTCGAGACTATGCCGCTGGCAATAGACATTGGGCATTTGCCGGATAAATTGTGGATGTCGATCTTTGACATGAAACAAAGGTCCGTCCGGCAATTTAATGGATATTGTTCCGAGAGCCCTAGGTATCCTGGAGCCACAAGGCTTGATTCATGAAACAATAAACTCTATTTTAGGCAGTTTCGTTGTTTCGGATAGACATGTAGAAGCTATGCGCTTGCTATAAAGGGGACTGCGTTTCCCAGCCATTGGCAGTGATCATCAACCGCGATTCCTCTGACTTGCCCAGAACCACAACAAAACAACACCGTCACCATGGTTAGCTTCTCTTCTCTCCTCCTTGCCGTCTCCGCTGTCTCCGGCGCTTTGGCTGCCCCGGGTGATAGCACTCTCGTCGAGCTGGCCAAGCGTGCCATCACCAGCTCCGAGACGGGCACCAACAACGGCTACTACTACTCCTTCTGGACCAACGGTGGTGGTGATGTCCAATACACCAATGGCAACGGCGGTCAGTACAGCGTCCAGTGGACCAACTGTGACAACTTCGTCGCCGGAAAGGGCTGGAACCCCGGCAGCGCTAGGTATGATACGATACGACTGGAGAAGTGTGAGGAGACTGCAAAGACACTAACAGTAGCGTGTTACTAGGACTGTCACCTACAGCGGTGAGTGGGAGAGCAACAGCAACAGCTACGTCTCTCTCTACGGCTGGACCCAGAACCCCCTCGTCGAATACTACATCGTTGAGAAGTACGGCGACTACGATCCCTCCACCGGGGCTACCGAGCTCGGCACCGTCGAGAGCGACGGCGCCACCTACAAGATCTACCAGACTATGCGTGAGAATGCTCCTTCCATCGAGGGCACCTCAACTTTCCCTCAGTACTGGTCCGTCCGCCAGAGCGGCCGTGTTGGTGGCACTATCAATGCTCAGAACCACTTCGATGCCTGGGCCCAAGCTGGCTTGGAGCTGGGTGAGCACAACTACATGATCCTTGCTACCGAGGGTTACCAGAGCAGCGGGTCTGCCACCATCACTATTGAGTAAATTGGGTCGCTCCTAGTTGCCGGATACCGGGGCGAATTTGCCTGTGTAGCGTGATCCGTCGTTGATCTCTTTTCCTTTCATTTTGACTGGAATTCCCCATTTTCTATTCGGCCTGCCGACTGCCGGAGGTCAAATGAATGGTGTTTATTCCAGTTGTCACCGTGTACATAGCCAATTCCCCCACGTTTTCGCTAGTGAAATCCATACATTCACAGCCTGAGTGATTCCTGGGTAAATTCCTTGCCGATTAGCGTAGGAACTAGCGCATCAGTCTCAGCTCGAATCCACCAAACGCGAGCGGAGAGCGGAAGACGGACACGTTGCACCTCCAAGCGAAGCGTTAATCCTGCCGATCGTCTAGAGTAAAAGCAACCATATGTGACATGCCTTCCAATGGTATTGCATTTCCACGATGATCAAGTCACCCGAGCATCGGCCTCACGGGCTGATATCGTCTTCAGGCGGCCCATGAGACGCAACCCATCCATGCATTCCAGCAGTAATTTTCAACAGGCTAGGCAGTGCCCAAAGCGCATGGCGGTTATAAAAGGCCCCCATCATCGGTGAGGGGGTCGAGCATTGACTGAACAGCCTTGCCATCACATACCTCGCACCATGGAGTTTCTCGAGCGATGGGTATACAGCCTACCGACGCCGGCAAAACGGACGCGCGACAAACCCATGAAGGTGCTTGCACTGGGCATGTCACGGTCGGGGACAGAGTCTCTCTCGCGTGCTCTCCGCATCCTGGGGTATGATCATGTCTTCCACGGCTTCGAAATGTGGGAAAGCACGCCAATGCTATGGCGGTCGTGGACGATGCTCGGCCGACGGAAATGGGGCAATGCCGGCCCTGGTGATGGAACGCCAGGCATTACCAGGGAGGACTTTGACAACTTGCTCGGACATTGCGAAGCCATCACCGACCAGCCAGGTTCCCTCTTTGCGCCGGAATTGATCGCCGCATATCCCGAAGCCAAAGTGATTCTCAACCGCCGCGACGTCGACACCTGGTATCCCAGCCTCTGCACTGTGCTTCGCCCACTGACGACCGGGGTGTTCTATCGTGTACTGCCCTGGTTCAATGCCGACCTGTATTGGGAGGCACGGTATGTTCAGGGCTGTTTGAAACCTTTCTTTCACGGGTCTTGGGAACAGCACGGGAAATGGGTCTATGAGCAGCACAGTGCCACCATCAGGGGATCAGTCCCGTCTGATCGGTTGCTGGAATGGACTGTGCAGGATGGCTGGGAGCCTTTATGCCGGTGAGTTTGTGATCTGTCGTGTTTTGCGCAAATGCGACCGTAGCTGAGTGTCTGGGTTAGGTTCCTAGAGAAGGATGTCCCTGCAGAAGAATTCCCCGATGGCAATACCGTGGACAAGACTCTCGGTGCCCATAACAACAATGTAGACAGATGCGTCGCCGCCGCGGTCCGTAACCTGACTATCTCAGTAGTCTGTGTTGGGGTTGCGGTCGCATATGGGTTGGGAGGTCATCGGGTCGATTGGCAGCGATGGGTTAACTATCTCAACATCGCGAGCGTATAAACAACCCTACATAGCGTACAGCCGTGGAGGAACAGGACAAGTCAGACGTGGCAGAAGATGGAATGGAGGTTGAGAAAGGATATTTGCTGTTTTCCTACCATGATTGATGACGCCAACGAGCTCCATAATGACACCATCCCTTCAGCCTCACTACAAAACACATCGTTGGGGTTACAGGGCCCAGCTCTCTATGTTTCTGTGCAGAAAAAGAAATATTCTCGTCGAGCTCAGATATTATTATTGGTAGTATTTTCCATTCTACAATCGTATAGAACTGTCTCGTCCCGGGCGCACACCTAGGGCTCCAAGCACAACCCTACATATCACCGAGATTCTCTATGATTCGCGAGTTTGATCTGCATCATGACTGGACTCGACTAGTAATTATTTACAACATTAAAAGTGTGTAGGGGTCTAGGAGAGAATGTGTAAACACAAGGCACAAGGAGCGTACCAAGACATCATATTGGCTAACTTTGCAGCTCCTCCACCGGATTTGTTCCAGATGACCCGTGGAGCATGATACATAACTATCCAAAGTAGTTACATAAATTAATAACGAGGAGCAACCTAAAACACACTCAGGACGGTCTATAGTTGATCTAGCAACAAAATGGGTCTTGACAGATGGGAATGCCGTCAGCCACACCCGAAGGTATGTATCCCGCTAATAAACTAACTTCCACCATCCCGCCAGCATTCCTCTAAACAACACTGAGCCCGACTCTTATCTGGTCAGCATCCACTCAGATACCAATCAAGGAGTAGAATATGGGGTAGTAGATGGTAGATCAGCATGTCAACGCAACACTGGCCAGTCTAACTCGGGATGTCCGCACGGTATGGGGAAGTTCTCAGCATTCTCGGGGCGATGATCACCCGAAGTCGACCTGGGAACTCGTCAAGTCTCAGGCAAAGGGTCAAATAGGATCATCAGTGAAGCACATTCCATGTGGGGACCCCGGAAATCCCCTCGGGGTAAAAGGCCACGGCCAGATGATCCGCACGGGGAGGCGTACGGAGTCCAAGCCTTTCGGCAGGGTATTAGATCCACGGAGCCCCGGTGGTGATGGGATAAACGATTGCTTGTCCAAAGTGGATGTTATTGTTATTGTAGGACTCTACAGGCCCTACAGACGTTGCACTTCAAGGACGAGATGCAGCTCTGGAAACATGATTTCAGAGGCAGGACGCTGATTATCGCCATCACTATGGCGTCCTGCCAGGCGTTCTTGCTGTTGGGTTTTGATCAAGGTACGTCTGAAACGACTATCCAAGCTGTTGAATATACGACTAATGGTTGCAGGCGTCATGTCAGGGCTCGTCGGTGCGGACAACCGTTTTGGGAGGGACTTCAACAATCCCGACGCCAACATGCAGGGGAACATCACGGCCCTGTACGATATTGGCTGTGTGCTCGGATCCATTGTATCTTACTTCATCGGAGAACGCATGGGCCGTCGGATGATGCTGATGCTCGGTGGTTTTATCATGGTGATCGGTACAATCATTCTCGCCACTTCAGACACCGTCACACAGTTGATCGTCGGCCGTATCGTCACGGGGGTTGGCAATGGCATGAACTCTTCAACCGCGCCGGTTTATCAGAGTGAATGCTCGCCTGCGTCGTATCGTGGTGCTCTATTGACCCTGCAGGGCACGGTGACCATCCTGGGAGTGGTGATTGCCTACTGGTACGTTACGTCCTCCGATGTCCTCTTTCTAGGATTGAATTCGCAAGACTGACTACAGACCTACAATAGGATGGACTACGGGACAAGCTTCACTGAGTCATCCTTCCAATGGCGTTTCCCACTCTCCTTCCAAGCCGTCTTCGCCATCCTCCTCATCCTCCAAGTCGTCGGATTACCCGAGACCCCCCGTTGGCTGGTCCAACACGACCGCCATGAAGAAGCCCGCGCCGTCGTTGCCGCGATCGAAGACCGTCCTCTCGACGATCCTCTCGTATCCAAGACTATTCTCGACATCCAAGTCGGGCTGGAAGAAGAACAGAAGGGCGGGCCCTTTCGCTTCAAAGAGCTCTTCACCTGGGGCGAGGTACAGAACCTCCGCCGGCTGCTGATCACCATCACCATCGAATTGGGACAACAATTTACCGGCTCCAATATGATTAATTATTATGGTCCTGTAATGTTTCAAGAAACCATGGGGATGGACCGAAACCTGGCGATGATCCTGGGTGGTTGTATCCAGTGCACATACCTGGTCGGCTCGGTAATTCCGGTCTTCCTCATGGATCGGTTCGGGCGCCGGACGCTGTTGATCATCTGCTCCGCCGGTCTTTGTCTATGCTTTGTGATGGTGTCGATTCTCCTCTCGTTGAACCGAATGGATTGTGCGTACGGCGCGACGGCGTTTATCTTTATTTTCCAGATTTTCTACGGCGTGGGCTGGCTCCCGGTGCCGTGGTTCTATCCGGCCGAGATTAACACGACGCGCGTGAGAACGAGGATGCAGGCCATCGCGTCAGGGTGGAATTGGATGGCTGTGTTTGCCGTCGTTAAGATCACTCCAATTGCCTTTGGTAGGTTATCGCCCTCCCCCACTTTATTCTTCTGGAATGCAAGCTGACGAAAGTAGACAACATCAAATGGAAGACATTTGTGATCTTCGCCGTGTTGAACGCGGCATTCATCCCCATGGTATACTTCTTCTATCCCGAGACGAAGGTGCTGGAGCTGGAGGATATTCCATTGCTATTCACCAAGGGTGGCATTACCGGTGGTGTATACAGCTCCAAAGGTGGACGCACAGTCACGCCTGGCCAGCATGCGCAGGAGAGTCGAGTGGATGAGAAGGTGGAAGGGGTGGCGCAGCAGGTGGAGGATGTGAGCTAGACAGCGGATGCTATATGCTCTGGGATATTGTCTGTATAGTACTTGGATAGAAGGTAGTCATGGCGTATATGATACGACTTTACGTTTGCCTATATGAACTAGTATGATGAGTATAGATATGCTAGAGTCAGCGACCAAATAGAAGTTGAGGTTCTTTTAAAATAAAGCTTCGTCTGATCAAAAGAAACACATATGTATTATGATTTTATACTAATTCAACTAGTAAACATAGCGACCGTCAAAGAACAAGCAAATACATCTGATCATGACAATCTCCCTCAAAGGCCATGCCGTCGTGACCAACAGCACTCCTCCCCTTTCCATAACAATGTACCCAAGCTGCGAGATGCAGATCAGATCACATCTCATCGATCTTCGGGTCCATCTTGTCCGGCTGCAACATTCTCTCCAACTCCTCTCGTGAAGTAAGCTGTTGCATCTTCACTTCACCGCGGTCGGCTTTCACCTATCACCAATGATCAGCTCTATCTTAGCCCTATAGACCTTGGGGGATATACCGCCGCTTCACTCAGGGTAGCATGGAGCTCATCCCACGAGGGGGTGGCGACGCCGCGCTTTTCCGACAACGTGGGGGATTCGAAGTCATCTGGGAAGGAGGCGGCAATGAAGACTGCGCTAGTTAGCTATCGAGGCTCTTGTCTGTTGTAAGTAGACTAGGTGGCGTGGCTGGACTGACATTCTTGGTTTTTGGAGCTGTATGCCTCCGGGTGAGCTTGGATTTTGTATGCTCTTGTCAAGGCGGAGGTGCGGAGGAGAGGACGGGTGCGGACGATGGAGGTTCGTAGAATACTGAAGGACATAATGATTGCTGCTATTTGTGATGAATCGGTGGATTATGGATATTGAAGGGAACTGAATAGCAAGAGTCATACGGCGTTTATAAAGGTGCACGTTGTGATGATGTCAGTGGCTAGAGGGTTACCGCATTGGGTAGTGACAGCTCCAACCCTAGCTTCCGGATGTCGGATTCATAAGGTTGAGGGGTTGAGCGTCGACCATGGATCAGAAGCTCTTGTGACAGGCTCAATAAGCAAGTCTGGACTCGTTCTATGTGTGCGGATCACGCCACGCGGATTCTAGGTTTGGACCTTCAGTATAATCAACAATCTTTGTATTAAACCGGGACAACCGGAGAAACTAAGCTGTACATTTGTTGTGCAATAGACATTTTGTTCTCACTCATAAATCTATACATTAATCGTACAATGACAATGTCGCCGACCGTGAATATCGAGGTAGAGCATCCTTAGTTCAATCCCATGCAGCTGGCGTAGTAGGTAACCGTCGCGGGCCAGTCGGAGAAGATACCACGGACGCCGACCTTCTGCGCGAGCGCATCGACAATGCGGTACATATCGCCATCCTTGCCAATCGCGGACGCAAACGATTGTACATAGTAGTCGCTTTCCGCAGCTGCCTGCGCCAGGGGAGGGAATCGCTCGAGAGACCAGGTGATGATGTCGAAACCGGCTTCCTTGGCGGCCACGGCATACTCGGAGGGCACGAGCTCGCCATCCTCGGTAGCGTTCAACAGCGCATAGATAGCGGGGGCCATGATCTTGACGCCCTTCTCGGCGAGCTCGGGGAGACTGGCAACAGCAGCCTTGTAACCCTCGGGGGTGTCAGTGCGTTCATCGAGATAAATGGCCTGCTTGCCGAAGGCGGGTTCATGTTGAAGCCAGTAGAAGATGTCCTTATCCAGGAAAGACTGAGGCCACACCCGGGATGGGTTGATGTGGTAGCGCTTGTAATCGTTGATGAGCTGCTGAGCGTACATCTCCTGGGTGTAGTTACCCTGGAACGGCATGGGCACCTGGGGAGTCTTCAATTCCGGCGAGAACTGCAGGCCCAGGGACTCGATCAGCTCAATGTACTCATGGTGTGCCACGGGGGTGCCGCAGGTGTCATAGAGCTCCGTGCGCCAGGCCGGACCACCATACTGGTACTCCTCGGGGGTGGTGGCCGACGAGTTGCTGGAATCCATCTTGGCGCAGAGCGATTTGAACTCCGCCAAGGTGATATCGGATGTGCAGCACTTGGCTTTGGCTGGGGTGCTATCTGTGGCCGGCTGGAAGGGAACCGTGCACTTGGCGGCCAGCTCCGGGATGGTCAGGATGTTGGTGGTGGTATGGAGATCACACTGGGAGTGACGGCAAACGAGCTCTCGGTCCTTAGTGAACGCGACGTCACACTCAACGATGCCAGCGCCCATGCGAGCAGCAGCCTTCATACCCTGGCGGCTGTGTTCGGGGATTTGCAGCGGGCCACCGCGATGGGCGATGGAGAATTGGGGAGCATGGCGAATGGGCTTCTCTGCGCAGGACTCCAGCTTGCTTTTCAAAGGGCCCTCGTCCATATCATCAACAAGGAAATACGGCCGGGGGCCGACCTGGATGTTGGTGACATTGGGCTTGTGAGAGGCAGCACTGCGACGACTGAAGGATGGTGCAGCAGCCACCACGCCAGCCGTGACTAGCAAAGAAGTAAGATGCATGATGTCAATCTAGCAAGCGTAACGGAGAAGCATACACCAGCTGAAGAGCGCAACGAGAGGGACGATTATTCTGTGCAAGGAACCATGCTCCTATTTATCCTCGGGCTGGGGGTCTCTGTCGGCCCGGTTCGTCGAGGTTGGAGCATATCACAATTCCGTCCCTTGCTTCGTATATCAGATGCAGGCCCCACTCGGATTCTCCGCGTGCCGGAACGACGATCTCTCACACGTTCGGACGATACTTTGGATTCCCTTGGCAACTTGGCGACATCTTGGCTACAGGAACAATGAAAACACGTGGTTGGCCGTTCTGCAGCACATGTCGCGTGCGCGCGACATGATTTGAAGCTTGCTGCAGATTATTCTCAGTGCATTTTCAGCCGTTGTATGACCTTTCCTCTGGGATACTGGGGGAGGCACTGACCGTGGCCACAGGTTCCACGAAATAATCGACGGTCCAATGGCATCTTGGCCCCACCAAAGGATCTTTTCACGAGCTTTTCTTTCATGTAAAACAAACCCAAAATCTCACGAGATGGAAACAATCCCGCGCCCGAAGGATGTTGGGCAATGACGATGACCGCATACGATGTGGATACCCCCGACATTGGCTAACAGAAACTGCGGGGAGTTTCAAAGGAAAACGCTTTCCATGGGGAAGGCCAAGAAAAATCCAGAAAAGGGAGCTCCTTGTGATTGCTCAGGCACAATGATAAGAAACCCATGAACTGCCGACAAGCTGTAATAAGTCAAGACTACCAAGAATGGGAGCGCAGAGTGAATCCCTATGACAGCAATCGCCGCACATATTTCCCTAAGCTTTTGTAGCTGCGATACTAGTCACCACTTCATCACGCCGGGTTTTGGTCCGGCCGTTTCTCCTCCGGTGGATGCTCGATAAGACGAGATGCCTGCATCATCCGCACATGCGTAATTATGCAACTAAAGCCGCTGTGTCACTCCGTCGGTCAATGTCCGGGGAAGCAATGACGAAAGTAACCGCATCGGCATTGGATTAGATAGAAGCATGGTGGGCATATCTCCATAGTCCGCGAGATGCGGAGTTGCTACCAGCAAGATCAAAATACCGATTTTGGAAGGTCACTGGCAAACCAAGTGGACCTTTTAGTGAATACCAAGCTCTGTGAGTGAATAAGAGCCATTGTATGTTGGACCCGACAGTGGGGTGGTGGCGTTTGAGGTTGGCCTAGGGAATCCTCCTCATGCCCATGGCTGTGATCCGAGATCCCTGGTTCGGGAGGGCTTGCTCCCATTGTTCCTGAACCAAGAAGCCCATTCAATCAACCCGCCCTAGCCCGTGTTGTTCTGCGAAAGGATTGCAAGTCCATTCTACGAACATTTTTTGTGGTGGCAATGGACATCCAAAATTCACTCAATCGTCGGTCGGTGAAGAGAGGCTGGGCCGAACATTTGTTCGGCCCTGACTTAGCAGCCTATCTTGCATCGGTGGACCCTCATCGCGGACCGAATCAACGAAAATGCTGATCTTTAACTGCTCTGGAAAAAGATTTTAATCCCGCATTTTCCAACGGTGGGGATTAAGCGCGCTGGTCGATGTAACCTTAATGAAAAACGAAGCCGAGGTGTTTTGCGTTTATCTAATAAAGCCCCACCATCATTCGCGCCAACCCGATACTGTCTTTTGTTGCCTGGAGGAAGTCGATGTTGTCGGTGTCGTCGATGTCGCCGTTGAGGAGATTCAGTATTCGTCTACCCAGAGGGGAAGGCGGTCATCCAGACTCTGCCACCCAAGACTGTGGGCGGTGAAGGGATGCAGCAGTACTGTACTCCGGGATCATTGCGAAAGCCACAGAAGACACTGAAGCTTAGGAGGTTCTTGGAACAATAAATATGTATCCGGAAACCAATACAGGCTTACATAGTTCTTCCAGAAAGATTAGCAATAAGCCATTATTTTGTGTTAAAGTTTATATATACTACTCATCGATTTAAAGGTCAAGAAATAAACACCCAATGCTCACGGGAGAAATATGTTATTCAGATTGAAGAACTAAACCCCAGAGGAAATATTTATACGATAAAGGCATAAAGAGCTTGTGCAATGTTCCTGGTAAAGCACCAGATACTGACCATAAAATATGCCAGGAGTACCCGACCAATAACATTTCCAGCTTGGGGTTGGTGTTCCTCGTATCCAATCTCGCTTCTTTGAACATGAGTGCTTGGGTTTGAGCCAAGGGGGCGCTAAGGCGGTCCTGTCATTCAGACGTGGCCGTGCCCTGGCTAGCAGAGGGAAGCTGCTGCAATAGTTGTCTATTGTATCGTATGTATTGATCATGAATGTCTCGTGGATGTGGGCTTTGCTAATTGTGCTGGAACCTGTTCCGACTGGGCGTATTGGTGTTATCGTCCGCCGTGCTACAACAGTTGATCAGGGATTTTGGCCCTGATATGCTCAACCGACAATTACACAGAAAAGTATACAAACGTACACCATATTCTCGGGAGATTTGAGCAGTGATGGGGGTTACAGGCGGTCACCTGTTCTCCAGAACAAGTCACCAACATTACAGGATTGACCTGGCCGACCAGTGGGCACCGATCATAGCCTAGTTTAGATACCACCGGTCAAATAAGAAATTAAACCCCAGCGTCTTAATATATGACTGAGCGGACGCTGGCAATGAATAAAGATTGCTCCAGCGCTAATGCAGATTGCTAACAGTGTATACTCCAGTCGCAATAAACGCCGCTTCGGGTATAGTCACTGACGGCTCGCTGGTAATTCTACAGGTCTTGGTGAATGTATCGGCTTGCCATCGGCTTCATAGCGGTGTTCCTTTGGTCGTGCCTCAACACCTAGTAACTCTGCAGGGGATACTCCAGGAGTGGGATTCTGTTGCCGGCGATGCCGTTTGAGTAGGTATGCGGCCCCTCCCAGTACGATTGCGACCACAGCTACGACTCCGACCACTATGCCAGCAATGGCACCACCGGATAAGGATGGCGAAGAGGAGTTGGGACTGAATGAGGAGGTAGTCACGGCAGTTGTTTTGCTGGGGGTAGATATCGAGGTGGAGGGTGTGGAGGGTGTGGAGGATGTGGAGGTAGCAGGAAGCAATGACTGTGGATCAAAAGCCCAGGTGGTCGCGGACGGGGCTTCAGCGCTCAAGGAGGAGTATGTGTCTTTGAGCGCCTGGCTGCTTATGTTTCCGAGCGGGCTGCGTTCGTTGTTCCAACAGATATTAACCTGATTGTCCGCCTCGGTACACGACTCGCTGTACCCTCTGTCAGAATGCTTATCATCAAGAGTGGAGGCGGAAATGGGAAGATAGACAAACGTTTCATAAAGACAACACCATGTGCGATCCCCATTGCGACAAAAACGTGTGCTGTTATTATTGGCGCACTCGGAAGTTATTGACCAGCAGACATTACCAAGGCCATCATTATAGTCGCAACAGTATAGTTTCCCTGTCGTCGGCTCACGAGCACAAGCATTGGGGGGCTGACATTGCAAATTATTGAATGTTGGGCATGTATAGCTGGTCAGATTCGAGGTGAAGTAATAGTCACTGTAGTGGGTCATATCGGTGGTGGAACGAATATCAGCGGAGGGAAAGTTAGCTAAAGAATACTAGTTACTGATTGACAGGGGAAACTGAGGCTTTAATGTGAAGAGAGTTGCAACATAACCTCTGCGCCAAGCTTGCAGATCTTTTGGGGGCCAGGTTGACTCCTGTAGAGAAGAGCGATGCCGTATACAACCGACTCTTCCAAGCCTATCAAGGCTGATCTTGGTATTTCCGCTCGGATCAACATGTGCATGATAACCTCTTAACTATTGGACTGAGCATGGGGCGAAACGCGAAAGCAGTATAGCACCACTCACTACCATTTCATATGTGCACTAACAACGCTATGGGCCTCTTGGCCTTGACCCTGGAGGTTTAGCGCCACAGTTAGCCCTCCAGCGCTGGAAAAATGTGGTTTAATTAGCCTGTCACCTTCTCCAGAAGTAGCCCAAGGCCGGGGTGTGGCTTATGGGATGAGCGGCGGTGGAAGTTGGTGGTAATCTAGCGGTTATAGTCTAGGTGTCCGGTGGACTCGTTTATAGGCTAGTCATGGCCAGTTTAATTAGCTATTTACTCCAGACAGGGACCTTCTAGACCCCTGAACTCCCAGAAGGAATCTATCATACTTTTCAGTACTCATTCCTCGAGCCTATGCACTTCACCGGGTACGGCCGGTTTATAACATTGGCTTTCCAGTGGTCCCCCACTACTCAAGGATGTGATCTTTTCCCTATTATTAGAGACAGTGATCCCATACTCATCGGCAATGCATCACCTCATTGGAGGATTGGGGTTACTGCCTGGCGAACTGGAGAGATGATAGCCCCAGGCATGGGATGATAGTTAGGTTTAAAGTAGGATGCATTCCCTGGGTGCTTACATTTGTTCCACAGCAGGATATATGGTCGTTATCCCCTTCCTCTCATCTTTATGTTTTCATAATTTAATACGTGCCTTGGAAAGTCTGTGTTGCTTTTCGCATGACTCGTGATGTCCTGTCCTTCTACTGTCTCTAGGGATAGAGATTCATAGTCCAGTATTTGACTATGAGCCAGCCTCACACAATTTCCAGCTTGTTCGTCGACTCGACTCAGGCCGCTGTACTTGAACTATCTATACGAATTTGATCCTGAAATGAAGGGCGTAATAGCTCACTAGATGGTCAAAGCCAGGGACAAAAGGACTCTTTATACCACGCAAAGCATAGGTCCCATGCGCTAGGCCTACCTAGGAAGGCGCGTGCGGGGTTTTATGACAATCTCTGGGGAAGAGAAGTTTTGCTTGAAACTGCAATCTTGTCACCGCCTATGTATACTGCAGAAGGTTTACCAATTCAATCCAGAACCAACAAATGGATACCAATCTTCCAGTCAAGAAGCTCGCACTCAACCCGCCTCCTCTCTGCGAGTTGAGCCAAGTCATTGGTGAGCGATTGAGCCGGAATTTTGGCCATGTCGTGGCCAATGTTGTTCCATGTCCCGATCTGCGTCAGCCACCCTTCTATCTAGCTGGTGAAGGCCTTTGTGGAAGCGAATGTATTGCAGATGTCGGTGGACCTCCACACCTCCGGCCCTGTCCACGCCTGGACAAGAAGTACTCGCTGCCTACCATTATGCGAATGATCGAAACGCGGCCGCGAAGCTTTGTTTTGGGTGCAGCCGCTGGTCCATTTCACGTAGTCGGGCAGAATTCCGAACTCATGCCGAATTTGGCACGCGGGCATGATGGCGAGTGGCTAAACGAGACGCACTACGCAAAGGTCAATGAAGAGGGACAATGCCATCTGGCCAAGGTGCCCGACGACTCCAAAGATTTCGGCTTGATGGCCAACCTGTTCGCTTCCGAAGGCCTACCAGGAGACGTAATTCATATTCGGGCGAAGGGCCGAACAGGCGACCTGAACTTCACGGAAGCGATCCAACACGCACTGAAAACCGAATACGGCGGGCAGCCGATCAGCATCGGCGGCGTTTTCCTTGTTCGTAGTGGGACGACCAAACTCCATGTCATGACTGACTTTAGTCGCGATCCTTGTCCCGGCCCTGATCACGAATGGTTCAAGTTTTATGACTCGTCGGCGCCGTTGATCTGTCTCACAGTATTCCACTCGGTAGACTCGGAGAGCTGGGATTTACGGATGGAGCACACACATTGCTTCTCGACACATGGGATGGGTGGACATTACCACTACGATACGACGGCCGAAGAAGTCGAATATGAAGCTTGGTTGAATACCGCTAAATTGCTTTATAGGATTGACCAGCCCGGGCAGTGACCTCAGCTTGGGGTATGTATGTACATAGCTTGCTTTGTAGATCAGAATAGACCGTTCACTTCAAGATATGATATGCTTCCAATGGCTGAACAGATAGACAACGCGCATAGTGACAGGTTGGAAAAGGGCGGTGGATTTCGATTCCCTGTTATAAAATATGCGAATGTACTCGGATTTAGGCCTCCAGAGAGCTTATCTCCGGCCATCGCTATGGACTTAAGACTTCTTACCTCCGACGATGCCCTACAATTGGCATCTTCGTCATCACTCGTTTTTATATAGATAAGCCTTGTCGCCAAGCCTTGTCCCACTTCAAACACTGCAGTATCTATCATCTATTGTCCACCATGCCTGAGAACCGAAGCGTCAAGGCCGTCCTCGCATTGATCGACCAGGACCCAACTAAGATCCTTGGCCTGACAGTGGGGCCTCACGCAAATGTGAAACCAGGCCAATATATCCCTAAAGCTGGTATAATCACCTGGTCATACAGAGAATCCATAGGACCAACTAACAGTGTAAACCTAAGACGCCCAATCCCACCCGACACTCTCCTTCGAAGTTCCCTCCCCATCAGCAACGTACATGGTCGTTAGCCTTGACATTGATGCCCCGTTTCCCTCCTTCGGCGTGCTAGGACCTATCCTCCACTGGATCCAGCCGGGACTCAAAGCCAGCAACGGCCAGCTGGAAGTGACCAAGCCGTTTGTGGCGAACTATATCGGACCTGCGCCGCCACCGGGTAGCTCGCCGCATCGGTATGTCTTCTTTCTGTATGAGCAGCCCGAGAAATTCGATGGAAAGAAATATGCACCGCCGGATGGTCAGAACTTGAGTAATTGGTATCGCATGCGGTATGACCTTGATGCGTGGGAGAAGGAGATTGGTCTTGGTCCGGTGTTGGCAGTTAATTATTTTACCAGTAATTAGAGGAGGTTTTACAAGTGACTTCAATTATTAATTGTGCTTTCTCAACATAGCTCGACGTTAATTAGTGTTCATTATCCTAATCATTTAACCTTTCAAGATAGAAGGAGTGGCGCGTGTTAAGAATGCTTAACACGTTGTGAGTACCAGAATGATGACAAAGGAAAGAATGGCGATAGACTGAGAATCCTTTCAAGAAGGTCGGATATGACCATTTGTTATCCATTCCGCCGTGGAGAAACAGTAGATGATGAAGGTCATAAGCATGCACATTGATTCCGCTGCGTATAACCGTAACGACTACACGTCCCATGTACAATGCATGGGGTTTTATCTCTGTCAAATATGAGCAACTCGGGCTTGACTTGGAAGTGTCCCGTAGTTTCGAGCAATATGCCCGCGAGGCGACAATTTTCAAGTAATGGCTAGCCAAGCAGGAGACATCGGATGATCAACTGATTGCTGGTTGCACGATTGTCGTCGGAGTTTAGAACCACAGAGGCGAGGCTCAGACTTCTTCACGTTGGACTGATTTCAAACGTCACTTGATTGATTCAGTGACTTCTATAACAGATCGCCTAGTGTTACGGGCATCGCCTGCTGTGTTTCAATCACTGAGAGAAGTACAGATTGTATGTATCACTGGTCAAGCGACGTCCCTGGAGTTGGAGACGCAGGCAACCCACATACGCATATGGCACCTCGGAGAGATTACGTAGCCGAGTGACTCAGATGTATATGGCGGAACCTATTGCCACTTGTACTCAAGAGCAAATTATGGCAAAGGTGTAAAGTCAAAATGCTTATGCCATGTCCGTCTGGAGTCCGAAAAACGATTGGTTTCCATCGGGCACGTCATCGAGCCACCCGAGATCAAAAAGATCGCGCAGTATTCCGAGCTCATCGATTAGAAAACTCTTTCCATCAGCTGGAGGCGGGTTCATGGCAGACCCCTCCTGAGCCGGATACGTTCTGTCTTGATTTCTCTGTGCGAAGCCCGTCGGATCATTACCAGTCCAGGCCGTACCGTCGAGTGACTGAGGCTCAGCCGGAGCACCGGTCATAGCATCGTATGCCTCGCTAGTAGATCTAACCAGCTTCGCTAACTTCTGACCCGCCTCTTGTGCAACCGTCCACGTCTGTCCCAGGAATGAGAGCAACTGGAGCGCCAATTCCGCTCGCTTTAGACAAACATCCATAGGTGTTGTGCCGCGGACCACCGGATATGTCCAGACGCAATACAGTACTGTGATTGAAGCCACAAATATTGAATGCGCTGATAGCCATGAGCATTCCATGTTCGAAAAGCGATGCAGGTCCGCATAGATGGCAATAATCTCCATGGCACTAGTGAAACACTCTTGAACAGCATCTAGGCCAGGCCGAGGCATCTGCGGGCTCGGGCGATAGAGGAGCATAATACATTGATGGTATTTGAGTTCGAGTCGTTGAACAGCAACCCCCGAGAGTGGATTGGAGCCACTCTGCAAGCGACCCGGTTGGTGATCTTGTACCTCTTGGAGAAGAGCCGCACAAGCTCTTTGCGCCTCCTGTTGCCATGCACTTACATCTGTCGGCCAAGGGAAGCGACTGGGTGATCTGGAGACTCGATACAGCATTAGCTTAATCTCTGCGACGATTCGGTCAAAGCGCAGAGAGTAGATGCAGGCAGTGTACGAGGTTGGGGCCCGTCCCGAGATCGATGTTGCTTCTTGAGCACTAGGATTCCGGTCCCAGCATGTGGCCGCCTCTTCAACTTCGTCGTTGTTGTCGAATCCGGGGAATTCCCTGTCGATCGCTTCATCGCGCAATGTAAGCGGGCGACCGAGTATCGTAGTCAGGGTGCGATCCATAGAGTATGCTGACCAAAAGATTGCACTGCGTAGATGCCGTATGTTTCGTTGGTATAAAGGCTCGTTCTCCTTACTACCTATAGTTACGTAGATTAGCCATTGTTTGTGTCGAATCCTGAATACACGACATAGCTCCCAATGAAACGTCGGAACGAGTAACTCACTATTATCACGGCGCTGCAGCCCAAGGTCAAGACAGCTTGCGAGGATAGTATGCAGTAGATACCACGCATTAAGCCCCTCCGGGCTATAAAAGCTATGTTGCACCAAGAGCAAGAGAATCTGGACTCCTTCAATGCTATCATGAAGTTTTATCTGCGTGCCATAAGACATGCCCGTCGCAAACAGCTCCCGAGAGCCAAAGGTTCCAGATAGCTTGATTTCAAGAGATCTTGCACCGAGAGAAAAGACCAGGAATACCTGTGCCAGCGCTAGTTTCACGGGAAGTCGACTCTCCCAGGTCGATGTCTTGCTGAGGCGAAACACTTGCCCTAGAAGGGTATAGAAGACATCCTGAGATATGAAAGGGTAAAATGTCGACGCAGCAAAATACATCTCGGCGTACTGCTGACATTCCGCCATAGAAGGCAAGTCTACCTGCAACGCTTCACACAGTACAGGACCCTGACTGGGGTCGTTTAACCCTGGGTCTTGATCATTCTGTCGCGAGTACGCCAATGGCAGTCCTTGTGACTGGGGCACACTCTCATAAATCAGACGGGCGAAAGTAACTCCAGATGACGGTCCCAAATACTTGGGATCGCTGGCGTTAGTCAAAGAGAGTAATCCCACTTCGTGGGCCAGTGGCTGGTCCCGAGTGATTCGGCTCGACGACGAGACCGCCGGGGAGGCCCCAGGGGTATCATCTGTTTGTGCCGTCCGACTCAGAGGTGACTGGGCATCAGCCAGATGAATAGCCCTCGCAGGGCCTAGGTGGCGGACATCTTGTTGTGGCACCTGTGTTGGAGAGACACAGCTGTGGTGGTCTTCTTGGCGCCACTGTGTCGGCTGCGTTCGGATATTTGCCGAGGGGTCAATCTCGTCGCGGGCCTCCAGTTCTCGCACGCGATTCTCCAGGTACTGCAATCGACTAGAAAGATTAAGTAGACTCGAACAATTCTGACAAGAGGAGTCTTACCTCTTAGACACCGCTGATCCAGGAGTTCCCTCGAAACATTCCACTCCGGCTCGGGCACAGTTCGAGCACGCGGGTGTCCCTCCGTCGCACCGGACTTTCCGCCGTCGGCATCGCACACACGCCAGTGGACGGCGTCGGAGAGGTGAATTGAGTGAGGCAGACATGTAGAGTCAACATGCACTATCACTGCAGCATGAGTATCAAAATCTGTCGGACAATAGATTCAATGGAGGCCATGCGGAGAGGCAACTGGAGTTATCGGTTACAGCTCCGATGATATCGGGCCGCGTAAATCATGTCTCCGCAGGCACGGGTTTCGGCTAAATCCCGTGCGCCTACCCTTCGACATACCCTACATGAAATACTGCAAACTTCTCATGTTTAATGGAAGGTCTTCGATTTAGGGTCATATTATTATCATCTAAAATCGATAATTGAAAAAATAAGGCTGGTTTGTCATTGGTCAAATATTGCCCGTTGAAATGAAGTCTGCGTTCAAATATATATATTGTATTTTCCAAAGTTTTGATTCTTTGACCATCTCAATATTAGCTGTTCATACTTCAAGTATCACTCAGTATGCAGAGTAGCTCATATCCGAGTAGAACCTCAGAGCTAATAGCGTCCTGATGATCCCAGAACATCCATCATTCTCTCAACCGATTTAGCATAAATTTCGACTCCGCGCATTTGGAGGACGGTCAACTCAAGTGAGCCAGCGTTCTCAGCCACAAAGTCTGTGTAGTCATCGCGCACGGTACGGTTAAGATTAATCTTGCGTACGCCACATGTAATTGTGCGTTGGAAAAGCTCGTCAGACACCGGGTGTGTCCCGTGAAGGGCTAGTGGTGTAGTTCCTGAAACCAGCTTCCCAATGGCCGAAAGACTGGAATTCCAGCAGGGTGAGAATTAGCCAATCCGTACTGACATGCGGAGATTTGAGAAGGAATGGTTTGCAAAAGCCCCTCCGAGAAACAAATGGCTGTGTACATACCGCCCAAGGTCCCACGCTTTCTCTGCCCCGCCAGCCGGATAACCACCATGAATATTCCCAAAGGAAGGGGCCAGAAAATGCACACCAGTCCGACGCACGAAGGTCTCAGCGTCTTCCGGACGGGTCATCACCGCGTCCATGTCCACAGTGGGCAAGCCATCCTCGCCGCCTTCAATGCGGCCCATCTCCGCTTCGATGGTGATGTTGAGAGCTCTTGCTCGGTCTACAATCTCTTTGCAATAGCGGATGTTGGCCTCTTCATCGAGCGTAGAGGCGTCCACCATGATGGAATCAAAAGGTAGAGAGAGCGCCAGTTCCACATCTTCTGGCTTGATGCAGTGGTCCAGGTGGACTGCGATCGGGACAGCAGCTGCATGTGCAGCTCTTACAACGTAACGAATGAACTCTGGTCCCTGAAAGTGCATAGTCCAGGGAAATAGTTGGATGATGGCAGCTGAACGCTGGCGCTCGGCAGCCCGAATCACGGCCATGATTCCGTCATTGTTGTAGCTGGATGTGTGTTAGGCGTCGTATTGTAGATATAGGCGGACTGCATCACTTACCAGTTATATGCACCAACGGCGTACTGGTTCTGATTGGCATGATTGAGAATCCGCCAGGTCAGGTTGCTGGCGGGGTATGTGTCGTTGTCACTACTCATGTTGGAATAGTATGAGTGGCTGCCCTATGAATGCCGGAAAGATATTACAGGGTGGGAGTTCTACAAGATCGTGAACTGATAACAAACATACGGTACCTATATCACATATTAGCTTACAGCCGACTGTACATCTCGGCCGCGGCATATATTCGCTCGCGTGTGGGTCAATTATGGCTTCATGGCCGTCGGTTGCGGTCCGGCTTTCTGGACCGGTATTCGGCCGGACTTGACCCACTAAGAGAAACATCAGACAAATGAATCATTGTAATGTTGTAATATGGGTGAACGCGTAAATAACACATTACAATGTATTTTAGGACACATGGCACGTCCATAGCGTGTGTTTAGGTAACCAGAAAGATCTCTCAATCCCATGCGCTCGAAACTGGGTGGGAGTCAGTCCAATCGTATGTGGTACATAACTGAAGGGCCTGCTTTGGCACTGTAGTTTGGAGTCTATAGTAGCATAAATGCAAATGCGTGATGGAGTGCAGTTTTCGGGAATTTAAATATTGAGAGGGTATACTCGTAATGTTTTAATCTATATACGTGATGGGTTTTCAGGCCAGGGAAAGAGGGCTTTCAGATAGTGGAAGCTCTGAAACACCGTACTGCTTAGAAATCTCAAGGAACATCTGCTTCTCAGCATCCGCATATGGGATACCTTCTTGACGGCGCTGCATACCAAGGCGGTGCTCTGGCTCTCCGGGGAAGAGCACTTCGCTGAAACCTGGGGCAGGCGTAACGCCATGAACACGTTGTACCAGAGTGTCCATACGAGCCTTGAATTGATCGGTACTCATGAAAATATCAGGTTTGATGGCAATGAAGCAATGTCCGACATTTTGCGGCTTCGGGTCCTTGTACTGGTCTCCGACTTCACCACCAAAAGCTGCGCCTGTCAAGACACCTGACATGACATCCATCAGAATAGCAATACCAGAGCCTTTGGGACCACCAATCGGTGCCATGCTTCCATTTAAGGCGACATTGGCATCGGTGGTCGGGTTACCGTCTGCGTCCAAGGCCCAGCCCACTGGAATGGACTCACCGCGACGGGCGGCACGGCGAATCTTTCCTTTCGCCACGACAGAAGGCGCCATGTCCAGGATGTAAGGAACTTCGTTGTTAGAAGGAGCGCCTGCTGCAAAGGGTGAGATACCCAGAAGAGTCTCCTTACCACCAAAAGGAGGCATCTGCTTCGCGGAGTTAGTAAAGACAAGAGAGATCATGTTCTTCTCCAGGGCCTGAATCACATAGGTGGCGGCCATGCCAAAATGATTCGAGTGATTGACAGTCACCATTCCAATACCATAAATCTCTGCACGCTTTACAGCCTCCTCCATTGCTCTGGTGGCGACAACGAAGCCGAAGCCATTGTCACCGTCTAGCTGAGCCACAACAGGTGTTTTCTCGGTCAACTGGAACTCTGGCCTTGCCTTGACGCGGCCATTGCTGACACGGTCCAGGTACTGAGGCAAACGAGCCAACCCATGCGTGTCCTAGGGCATAGTTAGTAAGGCCACGGGTCACTGCACAAACAGCTAAAGAGTCATGGTAGTGGAACCTACAACACCCCGAACATCTGCCATGACCAAGCAGTCGGCCATTGACTTGGCATCTTCCGGGGAAAGGCCCGCTTTCACCAAGAGCTCTGAGGCAAACTGGCCAGCGGCTGTGGGATCGGCATAGTAGCGAGCCTTCGTAGCTGTTAGTATATCGGATCATCCGAAACTCAGGACAACGTACGGAGGCCATTGTGCAGTAGTTGCTATCGATAGGAATTGCTGACTGGAGGTAGAATGCACTGACTTTCTGTAAGTTACAGAGCTTAAGCCGCTAGCAACGTATAAGTAGGACTTCGTATATACTGAGGGGGAAATATAATGTAGCAGAAGTCGGATATGAGGGGAAGATCGATGACGGTGACGGACCGAAGCCGAATTGACTCCACTTGTTTTGCCGTCGGATTTTAGCCGACGACGCGCCGATTCATTAATTTCTTGGATGGTGCCATTGCAAAGATTGAGAACCGTTTCCTATTCTTGCTTCATTTTGATCCTGTTATTCAGAGTGATTATCGGGCTACCAGCTTCTAATCGAGTATGGCTGTTAAGTGTGCCACACCTTTGCGGTCTTTGAACCCACAGCGCTTTACACGGATCGTCGGCCGGCGACTGTACAGCAGCCGGGGCCCAACAGTGGCTGTCTTATTCCAAGATATTGACCCTCCAATCATTAACGGGGTTCGTAAACCTCGTAAACCAGGTGGTGAGTACATGTAATGTCTGCTACAATGAAACCCTGTCGGGCTTGTCCTTCCCTTTGAATTTATTTTCATTTTCTTCTCTGACTCGGAAGTGGCTCCATCGGCACGGTCAACACACTTCGTCATGAGCTAATGTAACTCCTACAGGCTATCAAGACTCAGGAGCAGATATTGCCTACACATTGAGGTCAAAGGGTATCAACATAACTACCCCCGATGTCTCGCCACAAGTGTTCAAACATGAAGGCTGGTGCTTCTCAGATACAGAGGAAGGCATCGTCTCCGCCGTCAATAACGGCGCTACTCATTTGTGGGCTAATACAATCCTATTTGATTCGCACCCGCTGCAGCAATCTGAGAAATTGACGTCCTATGCGTCGGATCTATATGTCGTCGGTCAGCCGCCTGGCCTGGTAGAAAACTGCGACGACAAGGCATTCCTCAACGATAAACTTCGCTCATTAGGCGGTTACACTCTGCCACACTCATGGTTGGTGACCGAGTCTGATAACCTCGACGAGTTTGTCGGCTCAATCAAAGGCTTCCCTGTTGTGGGCAAACCCGTTCGCGGACGCGGTAGCCATGGCGTAAAGCTATGCCATACCCCCGTCCAGCTTAAGCAACATATCGAGGCTCTTCTCGGAGAGTCGCCTCTGATCATGGTAGAAGAGTACCTAGCAGGCGAGGAGGCTACCATCACAGTTATGCCGCCATCGCCGGAACGGCCGGAGCACTGGAGTATGCTGCCTGTGACGAGATTCAACCATGCGGATGGCATTGCTCTGTACAATGGGTCTGTCGCGGTGACGGCAAACTCCCGAGTTGTGACGAACGAGGAGATGAAAGATCCAGCATATGGAAAGGTGATGGAAGAATGTCAAGGCGTCGCCAAGCTCATTAGAGCAACGGCGCCGATCCGAATTGACGTGCGACGTTTCCGGGCGGGCTCGGAGTTTGCGCTTTTTGATATCAACATGAAGCCGGTAAGATACTTTGAAGTCACCAAACTTTGGTTTATTTGTTTGCGTTTAGCTGCTAATTGGAATGTTTAAAATACAGAATATGACTGGCCCTGGTCGTCCCGGGCGCGAGGATCAGGCCAGCTTGACTGCCATGGCAGCGGCTGCCATCGGTTGGGACTATGGAACCCTCCTGCAGAAGATTTTGGCCAGCGCACAGCGCCTAAGTGCTTTCCGTGATTATCGTAGTCCATTCTAAGTTGATTGGGGATTATGCGCAGCTGCAATAAGTGAAGCTAATGGACTTCTAGTTATATGTCCTTTTTGCCCCAGAAAATACAACTTTCAAGTGGCTTTACCATACATGTACATTAAAATGATCTAATAGCATGCGAAGAACTGTTTGTCTATTCAGATAGAACAAGGCTCGCTTAGGATTACCTCCACAGACACAATATAAGTATTACATGAACATCTAAAGTATCTCACTGATTTTCTATTTGACCGTTGACGCTGTTGGCCCCATTCATGCCCTTCACAGGCAAGAAATGCCACATATATTCATCTTCTGGAGCCACTTCAAAGTCAAAGCGCACCAGGTCCTCTTTGTAAGGGAACATATATGTACTGGTGACCCTATTCTCATGAACTAGAATAAGCACATTTCTCTCAAATGATATTATATCATTACGAAGGGTGTCACGTACCAATGGTGCTCTTTGCTGGCTTGATATTTCTGCAGCTCTGCGAGATTCTCGTGAAAACTGAGGAGCGCAATTTCGAACCCTTTGCTTCTTTCAATTGGGTCTGTCACAGACGGCCCTCCAACTACTAGACGATGCCCTTTGACACAGTCTAGTTCCTTCAGCTTTTTGAGCTCTCGAACAAACGTGTCCTTGTGCTCTTGTGTCACCTCAGGGCGAAACTTGAACATCACTGATATTGCAGTGTCAGAGGAAAATCTTGTGTTTAACGCCAAGGAGTGAGATGAGAGTACGGCTTACCTATGTGAACAATCGTCATATTGGGCTTTTGTTTATAGATGAAGTAAAGATGTGCAACGCAGGACCAGAATGCGGTATTCGGGAAGGCTGGTATAGAATGTGGCCCGCGGAAGACTCTAGCTTCTAGGGAGCAGCGCTGGTAAGGTAAGGAAGTCAAAGGTCCGCGAGAGTTTATGGCGAGCGAATCACTGTCCAAATGTGATTGTGCATGGGCTCTGTCAAGTATAAGAATATGCCTCTAGCACGGTGTGGGCTAGCTAATCTCTTCCCCAGCGTGTCTCGGGCTGTAGCCGTCGCGAAGGATCTGGCGGTTAAGTCCCGTGCGATTGCTTCGGTTCGTCGCCGTTCCGCTTGAGCGAGATCGTTTCCCATATTGATAATCTTTAGATACGGCATAAAGTTCGGATTAAGTTATAAAAATTGGAACTAGGAATTAGGCTGGCTGTTAGCACTCTCTGTGTCATAGTGTGTCAGCTGGTATACGCGTAGCTCCCTTCTCAAACCCTCAGTCAATTTTGCCATGTAGTGGTCAATTCTGGTATACGCCCTTTCGAAAGTCAGACATTTCTCAGTCTTATTGTTCATATAGTGCCATGGTCATGAAGTGATAGCAGATGGCTGGTTTAGTGGAATTTCTTTGACCAAATCGATCATACTCAAATCGTAGATTTAATTATATGCAGACAGACCTAGCTTTAAACACATTTTGTACGGCGCTGCAATAGTGCCTTAAAAGTACAGAGAGAGGGCATATCCTTACCGTACTCAAACAGTTCCTCCATCGCTATTAGTGGATAAAGTACCCACGGGTCACAACGTACACGGATCCCTCCTTGAACGCCGGTGTTATCGCTGTAGACTCAAGCAGAAAATCACAGACTCACATCCCCTTTGAGACCGGCCAGGTTTACGAAGCTAGGGAATGTCCGTCTCCGTGCTTTGGCTTCCCCGCATTCTGCTAGGCATGGGGTACATATGGTAAAGTGGAACTATAAGAGTGCCTATGCCAGCCTTGGAGGTTTCTAGTTTTCTTGATCATAGTTCCTATGTGTGCTTGCTCAGGAGTCAGACCCTCCTCAGATAAACATAGGAACGTCTCTCTCATCTTTTGATTTCTTTTCAATCCATCATTTCTATCCCATACTCATTATGTCAGACGAAGTGAAACAGTCGCTTCAACATGAGGAGGAAGCCGTTCCGACGGAGAAAGGGATTAACAACCGAGTGGCAGCCGCGCAACAAATGAGTCCAGAAGAGTTTGCTGCCGCCGAGAAGAGCTTGAAGCGTAAGCTTGATGTCCGCCTCCTGCTTTCCGTGTGGATTATGTTTGTGATGAACTACCTTGACCGAGTAAGTGTTCTCGAAATGACTAGCCATGTCCCTCAACAATACGCCATAGTGATTATGGACAAATAAACATCTCCTTCCTCATTGTCAATTTTCTCTTTTCCTCTAGCTAATACTTGCAACTCCGGTGTACAGAACAATATCGCCGCGGCGAAAGTTGCTGGTATCGCTAAGTCACTGCACATGACAAGCGAACAATATGCTACAGCAGTGGCTATTCTTTTCGCCGGCTACGTGCTAATGCAACTACCGTCGAACGTCTTTCTAGCTCAGATGCGTCCATCTTGGTACCTCCCAAGTGTTATGGTTATCTGGGGTATGCTTTCGGCTCTAGTTGGTGCGACTCACAACGCCGGGGGATTATATGCCCTCCGTTTCCTTCTTGGCTTTGTGGAAGCTGCCTTCTACCGTAGGTGCTCCACTTCTAATGCTCTCCTGTCTTGCATCCTTTGTTCACTACTAACACATATTAGCCGGCGCATTGTTCTTAATCTCATCATGGTACCGACGTGACGAGATGGGCGTGCGCAGTGCGTTCTTGTTCTCTGGGTCTCAGCTGGGTAGTGCCTTTTCTGGTCTTATCGCAGCCGGCATTGAGAGCGGTATGAACGGAGTACGTGGCCTCGAGTCATGGCGTTGGATTTTCATCATAGAAGGCTCAGTGACCGTGTTTATTGCGTTTTGTGCGGCATTCACTCTACCTGACTGGCCCAGTAATACACGATGGCTCAGTCCGACGGAGCGCGCAGTTGCTGAGTGGCGTCTTATTGCCGATGCCGGTCAGGTTGATGAAGATGATGGACGGTGGAGCTACGGCTTTAGACGTGCCTTAGCTGACTGGCGACTATACATCTTTGCGTTGACCTTCCTCTGCATACAAGTGGCGAGCGCCACGTCCAACTTCTTCCCATCCGTCGTTCAGACGTTAGGCTTTAACCGCGTCGATACGCTTCTGCTGACCGTTCCGCCCTACATGCTGGCGCTGCTGATCTCCATCGTGAATAACTGGTCGGCCGACCGACTCAAGAACTCTTCTTTTCATATCATCTGGCCGCTGGTCCTAGCCATTATTGGATTTGTCATCGCTGCTGCTACACTCAATACCGGTGCTCGATACTTTGCGATGATTGCTATGGTGGCAGGGGGCCACGGGTCAAACGCCGTGCTTCTTGCATGGGTTCAAAAGACAATGCTTCGGCCTCGCATAAAACGTGCCTCGGCTGTAGCCTTCGTTAATGCAGTGGGCAATCTATCTCAAGTGAGCATTCTATTCTTGAGCATTCTATTCCAAGCGCGTTTCCCTGATCAAGATCCCAAACTAACGTTATTCTACAATCACAGATCTTCTCCTCTTACCTATACCCAGATAGCTCGGCACCGCGATACGTCCTTGCTATGTCGGTGAACGCTGCATTCAGTCTAGCAGTCATTATCCTCACACTGTTTATGCGAATGGTTCTGCTTCGTGCAAACAAACGTCTCACTCGGGGAGAGACAACAGTGGAGCAAGAAATGAAGGGCGGAAGTCAAGCTCAGGTGTTGGGAGTCACCGAGGAAGAGCGTGCTACGCGTAGGGAAGAGTTCCGCTTCATTGCATAGGGCTGACTCCCAATCTTGTGAGAGTTATGATAGCTGTAACTCTCCATTTACAGGCACGGTTAAGTATCGAAATGAAGGGTGCCGGATTCTGGTATACATTGCCTTCTATAACCATCAAAGTACTGTCATTGTGCCACTGGAGTGGATTATGTTTAGATTTGTCATCACTCAAAGTGAACGGATGAATACTGCCATGTTTCATATATATTGCTACCCTTTACTATATGTCGTTTATTTGATGCCTGTTGACTATGAATCCTTGAAGGCATACATATTCTTCTCCACCAGGGTGAGCAACAGGTACATGATTGATTTAGTTTGCATTTTCGGGACTGTAGTTCAACAAGACAGAGCGGTAATTAGATTCTCTATTCATGGCTCCATTCAACGACCACGGAATTCCCTAAAAGCCTCCTCCACAGATCGACCTGCCTTAATAGCCTCTGCACACTTTGCATCCGCATCAGCAATAGCCGGAATAGCATCAAGAACCTGTTCCGCAAGCTCCTGGGGAAGTCGCACAACTCCGTTGAGATCGGCGATAATATAGTCACCGGGTTTAATCCACGCATCTTGGTTGTCGGAATTGAGTCGAACAGGTACATTCACCTCCGAAGGGCGACATACTTCGCCTCCGGCAGTTGTACCCACCGACTTTGCGAATAGAGGAAAGTTGAGCGCACGGTGTTCGTTCAGATCGCGGACACGCCCGTCGATTACGACACCAGCTGCGTTAAGTGCCTGAGCACGCAAAGTCATGAGGCCGCCGTAGACAGCGTTGACTTGAGGGAGAGGTTGCGAGATGAAGACCACTGCGCCTTGAGGGATTTTGTTGATCTAAGCAACGATTAGTGTTGTGCATAGACTCTAGTAGAATATTATGATTATATACATAGTTTCCTTGCACTTTTGGAGACGAAACGTCCGATTTAGGAACAAACTTGACTGTCATTGCTTGGCCGACGATCTTCGTTTCACCAGCTTGGAATTGTGGCGAGTACATGGTGAGGCCTTCGAGGAAGCCGCCATTGGGATACTTCAGCTTGGATAGGCCATCGGCAACCTGGTCCACTAGTGAGCTATGATTTCTTGATCTACCACAGTGAATCTGGTTCAAGTGAAATTTATTCCTAGCTGCATTCTGGAAAGTGTATACTCACATCGCAGGCACCCCACTGTTGCAGACGCGCGATGATATCTTTCGGATCGGATAGCATTATAATGTGCTGGATTGTCGGGCAATTCGACCAATTGATTTCTTCAGTATCACCTAACTTTGGTCCTCACAAAGCGGATTTGAGCCACAATTATTAGTGTTCAATTCCGGGTACCTTTCATGTTTGATGTATGCGATAACGGCACAATTGCGGTGGGAAAGGACGGACTCCGACTCCGACTCTCGGCTCGGCCATTTGCCGAAGCCTTCGGATATACCCGCCGTTTGTGTAGAGTAGTTAGTTGATCTATGCAAAGCATCAAGAGGAATTAAGAGGAAATATGAGCAACACCATGTTAACTACAAGGCTTAGGTGGCCGCTGCTATGCAACTGAGGGTTGGATTTAACAACTTTGCTCTTCAATAACTTCCTATATCGGACTGTAAATTCACTGCCGAGCCAAGGACTCACTAGCTTCGCAGCAAAGCAATATAAATGGGTCAGGATATACCATTACATGACATAAATACTTACTATATATCTCGTCAACTTTCTTTCCCTAATCACAAAGTTTCGAGGTCCTAGTAACTGCCCATACAGCTAAGCTTCTCCAGCTGGCCATCATCTTCTTTCGCGTGTTTCAAGCCATTGAGAGTCTGAAGACCGTCATCATGGGCAGTGTAGCTATCGAAGACAGCCGCAGCTTCCCAAAGAAGCCGGTTCCATCAGGTGCATGGGACACTCACCATCATATCTTCGAGCCGGACCGTTTTCCGTTCGCAGAAGGTCGACACTTCACACCCGCCCGCGCCTCGCTCGAAGATTTACGGAAGTTCGAAAAGTCAATTGAAGTCGACCATGTCTGCATTGCGCATGGCCTCTCTTATGGGCCTGACTGCAGGTCTCTTCTTTACTACTTGGAACAATTCCGCGGCCAGGCACGGGGTATTTGCGTGTTGGACCCGGAAACGGTTTCAGATGAGCTTCTAGATGAATATCACGAGGCTGGGGTGCGCTCAGTTCGACTAGACTTTTTCCGCCATAAGGCCATGGACAACGTGCAACTCCAAACGGAATTGGTCGAAGCTACAGCCACAAGGCTAGCAAGATGGGGCAGGCCTGGATGGAGCATTCAGATTCAGCAACCTCATCTTGAGTTTTGGCCACGCCTGCGAGACGTGGTGGACAGGTGCCCGGTACCAGTTGTGGTGGACCATTTTGCCTTAATAGCTGGGAGTAGCTACAGGGCTAATGACCATACCACCAATATCCAGGATAATTCGTATCTGGCCGAAGGAGAACGCATCGGTCTCGCAGCGCTTTGCGAGACACTCCGAAATGGTAACCTATGGATCAAACTTTCGGCCCCGTATCGCTGTTCAAATCTGGCGCCAGGTTATGATGACCTCTGCTGGCTGGTGAGGTGTTTTGTGGATGCTAACCCGAGGCGAGTGGTTTGGGGAAGTGATTGGCCCCATACACAACGACATAAGGATCGGGCTGGTAAGAGCTCCACTAGTGAGGAAGCGTTCCTTCAGATTGACGATAAGGCCTGGATTGAGTCTTTGAGCCGGTGGATGTCGGAGGATGAGTGGAAGCTGTTGTGGGTAGAGAACCCGGCTACGTTGTATGATTATCATGAGTAAATCTCTATAACTAGTCGAATCATATGGTCTATAACTGAGCAAATGCCATCGATACGGGAGACCTCAAGGAATGCAGCATGCGACGCGATGTCGTATGTCATTAGCCGTCATTTAACATACTATATAACTCTATTGGCGCCACACACTGGGGAAGAGGTGTTGTGATGAAATATGAAATATACATATCATGCTAAGACCTACATCAACGTTAACTATGAACGTTGAAGGACTGCCCTGACCTCCGCTGAAATAGCATCCGCCACCTGCTCTGTCGTAGAGCATCCCCCTAGGTCCGGAGTTAAGATCTTCCCTGCTTCTATGACTCGAGTAACCGCGTCCTGTATTGCCTCAGCTTCTCTCACGTACCCAGCATGAACCAGTAGCTCCGCCCCAGATAGAATCAGCGCAATAGGATTGGCCGCTCCCGTTCCCTGAATATCCGGCGCAGCCCCATGGGCAGCTTCGAAGGTCGAAGCACAATCGCCGATATTCGCACCGGGAGCCAGTCCGAGCGAGCCTGCCAGCCCAGCAGCCAGGTCCGAGAAAATATCGCCATATTGATTTACAGTGACGACAACATCAAAGCGATAGGGATCTCGAACGACGGCATAACAAGCGGCATCAATCATCATGTCATCCGCCATTATATCAGGGTAAAGCCGAGCAACTTCTTGGAAAGTCCGCAGGAAAAGGCCGTCCGTTTCGTGGAGGACATTTGCCTTGTGCAAGCATGAGACCTTCTTTCGACCGTGCTTCCGCGCATATTCAAAGGCATATTGGGAGACTTTCCACGATGCACTACGGGTGACTCTTTTGATCGCCTCGGCTGCTGCGCCTCCCTTGAGGCTTTGTTCCCACCCGATATAGGTATCTTCAGTGATCTCGCGCATGATGACCAGGTCCATCTTCTCATGGCGCTCTGAGATACCAGCATAGCCTCTAACCCGTCTCGGATTCACGAACAAGTTCAACTCCCGCCGGATAGCATTGTTGATAGAAGGGTATGTCACCACCGAACCGTCCGCCTGCGTACAGCTGATACGGCCATGGAGCTTTTCTGCTAGCAGTGGAGCTTTGATACAGAGCTTCACGTCCTTCAAGCGGTGGATGACTTGAGGAGGCAAAGGGTGTCCATACAGTCTGACCGCTTCTTCTGCAATAGGGATGAAGTCCCATTCTGGCTGGATACCAGTGGCTTCAATGACGCGGATAGTGGCCGCTGAGATCTCCGGCCCGATTCCGTTTCCTTTGAGAACGCCGATTCGCATGATGGCCAGAATGACAATCCCAACATACAACCAATTTGGTAAAAAGATCAAGTATATATGCTAAGTTCATACCATAGGAAGTTGGTATGATACGACACTCAAGATAATGTAGGGTGAAAAACCATGGGAAGTGTTTGGCTTTTACCCGAGGTCTTCAATGGGAATCGGATAGATCCGAAGCCATGACTGTAATCACTCAACATGAGTTGATAACTTAGTATTGTCCAGCGCCTTGGTCTTGTTTATCTTATCGTAACATTTGCATCAGATATGTTTGCTTGCTAAACGCTAAATTGCCCTAAATCGAGTATATTCCCATATTATTACTCTAGATGGTGATCTCAGGTAGACTTCCTGCCTCCTCCTATACTACTTGATCTCAGGGACGGTATGCTAATTGAACTATAAGTAGCGATGGGACCAGGCCTCAGACCGACAGTGTTCCACAGCCTTCGGCAATAGGGTGTACCTTTGTTTTTATAACATCATGACAAATAAGATATGCAGACGCCGTGCAATCCATCGAAAATAATATCATTATAATCAATGTCATTAGGAGCCGAAGATTGACTTCTCATCAAACGATTGTACTAGAACCAGCAGTTTGAATCATCCTTTCAACGAGCGATGAACTCTAGAATATACTCGGGGAGTTGGTAAGCTCCCCTTTCTACATAGCATGTATGCATTTACTCATATCCTCCAGGATCGCTGTGAAATTCGTGGGTCTACAAACGGAGGTGGAGACAGCCATGGATATACACGAAGTGCGACGAGGTTATCACACTAAAGGATGTACAGCTATCGATATACGTTGACACATGGTAAGCAATACCCGACCGGTTGAGACATGCAGGCTAACGAAAACCAGCTTGAGCTAGCTATGTAATCAAATTGTTACCCAGTAATGCGATATGTTGGAAGGTCGGTTTGATGATCTACACTCCAAGAACACCAGTCTCGATGCTTCAGCTCAACTGCAACACGCCCACTCCGCTGCCTGTATGAGCAGAGATTAAGCCCACTTCCAACTTCCTATGGTTGGAACTCTCAAACATGTTTAGGTATACATACACGCGCTCAGACTGAAGAATTTCTAGAGTACAGAGTATGGCTAATCCCATCGCTACCTTATACATCCAACACAATCTATCACCGAACGAAAGTACACCCAAGCAACGATTCATTGACGTGGACCACCTTACTAGTATACTATATCTTCGATACGACAACGCATCTTCCGATATACTTTGACCAAAGTTGCCTAATGTATAGGAATTTATCCCGCTTTCCACTCAGACCCCGGGTACAATTTTTCAATGAGATACATGGCTTTCCAGGAGTCAGTCGTGAATGCAATGACAGGTCACCCTCAATCCAATAGACCGAACCCATGGATGTAGGCTGTGGGTACGCTCTGCTCCAATGAAAAGTTTTGTCTCCGCCATTTTGCAGATTGCGCGACATTGGCCGTCCAATACGTGCATCCCCTCCTCAGTAGTGTCTGTGCGCGGGGTGAATCTCCATCGATGAGCAACGTAGTATGTCTGACGGGGAAATAGATCAACGGCGCCAAGTTATTACGTCAGGAGGGGCAGTGAGGTATGAGGGGATTCTTGGGGGGTGGGGGAGAGCATTTTCTTATAAATAGGTCGGGATATCCTCGATCTTCTGATGTTGGGTGAACGCTTGTTTTTATTTTTAGAGTGAAGACAAACTACGTCAATATGTCTGGGAGGAAGGTGCTTGATCCTTAAGAGATATGATGTCTTTAAACAGTAATCGAGGCTGACATGACCCGTTTAGCAAGTTATTATTCGCTTTACCCCCGAGGGATTCGAACAGCACGATGAAGTGGTCCTCAAGTGGGTTTATCAGAGCACATTTCGAAGAAAGAAGCTTGCTGACTATTAGTATAGTATTATTAAGGAGGACACCGACACTGATCAGTTCTTCTCGAAACCAAGCTTCCCACCTATTTATCATCCCCCGTAAGTTTCCTTCTTTTTAGTGTGAAATTTGCTAATAGGAGATTTTTATACAGACCGCTGACTCAGGAGGCTATCACTAAGTTAAAAGCCCTCGATGGAGTTGATGTGATCATTGCTCAGGGTGAAGACTAGGAGGGTATTATATTTATAGAGTTTAGAGAAGCAAGAATACACACATTGAATCAATACTATTAGAGCCCATTTTAATAAGTTGGTAATGACTAGGTCTCTTACCGCAGCTCTCACCCACCCTACTACCAGATTCGATATCCACCGAGCACGATTGTTCAAAATAAAATCGCAGAAGCAAGGCTTGAACATCGAGCCAAGATTGTATTAAGAATAGACAGCCTACTCATATCCAATACATTCTAGGTTTTCCCGCCGAAGGTACTCCAGCTTTCAATCCCCGTTTCAGGTTCTTCGACCCTGTTCCTGCCGATCTACTCTTACGTCCGGTTAAAGAAGATGATGATGATACTCTGTGCCATGGGTATACTAAGAACAATACGATAATAAGATGATCTCTCTACGCTTCTATTCTGGACCGATGGAGCTTCCTAGGCCTCTATGTCAGGTCGTAAGACCCAGATATCAAAATCTTCTTCTGCGTCGGCCCCGGATGTTTGTGCTTTCGGTTTGACTCCCTATTAGCCTATGTGTTATCCGTAGCAATACAACCGTTCGATTTGACTGGTCACCAGTTGACATTATGCCAGCGAAGATGAGTACCAGTTCCGACGCCGGCTACATCGTGTTTCTTCCAGCACTGGCTGGATTACTGTGAACCTCGGGACCAAATTGACCCCTGATTTCCACATGTCAGACACACCTTTCTCCGCAATGAATATGTTGTCAACTAATTGCTCGGCAGTGATTATCAAACTCATGTGGAAATGGCGGATCAGGTCGATGACTCTTGATCATGCCATCATTACAATGAATCATCTTTCACCCGTCGCGGTTACTGGTGTTGTTTCTCTGGCCAGCCATGTCACATCGAAAGATCCGATGTTTTCTTTTCTAGGACCCGATATTTCAGGATCCTGCAGGCTAAGTTTGATGGCTCTACCCTCATTCGATTAATGAGCAAACCGCTCGAGTTGAGAAACCGGAACGATGCAGCCATGGATTAGTGATATTATTGTGATCCGGTTGGAAATATCATGTGGCAGGAGCCTGGTCAAACTGGAATTGCACTATCTACTGCATTGGGTCCAGGCACGTAGGACCGTCTTTCTAGAGCGTTTTCCTATGATATCTGGACAATGGCCCAATGGGCACTCATGAGCTATATAGCGAGGTAAGTCTTTCTAAGATAGATTTATGTCTTAAATACACTACTATGTAACTAACATCATCTGCAAGAGGAGGAAGGGTGCCAATGTAGAGAACTACCCACATTAAATGTCCGAACGTCGCTCTTGGCGCATCAAATCGAGCTAAAGAAACTCATTACACAGGTAAACGTTTTATCTTTGCATCTGTGTAGAAGAAAGCACCCTGTCGTTACTAATCAAAGCCGTGCAAGCACCGACCCGATGTCAGTGAAGTCATACCCTTCCTTCTTCAATGCCAGTTGCTAATTTTACCCCCAGGATTGATAGTCCGCCTCCTAGCTTGGCATGACATAGCTCTAACCGATATGACTGGCTTTAAATACCATCCCAGTTATGGAGTAGAGCCCTTGCTAATCCTACAGACGAAAGCAAAGAGCCAATGGTTGTTTCTACTCTTGTGGAAAACCGACAGGGTTAGGAACGAGCTCGTATTTAGGTGGCAACGGCCAAGCACGGAACCAAGGATGTACCCACCTTGCCCCAACAACCTAATCGGAATGATACACGGCTTTCGGTGCAATGCATGAGTACCCAAGATCTCAACCAACGAGCTGTTAGGACCTGTAACCAAGGTCGAGGACCTCAGGGACTCAGCGGCCGTGGTCTCTTATGAAAGGATCCGGAACAGAATCCGGTGGGAGAACTGTCACAATGATGCAGCGTTCTTCGTATTCTCTAGTCATCTGCAATCCTTTGACCAATCGCTGTCGCGCAGACTGAAACAAGGAGGAGTGGAGGGATATTCTGTTCTAGGTATAAGAGCAGCCTGCGGTCGTGAGGGATTCAGCGTCCAAAACATACTACCGGAATCGAACGAACACATTCAGTACAATGTATATCTCCAAAGTCTCTCTCCTTTCTATTACCCTCGTCCTAGGGGGCTTAGCAGCTGCTGGTGGTTGCGGCGATGCTGATGCCTGCATTGGAACTGAGTTTTGCACAACTGCCACCTTCACCACTCCAACCGCGACAACCATAACAACTTGTGTTCCCACACCTACCTGCTTAGGGGTCTATTGTAAGTAGCAATATGTATTGAACATGGACCGGTTAGATTGACAATGTCAAGCGAACTGTGTGTCTGGTGGTGGAGGTCCATTATGCTGCTCCACCTATTGTGCAGCTACGAAGTGCCGTCCCACCGATCCGAAATGGCCCGGCTGTTCGGAGGATCTCGGTGTTTGCTTAGCTGATGAGAACTGCTGCTACAAGAATAAGTGTATCGATGGTCTTTGCCGCAGAGTTACAAAAATAGATAAAAGGGCAGTAGTGTTTTGAAGCAATCATAGTCATGGTCGAGGGAGAATGAGGGCTTATCATGCGGTGGCCGAGTTACATGATCTATTTTGTCGATACCTACGGACTTGTCGTTATGGAAAACCCTGGTGGTTTACGTACTAGATTGTTTAGTGTTAATGACAAGTGATCAGGTGAACAACATTGTTTCTCTTTTAGTCAACTTCAATGCCAGTCTCAATAATCATTTATTTCACTGTTCAGCTTTCCAAGACAACTTTCAAGTACGCTCTATATCCGTATACCACATTGATAACCACAGCTACGTGTGTCTAACAGTTGAGGTTGACAGCTATTATCATGAGTTAGTATCGATATTTACACAAAGTGGGACTCAACACAGTACGTACCGTTGGCAAATAGGGCATAAGTGTCAGCATTCAACAGAGCCTGGCTGGCGCTCAAGGCGGTGGCAGCGTTGTATCCATAGCCAAGGTCGTCCGTTCCAGGGCTGTACACACCCGGGGCATGAGTAAACTCATGGAGGGTGGTAGTGGCTTGGTCCTGAGCGTGGCAGGTGCCAGTCAGCGCCGGGAGGTAGGAATAGTAGATGTCGCAGTTGGCGATGATGTTATAGGCCGGCAGGGTATATGCAAGCACGTTGGAGCTGCAGTATCCATACGCGTCGCTGCAGTAGTACGTGGTACTTCCGGAAGAGGTCGATGCGGCTTCGTTAGCAACGGCGTTCAGGCGAGCAGCAACCGTGCTGCGGGTGGTGCTGGACGTTGTCTTGAAGTACTCCTGGAAACGGGTGGCGGATCCTGACTGCGCCGCGGTGGCAGCTGCACGTGCCAGGGAGACTGTGTTCCTCAGCGCTGTCTGAAGAGCAGTCAATCTGCTTCCTGAACAGGAGGTGACCCTGGTACGACGGTCCAGGATCTTGACTGCCTGGGAGACAGTAGCGGCCTCGGCTGCATCAACATCGATGGAAAGCTCGTTCGAGTTGAATGGAATGTATCCAGTGACCTTGTTCTCAGTGGTAATAGGCACCAGACCGTTGCTGTGGACGGTGATAGTACCACCCTCGGACAGGTCACTGGTGCTTGCAATGTCGAACTCGTCCTCGATAGTGGCACCAGGGGCAAGAGTTGTCAAGGCATCATCAGACAAGCCTTCGGTGATAAGGCGTTGCTTGATACCCTGGAACTGGATCTCGGTTGCTAGGCGACGTCAGTACACGTTTACAAGATAGAGGTTCGGAAGCATACCATTGCGGAACAGAGACACCTTTTGCACCGGAGCGGCATCTTTGAAGAAGTTGAGGTGCACAAAGGTGACATCCTCGCGGCCAGTGTTCTTGACCACGGCCTTGATCCGAGTGTTGCCCACCTGGCTAAGAGTCACGTCAAGTCCTGGGGCGCCACCGGCAACCTCCACAGGAACGGCATTGAGAGTAGGTGCCAGGGCCAGAAGAAGAGAGGAAGCAGAAATGAAGCGCATCTTGAAGCTTTTAAGGACTTGTGGTATTGGAGAGGACTGTTGAGCTGGAATGGTCCGTTCGTGATGCAGCAACAGCCGGTCGTCGCAGACCCTTTTATAGATGGATGTTACGCTTTGTACGACCTTGAATTGGCTTTCTATCACCCCTCAATTCTTCGTCCTGATGCTGCAGTAGCATGGGCCACGGAGATAGGCACTCTGCCTCTCGAACCGTTGGCATCTTCGAGGGGCACGGCCTCATCGTCTTCACCCCCGTGAAATTGAAGCAAGAGTCGATTGATGTCTTCCATTGGCTATGATCGAAGGCGTTGTGATAGAGCGAGCTATTCGGCAGTGGTCTATAATAGAAAGGCTCCTTGGCCCGGCGGAGAACCGCTGCACGCTATATAGATTTAGGAAGGTCCGTCTCTGAGTTTAGCACACCTGGTGCAATCGGAGAGCGAAGCCAAGATGTGGCTTGACGGTGTTTCATCAAGCAATTGATAAGCAGGCCTTAATGCCGTCGCAGCTCCCGGCTTCCCTTCTTGGCGGTAGTTTAAGGCCTTCTTGGCGTATCAGGAAGTTATTGTAGTCCTCAGGCTTCTTTATCAGATCAAAGTGGTGGTGTATAACGCGACTTTTCACGAGCTGTAGTAATGATTGAGCTTTAAAGTTTATAATTCTTACATACATAGACTGGTTGATGTATATCCTCAACTCTGACCATGTCAGGACACGTTTATCCGAAATGAAACGCATTTTCATTCATCTTCGAAGAGTCCGCAGATTGCCGGATGGTGTCATATCAACTAGTGCTCGGGCCCGGCACTATAATGCTTAGTCGCAGTCCACAAAATGCCGAGTGGGTTTAGGTCAATCTAAATCCCTTGAAGAATGTAACCCAAGACATGAAAGTCCTCGGCATTCGATGATTAATCGTATTTTCCGTCAATCAAAGCGTTGGCTTCCGCAAGTAAGTGGACAGCGGGGAACTCATTCCCTGTTCACCAGTATCACACGATGCAGGGTTGTCCTTATTATTGGCCTGCTGCAATGGTGAATGCCGAATATTAGAAAGCCGTAGTTCATCGGTGCATTCCGGATTGTCCCTTATCAGACAGCTGAGAATCTAGAACAGGGGTTGAGTGGTTGCATATCCTTCCATCTCACAACTTCCGCAATATACACGCTCTTGAGAATTGTCCAAATCGCCTCCATTACACTCTTTGCGCAACAGAGTGAACAGCAACTATGAGTACTTCCCTTTCGCTGCAAGTTACCCTCACTCCGCCCATCATTCCAGCCTTCTCCGAGCCACCGACAGTGCCTATCCGAGTAACCCTGCATAATCCCTCCCACACGCCGATCACAGTGCTCAACTGGGGTACCCCGCTGGACCCTAGCGCTAATGTTCTGAGCATCTTCGAGCTCCGTGATACAACCGAAAATCAGCCGGTGACCCTTCCAACTATCAAAATATCCCGTCGGATGCCACCTTCAGCCGAGGATTTAGTAGAGATTCCCGCGGGTAGTTCTGTTGAGAAGGAAGTTACACTGCCTCACGTTCCACTCATTATGGGACATGAATATTCCGTCCGGGTAAAGGGAAACTGGCATTCTGTTTGGGAGAGTCCTCGCGAAGACGTTACCGCAGAAAAGCTGGAGCAGCTCGGAGATGCCCAACGGGGCGAGTTCTCATCCGATGTTGTTCCCCTACGCATTAAATACGAGGGGTGATATTGTTGCTTGTTGATTTCTTCCAGAGTTATAGCCAGTTGTTATGTTACTTTCGTCTGCTGTTCAGCCAAATGCGAACTAATCTGCAATCGAGGATACTTTGACATCGCGAAATGCTGTACTCTTTCAGAACAGTACACCCAGTAGGTGTTCGGTCTGGTGGTATGCTTCGGTCTATAGATCGAACGAAAATCCATTGAGCAAATGTGACGTCTGATGAGATAATAAACACTGTGTAGTTTTCTCTAGTATCTTATGGAACGAACCCTTCTCTTTAGACATTCCCAACTCAGTCTTTGTATGTTATACGCGAAAGTACGAAGTCGCCGTATTTTTGCAGATACTTGAAGGTACTTACACGTTATTTACATGACATAGCATCAAATACCAGGGTCATATCGCAGAGGTGGGTAATATCCAGCCCGGAAGAGGACCCGCTCGCATACACGTTTCAAGCACCTCAGTCTCAAATGCCGCAGCTCCAACCAAAGCGTCCAAAGTGAAGTGTTGACATGAGGTTTTGAAGCGAAATTTGGAATGACTGAAGTGAATGTAAGGTGCTTGACCAACGAGGCAATTAGTCATCACCTGTTGTTGTGTTATGAATTTCCTACCTCTCTTGGAAGACGCCGCGAACTTCTCAGCTTTACTTGCGCTCTGCGCAATTGGAGTCCCGCTCCAGTGAAAGAAGCAAGACTTTTCATACATTCAAGTTTAATCGAGTCTTACTTCTCCAAAGTCAAAAACAGCAAGAAAGAGATTCGCTGCCCTGCTGGCGTTATTCCCTCAAGACATGTCTTCCTTCGTGTATAAGAAAAAGCGTAGCGGAGATTGCCCGAGTTGCCGCATATGCCGCATAGGCTTCGTGAGCGACCCAGGCGACCTAGACAACCTAGGCGGTACAAATGGGCTTTATGAAATTCTGCGCCGCCATCAGGGACTATACCCTCTATACCAGTTCCGAAAGAGATCTTTCATTAAGAGCTTAGACTGGTGATGCTTCTACCGCGTGAGTAAAGTCGTGATGCCTGTCCTTTAAACACTTGACCTGCACTTCAGTTGACAGCAGAGATAGTCCTCCATGATACTCGTAGTGACAATTATCGGATCTCTGGGGTGGCCATTCACATAGAGGTCAATCGCCATCATGACCAGGTGCCGGAAGCAGTGCCACGAGACAAGACGATGGGAGTTATGGGTTACCCTGAAAAGGACAGAGAGCGTCTGACACTGGCTATAGGAATTAATCAGGATAATGACACAAGTTCTAATGACCTTGTCGGCTACCATGTCCACGACAGTTGTTGGAAGTTACTTACCCACCATGTAGTTGGGAAAATTGCGAGGCGCGACTTGGCCTTGGTTGTCAAGAATCTAATCGTACTGCCTAAGGAGAAACCCCTACTGGCCGTAGAGGGTTGGAAAGACGTGTTTAGTGGCGAGATCGTTTTGGATGGTATGAATTCTCTGAGTCTGCAGTTCGACTGGCCCTGACAGTACTGGCGCGAAGGTCATTATCCAAGCAGATCCTGCCAATATCAATATCATTCAGCATCTAATCAAACAAACTCGAACTAGAACTGACGCGCGGTTGTACATACAAGATCCTGTCAACAGCCGTTTGTGCTACCTTCCAGTGGAGATACTGTATAAGGTCATGGACTATGTTTCCCCCAACGACGTCAAAAATGCGCAGATCGCCATGGAGTACTTCGTTGGAGATGGGTACTGGCGCACACGAGTCCCAATAAAGTTATTTTACGAAGTGAAAAGTGTCTGGGTTGAAGCGCTAGACTGGCAAACTCTCTGCTTACAACTCGAACTGTATTTTGATAGGAAAGAGCTAATCTTTCGACGATGTATTGGTGAACCGATTGAACCGGTTGCAGGCGTCTCTTGGTCGGGTGGCAAAGGAACAAGGTGTGGATGGGAGTGTCTAGTGGATGCGATACAATACGTATGAAGGGGATTATTTCAGAAGGTATATGTAGCACAGGAGCAGTCTTTACCTGGGGTGTTTACAGCTACTCTGGGAATAAATAACGGAGGTCAGGCACAGGTTGCTTTCCGTTGCTTTGCACATTCGGACAAGATGAGAGAGAACGAGGCGACGATGTGCACAGGATAGTAACGTGTGGAACGTGTGTTTGTTCAAAAAGGAAAAGAAGAGTGAAATAACAAGTCATGGTGTATTTTCAGGACCACCGATGATGGTCTGGTAAAAAGTATGCATAGAACCAAAAAAGAAGAAATATCGTCAGCGACAGGATTTGAACCTGTGCGGGCGAACCCAACAGATTTCTAGTCTGTCGCCTTAACCACTCGGCCACACTGACTTGTTGATATTTAAGTTTTTGTTAGTTGAATACATGTACGTAATGATGTCTTTGCTTCTCAATCTCGTGCAGAACCAGCCTGCCTTGGCTGTTGTTTGAATCTTTAGACAGTAGAGTTTACGTATGAGATTACTCTCCCTTCTCACCCATCTCTGAGTTATGTATGTGTTAAAAGTGTTCCACCTATATATTGTTTCCTTTTGTAGGGCGGGTTTCACAACTTGTTGTTAGCTCAACTGCATGTGCATCAAAAATATATATCTACCATATCAAGGAGTATCTTGGAACGACTACTGGCTACATTCATGAGGATCCTTACCCCAAAAATGCCTTGAGTCTTCTTTGGAACGGACGACACATCTCAGTATTTCTGTTGTCTGGATCATTATAAACACGCGTAATCTTTAGCAGGATGCAATGCACATGTAAGCATCAGGGGGATCTAGCCCCACACCGAAGGAAACTACCTTTCACTGTACTAATGGATCAATCGAATATGACGGGTCAATCTGTTCTCCACAAAGAGCCATGACGTTGTGGCATTCTACGTAGCCTGCTGATGCAGTCGATGCAACTCCAGAGATACGCTCAACTATTATCCGGGGTGTGATATCCAGTTAGATTCAGTGTTTTCGAACTCGGCAGTGCCTAAATGCAGTGACACCAGAAGCATATGAAGGTCAAGCTCATCGCCACTGGTAGTATGATAAAAAGCGCTGCAGTACATCAGGCCCTACAAGATCCGAAGGAACTATCAAAGAAAGTTTTCAGAATTCAAAGCTTGTCCCCACCCCCAACTAAAACAACACAAAATGAGCGACCGCACGAACGAGTCTTATTCCTCCTCTTCTTCAAGTGACATGATTGATGGTGTCGATGGCTCCATCTACGTAACCCACGATACAACGTACACATACGATGCCGATACAACCATCAAGTATGGGGTCCGAGGGGCTAAACGCCTCAGTACGAAAAAGGAGACGACAACCGACATGAGTATTCAAGAATACGAATCCCCTAGTGGCGAGGGAATCAAGAGAACCAACTTTGAGAACGGCCGTGGCCGCACGATTTATAACCCCAACACAGGAGCATACGATGAGATATTAGATTATAGCACGGACGATGGAGATTATCACCATCGCGAGAAGCTTAGCACCGACGGGGTTCTATCAGCTGCGAGATATCGATTTGCATAAAGATGGAACGAGACATGTTCATCGCGAGTGCGACAATCCAATTACTGGGATCACGACTTCCGTACGGGGAACTATGAGCGACCGTGCTTTTGAGGCGGACTTTTAGTGCGTGCCGATTCTTATACTTTGCGTATCTCTGCGTAGTGGTTAAATGCAAAGATTAGAGACTTAGCAATTCACGACTTATAGTTGGTTGTTACGTCGGTGGACGCAGTTGAGGTTAAACACTGAGACGTGTGTCTGAGCAAAGAAATCTCAGTGATATTGACAGCGGACACTGCAACGCTGACCCTATCCAAATGAAAACCAAGAGAAACTATACGTATAAGTATTAAGCTTATTATATCAGGAATTATCAGGCATACCAGGCCTAGATACAGAAAACGAAACACGAATGAACCAAAGCTACTGGAAGGTAGCAATCTCACGTCCGTGGCTACTATATAGTTAAACCATCAACAGGGAAGAAGCGGAAAAAAGAAACAAAGGTGAAGAAAAGCTCCAGTATTCTAGTTTATGAGGGCTGGGCCATGCGATGACCAACATGTGGTCGAGAGAATATTTAACCCAACCTGAAGATCCAAGGACTAGGATCAGGAATCAGGATATCGGGCTCTGCTACTTGAAAAAGGATAGAAACATTCCTGGAGTAGCTACCGGAATGTATGTGCAGGATGTTTTCATCACCCCTTGTGGATCAATTTCGATCTATTGTCAGCTTTGCCAGCATGTCCTCAACGCTAAATCTAGAATATCACACATTATGCTTTATATATAATTCCAAGAATATTTATATGGTTGATGGGACTGTCCACTATGCAACTCCACAGCCTGCACCTAGCCTGGAAGAGGTCTTCCGTCATTCTTTGCCTATGAACACGACGGGTTGTAAATAGACTAGGGAGGGTTTCCTGGGAGAAGCTGACTGTGTTGATAAAAAGATTTATGCGTACGATCGACACGAGTATAATTCATGGTTGGGAGAGGTGGACAGCCACCACAAGATTGTGAGACATGAACGTTGATTAGGGTTGATAAGAAGCGCAATACTTGTATTAGTTGTCTGTTGTACATAAAATAACACCTCGGATGCCGTTCGTTCTTTCGAGACTTCTCCCATCTCTGTTTGCTGGCGACGTGCTTAGAGCCCTCCGAATGGGCCGCGCGATTCGCACCAAACACTGTCGATGACGGGAATACTTATCGGGGATTCGTGTTCGCCGGGGCTAAGAAGGACCTGTTTCTCGGTACAATCGCGACCGCTGAAGATTGATCAGGATAAATTGCTTGTAGGTCGTGTTTGAGGGTCGGGCACTTACAGGAAGACTCGGCAATATTGGGAAACGTAGATGGCTGTAACGTCTCTATAGCATTGTTACTTCGCGTCCTCAAGCTACACCAGAATCACTTGTACTTACTCTGCGTGGACATCAAAACACTGTTTTAATGGGATGTGGTCGACGTGAAAGCTTGAGTCAGCCGTCTGAAAGCCAACCTGCACAACAGAGAAATTAGTAAATGTGTTTGTGTACTGTGGGAGATCGCATACGCTAGCTGTCTCTGCTGCAGTGCCTGTGGCCATGGCCAAGGCCAAACCCAGGTAAGAGAGATGCTTGAGTCTGTGCATTGTAGATGGGTGAGAATTGGGTGGAATTCGTCCGAGTTAGGTGTCAGTGTTAAGTGTCTCTCGATGAGTGACAGGAGATTTTAACTCGTCGTGTATTTAGGGTGGTATCCCTTGCTAAGAATGGCCAGTTGTTGTTTTCGACGTTAGGGCATCCCTTGCGTGCATGAAGTGAACACCAACCACATTCCAGTACGCCACCTGCTCGGCGTCTAACCTTCGCTTTCCTGGAGTTTGTTGAAAAAAATGCTTCACTTTCCTCCGGATAGGATGAAATACGAGACATTGCATGCTTGTTGAGTGTTTCGGAAAGGGTCTCTGCTCTTGTAACCAGATGCGGGTTTGCACGGGGTACATGTTTCACGAATACCCCATCACTATTAAAGAGTTTATGTAGGGGAATTACCTTCCCCCTTGAAGCTTATTCACACGCGTCTGACTGAAAATGGACACAGTAGAAGGGCGATGTTACGATCAGAGACGAAAAGCATTTGTTACTATTCATCCCTCTTGAAATCACCCCGTTTCCATGTCAAGGGGGAAAAGGGGGTTCAGCTGTTGCCCAATCCCCAAAACGAGATCCTGCATGTACCTCTACCACCTGGAACCTTCAATCCTCTCCAACGTCATTTGTTGGTTTTATCTGTATGAGAGCCGTTGAGTCGTGTATTTGTATCCTCGGCTTGGGTAGGGTGTAAAGATCGTTCAACGGTCGACCTTTGTAGACGTGAGCTAGTGTGCTCTATTTCAATTCATTCACAACATAAATTATGGTTATATGCTGTGAATCCACTGGCATGGACATCTTTTTGATGTCTGTCTGTCCGAGGCTATGTATTGTCCGGAGGAGTATCTGATAAGGGTTGGCCGGTGGGCTTGCTCAACTACCGGTAAATCATTCAGCACAACTAAATTACCGGATTCTGGGAGAAGCTGGCTTCGAGATCTGCCATCAGGGTCTGTGCGGGGAGACTACTTGACAGAAAGTCATAGAAAGTGCATCTCATATTCCAAGACAGCATGCGAACGTACCCTCGCTGACGTTATTAGCCCTTGGATGGGGGGTAATGGTAGAGCTACTGATTAGATACCCATATGCATAGGACTTTGGCATTGTTTACAGTTTATAGATAGATGTAGGATAGATTGGCAACGGCGTCCTGTAGGTAGGGATGCCCGTATCAAGAAAAAAAGAAAGATTAACAGAATACTTGAAGGTCTAGGATCTGTACATTATCGACCGTACGCTACTCTACTGTTAATCTTTACTAACCACTCTGTTACGCTTCATAACAGTACCCAGCTCCATCTAGTGGACATAGGCGACCGTGGTGTCTCCCGTTCCAGTAGTCGGAGCCGTCAACCTTGAATAGTACAGAGCTATAGACCTGTAAGTAAAGGCCGGGAAAGTGTGTTATGATGCTAATAGGGCACATGACTCATAATCTACCTCGTGAGCGAAGGATAATCGTATGGGCTATTTGCGCCAAGGATATAGTCTAGACCAGTAGCGTTTGTCGGCAATTGAGCAGCAATGGAATATACCGGCTGTTTAATTAATGAGTCTTGTCCCTCGGAATCTCTTGTACTGCAGCCCTTTGACCCCTTTTCGTTTCACCTATTAGTCCTCTCTTCTGCCCTTCATATGTTGCTCTACAAGCTACTGAACTCGACATGATACCCCCGTGTTATCTGCTCCACAGTCTTGAGAATACGATGGTTTGTACGGAAGAAATAAACTTCCCGTTTTTGGCTTTCTGGGCAGCGAAATAAGCAACACCAAGCAATCCAGAGGCGAATTTGCCTGGAACAATGCGTCTATCAGAGGCGCGGCATTGTCGCTCGGCAAGTCTTAGCGTCAAAGCAAATCGGCCTCGGTGCAAACCAGCTCATATCGGTATATTTTACGCCGAACGCAGTGCGTTGGAAATTCCGATATCTTATTAATCTAGACGGAGATCCCCGCATCTCAGGCGCTGGGTTCTAGCCGGCAATGGTCCTTTTCCCCAACTACCGTGGGGCCATGATCTCCACCGCATGGGCGACATCGAATGGCTCGTTGATAAGGCGCTATCCTTAAGCACGGCCACTCGGGAAATGAGCACGGGGACCCCGCGTTTTCCCCGTATGGATCGGCCTTTCTGTCTGTCTCAGGAAGAGTAGGATGGGTCCGCGTAATCATGCTGGGGCCCACACCTTGGAATCCCCTATAGCTGGATGAATGCCCGTTTGACAACCCCTTTCCTGTTCTCTAGTTGCTCTTGTGAGAGAACAAAATTTGCACAGCGATCATGTCGTCAACAGAGTATACAACATCCCAAGGGCACGCGCCTGGGAAGGCAGAGTCAGAGTTCCTCGAGAAGTCGGAGGCCGACATCCAAAATGTCGATGCGACAAGTCTACTCTCCGATCAGCATCGTGATTACCTGCTTCAACGACATGGCACCTTAGATCTGGATCCAATCCCCAGTATGGATCCGGCTGATCCATACAACTGGCCGTTATGGAAGGTGTGTTGCTCCTTTTTCGTTCCTGTTTCATGGTGCTATTGTTTCCTGCGGGCTTCTCATCATGACTGCCAGTGCTAACCGACATGGCTGAATAGAAAGTTGTAAATCTCAGCTTGGTAGCCTTCCATGCGTGCATGGGAACCTTCACGGCCGCCGCAATCATTCCTGCCTATGAAGAAATCTCCGAAGATGTCGGCGTCTCTCTACAACGAGTCAGTTATCTGACATCGCTTCAGATCGCCATCCTAGGAGGTGCCCCGTTATTCTGGAAACCGCTTTCGCAGCGCTTCGGACGGCGCCCGATTTTCCTCTTGTCCCTCATCTTCAGCTGTGTTTGTAACATCGGCTGCGCAAAGAGCCCCGATTACGCTTCAATGGCAGCATGCCGAGCTCTGGTATCCTTCTTCATCTGTCCAGCGATGGCTATCGGAAGCGCTGTTGTCGCAGAGACCTTCTTCCGACGGGAGCGAGCACGCTACATGGGAATCTGGACGGTGATGGTGACATTGGGAGTACCCGTCGGCCCCTTGATTTTCGGATTTGTCGCTCAACGCGTAGGATATCGATGGATTTACTGGGTGTTGGCAATCGTGAGTCATAAAAAATCCCTCTAGCACTTCGCACCACTAATGCAGACTCTCAAATCAGACCAACGCCTGCGAGCTCATCCTGTACATCTTCTTCGGTCCGGAAACCAGGTATATCGGCGCCGAAGTGCAATCCAGTGGCTCGCCTTTCAAACGAGAGTATCTCTCCGTCGGACGAATCGATCCCACGCCATTCCGCCTGTCCGAATTCTTCCATCCCCTCAGCCTATTCACCAACATCCCCGTGCTCCTCGCAACAATAGCCTACTCCATGGTCTTCCTCTTCGCCTCCGTCCTCAACTCAGTGGAAGTTCCCCAGCTCTTACAGAGTAAATTCGGACTCAACGCAGAGCAACTGGGCCTCCAGTTCCTCGGCCTGATCATCGGCTCCCTCCTCGGCGAACAACTCGGCGGCTTCATGTCAGACATGTGGATGAACGCCCGCGCCCGTCGCATCGGACACAAGCCCGCCCCGGAATATCGTCTCTGGCTGAGCTACATCGGCTACCTGCTCGCGATCGCGGGAAGCGTGGTGTTCCTGGTCTGTACCGAGCAGGCCACCGAGGGTAAATGGACCGTGGCTCCCGTGGTGGGCACGGGGATCGCGGCGTTTGGGAACCAGGTTATTACCACCGTGCTCACGACGTACGCAGTGGATACATATCCTCAGGATGCGGGGAGCGTGGGTGTATTCATTAACTTTGTGCGGTCGACCTGGGGATTTATTGGACCATTCTGGTATGTGAATGTTACCTACGTGGTGTGTGTCTTTCACTAACAATACTAGGTTTCCCAATATGTTTGAGACGGTCGGTATTGCTAAGAGCTCCGGGGTAGTTACGGCTTTGATTATGGGCGCGAGCTTTCTTCCGACTGTTTATTTGCAGATGCAGGGTAGAAGGTGGCATGCTGATGGAGTGGTTGACAAGTGAGGTCCGTACCTCAAAGGACAATGAGTCGATGTATATAATTATTTTGCGAATGCCTTGATACTGAGTCGAATTTATATAAGTCTAGAAGTCTCACTAAAGTCTCCACGAAAGTAACTCCACCATCTATTGACAAAGTATGCTGACTCCAGTCGAGCCTCATCAGGAACTGTCAAATCTATACCTATACAAGTGAGACAGGCTTAAACACCTGGGCACTAGAGATCAACTCTCCGTCCATAATCCCATGGACATATGTCTCGCCAATCAAACTCCGTCTTTCAGTATCCGAAGAATTGTCGATTAACGACTTCCTCAGAACAAACGGCGTTCGTGCCCCGGCAATCACCCATACCTCATCCCCAGCCTGCACCGACCACGGGCCAAGCCCAATGTACCCCCGTTTCGTTCGATAAAGTAACCGGCCACGATAGAAATGGACAAATGTTTGATCAAAGTCATGGTCGTCGATCCTCACCATTCCGCGAGGCTCTCCCACTTCGTCCTTTGCCCCGTATTGCTGTATTTCCTCCCAAGTCGGTAGTGTGTTATTCTCATCGGTTTCGCGGACGAGCTTGAGGTTCGTGATGGTCTCTTCATCCGATTGATGCGTAAGGCTCCACAGGGCCTTTTGCATGAAAAAGCGAAACGAGGACCGGGCATTGTGGACCGGATCGTCTGAGGTCGACGACAGTTTGTTGGTCATCAGGGTCCGCCAAAGTGCTTCAACACGATTCTGTCCTGTTGGGAGATAAGTCTTGTCCATGGATGAGATTAGCCCTAGCCAGTTTGGTGGGCGAAAGGATGTAGCTGTTAATGTGCCAATTTGCGGTTCCACACTGACTATTTCGTCGTGGAAGGCACCATTCAGCCGCAGTGTCTGGGGGTCATGATGGGGCAGAATTGCAGCAGAGCTATCGGGGTAAACACCTGCACGGAAGCGTGGTGACCATAGACGTGTGGTTATAAGCGGAGCAGTGAAGTTGGGGACCCACGATGGCAATGCCTGACCATCGAACCTGCGAGAGACATCTGGACTCTCCTGTACAAACGAGAGGCCTTCGAGACATTCAAACACCTCACACTCCCCAGTGTGCCACGTCTGGAGTGGCTCATCGGAAGCTCCCTGCATGAATATCTTGGCGAAGTGGATGAATACTTCGGATGTGGACTTGGTGTAATCGGCGATTATCCTCCTTTGAGGGCCATCAGATAGCCGGGACAAACCAAGTAATGCAAAGACTTTGTCTCTCGGATCAGTCGCTCGAAATGGCCAAACTTTACTCGCTAATAGCGAAAGACTCAGTTTGTGCTCCCAAGTGGGAACCAGCGAGATACCATTCTTTTTTACATACTCAACCATCACAGTTCGTTCAAAGACGTGTTTTGACGTCCGGAGTCGAATGTCAGTCAACGTACTCACTTCACTTCCTCCGATTCCCCTCCACCGGGCTAACTCCAGGGCTTGGGCCAAAGACCGGCTGGTGAAACGAGAAACGAAATTCGGGTTGTGAAACAGGATGAATAACTTGTGATATTCGAACTCGATACCGCCGCAGAAGATTCGAATCTGGTTGGCCAACGCTATCTCTTGAATGATCCACACGCGCTGAAACCACGTTCGTCGAAACAGATTCACGACGGCCTGGTATTTCAGGGAGGTCTCGTTTGACCCCTGCTTGGCGACGCGCGTTTCTGGGTCCTCCATGACATGGTTTTGCAATACATCATTGTACCACATGCCAATGCCTTCTTGAGACGGAAGGTGCGTGGCCTCAAAGGCACGCATAGTACTCTCATCATCCACGCCCAGCCAGACGAATACCCCGGAGGCCTTTGTATAGATCATAGACATAATGGCTACTTGCGCATTACGCTCTGCGATATCATCTTGATTGATGCAAATTGCGTCAATCCAGAACTGCTGATTGTCTATCGGAGAGAGTGGCCGTGGTTTACTCCCGACTATGTGGTTGATATCGGGTCGCTCCAAGTATTCGATAATCTCTGCATATCTGCGGCGTTTCCGCATTCTAGCACAATCGAGAGGGGTCCGCCCTGTGGAGTCCCGTCGGTACAGGTCCGAACCAGCCTCTACAAGTATCTTGACGACCTCCAAATAGCCATTCTCTGCGGCGTAATGCAGAGCCGTCTCTCCAAACTTGTCTTGCGCGGCCAGGTCGGCGCCTCGGGCCATCCAAAAGTAGACATCGTTGACACTGCCAGCCTCAGCTGCCTCGATGAGACGAGTCTTGTTATATGGCTTGGTACGCCGATCTATGTATAGTTCCTGAGTCTTCAGACGCTGCAGGAATTCGAAGAGATTCCTCGTCAAGAAGAAGATCTCTCCGTTGATCGCGACCGGGAATTTATTCTTTGGACTATAGTCCTTGGACCTCTGTAGGTCTGGAGGAAAGGGTGATCCCCAGGTATATGACAAAGCTTGGAAGCGCGGGTTGTCCTTGAGGTCGACGACTTGTATAGATAATGGGGTCAGGGGGACTCCAAACACGGTAATGTCGGACTCGCCGTGGAGTAGCGTGACCACCCGAATTGACGTTGGAGTAGGAAGCGGCTCATATTCAAATGTTTGGACTTTCATGTTGTCTTTGTTGGGGTCTGGATATTGGAAGTTGAAGCAAAAGATGTGCGATTCAGGACTACCCCTGCCTTATCCAGCCACTAAGCTTTATATAGCATAGTATGGTCTAACGCACAGCCTACTTTACAGCCACATCGTCGTGCAGTAGATGAGATTATCAGAGGTTCTCCCATCGTGCGGGCATTTACGACCCAGGCGGGATTACTACTTCCAATAAAATGCTATGAACGAGACGCTAGCTCCACTAATTGCTAGAGAGGACCCGCATGGGGGCCAAATGTTCCCACTATTGTACACCGTATCATCAACACCTAGAGTTGCTCTATAATGTTCAGAGGCAATGTGTTATATGGTCATTATCCCAACAAGAAGCCGGCAGTGATATTGGGTATTTGAAGCAGAAGTTTCATAATCTGGTGGACCAAAGGACTATCAGATTTTACTGGCCCCATCCATGAATACATGATCGCGGGGCCCATATTGTGATGATCGATTTTGAGATGTAAAGCTCACTATATTCAATAGTACTATATACCACCCTGCATCTCATAGAGGCTGATACACAGGTCCTACGCGATTCTACAATGTATAACGGAAAGACCGCCCGTATGTGTTCGCCACTGATACTACAAGATCTATACAGTTCTCGTCACATATATGTTCATTGGAGTATGTATTTTCCATTGTCAAGATGACCCTCTTGACTCAGCGAGTAAGTTTTCAAGGCAACAGAAGTCTCCTCAAGGGCAGAACTATATATACGAAGATGTTCACTACGAACATGCGCTAATGTTAATAAAGTACCACCGATGGGCATCAATGCTAGTTCCGTCGGTTCCGTCATTGCCGCCCGTCGCATCAATTCCCGTAACTTCAGTCACATCAGCGGTGGTCACAGTTGCCTCGTCAGCGCTACTGATGAAGTACTCTGGACTAAAGTGATGATATCCGAGTAGCGTAGGTGGCAGCTTCGGCACAATATCGTTAGTGTGCGTGACACGATAGTTGCCGCCCTTGTTTTGGTTGGTTATATACGTGGCCAATGCCTCATTTCCAAGGCGAGGTTGTCCATAATTGTACTGTTTGGTCAGCATATCTGTACATTGTCGGTCACGATATCAAGATACACATACTAGCTCAACAGTATGTCCTGTATTGCGCAGAGTAGTCGCTGCGAGGGCGGCGAGCGCAGCACCGTAACTATGGCCCGTCAAGGCCAAGGAGTAACCGGAATGAGCTGATAATGCAGATTCCACCTTGGAAGTGATAGTATCGGCGATTTCGCTCCATGCCTTCCAGAAACCGCTGTGCACTTCACATCCCGAACACAGATCGCTGGCGTCCTCAAGGCCAAAGTTGAGGTTGGCTACCCAGTTGGCCAAGTCCGAGCTGCCCCGGAATGACAGGACTACCAGTTTGTTAGTGTCATCGGCCGCGAGGTAGCCGGCGGGGTTGCCGTAAGAGGATGATCTGGATTGTCAACAGTTGCCTGTGAGCTAGAAGTGTAGGTTTGGGGTGCCTTACTCGTTGAACTCATCTAATGTTTTGGTAGATGCCGCTTCCACCAGAGGACAGTTTCCAGCAGAGCATGTCAATTTAGTCCCGGTAGAGTTCAGGTTCTCAGAACAGTATGTAGCGGCACTGTACTGCGCAAGGAGGTCCAGGTTATTGAGGAGAGAGGAGCTGACATCTGGGTCTGTTAGTCTGGCTCAAGTGCGAGTGGGTGTTTGTTAGAGATACGTAGAGGGAAAAGAAGCATACCTCTGCGCAGCGGAGCTGGGGCTGCTTGAGCCAGTAAGAATAAACCTGCAACGGTCCCGAATCGCGCAAGACTAAACATTTTGACTGCAGTGCAAGACAAGCTGCCTGTCGGGAGTATCTCTTGCGAAGTCAGCCCATTTTATACGCCTGTTATAGCCCCCTCTTTCTGCCCTGTTGCTAACTATGCCTATCAAATGGATGACATTTCGATTGAACCCCGCCCTTAGCTTGGCCGCTATCCCGACAGGCATTGTATCTGAGCACGCGATGATATTCAAGGATTGTATGGCTGGCTGATTATTCCTTGCCGAAACGTACTATTACTTTTGCAGTATAGCGCTTCGTCAGCGGGAACCATGTGCATAACTAGTACGTGGGACGGTTCCCTTCATGTCCTATCACTGATAAAGGACCCCAACGTGTTTGTGGCTTAGGTATGTGATAGGTGTGCCTGAGGCTTGCTTGCTGAGGCATATGCAGAGTGTACTGAACGAACTTTGACTAAAACAATACTCTAGCCATGTGGATCTCGATTATGTCGCATATTATCATCGACATTGAATGCTGGAAAGCCGTAGGTCATGGGATACGCCCATTAGGCTCTTGAGGAAGAAAGTCCGTCGGATCGCCGATCACGGAAAATCCTCTCGTAATTATCGTTCCAGCGACATTTCCCCTTTCGGGCCTGTTCCGGACGATCTTCTGTAGTACTGATGGAACTATTGGATACGGAGTACAGGTGAGAGGCACCTCTGGTTAGCCCACCACTGTATGGTCTCGTTAGAAGCAAGTGGCTGTATGAAACTGCTTTATATGAAAGTTTCTGCAATTCCATGCAAGGGATTGGTTTGATTGCCCGAACCTGTTTGTTATCTGTCATATATTGCTCATGTTTATAGAAGAGGTTCACAGGAATATAATTGTTTAGCTAAAATGGCATATATAGTACACCCATCGTATGAACCTGAATATAACAAGTGGTACGAGCGGTGTCTATGGCACTGGCGGAGAAAAAAGATCAATGCTATGATCTTTTGCCCGACACTTTTCTACCCCGCGTCGTAGGGCTTCTCCTCTCACAAGACTGAGCTTGGCGATATGCCTTGGCTGACCTGGCATTGGTGAATTGATCAATAACTGGAGGAGAATCATGTACCTAATAGGGCCCGCCCGCCAATGGAAGCCCGAGTTCCTTGCATTAACGCAATGTTTTATGGCTTAAACTTCGAGTTTCTATTCGAAGTTTCGGAATTTTCCCTAGAGTAGATAACATCTCCGCTTGCAAAATATCAAAAATAACCTCCGCTAATTAGAATCCAGGATTCACATGCCAACTCAACTCTTAACCTTTGGTCATTCATTAAGGGCGACCACAAGGTGATTCCCTGTGGTTATTAAGATGGCGTTCAATATGTGAAATCAAACATTCGCTGGATGTTACTGTGCTATTTGTTAACGACTGGAAACTCTTTTAATTGCACTATCTCAAGAACGGCAAGCCCTAGACGCTTAGAAAATAGATCATCTAAAGTAGAGAAAGTGTACATATTAGGTCCTGAAAAAATAATTACTGTACAAAAAATCTAGAATTATTCTTATATTCTTCATAAATCTTCATAATATCTATTTTTAAGGCGTGTACTCTTAATATGATCAACTAAAGCACCTTATGGCTGGCGAATATTTATTTGATCGGAGGGAAAGGAGACATGCGGCATGCCCTAAACACTGGAGTCAAGGTCGCGGTGATCGTCAATTATGGGGCAGTATTTAGCTCGGAGCATTCACTAGAGTATAGTGGTGACAGAGCGTAGCCTTGCTGAAACCTTCTGACAACATACCTTTTCTAGCGCGTTAGCATGGATGCGATACTCGAGGTACAGCTCAGGGTAACGTGTGTACGGTCATCGGGTTGCAGATCAACGGGCTACGATGTACACAGACTTCGGTGACCAGATACGAGCTTATCGGACTATGTGTAATTTAACAAAACCAAGGTCACTTGTATCACTGTTACCTCCATGGCCCAGATTTGTTGCTCTCACGTATCACCGTCTTATGGGTTACCTGTCAGCAGTGATGGTACAGTAGTCGCATCGAACAATTCAGAGCCATCAAATCATCCGACTGCTCTTCTCTGGGTCGGTTAGTAGTCGCTAGATCGAACGAGCCTGTTTCTTCTAGTTTGTACTTGGGATATCTGGTATCGACCCTGACGTAATCTTCAGGAAGAGTGACGATTTCCACGCTCCGAGAACGCAATTGGCGGTGACTACGAAGGCTTGAATAGGTAGCCTGATTACGCCAGGAATTTAAGAGGCAGGGCTCTGCCGTTGAATCATTACCATCTTTTCAGAACTACTGGGACGAGCAGGTTCAAAGGCCCAATTAATATTACAGAAATAGTGTCGTTGAGCTTCCTGTCGAGCGCGACTAGCCGGGGTGTAAGGTCTAGGAGATGTTGGAACAAATGCATATGTTCCAAAAATATTTTGGGGCTGAATGCGACCAATGAGGGCTGCTATCGCTGTTTGTTTCGATTGCCTAGTGAGTCTCGCCATTGTGTGAGGTGACTGTAGTGTAACAACCCTGGGGAGCGTAACGTGAGTAGACAGCAATGAATGGAGTATATTGCGCTTGCATTGGACAAGATACCATTTGCTTGAGAAATAGTCAGCAATCTTTGAGGGACTGCCAAAATCGGCATACAAGATGAAACGAAGAGGAATAGAAAGAGAAAGGGAGTCAGAAGTAGATAGATACCTGTCAATCTAAGATAGGGTATCTGATTGAGGTTATCCTCGAGATATTCCTATGCCTCCGGTGAGACCAGTTAGGGCATGCTCTCAAAATAAGAGCGATTTCACACCCAGCCCAATCCACTTAAACTCGGCTCAGCTACGGCTTCCAGTTCTTGTGGAGTAACCATAATGAGAGGTGAAAGTCGCTCCGCGAGCTAAGTAACGAAAACAATATCGCGTATGGTAGTGTCGAGACCCATTCTAAATCCTGTCGGGTTGAACAGGGCTGATAACTCTCGGCTGATTGTCTCCACCTAATTGTTTGATAAGATGGCTTCGTAGTCTTGGTTTACATGTCACTATATACACGTGCCCTTAAAGCAAACAGTTATGATCTTGACATTATCGCATGTTAATAGGTATCCAGATATCCTCAGGCTGTACCCAGGAGAAAGCAGCAAGAACTACCGGGATGTTCCCTCTGTAAGTTGTGGAAGGTTAAGGTATGCAGTGGCCGTAAGGAAGGCGCCAATGAGTGCCGTAATATACTTCCACCGTAACTTCTTCTATCCAATCCACGCAGTGTAGTATGATATAGTCTCCGCTCCTCCCCTGATTCTGTGACTGTTGCTGCCGTGCTGGCTCTTAGTAGCTGGAATCTTCCTGTCTGCCGAAACACCGAGTCGTTCCTCAACGTCCCTCATAACGCTCTCTTTCTTCTGTCAAGCACATGCCGTTTCTGCAAAAATATTAGATCAACTCTTGTACATTGTTGTCCATTATTCTATAGACCCATCGTAGAAACTTAGCACACTGATACTTCTGTTTTAATAGTCAGCTCTGACCACACAGATTAATACCTTTCAGTGGAGTTCATGCTATTGAGCTTGGACCCATAATCATCATAAAGGCAAGTACAACTTGTTACGATTTGAAATCCCAGTCTGTGATGGGAGAATGCGAGATAGTGCTCGGCCCTGGGTAACTTTACGGTTCTTTCCAGCGCCGTTCGGTGCCTTTCAGTCGGGTCAAGAGACCGTCATATCATCGTCAAGGCAAGCGAGCCTTGTTACGATCTTGAGAAAATACGCGTGATGATGCTCAGCTTCGGGTGACTTTTTCAGTTCTTTTAAGTGTGCGACTGCTTTCAAATGACGCCGTGTGACGAAACGGTTGGTGAGGAGAATATGGGGATGTGTGCCTAGGAGAAGACCGGTAGCGAGGGTCGACTGCCTAGCAGCTGATGGGTGACGATAGCACCACGTCGAATACTACGGCACATACATCGCTCGGCTAGATGGAAATTATAGTAATAGGAATATACCTAGGGGATGTACTTTATGAATTGAACCCTTGTTCATAACCTTTCGATATCTGAGGATTTTATCATATTGACGTCTGAGTATATGATGTTAGTTTGGCTGAGATAAGGATACTTGCCTTATTGCAAAGCTGTCCGGTACGGCGGATACCCCAAGGGCTTACAGCTTCAACCCGTTCGCTTTTGGCGAGTTTCGATCACTGATATAAGGGCCTTCACCAGCCAGCCTCGATTAAGAATGTCTTCGCGACCTTGATATTACAGATAAGGCCCTTAAGTAGATCGCTTGTGGGCGCTCTTGTCGATCTATGCGTTGGTCCCAAAGTATGGTGATGGGGGAGTCCGGAAAGGCTCTTGTATGGACTGAGCACTCTCGACTGTGGTAGGTTTAGCAGATGGGATCACTTGTGAGGCTGACACTAATATTTATCCTCACCATAGGGCCATCCATTTGGCCTTACGCCAGGCGAATATGCCAAGGTCTCCCAGTCAGAACTGGAGCCGCTTTTAGCCCTCAGCTTGGGATTCAGCTTGACCCTGGTCGACCATGAAGCCTCTCCAGAACGTATATTACCGAGTGCATTTTCGCTGTTCGATCCAACATATCAAAGATGTATGGTCAATGAATCGGGCATATGACCGTCATAAATGCGTGGCATGCTTCGAGAGCAGCCTTGAATCCATCAATATAATCCATTTGTTATTGGGATATAGATTTAGAGATCTTGGAAAATCCAAAGACAGGTCTGAGAGAACTGTATACGCAGTAGGTACCTATCTGGTGATCCAAACACTAGCAGGGAGTGGCTAATGATTTCTACCATATACAGCAAACTGCTGTGATTACTGAAAGCATGCTCTTCGTTCTTCCGAGTGTCTTTCTTGCTGATGGGATTATCAAAACTCTCGGGTGCCTAACTGAGCACTTATGATAGCGGAGTTTATTGCTGGGAGCCCGAGACACTTTGGCAGTGCTCTCTGGCCAGAAATATCGTGAGGCAGCGAGTTCTTGAGGCTGCCTCACTCGGTGGGCTCAGGGCGTGCTCAACAAAAAGCGATGTCAACACTGAGAGCCAATCAACAACACCCCAATCCTGCTGATACCGTTAAAGGTACGATTGGCCGCGAGGACAATCCCATTGCTTAGGGAAAGTTCAGCGCGACCCATGGGTCGCATCGCAAGTGACAGGCTGACGGCCCAACATGCGATGATCGAGACCGATAAATGACGTCATGTGTGCGATACGCGCCTGAGGCACCAATATCCATGTCTTTTGGTTGGCGACATCCAGCGTAATGACACTCATGCTCGTCATGGATTCCATTGAGTTTAAGTCCCATATATGCATGGAATCCCTCGGAGGCTCGAAGCTACCTTGTTGCACTGCACATACTTATCACCCCGCAAACGCGTCCTATCGGTTAGCGCATCGAACCTGAGAATACGCTTACTAGTATAACTGTCTACATGCAAAGGGACACAATGTTTGCCAGACGACACAGTTGCCAGACAGCTCTCAGAGCAGGGCGTTCATTCCTGCCTCAGTATCATCCCATGACCCAGCCGGTTCTGCCAGCGTCATTGCGGACAATGCAAACTGTGATCAACCTCCAATCAAAAGAAAATAAAGAACAGGCCATCGATTTCGAACGCCAAATACTGAACCCCGAGCGAGCAGAAAACTGTAAAACAGGCACCGACGATGAAGTGGGCCACCACAAATGCTCCTATGACCCGTCCACAACCACGCCGGAAAGTGAATACTTGGCCGATGAGGCGGAGTCCCTACTCGAAGGCAAAGGTCACCATCCGCTCTTCGTTAGCCCGGCAAACGTAGAAGTCAGTCATTATATCGATCCCATGTCGGAAGGGGCGGTACAAGGTGCTGCCAGGCTGGGTCCTAGTGCGCAGGGCTGGACTCGAAAACACAGGGAGGTGCATATTAAAGATGTTCCCGGGAGTCAATATGAGCGTTACGAGAAGCTTTTGCAGGAACTGAGGAAGCCAAAGCAAAGGTTTGTTTCCACCTAGTGCTCCTTATTATTTAATGGACACCTTTTGAGATGTGAGTGACTGTGCCTTAGTGAGTCCCGCTAATCGAGGTCGTTACTTTGGACTATCCGCTGGCGCGTCCGGCCGCGATGGATTGACGAACAAACAACAGCTGGAGTTGTATCCTACTTAGCACAAAGAATCCCGTATGCGGAAATTGGGAGTCGGGTCTGGGATTATCATCTTTCATGAATCTGGAGAAATACCGGATGGGAATGCTACTAGACTTGCTCTGCGAGCCTCAACATACCAGATATGGCCGTATTCACTTTGTATAACTTGAGAAGATGTGCCTCATATTTGAGGAATGTTCTACCTTTCGCTGACGCCACTGCCTGAACGCTGAGCGAATTTGGCCCACGTGTGATGGCTGCAAAAGGAAAACTACTCAATGGTATTGCTTAATGGATATTAAAATACAATATGAATAACATTGACAGAGCTAGACTGTTTCAGCTCGTTATTGCCACCTTGCTAGCATCGTGATGATCTACAGTAATCTCCTGCTCATGTCATGTAACCCTCCAACTCCATCCATTCAACAATAAATGCAATCAGCAAGACACTCCAGTCCTCCACAACGTCAAGATCCAAATTCTCCCCCGTATCATCCAAAGTATGCCACACCTTCGGAAAATCCCCAGTATCAGGATTCGCATCAATCCAATGTAGTATATCCACACCCCGTTCTTGGAATGGCACCTGGTCATCATAGATAGGAAACCTGTTCACCCCGATTTCATCTCTATCGCCATCAATTAGCCAAGGCCTGATGCCCCCCGACTTAAACTGATTCAGTCCTCTTAACCGCTTTTCAAGGACGGCAGCCCGCCTATACACTTCATGTGTCGTGTTGAAATACGACGCAATCGCTGGCTCCCTCGACCCAAGAAGATCCAACAAGACGAATAAGGAGATGGCCTTTAGCCGACTTGAATATTTAGAGGATGGTGGATACCGAGTAGCCTCCCACTCTGCCGCTAATGATCGCGCCCCGAATAACATCTCTGGAGGATCGAGAGCTTCCTCGCCATCTGTGAAGATAACCTGTATACCTTCCGCAGTATGTAGCGTAGGTGATGTGTCCCATTTCCGACTCAGTGCTGCATCGATACTTCGCACGGCGTGCATGATAATAGCACATGGAGCTGCACTATCGATTGCGCCAATAAACCCCTCTGGGGTGTTTTTGCTGTCATAATGGGCTACCAGGGTGAGTCTCCTGATGTTACCTGCCGGGACACCGGGCGGATCACGAGTGGCGATGACGTTGACGATGGGTATATCCTTGTTGTTAGATCTGACTATGGAGTTCTGGAACTCGACCTGCCAGTGTGGGAGTGTTCGGGCGAAGAAGCTGGTGAAGTGGGATCTGGTTGCTTCGGAGCCTGGGCTTCCTGGCACACGAGTTCGGAGGATAGGGGAGAGGAGTGTGCCATTGTGGATGTTGAAGTCTGTGTTTGGCCGGGGGAGGTGGGTAAGGGTGTTGTTGGATATGAGTTGGTACGTGAGCGTCGGAGTGACGGCAAGTATTAGAGTGAGGACTGCTTGTAGGAGGATGCTGCAATGGAGGAATTTGGAATGCATTTTGGATGGTATTTTGTCGGTATGAAGTCTAGAGAGGTTTTGGGGACTGGATTGGTGTCGTAGTTATGCTCTCTTCAGAACGAGATGCGAAGTCAGGGAGAAGTCGGCGAATGATGATATCCGAGCATTCATGTGAATTGTGATAGTAGGACAGGTTTCAAGCGCTGCATTCCCAGATCAGGGTGAATATCCGTAGCGTACGTATGTCACTATCACTGACGGCAGAGAGTATATCTAGACAAGTGTAGTACTCATGGAGTCTTGACACTTTAAGGTGAACGTATTCCTGAAGTGAATGGTTGTAAAATCCAAGACTGTTCCAGTTGACATTCATGAGCTATTGTTTTCCTTCCCTGTTAAATACCATGCGTCCCTGCCATTTCCTTAATCGTTTGCCATACACCTGCAAGAAAACCATAAAAAACACCGACACGAAGGTGATGGCCGCCTGAATCCCCAGAGCCTTGGCAGGACCAATCCGTGTCACCCAGTCAATCTGAATATAAGTAGCCATGAAGCCCGCCCAGTTGCGACTGGCCGTCACCCACGCACCCACGATGCCCGAACCCTCCGGATAGGAGTCCAGGAGATAGGCATTGATAGCCGTCGTAACAATCATGACACCTATACATTGAGTAGCTGCGAATACGGCGATGACCATATAATGCCAATGGTATTGGAATGCCAGACCTAAGATGATCAAACTGACGCAACACATAATCGTAGCAGGATATGTGATAATTAACCGAGCCTCGGGGTCCAGTCGTCCGCCGTGGCGTTTGGTGTAGTACTGCCCAACAGCGTCGTGAAGAAAGTGTCCGGCGAACCAGCCAACCAGGACGCCGACAATTCCGAAGAAGTAGAAATACCCTGGACGGGATTAGTTTACTATGTAATAGTCTGGCACACATTGGAGTTTGTTACCTATGCCTCTAGTCGAGAAGCCATAGATGTTGGTCAGCCAAATGCCAATCGTTGTGTTGACGCCGATGACCCAAGCAAAATTGAGGAAGTAGTATACGAGGATGGTGAGCACCGGTATCTTAATTATGGCTATAACAGGCAGCGCCAAACATTGAATGAGGCTCTTATGCTCCCAGTCTTTCGCTTGGTGCACTCCAGTTAGACGGCTGATATAGGAACCTCGGGACGACGGTGGGTGCTTGCGGTCAAACAAAGATTCATCGAGGAAGAGAATCAGAGTAAGGCCCACTCCAGACATGATTGTGCAGAGCCAGAATGCCCAGCGCCAGCTGACCCCTGACACAATGAATGAGGTGATCAAAGGGCCAAGATACGGGCTCATGATAATCGAGAACTCCACATAATTGATCACCTTCGGATGTTCGTGGAAGAAGAACAGATCTTTGATCCACATTAGGGCTCCTCCTTGACCAACGCTACAGAAGAAGCCGTTGATAATGCGCGCGGCTAGATAAGAGGGAAAGCTGGTGGCTGAGGCTGACCATGCGCAGGTGCCAACCATCACGCATTGGAAGAAAAGGGTAACTGGCAACCGCCCGAAGTAATGGGCTAAAGGCACCACGACGAGACCGCATGCACCTATGGTGAAGAGATTACCGACCACTGCTCTCTGGACCGTAGCCTGAGCTAGCTCCCACTGCCTGAACCCGTGTATCAGCTGTACATTCTCCATACATAGTAAGTGGGTGGCTTACATGGACTGTGGAATAATAGTAACGATAGCCGTCCCTCCAGTGTAATCAGCCAACAGCGCAATGTAAGCTACTATTGCCACAAGAAACCATTTTTTCCGGGGTGACCAATTCAACGGGTCATTGGGCGTATCGAGAGGTTGCGGAATCAGAACGAAGCGACCGTCTGCGCTTGTTTTCAGGCGTGCGGCATTATCGGGATATTGGCTAGGGTCCACGACATATCCCTCAAGAGCCTCTGCCTCTTCATCAATTTCAACATCTTGGACATGAGATGGCGGCTTCTCCTCCGGATTCTGGTGTGGCATGGTGTTACCAGGCACAAGATATTGAAACCATTCGGGATCAGGCCGGAAATCACGTAGTGAGAGGAATAATTAGAGGGAAGCCGTTCACTGGGAAGTGCTCTTTAATAGGAAGTGCTAGAAAGGGCAATGCATCTAAATTTGCAAGGGCAGCGTTGGTTTGTCTAGCGACACGCTGCACAGGATGATCCCTGGGTCGAAGTCCCCGAATCTAAGGAAGCCTAGTCTGATGTTTGAAACATTAAACAGAACACGCCACTCCGTAGGTAACGGAGCCAGTGTCAGACGATTTGAGATTGAATAGTCGAGTCGTACGGAGTACTGCGGCAATCACTAGGCAAGGATGAAAGCTGAGCCATGCAATTGTGACCTTTCACCGGCGAAGGAGGTGACAAGCAAGGTAACAGGAGGGGCACTTATCGATCGTCTTATTTTCCTCTTTTGCCATCGGCTTCTTCACATGCGGTATTAATCAATGTCGCATATTAATTATACTGGCAGGGATGGCGTACCAATGCAACTACTTTCTGCATGGTCGCATTCGAACAAGGGTCTGATATTCCAGCCCCACCAAAGATATACGAGTTGGTCGTGCCACTTACCCACCACCCTGCAGTAGTCTCGGTTCCCAATGGAACTTTGCCCATCCAATTTCTAGCTAATATAATTTAATAAAAGAACATGAACAAACTACTCCGGACTCCGGAGTAGAGAGTTGGCTTTTGAGTTATCTAGACCGGAACTCCCCTATTTAAGCTGGAACCCGATGCCGCATTGAGGTTGAACGACATAAGGCTGGATATTGGTTGAGATTGCCTCGCTTAACCATCATATCGTCATCGCATTTGGTGCTAACGGAATTAAATCGACGTATAGAAGGCAAACGGGTAATATAAGCTTGACCTATAGGCCGCACTACAATTCACCTGGTTGCTCGTATCTGCGCCGCACCCCTCATTCCTAATTCTTTATTGTAGACCTCGATTCACAGAAGGAAATCTCATGATGGCAGTATCCATGGAACTCGCGGAGGTTCAGAGACTGGTAGCAGCTGAGGCAGCTGGCGACACAAATGCACATGGCGAACTTCTGAGAGCAATACGCGCGTTGCAGCTAGCAGTTGAAACGCCAGTAGAGACGACCTCGCGGTTTAACTTCCAGGTAGGTGTTGTGTAAGTTATATTGCGATGATTTCCACTTACCTCGTACAGATTATGCAGAACATATCGATACGCGTCGCCATCGAGAAACAATTTCTTCAACTTGTCGCAGCCCGAAATGGCGCGCCTATCACAGCGTCCGAGATCGCAAACAGGACTGGAGAGAATCTATTGCTCATAGGTAAGAGCAGAACCTGGGTGTGGCTTTCTGCAGTAGGACTGATTTTAGTTATAATTGTACAGTGCGTGTTATGCGTGTTCTGACAGCTGTTGGTCTATGTGATGAGGTGGGTGATGAGACATACGCTGCCAATGAAAAAACACACTTCAAGGTCCTGCCCGGATCCATAGCTGCTGAAAAGCATCAGTATGTGAGCCAGGATCTCCAGATACCTACCAGTGAACTATGAGACTGACTTCCTGCAGTTTTGATTTGGACTTCGGAATGGTATGTATTTCACTGAATCTATGTATGACATGGACGAGCGAACTGAACCGCGGTAGGGAGGGAGGCTTGTCGACTACATGCGAGGCCCAGGCATCCAGCAATTTATCGATGAGCCTGGGGCAACTACCCTATTCCAATATGCCCATGGTACCGATGTCATCTTCGGGTTATTGGAGAAGAACCCGGAGCAGAAGCAGGCATTCGATGACTACATGGCATCACGACGAGGGGCCAATTTACCCCAATGGTTCGAAATCTATCCTGCTGCGGAGAAGTTCGCCAATGCCATCCAGGATTCCACTGCTAGCTTGATGGTTGATGTTGGTGGAGGGCCCGGGCAAGAGCTGATCCGATTCAAAGAGAAATACCCGGATATTCCTGGTCGCTTAGTGCTTCAGGATCTGCCGTTGACTCTTCAACGCATTGATAAATTGCCCGAGGGCATTGAGTCAATGGAATACGACTTCTTTACACCGCAGCCAGTGAAAGGTACGTGAAATGTCCTGATTGATCAGCCCGTAGCTAATGCCTGATTCATAGGAGCTCGTGCATACTTCCTCCGCGATGTGCTGCACAATTGGTCCGATGCCAAGAGCACCCAAATTCTCTCGCGAATTGTTGAAGCAATGGACCCTGAATATTCGACCTTATTGATCGATGATTATGTCCTACCGGACACTGGGGCGGAGCTTAGGGCTGCAGAAATGGACATCCTCATGTGGCTCCACACTGCCGGGTTGGAACGTACAGTTTCTCAGTGGAAGAAGCTGTTTGGTACTGTTGGCCTTGAACTAGTGAAAATATGGCACTCCCCCAGGGGAAATGAGTCGGTCTTGGAGGCTCGGGTCCAGCGGACCTAACTGGTGTACTTCTTTGCCATGATAGCTCGGCTAAGTGAACGCTTGACATGGCGAATGCTGTAGATTATAGTTGGCCAAGTTTGCCTCAATACACTCTACACCTCTTCTCATGTTACTCATGATCTGCTATATGGCAGACTGGAGTTCGACCAAATTACTACGGCGGTTGGTTCCCCTCCAGTCTGCCACCAGCGAGGGCCATAAATACATGCCATGCAAGTTTAGTGTTTCATCAGAATAAATTTCAATTCAAAATCTGAAAGAAAATCCCTTATATACTAGGCATATTCGATAAATAGATTATTTAGATCTTGACTGGAAATCAATAATCATAAAGTAACTGATCCTTCAGATGGAGAGCGCCCCCTTTCCGGCGTTATTGTCGTATCAGTTCTCTGGCCTGGATGACTGCCTTCGACTGGACACCTTCTCCAAAAGCAGCTGCTTCACATCTTCCGTTTTTGCCCTTGAAAGAGGAGTCTGGCTGTCGACATCCTTAGACATAACATTGACACCATTGTTGAGTAGTATCTTTACTACCTCCACGTGGCCATTCTCAGCTGCAAATGATAGTGGTGTTCTGCTAGAGAAATACGTACCAGTAGCCTTCGAATCTATTTGCACGCCTGGTTGGGCAAGAAGTAGCTTGACTACTGCCTCATGTCCCTTCTCTGCTGCATATAACAGTTGAGTCCGTCCACCGTCTACCCCATAATGGAAACTATGATCTGGGTCCATACCCGGTAGAGCAAACACGGCTTTCACTACAGACTCATGGCCACGCTTGGCAGCTAATGATAATGGTGTCTCTGCTACCCTGTGGTCATCCCAAGCATCTTTGAACGTTGTATAATACATTGGTTCATCTCTTGTCACTTTAAGCAGTAGCCCAACTATTGATTTGTGTCCATTTCCTGCTGCATATGATAGTGGTGTTTTTCCATGATCATAATCACCAGTAGCTTTAGAGTTAGGATCAACCCTTGGCTGGGCAAGCAACAGCTTTATTACCACCTCATGCCCATACTCTGCTGCATATGATAGCGGTGTTCGACCTGCCCATTTGAAATGAAACCCTGACTTGATATCTGGGATTGTATCGGGTTGAGCAAGCAGGAGTTTGACTACAGTCTTATGTCCCTTTATTGCCGCATATGCTAATGGTGACCTACCCCTCTCTCCAGCAATAGGACTATCTTGAGAATTACCATCTACCCGATCCGTTGCAAGGAGTAGGTTCAAAATCTCGTTATGTCCAATTTCAGCTGCCCATGAGAGACTGGTCCTGCGACTCTCATCCTTTGCCTCAACATCGGCACCATTCTTCAGTAGTAAGTGTACCACCTCCACATGACCTTTCTTAACTGCCCATATCAACGGGGGTTCTCCCTTAGCATCCTTTGGGTCAATCTCTGCATTGCTCTCGAGCAAGACTGATGCGGACCTCCAAAGTCCGAAGTGAGCTGTGAGATGCATACCTTTTATCATAGTTTCAGTTGAAAATGAGTAAGACCGGTCTTCCTCGTACACCATAGCTTGGGTGCATGCCGATATTTGCCAGTGCTCTGCAGGAGGTCTAAAACCAATCTTTCTCCTTCAATTGTGGACACCATGGCGTGGTATCCCCAGTTCTTTGATGCATAGTCATAGAGAACATATAACTGTAGTCTCTCTCTTAGAGACTCAATTGTCGAGCAAAAACCGGTTTCAAAATCCTTGAACAACAGGTAAGTAGTGCATGCCTTCGCCATATCGGTATGGACATTGGGAAACCAGGACTGCCAAGTGCGCTCGAAATATTCTTGTATGGTGTAGTGGACCAAGCGGATAATATCAATGTTCTTATCAACAATAACCAGGCCAGCGTATACAGAGACTATGAGTCCGATATCTGTGATATTCTCAGTATCCAGCTCAGATAGGCCTTCCTCAATAGCGAGAGCATGCTGAAGCTGACCAGATGTAAGACGTCTATTCGCACAGGCGATAAAAGACAAGGTTCGCATAGCAAGCTCTTGGCTGTCTTTGGCTTAGCCTTGAACCCGTAGCATGGCCTGCTCATAAATATTGTCTAGCATTTTTGACTGGGTATCGTTACTTCCTTCCTGGAGCATGGATTCCAGCTCCTGAAGCGCCACCTTTGGTGCCTTGGGTGTGGTCTTAGAGGCCAGGACGTCAACACGAAGACGTGCGAGAAGAGACCTGGCTAGTAATAATATATCTGATTCACATCATTTTCTCTGGAAATTATATATATATGCTTCGTTACAGCTCCTCCTTCTACGAATTTCGAGATTCATGCATTGTCGCCTAGAATTTCGCTGGTGAAATGGCATAAATAGCGGAACGTATAAATTTTCAGTGGACAACGTGGTTACTATATATTCTTGGCTATGTCGGTGGATACCTAGATGACAGCAAAACTAGTAACCCTATTCCCAAAACGAAACTTCACGAAACACTTGAATAATCCATATGGATGCATATCGGTAACTAGAATGGGAGATTGGTTATGAATAATCGCATAATTGTCTTGAAGGATCTTTGTATTGGTCATAGTGTAGTCACGGGATCGGTCTATCTGAACCTAAGCCCTTAGCGCTTATTGACCCCAGCCTCATAAGTTATCACGACCTCCTATGTTCTTTCTATGAATTCCATCAACTCGACATTGATTTCAGTCAATTCGCCAATATGACGTCTGAGACAAACTTCCTTCAATCCGTTCTCATCACCGGATGTAGCGCAGGTGGAATTGGCTCGGCATTGGCCGAAACATTCCACGAACGTGGAATGCACGTTTTCGCGACGGCACGCTCAACGGCCAAAATGGCACATCTGGAGAAACTGGCCAACGTCACTCTCCTGGAGCTCGACGTGACTGACTCGAAGAGCATCGAATCCGCCGTCAAGGCCGTTACCGCCAAGACAGGCGGAAAGCTGAACTATCTGATCAACAACTCAGGACAGAGCCTGGTCTTGCCCGCTTTGGACACGAACATTGAAGATGCAAAGAAGTTGTTCGATGTCAACGTGTGGGGCGTAGTTGCTGTCACGCAAGCCTTTTCGCCCCTGATCCTCGCAACCAAAGGAACCATCGTCAACATTGCATCCCTCTCTGCCTTCTTCCATTCCCCCTGGCTAAGTTTGTCTCCACTTTATGCCTCTTTTGGCCTTGCCTTGCTGATGTTGTTTAGGCTTTTATAGCGCCTCCAAGGCAGCCGTGGATGCTTACACCCATACCATCCGTCAAGAAATGGCCCCATTGGGTGTAAGGGTTGTCACTGTAGCTGCGGGGACGGTAGAGACCCATATCTTCAGGCCTGTGGAGGAATCTCCCCTACCTCCCGACTCCAGGTACAAAGCAGCCTCGGAAGAGATTGTACAAATGGCAAATGGAAAAATGGTCAATGGGTCTATGGCCCCTGCCGAGTTTGCCAGAAAAGTTGCGGATGATGTTCTCGGTGGAGCCACCGGTACGATCTTCAGAGGAAAGATGTCGACCGTTGCACGGATATTGTACACCGTTCTCCCGACCTGGCTAATGGTAAGTGGTCGCACTTTCCTTTCTGGCATTGGGGTCGATTGTGCTCACATCTAGATGTTTAGGACCGCTTGATGTTCCCTGGTTCCGGTCTGGATAAGCTGAACTGAAGGAACTTGGTATGTCATATTTCGTGGAACGTGGACTTGACGTATGTTTGTTTTACATATACAGAAAGTCGGGATTTTAGATTGATCCAGATATGTATAACTTCAATTCGAGTCACTTACTTACTATTGAAGGATCATGTTCATTTAAGACTTCGCACTCTGTGTGCTAGAATTGACAGTGGCTGACTCCGTATATATGAAGCTCCGTTGTTCCGGTGTGGTCCGGGCCGGTTTTGGTTGGGTTGAACCCTGTTCAAGGGTTCAAGGGTTCAACCCAACCTGGAGCAGCACTTGTGCCAAACACGATCAAGGTTGACCCTGTTACCCAGAGTCACATTGAAAATTGAGAGCACAATCATGTAGTCTACCGAGACTAACTCTAGTTGTATTAAACATGTTCCCTCTCCGTAAACACCAATTCCAACGGCGGCGTCACAAGCGTAAAAGTGTCCATCTGGCCCTCCCAGAAGGCCTTGGCCGATTGCCCTGGCGCTAAAGCAACATCATAACTATGGAGTATCACGGCAATGACGCGTCGCAGTTCCATCCAAGCGAGTCGCTTCCCGACGCATGAGTAGGGTCCTGCGCAAACAGTAAGAGTGGAATTCTGTCAGTTGGGAAAGCGCATGAGAAATACCTAAGCCGAACGGAATAAAAGCAGAGCGATCCTTCACAAGCTCGGAGCGAGTTGTCCATCGTTCGGGAATGAATTCTTCTGGGCGCTCGAATGCGCGACTGTCTGTTACCAGGGTGGAACAAATCAGAACTGTTTGGCAGTTGCCTTCATGGATGTTTCGTATTCGACCACTCACCTCGATACACAGTGTACGTAGGGACCTGTACAATGACGTTTCCGGGTATGAACTTGTCGCCATTCGACAGGCCTTCCGCAGGCGTGACACGCTGTAAGCCGGACGGATTGGGAGACTGAAACCGCTATGTCTCGTTGAGAATAGCGTCAAGCAAGTCAATCTGGGCCAGCCGGTGAAGCTCGAGATCTGGGAGTGCGTCAAGGCGAGATTGAAGCTCTTTGGTAATCGCTGGGTTGGAGGCAAGATGGCAGAAGACGTTGGTGAGTGTTGTAGATACAGTGTCACTGGCGGCTTTTTAGTCGTGCCGCCGATGAATGAAGACTTGATCTTGACCATATATGTTCTGAGAACACGGTTGGTGTGTTGTTACGTACCTTCCGGCCACGACTATCAGATGGGCATCCCCGTGTAGATTCAGTGTGTCTTGGTGTGACTTGGGTCCCTGGCGGTAATGATTAAGAATCCAAGAAAAGACGTCGGGTCGTTCAGGTTCGCACTGTTTACGACAATCAGTACATCAGTAGCAAATAGAGCCCATCATCCATAAGATCTTACCTGAGCCCTCTCGGAGACTTGCTCAGCTATCCATCGCCAAAGGCGGAGGAGGTTGCCGTTCAAAAATGGCAGTCTTTTGGTAAACGGGAAAAGCCAAGCCAAATGGCTGAAATAAGCAATCTTGGCCATGTCTGTGCGGATTGTCCGCAGAATGTAGGATTCTTTCCCATCAACCAGCATGTTAGAAGCTTTGCCAAAGGAAAGATCGACCATGACGTCGAAGGAAAAATACATGAACCACCGGGCGACATCTATCGGCTTCCCGGCGTTTTTATGAATGACTTGGAGAAGATTGTCGGTGTATTTTGATACTCTGGGCTCGTAATAGCGGAGTGCTAGGGTAGTAGTCAATGATGTCAGGTCGATTGCTTATCACAGTCTTGAGAATGGCCCATTTCGTCGTACCTTTGGTGCTAAACCCCTGATCCCAAACCTTCCGCCGGCGTGCATGCTCTTGCTTATCCCTCACCATGACGAGAGGTACGCGCGGTTCCAGTACTGTATACCACGGGCCTTTGGTCACAGGAGACTGGGTACCATATATTACCTGCACTGCCTCTGGATCTGCAATGGATAGATGGCCAGGACCTGGGTTTAAAGAATTAGACAGGGTGATATTGCTGAAATTAAACACTCACCCAACCGGACGTAGTCGCCATATTCACGATGAAGCTTTTGGACTTCTTGAGGCTTCTGTAGATTCACTGTTAATGTCGTCGCATAGAAATTCGTCAGACGGCCAAAGAATGGGCCAGGAAACCTGCGGAGCCTATGGAGCAATAATCGATAAGCGAGCATGCTACAGTAGATACCCAAGATATGGTAGCAAAAGAGGCTCCAGAAAGCCGCGGGCGAGAGTCTGAGCCCAGTCCATGTCAGTAAATCAAGGTAAGCTGTTAAGTTGCCGCCCACAAAGATGAAGGTATATATTTGCACCAGGAGCATAGAAGTCGTGTCCCATTCCCCAAACCTGTATACGAAAGTATGGAGTGAAACACCACTAAGTGTCGCAATCAGCGGCAACGAGTCCTGTGTGAGCATCATTTTGGTTGTCCACCAACCGGCACTGCCGACTCTCCGAATGGAGGTTTCTGTGTGACAAACTCTGTAGAGCTGCTGAGGAATCTCATGTGTGGAAGCCTCAACCTGGAAAGTCGACTAGCCCAGTCATTAATATGTGTGCATCATGTTTTGGCCGAGGATATTTCTACATGCCGTATCCATAGTGTAGCAGTGCGGCTGATAGCGGGCATGTTCGGCTTTCTCCCCACAATACCCTGGACTAGGTGGCCATTGGCAAATACCCTGGCCAGATCCCTGGTCTTTGACCCTACCATTGGGTTCAGCGTAGCTAGTATTAATTAGTACGTAAGACAACTGCCAAACGATGCCAAGTGCTACGTACTGTGGGTCACATATTCCCTTGATTTTGCTAATCAGGATAACGCACCGAGACCCTTAATCTTCCAGGATCTATCCCTAGCTCATTCGGTCCCACTGCTCACCTTGGTTTTCTACATACGTTTAACTATTAACGTAGTTCTAGCCTATTTCTGGGTCACCAACTTCCCTGAACAGGCCTGGCACAGCGATAGTGGCAACACCGATCTACTCCGAATGTAAGCTATATGTAGTAGTCCATTCTTGGCTCTGCAGTCCACGATCCTGATAATCGTATTCTTTACATAGACCTCGGTGCAGGCAAAGAGCCAGCTGCGGCTGAAGGGTTTTCAGGCCTTCTTTACCATAGCTGCTCAAAGGCACGAGCAATATCGGCTGCGACAATACCAGTGCAGCATCACGTACAATAGTTCTTATAACCTACAGCCTATGCCATGGTACAGTCACATCAAACCTGTTTCAATGCTGAAGGTCCTGTCCGCTGCGGCAGCCTGGCATGCTCGCGGCCGAACTAGGAATGTAAGCATCACAAGGCATTCGTTCGAGCGCACTGCGTATGATATTGTGTCAGTGGCGCTTCAGCTGGTGCCATCCTACACCTACTCAATATGTGACACTGTCATATTGGTTGCCTGCAAGGCCACATGGCGCTAGGAATGGTGTGTCCCGATGAACTTTTCTACTCGAATGTGGGTTTTATTTAAAGGCGGATGTGGAAGGCCGTGGTAGTCGTGCCATATCAATCTTGCTTTATCAAAAACTTTATAAAGTTGCTACGCCGAACCTTGGTTGATACATGATTAACTAGCCCCACGCATCATTTATATCTCGCAAGCAGCAACAAATATGAATCCATCATCCGAAACCAGAGCGGTGATAGAACAAGGCCTGCGTGACTACACGAGAAAGAAGGCAAAGTATTCAATGCGAACGAATAGCATCCAGCTTAAGAATCTCGGCATCTCGCTACATGTAAGCAACAAATGCGTCTACATCAATACCGAACAGAACTAATATGCTTGTATAGTTGGATATTCCTGACTTCGGCATAACCGAGATACGAACAGTCCTAGACAAAGATGGGCAGCTCTCGGAGAATGACACTGGTATCTTTGGATGTGCTTTCCTCGCATCTGAGATATCGGCATTCCACGCCACCAAGCCACAGTGCGGATGAATTGTCGATTCTACGTCAATGCATCAGTGAGGTTAGGACGATCTCTCTGCTCTTCCCGGATATACGGGACACCAATATCCGTACCTGCATGGCTGCAATACTAGGGACATTGTGTTCCACTGATGATATAATCGAAGACATGATGCCTGATGAGGCGACTGCTGTTCTACACCATTCGATACAGACTCTGCGAGAAGAATGTAAGTGATGCGACTACGAATGCCGTCGCTAGCGACGAGACTGATATTTATCTGCCAGCCTATTCCTGCTCATCTCAGCATGCCGTCGTTCAATATTTCATCGTCTTTAAACAGCATTGTTCAACACAGCTGTCTAAGGAAGTAGCTCGACGTTTCTTTGGGAGTGTCTGCATTATACTGGAGGCGCTGCTTGATGAAATCAAGTTCAGTCAAGGTGACTTGCCATACAACCTGGAGACATATATGAGCATACGTCGACGGACGATCGGGATGCCCCCGTTTTTCACCCTCGCCAGGAGCATACTCGAAACAAAAGACCACCAGTGGTCGCCAGAAATACTAGAGATGGAGAGCCATGCTTGCGCCATACTTGGTCTCCAAAATGACCTTGTTGGCCTGGAGAAGGACATCCGAGCAAAGGAGAAAATGAATGCAGTTTTTGTGAATGTTGCACAGATCGCGGGTCAGACGATATATGCAGGGAACGATACCACTCTGCAGGCTGCCACGAACAATATCTGTGCTTTGCATAACCACCTCATGGGGCGTGTGTTGGAAAGACATGCAAATATTCAGCAGAGGGCTATTGGGACGCCCAGGAATGCCCTCGAGTGCAGGGTTGCGGACATGCAGCTTATGGCTACTGAAACACATCTGAAGTGGTGCACAATGGCAAAGAGATATAACTTGATTCCGGAGCTACACATGATTTAAGTGGAAATGGTCTACATAATTTACGGTGAAGCTTGGGATTTTCTGTCAGAGAGAACAGGCTATAGGAACTGGCCTGAGCTTTTTTCCCCCTGGAGACTAAATCAAGCCATGATATTATATTATCTGACCTGTCACGTATCTATTACCCCATTATGCAACAAACGAAATGATTCAACCTCGGCAATGATAATGGTAACACCGGACACATGGAAGGCTCTGATAAGATCCGATAAGAATTATGCTTATCGCTGATAAGGTGCGGCATCGGCATGGCCCGTGGATCGGGACTGACCGTCACCGAGAGCACCGGCGAGTATAAGTGGTAACCCGTGTTGACATCCCAGCTTCAATCTACTGAATTTGGACTGCTTTAGAACCGATACATAATTACCATGCCAGCAATAGTGCAACAACTTACTCCCCCGGCGGGATCCGACATTAACTTCGGCGCTGTCATTGACAACATCGATCTCGAGAATCTAACCGGTACGGACTCCTCAACATTCTATCTACTTCAACGAAAAGAAACTCATACTCTACAGACGAAACCTTCTCAACAATCCATTCCGCCCTCTACAACCACCAAGTAGTAGTCTTTAAAAACCAACATCACCTCTCCCCCAAAGCTCAATACCTCCTCACCCAACGCTTCGACCCCTCGTCCACCCAGTACGGACACGGCAAAACAATCGACGCAAAGCGGAGCATCCTGCACCCGGACCTGAAGACCGTGCCCCATCAACCGCAAGTGCAGATCATCGGCCATGGCTTCATCGACTCCTACGAAGGTCTATCCAACTTCCAGTTGAAACATCCACATCACAAGACCTTCCACCGCGATGCGATTCCCCCGGAAGAAGATTACGATTTCACCCGGTTCTACAGATGGCATATCGATGCCGCACTGTATGAATATTATCCACCGAAGGTCACGACGTTACTTGCGGTGAAGGTGCCGAAGGGTCGACGACAGACACTCCGGTATGATGACGGCTCGGACGAGACGTTGGATGTGCCGCTCGGCACGACGGCGTTTGTCAGTGGGGAGCGGATGTTCGAGATGTTGTCCGATGAGGACAAGGAGTTTGTGCTGGGGAGCAAAGTTGAATATGCACCTCATCCGTATGTCCCTTGTGTACCTCTCGACCTTCTAATACAAGCTAACAACACCCCAGATACATCTGGATGAGTCCCGCCCGCTCCCTCCCAACAGGACTCGGGCTGTACTCTGAAGGGCTCGAGCTACCCGAGTCCGAACTCCCACCCATCGACCAATCAAAGATCATGATCTTGCCCATGATCTGGAAGAACCCGGTTACAGGGAAACCAGCGCTCCAGATCCACCCCGCTGCTGTGCGGAAGATCCACCAGAAAGATGGCAGCGTGATTGACGATCTCGCCCGTGTCCGGGACATTGTCTACCGGTTGCAGCGTCCGGGTATCAGCCCGGAACACGTCTACGCGCATGACTGGGAGGAGGGGGATCTGGTCTTGTTCCATAACCGGGGCGTGTTGCATTCAGTGGTGGGGGCGTTTGGGGATGACGAGGTCAGATTGTTTAGACAGTGTAATCTGGCGGCGGGAGAGGCCCCCGTTGGGATGAGTGATTGATCGATTGTTATCTGTGGTATATGAAGCGATGTTTTTATGAGGTAGATGTGGAACCTTTAGATTTCTAACTTATATTCGAGTTCATCATATACTATTAGTTTTCCTTCCGGTAGAGATCGCAGAAACGCGTTAACATAAGTAAGGGTATACGATGCTAAGCACAAGCTGGTATCAAGATGGTCTATATGTATGTGCTCTTCACCCAATGCAATTAAATCCCGAGATGGCTCATGAACCAGTATTCAGGTCATGAGACGTTATTTTCAACACATATGAATGCATAAATCAATGCGCAAGTTCCTGTAGGCTTGTCAGTAGTCTGAACGGAAAACGAATATAAGAATAGGGTTCGCCAAACTTACGCTGGCAAGCTTGCTCTTCGCTCTGATCCTGGGTCCATAGAAGGACAGGACCCATGGTACAAGTGTCAGGGCGGCTCCCTGCAGACATTAGTTCAATGTTCAAAATCAATATAAGCTCTAGATGGACTTACAATTCCACCCAGCAAGCTAGAAGCAGCGGGATATCCCAGGTTTGTGAACAAAGCATGGGTCACAAGGGGGAAAACACCGCCCAGGAGATTCCGGCCTATACACGATGTTAGAGATATCCTGTCCTGGACACTAGGGGCATCTTACAGCAAGACTGCGCGGCAATCGCCGAGCTGGCAAAACGATGATATGTATCAGCCAGGTAGTTAAAGACCGCCAAATAAATGGACAGAATGCCCATGGTAGCACACCCGACTGCCATAGCCGGAGCGATCCAATGTACGGACGGATACGAGGACCATCCGAACCAGAACAGGCCTGCGGGCATGAGCACTGCCTGGACACATGCAAAGTAGAGACGTTTCTCTGGGGTGTTAGGAAGCGTCACGAATCGGCTGACGACTCTTTCCTGGTAGATACTGATGAGGGTAGCAATGATCACGGCGACGCACATCGCTATTCCTGTTAGCTTTTTTTTGTAAATAGCAACAGGTCGGTTTAACCTACATGTGAACACCGCTCCCGATTGCTCAACGTTGAAACCATGGTTCGTCTGGAAAACCAACGGTACGGAGCCGAACTGGAGATACAGCACGGCCCAGCTGAAGGCCGCCCAAAGGGAGAAGAAGAAAACGACCGGTTCAGTGAAAAGCATATCTGGCAACAGTCAGCTCTGAGTATTTATAGATGGTTGCCTGGCAGAACATACGAAAGGGTCGATAGAGGGAGATGCTGATCATTTGTCCGAGGGAGGCTCGTTGCTCATCGCTCTTGACCTTCCAACGAATCCGTTTCACGCACTGTTTCTCTCCTGACTCGTTCGGCATGATTACGCCGAAATGGCCTGCATCTTCAAGTGCTTCATAATATTTGTTCAGTGCGTGTGCTTTGCGACTGAGAATGACGCTGCCACGGGTTTCTTTGAAGAAAAAGAAGATGATGACAACAAAGACAGCCGACACGATGGCATGCGAGTAGTAGATCCAACGCCATGTGGTGTGATAGACGATCACACTCGACAACAGTGGCGCGAGACCGGTACCGAATAGTGCGGCGCCCGAGAAGAGAGCCATGGGAGTGTTGCGATCCTCCGCATGGTAGATATCACTGATGACACCACCAACCATGGTTGAAAACGTTGCTGACCATGTGTTAGCAGAATACCGAAAATGCGCAAGATATAAGGAGCGACATACAAGCACCAACACCTTGGAAGAATCTCGCTACGAGCAGTCCAGCAAACAAATGCGTTCCACCACAAGCGATAATACATGCTAGAAAATGTAAGTCAGAATCGCTCGGAAAGTAGTTCCTGGCGACCAACACACCTGTGAAAACGACACCACTGATAACGAAAATTGGCCGTCTCCCATTGAGCTCCGAAAACGGAGCCAAAACCATGGGTGCCAAGGCAAACCCTATACAAAAGATGGTGATACTCAGGTTGTATACCACACCGCTGATCCCCCACTCCGCTGTGAGCTCCGTCGAGGCTGGATTACCTTCACCCGCCGAGTAACCGGCCAAGGCAGTCACGCCGCAGGAAATCCATGTCATCATCGATTTTCGCCATTTGGGCCAGAGAAACGGGGAAATGTATTGCTTCATATCGGGACATTCTGGCGCGGGGGACTGGTTGGGGCCGGGCGGCAATGTGATCCGCGGCGTCGGCAGCGGCGTTTCGAGCTCGAGATAAAGATATTCGATTTCCTGTGTCGGGAGGGCATCTTTGCGTTCGACATCGACATCTTTAGAACAGATGGTTTCGCCAGAGCTTGAATGAGGACTAGAGCGTGACAGTCCCATGGCTACAGGTGCAGAAAATCTTGTCTCTACCAGGGCAGAATGCGTCACATTCTAGCTTTGGGGCTGTCGAATTTATAATGATCTACATTTCAGGTCTAGATTTTACGCCTTCCGAGAAAAAGGTCCAAATTTGTGCAAAATTGGAGAAGCTTGGACGCAGCCGACATGGTTCGGAGTCTGCCCTATGGTCCGGAGTGAGACTCTAGTTCTCGTCGGGGTTTGAATTTTGGAACTCTATTCATAGTTTTTAATATGTTCATCGTGGCTGCTACTGTTTTCTACACGCTTTCGATATCACAAGAACATTATTTTCTGTTCATAACCTACGATGTTGCTCTGTAGATGCTATGGAATATTAGACCCTGCTATGGCGGCTGAAAATACTGCCCGGGATATGCACCAGCGGTTCGGGGAGAAACTTCCCCTCATCTCCAAATCGGAGAAGCCTTAATAATCCACGGCGAATCCTTTGACTCAGAAACGCCGACAGAGGAAAAAGAAAAAACGAAGAGATTTCTCAAAAGTCTCCGAAACCACGTCATCGTCTGCTTACCTGCCCACGGTCTTTCGCAATTTCGGCTCCAAGGGGAAAATCTGCTCCTCCACCGTCACGTTCCCATATACGTTCTCCCAGCGTTCACGCAGAGGCTCTGGTGTCGCCCACGCATTCTCGGGATCGCGCAGCCAAAGTCGCAAAAGATGGCGTCTACGTTTTTGTCAACACGACAGAGCCCTCAGAAAAAATGGTGATTGCACTTACTCCTTGTCAGGCTCATCCCGGAACCCCTTCCGCGCATGGAAAATGCTCAGGTTGTTAATGTACTGGACGTCGCCCTTTTGGAAATCCAGCGCGGCGCTGTGCTCCTCGGCTATGAAGTGAATCGCATCCAGCGCCTCGGCCTGTGCCTCGGAAATTGGGGGAATGTCGGTCGACCGCGGCTGCGCGAGGAATCCGGTGAAATAACGACGAGCGTATTGGATCAGAACGCGCTCAGGGGTGGTATCGGTTGCCTTTTGGTGGTAGAGAAGGGGACGCGTGGTATAGGGCTTTACAGGGTCATTAAATCTGATTCCCTCGCATTAGCGATCGTCACTTCCCTGCGAACCTACGACGACTCACCCATCGAGCGGCCATGGCTCCGACAACGTACGGATCAAATCCGGCCTCTCCTTGGCCAGGATGTTATACACCAACCAACTGCTGGAAATCTGGCTTTCGCCCCCCTCGGCGGCGGGATGGAGACAAAGCAGGGAAATGATATCGCCGGAATCCGTGTGGAACACTTGTTTATCCGCGGTGTTGGACGGCGCGCCGATCGAATTCGCCACACTCGTGCGCGTCAAATCCTTGATATGCGACAGGACCACCGAGCCACCGTCCGGCGTAAACCGTCTGTCCTGCTGACGGCCGCGGATATTGCCGATGTGCGATGAGACACCTGCATAGATGATGATATTCTCTTCCCGAGTGTAGCGATCGATGTCGAGTCCGCGGAGGACGAAGAATCCGCGGCCGTTATGGATTTCATTCGACAGCGATCGCAGGGTGGGTCGGAGGTTGGGCAAGGGGAAGGTGTCCTGGTTAATATTGCCCAAGCTCAAGTTCTGGGCTATCAGGAATTAGCACGGATGCTTGTTCACGCCCTCTCTGCATATGATCTGTGATGGAGTGCATGGTTGGCAAAGGTAAGGTATACCCTGGAAGGTCTTCAGCGCAGCATCAATCTCCTCCCTCTGCGCATCGTTCAACTTGTAGATCCAGTCATCTCGCTTCTCGACGTCCTTTCCCTCCCACACCAAGGGCGACTCTAATTTCTGCGGGAATCCATCTGGTAGCGTCGTGGGAAGCTGCTCGGTGGCCTTTCTACGCGCCGCCCGTGCGGTATACTTTTCGTAGTCTGGATGATATTCGATATCAGGTTGAACGAGAGTCTGCACGGCGACCGACATTGTTAGATGTAGATGATCTTATCCCCAGTAGATTTGCTATAGAAAACAACCCAGCAGAGGTAGATTCCTGCGTGCTTTATCTGCAAATATTAGACGGCGCATACCCCGCAGCGTACAATCACATCATCAAATGACGGCGCAGCAAATCATTGCGCCATAGGGCCCGAATATTGCCATCCCGACACGCAGACAATCACAGTCTCCGTTGGACACGCCTGAAACCAGTCCGGTGGTGTTCTCGCCTGCATTTACCATATCGAGCAGAAGCTTGGGTCAGACAATTACTTCCCTTGACTGCTCTGGCCAACATGAGTGGTTAGGTTTCCCTAGCCCTAGCCCTGGTTACGTTGCCTGGATTTCTAAGCAGCAATAGCATCACATACTATATGCGCAGTTCTCACAGTGTGCCTCGGATATTCGGCGATTTCAAGTTTCATAACTTCATTCGTAAAAGTCAGTCATAATGCATAACACGAACTATTCCTCCAGCCTCCTCCCGTCAATATCAATGTCAACCTTATAATACTTGAACTTCCGGCTGGGGACTTTCCTCTCGAAAAGAATATCCAACTCCTCAAACGTCCTCCCCTTGGTCTCCGGCATACACCAGTAGACATAAATCACACAGAGGACACTCAGCCCCGAGAAGAGGAAGCCGATCTTCCCCTTCCAGTCGGCCTCGTCTTCATTCATGGCGTACGGGATAGCGACCGCGAAGACGACCGACCATATGAAACACGCCACCGTGGCCAAGGCGATCGTGAACCCGCGCAGAGCCGCGGAGGACACTTCGGCCAGAAGCACGTAGCAGAACGGGCCGAGACTGAGGTCATACACGAATGTGCAGACTAGCATCAGACCGCACTGCGCCCATACCGTGTTGGTTTGGCGCGGGGCGAGATCCACAGCACCGATGATGAACAACAGAAGGGCCAGCGACGAGCAACCGAAGAGGTACATGGTGCGCCGACCGACGTACGATAGCAACAGCCACGAGATACAGGTCCCCAGGAACCCAATAGCGGTGAGGCCGAGGTTCATGGAGAAGGCATCGGATGAATCTAGGCCAGCCAGCTCCATGAAGTGCACCGCATAGTTGATGAAAAATATATTGCCGGTGAATGCCTGCATGCTGTACGCCATCACGCAGATCATCAGTCGCCGGAAGTTGGGCCCGCGGAAGCATTCCCTGTAGTGGGGCCGGTCGCCCTGAAACTCCTCCTCTAGCCGGAGTGTCTCTCGGATGTGCGCCAGCTTTCGCGAGACGTCTATGCTAGGTGTGGCCAGGCGACGGAGCGATACGCGCGCTGCGTCGTAGCGGCCCTTACGGCAGAGCCAATACGGTGGATCCGGGCAGAAGAAGACCAGGAACAGCATGATAGAGGGCAATGCCCACTGGGTGGCAATGGGAATTTTGTAGGACAGCTGGCTGTTCATCGACGCCGTCCCCTTCAGGATGCCGGATGCGATCAGGGAGCCGATGGAAAACGCCAGGTTCGTCATGGTGGCGGCAAACCCTCGCAGGACGAGTGGAGTCACTTCGCCGACGTACGCCGAGGCGCAAATTGGGTAGAATGCGATCACCGCGCCGTTGACGAGTTGTCCGACAAACAGCTGGGCGGGCGTGTGGCTGTAAAACTGAATGAAGATGAAGGCGATAGACAAGCACGAACATATGGCGATCATGATGCGCGGCCCGAAGCGGTTGTAGGCAGCCCCAGAGCAGAGGGCGCCCACGATGGCACCGAGCAGATTGGCATAGTTAAAGGCCGAAAGCCACTGCGCGGCGATCATGTAGGTTCCATTGTGATCGTAGCCATAGGTCTCTTTGAACACGTCCAGGCCGACGAGACCTTTCACCACGCCCCCGTCAATACCCTTCAGAATAGTTGCCTATGACGTTGAGCAAGGTGTATTTTCTATAAGGAATATTGTTCGAAAAGTCCTCACCAGATTCATGAACAAGCCCCACCCCACTGCGGGCCAGTGCAGCCGCATCGCGGTCCAAAAGCCCTGATTATGCTCATCCTTCGAAAACTGAAACGACAGCTCCGCATCCTCGATCGCTGACGCCGGGACGGATTGGACCAGAGTGGTCTGCTTCTCTGCTGCTTTGCTGGTCGTCATCCTGAGTCGACGGGGGAGAATGTTAGGGCTTCAATCTGCCATCCTCAGAAAATATATACCGGCCGTGGGCTTGGCATCCCTCGGCAATCCAATCGTTGGGCCGCGATTAATCACCCTATCAGATCATATCAATCATATCCATAACATAACTGATTCTTCCCCGGGTCCTCTTGCCAAGATTCTTTGCGTTTGCGGAGGAATCACGGTGAAATTATTCAAATAGGCCATCGGCCATGTTGAGGGATGCAAGTCTTCTACGGACCTTTATCCCGGATCATGTTAGTCCTTATCAAAGTCCGATATAGATCAACTAGTCCCTGCCGTACCGAAATATATATCGTGAAACATCTAATAGCCAATAACGTTCAACCAAGCTTCGCACTATAGTCGAGGGTCCTTTCCTCTAAGCTTTTAGCTGGGTATATTTGAATATCATATAGCCAAGCAATGGGAGCTTTGATATTGTTGATGGAACCACTGCATTGGGGCGTCGCCATGCTGCCTATACTGCGACTCACTAACCGTAGAAGTTGCTTGAAGGTTGACAATAAAATGCATTTCACTTATGGTGAATCCACAGAAGTTGGAAATTGACATGGCTAGTTATGAACTATAGTGCATCGATTATCTTCTTGAATGAATATACCCGTCGGACTGGTGGTTGATATACTTCTGTTGGAAAGAATTTGTAGTGAGACATGGAGGAAGCTTGTCCTTTAATAGGCTCGAGCGCTGCCTCGGAAAACCACCGCTGACAATAACTGGTTGCGAGTGATCTCTACAAGACGGACATTCAATTTAGCTAGTGAGGTATACTCCGGAGTAGACTACGCCTTGCAGACCAGGGTTGAAGGTAGCGGTCAGCAGTACAGACTAAAAGATGACCAACTCCACATGGCACAGAAAGCCAGACTCCGGAGTAGATGCCAACTCTAGTTAATGCTCTACTCTAGTTGAACTGTTGAAGCGGCAGAGACTCCACACTCCACACCGTTTTCATTCTCAACGGGAAATGCCAAGAAAAGCCTATACACAGGCTGAAGAACTGCCATAGTGGTGTGGTGTTCATGTATGCTGAAGGAGCTACCTCGGAGACTGACATGACATTGTACAGCGTGGGTGGAGAGTGCCCGCATTAGGGTTGCATGGCTGACCGTTCGCCTTATCATGAATGCAACCAACACTCCAAAGATGCACCCGCAGATCATTGCAGTCTACGTCGCCTGCCAGAAAGCCACTATTGAACCGTCTCGTGGAGAGCCCCACCTTGACTGGGAGACCGTCGCCGCACGGCCTGCTTGGCCTTCGTGTCATCCTCCGTTGATCAATCACGGCACTTGTAGGACGACACACCGAGGATAGTCGAACCGTCCGAGCATGTTCGGGGGCCTTAGACTCCATATAAAAGAGGGGGGTCGCCCGTTGTCTGTAATTACCCCTCAACCCCTCTGTAATCACAATAATTTGTACGAATCTCACCGAGAAATTAATTCACCATGACGTTGGATATTACTGTAATGTGAACCACTGAACCGCTGTGATGCTTCTCGCTAATCAGCTATAGACCTTCTACAATGTTATTAATAACGAACTGACCACCACCGCCGAAACGCGCCATGGCATCAACCCCGCGAACCAACAACCCAATCCCGAGGTCCCCGTCTCAACTGCCGCGGATCTGGACAAGGCCGTGAACGCCGCTCGCCAGGCCTTCAAGACATGGTCGCAGACGTCCATTGACGAGCGGCGTCAGGCGCTGAGCGCTTTTGCCGACGCCATCGAAGAGAACAAGGATACCCTGGCCAGGCTACTGACCCAGGAGCAAGGGAAACCATTGAACCAAGCCGCTGGTGAAATTGACAACGCCGTCATATGGGCACGAGCCATCCCTCAGCTTGAAGTCCCGGAGAAAGTGATCGAGGACAATGAACAGCACAAGGTGGTCCAGAGACACATCCCCATCGGTGTTGGAGGTGCTATTGTGCCCTGGAACTTTCCCGTCATGCTGGCGGTCGGAAAGATCATCCCTGCAGTGTACACTGGTAACACGATTATTGTTAAGCCGTCGCCCTTCACTCCTTACTGCAACTTGAAACTAGGAGAGCTTGCTGCCCGTTGCTTCCCACCAGGTGTGGTGCAGGTGCTGAGCGGCGGTGATGACCTCGGCCCCATGATCACCGAGCACCCAGGTATCGACAAGATCAGTTTCACCGGTTCTAGTTTGACCGGTCGCCGAGTCATGGCCAGTTGCGCCAAGACGCTGAAGCGCGTTACATTGGAACTGGGTGGTAACGACCCTGCCATTGTCTGCGACGATGTCGACATCGATGCGATCATTCCCAAGGTAGGACGGACAACCCCTTACCATCACACCAACTCTGGCTAACTCCAACAGGTCGGTATTCTGAGCTTCCTGTGCTCGAGTCAAATCTGCATGATGATCAAGCGTCTCTATGTGCACGAGAAGATCTATGACGAGTTCCGTGACAAGCTCGTCGCCTTTGTGAAGAACCTGAAGCTCGGCGAAGGCACCGAGCCCGATGTCTTCTTCGGTCCCCTTCAGAACAGCATGCAATTCGGCAAGGCCCGGAACCTGATCGAACACATTGCATCCGAAGGCCTGAACTCCGTCTTGGGAGGTGATATCCCCGAGTCCAAGGGCTTCTTTGTCCCGCCGACTATTGTCGACAACCCACCGGACAACTCGCGTATTGTCCAAGAAGAGCCCTTCGCGCCTATTCTGCCCATTCTCAAGTGGTCCGACGAGAAGGACGTAATCGCACGGGCGAACGACACCGAGCTTGGACTCGGAGCTTCCGTCTGGACTAAGGATGCCGAGCGTGGCCAGCGGATTGCGCGCCAACTGGAGGCTGGTAATGTGTGGGTCAACACACACTTCATGGTGCTGCCTAATGTGCCATTTGGCGGACACAAGTCTAGTGGCATTGGTTCTGAGTGGGGTGTGACTGGATTGACAGGCTGGTGCAACACCCAGGCTCTGTATTTTGTTAAGAATGCTTGAGTAGATATGATGTGCGTATATATGTCGAAACGAACTTGATGCGATAGCCACATGATTCAATGTCAATTGCTTAGTACCTCCATATCATCCAGGGTGTAGTCCCATCGAGTCCACGGCTCATTCTACCGGCCACCGAGCCTTTACTCGATCTTTCAACCCGGCTCTGGCGACCACCTCCTGGCTTCTTCGCTGGGCCTCGCGCACGATCTCTTGTTCGTCCATGGTTAACAGCTCTCCACTACGCACCAGCATTTGCCCATCGACCACGACGATATCGACATCCCGACCGGTAGCCGTGTAGACCACCGCGCTGACGGGGTTGAACCAGGGCTGTAAGTGGATACGACGAGTATCTATAGCTACAAAATCGGCCTTCTTCCCAATCTCCAAGCTACCGATTCGGTCTTCCAATCCTAACGCACGGGCACCGTTGATGGTCGCCATCTCTAGCACTGATTCGGCGGGTACCGCGGTGGGGTCATAAGACAGGCTCTTATGTATAATTCCCGCTAGCTTCATCTCCTGCAGGAGGTCGCAGGTATTGTTACAGGGGGCGCCGTCAGTGCCGAGGCCGATATTAACGCCGGCTCGCTGCAAGTCCGGCACGCGACAGATGCCAGAGGCAAGCTTGGCGTTGGAGGTCGGACAATGCGCGACGTGGGTTCCTGAACTCGCAAGTCGCGTGATATCGTCATCGTCCAGATGCACCATATGCACTAACACTGTCGATGGCGAGAGGAGGCCGACCGAGTCGCAGTACGTCATGGGGGTGTGTCCCACAGAAGCAAAGAAGTCACGGTCGGCACGCACCTCAGCACAGTGCATGGTGATGGGGATGCCTTTTTCGCGGGATAAACTGGTCATCTCACGATACAGGGTATCTGATACTCTATCACTCTGTCAGTGGCAGTTCAAATGTGAGTTTACACGGAAATGCTTACCCTCCAGGTGTGCGAGCGCCGAACCATACGCGAATACGATCGTTGGCCTTGCCATTCCACTTCTCCCACATCGCCAACGTGCCCAACAATGATGTCTCGCGATCTTCGACCAGCCCAGGATGCATGGCCCAGGCATCATCCTTGGCATACTTTGCGATGTCCATGACGATCTTACCCAAGCAGCCACGGATGCCGCTTTCCTCGACTGCACGCGCCAGACCATCGAATCCGTAGCGGTCCGCGAACTGCCTCAATTAGACCAATTCCCAAACACGACAGTCGTTACTAATACACACCATACTCTCCAAAAAGCACGTTGTGCCCGACTTCAGCATCTCCCCGATACTCAACCGCGCCGCGGCATACCCATCCTCGGCCGTGAAATTCCCCTGCAGCACCCAGATCCGCTCGCACAGCCAGGAAACCAGCTCGAGGTCATCGGCAGCACCCCGGAGCAGCGTCTGCGCCGTGTGCATATGAGTGGAAACGAGGCCCGGAATGACTATCCGGCCGGTGAGATCGTACTCGTCCTCGTCGGGGTATTTGGCCTTCAGGGCTGCGGTCTTGTCGATATCCGCGATTAAGTCATTCTGCACGCGGATGGCACCGTCCTCGATGATGCGTCGGTTTGAGTCGACCGTGATGATTGTTGCGTGAGTGTACAGCATGATTTTAGATTTTGATTTCTTTTAGGCATTTGTCTAGAGACTTGCTCGGTCTGTTGGAGGGTTGATATACAAATCCCGCTAACGTAGGACCGATTTCCCCACACGGAGACCTCCGATGGGCGGGGAATCGTAGGTTTCCATAATTGATAAGATTTAATTTGTAGATAGAGTTCTTGTTTCATCACCAAATTAGATGACAGCTTATCTTCTTGGCTCACTGTGGGGTACATGAAGGATGGTTAATTCTAACCAACGGCCATGGAACCGAGGCTTCACCCGGTAACAGTCTAATAGCAAGCCTAGCCACACAGCTTTGTTTTACACTTGCAGGTCGTTATTCTTGCAGTCTTCACCTCGTACTCAAAAGACAGGCGCTTCGACTCCCTCGAAATGCTCTACCAGAATGCACCACTCCTCTCGAATCTTTTCTTCACTTGCTCAAATACAACCCGCGCAAAAAGACGTGAATCCTAATGTCACAGGACGATATAACCAAAGCTGACCCGACCCAAACAAGAAAGAAAACGTGTCCCATTAAGTTAATTACAATTATACATTTAGTTCACATGGTTCTGATGCCACGTATAATCAGGGTTCGCCAACAACCCGCGAATCGCCTCACGAGGCTTCGTAGGCTCCCTGCCCAAAAGCTCCCTCATCAACGGATGCGTGGTAACCAACTCGCCCTTCTCAATGCCCTCATACCACGTCAACGTCTTCTCAAAAAATGTCTTGGGCTTGCCACCCTTATCATTCCCAGCGTAGGTCTGGATATATTCCTCGGGCGACACACGCTGAAACTGAACCTGCCGACCCGTCGTGGCATTGATGATATCCACGATCTCCGAGGGTCGAATGGTGTCCTCGGCTGTTAGTAGAACGATCTCATTCTCATGGCCGCCGGCGATCATCAACCGCGCGGTTGCTTCACCCAGCTCCGACCGCAGGGTCATTGCCATGGGGCCGTCGCATGGGAGAGGGACGGTCGTTGAGTCGGGGTACCAGTTGAGGAACACGGGGAAGGCGTCGGTATAGACGCCTTCTCGGATGGAAGTGTAGGTGACTCCGGATCTGGGGTTTGTTAGCTATGATCATGTCTATGTAGTAGCTCGGGGTTGACTGACTTCCGAAGCATCTCCTCGGTCTCTAAATGCGCTGTCTGCACCGCAGCCTTGGAATCGGACTTGAATCCTCCGAAGGCGAGAGATGTATACCATACCTAGCATAATGATTAGCCATTGCCGGGAGAATTTCAGAAAACAAAATATAAAAACGCGGAAAGAAAGACCATACATGCTTAACACCCTTCCTCTTCGCCGCATCGACGAAATTCTGATGCTGCTTTCGACGCTTCTCATTATCGAATGTGTTGGTGCTGACAAAAAGTACATTCTCGACATTCTCGAACGCGGTCTCCAGCGTAGTGGGATCGTCATAGTTAACCTGTCGGAAGGCAATGCCACGATCTTCGAATTGTTGTCGGTTAGACTCTCTCGACGATGCAGCTGCGAATTCGTGCAGAGGTCTGGTCGCCACGAAGTAGTCCAGGACGTATCGTCCCAGGCCGCCTGTCACGCCCGTGATGAGGTATTTGAGGGTCATATCGGTTCGCGATTATGGTATTACCTGTATTAATCTCGGGTTACTCCAACTGGTCTTGTTGAGTAATGAAATCAAGTACCTACCACAACGCAGGGTTGACAATATTTATATTGATAACCATATCCCTGTTCACGATTGCTAATCACGCGATTGATAATGCCCCGCCGCTCTAACAAGTTCTGTTACATCTGCCTTACTTTCTCTGTATGGAGAAAGCATTGCTTCCTAATCATGCAGCCAAGACGAAGTTGGCCCAAACCACAGGTGTGATTGGCTGCGTGGGTCCAAATTAGATGAGATTTTGGGGCTAAAACTGCAGTAGTTGCAGTAGTTAGGAGAGTCTTATTACTAATGTCTGCTTATGACGTAGTCGGCCTGACAGTTGTCCCTATGCCGATCCTCTCTCGTCGTCTCGTATTTCTAATGCTCGGATTGGGTTAGCTGGCTGCAGCGATCTTCAGGGTGATGGTCTAGACATGAGGCTTTAATTGTGTACTAGTAGTGGATAGGGAATAAATCTGTCCTTCTGGCCCTTTTCGGCCAAAGTTGTTGGGTGGTCATATTCCCTCCATCCTAGAGGCAATATCAAGCATCGATACCAGTCATGGTTATTCTAAATTGGGAGTTAGAATGAGCAAAGTGGATTCCTAAGCTCCAGGCATTACCTTCCTCACTCAGCATAGTATACTAGACTTGAGCAATGTTTCTGTTCAATACCATTCAACGCACAGCAGCTCCACCATCATTCCAAAAACCAAGACCTGCGTTGCTCAATACCCCCCAAAATCACGGTTCCAACAGTTTCAAGCCGACTCAACCACAACCGTTCATAGAATGGTCGAGAAGTCAGTGACTGGGACTCACGAGAAGAAAGTTCCATAGAAAAAGCAATGAGTATACTATAAGTTGCTATCCGAAACCAAGTTCCTTCCCCGGAACCAGCGCCAGTTCTAGAAGCTCGTCTTGCATGAATACTTGCTTTAACTCAGCTGAAAGATGTGTCTTACTCTCTGTGGAAACTAGGTGTCCGACTCGCAGCGGAGGATACCCGATGTCCATTTACTGTAGGAGGATGACCACATAGTCGGATAGTGAGCAAGGACACCACATAGCGCCCAACAGGCAGAGTATTCCTATGGTGAGTATGGCGGGACCTCTGTTACTTCCCAAAGCCTTGTTGGTATAAGAGGCAATGGCTACATGTCGCTGACTGCAGCCTGGAAGGCCGGGGAGACATTTTCGACCTCATGATACAGACCCCCTCATTCAGGCGAATTCAATTAACCGAGAATAGTTCCAGAACCTTCTAGACAAAGTCAATCGAATGTCAGATCGCACTACAAGGTGTACGCAGACAGAATCAGTCGGCATGACCATCTTGATTTGGAAGATCAACTCGATTACTCCTGCCTACAGTGTGATGAATGAAACACCAAAGCGCTGAGCCACTCGGGAACATTCGAATCGGCAACGAAAATGAAGATGTGCCATGGAAACACTTCCAATCATGACGCACCTTACGCGGACATGGGCTGAAACCGTTAAGTCATGCTGACAGTTCTATGCAGGGGCCCGAATTTAAAACTCAAAGCAGCGCTTCCCTAATTGCATACTCTTCAGCCACGCCAGGTGCATTTCAAGACCAAAGTCGGGAGATGAGTGCCGCCATAAATGTCGTAAGTGCCAACGAAAGCTGAAGCTGATATACGACAAGCCCCGTTCTGAGACCTGTCTGGGATGTCTATTGCTTCATGTCTTACACTGGGAAATGCCCCCTGGAATACGGGCCAGGGGATATGGGATAAAATCCAACGATGTGCCGTGCAGAGGAGAGCAGTTGTTAACCATTATTGCTTCTTGACCCAAACCTTCTGCGGTATTGCAGCTTCTGCCAGTCCGCGACGCCGTTGGAAGAGACACCAATTCAGGAACATTGGCATCCATTCCAATGGGAGACCAGCAGCCCGTCCAAGACCGATTCAACCTGAGAGGTCGTCTCAAGGACACTCTCAAGGCAACATTCGCACTGAAAGCTCTCCATGATATGCACCGCAAGTCGCCCTACCTCGTGGACCCAGACCACGCCATGAAAGCCGCTCTCGTGATGTCCTGGGGCAAACCGCCACAGTACACCTCGATCCCTGATCTGCCGCCGCCGTCACCTACCGAGCTCCAGCTCAAGGTGCTCGCTACCAGCGTGACACGGGTTGTCCGAAGCCGGGCTGCCGGCGCGCACCCTACCACTTCCAAGGTGCCCTTACCCCATGACCCAAGCGTTGATGGGGTCGGAATCGACGAGATCACAGGCGACATGTACTACATCACCCAGCTTGCGGCACCGCTCTTAGCGGAGCGAACGAACGTCAACCTACGACATGTTGTAAAGCTTGAACCGGGCACCGACCCTGTCAAGGCAGCGGCACTTGCAAACCCGGTGTCATGCAGCTGGATGACCCTGCGATGCCGTGTCATTGGCGGCTGCCAGGGACGCACGGTACTGATCATCGGCGCAACAAGCGCTAGTGGGAGGTGTGCAGCGATCGTGGCGCGCGCTCTGGGCGCCACTCGCATAATCGGCTTGTCGCGCAATGAAGACACGCTCGCCGCGGTGGAGGGGCTCGACGATCGCGTCGTGCTCCAGGAGCCCTTTGCCCTTCCTCCCAGTGTGGGGCCGGTGCATATTGTGCTGGACTACATCGGCGGTGGCCCTGTAGCTTCGGGCATTCTGCAGACAGCTCGGTGTGTGCGCGGAGAAAACTTGCAGTACGTGCAAGTGGGGAATATTGCGGACCGACCGCATATCTTTGACGTGGTGCCTAGCTACCTGATCAACCAACGACCCATTTGCATCCTGGGCACTGGACTAGGCTGTTTCACCGTCGAGGATTGGAGGAGGGAATTGCCGGAAATCATGAAGATGACTTCCCAGATGCACATCCCATTCCTGATCTTCACCGTTCCTCTGAGCGATGTTGCTTCTGCGTGGGAATCTGAAGAAACTGTGACCAAGAGATTGGTTTTGACGCCTGGTGCATGAGTAGACTGCTTGTGTCTGTTCGATTGTTTTGTATTTGTGTATACACTCGTCTGTCTTGGAGTTCGATTTCACCTCAATCAATCTTTTTTGTCGATTACTACCGCGTCAAGGCCAGGTTAAAGACATAGCGAGGTCCTCATGAAGATCATGGTCATGGTAGACACCACTAGCATGCAGGCTGATCACTAGCGCCACAGCTAGCTCCGGCGTAAATAGATCATTCTCACCAAGTCCATTCTATCAATGCGCAAATCCACATGACAGGATGCACTTGGCCTGTAAGGCAGCCGTAGCTCGGATCCGAGACTATCGACAGGGTGCAGCTTCGGGTTCAAAAGTCGGTGTAATATGGAACGAAGACGAAGATCCTTGCTTGAGTCACTCCGACTCGTCACGCCATGTAATACCAAGCTAAACTTTAATTCGGTTGAATTCTATACACGATGCCAAGAATATGTGACAGATTGAATACCCATACCGAGATACTGTGCTTCGGGAATCTCTTCCATTGCCTAGACCCACTATGCAGCTATCGTCAAGCAAATGATGCAAAGTGTACACCTGTTTTGGGTACTATATGTCGCTGAGCATATGTTGGGTTGATCAAACACTTGCGTACATATAGCTGATACCCGGTGGTATATGTTCCCAGTAGCTCTTGTGTTGACTAAGGCAGCAAAGTAGGACAGAAAGCGATTTTAGTAAGTAGATGGATATAGAAAAGGCAATGTACTTTATTCTTGCTATACTTAAATAGGACTTTTCTATACTCCACCTCCTAATATATAAACAGACCATCGCACATTAGAAGACCCCCGGGATGAGCCTCCACGGCACTATCTCACAGTACACCCTCCATCGGTCGCCATACTTCGATGAGCAACGGGCGTCATCTCTCAAAGACCGATGGATCAGTAGACTCGCCATAAAGCAGAAATACGTCCAGGGGATGATATGCGCAAAGCCACAGCCCGCACAAGCGCAGAACGAGAAAATCAAATCCCCGATGTAGTTCGGATGGCGGACCCATCCCCACCAACCTGTCGGAGTATTCATCAGTATAACGACTCACAGAGGACTGAATGCATGGAGGCTTACCGGAGTGTAGAAGCATGGACTGATGTGACGATCCATCAGCGGTTTGGTAGGTTGCTCGAATGAGGGAAGGCTTTTGGCCCCAGATCAAGTTGGTTCCGTTTGACTGGCGCGTGCGATACTTTTGATGATTCGCAGAGCGGAATAACACGTAGCCTGCAATTCCGGCGACTAAAAGCAGTGTGCATTGGAGCCCGGACAGCTGGACTGGGTGATAGGCCAGATAGTGTGCTTGCGTGGTGTAGATCACGGGCAGCCACACAGCGGATCCCCATGCCAGGTTGAAGCCGAAGTGATCCAAGGCGATATCAATCGTGCTTAGATACCTGAGAGGACATTGTTAAACGGTCGATCGTTCCAGGACACTATATATTAGTTGCGACACTTACCAGTCTTCATTGACGAAGAAGTCTACCACATATAAAGCATGTAGAAAGATAACAACTGCCATGGAGTTTGTGAGGTAGCCAAACTTCTGGTACTGCAAAGCCGCAAAGGACAAATCACTGCGAGATTGTAGTGTTAGGGCCTGCGGATGAAGTCCGAAGGGGAAAGCAGCTTACACAAGCACCCAGCTGTTCATACCAACACGTCCAATTTGGAACAGCTTCAAATCCCAGAGCTTGCCCAGGCGGGGGTTAAGTTCCACTCCAGATAGAAAATCGTGAATGATGGACCCTGTCGAATTTTGTCAATACTCTCTTCCCTAGTAGAAGACAATTCGTCCCATCACATACCGCTAAATCGGACATCCCTCGTGTTCGGGGTGAATAAATGGGACTTTATTACCGATGTCCCGGTGATCAAAAATCCGTAGATATTGGCAATAATAATCAGTTCACCCTGATGCACTGCGACAAACGCGGGGTCCAGCTTTCCTGCTTTAACAAGGCCCACAAATACAATTAGGGTTGCCAGCCAAGACCATAGTCCATTGACTTTATATGGTAAAGAATATCCCCCGGGAGTGGGAGGGCCGGACACAATTCTCCCCGGAAGGGCTTGGTAGAGAAATGCTTGAAAAACCAGCCAGAAGACGTACGCTTTGACACCCTGCGTGGTCACAGTTGGCCAATATCGCGTGAGAAGTGGGAGGGTACCATGCGAATAAAAGTCACTGAACACCTTCGTAATTGAGCCCTCATAGTGGGTGAGAGCTACAGAAATGGAGAGTACGAGAAGAGGCGCAGAGACCATCAACAACATACTCGGAAGGCTGGAGACCCACGATACATTGGCTCGCCGACCCCAGAGAGCCTTCTGTTCGGTAATGGCGACATGGACTCTCGCCGTTTTCTGTATTTGGCCTTTTCCGGATCCCAAGCTGGACAGCCCGTCAATGAGCTGCACAGCGGCCATTTTGAGCGGTACGAAAGGGATGTGGAATGAAGGAGGAAAATTATTGTCGAGTGGGATTAAGGACCAGCACGGGATTCTCACTCTTTATCTAAATAAGGCCTGATCAGCGGAGGTCGGCATGATCTGTCTCGTGGACTTGCTGCATACCCAGGGATTGCTAGTCCTTTGCATCTCCCCACTCAGGCCAGGCTGAATACCTTTGAGGTACCCGAAGAATACACAAGCACACCCGGTAAAACACGGTACCGTATCGTCGGCAACCCAGTGTTCCATACAAAACACCGCCATTTCAACTTCAAATCTCTCAACAACCAATAGAGACCACATAATAGTAAAACTATGGACCCATGGGAAGATAATTCCGTGTCTCTATTTTAGTCTTCCACTATTAATTCCGTTTTGAGTAAATCATCAAGCACGGGCCATTGAGATGCAGTGGAGTTGAGAGAGGACGAGGAAATCAATCAAACTGGTGTTCGATCGAGGGGCTTTGCTTCCCGTGTTTTGAAGAATGAACGACTGAATCCATCCCATAAGCGTCATATCCAATCAACCACCTCGAGTGAGTAAAACTGACGGCTTGAGGTCTGGATGCGCAGTGCGCAGAGGCCATCAAAGTGGGTTTTGACCCATGGACCCAATCGGCCGGGCTCGGAGTGGGTTTCCAAAAGGTTTGACCCAAAGATCCGGTCAGCTCCCAAAATTTACTTTGGAGATAGGTTGCGAAAAGATCGGGCTGATCTCGATGTATATCATTTCCTCTTTTACGAATTCTGCCAGCTGCTCCCAAAATTCGATAGGTCCACTCGTGATCTGTAAGCGAATCGATCCACGGGGGTCGACACGATCGTTTGGTACCCTATCTCAGCTGTCGATTACCTGTGGGGACTTGCTCAGAATGCAGACTAAGCCTAAACAAATAAACTAGTGAAGACCGCACAGGCAACAGGCAAGCTGAAGATTCTGTAGCGAACCTGATAGTTGGGCCAACTCTCTTGCCCGCTCCGACAACAACTCGGAATGAGGAACCTGCTGCTACATGATGCCAATCGGATGAACTCTGACAGCCGATTCGGCAAGGGCAATGATCCTGCAGACAGGGTCAGAAGGGCAGTTGATATTGCTTCGATATCGATGTTCTGGGCCGCGTGGAGCCCGAGGACCGCGTAGGAGATCACGTAGGACATCGCCGTGTCACGGCGATCCATCCATACTCGGGAGGAAACCATGAAGTGTCCCGCCAATGTGGGAATTCCTCAAGCAATAAACTTTTTTTTCGGGTGGCTCGAAACAGGAGCCAAACGCCCTGGAATGAAATGATGATACCATCGAATCAGCCGAGGAAATAAAAGAAAAGAAAGGCAAAGAGAAAAGAATTCACGCTGAATACCAACTCCCTTTCTAGTGCCATTTCCTTCAGTACTCACCAGGGTCAAAGTCTCCACGCAAATAGTGGAGATACAGTTCCCGTTCCCAATGAGACGGAAGATAACTGGGCTTAACTTTAACCCTAAACGAGGTCAGCCAGCCACGGGCAATTATCTCTTCACGAAAAGAGAAATTTCACAAATTTAGGTCGAAGTGGTATTTTTCATACGCAATGTAGCATGGTCATCCAGGTACAGTCATGGTAAATCTATACAATGGCCTGCGTTCACGAGTGGCAATGAGGTGGTATGTAGATCTTGGGTTCAGGTTGGAGATCACGGCCCGTGATCTGCATGATATGATAAGAACTCTTCCCTATCTCGCGCTATGATATCGATGAAAGAATCATTATCCAATGATCAGGCCGTATGTCCCCTTCCCCGGGGTCACCGTTGTCCGCCATTCTACACCCTTATATTCCTCTCTCTCGACGGCTGTCACTTCAACCTTTTCAGCTGCCGGGGGAAGCGATGCGGCGACTGCCCTCGCATTTGTTTTTGGCTCGGTCCAAGAGCCATGCATGGGACTAATATCATATCGTACAAGAAGCAACGCAGCGAGAGCCAAGATCTCTCCTGTGGCAAAATGGCGCCCAGGACAGATATGAGGAGATATCCCGAAGGATAAAAACCCAGAAGCCTTTGATTTCTTGTCCGTCATCTGACTGGTCTTGGTAAAGCGCTGGGGCTCAAAGTTCCCGGAGTCCAACCCCCACGCCGAGCTATTTGTGTTGATGGCCGGCGCAGGAATCAGGAGGATGGAGCCGGCCTTCAAGAGCCAGTGATCATTTAATAGGGTATCTTGGTATACCACACGGAGCTGACCGGAGTTAGATCGTGTCCTCAGGGTCTCTTGGAATGACGAGAGGAGCATCGGGCACTTTGTCCGGATATCTGCTAAATCAAGGCTATGGGTTCCAGTCGAGTCGATGGAGATCGCATTCTGATGAATCTCATCCTGTATCGTTCGTAATAGCTCCGGGCGGGATAATATATCAAAAAGCAGCCAAAAACAGCTTGGGACCGTGTTAGAGAGAATCCCAACCCCGGTTAGTATCTCCAATCTTGCGATATCCTCCAGAGTGGCTCCAGCCTCTTGCTGGACCTTCCATCGAGCATAAACTAGATGAGACGCAGAAAGATGTCCATCCGTTTGGTAGAACTGAATAAAAGCCTGGACCAGCTGCTCTCTACCTTTCCAGGCCTTCCGGCAAGTAAGCCAGGGGAGCGTATCGGCGAGAAGCAGGCTCAAGTTTGATTCAAAATCCCTATACACAGTTAATCGTGGAGAACAAGGCAAGCAAAAGCGAAGACTCAAGGCGACATAATTACCAGAAGGCTTTTCTGATAGCTTCAGATTTGTAGGGATTCAAAGGGCCATAGATAGCATCTGTACTGGCAACCGTGAGTGCATCGTTGCACCATCCATATAAATCCAGTGAGCGGGTAGGAATCGAAGCCACTTGATCGACGTTGGGTTTAAGGACATGGATCATCTGCTCATTGAGATGGTCAAGCTTGTTTCCGAGTAGCGCAGGACGCATAGCTTCCACCGTTTGCTTAGCAAGTCCCTTGCCTCCCCGTTCTTCCTCCCGAAGGAGCTCCAGGCCAGCCTTTGGAATGCCCCCCGCCCGCTCTGCCATGGCTGTGAACAGGGGATCGAATGACATGGTGCTGCGACTATGTCGCACGGACGGGAGCAAGTCGGGAGAAGTAACGATATATACTCTTTTCTTGAGGATATCCATGGTGAAAATTGGCAGGGCATGTTTACGACTAAGACATTTAGCATCCTACAGCTTTTTCAAAAGGGGCCCGTATGCCTCTCAATACCTTTCTGCGGCGAAATATCCAATTCCATGGACGAGAAAGGAGATCAGGTGGCCAACCAGTGGAATTGTGCTTGCAACAAGAGGTGGCTCGCGGGGATCCAATTTCACCCGTAGAGTGAACAGGAGGAAATACCCCAGAAGGGCGATCCCGCTCACTCCCAGAGTCGTAGTGAGGTCCGGCATGGTCGTTAGATTCTTATCGAGAGGCAGATTGTTGGATGGAGCACCTTCGACTATCTACCATCGATTTTTAAATAAATAGTCCCGCCAGGAACGATTAGTACCGAGTGAAAATTGACAGTAATTTCCGTGATGTATTCCGTACAACAGATTAATTTTAATTTAAATTTATTTTTTTTTAGTTCTCAAGCTATTGAACTCCGAATCGGTAATTTATCTCTAGATTGCCACGCTGAGTGGAGCCCCTTGCGTGTACCGTTTTGTGCCGCTAGTATTTTACGTATCCAATGTAAACAATATATACGGACTAGGGAGTTTAGGATCTTCAGCCCACTCGAGCATTAAGTTCTGTCTCGCGACTGACCTTCCATTGGACTCCTTAATAGAACATGGTGAAAAATGAACCGGTGCTACTCCGGCAAGCCCGAGATTGGAGACAACATATATTTTCGAAAAGCCCCCACACCAAAAGTTGAGGTTGGTGGTTAGCTTCCGTTTCACAGGTTGGGATACTCCAAATCGCCTGCTGCAGAGCATTGCACAGAAACTAAATGGATGAATCTACAAGCTCCGCGGGGAGCCTGTGCTTACTCGCGCTTGTGGTGGGCTTTACTATCCAGACTGTTTACCGGCTGTTTTTCCACCCTCTTTGCAAGTTTCCAGGCCCAAAACTGGCGGCGATTTCTCATCTGTACGAGTTCTACTACGATGTGATTTGCAACGGTTCTTATCTCTGCAAGCTTGAGCAATTGCATCAGAAATATGGTAAAAAGCCTGGTAGCACCCAGCGGCGTACAGAGACTTGGTTTTGCTGACAACCCTAAAGGGCCAGTCGTACGAATTAACCCGCGTGAACTTCACGTCAATGATCCTTATTACTATGAACAAATCTATGCAGGCAGCTCGCGGGTCCGAGAAAAGGATCCCAGATTCATTGGCGTGTTTACTACACCGTTGCCGATGGTTGCAACCGTTGGTCATGAACACCATCGGCTTCGCCGCAGCCTCTTGAGCAGCTACTTTTCGAGACGATCCTTGAAGAAGGCCGAATCGGTTATCGAACAAAAGGTAGACCGCGTGCTTGTCCGCTTTCGCTCCGCCTTTGAATCTCAGGCAGTCATGCCTCTACACCGTGTTTTTGCGGCTCTGGCAGCAGATGTAGTCTCAGAGTACTGCTACGGGGCGAGCCAGGGATACCTGGAGCAGAAAGTCTTCCAGAATCAGATGATTGACGCAGTCAATTATGTCATGTCCATGTGCCATATCAACAAGTTCTTCCCTATCATGCCCAAGATCCTTCGTTGCGTGCCGATCGGACTTATGGAGAAGTTGGGCCTTCAGATGGCCGATGTCATCGCAGTGAGGAACCTGATCCGTCGACAGGCGGCGAAGTCTCTTGACAAGGAATCGCTGTCGCATGACAACGACATGCTCTCGAAAAATGTGTTTGATGCTCTAGCTGTCGCCGATGTCCCACCACAAGAGAAGACGCTGCGTCGCCTTGAAGAAGAGGGTGCGGCTCTCTTCGGTGCTGGTATTGAGACTACCGCAAGAGCCTTGACAGTTGCCATGTTTCATTTGATCAGTGATGAGACTATGAGATGTAAGCTACGCGACGAGCTCAAACAAGTCATGCCTACTCCGACCAGCCGACCAACCTGGGCCGAGCTTGAACAATTACCGTATTTTGTATGATTGTGCTATGTGAATGTTGTTACTGCTCAATACTAATAGAGCCTTGCCAGACCGGAGTGATTAACGAGTCCCTGCGGCTATCACATGGACTGGTGGCTCGGTCTCCTCGCGTTGCACCTGTCGAATCATTAGCATACGGTGAATACATGATCCCACCTGGCGTAAGTAGACCGCACAAAGCTGTAACGCAGTGAGTCAATCGCTAACAGCCATCGTGCATCAGACACCCGTGAGCCAGTCGGCCTACTTTGTCCATATGAATCCCCAGATTTTCCCTGAACCGGAATCGTTCAACCCTGACCGATGGGTCAAAGCCGCTGAAAATGGACAATATCTGAACAGATTCCTTGTTTCATTCTCTAAGGGAAGTAGGCAATGTCTAGGATTAAAGTACGTGTCTCTTTTACTTTCCTTTTCCCTCTCCACTAGACTAACGGTATTCAGTTTGGCCTATGCCGAACTCTACTTAACACTAGCGAGAATCGTTCGTCTCGTTGATATGCAACTTGTGGATACCACCATCAACAATATCCAGGTTGGACGGGACCTTGGCCATCCAGCCCCGAAGTCTGGTAGCTTTCAGGTTAAGGCCAAAATCATGGAGATTATAGGTGATTCTTAGGAGGACTGAATCATGTAATCAGCCGGACTGATTCTGCATGAGCCTTTTCAGGATACAATCGTTGCCGGATTGTCAGGTAGAGGGCAATAACCGACTTCAATAAGTGTATATACATTAAAGATCTAATAGGGTCACGCTATAGAATTTTTCAACGGTTGGAGATATCCCTAATAGAGATATGAGATCATAGCAAGATGTACACGACTCCTAACGATATAAACTCAGGCGGAAACATAAGTCGTACTTCACTACCATGAAACGCGCGTTGTCCTTGCACTGTACAAGTCTAGAATGCAGTCAATGTGCTTGGCATATCATCCGTTGTTGCCTGCAAAGATACAACCAAGTATAGATGGTATCCAAGCCACCTCCCAGTGACCCTCACTAGCTAGATCCCAATTATAAAAAGAGTTATATCCAGTCAATACCGACACGAGAATCGCACAATTTCCCCGATGTCTGGGATATCCAGTTGTCTGGATCTCGATTATCCCTGCATGTCTGCTGAAAGGTACTGCTTCGGATTAATTCGACCCCCGTATTCGGCGGAGCGTTCCACATTTCGTCGCTATCCGGCATGCAAAAGTCTAGATCTGCCAGAGTTAGAAGCTCGCCTCTCTTGTCACTGCCATCTCTCTCGAACGTGGCACTCCGAGTACAGAGCCGACAAAGTTTATATAGCGCCAGCCCGAAACGCTTAATTTCCTCCACGTCCACCCATATGAGCGCTATCGGGGCAGAGGAGTGGTGCCTAGCTAGCATATTCGGATAGTAGAACAAACCGAGCCGGCGACAGGTTTCCACGAGCGATGTGAGGAGTTCATATGTAGCATCCTGTAGTTGAAAACGCATGTTCAAATCAAGAGAGGTCTCTTGTTTTGCCACAAACACGGCGAATATAAGCTGTAGAAGGATGCTCTGGTAGGTCGCCATGGGCCAGGAAGTGTCCTTGTTGCGGCCAGCCGTCCAATCGGATATATACCATTGACTCTGTTAGGCAGAACGTCAGCAGAAAGTTGGCTTTTGTGAGCAGGACATCGATTCACACCTTTTGAGCTTGAATCGCAGAAAGCAAATTACGATGGAAAGTCATCGCCGTGTCCCGCGCGGCTTGGTCGCCTTTGATCCACAACCCAATCATTAACATTGATTGGAGAAGGATGCACGGCTCTTTCGAGAGCTCGAATGTCCCCCAATGTAGAAACGGCCAAGTGGGATGAAAGTCGTGAAAGTAGATATCAATGAAGTCCTGAGCGATCCACCGGGATTCACCAGGCACCCTACTCACTATATCCGCGTTCAAGCGCGTTTGGGCCTCTTGGGATGTGCTGTTGCCACGAGCCGCCCCCGGAAGACGTGGACAGGTAGCTCCTCGCTGCTGACATCGATTGCATGGGTATCCACCGTCACACCGTTCCTTTCGAGCATGGCAGGCTCCGCAAGCCTGCCGCGCTCGAGACTGCGGAGGATCTCTCTCAGGATGATAGTTCCGGATATGGCGACGTAAGAGGTCGCTGAAGGATAGTTAGTTTTCACGATAACTCACACGAGGCTCATCATGGTACATTCTTTCTAGCTAGGGTGCTATCACAATACGGACAGGAGAAGCGCTCCCCTTTAGCATGATTGGCCATATGTCTGTTTAAGTGTTCTTTCCGTTGATAACTCATACTACATCCCGGGTGCTTGCATTGGAAAGACGGTGGAGCGGAGCTAGCATCTGAGCGTGGCGGCATCGTAGCATACGTACGTCGTGGTATTGTTTGCAATATACAGGAGAAGATGTGAGGATATCGCAAGAGGGATGCCGAGTGGCAAGATCCCTCGCCAGCTTTTTTATCTGGTTTACTAAGCTCATGGGTCAGTCGGCATCCCGCTCGGTCACTCCCGCTCGGTACAACTATATAGGATATAGGAGGTATAAGTGACGTTTCTGTTTATCCTTTCATATTTTCGAATTCCAGTCAAACTGTTGGTTGTTTCAGTATCATTTAGTTCTATTTTCTGGGTCGTGCGTGATTCAGTTTCGGTGAGAGGCCTACGGCTATGGGTTCTTTCCGCCACTCCGACATAACAGACATATCCGTCAACGAGCCTGAGCTGACTCCAAGCTATACAGCAGATGCACAAGGCTACACTGCTCATACACTTGAACCCACCGTCTCCAAGCTGCCAAGTTTGGAAAACTCTTCTGATTACGAGGTCTTCTGGGAACCGGAGGACCCCGAGAACCCTCGTCTCTGGCCGTTATGGTACAAAAGTGTCAGTATTGTGACAATGAGCCTTGGAGCGACAGTGGTCAGTCTCTCCAGCACTTTATACACTTCAGGAATCCCCGGCCTCGAGGATGAATTCCACATATCGAAATTTGTCGGTCTGTTCGGTGTCTTTACCTACCTACTTGGCATGGGGGTGGGAACTATTGTATTCGCTCCTCTAAGCGAAGTTGTCGGTCGACGACCCATTTACTTAGTCTCCATGACCGTCTTTCTCTTGCTCATCCTCCCGAGCGCTTTGGCTCGTAATATCGAAGCGATCTTAATCAGCAGATTCTTCGGAGGTCTCTTCGGCAGCGCGATCATGGGCAACTCTCCCGCCTCGGTGAATGATATTGTCTCTGATAGACATCGCGCCCTGGCGTTTGGTATCTGGTCAATTGGACCTACTAATGGCCCTGTGTATGGCCCGATAATTGGCGGTTTTGTGTTCCAGTATCTGGGCTGGAGGTGGACGAACTGGATTGTTCTGATCTTTGGTGGTGCAATGCTCGTCTTGATGTGTTTTATCGAGGAAACATACGCTCCGGTGATCCTCCAAAAGCGAGCAGCAAGACTCCGGAAAGAAACAGGGGATCCCAAGTGGTGGACACGATACGATGGTGGAGAAGATCTGTCAAAAAGACTCAAGACAGGTCTTAACCGGCCGTTCGTCATGCTTGTGACCGAGCCAATCTGGTAAGCACTTGCCCTGAATTCCCTACGCCCGTACCCACGAGGCTAACCCGACGGTAACCCATTACAGCATATTCTGGGACAGCTACATCGCGATTGTGTACGGCATTCTTTATCTGTGTTTCGTTGCCTACCCCATCGCCTTTCAGACAGAGCGTGGCTGGTCACCTGGAATTGGGGGCCTCTCCTTCATTGGCATGGGGTCCGGCGTCCTAATCACCATTGCATGCGAGCCTCTCTTCCGCAAAGCCATTGATCGCCATCGCAAGGACCCTGTAACCGGCGAGGTGTCTCCAGAGGCGATTGTCAGCGTTGTTATTCTGGGCGCAATTCTCCTCGCGGCTGGGCAGCTGTGGTTCGCCTGGACTTGTACACCGAATGTACATTGGATCGTGTCCATTCTGGCCGGGGTTCCGTTTGGTGCTGGCAATGCATGTGTTTTCATTTATGCCAGTAGCTACATCGCCCGCTCGTACGGTATCTACACTGCCTCTGCGATGGCGGGGAATATGTTCTTCCGCAGTCTCATGGGCGCTTGTCTGCCGCTTGCCGGCCCGTCGATGTATAGCGCGCTGGGGCTCAACTGGGCCAGTACTTTGCTGGGTCTTGTCGAGGCAGCGTGTGTCTCCATTCTGATTGTCTTTTATTTCTACGGGCATAGGATTCGTAAGGCAAGTCCCATGATTCAGGAGATGGAGAGGATGCAGGCGGCGATATGAGATACCTCCGCCACCAGTCTTCTTAAAGTTACTAGGACTGTTGGGTCATTGTGTGATATTATTTTGCGCTAGAGTAGGATTATTATGTTACAATAATATATTCATGCGTACAATATACAATCGAACCTTAGCGATCTTTGGGACCTGCTGTAGCTGTTTTAACGCCATACATGGCTATATGTTTAGCTCATCTGCAGGTACTACTGCTTCGGTTTATAACAACGTTATTGCTTGGTAGGCCTTGCATGCAATTTCATATCTACCAATCCCTGAGCTCCGAGACAAGTTCTAGCTATGGCTGTGCAGCTAACTACTAACCTCCCGGCGTGTTGGCTTCAACGCAACCTCGAGTCTGGTAGCTGCCGCCCGGGTGGGCTATGTATCATCTATGGAAATATTAGGTCAAATCAAACCATTTCTTCCGCTCCACTAGGCGCAACTAGACCCGGAAGCGTCAAAGTATCCAACTTTTGTTCAGTTGGAAGGTGTACTTCTCCCTCAGTCAACCCGCCACCCAACTCGTGCAGTGCTTGCGAATAGTCATCCAATAGTTTCTCTACGTCCTCAGACGAGAATAGTTTATCGTCATAACACATGCGGACAAAGAATCCGTTCGTCGGCAGAAGCGTGCATTCCACGAGCAGGCCATACCAATGGAAATGCCGCATTTCCCGGGCTTCCACGCGCGGGCCTGAAAGAATCGGACCGGGGAAGGGGGATGTTGAAGCCGAAGTCAGCCCTTCTGGAATCGGCTGAATCACGAGCAAGGTCTGCATCTCGTCGCATACTGCTCGGACCTGGGCATCGATCGCGCGGATGCGGTCCATCCCATCATGCTCGAAAGGAATCATCGCTGTCGCGTCGGCCTGGACACGGGCGAGGAAGGAAGCGGGTTTCTCATTCGATGCAGCAGACATGCGTATGCGGATCGGCGCATGGGTCAAGGTAGGTGCGACCAACGCGTCAACCCCTGGAAGATGGAGATTGCGACCGGTCAAAATCGTACCAAAGACAACGTCTGAGGGGGTGGAGCTGGTCTGGAGTTGTGCCAGTGTACATGCCCAAGCCCCGCGGATGAGAGTCGCTTCGGTCAGTCCGTGCTGCTGCAAGGCTGGTACTACACCAGACTGAAATGTTACCAGACGCTGCGTTCCACAGTTGGCGCATGGTCGGTATGTCGAATCTACGATTGGAAGAGGAAGGTCTCCAGAGCCCGGGCTGGGGCGCAGATAGGACCGCCAGAATTGCTTTGACTCATCCGAAAGATCGGAAGGATGCTCGTTTATTTGGGCAAGAAATGCCGCAAAGGAGACCGAATCTGGTGGCAGCGGGATAGACTGGTATACAGCGTATATTGCCCCCAAAATATGACCCAATGATATACCGTCGAATATTGAATGATGCATTGTCAAGATGCAGTGAGTGCTATCTGAGGTCAATGCCCATCGTGTCAACGGTTTGTTCAGGGCCGGTGCCTCCTTGGCATCGGCTTCTACATATGCTGCGAGTGATTCCGGTCGCTGCCAGCTGAGAGTTTCTCGTATGACAACTTGAATGAGCCTGTCTGAGTGCTGGACAAACCGAGTGCGCAGAATGGGAAACCGTTGAAACACTCGAGCACATGCACTCAGATAGCGAGGGAGATCCAAATCTTCGGCAAGTAAGATCACCTCCTGGCCCATCTGCGTTCGATCCCCAGACAGCGAATCACGCATCATCTCGTCCTGCAGTGGGGTACAAGGATAGATATCTTCTACCTGGTCGTGGAGTACTCCACATTTCTCCGCCACGTACGCGACCAAGTCTTCGATCTGGAGGTCCCCGGGGGCCATCAACTCAAATGGCACTAGGTTCCTTGTCTGGACAAGTGGTCGGACAAGACTTGCTTGATCAGCCAGAACCGGACACTTGAAGACATCCGCAACGGTGAGGGTGAGTTGAGCATCTCTTGCTGCCCGATTTACCAGCCTCATTGCTGCCAGTGAGTCACCTCCCAGGGAGAGGAAGTTATCCTTCCGACTGATGCTGTCGGTTTTCATTCCCAAGACCTGTGCCCATAGTTGAGCCAGGGTTGACTCAGCCGGGCTGACAGTCTCAAGTGGAGCAGCAAATGAATCAGTGGCACCGTCTGTAGGAGAGTTTACGTTTTTATTTTCAAAAGTAGATAAAAAGGCGAGGGAGTGCTGGGTACAGAAATATCGCAGTGCCTTGCGATCCAGTTTTCCAGAAGTGGTCAAAGGAAGCTTATGAACCGGGAAACATAGTCCCGGTATCATGTATGCAGGGAGTGTGCGCTCCATCTCGGTCTGCAAAAGTGAGACCATATGGTTGAAGCGCTTTCGTGCGGTGGGTGTCAAGCAAGCTGAGAGAGGTGGTTTTGCCGGTTGGAGATCAAGATCGATTCCCTCATCCCAGGTGATGAATGCACACAGGAGCGGCGCTGTTGATTCTTTGGGATGCACCAACTCAACGGCCGCCGAAGATGATAAATCAGACAGGGCCTGATGGAGGCGATACTCAACCTCACCCAGCTCGATACGTTGGCCTCGAAGTTTGACTTGCGTATCCTTGCGACCTTCAAAAAGCAATGCCCCGCCAGGCCCATAGCGTGCCAGATCCCCTGTTTTATAGAATCGACTGCGAGGGGGCGGAGGGCCAAAAGACGCCAGCCATATGGGAGGCTGCGCAAGGAAGACCGCGTTTGTCTTCACGGGATCATTTAGATATCCCCTTGCCACCAGTGGCCCTTCGATGAGTAGCTCCCCCACAGCTCCAATAGGCATAAGCCGGTCGTGGTTCTCAGGATGGACGATCCAGGCCCGCGCACCAATGGCATGACCGATGTTAGATACGGCAGTACCAGAAGAGACGTCAGGCTGGATTATGCACCATACTGTACATTCCGCAGGCCCGTAGATATTCTTCAGGGCTACCTTTTCGACCCACATATTGATACAATGCTGCGTGGCGGGCTCACCTCCCAGCGTAAGTTTCTTCAGTTTTGGGACCTCCACTGGGGTGAGAAGACTAGCGACAGTCGAGGTTAGACATGCTTGATTGACACCCAGGCGATTGATAGCACCGGATAAATCATGCGCTCTTTCCCAGTTTGACGGAATGCAGATACATGCCCCGTGAGTCAAGGCTGCGAAGATGTCGCCGATGCTGACATCAAATGTATATGCTGCATATTGTAGCACGCGTGATCCAGCCGTAATATCCATTGCTTTGGCCTGGGCCGTCACACTGCTACAAAGCGAAACATGCTCGACGACAATGGCCTTCGGTGTCCCAGTGCTGCCCGATGTGCAAACGACATAGGCCGCATTTGTGGGACCTAGATTCCCGGAAGAGATGACGGTGTCCTGCTGCGCATGATCCGGCTGAGCCGCGAACATTTCACGGTGTATCACCAGAGATGGGCAGTCGGGGACGGATCTCACCACTTTATCGCGTGTCTGCTCCGAACATAGGAACAACTTAGAAGCGGTGCTTTTGATCATAGCTTGGTGCCGAGCCGGAGGATGCTGGGGGTCAATATGCAGGAAAGCTCCTCCGGCTTTGACTACGGCCAGCATGGCCACAATCGCCCAGACGGACTTCTCAAAGCAGAGGGCGACAATCGTCTCTGACACCACACCAAAATCACTTTGTAGCACTCCAGCCAGTCGGGACGAAAGGCGATCAAGTTCCCGGTAATTAAGTTCACCGTCCCAGGCGGCCACTGCGGAGGCTTCTGGGGTAGCAGCGACCACGTCCTGGAACATTTCTTGCACAAGGCGATCAACAGGATCCGGGCAATACGAGTTCCATTGAAGAAGCTGCTGGTGATCCCAAATACCGAAGAGATTGACGTCGCGAATGTCCACATTGGGGGCTAAGAAGATGGTCTGGAGTGCGTGTTCTAGAGATCGAGTCAAATGGAATGCGTGACCACTAGAGACCAAATCTGGATTCCAGGATATATGAAGCCGGGGCTGTTCATCCGAAGGGTAAAAATATATTATCGTTCCCATCTGTCCAAGACCGTCAGCATAAGTGCCGAGTTAGTGAACTTCCAGTGTTAGTATTTCACTTACCCCCGGGTCAATCGGCGTGACTGGGTCAAACAACCCATCTTCCTTCACCAAGAATAGCATCGTTGTGAGAGCGGGGGATTTACTACCTGGGAGCTGATCGGAAGACAGATACCAATGGACTGATGGGTCTTCCCATCGCTGGAGTATCCAGCTGATAGAGCGACTCTCATCCAGATGGAGAGACTCCCACTGTAGAGCATGAGTGTCACTTCCTCTAGGCATTGTTTTGTCATCAATGGTGCTCCAGCATGGCGAGGGGATTGCCAGATGGCACCGCAAGAGCAACGCCCAACCCAACTGGACGATGCTTGATGGAGGGATGCCATATGCCTTTGCGAAAGAATTCAGTTGCGCTGGGAGAACAATCGATGCAGACAGCGTCGGGGACAAATGATCTTCGGTTGAAGAGCTGGAGGGCACCATCCCCGAGTCTACCGGGGAAGAATGGCTGAAATGTGACATTGTTGCTAAGCTAGCTCAAGATGGTATTCGACCAAGAAATATAATGCGGAGTGCCTAGAGGCAATTTAAACGGGAGCCGAACCAGGGTGCTTTTGCTTATGGGATGAGTTCCCGCTATGGGAAGTACTACAGAGAAACTTGGATCGAGGGCTGACCCACCTGGATATTAATATGGACAATACATAATAGAACAGTATTACTCCGTACATGCATCCCGCCTCACGCTCGGAATGGGCCCAGTCCGTGCTAGGGCCAGCTGGGCAGCGGACCTGGGAGTGGCACAGCCTCAATCCTACAAATAGTAGGACAGGATTCATGCTGAGATATACCCATGTATGATTATTTTTTTTTTCTCTCTCCCCATACCTCGTGAGAATGAAGGCCATCATCAGCGTAAGCCCTGGGCGAGCCGCCCTCGTCCATGACCGACCGCTTCCCTCTCTACGAAATGGGTATCTCTTGGTCCGAACAAAAGCTGTGGCGTTAAATCCCACTGACTGGAAGCATATTGAGATCACTGAGAGGCCCGGAATCTTGTTTGGATGCGACTACGCAGGGGTTGTCGAGAAGATCGGGCCGGGAATTTCTTCGCGCTTCCAGGTCGGCGATCGCGTTGCTGGATTTGTGCATGGAGGCAACTCTGAGGAACCCCAAGATGGAGCCTTCGCTGAGTATATTCTGGCCAAAGCCGACATTCAAGTCCTCATTCCTGAGCACATGAGCTTTGAAGAAGCCGCTACGCTTGGAGTGGGCATCACATCAGTTGGACAGGGGCTCTACCAAGCCCTCCAACTGCCGTTCCCTGGAACACAAGGGGAAGACCCCAAAACACCAACCGAAGAGCAGCAGCCCCTCCTCATCTATGGGGGATCAACCGCGTCTGGTGTGCTGGGGATTCAATTTGCGAAGCTCTCGGGATTTGCACCTCTAGCCGTTTGCTCTCCAGATCACTTCGATCTGGTAGAGACGCTGGGGGCCGTGGCTCAATTTGACTATGCTGATGGTGAAGAGGCTGTCCAAGAAATTCAGGACTACGTGGATCGCATGAGCAAACCCCTACGGCTGGCCTGGGATACTGTATCAATCCCATCGAGCGCACAGTTCTGTGGCGATGCACTGTCCGCTCTCGATGAGTGTCACTACGCTTCTCTGCTACCCATAAAATGCCAGCGGTCAGATGTGACTAGCACCACGACCATGGCCTATACCGTGTTTGGCGAAGATTGGGGCATGGGCGCCACGCAATTCCCGGCGATTGCTACAGATGCCGAATTTGGCCGTCGGTGGTGGGCCTTGGTGCAGGAGCTGTTGGATCAAGGTCGTATCCAGACGCATCGCATTATCATTGGTGAGAATGGGCTGGATGGAGTTCTGGCAGGGTTAGAGCGGTTGCGGGACTCTCAAGTGCGCGGCGCTAAGCTGGTCTATCGGGTTTGATGCTCAGGATGTGGACTACTAGAAAGAGACAATGCTGGTGTGAACCTACACTTTACTCAATACCATGACGGTTTAGAATTTTCTACGAGATTTTCGTTCAAAAAATAAACCTCTGATATCCGTCTAAATACATGTCGTCAAACATTCTCGATATCCTTCACGCCTCGACTAGCTAACCATTCTGAAACCACCCCCTGGAAATCTCGCGGCTGGTAAAGGCCGCAAATTTCAGCTACCATATTGGCTTTTCGATGTGGATTTACCCCCAAATCCCGGTAGAGCATATCAACATACTGTAGTAGTTAGTTACCACTACGAAGAAGTGGGCATTTAGGGCTTACCGGAAGAAAGTCAAACAACGCAAAAGGAACCTTGCGCCCGCAGATATAGCGACGACGAATCCAGGCATTTGTTCGAGCGACTTCAGATATGCGTTCTGATGGTTCTGGCACGTCCAATGCCCCCGTCAAATAAGCCGTCGCCCACAAGGACTGCGCCTCGTAGACGATGGGCGCGCCGGCGGTGCGAAGGAATCCGACGTACGCAATGGATCGTTCGTGGGATGGGGGTTCACTGCTGGGTGCGATGAAGCGGTACAGATGATAATCATCTTCACAGCGGAATGGGACTGAAGGGAGAGGGCTCTTCTGGAGGATTGGCATCTCCTCTACGATCTCCTGATCCGCTTTTCTCTGGAGGCGAATCCATTCGGATTGAGACTTGGGGTTAAACGATACGGCGGACGGTAGACCCACAGCCAGCTGCTCGTCTGGCTTGAACAGAGTATGTCGAGCATGCCATCCAGTGGCACACACCACCAAATCAGCAGATAGTTCAACTCCATTGTCCAGGATGACGCGTTTGTCCTTCCCAAGGGCTGTGATTGCCTGGCGGTGTATTGTCACTCGCTCTCCGGAGTGAATGTCATCCCACAGCTCCGGGTGCGTCATAACTCCCAGTGTAGCTGGGCTCCAGAACAGGCTGTCTAGAGCTAGTAGAGGCCTGAGACGCCTGCCATTAGCGCTCTGGTTATACTTCCACGGCCGTTGTAATAGATAGGCCAAGATACGCCAGAAGCCGATGACAGCCAACTGTGCCAGTCGGCCGGAACGCCGGTGCATCACTCGTTGCCACCAGGAGGCTTTCGCCGCGGTGGCGAAGGGATGCGGCGAGAAGAGAGCTAATAGGCGACTATTATTGAGGCGGAAGCTGGGTTGACCGAGGATCGAGAGCGGCGTCATCATCGAAGGTCCGCCGCCCTGCTCGCGAATCACCCAGTCCACAGTCTTCCCGGCGCGTAGGAGCAGGTACACTGCGTCAAAGGCTGACTTAGACCCTCCGTACACGACGGCATGACGAACCGATGGGTCTGAAATGCGGTCACCAGTTTGTGGATGGCCCAGCACCTTGCTATGCAGCACCTCGCCCTCAAACTCCTGGCGGCCTGGCAGAGACGGCATGTACGGCTCCGATGTGAGTCCTGTCGCGATGATGATCTTTTTCGTCGGAATCTGTTCGCACGAGCCCGCTACCGTCAACATCCACCGAGGTGCTTCATTATCACCAATAACGGCGGGCTCGCGCCGTACATTCTCGATCCAAGTGTTGAGGCGAATGCGGTCGATGAGGTCAAACTTGGTGGCATATTCGGTGAGATACTCGTGAACGGCGGCACTTGGAATGCGCCCATCGGGCAACACGGTGTCGCGGCGCATCGGGAGATCAGAGAACTCGAAAAGACCATGATGCGCTTCCGCCACGAGATGCGGATAGAGTCGCTCTTTGCTCCAGGTGCCGCCAATACTGGAATCGCCATCCACAAGGAGGAGGCGCGCATCCGGACATACTTGAAGATATGTTTTGGCGGCGACGAGCCCGCACCATCCTGTAACAGGTCACGCGGATTAGTGCGAGCTATCAGATCGCGATCTTTCGGGGACCAGGATACTCACCCGCACCGATGACTATCACGTCGTACATAGCAGCAACGAAAAGGACTCTGTCGCGAGAAATTGGGCTCACCACCTCCCCTCGTTCATTGTCTCCAAGCCATCACAGAAGGTAAGAGTGTTTACTAGTGGATCCCTTCACTCGGAGTAATCGAACGGGCATTGCTCGGGTGGAACAGGCCAGATCCAACGACGGTGGACAGTGGATCCTTAGTAGAGGCGTCTTCAAGCGTCCAATCGGGCAAACCTCGCGAATCCATCGCACTGCCTCAGTGCTATTTAGATACACCCAGAGGCATGGCCTGAGAAGGGAATCCCAATGACATCGTACTGCCAGTGTACGCACGCCCAGACCATTACTCCTTTCGCTTCAGAAATTGACAGTCTCCATATTCTTGACCCAAACCATGGTGCATCTGACCCCGCTCATCTTCTTGAGCCTCGCCATGGCCGCCGTGGTGGGTGTTTGGGGTGTCTTTACCTGGAATGGAGGTTTTGACGAGATGGACGGCATCGTGGCTAGCCATCCATCGACAGGGATTCTCGGGCTGCAACACTGCCCCGATCTAGATCGTGGCCTCATGTCGATGGTTGCGTTCAATCTCCCTGTCGTTGGCCGCAATCCCATCTTCCCCGCTGGGCGCCGGTTTATGGTGCAGTTTCTCGCCAATGTGGCTGTCATCCCCGTTATCCTGAATACGGAGGGGGCCCGAGCGGAACCAGGCAGCTTGGCACGGTAGTGGGTCTTCCTGTAATATGCCTCTGCTTGGCATGGCATGAGGTTGCAATCTGGATAGGAGCTAACATCCCTAGTTCTACCGCGTGGGGGCTGTTCTCGCAGATGGCCACCTCGGCGGTGATGTGTCCGCTGTATGGCTTCTGGTTTGTGCGACAGTCCAGTGCGAAGAAGCAAACGGAGGGTTGCACTCTTCGCCCTCTTCCACCCAACAAGTGGGTGGTACCCTCCAGCGTACTCATTGGCTATGGGATTCCGGCCTTGCTGTCGTTCGACCCATTCCAGTGGGGCCTCGACCTGCACATCCGGGGGATCCTGGCTTTTACGCTATATCCTCTGTGCATCTCTCTGACAGCACGCCTGATGAGGAACGTGAGCAAGGAGTGGGGCAGATCCTTGAGCCCCGAGTGGAACTCGACCATCGGGTATGTCGCGGTGGGGGTCGTGGGCATGGTCAGTCATCTGTGGTATCTCGGGACGGGCCTTACAGGATCTTCACTTTGGGGTAACGCTGTCAGTTCCGTGGCGGGACCCGCCGAGGTCGGGAGAGCCGCTCAGCTCGTGCTCTTATTCCTACAGATCGACTATGTGATTACCTTTGCAGCCATGTTGCTCCTGGCCTGGCACGAACTGACCCGGCATCAGCTTGTGCGGTCGTGGCGGGCGGCGGGCACATTGGCAGTTGGGTGGCTATTCCTCGGGCCAGGGGCAACGCTCGCGGCGGCGTGGGCTCTGCGTGAACAGTGGCTTTCTAGGCCACGGGGCTTTCGAGGAGAGATTACGCAGAAGCCGAAATAAACCTGGACCCGCCCCATGGTTGGTTGCAGGAGGCCAACCAAGACTCAAGAGCGAGTGTACTGGAGTACGTACGGTATGGTATGGAATTATACATACTGGTAAAGGCTAGTTTCGCGGGGGAGATGGACATAAGCACTAGGAAGCTAGTGAGTAGTGAGCAAACAACATGTGCACGAGTTGCATTCCGAGAGACAAATAAACCAATTGCCTATCTAGGATGGTCACAAGTTTTGCTCCATGATACCATGCAGGGATTGAAATTTGTCTAGACAGATCCATCGCTCTGGTGTGGGGAAGAAGGCTTCAGGATGGATGACAGCAAATGACCGCGGCCGGCAAGAAACTTCTCCATCTCCGCCCACAGTCGTTGCTGTAGTATCTGACCTTGCGGACCTTCCGCAAATTTCGACAATCTATGTGCAAAAGAGAAAATCTCAAATTAGTCACTCTTCAATGGGGAGGTATCATCAAAGACAAAACAGTATAAGGCGGCTTACCGAGTCGGTTTCCCGTCCCGCAAGTAGGCCCCATGCATCTGAGGGCCTTGGGCTGTCGCTGCGAAGACATGCAGAGCCCCTCCTTGCTGGATGGAACGAGCGGAGATTAGCTGGATGAGCCGCGTCATCACACTATCGGGAAAGAAGTTCGAAGCGCAGAACCCCGGCGTGGTGATGACCACACTAGTGGCCATCTGCATGGTGGTCAGCCTCCGGGATAGCTCTTTGCCAATCAATGCTAGAAACAGCTTGGCACGGTAGTATTGGTCATCGGCACTGCCAAGACTCTCCTTCTGTCGGAACGATGAGAGAATTGGCAGACTATTCTCCGTGGGCTCGGGAAGAACAGGAAATGTTGTCCAAGCATGAGCCTCGGAGGTCACTAAGACAAGGCGTGGGCCTTGTGGAGAGGCTCCTGGGGCTGTGGTGGTGGTCTGAAGCAGAGGAAGGAGCCTGAATGCGAGGTAGGCGGTGCTAAGGAAGTTCACCTGGAACAGGGAACTGTAACCATCGGGGGTCATCCGATCGTCGTTAGCAAAGAATCCTGCATTGAGCAGGGCCAGATCGAGATGTATAGCGCTCGCGTGGAGCCCGTCCACAAAACGGTCGACAGATGAGAGGTCTTCCAGGTCCAGCTTGGCTACCTGTACGGCAATATGAGGCGTATCCTGCTCAAGCTGACGTTTGACCTCGTCTGCTTTGCTTAGATTTCTCGCCCCTAGGATCAGAAGTCGTGGACCCAGCTGAGCAAGCTGGCGTGCGGCCTCTAGACCGACACCGGATGTTGCTCCTGTTACTAGCACCGTTTGCGAAGCCAGAGAGATATCAGCGGCCGCTGGTGGTGGTGGCCAACCAGTGAATTTCTGGCGCAATGCATATGGGAGAGGGCCATCCGAGGTGAAGTCACTGATGGCCGGATTGGTCACCATCATCCTTAATGGTTCGGGGAGATAGCCTGCCATCATGGAAATGCGAGCTTCCTCAGTACGAATCCACAGAGAAACGTTCACGGTGGGCTGGTATGGATCGCAATCCATCGTCGTAAATATACAAGTTTCAGACCCCCTCCTCCGAGGCTAGTCTAATAGCAGCAAGTACTCTGTACACTCCAGCCATCAGGCAGGCGGTTCCACTAAACGCAGGCCTCAAGCGAGGGCTTATCCACCCGCGGGCTTACGGAGTAAGATGAATCGCTGGGCATGCCAGTTGGAATTAATTGCAAGTAGCTGGTTCAATACGGGTGCGCGTATGGGGTAAATATCTCAGTATCATCATTACAACGATCAAATACCGATCTACAAGCCTCATTCGTGAGGCATTCCAGGGGGCCACCGTATTATTATTATTATTAATCAAGTTTAACGTCCGTATGGAGCTGTGGGCCCCCTCTATCATTTGTGAGATTATCCCGGCTCTTTTCCTCGCCCGATCCGCCTATCTGCGAGGGTCACTGTATAAAGCTATAGGGTTTGTACGTAAGGGTCGCGGCGATTAGGACATGGGCAGCTTGAGCTCACGTATTTTCACACACAGATTTTGCAGCAATGCAGCCCCATAATCCCTATGTCGAGCCCATCGCCATCGTAGGAATGGGTAAGCACTGCATCTCATGTCGCTATGATCTATGCCTGACCAGTGAATAGCATGTAGGCTACCAGGGGACATTGTATCGCCATCCAAGCTCTGGGATCTGCTGGTACAGGAAAGATCTGCCCAATCTGAGGTCCCAGCAAATCGCTTCAATGTGGACTCATGGTATCATCCAGATAAACAGCGACCGGGTAGCATCACCACGCGGGGAGGATATTTCCTTAGTCAAGATGACTCCTTCCGTCAATTTGACCCGTCCTTTTTTGGAATCAACCCTAAGGAAGCCGCGAGCATGGATCCCCAGCAGCGAAAGCTGTTAGAAGTGGTGTATGAGAGTTTTGAAGCGGCCGGTGCTCACCTGGAAGATGTTTCTGGCTCGAAGACGGCCTGCTATGTTGGAAACTTTACCTGGGACATCGGTCAGATGCAGGCCCGAGATATCAATCATGGTGCCCCATACCATATGACGGTGTGTTCACTCCTTTCAAATCCATAGATGTATGTATGTATATATATATATATCCAGCATTGCTAATGCCACATCTAGGGCGGTGGGTTGACGATATTAAGCAATCGAATCAATTATGTGTTCAATCTAAAAGGCCCCAGTATGACCATCGATACGGCTTGCTCTAGCACCATGTATGCGCTCCATCTGGCCTGCCGCAGTTTGCAGGCTGGGGACTGCTCGGCCGCCGTGGTGGCCGGCACAAATCTGATTTTTGGCATTGAGCAACAGATTGGCAGCGTCCGCCTGGGTGTTCTGTCACCTACATCCGTGTGCCATACATTTGACGAGTCGGCCGACGGATACGCGCGTGCAGAAGCCGTGGGCTCTCTGTACCTTAAGACCTTGTCCCAGGCCATCGCAGACGGAGATCCCATCCGGGCAGTCATTCGGGGAACAGCGATTAACGCGTAAGTGGTGGTCGATTTCGTCGTTGTGGACTTTGTTACACCCTCATGCTAATTCATCATGTTAGAAATGGGAGGAGCCCTGGAATCAGTCATCCCAGTGCACAGGAGCAAGAGATGGTAATCAGACAGGCCTATGCCAGGGCAGGCCTGCGATTGGACCAGACTGGATACTTTGAATGTCACGGGACTGGCACGCCAGTTGGAGATCCGCTGGAGGTCTCAGCCATAGGGAATGTTTTCGGTCCCGTGCGAAGCGCAGAGTCCCCCTTGCTGATAGGATCCGTGAAAACAAATCTGGGGCACGGAGAGGCAGCTAGTGCTATCTCCAGTTTGATCAAGACCGTCCTTTGTTTGGAGAAGGGGGAGATTCCCGCCACAATTGGGATCAGGCGGCTGAATCCTGCCCTCAACCTTCGTGATGGACGGCTGAAAATTGTTCAGACACTTTCCCCGTGGCCGGACTCGCAACAGTACCGTCGAGCCAGTGTCAACTCCTTTGGCTATGGCGGTGCCAACGCCCACGCTATTCTGGATGCAGTGCAGTCATATTTGGGTGAATTCTGTCAGAGTATTCCGGCATCTCTCACAACTCCTGGACAGCCTTCGCTGAAGCGATACTTCTTTTTGCCCTTTTCGGCCCACAGCGAGCCGACGCTGCGTCAAAATATCAAGGCCATCTCCCACAGCTTCAAGGGTGATGTCAATCTGCCCGATTTGGCATATACTTTGGCGTCTTGCCGGAGCAACCACTCTGAACGAGCGTTCGCCCTTATTCCTGGTGATTCGAGCTGTTCCCAGCTTGTCGATTCCCTCGCCTCGGATAAGCTGACTTTCGGCACTGCCATGGGTGCCGTTCCTAAGCTGGCTTTTATATTCACCGGCCAAGGCGCTCAGTGGCCACAGATGGGTCATGAGTTGGTACAGCATTATGCTGTGGTCCGCCAAACTCTACGGGATCTGGGAAACGTCATTGCAAAGTTGCCTAACCCTCCAGAATGGGATCTCCTAGAGGCTCTCGACCAGCCAAAATCGAAGAGTCGTGTCAATGAAGCAGAGCTCTCACAACCTCTAACCACTGCGATTCAGATCGCTATCGTTGACCTCTTGCGGTCATGGGGAGTGCATCCGACGGCCGTCGTCGGTCATTCTTCCGGTAAGTTTTGTCCCTGGAATATTTTGGAGCATAAATTGACTTCGGGATGTAGGGGAAATTGCTGCTGCTTACAGTGCCGGGCTCATATCAGCAGCGGAGGCCATTATCATTGCCTACCAACGAGGTGCAGCGACAGTGAAGAGCACTCAGCGCGGCGCCATGCTGGCGGTCGGTATTGGATCAGAGGAGGCTCTTCAGGCCATCCATGATATTCCCGATATCGGGATTGCTTGTTATAATGCACCCGATAGTGTCACGCTAAGTGGTACCGAGGAGGCTGTTGATATGGCCCGCGGTCGCTTCTCACGCGCGGGCGTTTTCAACCGGAAGCTGATTACCTCTGGAAACGCCTACCACTCTAAGCTGATGGCCGAGGCTGGGCAGTACTATGAAGCGTCACTGAAGGAGTGCCTTCTCCCTAACGACCCGCCGTCGACCGGCCATGCAGATGTCACCATGTTTTCCTCGGTGACCGAGGAGCCCGTCTCGACACTCGCCCTGGAATACTGGCGTCAAAACCTAGAATCCCCAGTGCACTTCGACCAAGCGGCCCAGAAGCTCCTCAAGGCCCGGCCTGAAGTCAATCTGGTTGTCGAAATTGGCCCGCACTCGGCTTTGGCTGCACCACTCAAGGCAATCCGCGCGGCAGTGGGCTATAGTCCAGAGCGACTGGTCTATCTGTCGGCTCTGAAGCGCAATTCGGACTCGGTGGAATCCCTGTTGAAGATGGTCGGATCTTTGTTTCTGTCGGGGCTTCCATTCGCCCTCTCCACCGTCAACGCCGACGCGACCGTCCATCGTGACGACAAGACCGGCTCGGAAATCATCGAATACTCACATGGTTCTTTCATTCGAGATCTGCCTACATACCAATGGGTATACGATGAGGAGCCTTTGTGGAATGAAAGTCGTCTCAGCACTGACATCCGTTTCCGAAGCTACCCTCATCATGATCTACTAGGAAGTAGACTTCCGGGAACATCCAATATTGCACCCGCTTGGCGAAACCTGATCAGTTTGGAAAGCGTGCCATGGCTGCGGGACCACAGGGTTGGCGATGACATTGTGTTTCCAGCCGCTGGATATGTCACATTGGCTATTGAGGCGATCACTCAAATCCGTAGATCTACTATCTCGGCCGTAACAGATGCATACACCCTACGTAGGGTGAAGATCACCTCTGCGATGGTACTGAAAGAAGGGTTAGCTACTGAACTGATGTTTGATCTTCGGGCTATCTCTGGCCAGCCAGCGGCATATGAGTTCGCCGTCAGTACTTTCGTGAATGGAACGTGGACACAACATGCCACTGGATCAGTCCAAGTGGATAATGACAGCGCCAGTGGTAAGTTTCCTCTTGCTGCCGAGGGTAAGATTGGGCGCTCACTGTGAACAGATCAATCAATCAGTTCCGTCGAGAATATGGCCGGCAGTCGCGGAGGCATCAACAAGGACAGTTATGACCGTCGCTGGTACGGCGCAATGGACAAAGTTGGCCTGATCTACGGACCAGGGTTCAAGACACTTTCCGATATTCGTGCCAGTCCCGAGCATCACTGGGCCGCTGCAGAGGTTTCAGGCAATGCCACCGACAAGCTCATGGGCCGGCAGTCACAATACATCCTTCATCCCACCAGTATTGACGCCTGCTTGCAGCTTTCCATTATTGCCGCACATCATGGCAAGCCGGAGAGCCTTAAAAAGGTGTATCTGCCTGTTCTAATCCCAAAGCTCACAATTTGGCCACACCATAGCAGCCAGGGGCTTCCCTTGACAGCTTGTGGTCGCGGGCTCCACCGCGGGCTTCGATCGGTTCAGACCTTCACTGGGCTCTCAAATCCCAATCACCAGACTATACTTCAAGCAGAAATCACCTTCTCCTCCCTAGAAACTGCTGTTGGCGAAGATGGCACAGGAAAGAGCCCTCAGCCTTATACACGCCTCGTCTGGAAGCCGGACCTTGATCGCATGACAAATACACAAGCACAGCTTCTGTTCCACGGAACACAAGATGACATTTCTACATCGAAGCACTTCTTCTCTCAGTTAGAGGAAGTGACTAGGTTGGCAATTCGGAGTAGTGCGGAGCGACTCCCGGAGAACCTACAGGCAGATCGTCTGCCAGGCCACATGCAGAAATTTCTGGAATGGCTGAAGATGGAGGGATTGGCGCTCTCCACCAATGAAGCTGCAGATGGCTTAAGAGGCGAGAGTCTCCTTGATAAAATTGACGCCATTGCTCGAAGCGTTGAGCAGACTGTCCCCGAAGCTGCCATGGTGGCTCAACTAAACTCCCGGATGCCGGAAATCCTGGCCGGGACTGTCGGTGCGCTAGACGTAATGGTTGAAGACAATCTTATGTCGCGAATCTACGAAGAGGGTTTTGGGCAAACAGGTGCCTATGCCAAATTGAGCGATGTCATCGACCTCGTGGCACATAAAGATCCCCGACTGCGTATCCTCGAACTGGGAGCAGGTACCGGCGGTGCTACAAAGCCCATGTTGAAAGCCCTGCATGGAGACACCCCTCTCCCCAAATATGAGAAGTATGATTTTACCGACGTGTCCAAGGCTTTCTTGGGTGTTGCCCAGGATAAGTTCCAGGGATATCGCAATTTAGACTTTGGTATCCTCGACATTGAGAAGGATCCCGTCTCTCAGGGTTTCGAGGAACAGTCGTATGATATTGTCTTTGCATCAAATGTAGACTTCCATCTGAACCATATCACCTAGATGCAAATACTGAATTCGAATAGGTTATCCATGCGACGCGCAATGTCGCCTCCTCTCTGCGCAATTGCAAGAGGCTTCTCAAACCTGACGGCAAGCTCTTGATCATCGAGACTACGAAGCAACGACAGGTGACCGGATTTATGCTCGGAACCCTCCCCGGATACTGGCTCGGTGCGAATGACGGGAGACCATCTAGCCCGTTCCTGTCGAAGACGCTATGGCACCAGAGATTGCTTGATGCAGGACTCTCGGGGGCCGATATCGTGCTGGATGATTACCCGGAGCCAGCCGATTGTACGACTCTTATTATGTCGCGCAACTCCAGCGAGGCCGCCAATCACGCCAGTATGAATGGCGCCAATCATACCAATGGTGCCAACAGCATCAACAATATAAGCGAAATTAATGGTGTCAATGGTGTTAACCAATTGAATGGAGCAAAATCTCTGAAGCCATCAACGGTCACTTTGGTATGAAAATTGTGGATTTGTTATAGGTCGCAGTGGTATATTCAGAATACTAACTGGGGGACGTAGATATATCGCCGGGAGCCGCAGCCCCTCCAGCGGGCTCTCGAGGCGAAATATGCACAGCTAGGCATCTCAACCCAGTCGATGGCACTGGAAGACATTCCGAATTCCCTTGAACGAGACTCTCGCACGATCATGCTGGCCGAACTGGAGGACCCACTGATGGCGCGGATGACTCCAGCTGAGATGCACGCCGTCCAATGCTACACTCAACAGGCTGCCACCGCCATCTGGGTCACCAACGGGAATGTTCTCCGAGGCCAGGATCCTGAAAAATCACTGGTCTTTGGCCTAGCCAAGTCTATTATGACTGAACAGCCTTCGTTCCATCTCTGCAGCGTGGACGTTGACATCGGTGATGGGAAGGCTGACTGCGGCAACAGTACCACGCTCCTTGTGGAGACAGAGATGGCCTTCCACCACGACCCCAATGGCGAGCTTGATACGGAGCTGGTCGAGAAAGATGGCCTGGTCTATATTAGTCGGTATGTGACTGACGATACTGAGAATGCTAACTTTGAGCGGTACTTCGCCGTCAAGCCGACTGTGATGGCCCTTGCCCGAGGCGAGAGCTCCTACTACTCGCTTCAATTTGAAAATGTCGGTCGTGTAGACAGCTTCTATTTCAAGGAACAGACTCTAAAGCCACTGGGTGAGAATGAGGTCCTCCTAGACGTGGATGCTGCTCCTTTGGATAGTCTGGTACGTTGCTTTGTTGTGTTTCCTTTTGCCGGTTCTCTGAGCCTTGGCCAATGCTGATTAAAATTTAGTCAATTGCCGCTCTCAAAGGACAGATAGCTTCCCCTTGCTTTGGTCTGGAAATTGTGGGCACCGTTCGTGCGGTCGGTTCCAAGACATCTAAGTTGAAGGAAGGAAACCGGGTATGTTGCCTCTATCCGCACCACTTTGATACGGCTGTCATCGTGGATGAGCGTCATTGCGAATTGCTCTTGGCCGATGAACGCCCCGAAGACCTGATCAGTCAGATACACCCCGTTGTCACATCTCTACACCTCGTTGAGCTGCTGTTGGGGTTACATGCCGGGGACCAAATTTTGGTCGACTGTCGTCAAGCGCATCTCGCCTGTGTTATCTCTCAAGTAGCTCTCTTGGAGGGTTCCAGAGTCTACGTTACTTTTGACTCCGAGGCTGGACGAGATATTCTCCAGCAACTTGGTAACGACTCGCATCTAGTAGACCGTCAGGCCAATTTCAAACAAGCCTTGCTGGGCACTTCGTTTGACGCCATCCTGACAGACTCGACGGATGGCTATCAACTGTTTGACAATATTATTAACTCTGGTGGTCGGATTGTCGCTCTGGCAAATGCTGCTCCCGTTGAGATGGTCAATGCTGCAGTATCATTCCTCAACAAGAGCGTCACCATCGGAATGTTTGATCCTTTCAATGGATTTGCAACAGCTCCAGTCCAGCACTCCAGGTGAGAATCGCGTTGAAAATTAATAGATGACATTTCTAACTAACCCACTGGGCCAGCCTCCTCGCAAAGGCATTAAAGCTTCTCCGTCGCAATGTTATCCGGCCAATTCCATCTACGCAGTATGATCTGTCATATTTGCCCGAGGCTGTCGGCCATATCTCCCAGGATGACTACGTCGGACGGGTGGTGTTAACACGGACACCAAACACTGCTGTCCCCATCCATACTGTTGCAGAGCCGTTGATGTTCAATTCCAAGGCGTCGTATCTCCTGATAGGCTGCCTAGGAGGGCTGGGAAGAAGCTTAACGTGGGTCTTCTCTTTCTTTTTCTTTCTATTTATCCTCGTCAGAGGCCTCCTGATAAGCACGACTTCGGCTAATATCTGAACTAGGACATGGATGGTCTCTCGTGGGGCCCGTCATTTTATCTTCCTCTCCCGCAGTGGTGCAGACAAATCTGAAGCAGCTGCTTTAGTGAAGGAGTTGCACGAACTCAGTCGGTCCCAATATCTAGACTTGACCGTGCAGGTGGTTCGTGGTGATGTCTCTATTCGAGACGATGTGAGCCGGGCCATTTCCTGTGCCACCAAGCCTATTAAGGGAGTGGTTCAAGCTGCCATGGTACTCAAGGTACGATTTATCATTCCGCTTTACCCATGCAAAATTCCGCCCTAATTATATTCCTTTCTGGGAACAGGACACCCTTTTTACAGAAATGTCGCTGGCTCAGTTCAACCAGGTCTTACATCCCAAGATGCTGGGTACCATACACTTGCACGAGTTACTTCAAGGACACGATCTCGACTTCTTTGTCATGACGAGTTCCGTTCTTGGTGCCATTGGTGCTGCCATGCAAAGCAATTATTCGGCCGCCAATGCGTACCTTGACCACATGGCTCGTCATCGCCAAAGCCTGGGCCTACAGGCTACATCCATTGCGCTGGGAATGATTCTCAACGTCGGCCATGTGGAAGAGCATCCCGAAGTAGAGAAGGCACTCAAACGCAATGGAATGTACGGGATCAGTGTCGACGAGTATCTGCTCATGATGGAATTCGCCTGTCGCCGTCGGGACTTGAGCAGCACCACGAACTCTCACGGTCCGTACAAATATGATCCTTGCGCTACTGCTCACATCGTTACCGGCATGGACCCTACCCGTGTCTCTCGCGCTGGTGGGAAATCTCTCTGGCTGAAAGATAACCGGCTGCGCAATCTCGTCGCTGCGCTCGGTGGCGGGAATCATGGTGATGGATTCAACGCCGAGCAGTCGGCTGGGCCCAGCACGCACGAGCTCCTTGAAGCAGCGCGGGCGGAAGGGGGGGTTGCGGCCGTCAAGGTCACGACCCTGGGGTTAATCCTAGCAAGATTCTCCAAATTAGTGTTGCTGCCGGTGCACAAGATCGACCCGGGCAAAGCTCTGGCCCATTACGGGATGGACAGCATGATCTCAGCCGAGCTGAAGAGCTGGGCATGGAAGGAGTTTACGGTTGATCTGCCATTTTTAGGTCTGTTGGACCAGAGTCTGACATTTGATGGCTTGGCTGAGACAGTAGTTGCGTTGACTGAGACCAAGTCTACGTGAAGCTCATGTATCTACTGTACTCCCATTCTTCAAGTTAGATATCATATCGGCTACAGGCTCATCAGGTGCCTAATTAGGAGGTAGATGTCATCGATGGAAACACCAGCAATCAACGTATCTCAACCAATTGAGTCTATTGGATTCCTAGCTTCTCGCTCTATAGCCCTCAGGGTGCTCTTCTATCGAAGGGCTCAGGAGCTGAAAGGCTCCCACTAATCTTCCTACATATCAAGCCGACTGCGGAATAGAGTGTTTCCATAACAGAATTAAAATATGATACTATACAATAATAATCTTTCCATCGTCTAGTTCACCACTTACACCTCTCACTGCATGTTCTCTCTGCCACCATGTGATCCCAGACCAACAAGGATCTCCTCTTTCGCCCCCAACGGAGAGGAAGGCCAAGCGGCTAGGAGATGCAACTAATGGATTGGCATTACGAGGAAACAAAGAAAACAACCCCAGGGTTTGGGTCTTTCGACTGTGGCTGGGTGTCTTGGCGCATATGCAGGGGGAGAGGTCTCTTCCATCCCCTGATACCGCCATACTAGATCATACCATACAGCCTGGTAATGTCTGGTCATAAAGGGCCTCGGTGAAAACATTGCCAAAATGCTGTCTCCAATCCGCTCCGCTCAAGGTCGTATCGATCACGCTTACGTGTCGCTCTGTGCTTCCTCCAACAACTTCATTCTTTCCGCTCTTCCTTTCGCGCAATTGTACTTTTTTCCTTCGTTGTCTTTCACTTCTTTTCTAATTTGCTTTTCTCTTCTACTACTTGCGGCTGACTGGTTCCCGATCTCCGTTCATCGCCATGTCCTGGCCTTTGATTGGGGCCTACGCCCTGCTGGCTTTCGTGGCCATCATCGCACTGAATGTCACCTATCAATTCCTGTTTCGCCTGCTGAACAAGACTAGGCCGCCTCTGGTCTTCCACTGGGTTCCCTTCATCGGCAGCACAATTCACTATGGAATGGATCCGTACGGGTTCTTCTTTTCCTGTCGCGAGAAGGTAAGAAACACCCATGCGACTGCTGGGTGATGGTGGCTAATAAGGGGGCGATTTCAAACTATCTAGTACGGCGACATATTTACCTTTATTCTCCTAGGACGCCCTACCACCGTGTACCTGGGCACGCAGGGCAACGAATTCATCCTCAATGGCAAGCTGAAAGACGTGAATGCGGAGGAGGTGTACAGCCCCTTGACAACGCCGGTGTTCGGGTCGGACGTGGTTTATGATTGCCCCAATTCAAAGCTCATTGAACAGAAGAAATTCATCAAATTTGGTCTCTCCCAGACGGCGCTGGAGGCCCACGTGCCGTTGATTGAGAAGGAGGTCGAGGACTATCTTGCCATGTCTCCCAATTTCCACGGAACATCGGGGGAGGTGGATATCCCAGCGGCCATGGCGGAGATCACTATATTTACTGCAGGAAGCGCTTTGCAAGGAGAGGAAGTGCGGTCGAAACTCACGACAGAGTTTGCCGTCCTCTACCACGATTTGGATAAGGGGTTTACGCCGATCAACTTCATGTTACCCTGGGCCCCTCTCCCGCATAATAAGAAACGCGATGCGGCCCATGCTCGGATGCGTGCGATCTACATTGATATTATCAACAAGCGGCGCAATGCCGGTGACAACGTCCCGGAAAAGTTAGATATGATTGGAAACTTGATGCAGTGCACCTACAAGAACGGACAGCCCTTGCCGGATAAAGAGATTGCCCACATCATGATCACGCTGCTGATGGCCGGCCAGCATTCCTCATCTTCCATTAGTTCCTGGATCATGCTGCGCCTGGCCTCCCAGCCCGCGGTCGTCGAGGAACTCTACCAAGAGCAGCTGGCCAACCTCGAGCGCACAGGTCCCAACGGCAGTCTGGCTCCGCTACAATACAAGGACTTCGACAACCTCCCGCTCCACCAGAACGTGATCCGAGAGACCCTCCGTCTGAATTCGTCCATTCACTCCCTCATGCGCAAAGTCAAGAACCCGCTCCCGGTTCCTGGCACGCCCTACGTGATTCCTACCTCCCATGTCTTGCTCTCCGCGCCCGGAGTCACAGCCCTGAGCGATGAATATTTCCCCAATGCCATGGCATGGGACCCACACCGGTGGGAAACACAGGCACCGAAGGAGAACGATAAGGATGACATCGTCGACTACGGATACGGCGCAATGTCCAAGGGCACTTCCAGTCCATATCTCCCCTTTGGAGCGGGACGCCACCGCTGCATCGGTGAGAAATTTGCCTATCTGAATCTGGCGGTGATTGTGGCCACGATGGTGCGTCACCTGCGGTTTTCAAACCTGGATGGACAGACAGGCGTACCTGCCACCGATTATTCATCGCTTTTTTCGGGGCCGATGAAGCCTGCACGAATCCGCTGGGAACGTCGGGCTGCAAAATCGGGATAATCGACTACCTCGAGAACCGTCCCAGCGCTCATGCGTTATGATGAGCGACGCTGGACGTGAGGAAAGCAAAAGTTCCTTCTAAATGGGTATTTCATTTTTTATCATTTCTCATACGAATCGGTTCATCAGTATATAACTTAATTGATAATCCCAGGGGTGCAGTAAGCAGGGTAGAGTTGTCACATTTTCCTTCCCAGACAGGAGACTGTCCGGCCGGGACCAAATTCTTATATCGCGTAGTTCCGTCCAAAGCCCGCTGATATCTGACACATACATACCAAACATACCTATGCTAAAATGTATAAATAGAGAGGGGTGTCTCAACAGGCCAGGCTTTGTCGTCCATCTCTCAGACAAAATTTTATTCGGGCGCACTGTTTACGTGGCCTCTTTCTATAGTGCACTGCCTCTCAAATGAATCACACTATCCACTCGCCTGTATATCCCCTTCTAGGTTTACCTCAATTTACCATGCATCTCGTATCAGGTAGTAAAATTACATTGGCGGGGGGAGCTATGCACATGCAATCCAGTGGATTGTTTATCCGTGGCCCGACAGTATACCCAGTTGGTTTACCATACGATGAACGCTAGGCTTCGTCTGACATGCAGACTATATAATGGGACTAAATCACCCTCCAGAATGATATCCTATTTCTTCTCACAGTCAGTCATATTCTAGTTTTACGCTACCTATATTCCCTTTTTTTTTTTTTTTTTTTCACCAACACACCATAACAATGTCTCTTCAGCCAACGGCTACCGAGGTTGGTACCATGTACGACCAATATACCAGCCTCTTAACAGACGTTATGGCGGGATTTATCCATGTTGGCTATTGGGACGACCCTGAAAGAGAGGACACGATAGAGGTAGCCACTGAGCGGTTGACTCGTGAAATCGGCGAGCGACTCTCCTCTGTTCCGGGTCAGCGTATCCTCGACGTTGGCTGTGGCACTGGTAAATCGGCGGTGCAAATCGCCACTGCCCACGATGTTCACATTACTGGCATTACTGTCAGCAACCACCAGATTGAACTTGCCCAGTCTCAGTACGAAAGCAACACAAAAGCTGGACAAGTCAATTTCCTATTCGCTAATGCCATGGACCTCCCGTTTGCTGATGCCTCCTTTGATGGCGCATATGCCATCGAGTCTCTGGTGCATATGGACGATAGACGCACTGCCCTTACAAATATCGCACGGGTGCTTCGTCCCGGCAGCCGACTAGCTATTGCAGACCTGTTTCTCGATGCGGGCTGCCCCAATCCCGAGGTGCTGGCGCGCTTCCACGAACTCTTTCAGGTCCCACCCATGCCTTCCGGCGATGACCTCAAAGCTCTCCTGCACCAGACAGGCTTCAAGGTCATTGAATTCACCGATATTCGAGATAACGTCCGGCCTATCTGCAAATTTTTAGAGCAAAAGGCCCTCTCCCTCGAGGGTGAAGTTGGAGAAAAGCTTCTCGAAATTGCACACAGTATGGCAACACTTAAAGAGCTCGGGTACGCCTTCATTACCGCGGAGCGCATCTAGTAGAAATTGCACTACAAATCAAGGTGGTCAAAACGCAAACGCCTGTACTGGTAGAGGATTGATTCCGAACTGCTGAGCGTTTTGTTGGCATCAAGCCTGATCGTCGAGTTCTACCGTCTAGAAATAGATGTGGTTTTACTAGGTTTTTTTCGCAATATAATATACAGTTGAATAGCCACAGTCTTTTAACGCTTGGCCTAGGGCCAATTCAATATCCCAGCTGAGATTCAAGATAGGCTTCAGCGCGAAACTAGCTTTGTAGTATATTTCTTTTGGATCTTCTGCACTTGACATTTTTTGCATCGCCGCTGACCAAGTCATGAAAGATGCGGACACGTGATTCTATTGCTAAAGACCTAGATATTCCCTGTTTCGAATTGGAGGCAGCTGGGCTGATGGATGAACTCCCATCACTTGTCATAAAGGGTATCTGCGACTACTGTGACTTCCACAAGCCGACCAATGGCAAGACTATGCAGCCCTTACTGCTGCGGCGTATGCAAGGGCACTTTTACCGACAGTTCCTATCACTGAAGATATGATACCCCACGAACGGAGTACGTGAGTCTCCAATTGCCAACGATCATACACTGAGCCTTTATTATATAATATAGTTAATTTCCTGCATAGAATTATACTTGAGGCTGTTTCTTCAAAGCGAGTATCTTGAAGGGGAAAATGTATAAAAAAGGGGAAGGACAAGCAGGCAGAGTGCCTCCATTTAACTTCACAAACATCCTACTGGGTTGTCTAGCTCACCCGCGATCTGGACAGCATCACCCAAATCACCCACACTCACCCTGTGATTTAGCGACGCTCACCCATAAAGCAGCAACTTCCAAAGGACTTATTTTCCAGTCGGCTGCGTTCAATAGGTGGCTTAAGTGCGGCTGAGCGGACGGGAAGCCCTGTTCTCCATACCCTGTGGTCGTATGTGCTATATTCGTATCGCCATGTAACTTATGTTGGAAACTCAGAATATAAGTCTGTGTGCGTTGCGGGCTACGGGCTGACGACTCCTGTGCAGTATATTGGATCCGGATCTGATCCGAGGAGGGATGCCGAAAGGCGGGATGCCGATAGGAGGGATGCCGGTGGTATAGTCTTTGGCTGACTTATGGGTCAAGCTTTACATCATCTGGATTTCTAATGACCTGCAATTGATCCCTCTCACTGAACTGCGTTACATGTTCGAGGTATAAGTAACGGGGACCGGCCATCTAGGTCCTCAGCATTCTTCATTCAAATTCACGAACAGTATCGTTGTGCATTGCGCAAGTTTCAACAAGTGACTCTGACAAGTATCCCGTTCTTGATTTTTCTATCTCAGTTCTTTCAAAGCCATGGCTCCCACTCTTAATGTCACCCACATTGGCACTGCAACCGCCATCCTCGAGATCAACGGCGTCAACTTCCTGACAGACCCTTTCTTTTCCCCAGCCGGTACCTTCTGGGACCGAGACATCATAGTCCTGAAAGTCACCGAAGACCCTGCTCTCCGTCTTAACCAGCTCCCCGTGATCGATGCCGTGCTGCTAAGCCACGAAGACCACCCCGACAACCTGGATGAGCTCGGCAGGCAGCTCCTGGACGGACGCCGCGTCTTCACCACCGTCGACGGGGCCAAGAACCTCGCGCCCCGTCCGGCCGTGCACGGCATGAAGCCCTGGGAGGAGATTGAGAGCGTGATTGGCGGCAAGAAATTCAAGATAATCGCGACCCCAACCAAGCACGTCCCCGGAAACGAATGCACCGGCTTCATCATCACCGGAGAAGACTTCGGACATCACCACGACGGTCTCCCCAACGCCATCTACTTCACGGGCGATACGGTCTACATCGAGGAGTTGGAGTCTATCGCGGACCGGTACCATGTCTGTGCTGCCGTGATGAACCTGGGCAATGCTCACGCTCCTAGCACGGACGATCCCAATGGGCCCGTCATGCAGATCACCATGGGTGGCAAGGATGGAGCTAAGCTTTTCCGCGCCCTCAAGGCTGATGTTCTTGTTCCTATGCATTACGAATCTTGGGGTCATTTCACTCAGTTCGGGGCTGAGCTGCGCCAGGTCTTTGAGGATGAGGGTATTAGTGATAAGATCTGTTGGTTGAAGGGCGGCGAGGAGGTTTCGGCCCTCTAGATTTTGTTGAGATATTATGGGTTTCTTTCGTGTAGATTTTCTTTCCTGGGTTTTGATACGCATTAGATTACAAAGACTTGCTATATTGTTCATGGTTCTTTTTATGCTCAAATACTAGTGCTAAGCTGCCGTTAGTCGCCCCCGGCGCCTTCTTAAGTGGTATACAAAATTCAATTCCTTTCAGTTCACCTTCCATGTATCCTGGTGCGTCATTTGAAGATAAGGAATGTGGTTACTTTCTAAAACATACTACTATCTCCTGCAATGTCACATTGTATACGTATTCATTTCTTTCACAACTGAAAATATTTATCGGTACTATATTGAAGTGTTTACATATTAGAGGGAGGGACAATCCTCATTGATAGACAACCAAGTCCGTGGACAACTGAACATGGCTCTGGACATTATGACGCTCTTGATCCTCTTAACACCGGCATTCCTTTCCAGTGCGAATCTACCATTGAATAGGTGGTTAGCTCATCATTCACCGCGCAGATATATGTTATTAACAAAATTTCTCTTTCTTCGTTCTTTATTGTTCCCCTTCTCTTTACATATATACGTTGCTATCATGAAAAAAAATGTAGCAATAGGCTGCTAGACCAATGTCCATCAGGACCATTACATCGACCAAAGCAAGCGAAATTCAGATCAGAAGTCGTTCATTCTGTCCTCATAATCATAAAATCTATATCTATCATGGCACATCTATGTACAAACAATCGGTATACGACTAACCCATCACAGGAACCCACGCAGATGCTCTCCCAGAGCCATGATAGCCATGGCCTGACCATACGGCATAGACGTGAGGGGAATGTCCTTATAGAACTGCAGATTATCTCCCATTCCCGTGCCGAAGCTAGTGTTCTGCAACTCGCCGTCGGCATCCACAGCCCCGACCACCGCCGCAATCGCCTTTTCGGCTACGGGCTTATATTGCGCAGAGATGTACCGCTTGCGCACCGCCTTCAGGATACCATATGCAAATCCGGCAGTGGCAGATGACTCGACATAGGAGTCTGAGTGGTCCAGGAGCGTGTGCCAAGCGCCGGACTCGTTTTGGAGACGCTGGAGCGCCTCGCATTGTGCTTCGAGCGTGTCGATGAGGTGTACCCGAATGGGGTCTGTGGGCTCCAGCTCAAGCAGTTCAATGAATTCTGGGATGACGATGGTAATCCAGCTGTTACCGCGGGCCCATCGCGCCTGCGCGAAGTTGTGGCCGCCGTCTTCGAAGGTCCATCCGTGGTAGAAGAGTCCGGTCTTGGTGTCGAATAGGTATTTGATGTGGAGGAGGAATTGCCGCTTGGCTTCGGCGATGTACTCTGGACGGTTTAGTAGCTTTCCGATCTTTGCAAGAGGCATGACGGTCATCATTAAGGTGTCGTCCCAGAGCTGCTGGTAGTTGTCTGTGAGATAGGTGGCGTGCTGCAGACCGCCGTAGCGCGTCCGAGGCAGGTCGTGCATGGCCCATTCGGCCCAGGCGTCTAGCCAGGGAAGATAGGTGATGTTGCCTGTCTTTTCATAGACGTAGGCCAGGGTCAGGAACACGGCCATGGTGTTGATGTTCTTGGTGGTGCCGCCCTCGGCGAATCGGGCGGCAAACCAGTCTTCAATAATTTTCAATAATTCAGGATCGCCAGTCATTTCGTAGTACTTCCAGATACCGTACAAACCAATGCCGTGCGTCCATTCCCAGCCATGCCAGGACTTGGTATCGATGATGCGACCGTCTGCCAACGGCATGAGAAACCGGCCCGTTTCATCTTTAATGTTAACGAGATTATGGATGAGGCGGTTGACGGTCTCGCGCACCTGCGGGGGGGAAGTATTAGACGACATCATGAAGACCCTTGAAGTGCGACAAGAGAAAATGTGAAATGAGTATCGAGGAAAGCCGGGCAGAGAGTGAACGGACCAGCGCCCTAATAACGCTCACCGAAGCGGATCCACAAGTTGATACGCGGAGAAACTTGTCCGTGGGATGCTTTTAGCTTCGGGTCAACGCCCACCGAGGAGGCGCACTTAATTGCGCCGGTTTCCTTGGCTCTCCGCGCTTATTTGACGAGACGACGACATGGAGCCCAAGCTTCGCGGTGGGCCGACGGCACTTGCCCGGTATTTCTGCTGCGAGCTCGGGTTATTCCTCTCCGCAAAACCTTTTCCCCAGACAAAAATTGCCCATGGGGTGGCCAAAATGCAGAACTGGGGAAAGATAAGCCATGACTCGTTGACCTTGGGGTTAGACCGCCCGTATACTCATCCTCGTGCCGCGGACTGACACCATTAATTTAAAAAAAAAAAAAATAAAATAAAATAGTCATGAGAGATTATACCCATGGACAGTGCTGACAATAAAAGGTCCCAGCAACCCCCCTCCGGGAATTCTCTGGCCCTCCTGACTCTGTCTGCTTCCCATCCTGCGAGTTGATCTCATCAAATCCTGCAGGTGGTGGCTCACGTCTTCATTCTCTCCTTATTGCATATTCCACCATGACAGAGGCAAGACGCTCATCCTCTGGTGACCCTCAGGTCCACGAGGCCACCCCTCCCACCACTGCAATGGACGACCTGAAGAAAGACATCTCTCATGTCGAGCGAGTGCTTTCCCCCAACGACAAAGATGCGGTGGACTATTCCCGTGTCGACAACGAGCTCCAGGAATATGCAAACCGCGGCCGGGTAGAAATCGATGAAGCCACCAGTCGAATGCTGCGACGCAAGATCGATCGCCGCGTGCTGGTGATCATGATCTTAACATATTTCTTACAAGCCCTGGATAAAGGCACAATGTCCTTTGCATCCATCATGGGTATTCGCGAGGATAACAACCTCCACGGCCAGCAGGTATGTATATCTGGACCATGCATGAGAAAGTGGGCACGAGACGGTGATGCTGATATACCTTCCCTTTGCAGTACTCCTGGTTGACAACCTGTATCTACATTGCCGTCCTGATTGTAGAGTATCCAACGAACTGGATTCTCCAACGAGTCCCAATCGCCAAATACCTTGGTATCAATATCATCCTGTGGGGTTCCGTTTTGGCACTCCACGCGGCTTGCCACAACTTTGTCGGTTTAGTCGTCGTGCGTACCCTCTTGGGTATCTTCGAAGCTGTCTGCCAGCCGTCATTCGTGATCCTATCCGGAATGTGGTATAAGCGAGAGGAACAAGCTGCCACAGTCACATATTGGTGGGTAATCCTAAACCATAGATATTGCTCCCCCAGGGAAGCAGCTGGGTTGACTGGTTTGATTTTAACCTTCGCCTAGGTACATGATGAACGGAGGTCAACAAATTGTCGGCGGTCTGCTCGCATACTGCTTTAGCTTGATCGGCAAAGACAAGGCCATCCACTCATGGCAGGCGATTTTCATCGCATACGGGTGCCTTTCAGTACTCTGGGGCTTGTTTGTCCTTTACTGGATGCCCGATTCACCCATGCGAGCCAAGTGCTTCACTGAAGAAGAGAAGCATTTGATGGTCGAGCGTGTCCGTGCCAACCAGACCGGTATGCAAAACAAGCAGTTCCGTAGTTACCAGATGTGGGAAGCCTTCCGTGATCCGCAAATGTGGTGTTACTGTGCCATCCAGGTCTTCACCACACTCCCCACGAGCGGCCTGGGTTCCTTTGCAAACATTATTATCACGGGCTTCAACTTCACCGAGCTGCAGACTCAGCTGTTAGCTATGGTGTTGGGTTTCTACATCATTGTCGTTCTGATGTCGTCCGCATGGTTAGTGAAGAAGACTAACCAGAACCTGCTCATCATGCTGGGCTTTATCATCCCGTATGTTCCATTATCCTGCCCACATCCCTCCTGGCAATATCACTAACATCTGTTAGATCCTTTGTCGGAACCATCGTCCTGATGACAGTCGAAAATAAGAACTTGGCCACAAAGGCCGGTCTCCTCATCAGCTACTACATCACTCTCTCTTTCTGGTCTGCCCAGGGTCTCTGTCTCTCCATGGTCTCCCGGAACATCGCAGGAGCAACCAAAAAGTCCACCGTAGTTGCAGCCACCTTCGTCTCGTGGGCTGTTGGCAACGCCATCGGTAAGCACCCAGTACCCTCTATGAAGGTCCTCAGCGAAGCTAACGCTCGAGTCATCAGGTCCGCAGGTTTTCCTAGCCAAAGACGCGCCCCGCTACTTTATTGCCTTCGGTGTCCATCTAGGATGTTACTCCGCCATGACCTTGGCCGTGATCTTCCTTCGCTTCTACCTGATTGCGCAGAACAAGAAGAAGGAGCGCATGTTGCAGGAGGCTGGAGTTAACCCTGCCACTGCTGACAACCTTGACCACGCTTTCGAGGACCGGACGGACCAGGAGAATCTTCACTTCAGATATATCTATTAGGTCCTGGTCTCCTTGGTTGTTCTGCCACTGGTTGGTATTCGGTGTTTGTATGTTTGATGTATGGAATGAATGAATATACCCTTTTCTCTTGTAATCTTGTGTCAAGTTCCTGGCGTATTGAGACGGCCTTTGCAGATCTTCAGCAGGTCTCCTGCAAGGGGCTCCTTGCGTAAAATTGCTTGACCGATCCTTTTAAAGTTAATCTAGCATATTCATCATCAGGTGTGGGGGCCTACCTCAAGGTTAAATTGTTAATGCAAGGCGCTAAGGTCTGCATGTGATTTACATAGCACAGTAGGTGTAATAGAACTGTTCTGGGTGGTACTTGCGATTGAGTTCAACATCGGGTTGTACAATTTTATGCGATGTACATGGCGAACAAGTTCCAGAATGGAAGACAGGAAATAAATAGACAAAGGGCGTCATCAAACCCGAGAGATATGGTGTTGTAGAAAGCAAAATTTCGCTGCTAAGGTCGTCTCTTTTTTTTTTTTCTTTTTTGTAACACATTTGCCGTGGATGCTGGATTGGTGGCCAAGGTAAATATTCCGCCAATACCTTCTCCAATCTCTACCAAAAGTACCGCCGTTTCTTCTCTTTCTTCTTCGACAGTTCATCTTTCAGCTCTTTGATTTGTTTCTCGAGTGTCTTGCATTGATCTTCGACAATGGATCGCTTATGCCGTGACGACATAAGCTTTTTCTTAGTTTCCTCCAAAGTTTTCTGCGTCCTGTCACGCTCGCTCTCAGCGTTTCGGGCATTTTTCTGTACATCAGCGGCCCGCCGCTTAGCTTTTTCAAGGGCCTCCTCCAGCTGAGTCTTCTCCTTTTGCGCCTTCAGATTCGAGGCTTTTGTGTGCTTCTGAAGCAAGGTATCCTTCTTCGTGAGCATTGCCGCCTGGCACTCCGCTTTTTTGTTCAGGGTCTGGACTTGATTTTGCATCTCACTGAGCTGTTTTTGCAGCGTTTCCTGATGGCGTGCGATATCCTTCTCTTGAGCCGAACGGCTCTGCGACTCTTCAAGAGCTATGCGTAATGCATCTCGTTCCGCATTAGAAGCTTTTAATTCTCGCTCCAGATGGTCGATGCGGGCCTGCCAGCCACTTATTTGCCTGGCGTCGTTACGGTCCTTTTGGAGCAACAGGTTTAGGCGATTCATATCACGGTTTAGGGAGCTCCCGATGAGTTGGACGCGGTCTTCAAGGTCATCCTCGACCCATTCGGTATCCTCATAGACATGAGGCCTATGAGCACGTTCGCTCCGTTTCTCCCGGCCGAATTCTGCTTCAAAACGGTCCTTGTGGACGGCCATGAGCGATGACGGCAGGAGGGCCGCTGCGGATGACTGGGGGGAGTCGGGAGGGGTATCAGGAGACATCATATGCGGGTAACAACTCTGCGGTCGGAGAATCTGGTCTGCTCTTCGTCTGATTAGATCTCGCACATCTCCAAAAGTTCGTTCACCAGATATACCTAGCTAATGTATTTAGCTCGTGCGACTGTACTTAGAACTCGAGTCGCATTGGCAGCGCTAAAAGTGAAAGTCAAAGTTAATTGTCGAGTATCGTGTGGGGAAACAATCACACAGAGGGTTCTTAAGGTAGTACAAAATGAGGGTGCGCATTGCTGATGGTGGGTGATATATCGCCAGCTGGCGATGTAGATGTAAAACGGTTATTCGTCACTTGGCATCCACTCCCGTCGCGCCACGGAAACTGGTGTGGACGGTTCTTCCTGACGGCCACGATGGTTTATGGGGGCACCTGGGACTTCAGTTCATGTTTCATGTTCCCAGCCATGCCCAATGACAAATTTCCGACCGTCGGTCGCTTCCATAAAATCACACCGCACATTCAACCGAAGGAGTCGTTCAGGGCTGATACCACGTCAAGCCCGTCCGAAGAGCAGTGCATTCACCAACAACACCAGTATGTCATCAAAACTCTATCACTGTTGCCTAATACGATGCTTTAGTCATAAGTCCACAGAGGGTCGTCACAGATGCCCGAAACTGCTGTTCATGGGCGCACCATGTTGTCCAAGATGTTGGCTTGAGTCTATAAGGTGATAAAACTCCGAAAGTCTTTTTTCTAACACCTTATGCTTCCAAGTTTAAGGAGCCGCACAAGTGATGCTTGCGACAATTTGGGCCCAACTGCGACGGTCTCCCGAGCAGACCTGCGTCTCAGTCCTGTTGTTCACGTAGTGCCGTACCCATACCGCGCTCATGGCCATGTAACCGTGGCCTTCTGTCACTGAAGCATGTCACTGGCCATTGGCGTTATCCCTTGAATTTTTGGTCAATGATTGAATATTCCGGCTTCAGCAAAGACGCCTAAGGCCTCGCGAGTAAACACGACCGCAACTCCCGTGTTGATTGCAAACCAAGAAATGATAAGTAAAAGGGAGCCGACAAAAAATGCATTCCACTCTATAATTCTTAGTTCAAAGCAGAAATGCCATGCATGGACACCATGAAATCCAGAAAAGCCCACATCAAAGGTTATACATCATGGTGGATATTGTATTGTCATCAAGGGTGCGCCACCCGAGAAGGTCGCCACAGCATCGCTGTCAGGGCAACCCCCTCCACCAATGGCACTTCATTGACTACCTGAAACCCAAGGGACTGGTATAGAGAGGTTCCTTTGGCACTAGCTTCGAGACCAACAGGGGTTCCGTCCCACGTGGCATGTTCGAGGCCCCATTCAACGAGCCTACGACCGATCCCCTGTCGCTGGTACGCCGGGTGAACCGCCAGTGTGGACAGGAACCAAAGCTCGGGAAAGTCGTCGTACGGAAAACATTCAATGGTTAAAGCATTGTACCGAGCCAAACGAGATACATCTACGCTTCGGTCAGGGTACAGTCGAGTCACGAAATGTTCGCTCGCATTTCCAAGCAGTTCCTGTACGCCTACAGTTCTTAGTAAAGGTACACACATCCCATAGTGCACTTAACCGGATTAAAGGAGCCGAGGTATTGCTACTCACGAGCCCACCAACCACTATTCGAGGTCTCCTTCCACTGTTTGGTGGACTCTTCCGCTGTGTCCCCGATACGCTCCCAGACACAATAGCCAAGGATAGGACATGAGTCTGCATCCATTGAGCGTTCAGCTACCGCAACGATGACCACCCACCCGGGCGATGTCAACTTCGCCCGTAGCCGTCGCAGAAAACTTTGACGATAGTCCGAGTAATATTCCCTACGCCGAGGGCAAAGAAAGGCAAAAAGCTCGTCGTCCAACATGGACTGTGCGGCGACTTCCGCGATGGCTGGAAGGTCTTGCGACACTGCCGGTCGCAAATGGACTTCGGTGAGAGTCATGACGTGAAAACTTAATTCATACAATATGTGTGGGAGTAGAAGTTCCAATGTGGAGTGTGGAGATGGTCTCCAAGTTGATACTGAGTGTCTCTGCTGGGGATTGGAAGTTTACTAGTATGCCCAAAAATGTACTAGTCCTAGGCACGGGGCCTAGACCTTTCGGGTATATTCGCTGTAACTCGTATTTTACACGCATATCAGAGGCTCTGAACAGTAGCGGCGTACAACAAGGTAAGGAGTCAACATGAGCCAAGAGTCCGTCTCCAAGGGGCCATACTTGTTTTGGTAAAGTTCAGCCCGGTCGCCACCGCATCACATGATTGAAATCAACGGACAGAAGGACGCCGAAAGGCAACGAATGAACCCCGATGAGTCTGAGCCAAGTTATGAAGTCAATTTGAAAGTCAAACTCAGTCCTGCCGACGTACTTATGTAATTGTTGGAGAGAAAGATCCTTAAGCCATCGTGACAAGAACTGTTAGTCAGTCGTTGCATATGTAGTTAACTAGTAATAATTAACTACATGTAAGTAACTATGTGCTGTATCGGACGAGAGGACAAAGGGTCAAAGACTCCTCAGATTTCAGGCTCTGAATCTCCGAGCGGCCGGGGAAATCATGTGGCACTAAACCTTAGCTGCACGCTAGCCCAATTTTAGTGTTAGTGTCGTGCATATTTCCCCCATTATTTGCCGAAACCCCATCCGTTCACTTCCATTCTATCCATTCCACTCTCTCACTCTGGTACTCACTCTCTCTCTCTTTTCTCTTCAACCACCAGGCTCGTGGGGACTTCCGACAAGACACCTCCTCCACCAAGATCTCCACTGTTTCAGATCACCCCATCCTCCCATCATTCAGGTCCATTCCCTTTTTGTTTCGTAATCATTCTTCTCCTACGTTCTTTTAGATTTGCCTAGTGTGTGTATATATTTGCGAATTCCTATTCCTCCATGGCCTCTTCCCTCTGAATACCTTGTGGACCAACGAACATATTCCGCTGGATATAGTTGTGCCGGATCGCCTATACCAGTTCTACCATTCGCGTGTGTCTTGTCGCCACCGTATATATTTTACCACGAGACAAAGCCCGGTTCGATTCACGAAGCGTTTCCAAGATCATACTGGATCTCATTAATACAGATCGCAAAGTCGGGCATGACTGAATATGGCGCCAAGTGTTGTCGCCCACTGCCGCTCGAAAGATAAAAAGAATCGGTTTGACGTTGATCTCCTTTGATCGCGAAAGGGCCACACCCCGGCGTCATGGGAGACTCGCTGTCGCAGGTGCCCGAGGGCCTCATTGGTGGCTATCAAGGGGGCCTGGCGGTGAAAATTCTGATGGTTGTCTTTAGCTCAATCGCTCTGTATAACGCCATCGAGCTCATCATTTTAATTTTCCTCGTCTTCAATCATTATGCAGGGCTGTACTTCTGGGCGATGCTATTGTCCAATGTGCTCGGTGTCATCCCACATGCCATCGGCTTTTTGCTGGAGTTTTTTGCGAAAGGGCCACTTTGGCTCGCGGTCACCCTTGCCACGATCGGTTTCTACTTCATGGTTCCCGGTCAATCGGTCGTCCTCTATTCTCGACTTCACTTGGTCGTACAGAATCACAAGGTTCTGCGGCAAGTTCGGTACATGATCATCTTCAACACCATAGTTTTGCTGATTCCAACGACCGTCCTCACCTATTCCACTATCTATGTGCGCACCGAACCCATAATCCGCGGCTATAATGTGATGGAACGCATGCAATTGGCTTGGTTTTGTGCGCAGGAGATCTTGATCTCTTGTATATATATCTGGGAGACGACCAACCTTCTGCGGCTGCGCCCGGACAAAGACCCCGGCCGGCGGAAGATCATGTATGAGCTGATTACGATCAACGTCATCATCGTACTCCTAGATGTGGCGCTTCTGGTGTTGGAATATGTCGGGTTGTACGCTCTTCAGACCACACTTAAAGCTGCCGTCTACAGTGTCAAGCTGAAGTTGGAATTCGCCGTGCTGCGAAAGCTTGTCTTACTCGTCAATACTCGGCCCTCGGACACAAGCTCCACCGACCACGAGGAATATCCTAATTTCGTGAATCCGGAGCAACTGACGGGTGATATCACGCATGCGGCACCCGTCCGCGCCCGGACTCGCTCTCGGTATCCGTGGAGCGCCATCTCAATGGACAGCTTGGACCGATCGGAGCGCCGAGAATATTCTTCCGAGACTACACGCCCGCCCTAACTCTGCCACTACGCTAGTTCCCCATCGTATCCATCCACTCTTTGCCTCCCGATCATATACAATATCGAGCGGGCGGCTCACCCGAACCCGGTTGACGTGGCCGTTCCAACACTTTTCTTCCACATACGCTGCGGTGAGGCTTTTGCCAAGGCTGCATAACGGCGGATCACGGCCCTATGAGGTTTCAGATTCCCCGGTCACCGCTCTATCGGGCCAGCGCGGTTCCTCATTGCATATACATCACTTCCTCTGTCATCATATTTTGGAAGGTCACGTGCGGGGGAAACTGCACACTCACCTCGTCTGTTGATCAGATCGGGTTTTACCCAGTCACTTGAAGAGACTGTGCACATAGTACGCTCGATGAAAGATCAAGGTATATACCAAAGAATTGCCACCAATTTTGGTCCACAGGGCGTTGTGTATATTAATGTATTTGCGGATTGTTCATATCGAAGACGCGAAAGGATGTCATCCATCGTCATAAGGGTTCCAGGGAACAGGAGAGATTAGACTGCATAGGAAGAAGGGGGTGGCGAACCGACACAGCAGCCACATAGGACCCTGTTGAGGTCTCCACGTAAGCTGTTTGTCGACTCTATACGTGGCGGAGACTCAGCCGTGACTGGTTAACAATATGTCTGCCTTGTGGGATTTCCACACAAAGATAGGAACCCGAATATGTACTATAAACATTCACATGAAAATATCTTGCATTTATGGACTGGGCCAGAACCGTTTACTCAAGGATTGTCTTCGCGCTCGTCCAGAAATGGATGTCGACCGTTAACTTCTAGCCAGGAAAATTCTTTGGATTGCGCCAGCAGTGTGCTTGAACAGCTTGTAGTGTAGATATATATCTTTGATATTTCAGGATCTGGTAGAGAGTGACTTCCGTAACAGGGAAGATAGGGAGTTTCCTTGTTCATCTGTACGATCCGTGCAGCATGATACGTCTTTCCTTCCTGCGATCATTGCCTGCAGTACTCAATCAGCACTACTACTAGTACTGTGGATGTGGATGGTGTACCTATATAAAGGTTGGATCCGGGACCACTGAAAGCTTTGACCAAGTCAAACGGTAAGGGTTAAGCGAACGGTAGTCAATGCCGCCAATCAGAAGTGGCCATTCTGTCGTCGATCCGAGCTCGTGGAAATCACGTGGACAGAGGAGATGACACATCAGCCGCGGAACGAAGGCAGATTAATGCAGCAGAACTAAGAGAGGAAGGTGGAGTGCGCCCAGAAAGCTCAGGATAGGTACACAATGGACCCGAGCTGTTGGTTTCACTGTTTTGCATTCTTTTGTGACAGCGGAAATGACGTCACGGACCCGGACTTCCCTATAGCACAATGGCCTGATTGTACATAGTACTTCAACAAGTTCCAAGTATGGCTCCAATTTCATTCCCTGGATAACTGGCTGCTCATATCAATTAGTCAGGGGCTTACCATCCTACCACGGAATGGAGACGGGTATGGGGGGGAAGAAACTACTACCTAATCACTCCAAACAATGACAGAGCAAAGGTAAAAAAACTCAATATATCGAAGGATCCAAGCTAGGACGGAGGACGGAGGACCGGTACCACCTATGATGTGGACGCATGACTAAATGGAATTATTTTCCCTTGCGACTAGTGAGGAGCGGGTTTAGTGGATGATTTATCGTGGGGTTCTCGATCTCGATTTTTTTTTGGTCCTCGCATTTGGAGGGGTCGACCCAAACATGGCACTGGATTGGTTAGTGCCAACTTCTCGCCCTGAAGCAGTGACCGCCTAGCTGAATGAAGGAAATATTGCCGTCGATCCGTCAGATAGTACCGAGGACTCACTGTAACTCTTCTCTCTTGCCTACTCCAATCTTCGCTACCCGACTTTCACCTGCTTCTTTTTTTTTCTCCCTCCCCCTCCATTTCATTTTAATCTCTGTGTGAACACGGTCGAATCCTCCCGTTTTCTCGTATTCTGGAATTCTGGAACTGACCCCGGGAGAATCTTTGTTTATAACTCCCTCTTCTTCCTCACGGTATGGTGCTTCTCATCCCTCCCTTGGTGGGTGTTGCCACTAACCGAGATAATTCCATTAGTCCTCCTCCCCCAACCCATTCCATCCGACGCATGCGCCATCGATCTTGTGATCCCTGTATTATTTTTACGACCGATCAATTCTGCATCATCAGCCCCATCTTTCCCCATCACCGCTCTGGACATATTCGTGGTGGAAGACGGATCCCGTTAAACGTCACCAATTTGCTGCTGTCGCCCGTTGGGGATCTTCGCCCATGCCACGATAACACGATTAGCGACAGATTGTGATCGAGTTTGGCTTGGTCGACTCCAGTCGAGAGACGTTGAAATGGAATCCAACACTGCCTCCGCACCCACGGTAAAGCAAGGTTCTGGCGAGGATGCCTCTGAGATTGCGCGGATGGTCCAGGAGGTACCGGTTACCGACGTTTCAGCAAAGCATGTATCAGAGAACGAGTTCAGTCCCGGCGCTGCCGAACGAGTATATCCAATTCGGTCAATGGTCTTCGTTGACCCCTCGTCGACTCCTGCGTCATCCGACGATCCGATTTCACCAGTGAGGGGAGCCAGGCAATATTCGATAATCGATTCGCGAACATGGGATGAACTGCAGTCACAACGCAAGCCGGATACAGAAATCGTAGCGGCTCCAATTGAGGCGGTTCAACTGCCCACGGAAGCACCGGGCTCCGGGAGCGAAACCCTTGTCCAGAGCCCCGCCACCCCCGCAAACGCGTCGCTCGAGAGCCCCGCGGAGACAAAAGAAACATCGGACTTGGTTACCACTCGATTTAAGCACGTTGAAACGGACGATGGCCACGCTGTTCTCACCGGCAGGACGGTGGATTCTTTTCGGGCCTGCGAAGATGAGCCTATTCACATCCCCGGCGCAATTCAAACCTTTGGTGCGATGATGGCCCTGCGCGAGGAGTCGGAAGGAAAACTAGTAGTTCGCGTGGTCAGTGAGAACTCAGAAAGTATCCTAGGGTACTCACCCCACAGTCTCTTTGCACTGGAAAACTTTTGTGACATCCTCGATGAGGACCAGTCGGAAAACTTATTGGATCATGTTGACTTCATCCGTGATGAGGGGTACGATCCCAGCGCCGATGGCCCCGAAGTGTTCGTTATGTCCATCACCAGTCCGGCGGGCCAAGCAGTGCGGCTCTGGTGCGCCATTCATGTCAATCCCGCCAATCCGGGCCTCATCATCTGCGAGTTCGAACTGGAGGATGATCGCGTTAATCCCATCAGCGGCTCCAGCGGGCCGTCCCCTTCGGTGCCAGTTGATACCCTGGGTGCTGAATTTACTCCGGAACAATTCGCGGAAAGCACCATCAACATCAGCCAGCCATTACGGTTGCTGCGGAACGCGCGCAGGCGAAAGGGCGAAGCCGCCGCAATGGAGGTTTTCAGCATTGTTAGCCAGGTTCAGGAACAGATGAATCGCGCCGAAACATTGGATCTGCTGCTTAACACCACTGTGGGGATCGTTAAAGAGCTGACAGGATTTCACCGAATCCTGATCTACCAGTTTGATAGCCAGTGTAACGGCGTTGTGGTGGCCGAGTTGGTTGATCCGAGGGTCACTGTAGACCTTTATAAGGGTTTACATTTCCCCGCGTCCGATATTCCCAGACAAGCTCGAGATCTATACCGAATCAATCGTGTCCGCTTGCTCTACGACCGCGAGCAAGTGACCGCACGCTTGGTTTGCCGCACCGTGGAAGATTTGGAGCGACCCTTAGATATGACACATGCGTACTTGCGTGCCATGTCACCCATCCACTTGAAATACTTGGCTAACATGGAAGTGCGTGCCTCGATGTCCATTAGCATCAACGGCCCCAGGGAACTGTGGGGATTAATCTCTTGCCATACCTACGACACTGGTATGAGAGTCTCGTTCCCACTCCGAAAGATGTGTCGATTGATCGGAGAAACACTGTCGCGCAACATTGAGCGTCTCTCATATGCATCGCGTCTTCAGGCCCGCAAACTGATCAACACCGTCCCAACTGACGCCAATCCGTCCGGGTATATCGTTGCTTCGTCCGACGATTTACTTAAGCTGTTTGATGCCGATTTTGGTGCCCTATCGATCCGCGATGAGACTAAGATCTTGGGTGGGTCAAGTCATCAAGAAATGCTGGCTTTGTTGGAATATCTTCGAATGCGCCGGATTAACTCTGTGCTCGCGTCGCACAACATTAGGAAAGATTTCACGGACCTCAAATACCCCCCCGGGTTCAAATGTATTTCTGGATTGCTCTACGTTCCTCTCTCCGCTGATGGCATGGATTTCATGGCGTTTTTCCGGCGGGGCCGACTGACTGAAATCAAGTGGGGTGGCAATCCCTATGAACAGAAGGAGAAGATCGGCAGGCTGGAACCGAGACAGAGCTTTCAGATTTGGAAAGAAACTGTCCTGGATCAGTCTCGAGAGTGGACGGACTCCGACGTGGACACCGCTGCCATTTTATGTCTGGTGTATGGCAAGTTCATCAAAGTGTGGCGCCAGAACGAGGAAGCCATGCAGGGCTCGCAGTTGACCAAGCTTCTTCTCGCAAACTCCGCCCATGAGGTGCGGACTCCCTTAAATGCGGTCGTTAATTATCTGGAGATCGCACTAGAAGGTGCGCTGGATAAGGAAACCAGGGACAATCTCACTAAGTCGTACTCCGCGTCGAAGTCATTGATTTACGTTATTAACGACCTACTCGACCTGACAAACACGGAAAAGGGCCAGGATCTCATTAAGGACGAGCCCTTCGACCTTGGGGTGACGTTCAAGGAAGCGACTGGCATGTTTGAGAGCGAAGTGGAACGGAAAGGGATCAACTATACCGTTTTGCTACATCCTGGCATCCCGCAAACAGTTATTGGAGACCAAAGACGTGTGCGGCAGGCCATGTCCAATCTTATCTCGAATGCTATTCAGCATACATCGGGTGGCGATATTACCGTCGAACTCTGGCGCCAGCCGGGCCGTACAGAGGATGGATCTGCAACAATCCAAATCGCAGTCCTTGACACGGGATCGGGCATCTCTCAAGCTCGTCTTGAGACCTTGTTTCAGGAGCTCGAACAGGTCTCTGCAGAGAGTGATAACCGTGGCCTGGATGAAGGTGGCCGGGTTAATTTACGCGAAGTCGTGGATGAGACAGAAAAGCAGGTTCTGGGATTGGGGCTGGCAACCGTCTCTCGCGTCGTACGTAATATGCAAGGGCAGCTCAGCGTCCGATCGGAGGAAGGCAAAGGGAGCCGGTTCCAGATCACATTGAATTTCCCTCTGCCGGCCGATGCCGCCTCTGCCAAAGACGAGTCCGAAGTCCCTGTTCACAACATTGTACCGACCCCCCCGTTACAGTCGAAAGAAGAATTCGTATTGGTTGATACCCGCTCCGAGGGACGTAGCTATGGCGGAAGTGACACCAACAGCGAGAGTGGGAAGACCACACAGAAACCTCCCACGTCACAGCCAAGCCTGGATGAAGAATCTAAACATCACCCAGAGATCGACGGCCAACCAACACAGGCACCTGTAGCAGCTGACCAGTCCCCAGAGGCAAAGACGGAGTCCACATCGCCGACCAAAGAGTCTCCCTCCCAACCCGACCTGTCTCCTTTGCCTAATACCTTCCATGTCCTTGTTGCGGAAGATGACCCGATCAATAGCAAAATTATCCAGAAACGACTGACCAAACTCCGCCACACTGTACGTCTAACCGTTAATGGCGAAGAATGTGCAAGCGCCTACCGTGCGGACCCTGCTCAGTTTGATGCGGTCTTGATGGACATTCAGGTAGGTGTTGTTTCCCCCATGCTCCCCTTAAACAGCGCTAACTAGTCGTGCATAGATGCCAATTGTCGATGGTATCGGGTCCACTATAATGATCCGCCAATTTGAGCAGGAAACCCCGCCAGATACACTCTCAAGACTTTCTAGATTGAACGGCCGAATACCCATCTTCGCCGTCTCGGCTTCGCTTCTTGAAAAGGACGCAGAAAAATATATTTCTGCAGGTTTTGATGGTTGGATCATGAAGCCAATCAACTTTGAACGATTGAACACCCTCCTTGCCGGCCTCCGCGACGATGATATCCGCAACAGCGCTACCTACCAACCCGGTAAATGGGAGAACGGTGGCTGGTTTCACGGGCGCTAACAGCCCTGATCTCTCTGATGACCCAACTTCTATGATTTATTGAACTGACGAAAAGCTGTCCCTCTGGTTTCGCCGACACCGGCGATGAGCGTTGTGTTAGCATTTGATCAACGTTTTTGGTGGCATGAGTATCCGTTGGTTAGGGAGAATGCCCTCAGTTCTATGTATTTCACATCTGCATTCATGTTATATATATACCCCATCAATCGATTTAGTTCTACAGAATGAACTGGATGTTTATATTGGTCGAGATTCTCTATTATCCTTCAGCGCAAACATGATAGTCGTTCCAGGTGTGGATCCATAACGTCGAGCTCTAGCCTTCCACGCCCAGATATAAGTTCTCATAGTTGCTGAGCCAAGTACCTAAATGTAAAGAGTGTCTAATCTAAACATACACTACCGATTTTCAACACCCAAAACACCCAAGTCAAACAAACCCAGCAATAACCTCCCCAACCCCCACCAGCCCCGGCATCAACTCCTCCCCGTCAAACCGCAAAGACATATCCAAGAACCTCCTCGCAGATAGGAACGCCTCTCCACTCTGCCAGGAATGACACTTCCCAGGCTCAACCTGCAACTCGACCTCGACACCATCCTCCCTCGCACAGTCCACAAACCTCACAATATCATGCACGAAAATCTCATCCGCACCAGCAGACACCCACGTCCGAGCCGGGAGAACACGCACCCAAGAGCCTCTTTCCATAGACCGGGCAGTGAAATCCCCAAACGGAGAGATCAACCTGGTATCAGCGCGTAGAAGCTCTTTCCCAACCCGCTGGAGGAAAGTCCTCGATATGAAATCCCTTTTCTCAAGGACGGGTATCGCGGGAGACGAAAGAGAGAGATCGAGCCAGGGACTTAGGAGGATCAAGGATCCCGGTCGTGGATACCCCTCTCCTATGTTCCCCTTCTTCTTATTCTCCTTGTCCAGAGAAAATCCCCCAGCAAGAACAACTAAGAACGACAACGCAAGATGGCCCCCCGCAGACTCACCCACCAAACACACCTTCTCTGCCCTCACGCCTACCTCCGCAATAAGATACTCGTACGCTGCAAGACACTCGCGTATCTGTCTCGGAAACGCCCCGTTACTTACCAACGTATAATCCAGCGTAAAGACACAGACGCGAATCCCCTTCTTCTCCAATACCTCAGCGAGGAAAAGTAACCCTGGGAGTGTATCCCCGGGATGGCCTAGGGCATACCCGCTCCCGCGCAGGTGGTAGATGACCAGGTCTGCGTGTTTGGGGTCGATGGGCGGTGTTGAGCGGAGGCCGCGGGATAACCAGTACCCTGTGAAACCGGGTCTTTGGACTCGGTGGAAGAGGTGAGGTTTGAGGGGGCTGTAGCGGGGTGAGAGGAGGGTTTTGGAACCAGTTCTGTTGGGGAGGGTGTTGTGGATTGCTAGGGGGAGGGTTTCGAAGGATCTTTTGTTTGGTTGGGGTTGTTAGCTTGGTGTGAGTTAGGATGAAGTGTGGGTTATGTTATGAAAGAGAGAGAGAGAGAGAGAGAGAGAGGGTATGTTTACTCTCGTGTAAGAGACCGGGCAAGGTCTTTTAAAAACGGTGGGCGGCTTGTGGTTCCCGTGAGATGGTATAGCGTCGTTTCGAAGATAGTCCACGGGATGCGGATGAGGAGGAATGTTGTTAGGGCTATTATGTCCCGGACTCTGATCTGGGGTGGTGGGTTGGGGTCTTGCGTGGTCATTTCTTGTGTGGTGGTTTTGGGATTTTTCTCTTGGGGACGAGCTTGTGAGGTATAGAGCAGCATATCTATCTTCGGATTTAAGACATGTGGATCGCTAACGGCTCGGGATCTACAGTCTCCGATGCTCGGGATGTTGTGATACACGCGATCGACTCGGGTTGTTTCAAGTGGTTTATCCGAGATGGGGGAAGGGTGGGTGTCGATCATGGGTAAATGTTTCGTGTCATGATCTGCGGTGTAAGACCTGGGATGGCGGAGTTTTTATTATAAGAGTGAAGGATGCTAGGGAGGAATCGGAATGAACAGGGTGAGAAATAGCATTGCTATCTAAATTCTATATAAAAGTCGCGCTGTAAGAGACACTGGCACATCAGATATCCTCATTCTCACCAGGCCGGGTTAAAGAAACCCACGAATCCTTCTTTCTGGACTCTTGCTCCGTCGGCAGGAACCAATAAGGATGAAAGATGTTGAACACAACAACAGCAAGCACCATAGTGATTCCATCCAGACCAATGAAGAACCGCTCCCGTGTGATCAGATATCCCGTCCAGCCTTGCAACAACTCGATCGTGCGGTAGATGCTTCGGACGTAGATGCATACTACGGAGAACGTCGTTGCCAACACCAACAGGCGCATTCGCGGGGTGAACCGGGCACGGAGTTGCGGGCGACGACACCGAATGAGAAAGTCGATACCGCAGAAGGCAAACGCTGTGATGGCGGCCATCTGGAATACAATACCGGCCACCATTGTGTTGGTCCCTGGGGCAGTGTCCCCGTTGACTTCGCCTGCTGCGGAAGAGGCCATTCCACCACCCACTGCTTGAACGACCAACGAGACTATATCACAAGTGCAAAATATCCAGAGATACCAGCTGGGGCGAAGAATAGAACTTTCTGGGCCCAGCAGTGCGATGAGTTGGCCGAGAAGGACATATATTCCGGCGGTGAAGAATGTCGGGCCTTAGAAAAGAGACCATTTGTCAGACAGCATTTGTTGGGGATATATTGTGCACAGGGCATACCGATAATTAGTGTTGATATTTGCATCAGGAAGGCGTCAGTTTGATATGGACACTCTGCTGACCACGTCCGTGCTGCCCACCCTAAAACCTCCGCTGCAATAAATCAGTGTACGACCTCAGTCACCTGTTTAGACCCAAAACATACTCAAGCATCCTATGGCAAATAGTAAGCACCACCACTTCTTGGACCAAAACGATTGTGCTGTGTGGGCCACCATGGATGTCCCAAACAGCACACAAAAGGCAATGCCTGCCGCTAGTGATGGTTGGTACCCGTATGCCGGTTCGACTCCCTCTACTAAGGCATGGCAACCTTCGTGCAGATAATCTTTAATCATTGGTAGCTATGTGTAGGCCAACACGATGTGGTTGGTTTCAGTGAGCAGTCAGAGCACGCTTGTCCTCGCAAAGGGAAGAATGGTATAAGTATGCATGAATGGAGAAGTGGACGGATGAAAGACTACGTCCAAAGGTGATAATGAACTAGTTAACAGAGCCCTTTTCCGTGTCCAAATAGGCACCAAGTGATCGAACTGGTTCCATAGTATGCCACTATTCGATAGGTTTTTAGAGTGTGGACCGACCACCGAGCTCCGACGTGGTCTTGGCGGATGAGGTCCGAAGACCGATGTTTGAAACTCGTAGGCAACGCAACCAAATTGTCTGAAAATTCGAATTAAGTGACTATGTGTCAGTGATGACGCAAGCCCTGATGGACCTTGTGGTATGCTTGACTTTTATAACAGTCGTGATGTAACGTTTCGTTCTGGACATTTTGGTATACCATCCACGCCTTCAATATGCCGACCTTTCCACGCCCACCCTCCAGCATCTGCAGGTCTCAAAATAAATCCCTTTTAAGCAATTAAGAAGGTGCATCACTAAAAGCGCAGCCCTCTTCTGCCAGTGCCGCCATATATGCTACCGCGTACCGACAGATCGGGCCCTCGAAAAGGGCTTATGTCTTCATCGTAACAGATACAAACTGTATCAGGGACCGATAGGCGAAGCGCTCCAATGTGTTCCTAGGTAATTCATTCGATACAGTCACCTGGGCTGGCTTGTTTGTTCTGGCAAACATTAGGCACCCATGCTTTGATGTTTTGAAAAACACCCCGATGAATACACTGGAGCCGTAAAGAATGGCAGGCTATCGGGTTCAGAAAGGTAGATTCTGGTCAAACGGAATGGAAGTTCCGAACAGGTCCGTTACGTCGAACCCAGTCAGAGACCCATCCCCGGCATCCAAGTCGTCGATAGCAGGAAAGAACAACGGAAGAGTGTCTGGGCTGGCCAAGGGCGGTCGGTAGTCATGCGTCTGAGAGCCAAAGTAAGCACTGCAGTGGTTTAACCTCACGTCAGAACACTTACCTCATTTCCTAGAAAAGGCACGGCTGAAGGAGGGCTATCATCTTGCCTGCTCAGCGGATCATTGGCCGCATTGGTCGGCACTGGGATGTTACTTCTATCATTCCCTTCCGCGCGATAAGTGCGGACGAAATTCCGAGCAATATATGCAAACTCTGCAAGCACAGAGCTTGGTAGTGAACCGCCGGTAGCATACTCGAGCCTACTAAAGTGGCCCCCAGCTACTTCCAGCAGAGCAAGGTTGCTAGCCGTTTCTGGGTGCGTTGGGTTGTGAATAACGAGGTCGAAGAGGATAAATAACGCTGATAAGGGTAGATGAGCAAGAATGCTGCGCACTAGGTCAGTTAAATTCACCCCCATGGGTGTAGGATACGTACTAAACTGGTGTGTAAGCCTCCATGTCAATATACCGCAGTAACTCGATGATAGATCGCGCCGCTTGCATGATAGCCTTTCTGGCGGCTACCTGCCGAGGGCCATCGGAATACCGTCCCAGGTGCAAGGTTAAGCGGCACAGCGCGATACACGCATTATGGTAATAAAAATGGGTCTGCAGAGCAATAAATGTCTCACAGGAGCCGTGGAACGATTGTGCCCGGAAAGGCTCCCCGGGCCGAAAGGTTATCGGTATAGATTGCCGCCACCGTTCGAGTAGGCTGTTCATGGTGTCTATCTTCCGGTAGTAAGATGCCTCTGTATTCCACGTTGCACTAATTGAAAATAGAGACTCGTATGCTCTTGATAGAAAGCGAGCAAGACCAGCAGCTGCAGTCAGCCAATTATAGTCACCAAACACAGACTCCGGAATGGTAGGAACTGGGCATCCTATGTCGGAGTCCATAATCACCTATAGTACAAAGAGTAAGTAGACGTGCGGACGACACTTTGCATTGTACTTACCGAGGTGTTGCCGTGATGGAAAGAAAGCATTTTCTCCAAGGCGTAAATGACCCAGAAAGTTCGATATCGGGTGTGTTTGTCTGCTGCATCTGACGCTGCGTTCAATCTCATACGCTGTGCTACACAAGCAGCCTGCTTGATGAAAAGAGAGTCCAGGTGCATGTAAGAAAAGTTGAGTGCAAAGATTGCCTAAGTTTATCAGTTCTGCACCATAAAGCATGTGAATGGTACGTACCATTGCAGTGATTGCCTGTAGCATTGTTAGTTAACCCCATCCACGGCCGTGTAAGCTACCATACCTGTAATCCACCCAGGCATTCGGCTCCGATAAATATGTCGGAAGCAAATCCCAAGGCTACTTGGTAGAGCTTCCAGCTGTTCCCCTTTCCAGGCTCGAAGGAACCGCCATCATGGTACTGGCAACCCAAAGCCAGGACGGTATGATACAAGGCAGACCAGTGGATATCGCCTGCAATATCCGCAGCTAAACTGGCGCTCGATATTCTTTGTTCAAATTTTACTGGATCAAGAAACGGGTAGACCGGATGAATCTGGCTGAAATATGCTTCCAATTGTCAGAGATTATGCCACGGTTCCGAAATGGGGCCAGTCTCGTACAGTTAACATAAAGCCTCATCGTAGCCTCCTCCACTACAGGTAAGTTTTCGGGTTTCTGCCATAGTTTGTCGGTGGCCGGTCCCTTCTGTTCATGGTGACGTTCATAGCGATCATTCACCACGGCGGAAATTCGATTCAGTAGGCACTCAACTCCGGTATGGCCCAAGCGATTAGTAAGTGCCCTTATGCGACTTTCAGAAAAGTACCCGATACTTGCACTCCCAACTTCAAAGAAACCGTTAGCAGATTAGGTCTTGCGATACGCAGCACGGGCAGTAGTACAAAGACCACGAGAAGAGCGTAAAGAACGTTGAACATACTGTAGCTATCATGATGCTATGCACCGCAAGTTAGATGACTAGTTGGTAAGGATTTCTACTTTAAGAACCTCATACCGTGACAATCGTCTCCAGGTAGCGAGTCCTCCCGGGGACGCGATGGTCTTCGATGAGCTGGTCCACGTAGAGAGGTAATGGATCAGGAGAATCTTGTGCTAGAATACTTTGAGTACCCGTGGATAGATCACACTCGTCTAGCTTAGACAGATACTCGGGGGAGCCAATATCATCCGCCTTGTCGCGAGAAGGAGTCACGCTCGGGGAGAGATTGGCAGTATCCCGAAACTTTCTTCGGTATGCTTGAAACACGCATTTGTCACCTCGTTTCTAATTCAGATACATCAGGACCTCGTATCATATTATAGAACTGGGAGTCAGTTACCTGGCAGTTCTGGCATTTTGCATCGGGACCGCTTCCTTTTGGCTCTAACGGATCCTGTGCGTTAGTAGCGAGCCCTACGCGTATCGTTAGGTCTTACTTAGACAGCGGACTTTGCGTGACCTGCATTGATTGCAGGTCGACGATAACCTCTGGCGTAGCATCTCGGAGTGAAGCCTTGTACTCTTGTGTAGATGAATGGACTAAGGAAAGTGAAGGACATTGTATTGCTTAGTCACTTGTCTTATGCGGATGAGTCATATCATGCATAACCTCTGGTTCACAATTCGTGCATAATTATCCATAGCAGAGGATGTGCGCAGAACGAGTGTATCAGTAGTTTAGAAGGGAAGGAAATCAGTGAAATACTTGAACATGACCTGGCCTAATCAGTTCAATAAAATTGGTTGTATTTTTTGGGCCAGAGTAGATTTATTATGAATGGGGTTCGTGGTTGGAAGAAGTAGAACCTGAGCTCATTGTATGCTTGAAATTTATATTTATGGACGGGTATAAGCTCTTCGTACACAAATAAGCCTATAGTAATCTTTAGAAAAGTAGTCCATACACACGAGGTATCCATCACCAAATCTACCCCCAAGTTCGTAGGTTAAATCCATTGCAGAGGGCTAAGTGACTACTGAATGCAAACCATCACCCACTCATCGCAATGACTTGCCGGAGCGATGACCATTTGCCGATCCTCTCGGCTAAGTGTCCAGCGGCAAAATGGCTCCTCAGCTCCACGCTCCACTCTTGGTCAATCGACGATCGGTAATGGATTCCCCGGCTGCAATTCGACGCAGGAGACGTCGTCGCGTAGCGGAGGAGAATCGCAAGAGGTCCATCAGAGCGTACGTATTCTAATTCTTGCCATGTTTGCTCCTGGGGTATGACTTAAACCGATTATGTCTTAGTTGCGACCGTTGTAAGGCGCGAAAGAGCAAATGTGTTGAATCAAATCCTGGCAGATGCCAGCGGTGCGTCGTTAATAATCTGCCCTGCAACTTCCAACGGTAGGTGCACGAGAAGGGGAAAATGTCAAGACCAAACCCACATTCTTACTTCGGATAGACCGATATCCCCTCCGCTTCAGGGAGATGGCTCGACAAGGTCAGCTCAAGATGCAGCACCAACGAATACTGGGAAGGCTGCCGCACAGGGCGCCTTGCGTAATCATAGCTCGCCAGCCCCAGCGCCGGTTCTGTCTCCACGACTTGCTAGTAATGTTCTTGCAGGAGAGGCTGCCGGGGGCTCATGGCCCAATGTGCTCTCCCGACTTCGAGAGGCTTTCTGCTTGGACCCGCAAGGAGGTCCAGAAGAACAGCGCATGGCTGTAGGTCAGGCTGTAAGTCAAGCCAACTTGTGTATAGGGTACCGACAACTCACAGAGTGCAGCAGATGAGCCATCCTACACCACTCCACCACGCGGAGCTGGATCGTCTAGAATCGGCGGTGCATGCCTTCCCTCCGCATTCAATCGCCTCTTTTCTCTTATCAGTCCTCATCAAACATGCTACCGACACATTCTTTTACGTAGATCAAGCCGAATTCGCGTCGGAAATTCATCAGTTCTATACTGACCCAACCTCACCGTTGAGGTCAGACTCGACTTTTGTCTGTCTCGCGATGGCAACCTTCGCGCTGGCAAGCCAATGGACGACATTGGAGAAACCAGAGGGACACCAGACAAGCGGTGGTCTGGAAAGGAGTGATCTAGGTAGGGTATTCTTCGATCACGCTCGAATGCTGATACCGGACATTATCGAGCGGCCGTGTCTACGGTCAGTTCAGGCTCCCTTTGTATTGGGCGTATACCTACTGCCTGCGAGTGCAATTGGGTCTTCATACGTCTACCTTGGTTTGGCTTTACGGAAAGCACTGGCGTTAGATCTCCATCAAGACATAGATGACCAAAAAACGAACGAACGCGAGATTGAGGTCCGCCGTCGATTATGGTGGTCACTTTACTCATTGGAACGGTTAGTAGCCTTCGTTGCAACAATGTCCACTGCTCCTCTAATTGTATGATAGGTGTACTACGGTCAAGTTGAATCGACCGCGTTCCATCAGCGCTGACACCATCACGACGCCTATCCCATCATTCCTTCCAGCGCTAGACCACTCCCAGAAATTCGATAATCTCAGGTTCCAACTTGCGTATATGCAGTTGGTCAAAATTTTAGATCGTATTTCCGATCCTGAGTAGGTCAAACCCTTCTTCTATCAAGGGAACCAATATGCTAATTCGCGCAGGCTGGGGGACACCGGTGACGAGCATGCGCTCCATGCCAGATATGAATCGGAGCTCAAAGAATGGAAAATGGCCCTACCTGTAGAGTTCAAGCTTCAGGACATTGACCCCCAAGACTCGAGATATCGCGCTGTATTCCATCTCTACCTTCACTACTACTATGCATGGATTACCATAGGGAAGGCGTCTCTTGTATCAGTCGTGCGAGCAAAGCTCCGCTCCTGTGATACCAAGTCTCAGCCCCCCCAAATCAGCCATATGACCAGAAACCAATCGAGACTCTGTGCAAAGGCAGCCCGGAAACTTCTTGGGCTGTTCGAAACCATGAGCATGTCACACAAAATCACTCGATTTTCCTTTACCGACTTTCAAGGTTGCAGCATCGCAACGATTATCACCTTACTCGATGGGATCCCCGAACGTGATTCGGGGTACGAGGCATGGGTGACGTTTGGTCTGGAGCACCTACGACAGATGGCTATCGGGAACACAACGGCAAAAATGGGTGTCCGGTTTGTCGAAGCAATTCAGTTGATTACCAACGAAGCGCGGGAGAAAGTCACTCGGTCAGCATGTACATCTGAGAGAACACCACAAGGCAACAGTGGCGTAGCTTCGACATCTGAATACTCTCAGTGGGCCACATGGCTCACACAACAGGAACAGGCTCAAGGATTGAGTGACAGGACGTCTTCGTTATCTATGGTGCCCGAAGCCATGACACCACTCTCGCAAGTCGGGCAGTGGCCATCTTCACACAATACTACAGGCCTGAGGCCAGCATGGGCTGCTACCGAGCGGCATATGTATTCTCCAACCTTGTTTCCAATGCAGAATCTTACGCAAGAGTCAGAAGCATATCCAGAGGCACAGGATGCCGACTATGAATTCCTCCCTATGCTACATCATGATGAGCAAACCCTTTTGATGGAGCTAACGGGCCTTGGTGTGCTGGACGTTTCTGGGTTATCGAACCCACTCGAATGATTTTAAAAGGCAAACCCTGTGTGGTAATCATAGCTACTATAGTTCTTTTATTTTCTTTTTCTTTTCTTGATCCCCGTACAGGATAGCCTTTTAGAGAATAAACGATTAAGGTAGTATATGGACGCATAGATGCCGGTATCCCCTCATAATTCATTGGTATATATACAACTTAGGTTCATCGTCTCTAGAACTTCTCCCTTTAGTCCAGTTATAGCCTCACTGGAGTTGCTCCGTCCTCGGGGAGCGCAGCCCACCGGCTCTTATAAACACGCCCCGCTTTCATGACAACTAGGACATGCTCCTCGGGCTTGTCAAAGATGGTTACGTTCTCCAAGGGGTTCTTGCTCAGTACCAGCAAGTCGGCCTCAAAGCCCTCTTTGATCTGGCCGAGACTGTCGTCGCAACTCATCATCCTCGCCGGATTGATAGTCGCACTGCGCAGAACCTCAAGAGGCGAGAGTACCTGCGAACGTAGCTGGAATTCTTGCGTTTGAGCAGCACCCAACGGGCCCAGGAGATCCGACCCATAACACATCGTAACGCCGGCATCCGATGCGATCTTGAGAGCCCCCAAGCCGGACTCCAGCACCTGGGCATTCTTCGTCTGAGACTCCGGGGGCAGGTAGCCCTTCCAACGCTCACTGGCCATCTGGGCATATGCGATGAGCGTGGGGGTCAGGTAGACACCCTTTTCCGCCATCAGTTTCGCAGTGGGTTCATCGACAAAGTTCCCATGTTCGATGCCCCGGACACCGTTATCAATGCAGTGCCGGATGGCCTTGACCGTGTATGCATGGGCAGTCACAAAGGTACCAGCATTGGCTGCACACTCTACCATGGCTTGGATCTCGGCATCCGTGAATTGAAGGTGCTCCAGCTTATCGGTGGGGGATGCAACACCGCCCGAGCCCATGATCTTGATGAAATCTGCTCCACAGCGGATTTCCTCGCGAACAGCCACCATACACTCGGACACCCCGTTGCACATGCGGCCGAGCGAGTTTTGGCTGTGGACTCCGCCGCAGCACCCACCGTGCTCATGCGAGCTTCGTAAATCGCCGTGTCCCCCGAATTGCGACAGAGCATGGCCAGACAGGAAGATACGGGGACCGGGAAAGACACCATCCTCGATGGCCTCTTTCAGGGCGAGTTGGGCCCCACCACAGTCGCGAATGCTGGTAAAGCCACGATGCAGCATCTGAGCGGCCGAATAAGGCTGGCGCAGCAGGTGTACATCGTTGGGATTCCCAAAGGCTTTGCTCAGGTCGGTGAAGCCTGGGACGGCGCACAAGTGAACGTGAGCATCAAATAATCCAGGGCAGACATAGCGACCCTGGCAGTCAATTACAGGCAGGTCGGTCGGTGGAAGCTCCCCTTGTGAGATTGACTGAATCTTTCCCTGCCTGATCACCAGTGATGAATTCTCCAGGATTGTGCCAGCTTCAACGTCGACAATATTCGCGTTGGTGAAAATATAACTCTGCGGTGCTGGCTGCAACCAGGGCTTGATGTCAGCGCCTGGGACTTGGGTTGTCTGTGTCATGCTTGCGAGCTTCGTGGAGGCAAGAAAGAATGTGGCGAAGAGGAATGCAAGAAGGAGTCTCGCATGCAGGATTCATGTTATAAGTGGTACCCCCATCAGTCGAAGCTTCTGCAAGCCCCACTACTTTCGCATAACTACCCCTCTTAAGATAACGAATCGAGTGTTGTCGGGATCCTGGCCTGACCGGGGTCAGATTGCCGACCTCCACCCCGACGGTCCGATGTGCATCTCCATCGGCGCTATGAAGCAACTTTCAAACTGTGGGGAGATAAGGCAAATAACACGCCTTGCACGTGGAAGATTGTACTTATGACCCCCCAATATTTAACCTTTTTTTATCTCAAGCAGGTGCTATCTTGACTAGTGTTGGTTTGACTAGTATTAATGTTGTTTTCGGATATCTGTCCTGGTGGGGATCATCGGATCGCTGTACAGCAGCTATCGCGCTTCTTATCTTCCCCCACAAATGATAAGGCATTGTGGATCCGGGGAAATGAATCAAATGATTCATGCATTCTGCACGCTGCTTGACCGGAGCATATAATAATGGATCTGCCTACTCCAGTATCGCTGGACAGTCAATCCCTCTCCACCCTACGACAGCACCAGCAACAATATTAACCGCTCGACACGGTGCTCATTTATCTACCCATGGACATTCCGAAGGCCCCTTGTGCGGACATTAAAGATGAGGAACGACGAGTCGGTGAGGTAGTTAATATAACTGCAACCTGCAGTCCTGAGGAGGAGAAAGCAGTGCTGCGGAAAATTGACATGGTCATTTTACCTTTTGTAAGTAACCCATCCCCGTCCACTTGGTCTGGTGTTCAATAACTAACAGTCCTGAGTTTTAAGCTCTGCTTCGTTTTTTTCCTACAGTACCTGGACAAGCAGAGTCTCAGCTATGCCGGGGTATTCGGCCTCATGGAGGACCTGAACCTGACGAACGCGCAATATTCCTGGTGCAGTTCGATCTTCTATGTGGGACAGCTGGTTTCCGAATATCCCTTCATTTACCTTATGAGCCGACTACCTCTGACAAAATTTGTTGGAGTCACGGTGTATGTTGTGCTCCACTAGTTTTGCTTCCTCTGATCTTCTCCCAGCCGCTGACCTGTCGCTGAATGGTAGGATTGTTTGGGGTGGGATGTGTATGTGTCTTGCCGCACCGAAGACCTACAGCGGATTTGCCGCCGTTAGATTTCTTCTCGGCTTCAGTGAAGGCGCAGTCTCGCCAGCCTTTGTCACCATTACATCGATCTGGTACCGTCAAAAGGAGCATACGACCCGCACTGCTCTCTGGATCTCCATGAATGGCATGGCCCAGGTTATCGGCTGCCTGTTAATGTACGGCATCGGCAAAAACGCAGCCCTAGCCATTGCACCCTGGCGCGTTCTGTTCTTGATATGCGGAGCCATGACCATGGCTGCAGGAGTCTGCTTTTTACTGCTCATGCCGAGCGGACCCAACGACGCGTGGTTTCTCAACGCCCGTGAAAAAGAAGTTCTTCGGCAACGCATGGCGCATGACCATGAAGGTGGCGATAAAACGTCGTTTTCCATCCTACAACTCAAAGAGACACTCATAGACCCGAAAGCGTGGTTGGTCTTCTGGTTCGGAGTGCTGGTAACGATGCAGTCTCCCGTATTGACCTTTGCGTCCCTTGTCATCGAATCGCTTGGCTACAGCAAGTTGGACACAATGCTGTACACAGCGCCCTCGGGTGCCGTCCAAATGGCCTTATTATGGATCGGCGTCGCGCTGGCCTCTATCCTCCCTCGCCAGCGGACACTCGTTGCGCTGATGCTCATCATCCCACCCCTTGTCGGCACGGTCTTTCTGCTGAAGCTCGACTTGAGTGCGGAATGGGGCATGATCGCCATGTCTTGGTTGGTGAGTTGATTCCTTGACCTTGTGAGCCGGGAATATGGTTTCATGCTAACCCTACCCTCGACAGTCCTCTTGTATAACGGCTTCCATGTCTATTCTTCTCTCCCTTTCTGCTTCCAATGTGAAGGGCAACACAAAACGTGCCATCGTCAATACCATGTTCTTCATTGGCTATTGCGCGGGATGCATTGGATCTCCGCAGTTGTGGACCAATCGACCTCGCTATACCGAGGGTGTCATCACATCTATCGTTACGTGGTGTCTGCTGTTCGTCGCGGTGATTATCTACCGCTTGCTGTGTATGCAGGATAACAAGAAACGAGAGGCAAATGCGTGTACCGACATTGACCCGAGCGGAGGAGATAGGCTGGAGAATGGGCTACAAGCAGCCGATGTGACGGATAAGACCGATCTGTCTTTCCGATATGCCTTATAGACCCTGTCCTAGATCAGTATGTTATTCAATTAGACCTAAGAGAGATGAGGTTTCTTTAGCTACTTAATAATTCAAGATTATCTGGAAAAAGGACGGGCTTGACACCTAATATAGCGCCATCATGACACTCATGCAGCGCCTTCTCGATTAAGTATCGGGTCTAATAGTGGTGTTCTTAGGGAGTGTATGAGAATTCTCAACATATATAACAGTCTTTACTATTAGTATGCTGGCTACTGCGGAACAACGAATAAACCCTGGGAGGTATATGGAGGGTATTATAGGATCTAGGCCAGGGAAACCAGAGCCAGGCTGACGTCACGCAAAGACAGCTCACACTCGACCAGGGACCGCTTAGAGTTACCCAGTACAGTTTAGTTGCTTACATTTAAATCTCATTCCCATCGAAATAACGCGTTGCCCCGCGAGCTTCGTTTCCCGCAACATCGTCCTCCGCACGCTCTGCACTATTGACATATCACAATGGCGATCGATCACACTAGTCTTTGTGTACCCGAAGACAAATTCCAAGAATGTCTCAAATTCTACCTCGAAGCTCTCAAGCCACTTGGCTATGAAATTCGGCAGCAATACGGCGAGTTCGTCGTTGGGCTGGGATCGGTAGATGAAGATTTGGAGGATTACAAACGTGCCGACTTCTGGATCTTTGGAACAAAGACTGTCCCTGAGCGTCCTATTCATATCGCATTCACTTGCCACAGTATGCATACTCTATTTTCTTGAAACGGTTGGCTATATAGAGAATTTGGACTTACAATCCCTGGCCAGGTTATGCTACCGTTGACGCTTTCCATGCCGCCGCAGTGAATGCTGGTGGCAAGGACAATGGCCGTCCCGGCTTGCGAACATTCTACCATCCCAAGTACTACGCCGCTTTTGTGCTTGATCCTGCTGGAAACAACATCGAGGCTGTTGATCATGATCATCATTGAACATGGGAATGCGCTGTAACGAGAAGGGGGGTTGGTTGTCGTCTGCGAGTCCACACCCTGTTTATACACCAGCCCTGCTATGACCACCGAGCGCATACGATTGCTTGTTAACTGTGCCTTTGCTTAGGACTGATCTTTAGGCTGTTTTCAGTTAGTTCTAATAGTATCCTTGAAAGGCCTTGATGTATACCCCCCTCGTACTGCATCCATATCAAGTTCTTTCACACAAGGCTGTCTACTCAGCATATGACAAGTTTTTGTCCGTAGTACATTGGACATCGCATGCATCTATCCTCTCTGTTATTCCGTTCGAGCTGAAGGATCGCTAACCAAATATAACAACCTTTGACTCTACTTCCGACCGCATCTTCAGTCGCCATATCCTCAGACTTAATCCAGAAAACCATTCTACGCTAACACAATCAGCCTCCACTCCCGGTCCCTTAAAGAAGTCCAGTCCCGAATTGCAATCCATGCAAACCCCTCCCGGGTGGCTATGACACCCTTTGAATCCCAAGAGATGAGCATGACGCCGATAGCTCCGTTGTCAATGTGGCCAGCATCCCAGCTGCCCCTGTTCTGGGCGACGGCAACAAGCTCGACAGTATCGCCTGGCTTTAGCGATGGTGCGACGTGGGACCAGGATACCTGGATGAGGCTGTCGGACCCTTGAGACAGGGTGACTTCCCAGGTCGAGGAATCGGGGTCTGCGGACATTGCCTCATCGGGTGAATGGCGGCTTGCCACGGTGAGACGAGCAGATGCGGTCCAGAAGCAAAGAAGTGATGAGAGGCTTACCGATAGATCGGCAGGGAGGTCTTTCATCGAGACATCGTGGGGTCTAGACGAGCGATCTGGAAGCGTGGAGCCTTCAACGAGAAGATCAACCTCGCTGTTGAACTTTGCATTCTGCCTCATTTCCATCGTTGCTTTTCCATCATTGGAGACACGATAGAACCGCAGTCCCAGAGCCTCCATGGTCAGGTTTTGATTGGCCAGCTTAGTCTGGCCATCGCTGGTCCAACCAACCCACGACCAGCTGGGAAACTGGCTCTCGTGCTGGGACAGAGTCTGGACGCCTCGTCTCCTTCTTAATGCATGGCTCCGATGGCCCCATGCAAGGGCCGATTCGAGAAACGCGGTCGGCATACCCCAGAAGAACGTCTCGCCGATGGACCGTTCCAAAGCACCGATGATGCCAAGGAACGCGTTCAATCCATCGCTGTCGAATGATAATGCCCGACCGGAGTAATCTTCCAGGAGGACCCGGTAGAAATGGTCAAAGGTAACAATGTCAGAGTTCCACGAGAGGTTCAGCTCGCCTGCACAGAGGCTTGTGCGGTGCGGGTCTGGAGAGATGTTTGGGATTTCCCGAAAGCTGTCCTCGCACCAGAAGGCCTCTTCACATTCCCAGAAGACTTGCTCGGCTGTGAAAACAAGGGACCGCGAAGCCAGGAACCTCTCTTGTAAAGTCCAGGCTCGCGTGTCCCAGACAGTTTCCCCTAGATATCCCGCGGCACGGCTTGTGCGAAGATCGACCTTGACGCCGAGCGAGGGGTCGAGAGATTGCACCAAGGTAACGTCCCGAATTTTAAAGGGCTCTGGCTCCTGACGTCGTGAGCCAGGTTTGACTCCGGGGAGAGGCGTGTTGGCATCAGTGCAGGTCGAGGAGATGATAACGACTGTCGCTAACGTGTAGATTGAATCCATTCGTGAGATGAATTTGGCCTTGTCTTGGTCGTCGTCCTGTACTATGCAAAGACTGTCGACCCAGAGATACCGCTCCCCGAGTCCCTTGGTAACCTGCAAAGCATCCTCGGTAATATTAGGAAGAATGTCTGGTGAAAGAGCGCCTGGCTGTGAGAAAGTCTGGATATTCTCCTTCAGGAGACGCAGCGTCTTCGCCTTTCCCCAGACATAGCTTAGACAGACCCACTGGTCATTTTCCTCGGCGAAGGTCAAGCACCTGCGCTCAACGTCGATGACCCGCGGTCGGATATTCGGGGTCCCTTTGAAGATTTGAGAACACTTGGCCCCGTGTATCTCCTGACACATCTCTTTCCATCGCTTGAAGAGCGCCATATCCGCTACGATAGGCCTTTGGCGTCCGGAGTATGGTTGTATCTTGGGAGAGATAGCACCCTCCAGATGGAAATGCTGACTTGTATCACCCGCTGATCCTTCATATCTCTGCAGAAAGAAGGTCAAGTGTTGCGATTGCGCGGGCTCATTGTCAGTACCAAGCCGTGGAATAGAGCAGCTGACTCTGATCCGATCTGAATGTGCCTTCTTATCGACAAGGCCGTCTTCCGCTGGACTCACAGCATGCCAATCCGTTTCCAGAGACACCACTACGTGGGTCCTGGAGATGTCAAGGTCATTTGTCCGATCCCCTGGATTCGCTGCAAACCAATCCGTGATGATACCGACGAGCCTCCTGCAGAAAGCACAGTTCTTTGAGCTACTCAACAGAGTAGGAAACTCCCTTTGGAAGAAGTAATTGTTACTCGCATATTCAGCAGAATCGTGGAAGCCAACGTATTCGAAATCGATGTGACGACATATAAAGCACAAGTCATTGGTGGGCGAACTGTGACCTACTTATTGACTTGGATAAGAGGGCTGTCGTGCACACAATCAAGCCAGGAAAGGGTCGCTTACTATGTATATCAGAGCTCGTGCTCAGTCTATCATCTTCAGATACTGATAGCACGAAAGATCTCGAGGATATCGAGGGCGCGGCTATCGAAGACATGGCTATATTACTCTCACTCAAGGACGAGAACCAAAGACATCCTCTGGCACTGAGGGGTTTTCTGCAACAATTTAGCTACTAATAAGGTCAGTGTTAAGTGGTACTTGACGCCTCTCCATTGGTTGTGGGGATGTGGATAGGCGTCAGCACTAAAACACCGGTCCACAGTGCCATTCGATGCCATTGGGGAGATGGACGTATTCTCGTGTCTCGTGGTCTAGACTACGGTGCTAAGGACACGACGGCTTGGCTTCCTCGTTCCAAGTCACTAGCCAATGACGGCTTCGGGTATTATGAGAAGATAAAAAGTGACAGTTCGACGTAAGTTTATCTGGTTAGTGTGTTGACGCAATTATTCGATTAGAAAAGATAATATAACAAACCACCCAAGGCTACTACAGTAATTATACAAAACAAGGAGCCGGAGGGTATCATGGACAATTCAATGCAAGGTGCAATTTTGGAGGCGCGACCCGATACAAATGTAGAGACAGTTGGCGCTATATCATGACATGGCGTAGAGCGTAAGTATGTACTGGGCACAGCCCGAAAGGGTACTTCAGTTCAGTGTAGATAATGTATGACTCTCAGGATTGTCCGTGAGCTCGCTGATAGAGACCAGTGAGGGCACAGGGCAGATTACCGACGTCGTCTCCACGGGGATCGCCTTCTGCCGCGGCTGGAACTCGCTTCAGCATCAGGACGCTCTGGGCTGCTGTACAGAAGACGGTCACTAGAGAGTGTGCGCGGCGGAGTCGGGATCGGCCCGGCAACAGTGATAAAGTCACCGGAAGATTTGTCGTTGGTAGACTGATCGGTAGCGAAAGGGTGGTCTGGGTCACTGGTGTGAAAGGAATAATCCTCATGGGGGAGGCGCAAAGACGAGACCTGGTTGAGATGCAGCGGGCTCTGAACCAAATTTACTAATTTGTTCAGAACGGCGAATTCCATTTTCAGCTTGATACTTGCTGCCATAGACCCATAGCCCTGTTTAACTGCATCATGATCTGTATGATCCAATATCATAAGGGCGGCAGCCGAGGCCAGCACAAAAATGTTGACGACGATCAATTCGCGTACCACTCGGCGGCCCTCCTGGCCTTTGGCGTCCAGAATAGGTTTGAGGTTTCGGAAGGCAGCCCAGAGATAAACGCCTGATATGAACAGTTCGCGTGCGCACGAGCAGAGTATAACCAAGTGTTCGTAATTGCGGGTGAAGGATTCAAACGCGGGTTTTGTCGAAACTCCCGTAAACCCATTGACGAGGTTCATAATACAGAGAGGAAGATGTAGGGTACAGGTTGTGAAGATGATGAGGAGCAGGACATATTGTGGAGTCCTGTCCATGGTAACAAGGTGAAGACGGGCGTAGAGAACCATAACGCTGCCAGTGACCATGGTGAGGAACCCTAAACTGTAGGCGATAAGTACCAAGGCTGGAGGCCCCATGTTCGCTAACGAAAGGATCAAAGCTGTGGCGAATACGATGGTGCCCCATGCGGTCACTAAGAGGCTCCAGAAGTAAAGGCCGCGGTAGTGTCTGAAAAAGCTGAAGATCCAGTAGAACAGCTCCACGGAATTGTAGGCGGCGACAGCCAGGAGGGGAATGGCAGCCAGAGTGGTTTCGCGGTCAAGGACCGGAGGCTCTGTCACCACAGACATTCTAACTCGGCGCGTCAGGCATTGGGATCAGTGAGCTATCTCAGGTCTCATTAACGCAGCACGGAAGCAGTGAGGCAGTGAGGCAGTAATCAGATCAAAATAGAGTGCAGGAATGTAGGTATAAGAATGATAGATACGCCCACAATAAAGGGCATGGCAAAGAGGCTCTGATCGTCAAAGTCAAAGTGGTACTGAGCCAATTTAGGGCCAGACCCCGCGGACCTTCAGGCCTCAGCTGCATGACGATCGGAGACCATTGCAATTGTTTGACTCCATATGGCAACGCGGTCTGAGTCTATTTACCATGGTGCCCTGTGGCCTGTACCTCTCAGGACATTCCGTGCCCCGTTCTCTCACCGAAAAAGGTATCCCGAGCGAAGCGCCAGTAAATTAGTACTATTCTGCGAGCAGCTCTGAACTCAAGCCAGGCGGCCTAATCTATTAAAAAATCGGTGCAGAGGCAAAAGTACAGTCCCCGAACGCCTTCAGACGCTAAGTCGGAGAGTCAGCCGTTTATGTACTACATTACACAACTCTAGTTGATATGCATCATATTCCAAATAGCTTACAGGTAGATGACAAATGCTTAAAGGGATGAGAATGTAGCGCCAATGCACGCAGGAGTCAGGACTAATCCAACAGCTTTTATTACCCCAAACGAATCCTGCACACATGTGTTGGGTTGATTGGAGGTTCCTCAGATGGTCATCCTGGCTGGAACAAGCTCACAGATAGATTATGCAGGGTTCACCCCTTCCTCCTCTCTCGATAGAATCCCCACTGGGTCTGGGCCGCCAATAAGCCTGGGCGAGCAACATCGACAATAAAGAAAATGGAGCTAGTGTAGGTTCGAGAAGGTCAGATAGGTCAGATTTTGGCTTTTAGCCGTTGGCTCGGTGGCGTTTCGTAGTCCCCGACGGTGTGACGGAAGCAGCATCCGCCATTGATCCTCATCGCTGATCGAACAAAGACAAGTGGAACTTGAGTTTGACAGCTTGACTATCGGGTTCCTTCGGACTCGAGATAGGGTCGATTTGGTCACCGAGGATCTTCCAAGCTCAAAAACAAGACATATGCAGGTGAGCTGATTGTGGTTCTATGACGGACAGCGCGGAGATGCTGCCTGCTGATCCCTTTCCTTCTATGCCCCTTTCAGTCCTTAGCTGTATTACACCCCATGGGCCATACCAAGATAAGTAGGAGACTCTCCCGAGGTCAGAACCCGCTGTGGAGCTGGTCTTGCTCGTGCTCATCAGTTGGCTGCCCGGCGAGATCCGCTTCTTCTGTATCCACTACCTCATTGTCTACTCCGTAGCGAGTTCCATATTTGATACTCCGTATCTTGGCCATTTCTCGTTAAGATTGCACTGTGCGAGGAATGGTGCAATCCCAGCAGAATGGCTCAGCTACCCCTGAGATGATCTGTGTGGCAAAGAGGAAAACTTTTGGTTGGCCCGCAATACTCTGTCCGCAGCGGCCACTGACATTGGCTATTTATCCTCTACAATCCAGCGTCGCACTATATGGGACGGTGAAGACTTTTCATCCCCATCCGGAACGCGTACGTGGTCTTCTCATGGAACGTGGGTGTTGAGGTTCTGGGCCCATTAGCCGACAAGAAATCCTACTTCTCATGACGCACTCTCTGTGTCTGGCCTTTCTATAGAACTTGCAAAGAGGTGGATCCTGCAATTATTGGAGTAAGGCTTCTTGCTACATGTCTCTCCACCTAACCGCTACTGAAGACGTCTCGAGACTAGGCTAATTCGAGGTATATTTCGTGGAAACATAGATGACGTCAGACGGGTACAATTTGACTACTAACATTTCTTTAATGACGATATATCACGCCGCCCGTCAGATCCAGCAACAGCATAGACTGTTAGAATAACAGTGTTTCGTTGTAGTTACGGAGTGGCTGGTATGTACACGCAGGTTCGTTGGCCATTTGTATTCTTGAACCGAGCACTTGGTCTGCTGTAGGCAGAGCTGTATATGGCCAACGCGCGTAACGAAACTCTACTCAGCCGGAGGGAGAGCCCGGCGGCCCAGCTGTGATCCGTGTGCTGTGCCCCATGTCCACTCGCTAATAGCACTGACATAGGTGCCATTTTGAAAGTACAAACGCAGCTCTGGCCCTTCCCAGCTGATGATCGCGACTTCCGAGCCTTGAATGACTGGTGTAATGGTTCCCTTGTTGTGATACCCTTTGCCGTGATCCCAACACACTTGCCAGATGGTGTTGTCAAAGTTGACAAAATAGATCCGCATATGGATACTACTTTTGCCGGGGTTAAAGTTCGTGGCCGCGATTGCACAGCGAGGAGGTGCCTTGTCAAAGATGGTGGTCAGTTCCTTGTACCATCCGGTATGAGGGTCATATGCGCGCTGGATAAGCTTCAAATCGTCGGTTTGGAACCAGATTCTATGGCAGGGGAATGATTAGTGAATCTGTCACTTAGCGTAGAGGTATTGGGTGGCTGTACCTAATGCTTGGACCATCGTGATCTGTGTAGCGCCAACAAGTAACTCCGATACCAGTGCCAGGAAGCGCAACTCCAAGGTTGGTGCCTTCCTTCCAGCCGTCCCCTACAGCAGATGTTAAGAAATCATCACCGATATTGAGTAGTCTGGAGTTTTGTTACCATTCCACATATACTCTTGGATCGTATTATCAATCTTCTGGGCATAGACCCGCAACTGCAGAGCATCCGTTCCTGCCAGAAAGATGGCTCCGATTCGAGAGTAAGCGGCAACCGTGAACTTGGCACCAGCCAGCCCACCATTGTACCATCCGCTGCCGCTATCATAGGCAGCTTCCTGGAGGATATTTTCTTCGGTAAGACTGTAAACACGAATCTCGGAGGTCGTTAGCTAGCAGAGTATCCTAAATATAACTCTTGACCTACGTGGTTCAGCTCCTTGGATGTCGCAGCCAGTGGGGTACCAAGCTTTGCCTTAGCGATTACATTCTTTGCTGTACCATTGGCCCATCCACTCTCATAGAGGCTCTCGCGAATACTACCGTGAGAGTCCTGAAAGTAGACACGGAGATGGTTAGTAGAGTTAACCGCAGCGATTCCAGTACCTGTCTCTCTGTTAACATCAAGGATACAGTATCTCTTGTCCTTACTTACGGAAAAGAACTTCTTGGGCACCAGGAGTAGACATTGCCGCTAATGGAAATCTCCTTGATACTTAGAACTATCTTTCTCTGAAGTCTGAGTGTCGGTGGTTAGATTTACTCTCTTCAAGGCGGATAACCGGGGCTTTTTATGTTCAACGGAGCCGGTGGATTACAGCAACTAGAGCATATTCCCGAGTCCTATTACTTTCAGTCTGGTTCTGTTCCCTAGTGTATTGGCCTTCCATCACAAGTAGTTAGCCCATACTCGTGCTGTTGTGTTTCCTCAACCCCGCAGCTAGCTCTTAGTTGCATGCGTCAAATACTCAATTGGATAAGTCTCTGCAACGCTATGCGAGTGGCTGGCTGACATGGCAACCTCTTGTCGAAGGATTAGTATTCTCATCGTTATGATCAGGCGCAGAGACCAACTGCTATAGCATATCATGCTCTAATAATTTACTTCAAAGTAAATCAAATACCATTCTCATTTGCGTGCCCCATCCTTGGTGACCGTACTCATCCAACTACTGTTACAACCGATCGCCCGTAGCCATACCTAGTGTATACTCACTTCAGCCGTTCGACGTACGCTGTTGTCTCTCGTCTCGTCGTCGAAACCTGGCTGAAAGTTCTATTCAACTTTCGTACATTTTACCTGCTATCATGCCACGTAGTGCAGCTGATCTACTCTAGCCTTATTATCGACCCACGATCGAAGAATATAGCTCACTTACGTGGCGTGGCTTACACATGCAGAGTTAGTTGCGAACATTCTCCGCTGGCAGCAACGCTATATGTGTCATATACTCCGGAATTCAGATAATCCCCAGTACGGATGAGGTTCCCCGACGGCAAATGAATTAAATTTATCTAGGGACAATTATTGCAGAATGCATTGACCAAGCTAAGCTAGGTGCTGCAGGATCGTCAATAGAACCCACGGGCCTCTTGGCGATTTCTCATGCCATTACTCAATAACCTGTTAAACAATCTAATGTAACTTAGAACTTATCTCATTCATCGAACATTCAAGGTTCAAGGAGTCTAGATTGGTCTTAGGGAGCGAGGTACCAAGCCAGCGTAGAGTAAAGTGTCGACAACCCCATGGTTGTCATAGGCTAGATGAACTTAATCCAAGACCTAGACACATGTATACTCTTACTTCACCTTTCTCCGATTCGATCCCGCTCGCATGCACCAGCTGCAGGAAAGCTCCACAGTGGTCTAATCGACTTTAGTAAGTGTACAACTCCACACTAGGATTCTCGTCTCCAAGACGCTAAGACCATCACGTACAGCAACTGAACTCCTTCTTTTCCAACCGGCAACCATCGTCTACTTGGATTTTACAGGCACACTATGCTATAGACAGCCACTGTCTCAGCTGTCAAGAAATTATACGAGAATTGGAAGTCTGGTGATCCGATAGTCCTCTCCGCATGGCTATTTACACTAAGCTCAGCTGTCTTCCGTCTTTATGCATGATGAGTTGTACACGAATGACGGCCCGTTCCGATTGCCATTATCAATTCTGATCTCACCTGCCGCTATGATCCATTATGCTATCCTGCTAATGACAAGCTATCAGCCAATAATATAGCCTCCGTGCGTCCGGAAAAATAGGCCAAAAAAAACTACTGCAGCCTGCCCCGCTTTGACCCTGGACGGAGGGCAGTGGACGTGCGTCGGCCATGTAACTGCTGTTGGCGTTGGTGGTGCTGTAAAGGCTGGCTGAGATTCTGATGGGGGTCCATAGTCTAACCGAAGAGAAGAGAAGAGAAGGAATGGAAGCCAAAAATCGTCAGAGAGGCTTCTAATTACTTGAAAGTGGGAAGTCGGTATCAACCACCAGTCAATCATGTGATCAGCTTTGCCCTGTCATCATACCGAACATTGGTTAAGTTCTAATTTATAAAGCATGTAAACTTCTTAAGACCTCAGATGAGGGACGGAATAAACGGCGAGTCGGCGGTCTATTCACATGATAACTGGGTCTGGACCATGGACGGACACTGCAGATGGTTAGACACCCATTAATGACTGGACACTAGGATCTATACACTTAAACCAACCTGGGGAAACTAGTATTTCTCTGACATCATTGCTCTTTTAGACCTTGAGGTATATTGTATGCTTATTATCTATTCCACGCAGTTTCTCGCTGTTGATCCTTGGTACCAAACCTACAGCAGCAGAAATGTTCGACAATCATAATCTGGCAGAGTGCTTTCTACTTCTCTACTTCTCTCTTTCTCTGTTTCATAGTCTTTTACATCTAGCCTCAATAGGTCAAATTGTGTCCAATTATCACTGAATACATCAATACTTTGCCTAGTTTGGCTGTGATTGGAACAAAGGTAAAGTCCATCACTTCAAACAATGAACCAACGTGATTTACCTGACGGGGAAATTCGATAATACTTTGACCACAATGATCTGCACAGTCCTCTCAGGAATTCACAGCCTCGTTCTTATGTAAAATCATATCTAAGGGCTTATACTTGATATCATATGCTCGGTAGAAAAGTCAACCACCGATTGAGGAAACAACCTGGCCAATGCAATATTAAGGATTATAATATCTCTAGAGTCTCGGGGGGTTGAATGACTATAGGCCTTGTTGGACACCTACAGTTCTGGTGATCAAGAAAAATAGATAAGTTGCACGTCCGAAATTACTTCGCAAGTTACCACTACTCTCATACAAAGGCCGTTGGAGTTCCCAAATATTTGGTATCAATAGAACCCATAGCTAGTACGCACAGAGCCGGATGTAAATCGGGGTGATATAGATAACGTTATCGTATCAGCCAATATCAGGCTACTTACCTCTAAGTTTTAAACGTCGAAAGCGCAGCCAGCTGGCATGTGTAGATGATATTTGGTATAAAAGTTGTGTGCTAAATAAAGATGGATGATCGACGGAGCACGTGGTCAGTGCGCGGCAGCTGACGTGACGTTTTTGGGGGAGCTTCAATTCAAGCAAAGATTCTCTTTCCTTTACCCTTACTTCATCGCTTGCATTCCACTTCCCCTCTTCACACCCACTATACCTTCCCTAGAGACAGATAGACTCGATTTGAAAATATCGTCGACAATGTCTTTACACTAATACTGTCCACCTCAAACGTCCCCTGAAACCAATACCTTCCAGTCGCAATGGTATCCCTGTGGCCTTTCAAAGTATGTCCGCCATGTGGCTGCCTGTTCCTCCAGTTCGCGAATAACCACTAACCAAAGAAATCATCTCTTCATTTAGGGAGAAGATAACTCCCCTGCATCCTTTGAAAGGGCGCTCGAAACCCTCTCTGGTAAAATCACCCGCGCGAACACTCGTCTCGACACTCACCGCCAAAATGCCCGCCGCTTCAAGGCTCTGTGGACGTTATACACCACATTTGCCTACCTACTCTACTCCATCATACTCGCCCTAGTGCTAGGATGGCAAAATTTTGGCGTAATCGAATATGCCGCCATTGCAGGAGGCCCTGTCGTGTACGCCAAACTACTGAATAATCCTCAAACCCCCCTTTTCAGCAATCTAATCCAGGAGCAGGATCTACGCCGTTCGCGCCGCAGGCAGCAAGTACTTCGAATACCGCATCAACAGCAACCAACGATACCTCGATGATCTCCAAAAGCAACGCGACGAAACTATTGAGAAGCTCAAGGTCGCAACAAAGTATAACTCCACCCAACAACTCCTAGAGAAGTACGGAGCTGCCCCCAAGCGGACGAAGTCGAAAAGCGGCGACGACAAGCGCAAGTCGGAATCGAAGCGCAAATCTTCAAACCCCCAGCAACAACAACCGCCCGTGCAACGGACCGGCCTTCCCCCTCCCCCGACCGCAAATATTCGCCGTCCGACTCCCGTCCAGTCTCCTGGTGCTCCCTCCCCCGATTTCCATGCGCCGCCTTCTCCGTATCCCCCTCAGCCCCAGATGCAACAACAACCGGTCGCTCCTCCCGGCGCTGCATTTGATGAGCCGGGCTTTGCACCCAACGCATTTCCGAGTGCGCCACAATATATCGAGCAGTCACACTGGTATGATCGTCTCATGGATGTCCTCCTGGGGGAGGATGAGACTCAACCGAAGAACCGGATCGTCTTGATCTGCAACTCCTGTCGGCTTGTTAACGGCCAGGCGCCTCCGGGTATTAAATCATTGGAAGAGCTCGGTCGCTGGCGGTGTGGAAGCTGTGGCTCATGGAATGGAGTCGAAAGCGAGGCGAAGAAGGTCCTTGATGACATCCGGAACGAATCACAACCGGCAGATGGAGCCTGGGAACCCGTTTCGCAGACAGATGTGGAGAACCACTCATCGGTTGGCGATGTGACCGATGAAGGTGTCATGGTAGCTACCAGTGAAGATGATCAGGTTGAGTCGCACGAGTCCGATGCCGACACAGCAGAGAAGGAACCAGAGGAGGTCGAGGAAGAGCAGCCAGAGCCCGAATCGAAGACAAGGCCAGTTCGGAGGAGTAACAGGAAGAAAGCATAAATATTGGCGTTCTGTATACATAGTTTTCCAACTTTCGGGTGGGTTTTTCTATTCTTTGTAGTGCATATTTTTACTGTGTCCGATTTATCTTGCGACGGAATTTGTTGCTTTGTTATGGGAAATTCATCTTCATTTTTATCTGTCCTGTTGAGGTTCGACTTGGGACTTGCTAAACACATGACCCTTGCAAACAAATACATTTTTCATACTTAATCTCATGACATCGTGATCATTGTCACATTGCATGGCAGCATTTCACATCACTGTGCCATTGCCGCACATTGCTGTCGCATAAGTATCACATCTTGGTGCATAACGATTACCTCGTCATATAACTATCGCATCGTTTAATCATTCACCATCCTTTGTGTCACCACATCTACAGCACATTCCCTGCTTTCCCAGTTCCCCATCAACACAAGCCATCGTCCCCTAGAGCGACCATCAGCCATTCAGTCAGTCAACCAGTCAGTTGCTCAAGCGGGCCGGACTGGCTGGTTGACTGATCAAATAACTTCCTGACGACACTGCAAGAACTCAATCGTTTCATTAGCAGCCCTCACCTCGGCCTCTTCGCCACACAGACAGCCCTCCACGAGAACAATCTGGGCATCGTCCATAGTAACTGTACACCGGTACGTGGCGCGGCCCTTCTCATCCAGGACACGCCTCAAATTGAACAGCGCGTCTCCCTTCGACAGCCGCTGTGCGATGCTTCGAGGGTGTGTCACATTGATTCCAGCTGACAGAATGCGTCGGACATAAGACAGCAGGCCAATCCGCTCGAGGAAGCGTTCGCATGCAGAGAGGTCCCCGCCGGAGTCAACAAAAATGGCTCCAAGGACGCTCTCCACGATGTCGGAGAAGAACTTGTCTGCGTAGAGTTGGGAGAGAGGTTCCCAGGGATAATTGGGGCCGTGGTAGAGGGCGGCGAGGATTGTGTTTCGGAGTCTGCGGTGACGGTTTAGAGCTGCATCGCGGGAGGTTTGCAGATCGAGACTGTTGAATCTCATGAAGCGCCACAGCTCGACTTGCTGTGTCTCGGACTTAACGGCGAATCGGCCATCAGGAGTCTGTTCGACTTTAGTCTTATCTTGTTCAATGGAGAACTCCATGCAGAAGAAACCGAGCAGGTTCGCATTCACTACTGCATGTTTGATGAGTGTCATGTCTCCTGGTGAGATTTTGTTGGAGTATTGGAAGATGACTGGAACAATGACCATGTCGAGAATGGCATCGCCGAGGAACTCTAATCGTTGATAGGACTGGGTGGATTGGTCGTGCTGGCAGGAAGGGTGGGTGAGAGCCTCGATCAGGAGATCCTCGTTCGTAAAGGTGTAACCAAGGTGTGTTTGCAAGTCACTGTCTATGATGTGGCGCGCAGTTCGTCCAGGCTCTGTTTGTGAGGAGATAGACGGGATGTCCAGGAGCTGTCTATTGACCTCTGGAAGAAAACAGTGCGTGCATATCTGAGCTTTGGCATGGCCACCGTCTAGGTAAGCGGCTCCGATCAGTGCCTCGACAACGTCCGCCAATACCTTGGCTGACATCTGTCGCTTGACAGGAGTAGCCCCTAGACTTGTGGATATCAGCGGTGCAATCCACCGGCGAGGAGTGAGCGACTTTGTCATAATGAAAGCATCCAATCCAGCGTCAAGAGCAGCCCTGGTGAGCCGGGGGTTTTGGACAATAGCGGTGCGACCCTCGGTGAGAAAACCTTCCGGCCAGTTGGGGTTCTGAAAGAAAAGCTGGCACGAAACAAGGTACTTCAGGATTGAGTCTCCGAGGAATTCATATCGCTGATAGTTCGTCACTCCTTGCGCCGAGGGTGCCGTGATGGCCGTGATAACATGTTGAATGTCCGCGAACCCGACATCACACAGAATGGTTGCGCACAGCCTGTTTGCGATCAAGGTACTCTCAAGTCTGTCAACAATGTGCGGGATAAATAAGCCAAATATGGCTGTGGACACCGGTAACTTGCCGATAGTACAACTTTTGGCAGCCACCATGTGCACCCTAGCAGAACCAGGTTCCGACCCAACGATGGCGTCGGCTTGGCCGTTATCTACACTTGGCGGATGCAAGAAGTTCCGCCGACGCGGGATAGGTCTGCATTCTATCTCAATCAAGTCAGCTTCGGACTCGACCCACCTATGGCAGAAGAACGGCTCGTCGTAGCGCGAAAGGTCCCGGATTATTCCCACTGCACCGGGCATAGCGCCCCGTGAGTACGCCTCACGAGCAGTTTCATGCCCTGCGTTTTGAATAAGCCAGTCGGTCAACTCAGTACTTGGTATGTCAGGCCCAAATAGGGTCACAAAGTCATCATTGTTCAACAACTGTCGGCTGCGGGGCGCTTGAAGGTAAAGCGCAGTGGCTGTCCTTAAGTTCGCGATGCAGTTGGTGGTCACTGTCGAAATACGCTCCGGGGCATCGAATGACAATGTGAGAATGGTATCGCGGTCCCAGAAAAGAGTCAATGGAGCCAGTGGGGGCAAGTTTGTCGGTCCGATCAGCTTCATAATTAGCCCATCTGTTGGGTGTCCTTTGCTTTCCAAGCTTATACGCATCTGATGTATATCCGGACATGACCACGAGCTTGCCCACTCTGTCCAAGGATCATGCTGTTCAGATACGTCTAATAGCGCGGGCAAAGTGATCTGGTCGTTCGGCCTCATCTCCGGGTTTTTCGTTAATGGGAGAAGATGGTCGTTCAGAAGGCCAAATTCATAAAGGGCCCGGTATGCCTGGAAAGCTGTTTCTTTAACCGCTGCACGCTCAGTCTTCCACCAAAGCTTTCCCTGGATGCGACGGACTTTGGGGTGCACGCAGCTAGGCAGGATCACAGTGCCTTTCACCATGCCAAGTCTATCCTTCTCGAACGAGAACTCCGGCCTGTTGTCAACATACCGTTCCTCGGGAAGCACGGCGCAGAAGTGGTAAAGATGTGTGACGACTGAATCTGGTGTGATTACGGCGCTGTGATGATGTTAGAAAGGCAAAGAATCATTAGTTTCAGATGAGGCTATACCCAGTAGCTTCGACGGTGATCATCTCTGGCACATTTTCATCGACTGCCTCTTGCGCTTCTGCCTCACGGAGCAGTCTCTCTTCGTCTTGATAAGCCTCGACCATAGCCTGCTCCAGAATTTGCCACTTGCGCAAATCGCCGTACTCATCCACTGTGGAAAACATGATAGCGTACGTTGACTTTTTCTGTCGTGCTCGACCGCGCCGTTGGATGAAGGATTTCAAATTAGCGGGCTTGTCAAAGCATACGACGACACGACAGGCTGTGACGTCGATACCTTCTTCTAAGACACTTGTCGTGACAATCAGATTTTTGCGCCCGCTTCGGAAGTCGTCCATGGTCCCTCGCTGCTTCTTTGCGTTATGCCAGTCGCCCACCATGTCCTGGCGACAATTGCTACTTGACATGCCAACATAAGCTGCGCATCGGAATCGGTCCCTGGTTTTGGGGTGGAGGGAAAGTAAGCGGGCGAGGACGCTCACAGTTACTCTTTGCTGTGCAAAGATCAAGCCGGAGAACTCGGGGTCATCGAATTTTTCAAGGAAGTTTATCAACGCTGCGAGTTTTGGTGACATCGGGAAGTAGTTCAGATCTGCAAGTTTGGCCTGGACCTCCGCGATTGGTAGTTTGGACAAGAAGTTTGAAAGGTAGGCTCTCTCCTCGTCTTCCCAGTCCAGGGTCAAAGACTGATCACGAATTGTAGTGCGCAGCTGCTCTACGGACGTGCAGATGTAGTAGTCTGCTGCCCACTCTCCCAGTTCTGCAAAGATGTGACGGCTGCGGTCTACAAAGCGTTTGATTTGCTCATTGCAGAGGGTTTTTCGTATCATCAACGCTTTGTACTCCCCGTTCCCGTTCGATAAGCTGTCGTTCTGTAGTATAGCGTCTGGATCCTCGTCACTGTCCGCCGCATCCCACGCGTGCTCCAAGGCTTGCAGAGCCCTGCCGCCAGGCCCTGCATCTGTGGCTTTGAAGATGATGGGCAGTAACTCGGGTCTATGGGAATACGTGGTGAGTTCTTCTTTGTGGACTTGCGGAGTTTTGCAGATGGAGTCGAGATTCGACTCTAAAGTTCTGGGCAAGGGTTCTTGGCGTTAGTTCTCTGGCCAGGCAAAGAGAATGATGGGGCTGTGCTTTTCCCTTACTTCATCTCCTGGCTCTTTGACCTGACCACTGGACTAGCCGTTAGACCCAAAATGCACGGGACGCTGTCTCTGCCGTGTTTCCGCAAGGCGGGGTGATAGAAATCAAGCATAATCATGTTCGCGGGATGCCGCCGCATGCAATGATGAGCTACACCATCAGCAATCTCAACTCCTGCGTCAAACTCTCAAGAACCACCCGACTACCAACCTTCGTCAAATATCAGCAGACCCAGCTGGGATATCCGGACAAACCCATGAGTTAAGGCGTCGAACAAAACCGCATGAGTCGACACCACCACCTGTTTGTCTTTCAAGAGCTCATCCCAGACATACTGGCTCTTCCAGCGCTCCACTTTATCCAGCCCGGTGATCGTACAGGCTCTCACAGCGGGGAGATGACTGCGGATCACCTCATACTGCTGAAAACACAAGGCCACAGTCGGAGTCAGGAACCAAGTCAACTGCACACACAACAAAAAGAGAGAAAGAGAAATCAGCCAATATCATCTGAATCAAAAGAACAATGAAACTCACCTTCCGTGATCCACCGCCCTCCAACTGATGAGCAATCCGTAAGAGCGCACTAAAACCCTTCAATCAAACCTACCCAAAAAAACAAGCCCAACCCACCACCCCCGTCAACCAAAAAGAAAAAGGATCAAAAGATAGACCTCACATACATCTGAGTCTTCCCCGTCCCGGTATCCATCTGTGAAACCTCATCAGCAACATATTCCCCACAGAGAAACCCCAGAGAGTAAGAAAAGTCGAAGAGCATACAGCAACAATGATATTCTCTTTCAAACTAGCCTCAAACATCTCATACTGATACTGCCGGGGTTTATACAGCAGTCCAGCGCCATTTGACCCATTAAGCTGATCCATAGGTCCCGGGCGAGTGTATCGTAGTATACTGTAGCGTAATATAGTGTAGAGTAGTGTATCAACCGTGTAGAGCAAGTCAGAAGTGTAGAGTTGAACAGCACACCAAGATCTCACTCCGCGAAAACACAGATGCATCTAACCTCAACACACGAACAAACACATACCCAAAAAGACACCCACAACTCTAAATAAAACTAGAAAAAAAGAACAGCTATGAACGAGAGTGCAAATAACACCAGGGTATGTTAAGCACAGAAAAAGAGGAGAAAGTAAACAACCGGAAAGTGGGACTACTAGTGTTGGGAGTCCAGGTAAGGCTGTGGGTGGTGGCGTGTATGTGGGGTAAATCCAATGAACAATGAACGGTTTCGGTCCATTCTGTTCTGTCTATCTTATCGCATGGCTCATGGCCGCGACTTAGTACGTAGGTACTATGTTGACAGGGGTTCTGGTTTGGGTCTTTTTGTTTCTCTTTTTCTTGTTTTTATTTATCTATTTCCGGGGTTTGGTTTATTTTCGTTGATTATGCTCACGATTTAGAGGAACTAGTTGAAGCTTATAGATTGCATCTGGTACCTTATGTTTGGTCGGATTTGGATATCCTTATTTTCACTGGGTATTTGGATACGTCTTGTTCGGGTTTCTTTTTTCTTTCCTTTGCTCAAATGGACATGTTCGTGTACGATTGAGGAGTAGTACATATACGCATATGATAGATGTGTTGAACAGTAACTATTGAAAAAAGGAACCAAAGGGAGGACTTTGCAGTCTAGCTGGTCAATGTATTTATCGAGTCAATCCACGGTCAAAAGTATTAGACGGTGGTCTTCTGCCCTTCGCACTGGCGTTGGAGATCCAGGCACAACAGAACACCATCCCTTCCAAAGCCATTAGATAAAGAAAACGTAGCAGCATCACGCCATACACCCAACCATAAAAACGGGATAGTACAAAGAAAACAGCACATGACAAAAACAATCAGTATCAAAAGCGATAAACACCGGTATCCGAAGGTAGCACAAGGGTCAGGAGCTTGGAAAAAAGGACAACAGCTGAATGCGATCATGAGACCATGGGAAGCCCATGTGTGGATGGCTCCGTCTTTGTCGCTTCCGGGTCAGCTTGAGTCTCGTCGGGGCGTGTCCGACGACCCGCGAAGTTATTGCCAAGGTAGTTGGCCTCTTCATTGGGATGCTTGCGCATCCCCAAGCCGGCCACGGCTATCCGGTTCAGAGAGTTCATGTCGTCGTTGGACGCAGCACCTTGAGGTGGCTGCGGTTGTTGAGCTGCCGAGGGCGGCGCGGGCGCTGATGAAGACGTCGTCGCAGACCCGGCACCGGGTTGCGGTAGATTCAGGTCGGTTCGTGGCTGACTCAGGTCGATGTTTCCTGGGAGCTCAGGCACCTCGCCTTGGGATTCCAGAAGTCGTGACTGGAGATTGATGATATACTCGCGCAACTGATAGTTCTCCGCCTGCAGAGCCTTGAAAGCCTCCGACATGGTGTCAAACTCCTTCACCTGCTCCTCCAATTTGCGAATGTAACTTTCTTTCCGTTGACGAAATGCTCGCTATTCCCCAGTCAGCAAGGTCCCCAGCGCATGAAAGATTCCCAACGTACCTGTGCGGCGCGGTTCTGCGCAGCGCGCTTGGAGGTCGACAACGGTCGCTTGCCGTACGTCTTCGGGCTCTCTTGGCCCGTAGGCTCCGGCTGCGGGGGCGTTTGCGGCGGGCCACTGAGCATCGCAGCACCTGATATTGCGGGATCAATGTTGTTCTGGTCACGAGGGCTTGTCGTATTGGGCTGCATGTGCGGTGGCTGCCCGGTAGAGGGCTGCGGACGCGGTTGCTGCGGATGCGATAGGTGTTGATGGGCCGCTAGGAGCTGGTCATGGAGCACTAAATTCAGGAACCAACGCGCGTCAGCATTTCCGCGCACGTACTAGGGAAGAGTAGCAGATCCATGGGTAAAGATCCCTGATCAAGGCCGCTTCACAACACGCGATCTTCGTCTTTCATTTGGCTTCTTGTTGTTTTCGGGGGTCTCTTGACAAGCAATACAATGTGACACTTACCCTGGTCCGCATGGTCCTAGAGATGCAATTAGTCTATGCGATGATTTCATCAACTATATGACACTTGAGGGAACGCGACCGCGGAGGAGCTTCTCGTGTCAACAAGTAGGATGACACTGGGCCAGCTCGCCCGATCAAACGCGAGTGAAACCAGCGCCGAGAGACACCGTGAGACATAGCTCAAGTCCCAGTACATCTCTTGGATGCGAATGGTGGGCAATGGGGTACAGGCGATCTGATGACAAACGGTGGGCTGCTTACCTGAGCAGATGTTTGCATGCTTGGATGCGGCGCTGGAGCTAATGTAGGCTGCATGGAGAGAGTATGGAGGTTCCAACACGAAGACGCGCCGAGAGAGACCGCAAACACGCACGTCCACTCAAGCTCAACCAAAGAGAGGTTCAGATAGTTCGAACTGAATCCACGGTCTTTCACAGTGGACCAGCGAGGAGGTTTGTAGAGGAATTGGAATGGAGCGACGCGCGATGAGGTAAGCAGCAGCAGTACAATAGTTTAGTTTAGCTATCGGGGTTAGCCAAGGCGATGATGATTCAGCCGCTGTCAAAATCGTTTTAGTTTTGGTAGGAACCTAGGTGTATTTTTGCTGACTGATGAGGATGATCTCGTAAGCAGGGGGAAGCGTGAACTGGGGACGTTGACTAAGAGAAAAATGAGCGAGGGAGAGAAAGACGGCGGATTAGTTAAAAGATCAGTCAGACCGTGACGTGGACGGCAGGCAAAATGAGGAACCGCCCGGTGAACACCTGAGGCAGGAACCTCCCTCCCGTCGGTCACCGGCCTCCGGTTTCATAGATTCCCCTTCTGTACCACCAATGGTCTGAGGTTTCTGCCTTTCTCAACATTGCTCGATATTACTACACGAATTCATTCCATCTGCACTCCAATCGATTCATTTCCTCTACGTAATGCTTCGAGTCACTGACCGATAGGCAGAGCCTGGCCAAGGCATCAATCACAACAATCCCCGCACTCTCCGCGTTGCTGACTCAGGCGCTGACTCATCCTTCCGGCTCTTCCGTTCCGCAGTCACGGGAACAGCCTCACCTGTGTTCTGCCTCAGATCCTCCGTACAAGCGTCTACTTTGATATACGCAGGGCCATAACTTGGTTACCTGCACAATACACTATTAAACACTCGTCATGGAATAGTTTTGCTTGGTTCTGGTAACAGAAATGGTGGTGCTATGCACAATTTAAATATTAAACTCCTCGGGCGCAAGTCTACTCAGGCTTGAGTGTACTACTAGTTTTTGTGCACCGTACTGCGGAGTAAACTATATATATATATATTTGTTCGACCATGATGATTCCATATTGAATCATACTAATCTGCTCTAACCAGCACCTTTAAAACCGAAAGAACGTTGCTATAATCATAGATAAGCGCAATTAAACTATGTTCTACTCAAATAGCTGCACATAGTATCTCATATCTCATAACCTAGCTCACCTCCGCCTACGGAGTACAGACACGAGTTGTCGATTTGTCCAGCCATTATCGGCCTTTGGCCGTACCGTAAAGTTCTGCCGGATACTGACTATTGAGGCAGGCGGAGGTGTTAGCGGTGAGACAGCCTGTAAGATCACGTGGTACAGACACGTGACAGAAATTATTCTCTCAATCGAACCTCATCCATTGCATTTCTTTTCGTTGAGCTTATTATTTCATTCGTGCTTTTCTACACTATTGGATAAACTCACCAAGTTAACCAAATATAGTCCATCTCCCTGAGATACCGGGACAGTCCATTTGGACAATGCCCAAACTCCGAAGTCATAGTTAGATCGTGTGCTCAACTCCCACTAGGGACATTGAGATATATGCCTGCAGAAAGATAGCGTGCAAGACTACAGATGGAAATCTTCCAGTATCGGATACAATAAAGCTCAGGCGAGATATTTCTACTTATATATGTTGATGATTACAACCGAGAAAGCAACTGCAGCTGCTGTACTGGAAGGCTGAAGAAGAGAGAGCGATAAACAATGGAGATGTCGAATTGGAAGTGGAATATTCTAGAGATGTTATATGCTCTTCATGCTCAATAGATATCCACATATTTTAACCTACGTAATACCCAATGCGCACCTCCGGTTTTGAGCCAAAAGGACAATCATCTACGCCTACTTATCTAATTCGCGTTGGGAGAACAAAGCCAACATACAACTAACTGTCCTTAGTACATTCTTATCCAGAGGAAGGGGCTGATGATTCTGTTGGGAAAACAAACGCCGTGATTAGGGCTCATCAGCCCTCTCCATCTGGTGCCGAGCACAGACAGCAAGAAGCTTCAAATAGGCGACGGACTTCCTGAAACAGACATTGCTACGACTATTGGTGCGAGAATGTACCGTGGTTTTATGTTCAGTGGATCGTGGATGCCGGCCCACTTCAATCATCGGGTCGGAGTCTATTTGACTTCATGTGAACTTTAAGAGGTTTCAAGGTTCGGCAGTACTTTAAGCGAATAGGCAGAGAAAGCTAGAAAAGTTACTTTTGAGGTAGCTGGTCATAGTGTTATGTCCGGCAAACTTACTCTACGCTCACGGTTCTGCAGGTACGTATCCGCAGATCAAACCTTTTCTTATTTGATCTATGGTAGAAGGAACCTTCTATCTCGCTTCTTTTTTTTTTCTCTTTCTTCACGACCTGTCGCCTAGGAACCTTCTTGATCTGGTAAGGATATTCTAGTCTATCGCCTCAAAAATGGTGATGGGAAAACTTGAACCAAGGCTTACCTATCGGAAAGCCCGAGATCTTGATATCAAAATTCAGAAACACAGTATACCTTCTCCATTAGCTACACGGAACATGGATCAAAGAATCGCCGCGCGGCTAAATAAGGTTTGCAAGATAAGGAAAGTCCTGCCAGTGCTTCTCCATCCGACGAGAAAGAAGAGAGAGCTCCAGCGCAAGTCTCCTTGTTTCGAAATACGAGCATCTTGACCCTCACTTCTCCACTCGGTAGTTTTTGGTCAAGCACATTGTGGCCCTTCGTGCTTTTCGGTGCTTTTCGGAGCTTGTAGAAAGAGTTTTATTTTCTTTATATTTTGTTTCTTTTTCGTGGTGGGGATTCTGTACAGCATTCGCGGGTTGGATTCATCATCCCGTGTAGGGTAGTATTGAGGGTACCATGAGTGGGTTGAGTTTCATGACCTTATGGAATCAACAAGGATACGGAGGAGTAAAAAACTCCGATCGCATTAACCTACGAAGGGCTTGCGTAAATATCAGAAAAAGACAATATGATGGTTTCACCCAAATAGATGCTATTCCTAGATATCCCTTAGATATCCTGTATTGTCTTTGAGTCCCTAGACTGGAGTACGGAGCAGTGGTTCTGCATTCCGCCGGACCTAATACATGATTGTGAAGCAAAACCTAATTTCGAGAAAGCCTCTTGCCATAGTCCAGGTCCCTGATCGGGTATCCCAAAGTATGACTTAGAAGGAAGTCGATAATAGCAATCACCGATTCATATCCCAGTATAACATTGGTTATATATCCGCCGCTTTAACTTGACAGGCTGACCCCAGGCTCGGCGGATGGCATTTGTCGCCGCCGGGGCTCCTGCAGCTGGATCGAGCTCAATAGGACATGGCTCCATATGGTCCTCCCAATAGCACCATTGGCGGGTTTCCGAGTCCCATAGTCGAGTCATCATCGCAGTCACCGAGGTCAACGGCACAAAAAGGGCCGGATCAACAACGAACGCGTGTCAGTCGTCGTCGAGGTTCCGTTCCTCTGTGCTGAAGTTGACCTGCAACTGGTCACCGGGCTACACTTGAGCAGACCCATCCGGGAGTTCAAACATCGCGACACTCGCGCAGATCAGCCTGTTGAACAACAGACCCGCCTGAGGCCCCAGAGAATTATTGTACCGTACGCCTTCCAACTGAGCTTAAAATGAACAACACAATCATCGGCACCACATGTGAACTGTCGATCTGTCTCATGGAAGTCAATGAGGGTGCTCAGGAAGGTGATGTAACCATCCGAGAGTCAACCCAGATTAAACCCAGAGTAAACCCAAATTCGTCGAATAGCTATGATGTAGCGCTGTTGTACCCTAGAATTCCCTTTCTGGGACTCGATCTATAAAATCGATGTGATGGCTGGAAGTGCTTGATCGTAGCCACCTCGAAGCATTGTATATATACGGTTTCCTAACAGTCGGTTTCGTTGTGCGAGGCTACAACATGAGTCGACTCCGTTCGGCATGTCTTGTCTGTGTAGCTCTTAGTGCTCTGTTGCAAGGAACTGAGTAATTCTCGAGAATGCCATCCAGGACCTCAGTATCACATGCAGCCGAATATTGTCCACGAAAGAGACGCAATTTTGGGAAGTTTAACGTAAGCTAGACTATCACCCTTGGCGATGTATCCTTGTTTTTGTCGAGGTGACAAATCTTTGCAATAAACATGCATTTGATGTATGTAACAGTGTTATAGAGAACACCATGTATTGGAAGGATACGCGGTTGGGGTGTATCCTGTGTCGCCCATCCAGAGAGGATAATATCATGGAGGATTGCATTTCAGTCCGAACGGCGTTTCCCAGAGTGTTTCTGTTAAAACACGTAAAGACTACCCAAACATGCATAACCATTGTAATGGTGTTCTGTGGATGTGCGACACCATGGTCAGGGATCGTTCCCCTAGATATCCAGTTCGTGTCACATGTATATAAAGTTGATATACGTTTAGATCCTTGCCCAGCAAGCCTTCCATATTGGTTGGAGTCTGATTCAACCCCTAATGTATAGGGCATGCATAATCTTGCTCAAGGTCGCCGGGGTCCAAGTCTCATTTTTAAGACTCATGAGCCTGACCCACTATGTGGGCGCATGTGACAGGAACCTCACTGCATTGTGGAAGATATGAATGTATAAGGAAAGAGCTTGATATGAGAGCTCAAAGAGATCAAATGATTGTACTGAGTTGGTTGGAAATCTGTCCAGGACACAGACATAATGAGAGTTTAAATAAGCAGGGCTTCACAAGACTGTGCAAAGAGCTACAAGAATGTTTACAACAGAACAAAGAACTGATGGCATTATCACGTGTTGATCATCGATTATTTTAGGCACGTGCATTGTCACTAGTTGAGCTTACCGGATGCGCTGGTGAAGGTATTGGGGAGATCTACGCAGGCTTCAGCCGAAGCCAGCCTTATATCTTCCTTTATTCACTGTTCTATTAAAGTTTGTACAATTGAACGCATATATACATCCGCTTGCAGCAGTAAGCACAAATAATGCAGGGTATCACCAGGTCGACGGGATAAACAGACCTAACGCTGCGTCCCCACTGCTCTAGAACAACAAGTCATTCAATCATAAACCAAAAATTACTCAGCTTCCGCAGGAGAATAGTCGACATAGCACACGGCATTATCCTCGAACGGTCCGTAGAACCGGCTACGCTCGTACGGCTCGAAGGGGATACCCTTCTTTAAACGCTGCACTAGATCCGGGTTACTGGTGAAGTACCGGCCATACAGCAGGGCATCATAGCGTCCCTCTTCCAGGACTCCCCAGGAGTTGGTCTGGTTCCAGCCACCGGCCGAGAAGAAGGGGGTGCCACCAAAGATCTTGCGGAAGCTGGTGAGGTCCACCTCGAGAAGACCCCAGCTGCGCAGGAAGGTATCTTTCTCTTCGTAGCTGAAGATTTGTTCGTAGCGCTAGATCTCTTAGTAATAGTTGACTAGCGACAGAGGATCACACTCACAGGTTCAATGAAGCTAACATACGACAGGTTCGGGTGGGCTTGCTTCAAGGCTTGGCACAGGAAGGTCCAGGTTTCCATACGCTGCTCTCCTCGCGCTTGGTTGAACAATCCGAATGGAGAGAGACGAATTGCCAAGTTCTCCTCACCCACAGTCTTTGCCAACTCGTCCATCAATTCAAGGACGAACTTGCATCGCTTTTCCGGCGACCCACCGTACCCATCCGTGCGCTTGTTAATATTGGAACTCAAAAATTGCTCAGGAAGGTATCCATTTCCACCGTGGAGCTCGACGCCATCGAAACCAATGGTCATGGCCAATTTGGCGGCTTTACAATAGTCTTGGATGGTCTGTTCGATGTGTGGGACGGTTAATGCGATCGGCGGGTGGTCCGCATAGCGAACAGGCTCTGTCGATCCCACGGGGGGATGCGAATAACACTCCGTCGGGGAGTCCCAGACCGTCGCTGAGGCGGACACTGCTGGAGACCCAGTCATTTGGGGGATGGTGGCACGGCCTGCATGCCACAGTTGAGCGAAGATGTAACCCCCTTGCTCATGGACGGCATCAACCACTCTTTTCCAGCCAGCGATTTGCTCTTCGGTGAACAGACCAGGGACTCCGGGCATTCCATTACTCTAGATCGGCAGCGAGTGTGTTACTTTCACTATCCTGAAATTTCCTTCCCCCGCTCTTGTCTCTACCTAGCGAAGTGTTGGGGCAAAGGTGACGTCTACTAGGGCATACCTCGAGTGAAGGCGGAATGCCTTCCGAAATGATCAGCCCGCCGGGGGTCGCCCGCTGCCGATAGTACTCGACCATGAGATCCCCCGGATACCATATCCGATTAGGATTCTCAGGGGTACTGGTGGCGCTCACGGCGACGCCTCGGTTGCGGGTCATGGGCGCATGAACTACGCGATGGCGGAGCTTGATTTTGCCATTGCTGATGTCCAGCGGCTGGAAGAGCTGGGAGCTTTCGCCTTCCAGCTTGCGGATGGTCATAGTGGGGCAGAGAGGATTTAAAAAAAGAAACAAGCAAATAGGTGCCAGAGAGGCGTCGGAAAGTTTGATAGTAAGGGGAAGGGGATACAGCAAGAGATCCCTGTCAAAAGGGGAAGGCAGATAACAGCAAAAGTGGAAGACAGAAGACGACGACAATGGAACGACCCAAATTTGAGCTACGACTGGATACTTATTTCAAGGGATTTTATTTGGCAACCGATTAGAAACCGCTTGGCCCCTTCGTTTACAATGTCGATCGACTCTCCTATTCTTGCTTTTCTAACGGCTCATGACCGAAACGGGTTGACAGATGGACCCCGACAATGGCTGGGACTCCAATGAGAGGCGATGACACGATGGGCCTGCGGGTTGAGCCTTTGCAGACGAAGAGACTTCCGAGGCAGTTACTGGACTATCATAGGCTACTATCTTGACGAAGACGCTCTGAGGCCCAATCATGTCCCCTCGGGTGGCCACGATCATGTTGGGAGGAGGGCTCTAGTGACTCTGGTGTCGCGCCGGCCGAGATTTTCAATGCCATGTCGACGGTGGAACACTCACAACCGAGGGATCATTAAGAGTTCTATATCAAACAAACAGTATCCGCGTGTAATCAAAACCGCATGGCATTAGTCATAGCGCGAGAGAAGAGACACAGAAGTACGAGGAAGGAGATAAAAACTTGACGGGCATGTCGCGTGGGCTCCACCGAGCCAAACTTAAAGTGAGACGAAAAATCCCTTCATGTTAGTGGTTTAGGGTTAGCAGGAGAACCACCACACTGGTCGGCTTCATTTCAACCGAGAGTGGGAGAGCACCAATGGCAGCGTTCTGTCAAATGATTTCCGATCTTCCCCTTATTTATTCTGTTTGGATCTTGGCTCTCGCCAACGGTCGGTGGTGTCATTCTTGCTGAGCCTTCTCGGTTCTTCTCAGGCTTCGCACCCCTTAACTTCCACGATAGTCGCAAAAACATGTTGAAAAGTGCCGGATATATTGATTGAGTCGTTAGTTCAAATCATTCAAGCGCCGGACAGACAAGCCAATGCACGAATGGCCTACTAGTTGAATTCGTGGAGTCGTGGCGTGTGCGCCGTCTGAAATTTTTCCAATGTTGCCTGGACCACTTAGGCTAATACTACCATCACCTATTCGAGCATAAATCGACTATACCAAGTCTGCTCAAGCCCAAGCAGGTAAAAAGGGGAAAGGCAGTTTAACCCGTACCAAACTGCTGGTGTTGCTGTCGCGGGAGCATTCCTCCGTAGCATGAACTACTGCGTAGACGCCCCACTCGCCCCATATATTGCCAAATTGACAGAAAGTCTTCCGCTCCACCGACTTGTCGACGTAGTATTCGGGAGTGATACTCGATGGAGTTTACGGAGTACTGAAACAACCCATGGTTCAGTGGCGTCTATCATTTTCCTTTCCAAGCCATCCGCCGGCGTCTTCCGGGGAAGTCGGTGCACCTATCAAGATCGATCTGGGTGTACATCCCCATTTTGCCTCCTGCTGGCCAAGGTAGAACTAGATTTTTCCACTGCAGCACGGTGGCGGGTCCTCTACCACACTTTAACAGTCAATGTTCCGTAGGTTCACAAGCATTTCCCGAATATTTGTTCCAGAGAGGAGACTCCAAACGCTTTGATGCCCCCAGCGTGGCCTATCAGAATGGGAGATTTTATGCATATCGCTCTTGGTATGGGCCATTGATATATTGTGGACTCGCCCACATTGCATCTCTTCTGTTTCTTCTTCCCTCTCCAGTTGAGCCTCCATAATGCTCCATTGTTGGCATCAACAATGACTGAAACACATCCTGGGTCTTCCCTGAATACCATCAACCTCGTTACACAATGCCTGTGCATCCCTATCGTCACCATTTTCGTGGCGACGCGGTTCGCTATCCGCTGTTGGTATAAGCAGTTCGTTATCGCCGAAGATAGTATGTGCCGTGTTAAATTCGTGAACCCCCCACGGTTACTGACTTGAATCTAGCATTCTGTTTTCTAGCATGGGCAAGTACCCTAATGTCCAACGGGGGGAGGCATCCATTAACCATCCGCAGATTCTGTTTATGGCATACTGCGGAATTGCCATTGTTGGTAAGTCAACATCTGTCAATAGAACGTCGCCATTGAGACAGACTAACAAGGGCATCAGTGGGTCAATATGGCGGTGGAGTGAATCATGAACTGGTTCCAGACGCAATGCAGGTTACTTTCCGCAAGGTATGCACCGCTGCAGCCGTGGCACGACGTTCGGCCATACTGATCTTGACTTGACCACTTAGTTCTGCTACGTCGCGACAGTCTTTTACTGCCCCATGAGTCTCTTCGTGAAATTTGCCTTGCTTTCCATCCTGATCCGAATCTTCAAGCCATACAAGGGCCGCATTATGTTCATTTATGTTTTCCTCGGATGTCTGACCATCTACTACATCATCGCTGAAATTGTCAAAATCCGCATGTGCGACCCCGTCCCGGCATATTGGACGTTAGAACCGGCCAACTGTCTAGACCAACAAGCTGCATTGATCGCCGACTCGGTTATTAGCGTCATTAGCGACATTATGATCCTCGTCCTGCCGCTACCGCTGACTTGGTCGCTCCAGATGTCGCGGAGCAAGAAGCTCCGAGTCGTCGGCATGTTATCCGCTGGAGGACTCGCCACGGCCTTCAGTATTTACCGACTGATCCTGGTTTTGAAAGACGGCCGTTCGGAAAATACAACTGTAATGTTCATGTGTGTGATTCTTTCAGGGTACGTCCACATCCAACACTCCCTCAGAGCCCGAAGAAAGAAAACGAAAGCTAACTCCCCACACTAGTAACGCGGAAGGAGGAGTCGGTCTCATCTGCGCCTGTCTGCCGACGATGAACATCCTGATCAACAAAATCCGCAAAGCCGGCTACAGCTACGGCTCGAACAAGTACTACCAGGACGAGTCCTCGATGCACCTCAGCAAAATGAAGGGCGCCAACAGCAAGGGATTCTCCGCCATCGGGTCGAAGGCTTCCAGAACGGAGCCCGAATTTGGATCCGACCAGAGCCATCTGATTGCGTACGCAGGCACCGTCGACATGAGCGCCACCGGCGATGGCGGGATCCATAAGACCATTGACGTATCGCAAACAGTGGAGGTGCTGGCTGGAGAATCGTCCTCGAGCCATTCCGACCATCACACGCGGTTTTAGCGCGCCTTCCTTCTTTTCCCTTCCTTACCCTTTTTTTTTTTCCCTTTCCTTCTGTAATAGATATCCTTGGTGGGGCATTTTGTACGCATATTCGACCTCTTTTCCATTTTCTTTCTTTTGTGGAGCTTGTTTTACAGGATTTTTTACAGGTCCAAAGCTTGATACCTTCGATGGGCTTCTCGATGCCTCGTGATGTCATTTTGGATATGGCTAATGTTTATAAACACATCATCTCATTACAAATAAAGACACGGTTATGATATATCATTTTTTGCCCCTCGATGTCGAGGCGAAAGATCGTCCCAGGATGAATAGGATTGCCATGCCAAGAGTGGCCAACTCCTCAGGGCAATCCTTCACAACCCAGCCCTAAAATGCACCAAAAAAAAAAGTCGAAAAAAAAAAGAAAACAGAAAAAGAAAAAAAAAACAATCGCTGCCAAAGATCGCCACGCGAACAGACCTCTCGAAACAAACGCGCATGACCAACAATGGCACCGATAACAAATGGACTATGCAACACGAAGGATGGTCTAGCGACGAAGATCAACGCCAGTGAAGCTTATTCGGCATGCGAGGGAATTGATTGCACGCCATGTGGCAATTATGCGAGAGAAATCATTTTAAAATTAAGGGTATTAATTTGCAATTCCATTAATCTAGAAGCAGAATGAGGAAGAGACGGCGCGTTGAGATTCAGCTCAGGCCCACTTTTCTGTTGGCTCAGCGACTTGGACGGAGAAGCTGCATATCGGAATTCCGCGGCTTATTCCGCGGTCCATCCTGACACTTTTTATGTCTTGATGTCATTGCCGGAGGGATTTTCTCCCCGGGTCCGCAGGGGGCCTTGAGTACGGCCTAGAACTGAGATGAGACAAGAGTATCTCCGAGTAAGACCTAATTTGATAATCGAATGTGAGGTGTGGCATGTTGTTGGGGTTGTCACAACGGTGATGGTGTGATTATTCCTATGTATAGTCCTAGGTATTATGCAAAGATTCATATGAAAGCCGGATCCGGACTCCAACAGTCCCAACGACGGAGTACTCCGTACTAGTTAGTGCGTGGTGCCATTTGTCATGGCGCTTGTCTCCTTAGATCGTGTGTTGTGTCCCTGGCGGGCTTTGCTCGGGTCTGGTTCGGTGGGTCTGGTCCCCTCGTATTTGTTTTGGGGATGTTTTGGTTCTCGTTCCGATTATAAGTATTATTTAATAGCATGTCTATCAGAATTTCCAAGGAAAAAAAACCCAAGCTGTGGAGTATGACTACATAGTTCACAATGTGGCCGAGGATATGTGCTGGAGAGAGTTCATCTAGAAGTTATGAAGATTAACGACAGGGATTGTGAAGGTTGGAACTCGGCCGCACTAGAAGGATTCTCTGCTTGGCATTGGAATAATCTTAATTGACTTCACTAATTCGTCGGCTTCGTTATAGTGATCTTCCTTTATAAATCTCCTAGTCTGATCGCCGGCGCAGCTGTAATACGAAGTCTTAATGATTAATGATCCTCCACAATCCTTCTAAGAACAGATCGCCGACTACGTCTTGTCGATCTTCTGCAAAAGCAAGCATTTACTAGTCCACGCGACTATGACACCAAGCGCTTTGACAAATACTACATACCGAGCTAACGAATTTCCCGTGCTAGGACATGGTTTTGTGGGGTTATACACGCTCGAAAAAGGAAACTGCTCATCGCAGAGAGATGGCCTTCGCTCATGGACCCGGGCGCTTGGGCGTCGAGTGTTGCTGTGCTAGCAGTAGTGTGAGGCATGCGGCTAAACTAATTGGTCACTATGGAGTGTGCACCCACACAGTATGCTAGCTGGATATGATTGTCAGCATGGTGTTCCCTATAACCGTCGCCTGTCACTGTGGCCGGACCATGAAGAGCAGTCATTGAACTTTGGGGACTGACGATGCGCACGGGCCTTGCTACTGTACCATGTCTGTGATAATGAACTAAGCATTTCTTAGACTCAATACGTTGAATTTTGTTGACCCAGTGATATGACTGCGCCAGTTAGCTTCAGCCTGACTGGAGGTTGGCGAAATCACACAATGGTACTCCCTTGGAGAGACATGGGAAGACAGACCTCGACGATGGGTATGACATGGGCGAGCTACGTAAGCACTACCATGGAACTTGTGCGATAGCAAACAATCGTTGTCACCCCGACCTCTGATCATGAGAACCCGGAAAGCAAGGTGACACCAATCTACATGCCAAGGCACGCGGTTTGTAGGAATAACGGTCGAGAAACACCTATCGCAGGCTAGAATGACTCCATGAGCCACCGTGAAACAAGGCGAATGTTCGAGGCACCTCACCAGTTGTTATGGCAAGAGGCTCTAACAATCATTGATTTTATGGCTTGATGCAACTATGTCCCATCGAGTCACCTTGGAACTACTGATACCAGCACATAAATAGAGAAATGTATCGACATGGTGGTTTCTGCATCCTGATGATATCCTCAAAACGATACATCATTTCCCTCTGTCACAAATATAGTACAGTTGCACTATGTCTTCAGTTCAAAGCTCTGAAACCCACAATGGCTTCTCTATTGCTCCCTTACCCACCATTGACCATGCACACCTCGAAGCGAAAGACAGTGAAGAGGCCCAGCGGCTTCTGGATGCCTGCAAAACCCATGGATTCCTCTACCTGGACCTCAGAAATGTGGGAACAGTCCTAAATGACTGGCAACGGGTTCTTCGCATCATGGAGAAATACTTCAGCCAGGATCTCATGACAAAGATGAAAGATGACCGTCGCAGCGATACCTACGGGTAAGCCAGCCATGTGTAATCTCATTCTTCGAATAACCAGAAGCAGCTATGAGCCCTGCGGAACCTCAGCAGGAGCAGTGCCCGGTACACTGGACTTCTACGAGACTCTGAAGGTAAGCCTAAAGGCCGAGAGAAGCCCTTATCAGAAGACTAAACACAACCAGATTGCCCGTTCAGAAATGTACGAAAAGTCAGCATCACTCCCGCAAACCGCCAAAGACAATCTCGAGCTCTTTGACCGCTTCATCCGAGCCGCTGATACCATCACCACGACGATTCTGGCCCGCCTTTCTGATGCGTTCAATCTGTGCTCCGGTTTACGCTTCGAGGACAAACATCGTCCTGATGGGAAATCACGAAGCACACTGACCCTCTTCCGATATCCAAAACAAGAGGCGCAGGAGAACAAGGTTGGTCATAATAAGCACACCGACATCGGAACCCTCACCCTCCTGTTTAGTGAGCAATGGGGCTTGCAGGTTCTTTCGCCTGAGACATCGGAGTGGAGCTTTGTCGCTCCAAAGCAAGGCCATGCTGTTATTAATGTTGGTGACTCGTTGCGCTTTCTATCTGGGAATGTACTCAAGTCGTGCGTTCATCGGGTCGCGCCCCGGAATGAGTCTGGTCGTCAAGAGGAGCATCGGTACAGTATTGCATATTTTCTCAGAGCGGAGGATGTAGTGCAATATAAGGATAGTAAGGGTCGGGTGATCAGCGCTAGAGATTGGCATGACGAGAAATATGAGGTATTTCGATTGAGTCATGATGAGTCTAATAGCGACAGGATTTTGACTGGTGGGATGGAGAAGGGTGGGCAATTCATTGTTTCAACTATCTCACAGGATGAGTGAGGTGTATTTCGTTTCTCCTTCACTTCGTCCGTTGTGTTTTTTCGCAGGCTCGGAAGCCATGCTTTGGCGTATTAGGGCTACAGCAAAGTGCAGATATAGTGAGGCTGAAGCCAAACTGCTCGATGCGTGGTCGGTGGTTTTGCTGTGCAAAATGTTAGTTTAGTTACCCCCAGATTGAGGCCGTACATGCATTTTATATTGCCATGTCTCTTGTCCTGAGATGAATTCACTCTGATTAGTCGCGTTTGTACATTCCAGACTTGGATAAACATATATAGCAGAAGTGGTGACTCCTACGCTTCGTGACCCTACTTATGTTCACTTCCTCCACTAGATATACTCTGTGATATTAACCTCAAGCAAGTGATCAACGACCATTTTTAGGCTGGAATCTGTCAACTAGCTCTATCTCAGCAACAAGGTCATGAAAGGCACTCCTATGTTGGTTAAAACACCGCCAATCGCTGTGCCACTCACAACCTCGACCTGACAGAGTACCGCGCATCATACTAAACATAACATCCTGGCCATCTCGCTTACTACACCGTGGTTTTAATCTATAATTATGTTCCGCACAAAACTTCAGGTACAGTTTATTTCTCCCGAAGCAACACAATACATTGATATTAGATAAGACCTATACACCACACACAGTAATAAAAGGTCCCTGCCGAAAATAAACTACGCATTAGGGTGCATTAAAGTGATCCCGATTGACGAATTGTACGCCACAATCCGATCGATCTGATAGTGATCGAAAGGCTGATCAGGAACCAGGGAACCACTCAGCCTTACCATCCGGCAAATGAAGTCACAGTATGACATCATGCTTCCATTGCTACATCGCATATAAAATAGAAACAAGCTCCTTTCCACAAAATCAACATCAGAAACTAATCTGCAGAACCATGTCGAAACGAATCCACTCCTTCTTCAAACCCATCCCCAAGAAACCCAAAGTGGAGCCCTCCTCACCTGACCAAACACAACCCTCAGACGCCCTCGGTATACAACAAGAACAACAAGAACAACAAGAACCACCAACCCACCACCCAACCTATCCCTTCCCAATTCCCTCCCTCCCTACACACCTATCCAATGCCCTATCCAACATCACCTCCACCCCCAAGCCCATAACCAACCACCCGCACCTCGACCTCCTCTACTTCCAACCACTCCTCCCACCCCAAACAGCCAACAGTCTCTTCCACTTCCTGCGCGACTCCCTCCCCTTCCACAAAGTGCAGTACACAATCCACCGTGGCAAGACCCCGACCAAGATAACGACCCCAAGATACACAACCGTCTTCGGCGTGGACGCGACGTCCATATTCACAAGCGACTCAAACCAGACCCTCCTCTCCACCGCCACCAACACCCCGAAATACAAATGCCATCCACGCCCAATCCCAGCCTGTCTAGAGCATCTCCGCCAAACAATCCAATCCGTGACCGGCGCCCCGCCTGACTACTACAATTTCATCTTGGTGAACTACTACGCCTCAAACACAGATAGCATAAGCTACCACTCTGACGACGAGAGATTCCTCGGCCCGAACCCCAGCATTGCGTCTTTGTCGCTGGGCGCCAAGAGGGATTTCCTGTTGAAGCATAAACCAGGCATACAGGCGGGGCCGTTGAAGTTCCCCCTTGCCAGTGGTGATATGGTGGTTATGAGGGGCGAGACGCAGGCGAATTGGTTGCATAGTGTTCCGAAACGGGCGGGTGATGGGGGCGGCAGGATTAATGTGACGTTTCGGAGGGCTTTGGTCCCTGGGGGCACGGAGAATTATTATAGGTATAATGTTGGGGAGGGCGGGGTTTGGAGGTGGGATGGGGAGCAGGGGAGGATGGTTCTTGTTGGTGGGGAGGAGGGAGATTAGGAGTCCATATATACTGTGTTGGAGCTGGAGTATATCTTAGTACCTCCATTTGGCAAGTGGTCCAAGTCTCATGGGTTGTCAGAGTGGAACATTGATGGCGTGGGCCGGAAGTGGTACTATTGACACTACTCTATGGTCCAACAGGCATGCAATAAGATTTCTAGAGTGTATTCTAGTGAGATACAACCATCATTGGAGAGTAATATTACAGCTTCGGCCGGAAGCCCGCCTCAACCTCCTTCTGGGCCTCCTCCCTCAAGACCCTCTTCAGGATCTTTCCACTGGCGTTCTTCGGAATCGCATCCATAAACTTCACACCCCCGGTCAGTGCTTTATACTTCGCCAGTCTCTGACCGAGGTATTCTTGCACCTCCTGCTCTGTTAGCTTGTCGCCCGCTCCCGGACGCCGAGTCACATAAGCCCGCGGAAGCTCACTATCGGGAAGCACGCCGGACACGCCAATGACAGCAGCATCGACGATGAGAGGATGCGAGAGAAGAACGGCCTCGAGCTCAGGCGGAGCGACCTGGAACCCGCGGACCTTGATCAACTCTTTCTTGCGGTCCACGATGTACCACTTCAGCGTATCTTTGTCGCAGTATGCAATGTCCCCGGTGTGGTACCAGCCGTCCTCGTCGAAGGAAGAAGCATTCGCAGCGGCATTGTTAAAGTATCCCGGCGTAACGGTGGGCCCTCGGACACACATCTCGCCTCGGACCCCGTACGCTGAGATATTCTTTCCCTCGTCATCTACGAGCCTGGTTCCGGTCAGCTACTGAGATTCAACATTGGAATAACGCTGTAAACACACTTGGCCTCTATATTAGGTAGTAATCGCCCTACACTGCCCGTATCATCCTGCTCGTACGCTCCGAACTTCGTCGCGATACAGCATGTCTCCGTCATGCCCCACACCTGTGTGCAGGGCGCATCCTTGGCCAGCATGACGCGGAGCTTCTCCTGTAAGTCCTTGCTCAACGGAGCAGCGCCGCACAGAGCTATGCGGACGCTTTTGAGGTACGGGTGTGCCTGGACCTGCGGAGTCATGACAAGGGCGACTGCGATGGGCGGGACCATCTGCAGGTCCGTGATTTGAAACTTCTCGACATTCTGGACGAAACCCATGAGGTCAAAGCGACGCATTACGTATAAGGCATGGCCACCCTTGAGAGGACTCCAGTGGGTGGAGGGGGCAGCGGCGGCGTGAAACATAGGTAAGGCCATGAGGCGGCGGATCTATAGTGGTCAACAAGATTCGGACTCCTCACTTCTGCTCCAGGCTATGCTGTTCGGGAAAATACCTGATACGGTCGCTTCTCTATCTCAAAGACCAGTTCGTGCTGGGCGATGAAATTGCGATGCGTCAGCGTCGTTGCCTTGGGCAGACCCGTGGTGCCACTGCTAAATAGCCTGGCTGCGGCAGTCTCTTCGCACGTTTTCAGATCATCGAACCGCATCCAATCCTCCTCTCCAGCGGAGAACAGTCCTTGCCATGACTTCAGCCCGGTGGGTACAGTCTGACCCTGGACGTCGAACACCAGCAGATTCGATTCGGGGAGACCCGTCTCCTTCATGGCGGCCTGTATTGGGGCGATGATCTCCGGCTCGGAAATGATGAACTTGGCCTGCGAGGCTCGGATGTGGTGTCCCAGTTCCATGGGGGTGTAGGAGGGGTTGGTGCCGGTGTAGATACCGCCGGCGCCGTTGATCGCCAGGACCAACATGGAATAGTAGATCTATGCATCAGACTTCCCATTAGAGCGATTTCGGCAGTTTGTACTGCTCGGATCAAAACACACATCATTGAAGGAATGGATGGCTACGCAGTCGCCTTTCTGTACGCCCCATGCGTGCAACCCGGCAATCAACTTCCGGACGATGACCCGAGCTTGATTGTAGGAAATCGACCGCGAGGGGTCGCTTGCATCGTTGTAGATCTGGCTGATTTAGAATATACTCAGTTGCTCGCGACGAAGGAAGAGATAATTACTGGTTGATCAGGGTCATATGGCGGATCGGAAAAGATATAGGAGATAACGTCGGTGGTGGGCAATGGCACCCGTGACGGCGGTTCGAAGATCATCGTGTTGAAGTACCAAGCAGATTTAGGGAAAGAAGCAGACGAGAGGGTGCAGAACGGGGACTTATGGTGGATATATCACCAACTTCATGGCCGGTATATCATCCACGTTTTAAGGTCGCCCATAAGGATTTCCCCACATGGAAGAGAGCTCCGCCTGTCATGCGGTGGGTCACCACCACTTCACCGCTGAATGGATGGGGTCTAGCACTCGAGTATAGAGGAATAGGTTCGGCAGGGCCAATCAAGTGCATAACGGCATAAATCTAGTTGTTTGTGGCTATCCCGTAACGGACCTCGGGTGTTGCGCAGTATGACGCGCGGGAGGGTTCCAACTGCGGGGAATACAAAATATACGTTTTATACGACCAATACTCAAGCACAATTCGTGCCATGTGGCGTACATACTGTAGGTCCGTGTGACAGATAAGAATTAAATGTGAACAGTATCAACGGAGCTGACCACAAATCCTGCTAATGCAGAACAACTGGCACGTTTTAAGTTTAGGCTACTAGATCCTGTGCTATCCTTCCCTTCTTTGATTGTTATGGTATGTTTTTATTTTGGCTCATTGCATGCAAAATATCTGGCATGCCAAGTTAACCTTCGTGGTATACATGACTCGAAACATTAACCCTAGAAAACGTCCAGCTCGGCTCGCCATGTATGATGTCACAGTTAAAGGTCGACTCAAACGGCCGGAGGCATCAGCCTCTTGTATCATCTTTATCATCAGCTAATAGTACACAGTTACCGAACGAAGGATTAATAAGGAGATTGTTTATGCTAGATCAGTATTATCTAGGTAAGGAATCCGATCGGTTTCGTTTACGGGTCCAACATGAAACTTGATTGTCAATTGCCGAGTATCGCCGAGGAATCGGCTGCAGTTTGACGTATGAAGGTATGGCGATCTCTTGACCCGTATGCATGGGATATGCATCTAGCCCGTGCGGAGTCTTGCCTTGGGTTTGTACCGTTCCTCGGTCCGCTCGTACCGTTCGCTTCTTGCTCACAGTCTGCCTTATTGCCTTAGCAGACACTGATTGTATTATAATTTAAGCTCGAGTATGTTGGATAAGGGTAAATATTCTCATTTTCTCTTAATTTGTGAGAGCGGAACCTATATACTAGTATCTCTATCACTCTCGATTTCAACGTCCATCGTGTATGTGACATATCATAAAACATGAGTCGTGTCTTGTGATCTAGGTTGAGTATCGGCAGCATTGAGCGACAGCCGGAACTCTGGCTCCAATGTATGGGAATGAATACATCGCTGATAGTTGGCCTGGTGTGATCACAGCTATGTGTTGACCGTCTTCTGCAGCCGGAGCTGCGATGTACGGCTCTCAACCACATGTTCAGCCCGACATAGTAGTTCTGTGCGAAACGTACAACAACTGAATGTTCGTCTCCAAATTTTTCTAGAATATGGAAATACCATACACACTGCTCGGTTTTCAACTAAAGTTTGTCATTATCATACATGATCGTCCGGTCTGAAGACTTGGATGATCAGACAGATGAATGATGATCCATTAAACTAGGCTGGATAACTACCTCACTGACCTCCAATCGGCCGAGCTAGTCACATAAATGATCATTTAGACGCGGGTTTTCGAACTTGTCCATTGGTATCGAAGTCCAGAGGCCATCTGGATGAGTGTTCTTTCACTGAGATAGAGAAATAGCTATAACGATCCATCCATCGGACAGTCTCATATTCGATGCCGGCCAATCGTGCTCTTCGGATGACCAGGTTGTTATTTCAGTCTTCCACTTTGTTGCCCCTCCTCGACACAAGGACTTCAACGAGGCTCCTAGCCCGTCGCCCATCTTGTATTCAGCAAGGGGCTCAGTATCCATTATCCGTGCGGTATTGCAGATCTGAATGGCAATGCTTAGTAAAAGCAAACAGAACGCTGGAAGCAACTGCAAGTATTAAACATTAGGCTCATACTCATAACCATTAATACGGTTCTCGAGTCTCTGAGAAGGAACTGGGCATCACCAGGATTCTATTCTTGTCCGTCTTTTTCATAGACCTTATGCCAGATATCTGGTGCGTTCGATGCCTACATGCTGTCATCGAAACCAATGTGCTTGAACCAATCCTTAGCAGGATCGGATGCCACAAAGCTCCTCTACTATAGATGCAGAACTGTAAGGCCCTAGGGCCGACGAGTTAGACTATAAGCGCAGCGCAATATAAAATAAAAAACGGGTAACAATATGCTAATAGGAGAAAATGGCAGCGGCCTCGTTGCCTCAGTACGAGGGCTCGTACTCATAATCACGAATCCGGTCGTCAAGGTCTCCTACAGTCTCCATCAAATCCTCAATCTCGTATCTCTAAGAAGCTATTGTCATTTCCAATTTTGCAATGTAGTCATCAGACTCGGAGGTAGATGTTAACTTGTCAACGTAGGCAGGCGATTGTGGTGGCGAAGTTGACTTGTCAAGGTATACAGTAGATCTTTTGATAGTATCATTAGACGGTTTGGAAATCCTGTGTCTTAAGGAGTTGTCAACGACATCTTTAGAATAAGTATATTTCACGGCCGGCAACGAGCAAAAAGCTCAAGTATGTCTTCCAACAGGTCACTTCTAAACCACCTTGGACCGGCAAGTCCTTGTATTAGAACAGCATTATTACTTATCCTGATATGCGGCCCTGAGAGGTTTATATTGAGCCGCGCTGGTAATAATCTTCTTAGCGGCGAGTGGCAGAGACAAGTTAGCATATCCACGCACAATTTTTGTTGATGGTGGTATTGTGTATTCAAGCGCATTCCTGTCTTACCGAGAATGTATTCAACTCACCTGAGATCGATTATTATAATATGTCCAAAGTATTCAGAGTACATACTTAGGGAGACTTGGGTCTAGGTACTAAAATTTTGTGAAACCATCTGGTTATAAAACATAGGTTCTTGGAAATTGGACCCTTGCGAATCTTGAGACCATGCCCATTGCAAGCGCCGGATACCTGGTGGATGCGGCCCTGTCCATGCGCGTACTGGTCTCATTAATAGGAGGAAAAGCAAAAGGGGACGGGAGTATCATGCACCTATCACGTTCAATTCTCTGAAAGAGGTCGGATACAATGGCTAGGGATGGAGATATTCCAGAAAGTAGCTTCAAAAGCAGGCCCGTTTAACTTAGTGCAACTTGTTAAATCTGGGAGAAAACTGTGACCGTTTCACTGTCAAACCGATTAGGAGAAGCTGCGTAAGGTTGGAACGGCTGCGAGGAATAGACTGTGGGCTGTATTGACTATGGCCCCAAGCTCGGCTTTGTATTCGGTTCGATCGGTTTCGATATCCACATAAATATAGGTGTCTGGCGCCTGCCTGTTGTTGTTACCCGATCAAGCATGCCGTGATTCAACACTTTTTGTGCTTGTAGGTGTTCGCATTCCTTCCTCTGGTCAATATAAGATTGAAGATTGTCCACACAAAAGTGGATCTTGCTCCGCACTGTCTCCACACGCTCGTCGCGGGTCTCCCCTTCCGCGTCAACCGAGTATGGTGCAGGAGCCGGATAAGCCTCTCAGGCTGTTTTTGATACCTTTGATGGCCTTAAGGGTGACACACAGGTCATCCTCATGCTCTGCAGCGGCACAGATATCCGTCAGGGCAGGCCCTCTACACCATCTTGGTCCTATAGGAGCTTCTTATTAGTACAGCTTCCACTCCAAAGCAAAGGCTAGACACGGATATTTCCCTGAGAGCCTTGCAGTGGGGGATCCGCATCTGCCTTTAGCCGATCATGCGTCTCGGACTATCCTACTTCTACAGTAACCGTAGGCCATCTTCCGTCTTCTGGGACAACTGAACAACCCAAGCACGCAGTAGTCGTGTTTTTCTTTCCTGCAATGCGGAGGCTTTGCTACTGTATACTCCAGACCTTATTGTTCTAGGTCCCGAATCACCTGATTAGCTTTGTCTCTGGAAATAGCTGATATAGGGCTTACTTCGTACCGTCTCTGTCTTGCTGAGTCGCGAGCGCTGCGCCCTAACCAGCGGGGTACGGCGGCAGAAGTTTCCGGGACCCAGATACAAGGCATTTTGCGGAATAGGATAGGACGTGGGAGGAGGAACCGAAAATCGGGCCAACAGGGAGGGTTGCAGCTAAATACAGAAAGCAAAATATGGTGATAGTGGTAATGGTGGAGTGTATCGTTCCACAGAATTGCGCAGCCCCTCTTGTTCCCAGATGTCTCTCCAGCTGAGCCAGTGTAGTTTGGAGTATTCGGTCACTTATAGCAGCGAATTTGCCGTCAGGAGTTGAGACCAAGCGCATCGACTATTTATCCAAGAGCATGACGGAAGGAAAGGACTATCCGGTTCTTTGTAGACGTTCCCGCTTTCAGCATCAGCCATCTAGTGGATAACAGCCAATGTTAAACATATTTTACGCACTGCAGTGTCATGCTTCATGCGCTGCATCTGTCGGTACCGAGGATTCTCACAAGTAAACCACGTCCACTGGTGCTCCTGGATTTGAGAAATAACCTATTTGATTGGCTCATATAAGGGGCAATTGTAAATTCGTGCGCTACAGTTAAATAATATAAACGTTTGTAAACGATAAATCCGGATATACATACCAACCCATTGGTATCGGAGGCGGGCGTCAGGCCTAGCCATAAACATGGCAAGGTGTGAAGAGGCGACTCGATTTGATATAGATAAATGGCTTGCTCACAACTTTGAACACCGCGAGGCAATGAAATGGTATGCCACAGACAGCATGTACATCGTCACCTCGCGATCAAAGAGACCGCCCGTAAGTCTGCTAGCCATTGCTGAATTAAACCACTGGAAAAGATAGTTTGGTAGTGATCTCTACAATAATGTCTGCAGGGATAGCAGCGATGCGAGTCCTCTCAGCCCCAGTGAGGCAGCGCGCATCCACTCCTTCAATGCGGTTGCCGGAATATGTGCTGGGCTTGTGAGTTCGTACAACACCAGAACCAGGCACCGTGTGCATGGGAGTTGAAATAGGACTAATATTATACTAGTCTTGCCTCTGGATATTCAAAATACCCCTTTACCCACGGAGAAGAACGGACGAGGGCATTCAGCTGCTCATCGATAGGTATTGTGTTCGGCTGAACAACGGTCACGACCCGGAAGTTACTATAGGGCTCAACTGCGGTGCCAAAGCTTTCTGTTATAATAACAAGATCCGCCGAAGACTGTATCTAGGCCAAACTACCTTTGGTTAACAAGTCGCGTTTCGTATAGATGCGACCTACTTGAGCCACTTGGAACTTGATTTCTGTATTCTCGGGAGCTCAGGGAGATTGACGCTGATTTTCGCTGGTATCCAGTTGTTGAATCAGCGGAGTTATTCCGGTACTACTAAAAGGACTTGAAATATAAAGATCCAGTCCCGCCATGGGGCATCGTTGCGATATGATGGTCTGTATCCGAGAAACACTGTCAACTGAGGAGAGAGGCCCATAGGGCCATTCTGTACCAGTGTCAAACTCATCGTCACTGCTATTTTCTTCGACAAATAGAATTTGGGCAAATTGATTGCTGGATACGTTGTAATAGTCGCAAGAGGTGTGCCTCCCGCAGCTGCTTTAATGCGATGGTTTTGCGGATGAGTATTTTCGATAGTCCAGAAACTGGAGCCTTAGGTAGAGGCTAGGTCGGCGGAGGAGGAGAGAGCGCACTGGGGACACCAAGCATAAGTAGAAGGGAGACACGGACCCACTGATTAAGATGGACGAGAATTACATTTCGAAGAGCAAGAGAAGTGGTAGCCATACAAGGTTTGCAGGTAGAAGGATCCTACCACGGCTTTTGACTCAATTTATACTTTTACACCAAGTAATCCTGTGAATCAATTTTTCCGATATTACATTTCAACCCACAGATAATTCACGCAAAAGGAAACAAACGAATATAATCAGTCCCAGCAACAGCCTAGAATGAATGAACAAATCACTATTGCATACCCTTCACCTATCCAGATCCTTCACAAAGCTCCCGAATAGCTTCCGTCAACTCAGTCTTCCCCCTCCAGACTCGATCACTGTTTGAATTCTCCGTATTCGCACTCGCCATAATACCACCCGGCAAAAAGGCATTGGTCATCTCGGTGAAAGCCTCAGCCACGTTCTTCGGGAGAAATCCCGCAAAGAACTGCGATAGATCTTTCCTCTCCACGAGTCGCAGTTCAACCTCCTTGCCAACAGCCTCTTCGAAGGCCTTTTGCACGTCTTTCGGCGTATAGGACCTCGGTCCATGGACGTCAACAATGTAGGGACTTTCTGGAATATCGGACTTGAGTAAATAAGTTGCAAAGGCTTGGCCCATATCTTTGACAGCGACCTGGTTCAGATTATTGGTTAACATAACAACCTCGATTTTAAGATAGAAAAGGAAACAAACCATAGGGACCTCGAAATCGATAGGCGTGATAGACGAATAGAGATGCGGATGCTCAGACTTCGCCGTCTCAACCGCCATAGCCCAGTTCTCCATGAAGTAAGTACATCTCGCGATGACAACCTCCGGTGCTGCATCCTTTAAAATTGTTTCGGCGATGTGGTTCGTCACGATTTCCCCCTAGTCGCAGCTTTAGTATTTCCCTTTCTTCATCACAGATAAATCGAACAGAAACTCACAGTCCCCGACTCATGCTCAGCCCCCATACTAGAAAGCAAAACCAGACGCTTAACAGATCCAGATTTCTGGATGGCGAGGCGCGTATTTTCCGATGCTGTCCTTGCGCAAGCCAGAAAATCCGAACCGTCGTATCGCGGAGGGGTGATTGCGAGAACGGCGTCGACGCCGGTGAGATCCAGGCTTGCTGCGTCGCTCACATCGCCCTTGACCGCTTGGAAATGAGGGTTGGAAAGGAACTCTTCTGGGACTCGGGAGAGATCCCTGTATACGCCTTTCACGGTGATCGGCCTGGTGGTTTCGGTTGAGTTGAGTAGGGCGCGGATTGCCGCCTGGCCTGTTTTGGGTGAAGCTGGGACTACGGCGATGAGCATTTTGTTCAAAGATTGTGTATACAGCTTATGTGTGGGTTAGATAGTTTGTTATCAGAGTTGAGTGCGAGAGGAGGATATTCAAGGTGGCATGGCATGATTGAGAATTCTAGAACCACCATAGAGTTAAGTCATCGCTTCGTATTCGGAATTTCGGATTTGGGGCTGCGGGGCAGGTTGCAATCTGGTCGTGAGGAACTCTATTGATTCAGAACGCACCTCGGATTATTGTTGTTTCGACTTCACAATAATTATGCAAATGTAGAATGTCTGGTTTCGCCGTAGCAATACCCTGGATAACAGGGTTTGAGTGAAGTCAAACAAGATCACCTCAAGGAAACCCGGAGTTCATGAGTGGCTGGATCGTATGATCCGATAGATTGCGGCATTCTCATATATGGGCATGCTTTGGAATCTTTGAAGCGTGTATGGGACCAGATACTGGCCTTTCATTGATATGCTAACTCCGGATGCAAAACCTGGCTGAAGAAGGGGGAATCTCTGAGACTAGCGACTGAAACAGAACAGCAGATGAAGAACTTGAACAGGAAAGGGAATCGAGCACTCTATTACATATATTTGGAAGCTTTTTGAAACACGAAAAGGCGGTGAATGCCCATCATAAGGCAATCTGAAACCGTGGATGAGTCCGAATATACTCTCCATACTTGTAAAATAATACGGGGCAGACACACATCACCAGCGCGATAAATGCGAGCAATGAGTTTCCCCATCCCAATCCCAGAGCATCATACATGGATGGGCCAGCCAGCGGGAGCACTGCACCGATCAAAGAACGCAGCACAGTGGCAGCAGCTGTGACGGACGCGGCATGCCTTAAGTACGAATCCACCAAGTACGTGTTCGAAGCCATGAACACGACCATGAGGCCGATCGCAAAAAGGCCCGTTCCCAGAATCGGCACAATCCAGTGAGTATGTGCTTGCGCCGACCAGCCGTACCAGAACAAGCCGGCGGGAATTGCCCAGCTGCCGTAAAGCATCGGGGGGAGACGCGATTCTGGTTTGAAGCAGCCGCGTGCAGTGTGACTAACGGCGATGCGGTTAGAAACCACACCGCAGATTGCCAAACCCAAAATACTTCCGATACCGAAGCCTAGGTAGGCGAGGCCGGCCAGACCAGATGAGAAGCCGTAAGTGTTTCTGAAGATCGGGGTCAAAGTGGTGAACATTAAGTATAGGTACCCGTACGTGACAGCCGCGAATAGGGCGAGCAGGAATACAATCGGCGAACGGAAGAGAAGTTTCATGGGTCGCGCCAGTGCGGTTGTGAACAGCTCTTTCGTGATCTTGGTGTCGCCACGGGCCGAGCGAAGATTGGGGTTCCCGGTCTCTTTCCGCAGTCGCTCAGTCTTGCGTCGGAGAAGCACTGGGGCATACGATTCACGATAGAACGCCAAACACCCGATTGCCATAACACCGGTCTAGACTGTCAGCATCGTACTCGATCAACAAATGGCCGTAGAGCTACCTACTGCAATCGCAAGGACCCAGAACACCCACCGCCAGCCGACTGATTCGGCCAGGAACCCACCCGCAATGGGTCCGACAACAGGTCCCAAGATAGGTCCTAGAGCCCAGATAGCCATAATACCGGCTCTCTTTTCCACTGGCACCATGTCGGCGACCGTCCCAGAGCCGATGGTGATGGGACACACGCCAGCGATACCGGCGAATAAACGGAACACGATCAATTGAGGCAAGGTTTGCGCCACGGCACAAGCAATGGTGAATACCAGGAAGATCACATTGCACGCATGGTATAGCGGAACACGGCCATATATCTCTGAAAGGGGCGCGATGAGAAAGGGCCCTAGCATGTATCCCAGAATGTAGACGGACACCATAAACGATCCCAACATCTGGTCGGTGGTGTGAAAGTCGCGCATGACATATTGGACGCCTGGGGCGAACATCGAGGATGCTAGAGGGCTATTGTCCGTCAGCCCTCGTCTCCTCTCCTTGTCTATCTGTTTTTCCACGTGCTCACCTGATAAAAGTATTGAATGCCATGAAGACTAACTGTAGCGCTTTCTTCGAAGTCGGCCAGTTAAAGGGGTTTGCGGGGTCGTCGGGCCCATCCCAGTCGACTAGAGTGATATCATCCTCTTTCGGTACATTTTCAAGGTCGTTGTACGCTTCTAAGCTTCTAGTCGACTCCTCCGCCTTGCCTCCCTTCTCAAGAACACTGGGTGTAGGGTCTGTCATGATATTTGGGCACGGATCATTCATCCGAGGGCTTGCCGTACCAGGTTACACGGCGAGTGCATATTGTTGAGGGCACCAAACCGGACGATCGGCCGCTTATATACGGGGCTTTGGGCACACAGTGTATGGTAGTTTCCCTTCTTGAAGGCGTATTGAACCTGGTCCTTAAAAAGAAATCTAAAGACGCGGGGATCTATGGGCCACCAATCACATCCGCGAGAGAGCTGAGCCAAGGCGACGGGCTGATGCTTTTGCCCACTCAGTGTAAGATTGAAGGACGCCTTCATTGTCGATTTGACCTGAGTATGCGGAATTATTCCCCCTTTATCCACAAGTTATGCAGTCTATGCTGCAAATTTCGGCAAGTGGGCCTTACCCCATTGCCGGATAAAAGTTTTTCTGCGACGCTTCGTATCGCGTATCCTCCTTATTCTCCTGCCCCTTTAGGACCCCATTTCTCCAACCCTAACAGCTGCAGTTATGGAGACCTCCGTACTGCGAGTGCTTTGACGGGTCTCACCACCTTGCCGTGGCCTAATCGTCTCCCATACTCGACAGTAATTACTCCAGTCCACTTTAGGACTTTTTTGTCACTTCACCGCCTTAACCATCGGAATCTTCCCCCTTGCATATCTTGGTTGCTCATGGTTACTGTTTACGAGCCCTTGCAGCTGAGGATGGATGAGATTAACAACCATTCGCGAGGAACTACACCGTGCTCTTAAGTTGTCCTTTGTGGGAGCTCCTGGCCTATCGAGGTCGTTAGCGATGTATCACGGCTATTTGGGAGTAAAGAGCTCAGCATTGTTCGCTGCAGAACGTCTAGTTTGATCGATATCATCAAACTAATCGTGGGCCATGACGAGTGCACTCTCGCGTGGCGAATTGCTAATGAGGCTAATCTTCCTTGTATGGATATAAGCGGTGTTCTACACGCGTCCGCTGTTCTCGCTAGATGATCCATCAACGCGAGCAAACACACTGCTAAACTGTTGTACACGACACCGCATGAGCATGCGTACTTGGGGAAAATGTAGCTCTCAAACCCTAAGGTACTAAGATATATTACCGAAAGATTATAGAATCCGACTCACGAGGACATTATTCTGGTGTAGCTTCATCGAAGCCTAGGGTCATCCTGGAGAGGCTCTGGAGCTGGATAAGGGATTGAAACGATATCTATACGATCCTGGGTCCAGTCCAGGGTTTTAATAGAGCTACCGTAGTGCTCTGTGTTCTCTGTTGTTGAATTGTATCTTACTACTCTGGCTGTACCTTGGTCATACAGCGGGCTACCTACAGGGCGCCCAGGTCTTCCTTACGCCAGTTTCGCCCCCACGAAATTCTACCATGGGCGAGCACTGGACTGGAGAAGTGCACTTGGGTTTGGAGAAAAGCAACTGGCAATATATTTGTCGGGTCGCACTTCACAATGCTTGATGCTAGCCGACCGAGAAAACAGTTGGCGCTATTGATCGTGCTGCTAATGTATCTGAGCTTGGTAATACCTTCTATCCTTTCTACAGACTTTCTGGTCATATCTACGGTCAACAGAGTGGATGTACCTTGGTCACAGCAGGAACGAAGCATTCTCAAGATGTGAACAGTAAGAAATGGCAGAGGAACCTTTACCTTCCGCCTTGAACGGAGGGTATGCAATGGTATATCCCCGATATGCCTTTGTCTGCCAGTGCGTGCGACTGTGGAATGCTGCAAAAAACCACGAAGATCCGGCACAGAATGGAGTGTATCCAAACCCATCTTAGCGGGGGTAGATTGCTGCACCGTGAGTATACTCACTTCGGACGTAAATGGTCGGCTTGGCATCTCGGAGATGTTTGGTTCTTGTGTCATGTCTGAGCATTTCGCGCACCTCGTGAATTTATGCAATCGGAGATAATTTGTACATTGACTAAAGGTCCTTTTGACTGTTCTCTTTGTTCCTTGTTTTTCTTTTCAAATTTTCTCAATCTAGCTACTCCTTCCGACCAGACACCATGCGCAGCTCCGGTACGTAGCCCTTTTCTTTCATCTCCACCACCAGCCGGTCCAAAAAAGCGAAATATTCTTCTGGAGTCTTCGCGACGCCTGGAATCCCCTCGTCTACTTCAGTTAGCGTACATTTGCGCAAGGTACTAAAGGAAAACATACCACCCATCAGCCTCGCCAAATGGCGGAAGCTCTCTACCCACAGCTCTGCCGATTTATCGCGGTTGGCAGGGTCTTCGACCTTAGCACCATATGGTAGAGGGTATCGGACCGTCGTCACATCTTTGAACCCGAGCCCCTCCAGCAGCGGCTCTAGCTTATCAGCGAGATGGATGTCCATACCGTTTCCCTCTGTCGCCCATATCTGCACTAACCCCAGTAGACGCTGCTGTGGGTGAGTGTCCCAGTACTCTGGGCGCAGCCATTGACACTCGACGAACTGGATAGTACCACCAGGCTTTAATAACGCTTGCAAATTTCGTACAACCTGAGGCCACTCCTCCTTTTTCAGGGCCCATACTAGCAATCTCTGGTGAATAATATCAAAAGAGCCATCCCACTGCCAGTCCGATGGGAAAGGCTGTCGTATGTCGTGGTAGCGAAAGTCAATATCTACACTGTCGTTGAACAAATGCGACGCGATATCCACGCCGTGGAGGTCCCAGGAATGTTCCGGATACCGCTTCGCCATGTCGTGCAACCAGACCCCTACTTTGTTCAGCCCAGTCCACGATTTACAAGCTGGCTACGTACCGTCCGCACACCCACTATCGAGGACACGCAATGGGCGCCCTGTTGGCGGTGGCAGAGGGAACCCAAAATAGGCATGATTCGAGGCGACTGTAAAATGGCGATGCTGACGTTGGAGGCGATCTGCCTCGGTAACATGGTGAGGCAAAAGATAACTGCCTTCCGTCCCGGTGAAAACCGCCGTCTGGGAACTCATGGCTTAAAAATGATTAAGTTTTAATTTTCTTATGATATTGGGAGCTGAACTCTCTGTTGAAATACACAGAAGGCATGCCATGTTTTACTGATAATACGGGGAGGGGTTGTGGAAAAACGTGACCCGGCTTACGCTACGGAGCTCTAGTGCATTTTATTGCTGACCTTCGGGTGGGCGATGCTCCCTCTTTAAATAGTAGCCATCTTGGATCAAAGCTTCTCTTCGGAGATCCGTGGTCATACCCACCTTTCTCCGGGAGATCATATTCAACTCTGCTCCGGCGGCCCTGGCATGGAATCACCTCGGAATACTTCATTTGTATGTCAGTTTCGCCATGCCCGGAGACCAGCAAATTCGCTCCGCGCTCATATTAGAATGGCCTGCTCGCACCAGAGCGGCCCTGTGCCGCTCTCACGTCTCCAGGTTGAGATCTTTCCTGCTGCTCAGACGGTACTGCCTCCCTGATTGGTGACCGTCAGGATGGCGAATATTTCTCTCTCTGAGGGCTCGATGTACGGTTGCGGGCGACCAGGAGCGTGTCAAGCAGAACCAGCTATAACACCTCCCGACCGCCGACATGGCTCACCCACAAGCTGGTCAATCCCCGCGGGAGTATACACGGCGCGTGAGCTGGTCCGACGCTTCGCACCCTTGCTAGACACCGTCGTGCATCATCTGGGCCCTGATCCACCACATGCAAAGCCCGCCCGCATGGTCCTGCTAGACAACGTCGCCGCCAATCTATCCACGGACATGCGGGAGTCCTCACTGCCCTTGTACGATCTTTCAGACATCAGCCGCCGCGAGATTAGAGACCAAGCCCGCCGAATAGGCCAGGTACTGGTCCAGTGGGCACGCGAATACACCAACGAACCATACGACCCGGACCTATACCTGCGCGGTCCCGGCGATGGCCATATCCTCCTCCAGTCCAGTCTAGCGTTGATGTATACCCGTTGCACCCGGCCCCATCATATGCAACTGCTCAGTGAATACATGCGCCAGATGGTAGTTCTGCGCGATGCGCTACTCCCCTTCCAGAACTTTTACGCCGTCCCGATCCCAGTCGACGGCCGGGCACGCGGAATTCGCCACCTCGAAGCACCACGGGAAAGGTTCCTCACCACCGTGTTCTCCGGACACATCACGCAGGCCTCTGTGGTGACCTTGGCCCGGGCAGTGCTCGCCCCGGACCTCCCCGTCACAATGACAGGTGGGTACGGGTTCCAGTATACGCATGGTCTGATCCTCCCTGCCATACTGGCAGGTGGGGTGGTCCCATACCATCTGTTGCGATATGTGCCCTCTAAGATGGATTCCTCAGCGATGGAGGTTCTCTTTGACTATCATTTCCCCGATTATTATGAAGCACCACGCGAAGACATGCCTGCAGGCCCGCCGACGATCTTAACCCGCTACCCCATCGACCTCCCGAGTCAGAAGGAGGAGCTCCAAACAGCCGGCATAAGGCTTCAAGCAGGGTCCTCGACGTCGGCCGTCCGTGGTCTCGAGTTGCGTTTGGAGTTCAAGAACGGCGACACAGCAAGGGTAGACGTTGGGCAGATCGCCCGCGGACTACGACACTCATACGAGGCACTCGAAGAAACACGCGACAGTACGACAAACCATACCGTTTTCCTGCACTCGGCATCCGAGATTCTCATCCAGCCCGGATGGGGACTGAGCACAGCCGAGCAGGTCGGATTCCATGTCATACCGGTCGACGATCCGACGATTGCCCTGGCTCTGTTGGGGAAGTTGTACCCTCGGAACGTGATCCTGCTGCCGAACGACGAGCAACTAGGACAAACAGATGATGTCGGAGAGGTCTCCGAAGCGAAATTTGTCATCTGGGGAGGGTTCAAGAGGGGCGGACTTAAGGGTGTGTTTTAGGTTGCACGAAGTTTAGTGCTTTGTATAAATTCCCTTACTCCTTCTTTTGTCCTCTTCTGGTCCTCTCTCTTCTCTCTTTTCTTTCCACTTGTCCTTTTACCCTTAGTGGCGTGCTTTACTTCCCTTCCATGTCTATATTCCGCGCCCACATTGATACCAAATCACTCATAGTCCATACCCGCATTATAGAATAAAGCAAACACATATTAACACGCCATCCATCCGCGCGTAACCATCCTTACTACACACCTCTCCGAACCAAAGCATACTCAAAACCATCCCCAAAATCAACAACATTACATCCACTTTCCTCCCTTAATACTCTGTACGCCATAAACTAAAGGACACAAGTTAGAATGTACCACTCGAATCGTCTATACCTCACTGAATCTCTCACCATGAAGTCGCGTAAGCTTCCCACCTATAGCATCGGGTAAACCAAAAGGTGGGACATGTACTTGTGACCCTAAACCTGGGTGGGCTTTGGCGGTGGAGAGTTTTCTATGATTGTTTTGTATACCTCAAAGTACTCCGTGGAAAGGAATAGATTTCGGGGGGTGAAAAGCTGAAGAGAACAGAACGAGCGGAGTTGAGACGTATGGTTGAAGAGGAGATGAGGAAACATAATGGCATATCATCTTTGCGTCTGAATTTTGGAATATTTCCTGAATAATGAAATACAGTAAACCCTGGATAAAAGCAACTCATTATAGAAACCTTGGCATGCCTAATCCATAGTCTAGAGCGGTTTGGCCCTTTTGGTATTCACTAAGAGTAGGACAGCTTTGATGAAGATACTAACGGAGAAGAATCAATCAGCCAACAGTAATCGAGAGGCCGGAGGCAAAATTCTGTTGTTGGCTATATCTATGTTACCCTACAAACTGAGTCTGTGTTTCTTGGTGCTATTCTTTCCCTTCTTCATCCATTGATATGCTCTTTTTTGATATTGTATGAGAAGCCGCAGATTTCCAGGTGTACAATGCTCAGCGACTGCCTTGATGAAATCGTCGGATATTGGTAGGCTGTTTTTGTCGATACTTTAAGAGAAGTTGCAGGGTTAGAGGATCTCCGTACGTAGCTGCTGCCTGCACCACCGCCTCAGTGATGGGTAGACTCTCTCCTCGGTGCTGGAACAATATTTCCATAATCCTATATCCACCCAGTGTATTTGCTGCTGCTGCCTTGAGCACATCTTCAGTAATAGGTAGCCTGTCGCCTCGGTATTGGATGAGTACATCCATAACTTTACCACTAGACGGCGTCTTTCTTGCTGCTGCTGTTCTGACCATCTCCTCAGTAACTGGTAGACTGTCTCCTCGGTAGTTGAGAAGCAATTCCAAACATCTAAATGCCTGGGTTTCTACTGCTACCTTAACCACCTCCTCAGTAATTGGTAGATTCTCTCCCCCGTGTTTAATAAGCGATCTTAAACTTGTATATCCCCCAGTTCCTGCTGCTGCCTTGACCACATCTTCACAGAATGGAAAGTTTCCTGCGCACTGAACAAGCATGTGTTCAAATATTGGCCCTGAAAATGCCATGTCCAAATCTCTCTGTAAGATTATGTGGGCAACCTTTTTCACAGCGGAAGCCATGTTGTGTAGCCTTATCTTCGCCTGGTAAGGACATTCCTGAAACTCTGGTGCTACATTTATTAGTTCTATTGGCCTTTGCAACCCAATATAATCATCTGTACCACCCCGAGGTATTCTCCACGTAAGAAGAATATCGTCGAGGGAACCACCCATAGAACGCCATTCTTGAAGCAGCAAGTCGAAACTGGCTTTGTCTATGTTCTGTGGTGTTACTGCCGTCATGACTACTTCGAAATGGTCTTTGTGTAGTCTGATAATACTCGGGCTTGGAGACCTTGGTCGAAGGAAGATAATATCTCCCTCCTGGATCAGCTTTCCAGGATCTCTGAGTACCCAGTCTCTTATCCAATAGGGGGGAACGTTCACTGAGCTAGCAGCATGATGGAACTCGATCATGAAATTCGCTCGATTATCTCCACGAGCTCTCACTTCAACACGATTAATATAACCCAATATCCGCCCTTTGCCTTTTATAACTGCTATATCCCTATCAGGCCAGGTTTGCACAGAGCTATCCCCTCCCAGAACGTATGTAGTTACCTGTTTTAGGAGATCATCCCAAGGGAGGGAATAGTTGGGTTTCAAAGCAGGTACTTTCGGGTCATCAGCACATAAGCCCAGCAATGCATACACTTTGTCATGCTGCACGGTGGCATTGTGGTTTCGGTACATTCCAATCAGCTCACCTATAGAGAGGGCTCCACGCCAAGCAGGCCGATACTTTGGCCGACATATTGCGTCTCTCATTATAAGGATGACTGGGTGGACATGATTCAGTATACTGGAAGAAAGTTCTACTCTGCTAGAACCTTCACAGAATGTATAGCCATTCATCTCAGCATGGCCACACATGACAGAGATGTGCCGTGCGACACCAACCTCCTGCAATACCTGTCTTTACTTGTTAATAATACGTGTCGAGAGTGTAGAAGGCTTTCATACCCATATACGGCAAAACCAGTTCCGCTGTAGCAGCATTGAACATGCATAGTCTTCTACCACCGGACTTCGGCCAGTAAAGAGTCTAGAGACATCAGTCATGCCTCCATCCGAGACGGATGGATGCTTTAGACTGTCTTCTTCTAGAAAACGAATCTTTTCAAATGCTTCGTCGCTATAGTCCCTAGCCTCTCCAAGCCAGACAATGACACAACTGGCTTGTGCATAGATTGTCCGCATAAATGGGATTTGTTTTTCTTTTTCATCGGTATCACTCTGGTTAATACAAATGGCATCAACCCAAAGCATTCGCTCAAACTGGTGATTTCTCAGGTGTAGGAGCGCTGCATAGAGATTTCTCGTAACAGGGAATATACAGTCATTCAAGATCATTGACCAAGGTTCCCTGTGATTGCTCCCCTCGCCCTCATACCATACATAAGAAAGTGCCTCGTAAAGGTGCTTTCTACCGTCGGTATCTGACAAATTGTAATCGATGAGCTCGCCTCTAATCTGAGCGTTGCTGTCTTCATGAGGAAAGAGGCGAAGCATGCGGGTCATATCAGACCCTGGAGGAAGCTTGGAATACGTAAACGCAGCCATGATCGTAGAGGATGTGAAGTTGAAGAATACTAATCACGATATCTCTTGGGCTGCACTTTCCTTTCAACCGAGAGTAAGTGATACAAAGTGTTGTGTTCGAATCTATACTAGGTGGTGGGGAGAATCCATAGACAAGCCCTCGCAAGGTTGATGTCTGTGGTGCTGGCAAGAGTGGGGTAAGATTGCTGACCTCCACTGATGTGTCTTGTTTCGATAGGCTGAGTACACTCACTCTCCTGAGGCGTCTATGGAAAGAGCATTGGAGACCTCAGCTCAGGCGGGTCTTTCCTATTCTAGGTGGCACTGTGCTAGCTAAAGGTTTGCCATATTTTGCTTACCGTGCCGATTCTCGATAGTACATGATCTAAGCTGACCTGATTCGGTCTCAGCTAACATCCTAGATATATGAGAAGAGATTGGCCAAGGCTTATTTAGAGAAATAGTCTGGAAAGGCAAATTGGTAAATGGAATGATCTATTCATAATTCATGTCTTTCTTGTACAGGTATCATAAGCGACATGTCTAGGTAAAAACGCAACGTGAGAAGAGAAAAAGAAATCTAGTCTATATGCCATCCAACGCCATCGCCGAACGAGAAGAGAAACAAAAGAAAAGAAAAAGAATTTTCAGCGTCACCAATCAAACCATTCGCATCGCCGAGATGGCAGACATAGTAGGCCGCAAACACGAAGGAACAGTTGGCATCTTCGGGATCCTAGGCGGAGCCATCGACTTCAGAGCTCTCCGGTTGATCTTGAAGCCAGTTGTAGGGTAGCTCGCGAGACAGTGGACGCCACCCGTCAAGCGACGGAGACCGGTGAGTTTAGCCCGGGCATATCGTTCGACGTCGCGGGTGACCTGGGCAGTCCTGCTGCGGTACTCCGGCTTGGGGATGACAAAGGCCGTGGGCTCGTCGACTTGGGTCTCGGTGTTGCGGACTCCAACGACCACCACGCTAGACACAGCGGGGTGTTCAAAGAGGATGGCTTCGATCTCGGCGGCAGACACGTGAGATCCGTAGCCCTCACCCACTTTCAAGAGCTCCTTGATGCGATCCACGATGTAGACATTGCAGTTCTGGTCCAGATATCCGAAGTCACCGGTATGGAACCAGCCTTCGGAGTCGAAATCACGGTTCGCCACTTCGTTGTCCTTGTACCCCTTGAACCGGGCGATGGCGTTGCGCACCAGGATCTCGCCCTCTTCGCCGTAGCTGCATTCGCGCCCCGTCTCGACGTTGATCACCTTCGCTTGGATGCCGTTGACCAGTGTGCCGCTGGAACCAGGCTGCTTGGAGCACTCGTCTACTTGCATGGCCAGGAGCATGGTCTCGGAAGTGGCCCACTCGAGGGTGAGGTGCACGCCGCCAAATTGGCGCGAGATGGTGCGACGCAGGTTTTCGTGCATGGGTGCACCGGCAGTCAAGAGCCATTTGACGCTCGAGACGTCGATGTGACGCAGAACGGCACGGGCAAGACGGGCAGCAATGGGGGGTGTGATGAAGAGGAAAGTGATGCGGTGACGGGCGACAACGTCGACCGTGGTTTCGTCGAGAGTGTGCTTCATGAGCACGACTGGGATACCAAGGAGAATGTTCAGGCCCATGTGAAGCTTTGCGTTGATGAAGAAACCCAGCGAGAGAGGAGAGACCCACACATCCCGATCTGGGTCTGTATCGGCGGGAATAGTCCCCACCGTGGCCTCCATAGTGGCGATGTAGTGGGCGTGGCTGGTGAGGACGGACTTCATCGTACCTGTGGAGCCGCTGGTTCGGTTGATGAAGGCATCATGCTGGTCGACTTCTTCTGGAGTCTTCAATTCAAAGATGTGGGCATCGGGATTGCCCAGTGGTAGGAGCGAGTCAACGCAAGGCCAGCTCTGGTCGTTGGCATCCAGGGTCATCACCGAGACACAACCAGCCAGCATGGATGCAACTTCGGTAAGGCGGAGCAGATCTGAATCTGTGATGACCACTTTGGCTTTGGATTGTTCGAGACGGGCGGCGACGTCGGTTTCCGACATCTCCTTCTGTACGGGGATTGGAGCGACCACAGCACCAGCTGCGAGAATGCCGTAGTAGGCAATGGGGTATTGGATCTGAGTATAACTATGAGTATATCATCATCGCACCAGGAGCTCGGTGTAAACATACCTTGTCCTTGGCAAGGATAGCGACGACATCATTCGGCTCGATATCATAGTATTGGCGAATAGCATCGGCGAACTGCCTGCTCTTCTGCTCGAGCTCTCCAAACGTCAAGGTCTCATCGGAGCCATCGATGCGATACAGCACGCGGTCGGTGGAATAATCTCTCCGACCATGATGGAATATATAGTTGAAGGCGTCGCACGAAGGGACTGGGGGAAGAGGCAACTTGGAGTCAAAAATCATTTTGAAGGATATAAAGAGATACAAATAAGACTTGCTTCAACAAACGCTCAGTTCATACAACAGTCTAATCCAAATCGCTTTCTAGTGATGATTGCCAAAGCTGAAGCTGCTGTTGATGACTTTAAACTCTTGAATCTCCCGAAGTTATATACCCTCGATAATCCCATTGAACACCTCGCTATCTACCATCCAACTCCAGCCGTGGCCATCGACCACCGTCCCCGTTCTCCCATCTCACCATGCAACTAAGCCTCTCAACGACAGGTACAGTGCATTCCAAAGCCTGTAGCCGCCTAACGCACGCGGCAAGTGTAGACCGATCCAGGAAAGTCCGAGCATAAGCTGAGCTGATTGGCCCCCATGCGTGATGAGGATCCACGAGGTGCCGTTTCTTAGGCCTAGATCTCCAGATCGTGTCGGAGATTACTGTCGTGCGAAGTGTAAAAACGTGTTCCACCCGGTCATGTCCGGGGTTAGGTGTCCTTGCACCGCCTCAATGATTGATCTCCAGGGCGTATCTGGGACACATGGCTGCCTCGTGGCTCGCTGCTCCGATCGTAATTTGTTCCTTAAACGCGCTTCCACGTGTCCGTCGTGCTTTGTGCGACTGCTGCCGCGTCTAATCGTTATCGCCGTTGCAATTAGATATACCGGGGCTATATCAACTTGTTCTGCTAATCACAGTCGTAGGGCTAAGTGGCAACAGGGACGATAACGCTACTGAAGATCTGGTTACGTACATACAAGCGCTTACTTTCGGCCGACCGTGAAGATGAATTCCATCTATTGGCATATTTAGGATATCTTCATCGCATCCTTATAAACCTACGCACAGATACCCAAACCCAGGCCGAGATACGATATAATTAAACGAGCCGGAAACTCGAATTGACTTTGGCAGACCAAGCATTAGACACATCCTACATAAGTCCGAACGATGTGTAGCTTGGTAGCGAAGATCGTCGCTGAGCACGCAAGGACAACTCATCAACCATAGCAGGGATAGCCGGTGGAGAAGCGAACAGTGCACAGACAGGATTCACGCATATGTCTCGTATAGGTGTAGTCCAGAATAGCTGAAACATGCACTAGTAGGTAGCTCACGTAGATACGATGTAGCATTCTACCATGTGGTCGTCTTATGCGAGAACGAGGGGGCTAGTTTGGGGCTAGTTCGGCCTCGTGGAGACAGGGTTTCGGCGTTGGGGGCATCCATGCAGGACATCCGTCTCCGTTGCGCTGGGTTGCAGAAGCCGGGTCTTGCTAACGTCGGAGTTTATGTCCTGCGTACATCAACGGTTCGTGGGTCTGCGAGGGGGCCAAAAACAAGACTCTTGCCAATCGTTATTTCCCACGTGTGGATTAGTTTGAGATTGGCATGCTAGTCTTATCCCTGTAAAACATGTGGCAGTCCAGCCATGGAGCGTTTTCCTGGAGACACAGTTGCCTGTCATATTATTCCATTCGAACATTGTTGGAAGGTTCTATAGGTAGGACATAATGCACTTAATATACACCGTGGGGCCCGGCTTGATCTAGTAGAAGTTGACAAGTACAGCATAGAATGTTGGAAACATATTCCATATCCGATAGATATATCCATGTATGAACTAGCATCCTGCAGATTACAATGCGTTTAAATAACGCCTTGAAAAGACTCTGGTAGGCAACAAGCAGTTCACCGATATCACATCCATTGTTTATCTCTCGAGCTTTCCGTCAGAATCCACCATATGTGTATGCGCCAAATCTCAGTCTCCTTACGATCCCGTCAGCATCTTTGTCAACTAGTATGTAATAATTACTTCATGCATAAGCGTCAACAACGGGAAGTGTGGCTAAGGCAAGACAAGAGTGACGGTCAGAGCCCTAGGATGCAGATCCCAGGATGCCAGCCGCAGATTGCAACCGTCGCTACCACTAGTACATAGCACACAAAGAAGTCGTGTGTCCGAAATGTCCATAACATTCTTTTCACAAAGGCAAGTGTAAATGAAATGAGTATGTAGGCTTTTTGACAAATGTAAAAAGACAAGATGGCCAGGTCCAATGTTTTAAGTATAGGAAGGCTAGGCCTTGGGAAAATCACAAGAGATGCGACCAAGATTCCACCCGTCCTTACTTCGACCATTCCCCTCAGAAACTTAGGCTCGTTCCTCCGACCAACAATGTCCGTGGCCAATAGACGCTGTACAGAAGATAAGCTATACCACTTCACTCCGGTGCACGTGGTGAGCATATGAGTCCGGGAAGACCCATCGCGGCAGTTTTATGGATGGGCAAACAACTAGTCAAGGAGAGGAAAGGCCATAGTATGTTTTGTTGGAGTCTAGCTAATGGGATAACAGACGTATATACTCTGAATATGGAAATCGCCTATCAACAACCCGCCCAAACCATCGATCTGTGTATAGATGAATTCGTGTATATCCATGATGCAAAATTCGAGAGAATAGGAGAAAGCTAATAGATTGTGGCCGTAAATCATAAATCACCAAGCAAGTCGCCCTTCGGGGCAACCTTGGCACATGCGAAAATCAGTCGAGTAATGGGCAACAACGTAGAAGTGTCCAAGGCCCCTGCCTTGTCTTGCTCTAACAACTCGCGC